CGATGACCCCAGGCTTCGCGCGGCGTCCTCTAGGTACTGCCGTACGGCGTCTTGGGCCTCTCGTACGGCGCGGAGGCTCGCCGCCAGGTCAGCGTCAACAACCTCCTGCACCTGTTCGCCGCTTACGTTGGCGCCGCCAGCGGAACCGATACTAGCTGCCGGCTGCTGCTCCTGCTGCGTTGCATGCTGCGCGTGGGGCTGCTCCAGCAGGGGTTTCACGGTGAGGCTGCTAAGGGGCAGCGAAGCGGCGGGGGCGGAGGCAGGAGCAGCCGCATGCGATGGCGGGGTCGCAGCGCTGTCTAGTGGCGTCAGTAGCAGCCTCTGGACCTCTTCAAAGCTGTGGGGGGGGGGGGGGTGCGGGTGCGGGTGAGGGAAGTAAGGTCGGAAGGGGCAGGAAGGTGGTGGCGTGAAAGGTGTAGATACGAATCCACATGAAAAGCAGGGCATAAGCCAAGGAATCACAGCCGAAACGCGTCCTTTACCTTCGCGTCCTTCACCAGTCGTCCCCCACTTCCACCATTGGCATTAAGCTACCTATCGTACGGGGATCCTGGCCAACTTACTCCGAGGCAGAGACCTCCAGCGCGCTAACCGCAGTGCTCCACACCCGCAGCAGCTGCGCATCGAGCTCAGCAGCGGCAGCATCCGCCACCGAGCCTCCGGCGTCGCCGCCTCCGCCACCAACACGCCCGCCATCGCCCTCAACGCCGTCAGTTCGGTTAGCGGCTGCGGCGCCGCCGCCGCCGTCGTGAGACACACGGCCCTGGAGCATCCTGAACGGCGCCCATAGGAGCCCCGCAATGCCCTGAAGGCCGCCCCAAGCCGCCGTACTGTCATTCGTACTGGTGGCAGCGGCGGAGGCGGTAGCGGCGGCTGACTGCGGCGGCGGCGCTGCTTGTGGATTCCGACGTTGCGACGGACCGGCGGTGACGGCACGTACGATACGCTCCCGCGCCGCCGACAGAGCGTCGGTTGTACGATGGAGGGCCTGGCGCAGGGGCTTTGTCAGATGGAGCTGCGGAGGCACCGGCAGCAGCCGCGAACCCGACGGCGGCGGCGAAAGGCCGGTAGGGCCCGTGTTAGCGCTCCAGGAGTGCAGCTCGCAGGATTCCGGATCGCATGCAGCCGGGTCGAATTCGTACAAGTACGGCGCGGCGTCAGGGTCTGCGTCCAGGTATCCCGTCTGCGGCACCGCCTCCGCTGCCGCAAAGACTTTGCCAAACCAGGAGGACGGTGCACGTTGCTTTGTGGACTCGCCGTCGCCGCCGCCGCCACCGTTGGAGCCCCGGGCTCCGCCGCTGCCGCCGCCGCCTCCGCCATGACCCACATGCACCCCGACGGCGTCCGCCAGACCGACGGCCCCAGACCAGACGGCCTGAACCAGGGGATGCGCGGTAACGAACTCCAACGACCGCTGGACGACGGAAGAGGCATGGCCGCCGCCGTCGGCCGCAGTGGCGGGGGCGTCGCCAGTTGCGGCGCTGCGTTGCGCAGCCGCTGCGTCTAGTTCGTCCTGCCACTTGGTCAGCTGCTCGCGACTACTCAGCAGCGCATCCACCGCCGCCTCCGCCGCCTCCGCTACCGCTGTGAGGTCCTTTCGGTCTGGGGCTGCCGCCTCCCTCGTGTTGCTGTCAGCGTTGTAGGCAAGGGCGCTACCGTCGGCGGCGGTCTCCAGATGCTTCAGGGATGAAGCAGCCGCGTCGATAGCCGCTGACACATGGTTGTAGCTGTGGGCACGCGCACACCGGTATCACCATGTCAGAGCAAACCGCAAGGGAATTCCTGATAAGACGCGGCCATACGAATGTCCTCCGGACCACCTGCCAGTAGCCAACTGACACCACTTGATACCGTACAACACAGTTTACCGCGTACACAACAACAGAAATGTTCCAAACCCGAGCATCCCCGTCTGAGACCATCTCCCCCAGCCCCACGCACCGAGCGCTGATGCCTTCTAAAGCCTCCTCCGCCAAACTTGGATCGCCCGTCGCGGCTGTCGGCCCTGCCGTACCGCCAGCAGCACCGCCTGGCACCGCTGCCGCCGGAAACGCCGCCGTGTTCCTCAACCTCAAAGCCCAGCTCCGGGCCTCCGCCACCGCCTCATGCCCCACCGCCGCAAGCGTGGAGTACGGCAACCTCAGCAGCACCTGCCGTGCAGCTGCCGTACTCTCCGGCAGGTCTATCAGCGACGGCAGGTGCGGGCGAGGAGGCAGGCCGGTAGCTGGCACCCGCAACTCAGCTAGCCCGCACTCCTGCCCATTCTGCTGCTGCTGCTCTGGGTGCCGTTTACGGTCCTTCTCTGGATGCTTGGCGGAACCCCGCGGCTTACCGGCATGACTGCCCGACGCTAGCCAAGCCTTCTTGTCGGCAATGGACGCGGCGGCAGCGGGAGTCGCCGCAGCGGCGGTTCCAGGAGTGTCAGCGGCGGCAGCGGTGGCGGCACCTGACGTCAGCAGCGGAGGCGGCGGGGCTGCTGTGTCTCGCAGTAGCAGCAGCGCGTCGTGCACATGGCCTGCGGCGTCAGCGACGATGGCGTGGGCGGTGACGGTGGCGCCGTGCTCTCCGTAGCCGAGGGCCGCGAGGACGAGCTCCTGTGTGTGGCGGAGTGACCCATGGGTCGCCGAGGGCTGGGGTGGTTAGGATTGGATGCTTGGCTGCTACTTGGCTTACGGCGCTTAAACGATGTCGCCCTGTCGGCTCTATATTGCCGCGATGTACTTTCGCGGGCCTCCCTGTATGCGAGGCAACACGGGCTAGCACCTCACGCTAAACCCCACGCTCTCCCATCAGCCCCATGTACCTTCATCCCACCTCCCGCCTCCCGCTCCCCGCCACCGGCCAACGCACCTCGGCCTTGCCCAGCTCCTGCCCTGCACGCTCCACCACCACCTCCAGCCACGGCCCCACAGCCGCAGCCGCCGCTGCCGGCGGCATCGCACCCTCGCCGCCCGCCGCCGTCGGCCCTGCCTCCTCCGCCGAACCCTCGCTCTCGCGCTGACCGCTGCCTCCACCTGCTGAGTCCCCTGCTACTGCTGCTGCTGCTGCTGCCGGTGCAGCTTCTGCGGCAGCGCCGGTCGCGGCACTGGTTGCGGCGGCAGAGGCCGGCTCTGCTGCATCCGCCGCCACGCCCGCCTCCAGCGCTAGCCTTAGATCCTCCGTGTGCTGCCGTACAGCTGCCAGGCCGTCCGCTAACGGCTGCAGCGGAGCGGGGTGGCTCAGGTCGGCTCGGGGCTGGGACAGCCGCTCCAGGGTCCTGCGCGCGTGCGTGGCAGGATGGGAGGCAGGAGAGCAGGAGGGTTGGGGGACGGTTGGGGTCTGAATGGATGCAACACGGAAGGTTGAGGATGAAAGGGAGAAGAAGAGCTTGGCGTGAATGAAGGCTTACGTACTCCAGCCATCCGTCCCCTGCTGTATAACAAGTCCCGAATCCCGTAGCCCCCAATGCGCACTGGCAAAGTGGCAATGCACCAGCCACCCAAGCTGTCAAGCGAACACCCCCACGCACGCACCCACCTCACGAGTCCCAGCATCTCCCGCACCAGCGCCCGCACCCTTCGGTCCACTCCAGCTGCTGCCGCCAGACCCGCCCGCAGCGCCGAACTGCACATGCGCAACTCCTCCTTCGCCTCCCCCACCTCGCCCGCCCTTGGAACAGCCGTCGCCGCCGCTGCGGTGATGAACTCCTGCTGCCCTTGCTGCTGCTGTGTCTGCTGCTCTTGCTGCTGCTGGCCCTTCTCGCCTCGGTCCTGGTGCTGCTGCTGCTGCTTTTGAAGCCCCTTCTTCGGGTCGTGGTGGCCCCATTGCTCACGCCCCTCGTGATGAGCCGGATCGTGTTGACCATGTCCGTGTTCCTGCAACAGCTCCTGGATCTCGTGTCGTACCCAGGGGTTCTCCTCCCATGCAGCAGGATCTCGCATGTCCGTGCTCATGCCCTGTACGGCTCGAGCTGCGGCGTCCTCGGCCCCGTGTACGGCAGATCGTAACGCCCCAAGGCGGCGAGCCAGTGCCGCCGCTGCGCCGCGGAGCAGGTCGAGAGGCGGACCCAGTGCGGTTCCTGGCAGGTAGCGACTGTGATGCAGACCCGTGGGACACTCGGAGCTGCTGCCTTCCGCGTCCTGTCGTACATTTGATTTGAGGTGCAGGTGGTTGCTGGAACTACTGCCGTCTTCAGGTACGACTAGCGGCGCGATGACATCCCAGGAGCGAGGGTTCAGGAGGCCGGCTGCTGTTGCGCCGAAATCACCCAGCGCGCTGTGATCTTGAGCTTGATCGTCCTTGCTTTGGGTCTTGCTTTTAGGATCGTTGCTACTCGTGGCTTTGCCTGCACCGTTGGCGCTGCTGCTGCCGTCCGCGCGACCAAGGCTTTCGGAACCGCCCAAGGAGCTAACAGTGAACAGGTGAAGAAGGATGAGGCCAAACAGTAAGCCATGAGATGTTCGAATGCTAAAGACACCGTTTGGGCCTGGCTGCAGGCCGCCGCGCTGCGAGCGCGGCGGCATTTTGTTGGACCTCACTTTCCGAAAATGGAGAAAGAAACAAAGAGAAGCTTATTGGTCTCTGTGCTAATTTCTATACCCTGACGTTACAATCCATACATTGTTGGGATTTGTGAGCAAACTAAAAGGAGTGTTTTTGGCATCTAGCGCATTCTAGCTTTGGCCGCCCCAAGTTCGCATCACCACGGGCCCGCGGGTCGGGGCAATCTGAGTCACGCGACCTGGCCTCTGCTTCCACTGCTGCACATACCGTGTCCTTCTACTATCCTTTTTTCCATATATCTACATGAAATGTTTCGTGTTTGCCTTTGCAATGCATGCGGCATCATGAGCAATTGCAAGCTAGCTGGTGTTCGTCTACTTCATTGTCAGCGTCGCGCGCACAAGCTGCAAATAGACAACAGCGCTTCGCAGATGTGGAGGCTCTCCCCTTACCCCAAAAATATGGCGAGGCAGGCGAGGCGGGGGTAGTGGTCGGCCGGGGCAGGCGAATGCCAGTCGTGCACAATGGCGCTTGCAACTTACGCTGACTGACAGCGATAAGGGGGACGTACCCGCAGGACTCCCTACCCTCTAGACACTCTTTCTTGCCCTTAGGACGGCACCAGCATCGCCACTCCCGCCTCGCATGGTGCCAAGCCTACCACCACCGCTGCCATGCCGCACGCAATCACACACGCGCTGGACCCCCTCCCCCGCGCTTCTTTAGTGTTGATATGGAAGCTAGGCAGCCCTGACTAGGCCCCTTCCCCGTGGTCTGCTGCATGCTGACTCTTGAGTCTCTGACCCCTCTTGCCTCACCAGTCTCCTCACGGCAAGAGCAGCCCCCTGGTCCTCTAGAGGCTAGAGAAGCGCACCACGCGTCTCGAACCCCTCTCACTAGCCACCTCCACTCGCCCTCATGTTTGCATGGCTCCTTGAAACCTCTACCAGTCCTACGGTAGTTTCTACTCTCATTGCACAGCCCTCCTCCTCATGGCCTGTTCCTGACCCCCACCCTACGAGCACCCTTACCCCGAGTATCGGTACCTCCCTGCCCTACACTGCCCTACACTCCCAAGTCGAGCACGCGTCCTTAGTCACTGCCAGCACTACACACTACCCGGACCTATAGCCCAGGCACATACGGCAAGGGAAGGCCTGTCTCCTAGCCAGGCGAGGAGGAGAGCGCCACCCATTCAGGGCCCTATAAATCTTAGCCTCATATAATGTAGAGCAAAGACGTGCACCCCCGCCTATCCTATCTCCTATTCCGAGTTGAGCACGTCCTTGATTGCCAGCACGTCCGGGTGGTCTGGCCCCAGCGCCGCCTCCTGAATCACTAGCGCGCGCTCAAGCAGCGGCCGACCCACATCCTCGCGACCCTGGGTTTGTGTTGGACAGGGGAAAGGCCAAAGCCGGGTGGGAAGGGGTTGAGGACAGGTGCAGGCGTAGATACTGGTACATGTGGCGAAGGAACGACCCTATGTGCGGCGATGTGGGTCAGCCAGGTAATGTGTTTGCTAATATCGTATCGTACTAGAACTCAAGAACTGAACGGGGCTTTGTGTCCTAACCTCTTCCCAAACCCGCCTGCTCCCACCTGCTCCAGGTGCAGCACCGCCAGATCCGTGAGCGTGTGCGCCACCTCCGGGTGGTTCTTGCCGTAGTGCTGCTCGTAGATCCGTAACGCTCGTTCGTACAGCGGCAACGCACGTTCGTACTCGCCCTTCTGGTTGTACAGGATGGCGAGGTTGGAGCAGGACTCTGCCACGTCTGGGTGGTCGGGACCCAGCGTCTCCTCGCGACTAGCCAACTCAGCCTCGAAAGCCGTTGCGTCGTCTGGTTACGGTTGGATATGCATGATGGTCGGGGTTGGGGTTGGGGTGGGGGGAAAGGAGAGGATCAGCGCGCGTTGGAATGTTTGGAAAGCACGTACATCAGCTGCTTCAACGGCCTGCCAGGCGTGCACACCCCTAGGAACCACACCGCACGTCGTTGCTGTGTTGCGTAACCCTGCTTAGGAAGGAGGGTACGACATCCTCCGTTCCTTTTCTCTTGCAGTGTAGGGTTGGGTCATCACCCGCGTTTCCCTCAAGGGAACCATTGTAACAGTCATTCATACATCCTACCGGGCGCAATCGGCGGCGGTGGAGGCGGCGGCGGCGGTTGAGCCGCGGCGGCCTTCCCAGCTGTGGAACTGCTGCCTTTCCCAGCGGCAGGCGGCTTGCTGGCACCAGACGCAGCGGATCGGGCCGCGGCGGAGGAGGTGCCGGAGGCGGCGGATCGCGCGGCGGCGGCAGGCGGCGGTGGCGGCGGTGCGGGCGGCTCCCCGCCCCCCAGTACGGCGTCTACCTGCTCCCTGATCTTAGGGTTAATGTCCTTGGGCATGCACTTGCTGCGAGGCGGTTGTGAAGGGGAGCGGCGAACGGCATTAGTGGTGTAGGAAGAGATAGTGTACCGGTAGGACGACGCGGAGAGAGTAAACAGCGTGTCGTACCGTACTTCCTTTCCAGCCCTCGTCCAACCATGGGGCTTGTGACCGCCCTTCCTCACTGCATGGCTCCTCACCCTTTGCTTCGAGCTGGGCCCTAACACTCCGTCTAGCTTCCACCCCCTCCCTCCCACACACAGTGCGTGTTTCTTCCTCATTACCGGTACCCTCCCGCCCGCATGCCACCCGCCGGCAAGTCAGCACGCACCACCACCTTCAGCTCCTCCTCACCGTATCGCAGGGCCCACCAGGTCGTACACCTCTCGCGTCACCCGCACCGCCTCGCTGCGCACGTCGGCGTTGGGCGAGTTGAAGGCGCGACCCACGAACTCCATCAACTCGTTCAGCTCGAAGCCGTCGCCGTTGCGGGAGATGCCAACCTGGGGGACCAGGTCCTGGGAGGAGGAATGGAGGGAAAGAGGGGAGGGATGAGAGGAGTGGGAGGAGTACCGGTATCCAAGAAGGACCCAGATGCATTGCCGCGGTGCGTGCGGACGCGAAGGAACGTTGAGAGGATGTGTGCTCAAGCTCGCGCTGTCCCATGCACCCATCCAACGGGTCATGGCCACCAGCTATGTAAGGTCATGCACCAGACGCCACCAAGTAAGTCACAGCACCACCACACGCAACACCAGCAGCGTTGGGTTACGCAACCCAGCCCTCCTAGCCCAACCCAGCCCAGCGCACCCTGAGCAGCTGCAGGATGCCCAGCACCGGCCTCCAGGCGCTCTGGTTCTTGATAGGTCGCACGAAGATGCTGGTGTGGGCGGCCAGCTGGGCCTCCTTGATGCTGGCCAGCAGCATGATGCTCTCCTTACTGGCGTCCCTGGGGAAAAAGAAGGGGGGGGTGTAAAGAGGAAACAACAAACGGACCGTGTGATAAGGCGGCATCATGGTTTGCAACATGTGAGCCAGCCCGACCCGCCCAGCCCGAGCTAACCAAGCCAGTACGTTTAATGGACTTCAGGAGAAGGGGGTTAGGGAGAAGAGGAAGGAAAGACAGGGGAGGGGAAGACAGGTGGAGGAAGCAGCAAAGAGCGCAAGGCAGCATGGGGAAGTGAAGAAGCGAGGCTATAACTGAACCGGAAAAGATGAGGATTGGAGAGAGTGGGTGGGTGGGTGAGCGATGTGGGTCAGGGTGTCCCGCCTTCCTTGCCTCTTCTGCACCACACCAGCTCTCGCCACCTAAGCAGCCATGCCCGCAGCCCATGCTGAATCCTCATCATACGGCTAGGCCGTCGCATCCTGTTTACCCCCCCCCCCCCCTTCCACCTTCTCCAATCACCCCGTCCCCCCTCTCACCTCATCCTCGCATTGTTGTCCCCCAGCTTTTCCAGCAGCAGCGGCAGCACCGCCTCCGCCATGGCCTCCACCTCCCGCCCGCTGCCCCCCGCCAGCCCGCTATCCACCAGCGCCGGCAGCAGCGCCAGCGAGGAGAGGTACACGTTGGCGACCTTGTCCTTCATGCCGCGAACAGCAACGCGCACAACCGCACGGAAAGCCTCCTGCTTGCCCTCGAAGCCGCCGGCGGATACCTTTTGCATGTGGAGGTGTGTTGGGGGAAGGGGAAAAGAGGGGAGGGGAGAGGATGGCATGCATTAGGAAGGTATCATGTCATGCGGCGGTTCCCTAGCATGCGGTATGCATGCATGCACACATCAACCCTCTTCCCGCAAGGCTCGGCAGCGGCTGACTAGACCTCCCTCCTTCTCACATAACCATGCGCCCCCCACCGCACCCCCGAGGGCTCCCCCCACCCCACCCCTCCTCGCCTCCTTACCTTGTTTGCTAGCCAGGTCAGCGCCGCGTCCCTCAGCTGCCAGTTCTTGGACATGAAGGCACGCGCCACGTACTCCCCTGCCAGCTCCTCCAGCTGCTCGGCCTCCTTGGGGGCGCCGCCTGGGGGGAAGGAGGAGGAAGAAGCACGATATGGACGGGGTTGGAATGGGATGGACGGGTGGCGGCAGAGCCAGTGTGATGTGGCACGTGCAATAAGGCGAGCGCCTCCGGATGCTGAGCCAGCTGGTTCTAAGGCGAAGTTACCTGGTTGCTGAGCCCCTTGTGGCCCTTGGCTTTTACTCCCCAACCCCCGACCCTCCGTGCCCCTACAACCCCCTGCCACGCACCACCCATGCATGTCCTACGCACCACCCACATGGTGATCGCATTTGCTACCGGTACTCACTAGGCATAGGCTCCGGCACCGGCAGGTCCCCAGGCCAGTCCTCCGGCGCCGGCACGCCATCCTGAACGGGCGCCTCCTCCTCCATCTGTCTGCGGGAGGCCGCCGCAGCCATCTGCTCCTCGCTGGGGGTGTAGCGGCCGCGACCCATGGCAGGCCGCTCGTCGTACTGCTGGTGGCGATTGTTGCCCATGCCCCCCATGCCCATGCCGGCTGCTGTTGCGGACATGCCGCTCTGGCGGGTGAGCGGCCCGGGGTTGTAGGTGTCCTCATCGTCCACCTCGATGACTGTGCGGGGGTGCGGGGACGGGAGGTTACGGTACCAAGCAGTGCGGGGACTGGGGAGTTGGTGGGGAGGTTGGGCGTCAGGAATGCAAGGGCGCTTCCACGTTTTGCTGGCCCGATCCGTGTCAGGGCCCTGCATGCATCCCTCTTCTCCTACCAAGCTACCATACCCATGCCCAATCACAACCGCACCCAGCCGAAGCTCCCTTCCCGCCTTCCCAGCCCCACTCCTTCCCTCCTCACTTGTCGGCCCTCCCGGCCCAGGCGATCCCGGTTGCGACCCTCCTCCACCCCCTCCATGCGCCGACGACGCCACAGCGCTAATCGGCCGCCCCAGACCCGCATTGGAGCTCGCTCGCCCCACCGGCTGCTCGTCAAACGGCAGCTGCATCATGGGCGGCTGCCCCGCACCACCACCGGCTCCCATTGAGGGTTTCTTCCCCAGCACCCGGTTAAAGATGTCATCCGGGTTCTTGCCGCCGTTAGCGGCGCCGCCGCCGCTGATCCCGGACCCCCCAGGCACCGGCGCCATGGCTGCACCCTCGCCTGCGGCTCGCAGCTTGTCAATGTCGGCCTTGATGGCTTTGGCGGTGTCGTAGTCCTCCTTCTCCACGGCTGCTCGCTTGCGGGCTTCCAGCTGCGCGATCTTCTGGCCCACGACTTTGAGCCGCTCGATGCTGGCCTGCTTGGGGGGGGGGGGCAGTTGGCGGGGAGGGAGGGATTGGGAGGTGAAGGGCATGGACGGGGTCTGGCAGGCTACTCCATGCATGTCCTGCATGGTATACTAGTGGTAATGGCTTGCTGGTTGGTAGGAAATGCAGCATGGGCGTTCACGCTCTTTTCCAAACCTCCATACGCGCACAATCGGGGCTGCTGTTTCGGATCAACCCCAGCTCCCCGCTACCGGCACCTTGAGCATCTTCGCCGTATCATAGTCCTCCCGCGCCACCGCCTCATCCTTCTGCCGCGCCAGCTCCCGTATCTTCATTGCCGTCACCGTGTCCACATGCAGGTCCAGGTTCACGTCCGCCATGTCCGCTGCGGCGGCGTTGTAGTAGGGCTGCGCGGAGGGAATGGCGGGGTGCAGCTGCAGGAAGCCGGGGGGGCCCTCGGGCGGCGGGCTGGCGCGCTCGCCGATGAGGTTGAGGGCGATGATGCCGACCTGCGGGGAGGGAGGGGAGCAGGCGGCTTTTTGCCTTGTGCTGGAAACAGCGTGGGTTGGTACGGTATTGCAGCTGCGGTTGCGGCAGGCCCCACACCTGGTTGTAGATGTTGAGCTTGTTGACATGGCAGCGGTGGATGACTAGGCGTATGAGGAACGCCTGAACGTTCACATGCACGCTCTTCAGCTCACGCGCTTGATGGTTGCTGCGCTCGTTGCTGTCGAAAGACAGGTAGCCCAGCCGCTTGAAAACGCAGCTGTTGGGTTCGGCGTCCAGTACGTTCTCCGGGGCCCCAACGAAGACCTCTACTCGAGTTGCGATCTGCAGGGGAGAAGGAAAGGATGGAGCGAGGGAAGCGTTGGGAAGAGGGGCGGGGCTATGTTACAGGGAGCGGGCAAACGCGGCCCGTGTCGTGCAGTGAAGGAACCCTACCTTGTACTCATGGGAGAGTATCTGGATTTGCTGCACCTTGCAGGTTTGTTCGAGCCTCAGCACAATCTCCTGGGGGAATTTGCAGAACCTGCGCGGCAGGTCATGACCGGCAGTTAACAACGGCAGCGAGGGCACCGAACCGCTCAGCGGAACCCCGCGGCCCTCTGTGTATCCCACCTGGGCGACTGCCATCCCCGAGTTTGAGGGCTGTGATATAGAAGCTCTCGTACAGGGTAATCCGCGTCCTGTGCAGCGCGCACGGCATACCTTGCTGGAACCATCTGTCTGAGATGAGTACGCGCTCCCGCGTACTTACCTCGCCCGAGAAAGAGTGTACAGTAAACCGCAGTTTCTGCGGTCCTCCAGACGCCTTCATTTCCTATGCCGCGACATACCACAAACGTGAACAAAGAAAAGAGGCAATTTGACTTGACCTTCTGGTGAAAGTTAACTCCTATAATGGAAGTAGGATCAGAGGGAAAGATGCATTAGATTGTCTGAAAACAACGTATTATGGTAAGCCAGATTGCCAAGAATAGAAGCTCTGCTTGTACGACAATGTTACCGAAGGTTTGCCATGTCCGCAGCCTAACAGCAAGTGCTTTCAAGCATTTCCTTTTTGCTACTAGCCGCGAAAGAAATATGATTGATTATTGATGGCGCGAACACGCTTTGATGGCTAGCTTTCCTGCAAGGGCGATACAGACGTCGCACAGGGGAGATGGATGTGGTATTGTGCGTAGGATAGAAACACAGAGCTGGAGAGCTCATGGGCCCGCCGCGTCTTGTGGGAGCGTCGTCAGGTGGAGTGATGCAGCAGTCGGCGGACCAACTTCAGCTTGTTGCAACGATCAGGATTTAAATGTCATACCGTTATACTTGTAGGCGTATCTCGGGGAGCTCTCAGCGCCTGGGCAGGTCTTCTCGAGGCCGGCAGGCAGGTTTCGCAGCTGTACAATGCATTTCAGACATCGCGCTTTGCCGAATGAGTTGCTAACGGTAACGAAGTTGCTTACAGGGAGTTATCTCGAGAGCTACCCATCACAGCGGAAGCCTGCTGTATAAACGCCCCGGCTCGTGCGACAGCAGAGTGCAAGCGAGTGAGTACCAACGCTGCGTTATTGCTTCCAAAGCTGTCCTGGTCTTTAAGTGCACTAACCACACGCCATCTGTGCTCGCAACACGCGGCAAATCTTCCTTGTAGGCGCTGTGTGCACGGCCTCCGGTCGCACCATCGCCAGGTACATGGGCGTCCCAGCACAGACGGCTCCACACGGACAGCAGCGTGCCCAAAGGCTCACAGCCGCTACCACCAGGCCCCAGTAACCTTGCCGCTGAGGCTGGGGCCTGCGCCGAACTCGACGACCTACATGAGCTAGCACAGGACTGGCGTGCCGCTGCAGCCCTGGCGAAGCACCATGGCGGGAGCAGCAGCGCAGGCGGCGCCGTCAACCCCCCCAGCAGGTCCTGTAGCGGTGACAGCTGCAGGTCTGCTAGCGAGCCGGGGCATTCTGACGGACTTCCATTGACGCTGCTGGAGAGGACCTGCACGCTGCTCGACCAGCGGCACTCCATCGCAGCACGCCATGCGGATCACGCAGCCGCTGCCGGAGGTCGGGGTGGAGGCGCCCACGCCGGTCCCGCCGCTGCTGCAGCTGCAGCTGCTGAAGGCGGCATGGCAGGGGCAGCTGTGCCGCTAGCGGATATCATTACGTGCGTAGCCGACCTCTGCTCGCATGCACGCCCGCCGCCGCCGGACCTCGCTCGAAGCCTGGTTGCCGCGGCGGCAGTGGCGACGCAAACCGCCCCATGGCCGCAAGCCGCGCAGATCCTAAACGGCCTGGTTCGCATGGGCACCGTTGGCACGCGGTACTTGGAATGGACGCTGGCTCGCATCCAGGGGATACCGCCTCCAGCCCCGCGTCCCCACCCGCAGCAACAGCAGCGGCTGCAGCATCCACCCGAAACCACATCCTGGCTAGCTCGTAGTCGGAACCGGCTCAAAGGCCGCAGCGGCGCCGCCTGGACGCTCGGACAACAACCTAACCAGATGTCCATGGGAGCGCCGGGGCAGGGGCAGCAGCAGCGGCTTGCGGACACAGGGCCCGGCGTAGCGGACACCATCAGCCTGCTGCAGTCCCTAGCGGCAATCCATGCCGTACAGGGTACCGCCGCTCGCAACACGCCGGTAGCCATGGTACGGCTCATGCAGCACCTGCAGGCGCAGTTGCACACGCTGCCTGGGCCTGCGCCGCTGCTGCCGTTGCTGCATGACATTACGGCATGCGGGTGGAGGCACGACCGGGAACCTGGGTTCTTGAAAGCCATTGGGGACTACCTTTGCTCGCCCCGATTGCCGCCTCGACCGGTTCCTGAAGTGGCGGCGGCGGCGGTTGAGTCTAGCATGCGTCGCGGACCCATGGGTCATACTGCTGCAGCAACAGCAGCAGCGACTCACGACGATGCAGCGCCCAGTAGGCTGCCGTACGGCGTAGGGGGCATCGACGATGACGATGGCACGGTGCTGCATCCCCCGCAGCTGCTGGCACTGACGCCCTCACAGCTGGTTTCGGTGCTGGCTGCTTACACGCGTGCGGGGGTGCACCATGACCGGCTCATGGAGCGAGCCTTAGACGGTGTGGAGCGCTGCCTGCAGGCCTTCACTCCCTCGCAGGCGGCGCGCGTGGCAGCTTCATGCGCGCGCTTCTCGCATTACCGTCCCTCGCTGCTCCGGCGATTGGCGCTGCATGTTGGGGCGCATGTACCCGCCGCCGTGGCGCCGAGCGACGTGGCGGGTATAGTGGAGTCGCTTGCTCGGTGCCGGGTGCGAGAGGAGCGGTTCATGGGGGTAGCGGCGGCCTACGCGTCAGGGCATGCGGAAGCTTTGTTAGCGGAGATGGAGGCGGAGGGGGTAGGTCGGGGGCGCTGGGGCGGCGGCTTACTAAAGCCACAGCAGCAGCAACCGGTGGAGGTGGAGGCGTCGCATCCGCCGCCTTGCCAAGGCAGCAACCAGCCGGTGCGGTCGCCCTTAGAAGGTGGTGGTGGGCGTGGTGGGGAACTAGCGGCGGTGCAGATGAGGGAGGGCTCTGAAGCGGAGCGAATCTGGGAGCCGGGGGCGGGGCATGCGCGGCATGGCTGCATGACGTCACAAGGGGACAGGCTGACCCAGGATCGCGTTGGGAGTAGCTGCCACGAGGACGTCAACCTGTCTAGAGCGGGGTCCAAATCCCATGACGGCAGCGTGGCAGGGGCACCAGCAGCAGCACCTGATGCTGCATGCTTGCCCTCGCTGCTACCCGGGGAGGCAGCGTCTGCTCAGCCGGGGCTTTGTAGTCAGGCAGACGGTCTCGCCCCACATTCCAGCGCGCGAGTCGAGCAACTGCCACCTACCAGGAGCAACGATAGCGGGGTCGCCTCCGAAGAGCTTGCTACGCGGCGCCTTCAAGCTCTGCTGCCCACACATCCTCCCAACTCCCACGGAACATGCATGGGGGCCGCTGCGGCGGCTGGTGTACAACCACAGCAACCGCTGCAGCCGTCGGTTTCGCAAGCGGAAGCAGCCCAGGAGCATAGCAGCCGCCGTTGCAGCGGCATTAGCTTAGAGGAGGCAGCCGCGGGACGGGATGACAGGACAGCGCTGTTCATCGGCGGGCTGCCGCCTTCCCTGGAGCCGTACAGGCTGCTGGACGAGCTACTAGCCACACCCGGTGCTGCCGTAGACATGTTTTACATGCCGTACGACTATGCCGCGGTGGGGAGGGGGGCTCCTGGCAAGGGCTGCGCCTTTGTTGGTGTGACGTCTCCCGAGGCTGTGGCGGCGATTGCCCGGCGGCTGCGGGAGGGCCCGATCTGCGGGATGAAGCAGGTAAGCTGATGGTACACATTGTTGCTGAAGGCTTTCCGAGACACCTTGCATGCACCGTCACACTTTACCGAAGTGTGACCTGCTTACGGGTTGCCTGACATAGTTTCGAAACCCTAATACACCTTCCCCCGCCGTTTATCCCCTCTTTGCCGTACCCTACTTCTAACAGCGTGCATCCCTGGAGTACTCCCCCGCCGCCAACACCCATGCGCTGCTGCGCACCCTCTTCAGCCTGCGCTCCAATCACACCGCCTACGTGCCGCGACCCGGAAGCACGCGCTCCCGGCCTGTGCTGCTGTACGTGAGCGGCTCGCTGCGAGGGCAGGCAAGTGGTGGTCGCTAGCACGCATGGCGGTAGCATGTAGGCAGTACAGTACTAGCACGTAAAGCTACACGTGGAATGCTGCTGTCGGCTTGCGGCAGCGCGCATCAGGAAGCGGTTGCTCACGTTAGGATCCCGGCACCCGTCGAAACCTGCCATTCACCGTCCATTGCCTCTCATGTGAAACCCGAATCCGCGCCCCCATGTCACCCTGCAGGTCCAACCCTTGGAGCCGGGGGATGTGTTGATGCATGAGTGGCCCTCCCGGCTCGCAGCTGCCGTACAGCCTTCGCTACACAGCGCTCGGCAGCCCGCCGCCAGCCAACCTTGCCAAGGCGGCCTGGGCAGCCAGCAGCAACAGCATCCGCAGCAGCAGGAGCAGCAGTGGTCCGTGCATGCGGAGGCAGCGCTAAGTACGTCCCAGCCGGGCGACGGTGCGCATGGCTGTGGCGGTGCGAACTCAGTGGGACTTGCTACACAAGCAGGACTCAGCGGCGGGCATGGCGACACGCAATTGGGCCGGGTTCTTAGCAACAGCGGGGGCACAGGTGCTCTCGGCGCTGCAGGATGCGGAGAACGGCTGGAGCAACAGCGGTCCACGCAGCGACACGAGGACCTGGGAGCCCTGCCTGGAGCAAGGCAGCAGCAGCAGCTGCCGTGTCGATCACAGCAGCCACAGCAGCAGGGCAGCTGTCAGGCTGCGTCCCAGCCACCACTGCAGCAGCAGAGCCATTCATCCCCGGATGTCCCCTCCCCCCCCTTGCATTCCCCACGGCTAGGGTCTCCCTGGCCGCCGCCTCGAGCCTTCTGCCGTACACAACTCCTGGATCCAGAGCAGTTGGCTCTCATGGCTCACAGCATGGCGGCCCTGTCGTACAGCCACGCAGGCTTCCTCGATGCCCTCGGCTGTCTCATGCAGCGGCTGCTGCGGCCTGTGCTGCAGGACCCCCTGCTCGCTGCGAAACTGCTGCCGCCGCCGGCGGCGTGGGCTGCAGCGCCGCCGGCTTTCGCGCAACACGAGCTACAGCAGCAGCCGTCGCCGGCGCTTGCGGTGGCGGCAGCAGACCGGGACCTGGCAGCTGTTGTGGCAGGTGACTGGAGCGAGCACGTCGCGTTGCCGCCGCCGCCGCTGAAGTCAGTGCTGCATGCCTTACATGCACTCGCCTCGCAGCCCAACCCCAGCATTGACGCGTGTCGTGCGCTGGCAGATGCCTGCACCAGCGCCATCCTAGCATGGTTGCCACCAGGAGCCCTTACCGAGGGCCCTATAAGCGCCATTGCCGCGGACAATGCTGAGGGGGAGCACATGTCTGTGACCGCAGGCTCAGCCTCAGCCACGGTCGTTGCCTCTGGATCACCCGCAATACAGCACGGCGGTAGCCCTCAACTAGGAACACAACCTGCCCTGGAGCTCCTCGACCCATGCACCACCATGCGCCACGCCTCTACCAGTATCAGCTCGGCCACCAGCTTACCTGGCGGAGCAGTCGCCCCACAGCACCAACAACAGCCCCCCCACTCGCAGCCTGCGGTTTCCCCGGTACCGCTGCCCTTGGTGCCCCTGCCGCCCTCCGACGTCCTGGACGTGCATGTCCGGCTGCTCTCGCAGGCTCTCACCGCTGCCGCCGATCACGGCCCGCAGCTCCTCTACCACTCTCACCTTTGCAACGCCGCTGCAGCGCTGCTCCGAAACCACCTTCCCCGGCTAAAACCGCGCGCTGCTTGCGCGCTGCTACAGCCGCTGGTGCGTTTTAAGATGCCAGGAGTACGGCAACTGGTGCGGGCTGTAGCACCGTTGCTAGCGCAGCAGGCGGACCGTCTTTCAGAAGCCTCCCTGGTCAGCTTGACATGGGCTTGCGCTCGGACTGAGCTGCATGAGGATAGAAGGGTCGTGACGGCGCTTGCAGCCCGTACCCTACAGCTTCTGCCGCAACTTCCAACGACCGGTGCCGTACAAACCTTCTGGGCGCTTGCCGTCCTACGCTACCAGGACCGTGTCGAAGACCGTAACCGCAATAGCAGCCGGGGCCGCGGTGGCGATAGCAGCGGCAGCAGTAGCATCAGCTTGTACGGCAGCCTGTTGCAGCTGCTAAGCGAGCGTTACGATCTTACAGCACGGGACTTGCTACTGCTTCAAGAGGGGCTCACGGTTCACCGCCGGTTGTCCTCCTTGTCCTCTACGTCGGCCTCCTCTTTGGCTGCTCTTCTTGGTGAGGACGGCGAGGGCGGTGAGGGCAGTTCGCAGCTGGCCATGCCTGCGTTCCTAGAAGAGCTCCTGCAACGCGCTGTGGCCGGGACACTCGAGGCGAAGCAGCTGCAGCAGCAGCAGCTCCCGACAGCAGCAGCGGCAGCCGCTGAGGCCGGCTACTCGGCTTCCGCCGCGGGCGCTGCTGGCCTGCGCGCCAGGGGTTGCGAAGAGTTGTTCGCTGCGTTAGCGCCGCCGCCGCGGGGTTCGGAGAGCGCTGGCTGTGAGGTTAGGAAGGAGGATGGAAAGGGCGGTGGAGGGACGCCGACGATGCGCCGTAGAGGAGGAGGCCAGTTGTTTGCCGCTTGTGCTGACGGTGAGGATGCGGGTGCGGGGGCGGCGCATGCAGCGGATGCGGAGAGTGGCGAGGGGCTGGCAGGGGTGGAGGGGGAGCCCGCGGACGATGGTGAGGCGCTGGCTGCGGCGGAGGTCCGCTTAGCGGTTGGGTGTAGCGGGCCTGGATCCCAAATCCACGCTGCTGCAGGAACACCGACTGGGGTTGCTGCTAGGGTAGCGTGTAGGGGGCCGGTAGTGGCTCCGGCGCCTTCTGCAGGCAGTCCATCAGGCCCATCACAAGGTCGGGGCGATGGTTGCACTGAAAGCAGCCTTGGAGGCATGGAAGTAACTCCTGCAGCAGCCGCAACAACAACCGCCCCTAGTGCAGCCTCCGCAACAGCTGCAGCTGAAGCAGCATGTTCGGCTGACGGGCCGGGCACGACGACGACAGGAGGGACGTCGGGCAAGAAGCCGGAAGGCGATGCGGCTGCTGCAAAGGTGATGATGCGCGGGCTGTGGCAGCAGATTATGGTGGCTCGGCAAGGCTTGGCGCTAGAGGAGGCAGATGGGGTGATGTTGAGGTTGCAGGTTCCGGAAGCTGCGGAGGCGCGGGCGCGTGCGGCGTTCCTAGCAGCCTCAGCGCGGAACTGAGAGAGGGCCATGTGGGGTAGAGGGAGGGAGAGGGGAAAGGTGTGACTAAGCGGGACTGCCGGTCTGCATAGATGGCGTTGTGAAGACGGATCTGGGTGTGTGGTTTCAGGACAGAACAGCTATGTAGGCTAGCCAGGGCTTTCAACGAATGCAATCCGGGTTGTTAGAGTTTTACAGTTTGAGTATGGTATCACTGGTGGCGTGCTTCTTGTTGCAGTGCAATGTTATGGTACTGCGGTATCTGCTATGCAGGATGTGGTGTGTTATGTGTAGCGTTGTGTGTGCATATTCATGCCGGCTTAACATTAGAGGACAGACAGACAGGCAGGAAGGCGAGACGACGGTACGTTGTGGACTTGTTTTGCTCCGCGGCGTCGTTCGCACTGTATATAGTGTCCCCGGCGTTGAGTCTCTCTTGTGGAGGAGATCTTCGCCTCCACAAGACAGAGCCTACTACCAGGTTAGCCGGTAGCCAGAGATTTGTAGGCTGTTAGCTCAGAACGCGTTTGGCAGGGACGCTTGGCGTGCCGGTAACAGCAGGCGCGGGAGGAGAGGCAATGAGGCATACTCGTCCTGACTTGGGGCGGCCCGTGTAGTGGGTAGGTGTACGGAAAAGGCGTATCCTCTATAGTGCTTGACGTGTGAGAGCGTGAAGCTATGGACCTTTCGGACTGGCGGGCGTGCCTAACCACCCCAACGTTGCACCTAACGTTGAAGGTTCCCTGGCATCCCAGCTAGAAGCCACTCCACACATCGCCCTCGCTACTAAAGACCCTGCGGCGATGCAATTCGTACTAACCAGTAACCACCCATAACCACCAGCTGTACAGCCGTAGGACGACATGGCGTGTGGCTAGGCTTTCCTGGACCACCTCTTCCTGCTCAGTATGTTGCGTTGCGGTTTGCTGCCGTCTATTATGCACATTTGTATCTACAGTGGACATCTATGGCACCGCCCATCCAGGGCATATCCCACCCCGACCCCAGCAAGGCTCGCACGAAGCTCTACGCCATACCACACATTGCATTGCTATTTCGAAAGAGCAATTCGACATGAAGGATATGGCGATGCTTGCAGGCCCAATTATTCCAATGCCCTGCCTCTTTTACCGCTGGGCCTTGCCTTGTACTGCATCTACCACCTCGTCACTGTCGTACACTGACCAACGGACATGCATGGCAGTTTGCGGTTGACGCTCTCACCCCCTCTGAGATACTTTTCCTTGCCGCCCGATGTGCCATGCGAGTATGCACACCGCTATTAGGATTGCCAAGTTCACAACAGCGACAGGCTTGAGATCCCACACCATGCCGCTGCTGCCCATCCATCCGCCCATCATCTGTCCGCCAGCAGCGCCACCAACTTGCACAGGCACACCGTCTGGAGGCAGCAGCCCCGTCATCAGTCCTACTGTTACACCCAGTACACGGCAGCGCGATTGTTGAAATTCCTCCCAGGTTGGCTCCAGAAAGGATGCCTCAAGCCACTCGCGTGTCACGTGAGCCTGCACCCCCGTCAGGTTTGGCGATGAAGCCTGAAGTTCGTCCACAAAGCTGACGGGCAGCGATCCCTTGCGAGGGCGCTGCCAAGTCTCGTTGTAGGTCAGCCGTGCACCGGCGTTCCCATCGGGAGCTGGCCTCACGGCGATCACGGCCCAATACGGCTGTCCTGTCTTCAAATGTGACTGTATACGCAACCCAACTGTCGATTTGGAAGCCCCTCCGAAATCCGACGCTTGGGGCATTGGTTTCGGGGTCTGCCTGTAAAGAGCCCTTGCAAAGACCAGGTACGCCTAGTATACTTGGATCAATTTAGTATATGTGGTTACACAGGTTTCAGCGAACTCATTGCCGAGAAGAGTTCATGAGTTGGTGGCCGAAAGTACACCAACCTGGATTTGGTTAGGAACCTAGTAAGACGTTAGCTTGTGCGAAAGTCAGCTACCCTCTTCCCTTCATCTTTTACCTGGACACATAATAGTATAGCTGCATTGGGGCTGCCGTGGTTGTTGGCTCTCAGGAAGCCCGTCGCTGTTATTAACAGCCCAGCCGCTGATGGTTCATGCTACTCGCTTGCCTTCGTATGGCGGTATTGAGCGCTGCGCACTCAGGCGCTCGTCGTAGCTTTGCGGCAGCGGCAGCAACGGAGCATGTTGCACGTAGACATTTTCACGCTCGCCTTGCTGGATTCGCCCTATCACCGCAACCAGTCAGCCTAGCGCCACGGATGACCTCTAACGCATCGCCAACAAGGCGACGATCTCTTACCACGTCTTGCGTCGGCGAGCCGGAGGGTTTTGAGTCGGGCATCATTCGTGGCGCGTCTGTAAAGTACAATGACTCTGCCGCCCTTCAACTACGTCGGCGAGCTCTACTGCAGGTAACATGGTTTCTGCGGCTACCGGTCACAATTCTGTGGGGATAGCTGACTGGTATGCACACGTGAATTGGCAGGGCCGCCATCACCCTATCCTACTCTGCCCCAGCCGCATCCCTACTCTCAATCACGCATCGCCAAGTTCCTAACCTGCTTCCCCAGTCTCCCTCCGGGTACTCCTCTTTCCTTTACTAGCGCTCCCTCTCGCCCTGCAGTGGCAGTCCGGCTCCCCCAGCCGCGTCCTCATCATCAAGAAGCCTCGCAACCCCGCCGCATCCGCCAAGATGCGCGAGATGGGGCAGTGGCTGGCAGCGCGCGGGGTGCAGGTGTTTGTGGAGCGGGTGGTGTGGGCCACGGAGTTCAAGGTAGGGTGGGGTGGGGCAAAATTATAAATAAATGCAAGAACGCAATCCCAATCCCGAATCCCGACTCATGCAGTGAGCGCATTCGGAGACACTAATCTAGAAACACGCATCTCAGAGACTTACCAATTGCTTACCAGAAACCGAGATGACTTGGGGAAGAAGCCGCCTTGCATATGAAGTGGGGTGGGGCGGGGTGGGTTGCGTGGGAATAGGCAGGGTTTGGGGCGTCTCTTGGGTGGGGCGTGGCTGGGGTGTGGGACAATGAAGGAGAGGGGCAGGATGGGTAAGAACCTGCTCCTTAAAGGCAAAAGTAAGGAAGGAAAGGGGGCGATGGCGGCAGTATGCGTGAGGTCACCACGTCGGCCCTGCGTGCGTGGGTCTGTGTGTGTTAGGTCAACGTGAGCCACGTAACATCTGTACTTACCGAGGAGAGTTGACACTGGCGGCTGTGTGTTTATCTGTGTCCCGTGATCCTCTTCCTCTCACTGGCGTCCTGCACTCTCCCAAAAGTACCTGAAACAAGAACCTCAGTCACCGAAGCAACTGACCTGGAAATTGACAACGAAATTGACAACTGTTAACTGACAACCGCTGCAGGAGTTCAACGTGTTCGACCCACGGGTCAATCGCCACGACATTGACTTCTGCATCACACTGGGCGGCGACGGCACCGTGCTCTACATGACCTCCCTCTTCGAAGAGGTAGGGGTTGGTTTCTCTGTATCCGTATTGCAGATAAGCCGCAATGCCCCACCTCTACAACTTGATATCTCCCCCACTCCCTCCTTACAAGTGTTGCAACCGCCCAACCCACAACCCTTCCCTACCTCAACCTTCCCACCTCACCTCAATCCTAAAATCCAGCCTAATGCGGAATATGTATCCCTGTTCAACCCCACCTCAACAGGACGAGCCGCTCCCACCCACACTGTGTTTCGCCATGGGCTCACTGGGCTTCCTCACGCCCTTCGACGCCGCCACCTTCGCCCCCACCCTGGAGCGAGTGCTTGACACCTCCCGCACCCCGCTGCACTGCACGCTGCGCACTCGCAAGCGCTGCGAGGTGGTGTACGACGGGCGGTTGGAGGCCGTACATCACGTGCTGAATGAGTGAGTGTGGGCGTTAGGGGTTGGGAGTTGGGGGTGCTTGCGGGCCGTCCTTGAAAGGAAGTTTTTTGGGCCAAAAGGGGTCTGAAAGGAGCCGGAAAGGAGTTGAGTACGATTCTACCTCCATCCATCCACACCTTTTCTGCGCCTTTCATTCCCCCACCCCGCCATGCTCCACCTCAGGTGTGTACTCGACCGCGGCTCCTTCCCCGGCGCCGTACTGCTCGAGATCTTCGTGGACGGCTCCTACGTCAGCAACGTGGAGGCCGACGGCCTCATCATCTCCACCCCCTCCGGCTCCACCGCCTACTCCATGAGTGCCGGCGGGCCGGTGGTAGCGCCCTCCGTGCCCTGCACCGTACTCACACCCATTGCGCCGCTGTCGCTGTCGTTCCGACCCGTGGTTCTGCCCGAGTCCTCCTCGCTCTGCGTGCACCTGCCCACCTGCGCGAGGTCGCATGCGCGCGCCTCCTTTGATGGCAAGCGGCCCATGCGGGTGCGGCGGGGCACCTCGCTGTTCTTCACGGCCTCGCTGTGTCCGCTGCCGGTCATCAGCTTGGGTCGCATGGATACGGACTGGTGAGGAGGGCAGGGGAGCTGATTACCGGAAGATATACTTTGCCGCGGAAACACTGACCACTGAAGGGAGGGGAGGGAGGAAGGGGACGATTCCGTAGGAAACCGCAAGGATTGGGTCAACCGGCATGCGCCTGCGCTGTTGTGCTCCGGCTCTCCCTTCCAGCCTACGGTGAGTGCCTCTCCCTCTTTTATCCCTTCCCGCCTCCCTCCCCGCCTCCCTGCCTCCTGCCCGCAGGTACGAGGGCATCACCAGCAAGCTCAAGTGGAACCAAGCCATCCGCCAGCTGCCCTCCTGCCCCTCACCCGTGGGCGCACGACAGCAGGAGCTCTGCAGCGCGAGGCATGCGGACAGAGGTACGGCAGCAGCAGTAGCGGGTACGGAAACAGTGGGTGCTGAGGGCACGGCAGCAACAGTACTGTCAATTAGGAAAATAACATGAGCCCATAGCCATAGTGGTAGGGCTCCGACGGTGCAATGCAGGTTAGCCAAGACGAGCTTACCAGGTACCACGTGACCCCAACGCTTACCCCAACACTAACCCCGGACTCGTCTCCCCGGACTCGTGTCCCCGCAGGAGGAGCAGGCGGCGGTGCGGATGATGCGGAGGGGTGTTCCGTGAGCGATGCGGTGCACTGGGACGCGACGGCGGCGCTGGCGGCGGCTAGGGCTCGCAGCCGAGGGGGCGATGCTGGTAACGGCAACAGCAACAGCAACGGTGGTGGCAACGGTAACGGTAACGGTAATGGCGGAGGGAGGCCGTACGGCACTGCAACGGCTGCGGAGGGGGCAACAGCCGGTACGTCAGCAGCTGCTGCACTGACAGGGTTGGCTGGTGTTACTGTTGGTGAGGAAGTTCGAGTGGATCTAGGAGGCGGCGGCAGCAGCAACAGCTATCGGAGCAGCAGCAGCTACCGCAGTGGCAGTGGCAGCACAAATCTAGGCAGCAGCGGGGGCAGTGTTACTGATAGTCTGGACGAGCAGCGGGTGGAGGAGGAGCATGAGGAGGAGGGCCTCCACGCCTCCACACATGCTCATTCGGCGCGGCCTCACCCAGAAACAGCAGCGGCTGCAGCGGCTGCAGCGGCAGCAGCGGGCACCCCTCGGCGCACGTCCGAGGAGCCCGTTGGGATTGGCTCCGCGGCTCATTGGGTTCCCGGGGTAGGGGGCGAAGGCGGGAGGGATGAGGTGGGCGCGGCAGGGGAAGAGGTGCAGGATGGCGGTCGGGAGCGGGGGGTTGCCAAGGGGTGAGAGATGGGATGCATGACTGATGAGGTGGCTGGGAGGCGTCAGACGGGCCGCTGATGCCGATCTGCTTTGCTACCGGAATATGGGCGTAGGAATGCAGCCTTAACGGCACAGCAGCAGCAGCGGTGGTCTGAGGCAGCTGCCAGGCCAGCGGCGCGGGTGTCTTCCTGGCTGCGGATCACTTAGTGCTGAGGAGATAGTACTGAGGGAGTGAGAAACGAAGATAGAGTGGTGTTCCTAAATACCGGTACCTCACTGCTTGACCGTTACAGCGGGGCACCGTGAAGAAGGGGGAGAGGCGTGACGCGTGGTGCTTACCGTGCATTGTGTGCGTGTGTGCATGTGCGAGGCTGTGTGCTAGGTCTTCAACTGAGCTACAGACGTGAGGCTGACACGTGCGTGAGTGCAAGTGGGCGTGTGGGCGTGTGCCGAGTACGGAGACTGGTATCGTACATGCGTTTTGGCTACTGCTGTCGACCGCCTTTTCATTCTTATCTGCTTGCGGTAGAGGACAGGAATGCCAGTGTGTACGACATGTGTACGACGGTCATTCGTTCATGTTGACCACGTCTGTGCAAGTACGGTAACGTTTTTCTATACGAATATACTGTATACAGATAGCAGTACGGCTGTACGGGTAGTAAGGTGCACTTGTGGCTGTGTTAAGGAAACTGGCCGTGTCCTAAGAAACTGGCCGTGAGTGCCCGTGTCAACTGTCCGCGAGTCGGTCATTGTGTGCGTGACGTGTGGTGTGTCTCGCGCGTTATACCGGCACATGAGCAGGCAGTATGGGCCGTACGATCCGAAGAGTGCTATTGTCCGCAGTAACGACTTTGTTTGGATAGGGTAGCCCCACTTAGCGCCCTGCAGCATGCTTACCCGCTCACGGCCAGCGTTGCAAACATGGCACCACGAGGCTGCAGCTTGCCGAGTTGAAATGGTCGTCACGACATGCATGTATTCATGCAGGACGTGGCAGCGATTTGGACGGCGATACACCCACCAGAAATGCCTGGCGGCGCCGGGTGTCGTAGACATTGGGGTGCTTGAAGGATTGCCGCGGCGTCTGCTTATGGTGTCCCAAACCTTTGTGTCTTCCGTGCGTGGCTTGGCGGTCTTTGAGGGGCGCAAAGGAACGTGTATAAAACAATTGATCGACCAGACGATGCGGCGAAAAAGGGAGAGGGGGTAGTCGTAACGCTAAGCGTGAAAGGGCCAGAACAGGCACATTGGGGATAGGTAGGCCCGCCCACCAGGGCGAGGACCAAGCATTGAGCCTAATGCATCTTTACGACACGTTAGCAGGACGAAAAACGCAAAAAGTGCACAGAAGGTTCTCTCAGAAGGCCTTTTGCGTGCGGTGGGCGGGCCCAGCTCACGTATGCAATACTGTCGTACAGGCAACTCAGGAATCACGTCAAGGATTTGCAGACAACCTCTATCTCCCTAAGCGAACAAAATTTGGGAATCTCAAGGAACCTATGGTTCATGCAAAAAGCTCTTGTGACGCCCTAATGGCGAACAGGCATACCGGTACTTGCATACCGGTACCTGTAAGTCCAAGTATGCTTGCCTAGCCAAGCCTAGTTCATGAGGTTGTGGCTATGTGTGCTTTGAGCTACGACCCAGCCCAAACGGTTACGATACGGTTGCGTACGGTTAGTACGCATAGTAAAGCTCCGCCTTATGTGCGATCATCCAATTATCCATGGTGTAACTGAACTTCAAAAGTTGTGTACAACTCTGTATACTTTATAGCCCCGACATACGAAATAAGACCCGAAGGTCGCTGCCGAAGTGCGAGTCATTGAAGCGGCAACATACTCATCCTGGCTGCCTTCGATGTCCTCACTTCCGGCAGCTCTAGCCTCGTTGCGTTGAAGGTTGGACACCATTTGAAGGTATACCGCGGTGGGCGGTCCCGGACCAACTGCTCTCAACCCCAGCTATGAGCCTTCCGAAGCAGCAGGCGCAGCGGGCGCTTTCCCAGCTGCTCGCCTCGGCTGCCGCGCTGCACTTCGCAGGAGCAACGGCGGCGTCTGGAAGCTCTTCTACTGCCCCAGCAGCCCCTCCTCGCTACCCGACTGCTGGTGAAATTCACAACATTTCACAGCAAATGCTCATTTTACAGGAGGAATTAGCAGCAGCCCCAGCAGAAGCGCTATCGCTGCTTTCCAACCAGGACTTTTGCAAAACGCTTTTCCGCATTACGTCAGCCGCGCTTCGGGAGCCGCCTCCCGCAGAAAAAGCGTCTGCTGCTGATCAGGTTTACGACCAGCAACACGCCTTCAGTTTTCACAACAATGGCAGCGCTGCAGCTCTGGGCGCCGCCGTCTGTGGGGCTGTTCCTGTTGGCGATCTGCGCGCGGCTTGGATCGGAATGGCCTCAGCCTCCACCGCCCTAATCCGAACTCTGCTGGAGTCATCAACCACACCATACCCAGACCATCAGAAGCTCATTACCGACTTTGCGCTTCGGCTGCTGCGCATGAAAACGTTCCACTGCTGCAGCCGCCGCATCGCTGCCGCGGCAAACCTCCTCCCAACACCCTCGCCTGCAGCTGGGGCTGCGGATGCCCCGGCAGCGGCCGCTGCTGCCACAGCTTCACCCAGCAGCAGTAGTGTAGAGGGTACCGGTCCAGCAACGGCAGCCGCAGCCGCAGCGGAACCCCTGGCGCCCCCAACTGTGACCCATATCGCAGGGGCCACAGAGTGCAAGCCGGAGATCACGGTTGCCGCATCCGCTGACATCCACGGGCCGGTAACACCAGCAGCAGCACCGGTAGCAACAGCGGCGGCAGTGGCAACGGCAGCACCGCCGCCGGAGGTTTCAAGTCCCTCAAAAAGCACTGGTGAGGTGACCCAGATGGGCAGCAGCCCGGCGGCGGCAACGGCAGGTGCAGCCCAAGGTGCGGGTGCAGGGTCACCTTCGCAAGCGGATCCGCTCTCAGGATGCGCTACGGGTGCTGCTGCTGGTTGCGAAGGCGAGCACGCAGTGGTGCTGTCGAGCGGCCTGTGCTGCATGTCGGCTGCCTCTGAGCTGATTGTCGGCATGGGGGCCCTAGCACGGGGGGCCCAGCAGGCCGTGTACTGTGGTCCCGGCAGGGCGCCAAGGGCGCCCGAGGCGGCAAGGCGGCGCCTGTCGTGCTTCGCCCGGGAGTTCCTGGCGGCGCTCCGCGAGAGCTGCGTGCTGGAACACTGCGCGAGGCTGTGGCTGCTGCAGCTGCAGCAGCGGGGGCCGCAGCCGCAGCATGAGCAGCAGCAGCTGCTGCTGCAGCGGCAGCGGCAGCGGGCTCCTGCCGGGCCAGCTTCGGACGGAGCGGGGCCGTTGACTTCTCCGTCGATGGGGGCTTATGGAGAAAGGGAAGGGCCCTTGGCTTGGCTGCAGGAAGAGGCGGATGCAAGCGACATCGTGGGGGGCAGTGCGTCGCCTCAGCTGCAGCTGGCTGCTTTGCTTACGCAGCTCCTGAAATCCCTGGACGCCATATCCGACTTGCGGAGGTTTCATATAACCCTTCACAGCGAGGCACCCGTCGAGCACGCCATGCCGTACGGCAGCTGTGTACGACATCTAGTGCTGGCGGTTGGGCTGGCGGCGGTTAGTACGGCGGACGGCGGTACCTCGTACGGCTTTCCGCCGGAGCTGCTACTTCGCGTCGTGCAAGTCCTGGGCCTGGCCGGCAGCAGCGTCTCCCGCGGTGGCTGCTTAGAATTCAACCAGGTCAACCGCGCCCCTGGTCAACAGGATGTGGGCTCTGAGCTGAATGAACGCCTTGTAAACATGTTAAGTTTAGGCGCCGTGCGCAGGGCAGCTTGGCCACCGGGACGGCAAGCGTCTGTCGCGCTGTTGGCGCGGGTTGGTCGCCTCGCCATGGATACAGTGAAAGCATTGTCGAAAACGGATGCGGCGGCAGAGGCAACTGCAACGGGAACGGCGGCAGCACCGCTGCAGACATCTCTGCTGGTGTTGCCCCGGGACAGGGCCTTTTTCCAGGCAGTAACCGCGCAAAACACCGCCATAATGTTCCTCCCCCGGCAGCTGCGCACGCCTGGCTGGGTTGCGGCGGCGACGGACTTTTGGCGGCTTGTTTTCGACGCCGCCCGACACATCCCATCCCGGCATTGCTCCTGCGTTCCGGCGTATGGCCTATGCAGAGTGGCGGTGGGTGGGGCAGGCACGTTGGGTGGCTTGGATGCGCTTCGTCTCGCGGGGTTCCCATCAACGGCTTTCTCCTTGATCACCCTAACACAGCGCATGGGATCCCTGGTTACCCATATCCACGCTTTCTTCCCCCCCTCGCTCTGGCTTGTGAGTCCCTGCCCCCTTTTTTCCCTTTATGTTATATAATGGTTTCACTTGGTCCAATTTGACCCCCACCCGCCCGTCCGTGCAGGCCCCCTCCCGCCCGACGCTCCCCCAGAGGTGGCCGCAGCTCTGGCAGGCGGTCTACTGCCCCTCCTGGAGCACCTGCTTCGCCGCGTCGGCGAGGACTGCCTGAGCATCCAGGCGTCCGTGCTCTTCCAAATGCTGTGTCCGAGCGCCGTCGACACATGGGCTGGGTGGCGGGACAGCAACCTGGGCGCCTGGTCGTACCTGGGCCCGCTTCTGTTGTACAGCGAGCCACGCCAGGCGGCAGCGCTGGCGGTGACGTTTCGCAAGGTGGCACGGCGGCTAAACCACGCCCTGATGGGGTTTGCGTACGCTATGGAGAGCGACGAGCCCAGTGACGTGGGTCAGGGACCCCTGGGTGTCGCTTTGGCGATCAGTGGCGCCATGCGAGGCGTGCTGGAGGGCGGCTTGGCCTGGCTTCATACCGCCTCGGCTCAGCAGCAGCAGCAGGAGGAGGAGGAGGAGGAGGAGGAGGAGGAGGAGGAGGAGGAGGAGGAGGAGGGCGCAGCACTGCCGCTCACCACGCGGAGGCTGGTACGGCAGTTGTCGTACACTGCATGCGACTGGCTGCCGCAGCTGGCAGGTTCAGCCTTAAGCGGATTGGTCCCGCCATCCGCGCCATCGCTGGGCGACGACCAGGCTCTCACGGAGGCATTCCATACGGCCTTCATGCCGTACTGTCCAACGGTATTGATGTGGGTTCCGCTGCTGGCACGACTGTCTGCCTGCGAAAACGGCGGTGGAGACCCCTCCACTGGCGGCGGCGGCGCCGCCCCTGCCACTGCTGCTGCTGCTGTCGTGCCCGAAGAGGAACAAGCTCGCTCCCCTAGTGCCGTACGCCCCGGCGGCAGCTCCCCTGGTGACGCGGGCGGCTCCTCGGCGGCCGCTGCAACCGCTTCTGCCGCCCCCGCCGCAGCTGCAGCGGCAGCGGGCAGCTGGCGGCAGCTGCTGCTCGTGGAGATGAACGTCGTACCGCTGCTTGACGCTGCACTGCGTGTCGTACCGCAACTGCGGGCCAGCGGTGAGTGGGCCGCTTCACATGTGGCGCTGCTTGCGGCGGCGTGCTGCGCCGTTGCGGCGGCATGCCCGCAGGAGGTACGGCAGGCGGCGAGGGAAGCAGCGGCGGCAACGGTGGCCGAGGAGGCTGCTGCAGGGAGCTCCAGCGGAGGTGGAGCAAGCGGTGCGGCGGCGGGCGGCGGTCGGGGCAGCGGTGGAGCACGGAAGCCCCGGCGGAACCGGATTCGGGCACGGGGCGCAGCGACCGCCGCTGCTGCTGGCGCCGCCGCCGCCGCCGCCGCTGTAACGTCGCACGGCTGGCGGCCTCAGCGGGTGAGGTGGCTGCTGGGGGAGCTGAGGTCGGCGGGTCGGCATGCGCTGGCGGAGGCGGCGGAGGCGCTGGCGGCGCAGCTGGAGCGCTGGGCTGACGTCAGCGCTGTCGGCGGTGACGTCAGCGGTACGGCGGACCCGCTGCAGGTGCCGTACAATGACGGCACCGAGGGGGCTGCTGGGCTTCTGGCGGCGGCGCCTCCGTCGGCTTCACGAGAGCTGCTGCGGTGTTGTGGCTGGCGGCGTTGCGGCAATGTTGAGGGGGACAGTGAGGCGGAGTTACGGCTGCAGGCGTGCGGGCGGTGCGGGAGCGTGTGGTATTGCAGTCGCGCATGTCAGGTGGCGGATTGGAAGGAGGGAGGGCACAAGGAGGAGTGCGGCAGGCGGGAATGACGAGTGAGGTGGCAGGATGCAAGGGTTATGTAGAGGTAGTGTAAGCATGGGGGGCTGGGGCCCTGGTGGGGGAGTCCAGACGAAGAAAAGAAGGTACCGTTGTAGGTAGGAGCATAGAACTCAAAAATTAGCAGGATTGGGAGGTGCGGATGGAGGGAGAGACAGCTACCGTACGGTGCGATATGCGACTGCGCAGGATGAGGGGCTGATGTTGGGGAGGCCGAAGCTGGAAGGTACCGGTGCTGTCAAGGGGCCAGTTGGGGAGAAGCCTTGAGTTGGTGTTGACGGTTGGGCTTAGCAGCATTGATGGGAGACTAGGTACTGCGAATGCTTTGTTTACCGGTAGAGGACAGAGGAGAGTTAAGTGGTGGCATTTGGTGTGTGGGTTGGGTGAGTTCGAAGAGTCATGTGGCGATAGGTTGTATCACCGTTGCAGCATAATCACATCATGGCGCTTGTTGGCACTTGAAGTCCTGTGCTACCCTGCAACAGGGGTAGCAAACCGCATCCCATTCTTTCATGCCATACACTCAGCCAGACTGTCAAGACGCTGCTTTTGTTGAAGTTACTGTTATGGAAGCGGGTCCTCCAGTTGTTTTGCTCTCATAGTCGCTGAAAACTTGTTGTACCAAGCAGTAGCTTCTGTATGTGGATGCTATGCTAAGACCCGAATGAGCACCAAGGGAGGCAGCCCGCGCCCTGTCCGGGGGTGGCAATTGTATATGAGGGTGGTATCGCATTCCGGGAGTCATGCCGGGTTAGGAACCACTAACATGGGAGCTTCGTAGGTGACCATAGAAATGGTGCTGAGGTAGGAAAATGAGGGGGCGGGCTGCAAAAGGCTTTGACGCCACAGAGACTGAGCCCTGAGGCGGAGTGCAAGTGACATCCATCGCCAAATTGCGATGGCGCAACGCCTTATGTAGCTAACTTAACCGGCCCATGCATCTGTCAAAGCAATGGGGTTATGTTCAGTGGAATTCTACCTAAGGATTGGCTCAATAGACGGCAAGAAAATCCCATGTTAGTGCCCATTTGGCCTACAGGTGACCGTTCACCGTTGGCGCATGTCGTGGACCCTCATATAACAGTCATAGCTTTCCCCACTTCCACAGCATTACAGACAACTGCTTATACCATGATAAGTTTGCATCCTCCTAGGCGATTGTCATAGTAACGTCCGGTCCAACTCGCTGTGGCAACACACCTCTGTATTTATGTACTTCGGGTGATAAGAATGATTACATATTGCCCAACATGTGCGAATATGCTGCTGGGTAAGCCGAGGGAACGGGTTGTACCATGCGATGGCTACGCCGCCCCTGACTTTACGCTTTGAGCGCATCGCAGTGGAACTGACGGAATACAGCAAGGAGCTCAGATATTTCTGTCAATGCTGTCCTTACGTGTACAACATCGATAAGAAGGTTGGTGTGTGTTTCGCTCATCCTAACTTCAACACGGAGACGGTAGTCGTGAAGCGAGCTGCTTTGAACCCATCTTTACACGCAGATATCCAAAATGGCGCCCCTAGCACGCAAACAAGTGGACGACGTCCTCGGTGGTGAAGACGCTTGGAAGAACGTCGCAAAGACAGATGGTGAGTGTTTTCCCGCTCAACCTGCGTAACCTCCCCGTAAAGCCGCTCCTAACACCTAACCGAAACGCAATAAAGCCTTCACTACACACCCGCCCTGCGACCCTTCCGCCGTGTTTGCCGGGCGCCTTTCCCCATCAGCTCTGTTCCTCCTCTAACCTAACGCCTCCCATTCGCTTGCCCCCCGCCACCTCCCTCGCAGCCACATGTCCCAAGTGCTCCTACCACCAGGCCTACTTCATGGAGATCCAGACCCGCTCAGCGGACGAACCGGCGACGCTGTTCTTCAAATGTGTACAGTGCGGACACCGCTGGCGCGAGGGGTAACTGTACGACAACGTACGACAACTTGGACCTGGGTCGGCGCTGGGCGCTAGGTTGTGGCATCTTGGTATGGCTAGGCAGGGGCTGCCGGTGAGGGGTTGTGGTTCCTTGCGAGTGGTAGCGAAAGCGTGATTGGAGCGTTAGCTGCTGGAGCGGTGCGAGGGCTTTAATGGAGGACTAATATGGGCCCTTGACTCTCCTGTAAGGTTTACATACTTGATGTGTGCAGGTTATGGTACCATGTGCGGTAGCAGAAGCTTTGGTAGGGCAGCAGGCATTCGTTTGACGCTAACTAGGATACTAGGGTTGAAGGTCTGGAGGTGAGAAGATGCGAAATTTGAGGGATGTGCATGTTGGAGGCTTGGGGCTGTGCAGACGGGCGCAGCGGCACCATGCGTGCTGTTTGTTGTGCAGCACGACGGTGACCCGGCCTGGCTTAGCATCAGCTGGAGATGAATTGGAGTCGTGCAGTCCCGGCAGGGTGTGGAGGTGCTGAAGGCATAGGAGGTAGCTGTGTGTGTTGCCAGGACTATGCAAAATTGGCCGAATGTGGGTCACCCAACTCTTTTTAAGGCTTTGGTGCAAGATTACGCCGTCATGTATTTGTAGTGCTTTTGCGGTTAGGAAGGTCAATAACCCATGCATGGGGCGCTGGGGCCACAGACGGGGATGTGGGGCCATGCGCTCTCTTCGTTTTGCATGGTGTCAGTGGCATGCCATCTGCACTGCTTGGCAGTTGCAAGGAGAAAAAGGAGATACCGGTGTCAGCAGCCTATTTGACAAGGGGCTCTCACGGTCATGCGTAAATGGGATGCTGGTATGCACGTGGTTTGCATGTGTAAAGCCATATCATCGCCTTCCGGGCTGCTTGCGTTGAACTCGCGCTTCCATGTTACACGTGCCTTGCCAATGCCCAGCGTCCTTAACGGCATGCTCGGTACCCAGGGATTGCCAGGTAGTCAACTGCCCTAACACGCCAACGGGACGCTTACTTTGCACCAGCAGCCAACATGACTGGCCGAAGAAGAAGCCACGCTATTAGCTACACCCACCAAACCCAAACACCCTTTGGTACAACGTCACTCTCCCGCCCATACCCAAGCACAACTACGTGCGATCGTATAGCCCTATTCTCCAGCACACACGCATATCTCCATTAACGACCATCCCGCAAGTTTGAATTACGCCAACACCACAATTCTTCACTCTATACTAATAAAGACACCCAGAACGTAGCAGGCACCAGCTGTCCCTGGCCAGAGCACGCGATACCTCGGCGCCACCATACAACACCCCTTGGGCCTGTTTTGCAGTCAAATGCCAGGGACCGTGTACAAGACAGCAAGGGCAACTGCGCACGCATGCGACAAGTCGTCGATCGCTAATCAACAACGAACGGGCCCCGCGTGCCAAGTTTTCAAACTTTCTTCATTTTTTAGAAAACTTATAATTGAACCAACACCAGCCCCGGCACGCCGGGGCGCATGGTGAGTAAGACTGATCGCATCACGCAAATGCGGATGAACTATAGGACACCGCTAAACTACGGACAACAAAGAAGGCCAAAGGCCCTTTGGCAACTGCTACCGGTATAATAACTGCAACAATGACACAACACCACGTATATATAGCACACCGCAGCCGTGCCGCTGGCCCTGTGGCACCAGGCCCCTATGCATAAAACCGTTTATCACGTTCCAGAAATCGCCACGGCTCTAAAAGAAGTACGGATATACCCGATCCAGGAATAAGGATATGTTTGCTCGCTGCAGCAACCGAGCCGCAGCTTATGGGATAAACTTCAGTTTGCAACCCGCCCGAAACAGCGCTACCTAAGCCCCAATCCAGGAAATCTCATCCCTAAAATAGGGCTTGACGCGTGCTGCTCGTTCAAACACGACAAGGCTGAATCCATACCACAAGAACAAAACAGGAAACAGAAAAATACCACCAAGCTGGGGACCAACCAAGTAAGGCTACTGGTGAAATCCTCCAGCCAGTAGCGCACATGCCAGTGCTGACCCAACCACTCGCGCACCCATAATGCAGGCAAATGCGAAGAGCAGCAGGTATGCAGACACACGGGAACAAACGCTCGACGTAGAAGCCAACAGGAGCACGCCAAGTGCCAGAGAACTTCCGCAACGTAGCGACACACACAGCATCAAATACACAGGGGGTGACCTGTCTTCAATATGTCACGATGGTGCCCATGTTCCGAGGTGATCTCCGAAGGTAAACTCTTCAGCGCGCCAAATTCCTCAATCTTCTTCTGCTGCTGCCTGAAAGATGTGAACTACTGGATGTGATGTGATATGCACCAGCTGTGTCCGGCCTAGCAGGCAGCCAACTGCCACAACGAGAAGTGCAACCGCAGTTCAACAACAGGAAGAAGTGCCTCCAGTCTAGGACCTGCGTGAACAGGCCTCCAGCACTGGGACCACAGCTCCTAGCACCGCATCTTCGTGCTCCATCCCCACGACAGAATAACAGCACGTAAAGCCACCATGCACTGCTAGCACAACTGACAAGCCGATGATCGACAGCTACAACTGCAACAAGAAGAGGGCATTCTTCGGGATGTGTGTGGGTATCTTCGTAACGAGGTTATATATGTGCTGCGTAGCAGCGGAAAGACCGGTAGGTGGTGTGGTTGCTTCACGGCCCGCTGCTGCTGTCCTGTTATGGGCTTCTCCTGGCGTTGTCCCCTTCCCTTATCCGTCGCTCCTCCGCCGCACTGCCCCACATGTCATGCGCGGCAACACCGCGGGCCGCCTCAGCGGTCCAACAGGGCCGCCAGCGCCCGTGTGTAGTTGTCTGCATGGCATCAGTCGAGGATGGCGGTTACGCATGTGTAGCAGGTAAGACATGGCTTTGGGAGCGCCGCGGCCGGCTGCAGAAGCATGTAAGCGATGCCTTCGAAACCAGCTCCAATGCACAGAAGCGCCATGACTGCCCTGAGCATGCATACGGGGACGTTACGCACCCAAGCAACATCACTCCTAACATGCATGGGACCGAAGGGGCCACAAGCCGACATAAACCCCACATGGGCCACGTCGCACCTGGGTTGTGGAAGCGACTGATGCAGCCATTGGGACCGTACGCGCCGTACTCGGACAGCGTCGCAAGCGGGTGCGGCTGGTTCATAAACTGCACCATGCTGCTCTGCATGCTCGCCACCTGTGCCGCGCGCTTGGCGTCAGCGGCAGCGCTGGCACCGCCGCCTCTAGCTCCGCCGCGGCGGTTGCGGCTGGCGACGGTGGAGAAGCCCTCAAAGATGTCGTCCCAAGTGGCAAAGGAGGAGGCTTCATGGTCCAGAACCGACAGCGGGGCGTCCTCGTGGATACCAACCCGGTAAAGCGCCGGGCGGTTGGGAAGCATGGGGTGCGAGGCGTCGGAGGGACCTGTATAGGGTTTGGGGATGAAGGTTGTAGGATGAGAGCGAAAGATTGAAGCCGCAGCCAACATACGCAGCCTCAGCCGCCAGCCCTCAACCTCACAGGTGCGTCCCTTCTCGCTGCCAGCTTCCTAAACATCACCTCACCATTAATGAACGGCAGGTCCGGACTGGGCCTCAGCACCGCCATTCGCCCCACAAAGTTGTACAGGCTCTTAAACACCTTGCTGTCCGGGTTCTCCTGCTCGTCCAGCTGCTGCTCCAGCTGCAGCTGCTGCTGGTGGTGCTCCCGGTGCGCCCGCAGCGCCGGCCACCAGCGGTGCAGCATGCCCGCCAGGTGGGTGTAGTCGCACACAAAGGCGCGCGGCACAATGTCCTTGTGCATGATGATGTTGACCACGTGGTCCTCGGACAAGCCCAGCTGAGCCAGCAGACCCAGCGGCAGCACCTGGGGCTGGTCCACTGAGGAGGTGGCGGAGGAAGCTGCTGCTGATGCTGCTGACGGGGGGGAGGAAGCAGCAGCAGCGGTGGCGGTGTTGGCGCTCTTGTTACCGCCGTTGCTGTTCCTGCGACTAGCGCCACCGTTGCTGTTGCTGGTGTTGTTGTTGGTTGCGGTGCGGGCACCGTGGTGGTGCTCGCAAAAGTGGTGGTTATGGTGCTGGTCTTGGTCGCCGCCCTCGTTGCCGGCAGCTCGCATGTCGCAGGTGAGCTTGCACTGGGAGCAGCGGTCCTCGGGTGCGTTGGGCACGGCGCCCTTGCAGAAGATGGCGGGCGAGCCAAACGTGTAGTTGGGGGAGATGTTGGAGGGCTTCAGCACGCCCCGGATGACAAAGAGCAGCATGAGGACGGTAGCAAGGCTGCCGCCCAACGAATGGCCTGAGGGAGGGGGTGCAAGCATGCAGCGGCAAGAGGGGCACGCATGTTAGCGTAGGTTTTAGAAAGAAAACGTCAGCTTTTATAGGTGTCGCGTGTAGAGCCCAGGTGGGTTTCGGTGGGCTTCCCGCCTCTGAAGCCAAACTCACACCCTTTCAGAAAACCCTAAGAGAAGCTACCCTGAAAGGAAGTACCCAGGCATCCATCATGGCTACGCACCTGTGAAGGACACCGTGGCGAAGGGCGACGTCTCCAGGTGCTGCTGCACCAGGGGCAGCAGGTCGCGATACAGCACCTTGGCCGCCTCGTACACACCGCGATGAATGCGCACGCCTGCACCACGATGAGGCAAGCGCAGGGACAGGACAGGTGAGGTGCAGGGAGATGGGAGGCGTGAGGTGACAGGCGAGAGAAGGAGCATTGCAGGGACAGACCAAACTGCGATGGTGTTTGGCCAGGTTGGCCACTAAAAGGAGGCGGAGAGACCTAGAGGACAGAGTAAGAGAGAAGGTAGCACAGCCAGCCGGAGAAAACCTTACCAAATTTGGGGTCTTCAAAGATGACCGGCTCAAACTGCAGGTTGATCTGCCAGTGCTCCAGGGATGTCGAGCCCTGCGCGTTGCAACACCAAGGAGGATCCGCAAGAATTATATGGAAATTCACTACAAGATGTACGCGCTAATTCATTTTCTAGTCCACGTGTCGCAACGGCCGCGACGAAAATGAAGCACGGCGACAAACACGCATCACAGTGCCCCCTGCGCTACTAAACCAAAAGCCTCCGTGCTCCTACCTGAATCGCAAAGTAGCGCGTCTTCGACAGCTTGTCATCACATGAGAACCAAGCGTTCGGCGGCGCCTTGGTAGACGCCACCACCACAGGCGGGCCCCCAGCAACCGCCTGAGCCATGTCGCCCTCCTCCTGACGACTATCGACGGCCCCATCCACAGCCCCATCCATGCCTCCAGCTACCACAGCGGCGGCGACAGCAGCCGCGGGTACCGCTGCTGCCTGCGCAACGCCAGAATCGCTCATAGAGCGGCGGCGCCTGCCACCTCCACCCTGCTGCTCCTGCTTCGCACGCAGCGCCCGGCCACCCGCGGCACCGGACTGAGCAACCGCTGCCACGGGCAGTACATGAACATCATCATCCTCAGAGCCGGGCACACCCAAGCTGCCGTCGATGCTGCCACGCCGCTCCACGAGCGGTGTCATGTAGCCGTACAGCTGCCCAGGCACAAAGTCGCGTTCCTCATTCAGGTTCACGTCGCTGTAAAACGTTGCAGGCGCGGAAGCGGAACGGCGAAGGAACACCTCGGGAGAGCTAGGTACCACCGACAGGACACCGCCGGCTGAAAAGGACGACTGGCGAGGCAACTCCGCCACAATGCCGTCACGCCCCGTTGCCTTCTCAGCAGCGCCAATCGCCCTCCCGGTGTATTGCTGCTGCTGGGTCACATGCTGCTCAGACAAAGGCGTTCCAAAGTCCTCCCATGTTCCCATGGAACCCATGGTGCCCAGCGAGCCGCCCATTGCACGGTTCAGAATCACGCCCCGCTCTCCCGCAGCCGCCATGGCCGCCCGCCACTCGGAATCCGAAACATCACCCTCCTCGTCACCCGAGCCCAGCGATGTGGTCAGGCCATGGTGCAGTGAGGACACATACACAGGGTGCGCAAATGCGGCACCGTGTCCCTGGCTGGTCAGCGCCGCGGTAACCGCCTCGGGAGAGGTCAGCTGCAGCATGGAGATGGCGGGCGTCAGCGGCGGTGAGCCGCCCATGGTGAAGGACACAATGCCCGGCGTCATCGGCTCATGCTCCTCTGCCATGGATGCCGCAGCCGCCTTGCGCCGCCGTTGCTGCTGCGGGCGCTGCTGCTTGTCCTGCTGGACTGCTGCTCCGTCTGCCTCGGGCTCAGCATCACCCTCCTCCGCAGCGAGGATTGCTGCCGCAGCATCCATGGAGCTCGTGCAGGAGCCAGTTGAAGTGAGGGAGGAGGCGATGAGAGACAGGCGGTGCCGAGCCTCCAGGAGCTCGGGGTCGAGCTTGTCCACCTCGTACGCCATGTTGCACAAGTCGGCAAGCATGGCCGCAAAGGAAATTTCGACTTCATCGGCCACTGTAAGGTACGGTGTGAGCGTGACTGGGCGGTTAGCCTCGGCTTCAGCGTCGCCAGGGAGGGGTTTCGGCGCGGCTGTGGAGGTGGAGCGAGCTGAGGCTGCAGCGCCCACGCTGCTGAGGAATCGCTGGAATTGCTGGTCCAGCAGCTCTTGCGTGGTGGCTACCCAGTCAGGACGCAACGCCTTGTACTGGCTGATCTGTCCTGATAGCTTTTGCCAGCTCTCCCAAACAGCCAGAAACTTGGTCTGCGGAGGGCGAAAAGTAACAGAACTGGCTTGGCAAAGGGCTTTAATAGGATAGATATATGCTTGTGAACTTGTCTGCGAGCCTTATAGCGGTATTAAGGCGCAACCTGTGGATCGGAAGTCAAAGCAGGCCCGCCAAGACAGACACCTCTTGAAAACTGTGTATAGCCAATCGTATAGCCCCACAACAACCTGATTCTAACAAGTATGCATTTGGCTGGTGGGAAACCCCAAGAGCTGAGAAACTGAGTTCTTGATCAGACCTGCAAGGTCTTTGTCCAAGTCGGCGTCCAGTGGGTGACAGGCGCAGCTTCCATCGCAATAGCCGTTGCTGTTTGACTTGGTATACCAGCCGGAACATGGGAATCCGGAGGGTTGACGTGCGTCGCCAGGACATGTGCGCAGACAGAGTCAAGGCTGCGCCGCGGCCCCTTCTGAGGGGCTAGCGATGTACGAAACACAGACGGCTTCAAGGATGAAGCCGTCGTCTCCTGGGCCGTCACGGTACAGCTAAGAGAGATGATGACCATTGTTTCCTGCAGGGGAAAGCCCCAGGAAAAGCCTCAAGCAATAATGTAATTGCTTTTATACCTAAAAGTATGAAAGACAAAGACTTCCACGAAACGCTAGCTTAAAATGAGCACTGACCTCGCCAGTCCTAGCGGGTCCTAGCGAGTCCCAGCACTCCGGCTTCTCTCAGGCCCGCAGTGCTCAGAACAGCAGTTTCTTGTTGCGGCAGGCCTATTCACTGACGCATGCCCTCACTAGCTTGTAGAGCAGCTGGGTTCGAAGAGGCGCGCGCGCATGTCGGTAATATCAACTAGTGTGTACGAAGAGCAGGTATTTAAGTTATGGGAGAGGGCCACAATATAATGGTCAGTCCGCTTCGCTTTCTGACTCGGTGACGTTCGTACGACAAAGCGTCTGTCGTCACCTGCCGTCTGCACCTGTTGTAGGTACTACTGGGCTAACAAGCTATGGTTTGCTCTACCGTAGGCATTGTTATGCTTGCTCCGGTAAAAAAGCAAACAGGCGTTACGGACGGGGAGCGCGCCAGGGCAGAATGGGTTACTCCAACCCATATATGAAACAAGAGCGCCGCACATTTAAACAGTGTTGCCTAACAGCATGTACACTAGCGTCGCGGTATCCCTTGGTAGGGGCGCAACTACGGTACCGTAATGGCGAAGGTGTTGCTAAGTCCAAAAGCACCAGTTTCGCCATTCGCTGGTAATCTCTGTGAGCTCGTCGCTATAAGTTTTCTTGCTCACACTACTCTTGGTTCAGGGTTATAAGCCACTTTCGCGATTGGAAGGGCTTCGCGGGTTTTGGTCTTCACTACCGGTACCCACCCGCCATTGAAGACGTGCTTCTCCAACTCCACCTGTCGTCCCAGCTGCATGTTGTCGGCTATAGAGTTCACTGTATACGAACTCCAATCTTATACTCGTCTGGACTGACCAATACCAGTTGTCCCCGAGACAATGTTCGTCTAACTGCCGGTTGTCCCCGAGGTAAGCTTCATGTATGGTACGTTGGGCATTAGGTACGCGCTGTCATGTCTGTAGCCAGTCCGTCATCCAGGGCGAAGAGCAATGCTCATGGCGAAAGCAACACATGCATGCTTGCAAAAAGGGTCCGGCCGTATCCCACGGTACGGAGCGCATCAGCATCGACCACCTCACATTGCCCCTGCATGGCAACACCCTGCAAAAGCGCTACACACAGTCCTCGTACAAAAGAAGCACTCCTCAACACACCAGTCAAACACGCCAGTCTTATTCGCTCGAAGCTGTGCCCTTGTGAAGCGCACTGCTGCCGTCAACTCCTTGGGCCCGCAAGACCCACAACACCAAGCATGCCGGGTGATGTCGTTGATACCCCAAAACGGCAGCAGCGCCCTGCGAAGGCCAAAATGTCCCTCATGAAAGCCAGCCAGCACTCATACTCCTATCCGTACTTTCGTTCGCTCCAGCAGCCACATATCCTACAAAGCCTAGAAGTTCTTGTGTACAGCCTCGCGGCGTAACGTCGCATCCTGATCCCTAACGTTCATTCCAATCGCCCCGCAACCAGCTAACAGGCGAGTGCCAAAGCAATCCCTGCCTTGGCACCAGGCCGACAAAACTTATCGATTAAAGGATGCATGGACGCATGGACGCACACCGACCGCCCCTACATATACAAACTTTCAATGAATGAAAGAGAGGAAGCCCAACCTACGCTGCCATGCAACCAACTACTTTGGCTTTCCGGAGGCTGGCGGGTACTTGGGATCCGAGACCGACACAGACTTGGGCTCCCGCATGCTGTGGGTGCTGGGGTTTACGACGTAGGCCTGCTGGGAGAAGTCATCCGCCATCTTGTAACTCACCTGCGCGTGTTAGGAGAGGGGGAGACATCAGCGCAGCGCTTGGACGGGAAACCAGCAGCGGCAACAGAGGATGCGGCCATACAGGTGGGGGTTGGGGTGTAGGCTGGATGCAGACGCATGGAATACAGCGTGGCGGGTGCGGTAAGAGGCAATCGTGTGGCTAGGCGCATGCAGCAAGAAGAAACTGCACGTGGCTGAAGGTGAAGGTAGAGACGTAACGCAACGGATTCTTGCTTACCGGCTACCCGTCTTCGGACCGCTTACCGGCCGCCCATCGTCGGCGTTCTTGCCGGAAATTGAGGAGAAGTCAAACTTCTTCACACTGACGGGCTCACTGGGGGACTTGGCCTTGGCCTTCTCCTCGCCAGCAGGGGCCTTAGCCTGAGCCTGCTCCAGGGCTTGCGGATCTGGAACTGGGTCCACGAAGTAAACAGGATCAGAGGTGCTGAAGTAAAGGGGCTCGCGCATGCTGGAGCCAGGAGGCATGTACGTGTAGGACGGCTCCACAATGGAGGTATGGCGCTTAGGAGCTGACGGTGGCTGCTTTGCGGCCTCGGAAGCAAATGCTCGGCCTGCAAAGCAGGTAGGACAACAGGACGTAAAATCGCGCAGCACCAGAGATAGCGACATCTTATCGCAGCACGTGGTCTTCTAGACCTTCCTGCCCTGGAAAAACCTTTGACAAAACCTTTGTAAAACAGATCTACGGATGAAATGAATGCCTAGACACCAACGCAAGGATTTAACGAATCTCAAGTAACACCTCGCTGAACCCTACATAGCACAAGGGCTTACCTGAGGCAGCGCCAATCGCCTGAGCCACGAAGGTCACCAGGCCACGGCTAGACGAAGCCACCGTTAACAAAGCCATCTTTTACCGTTGAAACAGGAGGTGGCCCTGGCGGCTGGTAGAAGGTCACCTAGAAATGAGACGAAGGGGCAGACTAAAGATAACCGGTGAAAAGTAAGGCTACACGACCTCCCAGATACCCTTTAACCAAGGTAAAGGTGAGATGGATCGCTTTTATCGTTGCTGACACTGCTCCGTACGGAGACCAGAATCCTTGTTCCTGGCCTGGCCAACGTATGTATTAGAGAGTAACTGGACAACAGTTATTCACGTTTTAGCTGGCGATTCCGAGCAAATCTGATGGGACTAAATACGCGATTGCGCCTACGCAAACCATGTGCGATCGTGTGATGGACTATACCGGTAATGCGTGGCCACAGTACCAACCCAAAGCTTATCATGTTGCTGTTTTGATCTCTTTATGTAAGGTCGGGATGGAGAGATGCTCTACAAGCGTTAATGGGGCATTACATTGCGCCCTTTCCAAAGGGGTCAGGTGTTGGGGCCAGGTACTTAAGCGGCCCAGCCGACACGCTATCATGTTTCTAGGCGCCAATGACATGAGTTGGAAGATGGACGTGGTGGGCAACAATTTTTCCTCAGGATGTTGCGAGGGGCCAAGGCGCAAGACACCGGGAATCCCGGAGAAAAGACGTGCCGTAATCGTACATGCAACCTCTGAAAGGCGCAAATGTATGACGCAGATACGATGCGTGGGTCCATATCGCATCGTGGTTTTTTGGGCCGGCGGTACAGCCGGTACTACCGTACTCCCTGTCTCGTCCGTCCTCGAGGGTTCTTGCACTTTGCAAGGTACCCCAATCACAGTAGCTGCACGATAAATGACTGCTGGAGACCCCGGTCCTAAACGCCGCGTCTAATGACCATTATTGGGGATCATAATACGTGTTGGTGCCTGACAGGAGGGGCACACCACTAAAAGGCAAAAGAATGGCTATGCAGGCGAACGGAAGAAAGCACCTGTCTAGCACGACAACGCAAAACCATAAAGCTTTGCACATGCTGACTTTGGTTGCACTGGGTTGCCCCAAGTCCACTCCTGTCCCACCTCGGTTGCATTCATTGCGAAACAAATGTTTGCAACTGCCTGAGCAGCAGCACGAGGCTTCTTAGCTACTTGTGCTGATCCCTTGCCCGATCTGCAGTCCCATGGGTCAACGGTGACGTGATCCTTTTGACGCGAGGCTGTTACACGACCCCTAGTCTGGTCTTGCTGCTAGGCGCTTTACAGATGCGCCTCGCAGCAAGATCTTTTGGGTCTTGGGTGATGTACGAAAGCGTACGGAGAAGCCGTTAACATGCACGGCAGAAGCTGCTTCAAGGCTCCAATGCCTACCTATGCCGCATAGATCGCAGGGCCTTGCTCCTTTTAACCTCATGCCTTCGTGTGCTGCTCTGTTACACGTGCGACAGTACCTCCGCTAACTTCTGGGCCGATGGCTTCCTTCACTGTATGGCAAAACGCGTTATAGTAAGAACTTGTTACCAACCGTGAAGCACATCGGCTGTGGCTGTGGTAAAGGATGAAGTGCCTCCGACGGTGAGGCATGGCAGGGGCTTGCTAGGCTTCCTGGCGGCAGTTGCTCTTGCCCAAACGTCTAGCAGGTTACACAACTACATCATAGCATCCTACCTTTGGATCAGCTTAAGCCCGACTTTTGAGGCTTGTCATTTATCGTCCGACGTGTCGTTTCGTATGGGTTTCTTGCCTTTCCGGCTGACTTATATCACAAGTAATGTTCAAACATCATGCTTCTGACCCAGGAGCTGGCAGTTGCCGTCACCCAGACTGGCGGGGGTTGCAGCATCCCCTCGGACATGGCGACGAGTAGCGCTCGCAGGTCCAATCGCACCGCCACCCGCGACGCGGCCTTCTGGTTCCGGCGCACCGCTGTCTCTCAACGACATCATCGCGTTTGAGGTGCGGCGATAAAAGCTTGGATGGCTTCGCTCTGACCCATCCATCCATCCTCGGCTTTCGGCCCCAGTGCTTACGCCCGCTGGTGCCCCTGCGAACCGCAGTCTCAACTTCCCAGTGTGGTAGCTCAAGAGACCAACCAGAAGCCAGATGTGGACCAACTAATCAGTCGAGCGGTGCGTGGCTGAGAAGGCGTTCGTTTCGGGGCTTTGCTGGGGCGGTACTGGGTTAGCCTGCAGGCACGAGCTGTGAAAGAAGAAGGGTGGACGAAGAAGCCAAAGGTCCACCCAGCCGTCTTAGGGCTGTCATATTCCAGGCTGGCCAAGGGGTGGGTTTACTAGCAATGTTGCGCTAGCGCAAACTGACCCATGTACGGCTGTTGACACGATGTACGGCCGATGACACGAACACGCAGATTGCTACCGTAAGGGTCCATGTGCCGCACGTAGTTTCCGTACGACATCTCCCTTCGCCCCTCTCAACTACCCTTTCCCCTTCCTCTTTCCCTGCAGTCCCGGGTGCTTCAGGAAGTGAACGACATTCTTGCAGTGGAGGCGCCCCAACCGCAAACCTCCTCGCAAACCTTGAAACAGCAGCCACAGCCGCGGCCACCGCAACAGCAGCGGGACGCAAACGCGGCGACCGGCACCGCTGCAGGGGCAGGGGCGGCTTCGGAGCCGGGTGCCGTGTTGTTTGGAAGCAGCGCAGAGGTGAGGAGGTGGAGGGTGGAGCACGGCGGCATCTGGGAATCACGGGGGTAGCACTCGAGGACATGAGAACATGTCAGGTGCAGATACGGGTAGGGTGTGGGCTGGTGACGGCTGCGGTATTGGTGACGACTGTGGTCCTGCTTGTCGTACATACCGGTACTCTCACACGCAGGTATCAGAGCGGCAGGCGCTCCTCACTCGCCGGGCGCTGCAACGCACTCTGGAGGTACCTGCGACAGCGCCGCAGGCAGGCGGCCCGCCACCATCAACGCAGCAACCGTCGGCTTCTCGGCCTTCTTCCTCCGCCGCTGGATCTGCATTCCCCTCCCCTTCTTCCTCTGTTGCTACTTCCGGCTCGGTACTGCGGGCACCGGGCGGTGGGAGCGCCATGCAAGCAGCAGCAGTCGGGGCTAGCAGCAGCAGCAGTAGCAGCAGCAGCAACCGTGACCGTAGCAGCAGTCCTGAGAGAGCCAGTGGCGGAGTAACGACCGGGGCTCCTGGTGGTAGTGGGACACCCGCCAGCGACCAACCAGCCTGGACTCAGGCGCTGTTTTCATCACCACCCTCCTCCTCATCCTCCTCATCCTTGCCTACACGCTCCTCCTCACCACCACCGGCCTCACCTGCATCGCCACCATCCTCATCATCCTCGTCATCCTCATCCTCATCGCCATTATCACGCCCGCTGCAACCCTCAAGAGGCGCCACAGACGGCCCCATGAGGTCACAGCCTGCTTCCTCCACTGCTCCTGCTCCTGCTTCGGCCCCCGCTCCTGCTCCTGTCCCCGCCGCGCTCCCCCGCCGGGCGCTGCCTGCATGGGCGCCCCTGGCGTTCGCGGAGGCGGACCTGTCGGTTCCCTCGGAGCTGCGACTCAAGTCAGAGGTGGGGGAGCAGGGGGCAGACCGTTAGGAAAGGGAAGTGGGGATGGGAAGTAGCAGGGTTTACAAGCAGCAGCGCCCAGGTGCCCGAACCCACCGAACCCACCCAAACTCTCAACGCACGGGGCACCCGACGCACACCTGCGTCTGCCGCTCCGCTGCTGAGCCGCCGCTTCTCTCACCATTACCGCCATTCTTCGGATCCATGTTGTCCGCAGGAATCCCTCTTTGCGGAACGCGCCCGGACCGCGGTGCTGCCGCCGCTACAGTCCGTGGTCGAGCTCACCTCGGCAGCTCGGCCGCCCTCTCAAGGACTAGGAAACCTGGAGCAGCAGGCGGAAACAGCAGCAGCAGGGACGGCGGTTGAGGAGGTGGGAGTGCCGGTTTCGGAGCAGGCTGCTGCATTGGCCCGGCGGCTGGAGGACGGAGCGGGTCGGCTGGCGGATGGAACGCGGTGAGAAGAAGGCATATGCTGTTGTTGCGCACTTGCGTAAGTCACAAGCTAGATTGTGGCTTAGGCTTAGCCTTAGCGGGTACCGGTATTGCCCGTGGCGCGTCCTGCATCCTGAAACCCCGCACCCTGCCTGCTCCCCCGCTGCCAAGGTTTGAGAAGCTGAGCGGCACGGATCGCGGGCCCGATGGTTACGTGAAGCGCTGGGAGGTGCTGCGAGGAGTCACGGGGGACGGGCGAGTGCAGTGGGAGGAGTGCTGGTGGGAGGTGAGAGCGGGCGCGGGCGCGGGGAGAGGGCGGGGCGTGGTTTTTGAACTGAGCCTCGAAGTAATCCATTGACCGTGACACGGGCCAAGGTGTGAAACCGCTGTTGGCGACCTCGGTAACACCGGCAACTGGCGGGCCCTCGTGTTTCATGGGTTCGCTAACGCAAACCCCATCATCACCACCGCCACCGCTCGTGCAGGCCTCCAGCCGCTACGGGCTGCGCGAGTTGGGCGCCTTCAAGAAGGGCTGCTCGGAGGCTGGCGGCGCCTGGGTGGAGGAATGGAAGGAGGTCATGTACCCGCAAACCGACAACCTGCGACTGGTGATCGAGCGAACCGCGCATAAGTGAGGCGGAGGGTGTGCTTGTCGCTGCGGGTTGCAACGTTGCATGCGTGCTGGGCACACGGGGCTCGATCACAGCCCGCGAAAGGGAGCGAGGAAAGCTACTGGTACCGTACTTTACAAGGGCAAGGAGAGCACTCGGCGTCTTCGTGGAATGTTCCCACGTCCTTTGTGTTCTACCTGCCCAGCACAGCAGCATGGTGCATGTTGTCAGCATCCCTCATGAGGTCACGACCCATGGGTCTTTTTTCCCAACCGCTCCTCCCTTTCCCTTCCAGATGGGCCCGAGACGACAACGCGGATGAGTGGGAGGAGAAGTGGGGCGAGCGTTTCGAGGAGTCGGGGCGGGTGCACAAGTGGGCTGACAAGTGGGCCAAGGCGGGAAGCAACGTCTGGCATGAGCGCTGGGGGGAAGACTACGACGGGCAGGGGGCTTGCCAGAAGTGGACGGATAAGGTACGACGCACTTGCACACTGGTTGCGGCAATCGGGCTGCGAACTCAGGGCTAACCGTTGCCACCCTAGCTGCATGTCTGCATGCATGCTGCAACGCGGATACATAAAACGTACTTGGATTAGGCTAGGGCGCGAAGCGTTTGGGTGTTGCGTACACGAGGTTCAAACTTAAGAGGAGGGTCCACAGTCGAGCGACCTTTCTGAGCGCCACACCCGCCGGCTCGGTACCACTGCTGCCAGTAATACCAACCGTCACGCATTACCGCCGTTCCTTCTTTTTCCTTCCCTACCGCCCCCCCCCCCCCGCAGTGGGCCGAAAGGCTGTTGCCGGAGGGCGGTCAAGAGCAATGGGGCGACAAGTGGACTGAGACGTTCGGGCATGGCAGGGGCACAAAGCATGGGGAGGTAAGGGACTGTTAGCTGTCGTGGGCGCGGACTGCGAAGTCAACTTCTGGCCCACCTTCCCATATGATGCAGTTGCGCACCTCCTTGCATGTGGTGCCGGTAGTCCCATCGCACTCCAATGCATGTACGACATGTATTACAGTGCAAACACGTCAACATGTGCATCCGACCTTGCCGGACCCAGCACCTTGTGGTTTTGCAAAACGCAGGTGTGGAGCAGCAGCAGCGGCGGGCAGCGCTACAACCGCTGGTGGAACGAGGAGCACTACGGTGACGGTCGCGTGCGGAAGTGGGGCAACAGCACGAGCGGGGAGTTCTGGGACACCACGGAGCAGGGGGACACCTACTATAACCCTGTGCCGCACTTCGGGTAGGTGACTGCGGAGGAAGGCGGGGGTGGGTGCGGGTGAAGGAAGGTGAGACCCGGGCTTCGAGCATGCAGGGGTTTCAGCAAGTAATGAGGCGTATCGCCTCGTGCGGCCAGGGGGCAGAAAGGTGCGCCAGGGTCGTCGCCTCCTCCTCAAGGTATCTGTCTGCTTCCATCCGAGCTGTGGCCCGGTTTTCAATCTTCCTCGCAGGTTCCAGCACGCAGTGAGCCATTCACCGCAACTGTGGGCCGTCCCGTTACCGCCGCCGGAAGAGAGTGAAGATGGCGGCTTGGGGATGGGCGTGGGCCGTTTATAACGTACCGGTACACCGTAGCGGGGTGGGGTGATCACTGATCAGGGATGTGAGGCGAGCGAGGGGTACATGGGCCTCGCGCGAATGCTGCGTGTTACGGTTGAGCATGCGCTCCAGCATTGTTGGAGGAGAAGATAGGGGTTTGGCGCACCCTGGCTAGGCAGGCTGCTAATAAGGAGTTTACGCCACCAAATGTGGATAGAGCTGACAAGCATGGGAGGATTACGACCGTTGCTATGAGCTAGTCCATTTGCAGGACAGGTCCTGTAAGGTGTACAAGAAGATGGTGAGGGGCCATGCGCTTCAAGTTGATACGCCATGAGCTATGAGATGGGGTACAGAGTTGTCGCGTTCAGGCGCTGGGAGTTCGCCAGACGTCATCCCAGTTATCTCAGAAGTTCATATACAGGTACACAGTACGACGTACATCCTGGAACAAGAAGCCCGTAGACTGTATTCCAGCAGCCAGCTATTGCTCCATGACTCGGCATACCAGTTCACGCCCGCCTATGTCCTCAATCCCCCGGGCCAGTCGTCCGTGTGATCGCTGTAAGGCCCTTAAATACGCCAGTACGTTCTAATGTCCTACGCGGTACTACCATCTGGAGTGAAGCATGGTTCATCAAATCCATCACAGCTTTCGAGGGGTCACATAACTGCTCACTGCAGCGTCTGGATCACGTAACGCTCACTGCCGGTATCTGAATCACGTAAACTGATCGCTCATGACGCCTCCTCCTCATGCATGCAGAAGCCAAAACATGCAGCTCTCTCTTCCATCAGTATTAGCCGGTCTTTGCCTTGCTTGCGACTGCCAGCAATAGCAGACGCATCTTCATGCTCGGAAGCTTCCTCCCTTGGCGGGCGGGACTACCGTCTGGCGGCGGTTCTGGCCAGCAGCGGCTGCGGCCCCCGGTGCCATGGACAGCCGCAGGCTCCTGTTGCTGAGGTTGCCGGTCACCGGGCCGGCCTCCTTACCACCGTTCGATCCCTCGCGCGCCCTGTCCCTGTCCTGGTCACGGTCGCGCATGCTGCCGCCGGCACGGAGAGGGTGCGCCGTGGACGTGGTACCGACCATCGGCGTGACACCCAGCAGCTCAGTCGCGCCTCCACCCGAGGTGCTGGCGCCTCCGATACTCGATACGCAAAAGCCCGTCGCGTTCAAGCAGCGGGCGTTGGAGGGGGCGCACACGTCGCTGATGAGGGTTTTAATGCGCTCCTCCAATTTAGCCACCGTGTGGGGCACGGCCGCCAAGGCGGCAGCTGAGCTGGTGCAGCCTGCACAGTTATAGCAGGATGGGAAGAGACTGCATTAGCCAATGGCAGACAATGGGCCAATGGGACAATGGTGGCGATGCATGGGCCGCCATGGGCAGGAGTTGCCAGCACTGGTAGGCTCCAGCAGGATGCAAACACTGCTCGCACATGCCTTTACACCCTAGGCTATAATCCAACTCATGCAGGATTTTTGTGCACGCCATTTGGAAGTCAAACCCATAACCATACTCACCGCCTCCAGGTGTGGCGGCACCGCGAATTGTCGCAATCGGGGTTCCGAAAGCCCCTGAAGGCCCAGCCGCGTCACGGTTAGCTGTGTCACGGTCTTGCCCCGCGGTCTTGACGTCAGGGGAGCCCTGTGCGTTTTCAGCAGGGGCGCCACCCATGTCATGGTCCTCCCCCTCGTTGGCGCCGTCCTGGTCATCCCCAACGTGGCTCTGGGGGCTAACAGCAGCTGCGGCGACAACAGCAACCTGTGGCATAAATTAAAGCAAAATTCTGTTAGTCAGGGCACTTTCGGGTACATGCATAGCGACAGGCGCCACAGCTTTCAATACGGAACCCACGAGGCTAGACTTATACCTGCGCCTCACTGCGCCAGCTGTTCAGCTCATCTAGGCACTTGCGGCGAGCTTCGCTGATGCCCTCCTCGAACAGCTCCTGCGTCAACCGAAAGCCAGGACTCCATAAGGAAACATTTGCCGCATGAGCATGCCTGAAACGGTACCACATATATGGCTAGGCAGCCCAAGGTGCAAGCCCTTCTGTACGCCATCTTACCTTGCCACCGGCGTACACAGTACCCTGGTCGTTGTGCTTGGCACGGGCGCTAAGGCGCATGGCGCGCTGAGACAAGGGCGTGCTGTAGAGCGCGTTGGAGGCCAGACAGGCCGGCAGTACCTGTACGTGCAAGCGCACTAGGAATGGTACATGCAAAACATGTGTTGCATTGCCACACTAGGGACGTACCTTTTCGATGGCCTTGCGCTCGACGGTTGCCAGCGCCTTCCTGTTCTCGTCAGGGCCCATGCCAACCTGGACTGCAAGGTACCTAATGCACTGCTCCAGCTGAAACTTGTCACGCAGCAGCACCGTGCATTCGTGCCGCAACTCCTCCAGCTCTTGTTTGAGGCGCAAGTGGTACTGGATCTTCTGCTTGTGGTTGTTGTGGCCCAGGCTGGACTGCTCCCTACAAAGCGGTTGGAGCGGATACATGCGGTTGTTATCATGCCGCTGCATGGTCCCCGTCGCCTGTTAGGTGCAGCAAGCCAACTCCCATGGCTCCTGCCTATTCCAACATGGACAATGATGCTGCGTAGGTGCACCGTTACTTACTTGAGATCGTCCTCCATCTTGCCTATCCGCGCAACGAGGTGCGCGTTCTCCTCCGTCAAGCGTCGCAGCTCCAGTGCTACCGTGTTCTCCAGGATTACGTTGTGCCGGAGCTTGTCCTCCAGCGCACTGCTGTGCTTGTGGCTCTTCTCAAGGGCGTCGCTCAGCGCACGCACCTGCCAACGGGCATAGGCATGATCGCATCTTTTTTTTCAGCAAGCAGCGGAGGGAGTCTTTACCACAGTAACAAAGCAACAACAGCAGTGCTGGATGGCCTGTCGACTCCCGCCATTGAACCACACCTGGTCGTCAAGCTTGGCACGTGAGCAGATGGGTGTCATGGATGCAATGCTGCCTTGCATCTCCAAGACCTGCATTGTGCAAGAAAGGAAAGCCGGGATGGGACAGTGCATCAAGCCACGGGAGATCTACCCAATAGGCGACGGTCTTAGCTTGCTCATATACGCACCTGGCTCTGCAGCGTCGTGTTGCGGGCCTCGGATTCATGCAGCTGCCTGTAGGTCTGCTCGAGCTCCTGGCGAAGGTTCTCCAGCTGCTGTTCCTGCAGCTCGTACTTGCGCAGCTGGTTGCGAACCTGTCCGTAGGGTTATGCATGCATAGAGTGTTAGCGAAACCAAAATTGGCCATAAAAGCTGTACGGAAGGATGAGTAGCGCTGAGCTGGACAGTTAAGCTCAATGTGCTTACCTGGTCCAACTCCTCCGCCAGCCCATATGCCTCCTCGCGTGCAGCAGCAGCCTCCTCCTGCGCCGGAGCCACCACACCCCGCAGGGACTCCGCCTCCTTCTCCATCTGGGCCGCCCGTGCACGCGCAGCGACGACGTCGGCCTGGACAAGTAGAGCACACAGTGCAGACGTCGGAATGCTGACAATCCGCCTATAATTGCGGAAGACATAACGAGCGACCCATGGGTCAGCAGTCAACCAGTTCATGCTGCTCCCACCAAAATATTGATACGCTTGCCGTTTCCCCGTGACAGGCTACCTGAAGCGCAATTTCTTGACGTCGCAGCTCCTCCACTTGGGCCTGAAGCTCGCTGCGCTCCACGGTGATGGCAGTCAGGGCGCCGGCAGCCTCATGACGCGCGTGCTTCAGTTCCTACAGGCATACGAAGGACAGACATCAGAGCTGAATAACAATTCACGTTGGACCCTAAGGAGCCTCCAGCGATACGCACCTTGACTTCCTGCTCACGGTCCTGTAGGTCTGAGACCAGCTGGGCCAGCTCCGAGCCAAGTCCAGTAGCAGCACCCCGGGCCTCTTCCAGCTCGCCCTGGAGGGTCGCCTCTCTTGCAGCCGCCTGAGGAAGGGGGCGGCGTTACACACGTCAAAGCACAACGCAAAGGATACCACCAACCTATGCAACACGCAGCAGAGAACACGTTCTATGGTCATAGCAGCGGCGCGACACGTATTGACGCACCGCGTCTGCGTCGGCCTTGGCTCTAGCAACCGTGTTCGCCAGCTGCGCCGTTAGGCGTTCAGCAGTTTCTGCGAGTGCCGCCCGCTGCTCTGTTGCCGCCGCCAGTCCACTTTCCAGCTCAGCAATTCTGCTGTCGAGCCCCATGCGGTGTGCATCAGCGCTCGCCAGTTGCTCGCGCGCGATGGACACGTTGCGGGCAAGCTGGGTCTTGTCAGCCTCGGCGCCCACCAACCGCTGCTCCAAGTCGGCGGCCACGTGCCGCAGTTGATCGAGGGCCGCGTCGCGGTCAGTCAGGTTGCCTTGCAGTTGTGTAATCGTAGACGATTGCTGCGCTGCCACGACCTGGGCATCCTGCACGCATGCCTTAAGGCCTGCAACCTGCGGAAGGAAAGAAGTCTCTGGGGTAAGACCGCAGCGTACAGAGGGCGTTCCAAATGGTTTGGTGGGAGGCACTGCAGCCTTTGCCAGGTTCCCGAAAGCGCACCTCCTTAGCTGATCACCGCTCATCGCGCTTAGGTACTGAACAACTCACCTCTTGTACGGCACTTTCCAGCGTCGCGGCCTTGGTGGCCAGCTCGCTCTCAACGACAGCCAGCTTCTCGCGCAAAGCGGCAGCCTCACGGCTCTCCTGCTCCAAGGTCTCGGACAGCCTCGTTCGCTCTGCACGCAGGTCGTTTGCGTCCTGGACCAGCGCGACGTGGACCTGCTGCAGCCCCTCGTACTCCGTGCGCGTTGCATGCAGCTCGCCCGCAAGCTGCTCGCAGTGCTCCTCCAACCGTCGCTTGGCATCTCCGGTGCTGACGAGCTGCTGCTCGGTCATCGCAAGCTGGTCTCGCACCGCTCCTTCGCGACCAGCCGCATCCTGCAAGGCGGATCGCGCTGCAGCAAGGTCGGTGCTAAGGGCGGTGTTGGCCTCGCTCTGCTGCGCCAGCTCGCTGCGCAGAGAGGCCTCAGTACCCTCCAATGCCGAGACGTTGAACCGGGCAGAGGCCAACTCGCCCTTGACCTGGCTTAGCGACGCCTCCAGACCGCTGATGCGCTCAGCGGCAACGTTGGCTGCAGCAGCGGCGGCTTCGGCCTCAGTCAACATCTGCGAGATGCGGGCACTGCGTGCTGCCAGAGTCGCGCGGCGCTCCTCGAGCTCGCTAGTGAGGCCGCTTATCGTTGCCTCACGGTCTGACAAGGTCTTGCGGAGCTCCTCTACCGAGGCGTCCAGCCCTGCTACCGCTGTGTTGCGTTCTTGGAGAGCCAGCGTTATCTCAGTCACCTTGCCGTCGCGCTCAGACAGTGCGTTCTTGAGCAGCGCAACCTCAACCTCGAGGCCTGAGATCCTGCCGTCACGGTCGGCAACAGCCTGTTGCAGAGTCGTCGCCCGTGCACCTGTCTCCGCGAGCTGGGTCTTGAGGTCAGCTACCGTACCGTTTAGCTGCGCCAGCGAGGCCTCCAAGCCAACAATCGTGCCATCCCGCTGTTCCAGGGTTGAGTTCAGCCGCGCAACCTCATCCTCGCGCATCTGCCGCGCCGAGCGCTCAGCAGCCAGTTGTGCAGCAAGTTCGGCCGCCTGGGTCTCCTTCGTCTTGACGATGCTATGGAGGTCCTCGATGGTGGCAGCACGTTCCGCCAGTGACTCCATCTGCTGACGCACGGTGGCAGAAAGCTCCGCAACTTCCGCTTCCAGCTTGGCCACCACACCCGAGCGTTCGTCCAGTTGATGCGATTGCTGATCAATGAAAGCCTGGGCTGCGTCAAGCTTACTCGTCAGGGTAGCAGCAGAGGCAGTTTGCTCTGAAACCTCCTGCTGCAATGCGGCGAGCCGCCGCTGCAGCTCCGCCGCTGCAACCTCCTGTTCCTCGCACTTAGCGGCCTTGGCACCCAAGCGCTGCTCCAGCTCGGCTTTGGCGGCCACCAGCGCCTGCTCACGCAAGGCCGCATCCTTGAGCTCCTTGCGGCGCTCCTGCAGGTCAGCAAATAGCTGCTCCCTAGCCGCCGCCTGTTGATTCAGTTGACCTTCAAGGTGCGCCACTTGGGCCTTGAAGCTGTCAATTGACTTGTCACGCTGGTAGATGTCGCCCTTTGCTGCATCAAGACCCGCCTCGAGGTTATCGTTAGTTAGCTTAAGCTCAATGAGCTCCGACATCTGCGCCGCCATGCGGGCGCTAAGGGTCTCCACGGACGCCTCCTTGGTCTTCACCTCGGAAGTCAGGACCGTGACCTGCTGCTGGGTTGCGGCCAGCTCCGCCTGGGCCGCTGCCAGCTGCGCGCTGCGCTGGGACGATTCACCAGATGCGACAGCAAGCTCCTTCTGCAGGCGCTCGGTGTACTGGTTGTTGGTCAACATTGATGCCTGGAGAGATGCGATGGCTCCCTGCGCTTCCTGAAGCTGAGTCCGAGTCGTGGCCAGGGTACTGCCGATGGCGGAAACGTGTTGTTCAGCCTCCTCCCGCTTGGTCGTCTGCTCTTGCAGCTCCGCTACCCGCTTCTTGAGCTGCTCCTCAAGGGAGGCGACCGTTGCACGAAGGGAGGCTGCCTCATTGCAGGCTACCTGCAAGCCCTGCCGTGTGGTGGCCAGCTCAGCACGGACGGACTCTGCATGTTCAAAAAACGCGGGGAAGAGCAGCAAGAATTGAAGTGGTGTGCAAAAGGAACATCGCGAAAGTTGCAAGGACTTCAAAGGCCTTTACATCCAGTCGTTAGGCATGCAATCCGTAACGGTCATTCATTCATGCATGCAATCTGCTCAGGCGCCTTTGCCCTGATCAGCCAGTTCCTACCTGCGTAGCGGCGGCCCTCCTCTGCTTCACCTTGTAGGGTGTTGTGCTGCTGTGCAAGCCGCCGGTTGGCCTCGAGTGCCTGTAACCGTTTGTCGACAAGATTAGGGGCAAGAATAGCGCGATTAGCAAGGAGATAGAAGCATGAGGGGTTTTCGCCGTGCACCACTGCACCATTGCAGCGCATGCCCACCTGACCAAGCTCCTTGGACAGCTGCGCAGCGCGGACTTCCCCCTCCTTCACCGCCGTAGTCGCTGCCACCTCTTTGGCGGACAGCTCCGCAAGACGAGCTTTTGTTGCGCTGAGCTCGGCCTTGATGGCAGCCAGCTCGGCTTCGTGCTCATTTACTTTGCTCTGCATCCCAGGAAGAACTCATTGATACCGGTACATTAATCCCGCGAACAGCAGTTGCACGTAGGCATGTTCACCCACTCACCTGGAGCTGTGCCTTGCTTTTCTGCGTGATGTCTAGTTCCTTCTCCGCCCTCTCAAGCCGCTGCTGGCATTCCCTAAGCGCCTTTTCCAAATCCTGCGCAAAGGTTGCAGCTCTGGGTAAGTGAACAGCAAGGAGGATTCCATCACTGACGTAGTTATCAATGTTTGTGTAACTCCAACAGTGCAACTCCGTTACCTTGGCGCGCTTCTGCGCAGCCTCCAGCTCTTTTTGCACCTCATGGATGCGCTGGGTAGCCCAGGAAAACTTGCGATCGGTGCCAGCGTTTGCCGGTTTGCGCTCCCGTGGCGGTGAGGCATCTTGCCGCTCTAAGACAGCCGAACCTGCGCACAGTAGAAGCATTAGTCGGAGAGACTGCAAGCAGATGCTAGTACAGTGTCGCCTGAGCCACAGCCTTGGAAGCTACCTTCAAGCTCTTGAGATGAAAAGCGCTCGCCAGTCAGGAACCCGCTCTTAGGCGGCAGTTTCGTATCCAAGTCTTTCGGGTCATACGCCCCTGCAATCGAACAAGGTTGAATGGCGTACGCTGATAAGACAGCTGCTCTCCCATTCCCTGCGGTATTATCCATCTACACTACATGATGTTGAGCTTACCAGGCCCAGGAGTATGCTCCTTTGCGGAAAGGAACCGCTCGGGTCCCTTGCCGAACCCAAGGACCATAATATTATCGTGCTAGCCTCAGTAGCGTCTGATGACTCTGTGAATAACCGATCCGTATGTTAAAGACAGGCTAACCGAAGTGCTGGTGTTGCGGTTATGAGGTGTGCCTAACGGAGTGAGGGAGGCACAGCCCGTTCATCTACTTATAATGTTTGTTAACATGCATTTGTAATTTATGTTGACCTAGGTAAAACCGTAGGGCTTTGGCCATGCTTTGCCGAGGAGACCGATCTTTTAAATCCAGATCCAAAACTCAACTAGGACAGGACCAACCAACCGCCGCCAACACAACACAAGGGTTTGCATCACACGGTCACCAACTCCATTCTGAACTAAATAATACACCATTTCGGATGCGTTGCTTAGACTTCTGGCATTTTAGTGCAGAAACGCAGCTGAGAGCGCTGACGTCGGATCCTTCTCCAGCGGCCCACGAATATAACTTAGAAAGCATTGTGTAAGGTTAAATCTGGCATCCGAGGACGCATAATTGTCAATGACCCGCAGGGATGTCCGAACGCAATCTAAATGCCACTCCACGCCTTCGGCAATCCAACTGTCCTGAGCAGCGACGTCACATTGAGACCACAGCCCTAGTGCTGGCTCCGGTTTATTGAGTGGCGTTATCCGCCCCAGGAAGTACGATACAAATAATAGGCACAGGGCACGGGCAACATCCTGTGAAATTGGGGAGGAGACCTAGGACCGATGTCTTTATGGTTGTATACCGTGTGCGGGGGCCTTATTTTTTTCCGATGTGGACTATTACAGAGGAACAGCCAACAACTGCCTCGCAACAGCAAACGCCTTGTCAAGGAACAAGCATGCGTGAGGACAACAATTACCTTGCGCTGATCCTAGGAAGTGTGCAGGAGTTTTCCGGCTCCACGGGTCAGCCGTGACCCCCCCCCCAGTGCTAGGATGATACCTCCTCAGTCCAGTGGTACCGCAAATTAAACGCGTCATTGTGCCTTATCGTGGCCTACACGGCCTCCGAAGCAAAAGAATGCCGAAGAGCCAAGTGTAGGCCCTGCATTGTTGGCTTGGGTCCTGAACTTAATACCCTCTTATGACACATCGTAACACGCCCCTAAGAACCTTCACCACATACTCACACGCTCGCACTGCAACCAACTGTCATGTATTGCGCAGGACAAACCCAAGGAAGTTACGTACGTGTCAAGCAATCCTCTACCCTATTTTCATCTAAGCGCATTGGAGCCTCACGCCGCAAGAGCATTCTCAACTGCTAACCGAGGGCAAATGCATGTGTGTCCAGTGATTCCAGAGTTGGCCTATGCCCTCTTGACAACGCGTGGCACCCCGCTTGCTAGGGATTTGCATGGAGCATCTAGTGGCCCTTACTAGGCCATTGCGAAACCTAATCACGTGCATCAAGGTAACCCCAACAATCCTGGGCCTAGCGCGCGCCAAAACCAAATTGCATCTAAAAAGCTCATGCACCGAGCAGCTTCCCGAATTCTGATCACAAGGACAGTCCCCTGTTATACATCTTTCGATGAGTCACCGTGCCTCCGTGCCAGCAGCATCCAATCAGCTCGCAACGTTTCGGTCCAATCCACTGACGCCGTACCTAGCTCCCCGCCACCTAACCTCGCGCGCTCCACTCTTTTCCCCTCGCGCATACTTTCTCCTAACACGCAAACAGACAGCACTTCGCTAGACATCAACAACTCCGCTCCTCTCGCGACAGGCGGCCACAAGAACGTGGAGCCAAACTCCACTATCGCCTAAGAAATTTAATTTCACAAAACTGCAGCACCGCTACAAACCTAGCCCGACAACAAGTTAAGAACACCCTAATTTCGACGACCGAGTACAGTAAGATTTCGACGACCGTGTAGGCCACGTGCCATGGTGCGGATGCAAACCAGAACACGCCCTCCGCTCCGTGCCGCCAGCCAACCACGTGGATACGCCGTACACTATAACCGAACCGAGACGCCAGAGAGGCTGGATCACACACCGATCCACCCAAACCCCTAACCGACGCCACCACCACTCCGTCACCAGCACACAACAACCTAAAAAGGAAACCCAAGAACGCCCACTCATCAAAGCACCCTCTCAACCTCGTCCTCCACCCACAGCCATCAAATCCAAACCCCTACTATTATTACAACAATTTCCAGGTCGGCAGGTCTCAGTTTCAATACCTCCAGGCCTACAGGTCTCAACTCAAACACCAGGCCTACACGTCTCACGTGCAAACTCCAGGCCTCCTACAGGTCTCACGTTTAAAACTCCAAATCCGCAAACAACTCCTTGAGCTCCTCCGGCAGCGCTAGCCGCTTGGGCTCGTAACCCATCGCGAAGCGAGGGAACCAGCTGAGGGGAATGCGCTCACTGCGCAACGGCAGCTTTGCCAGCTCACAGACCGACACCCAGCATGCGCCCGCCGACTCGAAGCAGGGCACCGTCTTGAGGTGCGCGTCCTCGTCCTTGAGCGTGGCGTAGAAGACCGCTAGACGCCAGGTGGGCTTGCCGGTGAATGGAGACAGCGTGTAGACCAGCTGAAAGGGCGTGTGGGGGGTGCACGGTTGCAGCGGAGGGAGTGAGAGGAGGGTAAGTGGGTTACAGCGAGAATGGTAGGGGTTGGGGGTTGCAAACGCCATCATGAAGCCATGCAGGGAGGTTCGCATCCGGGCTACGACCAGGATGCATAAGCAAGATGCTGTGTACATGGTGCATGGCGTAGTCGCGACCTACCTCCACGAGCCCCTTCAATTCCACCTCGACGCCCGCCTCCTCCATGCACTCCCGTATCGCGGAGTTGCGCAGGGACTCCCCCGGGTCCGTTCCTCCGCCTGACGAACACAGGCATGGAAGGCATGGATCAACGTAATAACCCTGACAAGCGGTAACAGCCACGCCTTTCAACATCCATGCGAAAGGCCTGATGTGTAAGGCCCAATCGGCGAGGACGGACATACATAATGGTGCCCTAATAGAGCGCCTTTGGGGCCCTCTAGTCCAGGCATCTCGTCGCCCACGGCCCAATCCCTCCCGGCACGCGACCACCCACCTGGCACCCAGAAGCCCTGACCAGCGAACTCTTGCACCTGTGGGGCGAGGCAGCGAGGTAAGGCACACCAGCATATAACCTATTGGACTCCTATAACGCCATTGCAGTTGAGGTCAGAAGCACTTGTCCTAGGCCCCTCACTCCCCTTTGGCCGTCACGGCCTGGCAACCCCTTAGGCCTGTCCGGCCGCAGCTACTCCAGGTGTACGGTACTGATGGAAAAAGGAGACCCCGCTACGGATAGAGTCACAGGCTCAATCCTGCAAAAAGTGCCCTTAGCCCCTTACCATCAGGAACTTGTTGTCCCGCTTGCGGTGGATCACCACCGCGGAGCCTACCCCACGGCGCATCTCGCAGCGTGGACCCGAGGGTCTGTGAGCCGAGTATATGTGCCTCGCCAGGTTATCTACTTCCTGCAGATCCCGGAAAGACAACCAGGGAACCACGGGCGACAGCCTTTAGACGAGCCACAACACAGGACGGACCGGACCAGTCCACTACGTAAAGTCCGGAGGTCAAGACACGCGCGCACACGGTATCTCTTCCAACGCCACAAGGAAGCGTGAGGTGTTGTAAGCGGGCGGCCCAAGATCACCCTCCCTGTCAGCCCCCGCTCACTGCCCCGCCTGTTTAGCTGCTGCTCCTCACCCACCTGATCGCATATGCAGCAGACGCCTCCGCGGTTCTCCTCGTATACGTGGTACAGCGGAGAGTGCATCCAGAGTTCGGTTGGCGTGAGGTCCGTCTGTCCGCACCAGGCGCAGGTGCAGGAGCGGTCGGTAGTCGATGGGCTGGGAGCGCTGATGCTGCTGCTGAGGCTGGGGCTGCTGGTGCCAGGTTCGCAGCTTGGGTCGCTTGGGCTTGAGCCGCTGGCGCTTGGGCTTGAGCCGCTGCCGCTGCTGGTCTCGCTGCTGGTGGGTGGTGAAGGGTTGGCGCCTGACAGTAAGGTTGGGAGAGAGAATGGAGGTGGGGCGGAGGAGGGCGTAGGTAAGAGGATTGGAATGTGGTGTGGGATATGATGGGCAAGAGGGATGGGAATTGTGCTTAGGCGTGGAGGTTGGGAGGCAGGGATGACTGTAGAAGGGTATAATTGTCGACTAGGTGGGCCCTGAGGTCTTGGGTTAAGCTGTTGCATTAGGTGGGGTCAAAATCATGCCGCGGTGGTTTGGTAAGGTGTTGGGGCTTGCGGACGCAGCCGCAAGGCGTACACGGGACAATGTCCCTACAGACAGCACTTCAAAATTGTAACACAAAAGCATGTGGCAACTAAAGCGCTAGAGCGATCGTTTGTAGTACCGGTTACGGCATTTGCATGGGGCACGTCCTACAGCTACAGTCCGGTTATACCAAGTTGTGGTGAACTAGTACACGCACCTATCATTGCAAGTTTGCCAAGCGCCTCTTCTACATGCTCCGGGTAGCAGGATACCATGTTGACACCCGCCGCGAACGCGGAAACCCGCATCTCCGGATCCTGTGGGAAGAGAGTCAGGCAGGGGGTGGAAGTTCGTTGGACCCAAACGGCATGCTGGAACGGGAAGACTGGCCTCTCCGAGAGGCAGATGAGTACAAGAGGCGTCCATAGTCATCCGGTTTGTGGTTATGCTGGTAAGCTTACCTCCACGGCGTCGGGATGCCAAAGGATAATGAAGGCATGGGGACAGGCAACACGTGCCACCCGTACAAGCTCCAGCACATGACCAAGCCCCGAAGACGGAGAGGACCAAGGACAGGTGTTCGTGTCCTCGTCGTTACCGGCCTCGGGTTCTGGCTCTGGAACGCGCCTGTCGGCCTTGAGAATTACGGCTACAACATGCGACCGGTCGAGTGTTCTATCAGGTTTCCGAACTGATGCTGCCTTGAATACATCAGCACGGGTGCTGGTGCTCGGCAATTCACGTATCCTGAAGCTGGAGGCGAAAGTGCGCAAATGCCGTTGAAGTTCATCGGCAGGGTCGACCCCAGCAAGGACCAGCGTCCTCCCAGGCTTGATGACATCCTCTTTACTACTATTTTGCAACACATCTCCTACTGTGGCATAGCTAGCTAAGATGCCTGAGAACAGGTTCCCTTGGCTGCCGCACGCCCTTCGCGCCCTCGCTAGTCCTTCCACCAGCCGCTGTGATCGGCTCACAAAAGCATGAGCGGTATACATTCCAACCAGTTGAGGCTAAACGCAGTCCTGGTGCGACTACACCGGGTCGACCTAAAGCCTGGGCGATTTGGTGGGGCCCTATGGACAAGGCCAACGGTCTTAGGCAAAAGAAATTCCCTTCCTTGTCCTTCAACAATCACAATAATATTAATTTTCTTACAATATACAAGCAGGTTGCGTCCCCTAAAGTGTCAGCCAAAGTCGAAGGCCAGTGAATTTTCACTTGTTGGCCCACCATAGCGCATGATCAATCCCTTGGGAACGCCTTTCATGCATGTTAAAGTCCAGCTTACATAATATCTTTACAGGATGCCCAGCTTACCGGCACCCTAGTACACCCTTCGGCGTTAACCCTAATAACAATCCTCGCTTCCTAATAGCACTAAAGTACAAACCTCAACGACGGCACAGACTTCTATTTGTACAGAGGAGCGGCCATGCCTTGCGAATAGCAAACCAGCATACCCGTAATGTACCGGGTTCGCAATCCGATGTACCGCCGCAACCTAGATTGTTGTTACGCAAAGTAGCGGCAATACAGGATATAACAATACGCCCAGTAATGTACAGTTTGCGTACCAAAGGTGCATGGAAAGGAATTTGAACCAACAGCCCAACGGCCACTGCAACATACACAGCCAAGGAGGCGGAAAGCATTTCCGTCAGTACCCCACAAGGCATAGGGTGCCTTCTTTATGTACAAACTACCAACCAGAAACGATGTACATGCGACAGCGACAACACCTACGCCACGCCCGCCTGCACCTCGCCAGTTCAAAAACCCACATTCCTAACATGTCTCTCTTCGAATTGCTCCTACTCTTTCCCTCCTTTTCCCTCCTCATGTACAGCACACCGCCTACTGCGCTGGCCGGATGACATGCCGCTCCGCACCCCCCTCCTTCCCGCCCCCGCTTTTCACCGCCAGCCCCTTCTCCGCACCGGCTACACCCGACTTCCGTGCATTCGCCAACTTGCCAAGCTGGTCCTTAGCAGCAGCGCCAGATCCCCCAGCAGAATCAGCAGCGGATGCCACGGCTGCCTTGGTCTTATCGGTCCAGGGAGTGGATGCGGTGCCGTCGTCTGACACGCACACCCCTTGGCGCTGGTCGCAGGTGGTCCCCGCGGGGCAGCAGTGCTTGAGGTCGGGGCAGGTGACGCCGCCGGACAGCGGGCAGCAGTCGTGCCTAGTAGGGAGAGGCGTGGGGGCAGGCGGGGGAAGGGGTGGTAAAGAGGAAGGAACCAGCCCTGTTTCACAAATCGCAATGCGGGAGGCGGAGGGGAGCCAGTACCGGGTATCGCAATAGCACTAGCTTCGTTTCAAAATTCCTGCCAGGGTACGGCGTCACCACCCACCAGAGGCACAGCAGTCCCAGGAGGTTGAAGGAGCAGCTGCAGCTGTTGCCCACGGGGCACTCCGTCCAGCCAAAGGGGTCGCAGATCTGCGGGTGGGATGTGGGTCGAGGGGCCGTGGGTCGGGGTGAAGGGCTCCAGCTGATGCCTACGCAGGCAACTCCCATTCTATCCCATCGAGTCTCCATATGGGAGAAACACTCAAGCACTCAATCCAAAGCCCAAAATCCCAGAGCTGCGGCCTAGCCGGGTCTGGATACGCAGCCACGCACCTCGGGGACGGGCTTGTTGGGGTGGGACTTGGTGGGGTAGGATGCGGCGGAGGCGATGCCGCACAGACCCATGGGTCCCTCGCCCATTTTGAGACGGAAGTAACCCTGTGGGTGTCGTGCGTACCAAAGGCAACAACGGTTTCAGGCTGAGGGGCAACGAAATAAGAGTGTCTATCAACCTTTGCTTTATACCCTACAAATGGGTAAGGAACTGGATTACCAACATCATCCTAACCCAACTCAATCCCCAGAACCCTTGTCCCTCTTCCTCCCACCTCCTCGCCCCAGCTCGGGCCCCAGCTGTTCTTCACAATCCAGAACGAGTCGCCGCCCGCATCCGCCTCCGCCCCCGCTGCTGCTGCTGCTGTTCCACCCTCCTTCACCTGCTGCTGGCTACCCGCACCGTCACTGCTGCTGCTGCTGCTGACGTTGTAGCCCACCACCAGCACTCCGTGGTTGAGTCCCTCACAGCAGCTGGAAATGATGCCGCGGCTGTAGAACTGCATGCCGGCACCTGGGGGTTGAGAGGGAGGTGGGGGGGGGGATAAGTGGAAAACGTAAATGAGAAGTGAAGCAACCGGCGAAGGGGAAGGGAAGAGGGGGAAGGGGATGGGAGGGATGGAATGGCAAGGCGCGATGAAAGGCTGCCGGGCGGGGCCAGGCCCAACCCGCGCCGACCCTTCCTCCAGCTGCCCGGGGAGCTTGAGGCGTGGAAACCCATGGCCTTACTATTCCCTCTTAACCTTCGCCCCCCCCCGACGTCCCCTTCCTCTTCCCTTCCCCTCCCGCCCCCCTCACCCGCGCATATGGCCACCGCTACCGGCTGGTGCCCCACCGCCCGCCGCAGACTGGTCTCGTCCTGCGGCACGTCCTCGTAGCCGTCGATGGACACAACATGCCTGTAGGCGGCCGGTTTTTTAAAGGGGTTGAGGGAATCGACTAGGGGCAGGGAGGGGCAGGGAGGTAGGAGGGTAGGAGGAGGGCGGTGTGTTCAGGAACCGAACAATAGCATTTAAGCTGCGCGCGGATAGGGCGAGCTTGAAAAATCAGAAGATGAGAGACGAGGCGATGGGAGATAGAGGCGAAACGGCACAACATAGGGGGCAGTCCCCAGCAACCGGTACCCCCTCCCTCCTCTCCTCTCCTTCCTCTCCCCTCCCACCTGTCCGCCTGCTTGCGCTTGTTGCACCAGAAGCCCATGCCGTAGCCGCTCCAGTAGCCGTAGTCCGCCTCGCTGTCCAGCCCGCCGTTGGACAGCACGTACTTGAAGGCGTCGTCCATCAGACCGCCGCTGCAACCCATGTTGGTGTCTGGTTGGAAAGGGAGGGGGACGGGGATGGGGGAGCTTAACCGCTTGTCCTGTAGAACACAAGCAATCTGCTCCCCTCCCATCTCCCCCTATACTCCCCTGCCCCTCATCTCCCCTGCCCAATCTCCAGGTCCTCTATGGGTCCAGGCAAGTAATTACCGCGGCCCAGATTACCGGTTGGGCCTACATCTGCGACCCCTCAGCCTACCTAGTCCCATCTCCTCCTCCCCCCAGCCCCTGGGCCCCCTCCCTCCCCCTCGTCAGTTTCCTTATTTCTACCTCCCTCTCCACCTCCCCCCTTCCCCTACCCGTGTCGCAGTCCACCAGCTGCTGCTCGCTTAGCTGCGTGAGCTGCCCGGTGGCCAGCGCGTTGACGCCCTCGATGGCGCCCACCGCGGAGAAGGCCCAGCAGGAGCCGCACTGGCCCTGGTTCTTAACCTGGCACAAGGGGGGAGGGTCAGAGATATACCAAACCACAGGTTAGGAAAGCGGGGGAAGGGGGGTTGGAAGAGGGGCGTAATGATCATGAAGGAAAGGGGAGAGGAGGCGGTGGGCTAGGACAGGGCGGACAGGGCCCTTGGGATTACACAACAGAATTGTCGGTCCGTGGGTCTCATTCTCCCCTCTCTCCCCCACCTGCGTGACCGCGCCCTTGTCCCGCCAGTCCATCGCTCGCGGCGCCTCCGCGGCCGCATAGCGCCAGGAGGAGCGCAGACCGGGGCTCTGGGAGGCTCTGGGGGCCGGGGGGCAGCACGGGGAGGGGAGGGTAGAGGTGCTGAGGTCGGCCGCATGGTGTAGTATACGCGCACATCCGTAGGTGGCACACCCGGCTCGCACACGCGCATCTCACATTGTCCCACTGCTGTACACGGCCTGCACCTCACCTCGCCTCGTCTCACCACCGTGCTCACACGTACTGCGTGTACTTTCTTCCTCCTTATCTCCCCCCCCACACCCCACATCCCAAAACCGCACGCAGCCCACCTGCGGTCCAGCTCCTGCTGCCCGATGCGCAGGCCCAGGCGGGTGGAGGAGAACTCCTGCCAGGTGAGGTCGGCGTACTCATTGAGGGCCAGCTGCGGGGCGAGGCAGGGGGTGGCGAGTGGGCAACAAGGAGAGGGGCAGGGTTACGCCGAGGTAAAGTGTAGGAGCAAACAGGGCAAAGGCAAGGTACATGCGCGTGAAGGAAGGGGAAGATGGAGGAAAGTGCAGCTGATATTGTAACATTCAGCTGCAGAAGCAGTAAGTCGTTGCACTGGTGCCATGTTGCAACCACCCAGATCCTTACCGTGACGCCAGGATCCTTAGCTTGGTGCTCTACAATGGCTTTGATGTTGTCCTTGAAGACATTCAATCGCCGGCTGTATTCCTGCGCGGCGCGGGAGGGCAGCATGACGTGGAACAAAGCCCTACCTTGTCGAGCAGCCTCCATCGTTTACCGCTGTCGGCCGCAGACTTACCGTGCTGCCCTCACGGTAACTTCGACCGTGCTTTTCAACCCAGATTGGAAAGGCGCGTTCTGGTGCGGCCTGTGCATGAAGGGTCGTGCTGGGAACTGAGAACCCACGCTAGGCAATACATTGTACTCAATGCGCACCTGGGCCAGAGCAAGGAGGTCATTTGCAGACAGCGACTGCGCATACGCCAGGGGCGCTAGGGCGCAAGCCAGGAAAATGGTAATGAGCCCCATTGTATAACAGGGCCGCTGATACCCTGGACAATAATTACTCAATCTCTACGCAGCAGCGATGTATCACCAAAGAGTGAGTTTGCCGATGGAGTGTTGCAGCACAGGTTTCATGCCGTACGGTAGCCGAATCCAGCCAGCACACATCGGCTCTGCCGCCTTGTTCACGTCACCCTTACTGCTTTGCAAGGTGGTCACGGAAATATGCTGGATATGGTCTGCAATACTTTTTAGGATTAGCTGTTTTTTCAAAAGTCGCGAGAAGCGCCTTCTATGTAATGGAAAAGAAGGCACCCACGTTAGGCGTGGGTGCGTTTCGGAGAAAGCCTCCATCTGCAGGGTTTGCGACCCCGAAGAGTGAGAGAAACATATGTTGCTTGCCTAGAGAATATCGCCGGGGCTTCGCGGTGGACCGACTCTGTCTCCATCCTGTTCAGGTTTAAATGGCGTCGCTGCTGCGGTATCTGTTGCCGCTTTCGTGGTGCTGGCCGCCTTCGTGGCATACCTTTTCCATCGACGCAGATCGGTAAGAGCTGTACTTGGCCAGGCGGTAGCGTCACGTCTTGTGATCACGTCTTATCTACCCTCACTGTGTCGAATCCTGCAGAGGACTTCGGGTGCACGCTGGCGGCGAGGCAAAGGTGCTTCGCCACCTATGCACCCCACGGTTGACGTGGAGATGATTGTGGATGACGTGAGGCGCAGCAGCCGAACCGGGCCCGGCCGCTACCTACCTTGGCCCCTAATATTAATACCCGGCTTTCAACAGCGATCAGCATTATCGTTCAACAACACCCACGGGTCCTTGTTCGGCATTGCCCTTGGTGGCCTCTGGAACAAAGCGGCCCCACAAACGATGGAATCCGCTGCAGATGACTTAGCAGAGGCAGCAGCATATGATTACGGACTGCCCAGCGGCACAGGACCGAAGTTCCACGCGACCACCGCCAGCGGCAAGTCCCTAGCTATGGTGATCAAGACTGCGACAGTAGCGGCCCCCCAGGAGGAGGACGACCAACCTCTGTTGCACCAGCAGCAACTTCAGCGGCATACAGACGGGTTCCCCCAGCATCACGAACATGGACAGCCACGGCGAGGCTTGGAGTCGTCATGGCAGCCACAACCTGAACTGTTAGCCGGTGCTGGTGGAGGCCGAGGTAGCAGCAGTACGGCACTTCTCGCAGGGGGGACTGCTGGTAGCCGCGGGCGGCGTCACGGTCGGAGCTGTTCTACAGGGGATGCCCTCCTAGCCGCCTCGCAAAGTCGTCAATGGCTGGGACCAGACCTGGTTTCCTCGGCTGCAACAACCAGTACGACAACACCAGCAGCGACTACCAGCAATGGAGGTGTGGGAAACCTGGCGCCGCGCATTGCCATCTCGGCTGGCTCAACTGCGGTGCTAGCGACACCCTCGCGCTTGAAGAGCAGAAGCTCCATGAGCGGTGGCGCTAGGGCGACCCCCAGCATTCCGCTAGATGCTGCTGCCTTTGCTGCTAGTATGTCTGCCACAGGCAGCAGCAGCGGTGCTAGGGGTGCTGGCGATTGGTCGCATGGCACGGCCATTGCGGATCACGGTTTGACGGAGCCAGCAGCTCTTAGGTTTCTCAGTCCTTCGTCCTCAGGCGACATGCAGCTGGGGGCTGTTGCTGCTGCTGTGGGTCCTGGTGACCAGCCGGGGGCCTCAAGCGGCGGGATGCTTATGGCGGTTGGTGCGGGCGGCAGCGGCGGCAACAGCAGCAGCACGCTGGGTGCTGCCGGTGGTGTGGCGGAGGTCAGCAGGGCGAGTAGCAGCAACGCCTTGGGTGCTGGGTCTGGGTCGGCTGGGATGTTACCGGGGCGGAACGGGTCCGATGTGGATCCCGCTGTGGCCTGGTACACTCGGGCACTGCACCGGCAGATCACCGCGGCCGCGGCAGCAGCGCAGGCGGCCACTGGGGCAGCACCCAAGGCGCATTTGGCTTGAGGATGATGACGACGGGGGCTTATGTCGCGTTGTAGGCCCCTGTGACTGTGTTTGTTTGGGGTTGACGTGGCGGTCTGGCGATACTTTGCTGGGTTCGCTGCCGGTGCTTTTCGGACGCCTGACCCTTGTCGGCTGAAGGTGGAGATGTATAATGGATGAGGCCATGGACGCATTGCACATGTTTTTTATAACAGTCACGCAGGTGCGCTGTTTGCTTGTATGGGGTGCACCGCTCTTGTGGACGCACTGGTTGCTATCGTGACACACACACGTTGCATAGGCAAATTCGTGATTATAGTTCTCGTGCCTAGGCGTGTTTGGAGTGCAAAGCACGGTTACAGACAATGCAAAGGGATGGAAGCGCATGGCAGAAGGGGTATGAGGATGCACCGGCGGGACTCAATTGGCGTTGTCAACGGATATCTTTTGGCGTGTGCGGGCGGGTATGCGCTGTAACGGCCGTTTAAAACCAACTCACCGTCTTGAACACACTCGATAGGCACCTCATTTCGCAACCATCCATCAGGCCTTAAGCTCCTGACGAGCGGCAAGGGAGCGGAGTGTTGCCATACCATACTCATCCGAGCGCTATGGTGTCGTACCGGAATCGGAAGTACCTCAAACGGCCCGCTACACCGCTTGTGTTCTAGTGCATCCATGCTGTCGAAGATTATACCGGTTCAAGAAAGCAAGCCCGCGCCCCTAACGTCCCGTATCCTTCTTTCACTAGGCACTTCTCTGTCCCAAGCCAACCAGCCTGCGGGCGATACTCACAGACCCGCCTAGGTAGCAAACAGCCCATACCAGCCCAACTCAAAATGAAAGACACCCTGAAGGATGCCTCACTTTATGTTTCCCTTTCATCCGCTCCTCCATGGCAAAACACAGGAAGACTCCGCCGCTTCTGCCACCAGAAGTACACCACAAGCTCACAACTTCGCCTGTTGCGCCTTCCCCTCCTTGGCCTTCGCCTCTGCCGCCTCCGCTGCCCTCACTATCAGTCGGTGCGCCTCCCCGTAGTGCGGCTCACACACCTCACGAACCCGCTGCAGCCACTGCCGTACCGCCGGGTACGGCGCCAAAAGCTCCTGCATGGCGCTGGCGGGTCCATTGTCGTACGACAGGGAGGGCGCGGGGGAGGTCGTACGACCCGTGCCGTACGTCCCGGGGCTGGGTGGCAGCATGCGCAGTTGCTCCAGCTCGCATGCTGCAAGCAGGTCAGCTGCGCAGGGCTGCGGGCCCGTCATAAAGGGGCGGCGGCCGGCGGCCAGCCAGTACGATTCCAGGGAGGCGAGTGCAGCCTGAGGGGTGGTGGTGTGTGTTAGTGAAGAAAACCACAAATTGGGGCAACAAAATAGGGATAGGAGCCGGCGGGGTGGCACGTGGCACGAAACAAGTGGTGTCTGTTGGGGGAGCAGGGGCCAGCCGGGAAACTTTACCTTGAGGGTGTTCAGTCCCTCTTTCGCGACCCGTGGGTCAGCCTTCATGCCCAGCTTGGGAGCAATCACGGTGTGGAACACCAGCCGCATGGCGCCTGCGCGGATGTTGCCTAGAAGGCCGAGTAGGCGAGGCGTTGTGTAAGTGAGCCGCGCGGAAACACAGTGACCGTGATTGTGCCGGCACCCCAAGAGGCGCGGATGCTGGGATACCGTACCTTGGTACCAGTGCAGCGCCGAGTCGACCTGTGCGCGAGCCACGAAGTCCGATCTCGGATACCAGTTCTCCGAAACCAGATCTGGAAACCTGTACGACAGGTACGACATGATGGCAGCGCTCTCAGGCAGCCGCAGACAGCCTTCCGCCGCTGTTGCAGTCTGGGGGTCTCCATGCTGCTGCTGCGGCGTGATCTGGGTCGCGACCCACGGGTCTTCAAGTAGGGGCACCTTGCCAAGTGGGTTGATGGACAGGTAGGCGGGGGAGCGAGTTTCGCCCTTGTGGATGAGAACCTGCCGGACCTCAACCGGCAAGCCGTTGCACCTGTAGACGAGGCGTCGAGGACGGACATTAGGATAGAGAGGTACGATGACAGTGGGGGAGCAGGCTTGCGAAGGTGGTGAGGCTCGTCGACCGTGTGGCTATGATTACGCCGCAGGGCAGCCGCACGTACGGCTGTAGTATGATATATTCCTGAAACGTTGCGAGCTTGTGGGGCGGCAACGGCGGGGCGAAATTTGCCGCAGCCGACATTTACCAGCCATGCACTCCAACGAGTTCCTTTCTTCAAGTTGACTTTCCAATCCCCCACATGCTGCTTATGGCATACCTGCTGAAGATTACCACCGCTCGTGAAGGCTGCGACATGAAGTCGACATACAGGCGCAGCTTTCGCTCCTCCTGCCCAGGTTCCTTCCCGCTTCCGGAAGCCACTGGAAGCATATGGTTCGGCATGGCCATGGTGCTGCCCTGTAACTACAAACTGTTAAAGCTAAAGCTCTCGAAGTCTAACCGTCGGTCACCAACCGCAATCGGAAACAGGCTGACAGCTGCTGCAAGAACGCAATGTTAAGAATGCGGTTGCGGCGTTGAGAATGAGTGCCTTGGCGTTTCCTTGGCGTGGTCGTTGTGGGAAAAAGCAGCTGTTAAGGGAGGAATGCAGGTGAAATGACTCGGGTGACGAATACAGTTGTACCTGCAAAAAGATTATAGCAGGAACAATGCCTACGGGGAGTCGTAGACGATGGCATGGGCCCGAAGCAGAACGAGCATCTAGCGTCAGCAGTCATGTTGCCCAGAAATGACAATGCTTCATAGGTTGTTTTCATACTTTGCTTGGTACTTGTAGCTCACTATTGTTCGTGACCTTTACGCTGTTAGCTGCGGGTTAGGGTCTAGACGAATGTCCGTCACCGTCCCCCGCAGCTTCAGGCTGCTGGAGGAGCTGGACCGCGGCGAGAAGGGCTTTGGTGATGGAACGGTGTCATATGGCATGGAAGACCCCGATGATATTCACATGAGGAGCTGGACGGGGACGATTATTGGGCCACCCAACACGGTTCACGACCAGCGTATCTACTCCCTGAAGATCCACTGTGATCTGAACTACCCTGAGCAGGCGCCAAAGGTCTGGTTCAAGTCGCGGGTTAACCTTTCTTGCGTCGATCAACGCGATGGGCGCGTCGACTTCTCCAAGTTCCCTATGCTGGGCAACTGGAAACGCGAATACACCTTGGAGCAGCTGCTGACGGAGATCCGGCGGGACATGTCGTCGCCTTTGAATCGCAAGCTGCCCCAGCCGCCCGAGGGAACGACCTACTAGAGGCAGCGGCATGGCGGGGGACCGCGGCGCAGGATCTGGAGCAGCTGCATTTATCTTAGTTCTGATAGGAATTATACTTGAGAGAACGCTTGGTAAGGGGGACGCGGGGGCTTCGGATGGCTTCCCGAATGCTTATGGCGCCCTTTCGCGGGCACGATGTTGCGCGTTGCGCAATGCTGGATGGGATGGTCGTGTTCCAGGAATAGGTTTAGGTAGCTGAGGGCGGTTGCAGGGCATAGGATGTGTATAGGCTGAGGGGATATGTTCGAGCGGCTTGAACAGAGGGGTTCCACGTCACAGACGGTGGCCCACGGCAGTGCGCTGCCATAGACTTTGCTTTTTCCAGCACTGGCAACGTGCTGGACTGAGTGGCGTGAATGCGTGTAATGATTGCCGGTGTCATGTTGCAATGCTGGGTTTCATCTATGTCGTCCCCAACCCCATGTTACTGCTGGCAAAAACATGCCTTTGCCTCAACACGCCAGGTCCCCGCATCCGAATCTTCCGCCCTCTCAACCTACCACGTCTCACTGCGTTCCATGGGCGCCGTAAGGCATCCGTTTTGCTTCCCTTTTCAGTCAACCAGGATTGCGGCCAGGGCTGACTGCTTCCGGCTGCTCCACCCCAAGCAAGTCTGCAGTACATCCAGCAAGGAAGCATGCGAGGAACCCGGCGTCCGCTAGCAGACCTTTGTGCGTGCCTGTTGCAGCTTGCAGCGTGGGAGGTCGATTACCAGCGGCAATCCTATTCAGGCGACCAGGCCTTGCTGAGGGCACGTTGCATCGCGAGGGGTGGACGGCGGTGTGGGGTCTTCGAGGCCATGGGGTGTCTTGGATGCATGGGTGGCGCACGGCAGCTGGGACAGTGGCCCACAAGAAGAGTCATGTTGTAGGCCGTGGTTTGGTTGCATTTGTACGGCCATTCTACAGCAGACAGCGGGAAGCCCGCGGATCGCCCGCAATCCACTGTTCAGAGCCAGCTTGCATATTTTGGGGCAATCCGCACAGCGCCAATTACCTACCCCGGTCCAGCCTGACGTCCACACGTCTAACCGCCACATCCTGCACCACCAGCGCCGTACAACAGCGCACTACCTAACGTTCCGTAACCCGAAAACATACCATACATCTGCGCGGCGTTTCTGTCCTTTGCATGCCCCTAGCCCCACCCACATGCTCCCCGTCAGGCAGGTCCGGGCAGCTCAGCTCACACCCACAACCGAGTAAGGACGCGTAGCCTCTATCAGCCTGCGCGTGTCCTCCAGGGTCGTATAGCGATATGAGCCAGGTGCAGGTGTGCTCACTCCCAGGATGCGGCTGCCGCCTGCTGTGCTGCTGCTGACCCCTGCCACCTGTGCCTGCTGGCCACCCGCCGCTGCCACAGCAACGGCTGACTGTACGGATACGGCAGTCGTACGCAGCAGTACGACCTTGTCCTGGCTGGGCACCACGGAAGGTAGCGAGGCGCGTGCCGCCGCCAGTCGGGCACGCACGCGAGCCAACTGCGCCCGGTACTCATCAGCCGCACCCGCCTCCGCTACAATATCCTCGTAACCTATCTGACCTGTAAACCAGCATGGCGAGTGGGGGTGCGCATGTAAGCTGTGCTTGTTACCGGTACTAGTACAGAGAAAGAGCCCTTCGACGTTATAAGAAACCCATGGGGCAGTAGGATCATCATACGGTAATCAGGAGCCAAGTAAAGTCCAGTACGACAAGAAGTACGAAGCACGAAACGTACCCGACACCGCTGCCGCCGTCTTGACCAGGTCAGAGCGAATGGAGCGAACCGTGGCTGGGTCCAGCCCCGGGAATGCGCCGCTGCTGAGCACCGAGCCAAAGCGCTGCAGGGTACTCTGTTAGGCGGGATGGAAAGGAGGCAAGAAGGGGGACCCGGGAGGGCGTGTGACGGATGGGGCAGAGCGAGGGTGATGAGCAGGCTAGGCACACATGGGGAGCAAGGGTTGCATGCGATAACCATAGCGCAAGACACGAGCTACTGCCCCCCGAACCCGGCATCACGTTCTGCCCGCCATTGCCTCTACCTACACACCCCTCTGTGAGCCCACCTGTGCGCTAAACAGCGGTGTGCTACCCAGGCCGAAGCCGCCACCGCCCAGCCCCAAGGACAAGCCGGCATACCCGGGCGGCAGCGGCACCCCCATGCCACCTCCGTAACCCCCGACAGCTGGCGGCACGTGAGGTGGTCCATGCGCCAAGCCAGCTGATGCGTGCCCAGGCACTGCTGCCGGCGCCGACCAGGCACCCGGCCCGGCGCTAGGAGGGAAGCTGGGTGTTGCCGCTGCGGCGGCAGCGCCGGTCGGGTTGGGGCCCTTGCCGCCTGGCATGCTGGCCGCTGCACCTGACGAGCTGTGCGGCGCAGTGCCGTCGGCAAAGGTGACGTGGTGGTGGGGATGGGGGTACGGCCCTGCGGCGGTGGCAAATGCACCTCCATGCAGAGCAGCGTGAGCCGCGGCGGCGGCAGCTGGTGTTGCTGCTGCCGCTGAAGAGGGGCCCTCAGCCCCGGCACTGGGTGCGGCGACCGGGGGATGGGCTTGGGGCGGGTAGAAGTACATGCTTGATGGCACTGGGATGGGCGGTGGAAGGTACTGTAGCACGGATGCCACGTTGGCAGGAGTAGCAGCAGCGGTTGGCTGCATGGGTGGCGGTGGAGGCGGAGGGTACGGCATACCGTACGGTGGTGGTGTCAGACCGTACGGATAAGGCGCTGGATATGGAGGGTACGGCGGGTAAGGATAGTAGTATCCGGGCGGATAGGCTCCTGCAGGAGGGGGCGCTGGTGACCCATGGGTCGCTCCCGACCCTGGCTCTTGCTGCTGCTGCGCCTGCTGCTGGCCTCCTGGAGCAGTACTAGCAGCAGCCGTAGCCGTACTTGTAGCCGCAGCCGCCGCTGCAGCCTCGCTAGCCGAGTTACGTCTTCTAGAAACGCTACCGCCAGCAGCGCCACCCGAAGACAGCGCTCGTCCCGTGGGGCTGGTTCCGGAGCCTGCTGCCGCAGCAGCCCCGGGTGGGGCTCCCCCGCCTGAGGTGGTGTTGTAGGCTGTTGGCAGGATGCGTGCCATTTGGTTGGGAGCTAGAGGGTCGTCTGCCATGGTGATTGAGATGGAGGCGGTGCGCTTAAAGCCGGAGCTGGACTTGATGATGCTGCCAAGCCGGTTGAGGGAGCGGCTGGGGGTGATGAGGAGCAGGAGGAGGAAGGGCACAAACCGTATGTGAGAAGTGAAGCGTACAGGGGACAGGGGTGCAGGGAAGTAAAATGAAGGGGCGTATAATACGGTACCGTGAACGCAAGAGCCCCAGGGATGCGGATGCCGCACTTACCCTGCTGCCGGCGTGCCGCCCTCCTCCTCCTCCTCCCTGCTGCCTCCCTCCGAGGAGGCGCTGATGGGGGTGAGGTGCGGCACGCGGATGGAGCTGCGGCGCATGAAGGAGCGGCCGGAGAAGCTGGTGCCGGACAGGGCGGTGTTGAGCTGGGGAGGGGGAGTAGGAGAGGGAGAGTGAACTATGGGATGGGATGTGTTGATAATGTTGTAAGGGCCCCCTGCAACGGAAAGAAGGGGCATGTGGCATCTTGCGCGGTAGTTGGGGAGCCATGCCGGTATTCGCACGCCACCCACCCTTCAGGACGGTTTGGCTTCTTCCTGAGCCACGCCGCGCCCAACCCCCTACCCGCCCCATCCCGCTCCCTTGCACCGCACCTTCCCCCGGCTGAAGGACCCCGCCATGCTGCTACGCCGCATGAAGGAGGCAGTGCGCGAGGGCGCCGCCACACTCTCCACCTCAAAGTCCTCGCTGTAGCTGTAGTCGGCGCTGTCGCTGCTGCCGCCGCGCCCGCCTCCGCCTCCGCTGCCGCCTGCGGGCTCCTCCTCGGGTATGGACTCCTCCACCTGGGGGGGGAGGAGAGGGAATGCGCATAACCAGTATAAGAGGAGGGAAAGAAGAGGAGTCAGGTCCTGCTCTCGACCCACGCGGTTAAACAAACACCGCACAGCCCAGAGCTTATGCAACAGCAGGTCCGAACCCTACCTCGATCTCCTCCTCGGGAATGTCATCCTCCTCGACCTCCTCCTCCTGCTCCTCCTCCTCATCCACCTCATCAATCACACCGCTGGCCTCCCTCCGTGCCGCCGCTGCTGCTCCCCTGTACTCGTGGTGCTGCTCCTCCTCCTCCTCTTCCTCACAAAAGTCCGCTGTATAATCCAAGCTGCTGGCGCTACGCATGCTGGCAACCGACATGGGATAATGTACCGCTGCGGCACCGCCGCCGCCGGCAGCAGCGGCCGCATGAGGAGCCCCCGACCAAGTCGACGGAGCGCCCCGGGGCCCCGGAATCATGCCGCTGCCGGTACTGACCCGTCTGTACGACACATCTCCCGCGCTGTGAGATGCGGTGACGGCAGGGCCGTACGGCAAGGCCGAGCCAGGCACGCTGGTCGTACCGCCGCCAAGGCTGCCGCTGGTGCCGCCGACGCCGCCGGCGCCGCCACTACCGCTAACGCTGGAGTTGGCCTGGGCCAGCATGCTGTTGGTGACGGCAGCGGCCGCGGCGGGGAGGGCGCCGGCAGGGGTGGAGACGGAACGCAGGCGCGACGGAGACGTCAGCGGAAGCGGACTAGCGGAGCGGCCGCTGCCGGGAATACCGACGGCGGGTGGAGTTGCCCAGGCGCCGCCGCCGGGGGGTCCGCCGCTGGTTCGGGGCGTGGACGCCGCCGCTGCTGCTGTGAGGCCAGCCATGGAGGGGGAGCGTGGTGAAAGCTGGGCCGGCGAAGACAAGGAGGGCTGTAGCAGGGGCGGCGGCACGGGTTGCAGAGGCGTTGCCGCCGCGCCAGCAGTAGCAGTTCCGGGCTCTGTTCCTGTACCGGAGGCAGATGTGGCGGTAGCAGCTGCAGCTGCCGCCGCGGCGGCCGCGTAAGCAGCAGCAGCGGCCTGGCCGCTGGTTTGCGGTTGCTGCTGCTGTGGCTGCGAAGCAGCAGCCGCCCCTGCCGGCCACCACCCCTGCTGAAACGGCGGCGGCGGCGGCGTCTGCATTCCGTACGGACTGTACGGCATTCCACCACCTGGCACCATCATCGGCGTCCCCATGCCGTACGGATGGAGATAACCATAGGGTGCGGTACCTTGCTGCTGCTGCTGCAGCTGCGGTGGCAGACTGGCGGCGGCAGCTGCGCTGCTGAGGCTCCTTTCCAACTGTTCTAGTAGGGCTGCTGTTTTGACGGAGTGGAAGGCGAGGGAGAGGATGCCGAAGCCGGGCCCTATGCCACTCAGGGGCGCTACGCCGCCCAGCAGAGCGTCGGCCCCCGCCTGGGTACCGGTAACAACGGGTGGCAGCGGGTGGAATCATGAGAGGGAGGTAGGGTACCATGAGGACTTGAGAAGGCGGGGAACAAGCATCAAGAGAGGTTAAGTGGCCATCCAACAAGCATACACAGGTAAGGTACATATGTGATAGGACGCATTCCAGCACCGCTTACACTGGTATCCACTTCGCATTGAACCATGTACAAAGGTGCCATGCCAAGTATATCATTCCCACAGCACCTTCTGCCTCCTCCCCCTCCTTACCTGCAGCAGCGAAGGTGGCCCCATGGCCGCTGCAGCAGCTCCTCTCTTGGTGAATGGTCCGTACAGTTGCTGCTGCTGGGCCAGGTGGTGCTGCAGCTGCAGCCGCAGGTGGGGCGGTAGCGCCGTGCTGACGTCATCAGGGGCCAAAGGCTGCGCCGCCTCTGATAGCCGCTCCGAAGCCGTGTCATACGACACCTGAGTCGACACCTCGTTGAGGGTGCCCCACTAGTGGTGACGTGTACGACGTACGGCAGGTGCATGCGCGGTTGCGAGTAGGAAGGGGTGGGAGGGAGGGAGGGAAGGAAGGAGGAAGGGGGCTTTTAGATGCTGGGACACGACAGGCCTTTATTGCCGTATAGGGTCGTGGTCTACTAGTTTTATTGACCCACCTGCATGCCCACAGTGCGTAGCTTGACGGTCCCAGGGCGGGGAATGGGGTCCAGATCCACCACCTCTGTGTAGACATCCGTCTGGGTGGCAGCGAAAGAGCGGCTGGGAGGAGGCGGCGCAGCCGCTGCAGCAACAGCCGGCGACACGGGCGCAAGCGTCTCCACCTGGTGCTGTGGTGGTTGTGGTGATTGAGGGTAGTCATTGTGTATTGGGCTTGAGGCGGAGGCAAGGAAGGCTGGGGCAGTAGCATGGGGATCTGCGGTGGCAGTCGCGGCGGGGGAGGAAGCAGCAGCGGAGATGCTGCTGCCGCGGACGGTGAAGGCGGGCACGGGGCTGCTGCTGCTGCTGGTGTTGTTGTCGGCGGCAATGGAGATGCGGGGGGTGGCGTTGTACGGCATGAGGGGTCGGAAGACGGGTTGCTCCCGCAGGGATCTCTGCATGGCCTGGTGGGAGGGGTTGCGAGGAGAATGCGGGGGTTGCAACAAGGAGAAACGAAACCCACCAGAGCCACAATACCCAGTCCTGGCACCCCGATACCGGTAAAGAAAGCAGCAACCAAACCCCAGACTCCAGCTCACCTGACCGGAAGGAATGAATTCCTCCGATAGGTCGCTGTCCCTGGAGTACTGCAGCGAATCCGCCGTCATGCGACCGACCCATGGGCCACCCACGCCACGGCCGCCGAGCCTATCCGGTGAGGACGTGGCCCATGCAGGTGCGATGGGCGATGACACTCCCAGGGGACCGCTCTGTGAGAGGGAGAGGTCCTGGGGACCGTCTGGGGAGGCGGCCTCCTCGACGCCCGCTGTCCGATGATGGCTCCGTCCGAGGGAGGGCGAGGATTGCTCCGACTCAACTGCAGCGTGGTTAGAAAGGGAGAGGGGGTTAGGGGCCGTAGGGTACTTGGCTATGAGTCATCGTTGAATCAATGAGGGCCCCAAAGCTAGGGCTTAAGCTTGTGGTCTGCATTGTTTGTTGCGATATTCCTGGTCACATGGCTTCCCGTCACAGCACCCCATGTGCCTGTAACCCCTGCAGACAGAGCGGCGTTTCTCGGGCAGCTTACCAGTCGGCAAATGCCACCCCGACGGCCCCCTTAGCGACCGCCGAGGGCCCCCGAGGACGTCCTCCTCCTCTTCCACCACTGTGCTCCCAGCGCCTAGGCTGCTAGAGCCGCCCAACGGCGGCGATCCCACCGCAGCGACCCGCGGGTCAGGGACACGACCCACAAACAGCGGCGGCGGCCGTGCGACGGTGGCCATGGCATCTCCCACGCTAGCTCCAGTGGCGTCACTGGCTGCCGCCTCGCCACGTCCTTCCTTCCGGCTGCGGCTACTGACCGAGGCCTCCTCAGCACCCTCCGCTGTCTGACGCTGCCGTGAAGATGATTGCAGCCACGGTTCGGGCGACCCAGAGCCATGTGCTGAGGAGCCGGGGCGCCTCAGCGAGAGCTCCCGAACAAAGCCGCGCAAGCCATCCGCGCCCGAGCCACCTGCGTCCGTATCCACATCTGCGGAGATCGTGGCCAGGGATTCGGGCGGCGTGTAGCGCTCATCATCTTCAACGTCCCCATCCTCTGCTGGGACTGATCCCCTGAAGGGAGAGGCAGCGGCGCCCGCGCTCACATCTGCAGCCAATCCCAGATCCTCAAACCGCATGATGTTCTCCCTACCGCTGCTACTGCTGCTGCTGCTACTGCTGCCCATACGCACCACCTGGAGGCCTGCCAGGGGGTCATCTTCTTCGCTGTCTTCAGCCGCCGCAACAACCCTCCTCTGCTCGCCTTCTTCCTCTTCTCCCGATCGATGCATTTCCCAAGTCTGCAGGCCTCCTACAGACTGCATACCCTGGCTGCTGCTAATGCTGCCGCTCTTATCGTTATTGCCGCTGCCACTGCTCGGCTCTGAGGCCAAATCGCCAAAGCCGTGCCTGGCTCCGTCCCCGCGGCGGCTCCTGCTGCTGCGGATGCTACCGCTGTCGCTACCACCTCCACGCTGTTGCACACTGTGACGGCCTCGAGCATCGTCCCTTCCGCGGACACCGTTGTCGCCGTTGTCAGGCAGTGCAGACAACGGCGAGGAGGGAGCCAAGCTGCCGCTGTCACTTGCACGGGCCGCCGACCGACCCGCGGCCCCTGAAGCGCCCCTCAGCCCCGGCCTCAGAGCGCTAATGCTCAGGCCACTGCCGCTGCCACTCCCGCTATCCTCGTCCGCTAGGCCCCCCTTCCGAGTATTGCTGCTACCCCCTCTGCCTACTTGCCCATCACCCCGTCGATCTGGGCTTAGCATGGCTGCATGCGGCTGCGTTTGCTGCGGTGGAGGCATCATCTTTCCCCTTGACGGCGGCCGCATGTCGCTATTACCGGTACTGTGGCTCTGTATTGAGATGGAGCTTATACCTGAAGAGCTGCTGTGGCGATGAGGCCCCCGCCCTGCTTTAGCCGCTTCAGGCGGGGAGGTTGCTCGCAGGTGGCCGCTACCGCTGATGCCGTACAAGCTGCTGCTGCCGCTGCCGCCGCCGGACGTGTTGCCGTCACCTCTACGAGAGGAGCTGCTGCCGCCGCCGCTGTCGACTGCTCGGCGGCTCCGACCCCTGGAAGCCGAGGTTAGGAATTCGGAGGAGACTGTAACGCCGGCGCCAACAGCGACAGGGGATTTGGGTTCGGATAGGATGGAGGAGCTTAGCTCAATGCTGGTAGACGCACGACGCCGGGATGCTGTCCCTGTGGCTGCTGCTTTCGCTGTCACTTGGCGCATAATGCTCACATCCCCGCTGTCGTCAACGACGGTTGATCCGTACGTGTCGTACGACTCCCCTGTCGTACCGCCCATGCCAGCACCCCCCGGCATCACCATCATGTCCTCCAGGCTTTCCACACCCATCCACACCCGACCTACCCCCCTGCCATCGCTACTATCACCATTACTGCTCCCACTCCCACGTCTACCCCTACCCCTACCCCCGTCACTGCTCCCACTACCTCCAGCTCCTGCACCCATGCGCATGCCCACGCCCTCCCCATCTCCCGAGATGCTGCGTATCGTGCGGCTGCGGCTGCTGCTGCCGCTAGCAAAGGCCGCCTCCGCCGTCAGCCCGCCCAGGCTCTGCGGGAGGCTGCTGCGAGCTGAGCGCTGCGTGGCAGCATCAGACTGCTGCAGGTTCCGCAGCTGCTGGTGAGACAGCGAGTGGTGCTGCTGGAAGGGAGGCTGCAGCGGAGAGGCGGGCGTGGGAGTGGAGCCAGCGGAGGTAACTCCGAGACGGCTGGCGCCGGCGGGTGCATGCCGGTGGGTGGGGGCTGTGGGTGAGGAGGCGGTGTCGCCGGTGACGGCGAGGTCGGAGGAGTGCAGCAGGGATTCGTCAGCGGTGAAGGAGCCTGCAGGGAGAGGAAAGTGTGGCGTCTGGTGACTTTACGAAAAAGCAAAGTGGAGGGTGAGGTGCGGGTGGTGGCCTGATGAGGCGCCTGTGTCGTGAGCTCGAGACCCAGATGAGCCTAAGACCGCCATGCCCTACTTTGCCCGCCCAACAGCTCTCCTGACCTTCAACTGCAGCCGCGCCTTTGGCCCAACCTATTAATAACCAAACTACCTGAGATGGACGGCGTCTCGTCCCGCCTTAGCCCCATTGGCGCTGCCGAGGGCGGTCGCCGGCTGGGCGGCCGGCCGCCTAGCTCGCCACTCAGCTCCGAGGTGTCAAACACAATCTCGCCGCTGAGCCCCGCGCCGCTGCCGCCGGTAATGTCAATACTGCTACCACTCAGCGACACACTCACACTGCTGCTTCGCCTACGACCACCACCAGCGGCAGCGGGGGCCGCAGAACCAGGCCGACGCGACGGCGGCCGCGGCATGCCGCCACCACCGTAACCACCACCACCACCGCTACTGTCGTACGAAGCCGACACGCCCTGATCACGATCATGGTTGATCTCTAGGGTGCTGCTTTCGCCGCCGCTGAAGACGATGCTGCCGCTCATGCTGATATTGCCGCTGTCTCCGCCATCCGAGAAGTAGCGCTGCTGCTGCAGCCGGGCTGCTTCTGGGGTGCCGGTGATGGGTGTGACGCGGCGGGGTGGCGGCATCTGCAGGTCGGCGCTGTGCTCGATGTCTAGACTGGCGCTCAGGTCGAGACTCTCGGCCTCGGAGAGGGTGACTGTGTGGGTGGACTCTCGCAGGGGCTGCTGCGAGAGGCCGGCCTGCGGGAGGAGGGAAAATTATAAAAGTGAAACAACGAGTCCCAATCCCATATCCCGACTCATGCAGTCAGGCGGGTCAAAGATAGAGGAAAGAAGGGAGGAGGAGGGGTGTCCAGGGTGCAGGTGGAAAAAGGAGGGAAATGGTGGTGTTGAGAGGGTGCAGCGCTGGAGAGGGAGTGGATGCAAACGGGGCTTTCACGACCACCGCCCCGCGCACAGCACACAACCCCTCGCACTCTCCCCCTTCCTGTCGCTGACAAGCACCTGCCCCGCTCCCTCACCCGCGTAATGTTGGTCTTCTTGGGCTTAGGTCCATCCAAGCTCAACACCTCCACAGCCTGTTCTCGCCGCGCGAACCCAGATCCCGAGCCCGCGCCTGCACCCGGCGGAAAGCCGGGCGCGGGTCGGGACAACCGCCCCGCAGCGCTGTGAGGGGCAGCACGTCCGCGAGGCTGGCCGGCGGAGGAGCCCGAATGCTCTATTTCGAGGTCACCCAGATCGTCAGAGCCCAGGGAGATAGAAGAGGGGTTGCTGCTGGCAGCGGTGCGGCGCGGTGGGGCGGCGCTGCTGCGGGGCGGCGGGTTGGAGGACCGCGGTGCTGAGGGGTGGGATGTGGGAGAGAGGTTTGGAGGAGGGCATAGAGAGGGATGTAAGGCGGGGATTAATGAGGTACGCTGAAACAAGCGTCTGTGTGTATATTTGATGGGTGAAGGGTAGCTCACCTGGTCCGGGCGGGGGCCGGCCCCAGGCGGTTGGCGCGGCGGCTCGAGCATCCCCATCGTAGTCTATCTCAATTGACCCCGACAGGTCTGACCCTGACAACTCAAACGACGCTGAGCTGTCCCGCTGTGCTCCCCGGCCGCCCGGAGGTGCCGATGCTGGCGGCCGCCCTGCTGCCGGCCTATATCCAACGGACGTGCCAGGCCTGCCTGCGGATGTGCCTGGACGGCCTGCCGATGTGCCAGGGCGCCCAGCGGAGGTGCCCGGTCGGCCGCTTGGAGCTGTTGCTGCTCGAGGAGGTACGTCTCCATAGTCTATGCTAGTAGACGACAGGTCGCTTAGCCCTGAAACGTCGAATGATGAGGACGCCATTCCCACGACAGCTATACCGACAGAAGGAAAGGATTGACCATTCCCACATGCCAAGCTAAACCTAACAGGCAAACATTATTTGTCGAGACTGCTGAAACCGTTGTCAAGTGATGAATAACATGTTGCGATGTGAATAAATTGACCCATATCTCTTTCTTAAGTCTCGTATGACTCTGCCAACAAGATACAATTTATTACTTTTTCTCGCTTTGCTGCCTACCTTCTAGGGTCACCGCCTTCTTGGTCAACTGGTCAACGCGTAGTACAAGAGACTGATCCGTCGATGACGGCCGGTGTGAAGACGCAGGCTTTTGTTTGCTCAAGTACCTATACAACTCCTGTGATATTTTTCATTGACTATAATAATCAAACATGGGTAGGCAATCTGGTTTCGGCACGCTTGGCATCCTCACCGTGTACCCGCACGCCACTGGTGCCTGTTTCATAAGTCGTTGTCTAGAAGTTAAGCTGCCCCTTGCTTTGGCTGCATGCCTTGGTACCTTCAACAAACGCTTTGTCCTCCTTCACAGTGGTGCTGCCCCGCCCTGCCTGCCCAGGCTGAAGCACCGAGTCCCCTTTCTCATTCCTTGCGCAAGGCCCCATCGCTTGCGGCCTAAGCATCGGGCTGCAGGTGTACTACTTTGCCGAAACATCCGCACTCCGCCCACTCCGAATCCGTTACAAGGGCTACTGTAGCGGCCTGCGGATCCATTCCCCGCAGGCGAGGCCGGCCTGCGGACCAGCCGCCTCGCAGCTTCTATCCCCAGCCTGGATGCAGTGCAGCTTGACTCCACTCAAGAATAACAGTCCAAAGGATCCCGGAGGGTACGCAGAGAACAAGCCCCGTGACTCCGTGCCCGCGTGCCATACCCCCTTCTCGGCCCCGCAGCAACCCCCCCTACGTCCGAAGCAACTGCGCACGAGCCAAGCTGCGCCCAAACCACACCACCAGCAGTAGCGCCGCCACAAACAGATAGCTGCTCCAGGAACCCCGGCCCTTCGCTGGAGCTCTTTGACCAGAGTGCTTTGCATCTGGGCTGGCACTTGGCTGGACAGTAAGCCGCAGCTGCTGCTTACCCTTGTTGCCGTAGCGCGAGGGCAGCTTTTCAGGCACAGCCTCGCAGCCAGCATCGCAAGTAATGGCGCGCAGCGCTGCGATGCTTCCATCCTCGGCCGGCTGGCCTCCAGCGTAATATAACACATTCTCGCCTACAGACAGTGGTACCGCTATAGACGTGTCGGAAGCTCCAGCTGGATCGCCGCTCGCAGCAGCGCTCGCACCATACTGCCGAGAAACTAGCTTGCACCGCGCTTTTTGGCAGCCCGGACTGGGCGTAATTACTAGTACTACTGGGGAGGCGGTACCTGCGACAATTTTGTTGGGAAGCGCAATTCAGGAAATTCAGGCCTCATGCATTTTGCCCAGGCATAGCCTTACCAGCTAAGGAAAGGTCACTGAAGTTGAATTGGTTCAGATGGAGTGTCTGCGCGTTGCTGCAACTCGGGCTGCTAGCGACTAGAAGTAGAGTCAGCAGTAAGGGTGCAACTGCACGTGTTCTCAGCATGTTCCTTAACTTTGTTTTGCTGCTTAAGTATGTGCACCTTTTTGGTCAGCAAGAAATACGGTAAGTTGCTGCTAGTTGGCCGCCGATACGTTTCGAGCTGCCGCACGCCATGTAAGTGCCGATGCTGACCCGTGGGTCGCGCACTTCTGTTCGGCTTGCCGCCAGTATACCTGACGTCAATGCTAATCTGCACAGGCACGAGTAGGTGCATTGTGCAAGCCGTGGCCGTTGGTGGCGGCCCCTGGCTGTGTTGAAGGAGGTGCATGCCATCAGGAATACTGGTACAGTGATCCACGGGCGCTTACGGAGCCATGTAACGTTGTAACCACATTGCACGTAACCAGACATGAGTGCCCACGGCCGTGGTATGTGAGTGTGCCATGAGGTTATCATCTTAACGTTGACCTATCAACGCCATCACTAGCTTCCCCAGATTGGCAATCAAGCTACACCCCGACTCCTGCCACAGATGGAAAGTAAACAGGAACCGATCAACAAGCTCTGTAACCTGCTGCAGCAGCTGCTGCTCGATACCCCACAAGAGCTCCAACCTACCTTAACGACGTGGCAGACAGCCCCTCTGACAGATTGAAGTACAGCACACAAGGTGCACGAGTCACGCAAACAGGGGCACAAAACACCTCATTCCAGGCTGCAGGACAGCTCGGCAGGAAAGATGCTCCGTAATACACCGCATATAGGTATTTGTCCTATGGGACGATGGCTAGTTCACGACAGTACCGTAAAAGTAAAAATTAAGATTGAATTGTCGTACCAGACATCAAGACAGCTGAGGCCTCACCGAATGCTTCATTCATACACAAAGGACTCCCCAGGCTATGGCCTAGAGACAAACACACCCACGACAGCTGGCAGGCCTGCCTTGCATGCAATGAGCATCCTACCACAAAACACATTCCCCTTCCTTGCTTCGCGCTGCGGCCCCCGCCGGATGGGCGGCGACTCCCATTCTTCATCCTCCTAAGTCCTAACCCCCAAAAAGGTACTGTGCCTATGCGCAATTTGCACACAAGCACTGACCAACACATTCAATCCCACTGGCCAATTCATCGACCGCAAAACAGTACACGAGCGGGCGCTCCTTGCTTGGACAGAGTGGCCAGATGCTAGCCGCTCAGCAGCATGGCTCCAGTGCACCCTCCTTCTCCTACTTCTCCAACACACACACCGGAGAACCGAGTCACCACAACATCTCACCCCATCACCCTCGCCTAGGCCGCCGCAACCCAGACACAACCCGTCGACTCGTCCTCAGCACCGGCCCAGAAACCGATGACTCCTGTGGAACGTCCTGATCCACATCCTCCGCACCCGCTACCCCACGTCCCATACCCACGTCGTCCTCGTTGTCACTATCCGATAACAGCTCAATCGGGCAATTCCGGTCACCGGCTTGCCGCAGCCCCTGTCTTGTGGCCCCTGTGGCGGCGGCGGTCGTGCTGGTCCTGACCTGCAGGGGTTGCCCTCTCGATGTCGCAGCTCCTCCTGCTGCTCTTCCTGCTGCTCCTGTTCCAGAGGGAAACAATCCGCCAGATGCCGCCGCGGGTGCTGCTGCTGCAGAGTGCAAAGGCCGCTGGGGTTGCTGGTGCGACATGGATCGCGTCACAGGCCGCTGCTGGACCGCCCCCTGCACATGTTGTCGGCTGCTGGCTGCGGGCTGGTGTGCAATGCGAGGGCAGGTTCCTTGCTCCTCATCATCATCCTGCCCAAGACCCAGCAACGCGAATGCGCTCTCAAGTTGCCGGGGCTGATCGGCAAGGCCATTAGCCCCTCCACGCCCGCCCTCCTCCACTACCTCCTCCTCATCCTCATCGTCAACATCATCATCATTGCTCTCATGTCCATCTTGATCCCCATGTGATGCCCCGTCCCGCAGCATGCTGCGGTCAAAGAAGGGCGAGGTGAAGAAGCTATCCCGACCTGCTGGATCCTCTCCTTCATAGTTGGACGGCGAATCCGGATCCATATGACGCCCAAGGGAATCCGGCGGACTGCCGATACCGCGATCATCACCTCCGAAAGCCCCCAGCAAACCCTGGGCGGTGCTGGTTGCTCCAGCACCTATGCTGTAGGCCACGGCTACACCCAGGGACCCCTCCACGGAGTGTGGGCCGGCCAAGGCGGGCTTCCTGGAGTTTAGGTCCGCGGCATGTTGGTTGAGGCCACCATGCTGCACGGGAGCAGCAGTCGGGGCCGGGGCCGCAGCTGACGGAGGCGAGTCCGGCCGCGTGTGAATGCGCAGGCGCGGCAGGCTGGGCGGTGAGACGACCACGGGCTGCAGCGCGGCAGCCATCCTGCGATCCAGCTCCTCCCAGGTAGGCGACGGAGCAGCTACGCAGATGGGGACGCGCAGATGATTCGTTGATGTATGAGGGATGATGGGTTTGATGGTTGTGTTGTATAGTGGTGACTGGTGTACTGTGCCATACAAGGGTACGGCGGATTCCCCTTAACCTCCTGAGCGCGCCCTGGGGACCCAACGTGTACCAGAACCCCAATGCCACGTTACCTGTATCCTAACATGGTAAGACCCTGTGTACGGCACCCGCTACATGAACCCTACCTGGCTCTGCGCCGCCTTCTCCTCCATTCAATGCCTCAGCCGCGTACGACACCCCTTGTGCCGTACGGAGCCCCAGCTCCGGACCTGCCGGTGACAGAACATCCAAGCCCTCCAGCGAGATCTCCTCGTCCAGGTCAATGTCCTCCTCCAGGCGTGTACGGCGGCCGGCGGCAGTTGGCAGGGCTGCCGGAGCCATCATGGCAGGAACAGCCCCAGCCGAAGACGAGGCCATGGCTGAAGGCCTGCACACATTGCACGCGCAAGGCGGGTGGCAAGGTAGGCATGGACGTTCATCCGTACACCCCACATTGCTACACCATACACTGCACGGCCACCATGCAAGGCATGCAACAACCCAAATGCACCCCATGCATCCCATGGGGCACCGCACAGCACTGCGGCCATACCTGGCCGCTGCGCCCTGGTCTCGTCCAGCCGCATAGCCCGTGTCGCTGCGGCGACCCATGGCCACTCGCACCGCCTGGTCCTCTCCCACATCCGTGAAGCCCGTCGGCCTCCGACCCAGGTCGGGCGCGCTGACGTTGGCACCAGCACCCGCACCCGCACCCACTAGCGAGTTGCTTCGCCCCCATGCCTGCGGCGGCGCAGGAGGATGCCGCGGCAGTCGTGACGGGTGCTGCTGCTGCTGCTGCTCCTGCCGCGGCAATCGTGGCGGGTGCTGGTCATCAGGCAGCAGCTCAAGTGCGGAAACGTCGTCCAGCGGCCCCGCGACGGGGCTATCCGGAATGCTGCTGTTGCTGTTGCCGGGGCTGCTAGCGCCGCCACCTGATGCGTTACTGCCGGGGCTGCTGCTGTCGATAAAGTAGCTGCTACTGCTGCTGCTGCTGGCGGGCCGTTCATCGCTGCTGCCGTTTGCATTCGCAGGGCGCTGTAAGGAAGCACCGCCAGCTGTCGTCGCGTTCAAACTAGCAGCAGCGCTGGGCACGGCGAGTTGGGTTCGTGCACCGATGTGGGCACGCTGTGAGGCAGTGAAGGCACCGCCGATGGCAGTCGACGCAGCAGCAGCAGTGGCGGCGGCGGCAGCAGCGCTTCCAGCAGCGACGTTGGCATGCGGGTTCCGAGCGGCCTGCTGGGTACCTGCCTGGGTGGCTCCGGCCGCTGGGGCGCGCGTCTGGACGGGCCGTAATGCGCGCATGAAAGGGTTTGAATTCATACCTGCCCCGGCAACAGGTGCCCCCGCCCCTGCTGAGGGTTGCGCAGGCGCGTTACGTGCTGAGTTGTGAGGCAGCGCATGAGGCGCCCGAGAGCCTGCAAAAGCAGCCGACGCCCCTCGTGTCCCCGCTGTTCCTCCGTCTGCCAGAAGCTCCATCAGCCGTGAAGAGGAAGCCGGCTGCAGCAACGAAGGCGGCTGCAGCCCAGCTGCCGCAACCCTCGCGGATACACCTCGTGACGGAGCTGCCGAAGCTCCGAAATCCGCATTCACATCTCCAGTCCCGGCCCCTGCCAGCGGCCATAGCTCCCCCTCCCAACGCTCCGCGCTGCGAGAGCGCCGCCTCGCGCGCCGCGAGGCCGCTGCAGCAGCAGCTGCTGCAGCAGACGATTGAGCTGCTGCTCCCGCTGCCGCTGCTCCAGCAGTTCCTGCAGGAGGGCGGCCTCCTCCTCCTCCTCGTGACGACCGTGCCTGCGGTGGCGCCGCCATGCCGAGCTCTACCAGACCCGATTGCGCCGCGGAAGCCGCTTGGGCCAAGAGCCCCTGCGGCTGAGCTGCAACACCGCTGCGGTCGTTGCCTAGTGCTGTCGGATGCATGGAGCGCTGCGGTCGGGGGCCCGACACGCTGCGGCCGTAGAAGCTGGCCAGGCCCATGCCGCCTCCAGCCAAAAGTGTGGAGGTGGTGGCTGATGAGGTTGCGGCTGTGTTGGCTCGGGAGGAGGAGAGGCCGGTAAAGGGCGCATGGGCGGCAGAGTCGCCTCCCAGGAACCTGTAAGGAGGGCCAACCATAAAATGGGTAACACACTTGCAGGACCATGTTTACGTCGCTGCTGTTATCCTGCTGCGATCAGCAAAAACTATGGTCTTCCGCATCTGGGCATGGGCCTACCTCGGTGGTCGGAACGGCGCCGCAGCAGGGTTGTTTGCACCCGAGGCGCCGCTGCCGGGTCGCCGCGCCGCTGCATGGGGCTGTTGTTGCTGCGGTGGGGGCGGCGTGAGCGGCTTGCCGGCTGCCTCAGATGGAAAGAGGTGCTGGATGGTGTTCCAGAGCGTGGTGTTGATGCTGAGGGTGAAACCTGGGGACATGCGAAGCGAGCAGGAGGAGGAGAAAAAGCAGCGGGATGTGTACGGCAGAGGTTACTGCACAGAAGTGAGGAGGAAAACTGGTCCGCAGGAGGGAACCGTACGAACGGCCAGAGGCCGGGAATCACGCACCAAACGTCATGCCTTAGGATGGCAGGAATTTGGGAGCACATGCGGCTTTAGGATACTTTATTGGGTGTTTCTTACAACCCGCGGCTCCCTGCATCAGGACGAGCAGTGTACCGACCTGGCGGCAGACTAGCGCGGCACTTGGGGCAGGGACGGTTGAGCTCCAAAGTGCGCCGCAAGCAGCTGCGACAATAGTTGTGACCTAATGGATGGGCGGCGTGCATGGCAGCAATGAGCATCCGGGTTAAGAAGACTGAAGTATATCGACGTGGCCGTATCTCGGCGTGTTGGAGCCTATCGCTCGTCCATCCGGAATTGGATGACCACACTCTCGCCAGGGGTTTGTAGTTTCAGAATGGCATGGCGCACTTACCACATGGCGTTGTGCAGGGGCGAACGCATATCTCAAGGCAGACCTGCGTATTATGAAGGTACAGGGGGGGGGGTTCGGACTTCAGAGACATCTCGTCGAGGCCCAGACGGGCGGAATAAGCTGAGACGAAGGTCAATCGCTTACCGCGCAAGTCAGCTCATCCCTCAATTGCTTAAAACATGTGAGCCTGAAGGTGGCAGGAATGTTGGTTAGGAGGTGCTTCGAACATCGACCGTTTCCCCTAAACCGCTAAACCCAAGACCTCGCAATTACCTGCTTGGCGTAACACCGTCTGTGTCGTTAGATGTGCCAGCATTTTCTTTATCGTCGTCTTGCCGTGGACGGGCTCGGGGCCTGAAGGGGCCATTTAGCTGACTTAAACCTTCATACAGTGCTTCCCTCGAACTGCAACTTTGCTATGCCTACCGTGCTTGGCTAGCAGGTGTTGCCATCTCCTGGGCCTTTTTTTGATGCAAACTAGTGCCACTCAAATCCAAACCGCTCAACACATCCGTAAGATGGTCAACGGGACCTACAACAAGTATCAAGGTGGGAATGGCAAAGCGTTAAGAAACGTATTCGTCAAAGCCCCCACTTAAGAAGTGCTTACGGGTAGCTCCTTGGCCGCTACCGCCGTCGGGAGACTCCATTGCATTTAGCTTAGCAAACGCAGGCGTTTGGTTGCCTACTCTATAAGGTAGCAGGTTGCTTACCGTGTGCAATCAGCCCTTGCTTAACTGCCCTCGCCTCGTACAATCGCCGTATGCTTGTACGAGCCAATAGGCTTGTGTGGATTCTTCGCTTCAACCTCCCTGGTCTTCATGGATCATTGTGTCTTAGGGTGTTCATTTTGCTGCTAATCAGGCTTACAACTGTCACAGTCACGATCTTGGTCCGCGCAACGCCGGACGAACACCATTCAGGATAACGCACGCTATTGGACTCCAACCAACTAGTGTAGTAATAAAAGATCAGATAGCTCCGGGCGTTACTATATTGGGTGTGTTCGTCATTGGCGAGTGATAAGGGATGCAGACGTCGGTGCACTCCCCACGGCTTGGTGCTAAAACACCGGCGAAGCCCAAGGTACGCACCCCAGTTATTACTCCAAAGCCATCATCTGATGGAGCGGATTAGAGCCGTAGGTTAGCGACCTTGTATGGCTTCATTCGCTGCCGTCCAGGTTTCGCACGCACGGTCGCCCAAGCTCCTGCTGAATCATGCGCGCGGTAAGAATAAGACGCGATTCTTAGCGCCAATGGGTCAGCGTCAAGAGCAACCGTGTTGTTAGTTAAGCCCCAATGCTGGGTATTCCGGGCTTGCGATAATACAAGAGCATGCGCACATTACATACGCAACGCTTATTCAAGACATGGTTTTCGGCGTCAATATGTTGCAGCGCGCGCGTCGACTTTCCATAAGTACGTACACCGTCGCCGGTCTGCTGCTAGCAGCGCCACACCTGACCGCCTGGTTAGGTCGCCTGGCCTCCTTGTATGCCGCACGTTTCACCTGCATACCAGCCAAGTCGTGGCACGTACCGCCGCCACCAGTGCAGCCTCCTAACCGCACCCTTTCCAATGACCCACATGGGGTATCCCTGTACGGCTGTACCCGCTACCCTGTACCTCCCTTGCGGCCTCCCATGCGCTACCACACCAAAAGTACCGGTACCCAGCACAGGTCTCCATGTTGAGCCTTCATGCGATGTTTTGTCCCTTCTCTGCCCCCCTCATCCTCGGATATTTTAACCTGCATAAGACAGCTCACCAGTTGGGACAGGGGTTGGGATGCAACCATGATCACGGTGGTAGCCGTCACCGCAAGCTTGGCAACGCAACGTCCCACCTTCCCAACTGTCCATACCGCATGCACTGCCTCATCAAGCCCTTCCCGTAACCTTCTCATGCTGACCAGTTATGCCGATCTTCCCCACATTCTCCCAGGCGGCAACAGCAGCTCGCTGCTGCCAGCAACGGTAGCAGCTGCTGCTGCCGCCACACTCCAGGCCGCAGACGCAGCGGCTGCGGCGTCTCTGCAGTCCCCCGCAGCTGCTGTTGTTGCGGTGGTGGATGCAGTAGCTGACGCCCCACCCCCGGCGGCCCTGGAGGCGGGTAGGTCACCCCCTCATTAGGGATGTACCATGTACGGCACCCCTGCAGGGCGGACCTGTAACCGGCGTCGTGCTGTCAGGCAGTTGCATGCGGCCCCTATGTGGCCCCCTATCTTCCCCCGCGCGCACTACCTGTCTACTGCTACTAACGAGCACGGTTGCCCCGTTACCCCCCGGCTACTATCCCTTGCAATCCGCAGCAGCAGCAGCCTCAGCTAGCCCCGTGGCAGCATCCGTCGACGCCGCCGTCAGTTCTGCCGCCGCCGCCGCTGACGCCGCCGCGGCCACTGCGTCGCCAGCCATGAGCCTCGCGGCGCAACGTTATGCGGAAATGACGAGCAAGGCGGCGAAGGTGCTCCCCAAGAGCTCTGTCAGCAGCGGCAGCGGATCAGGATCCCCTGGTTTCGAAGCGCCCTCCTTTTCCATGCCCGACCTAAGCCGCGGTGTGCAGCTGCCCAAGCTATCGGCGCCTGACCTCTCCAAGGTATCGCTCCCCGAACTGCCAAAGCTGCCCAGCGGCGGTGGCGACGGCGGCGCCGTCAGCATTTCCCTGCCAAAAGTTGACTTCAGCGGACTAGAGCTGCCTGACGTCGGCGGCGCCGCCGCCGGCGCAAGCGGCGCCGTTGGCGCTGCCGCCGCTGACCTCACCGCCTCCGTCTCTAAAACCGCTGGCGACGTCGCCGCCGCCGCCGGCGGCGCGCTTTCGGATGCCGCCGCCACCGTCGGCGGCGCCGTCGCCAGCGCCAGCGCCACCGTTGGCGACGCTCTGTCCACGACAACCGCCGCCGTCAGCGGCGCCACGTCATCAGTCCTGGGCGAGGTGGATCGCGAGGTGTCGTACGTCCGAGGTGTCGTACAAGAGTTCACCGCCGCCGCCAGCGACACCGTCAGCGGCGCCGTCAGCGCGACGGAGGTGGCGGTGGCGGGTACGGTGGACCAAGTGTATGGCGCGCTGCCGCCGCAGGCACAGGTGAGGCTGTCATGCTCCTCAACGTGGAAACGTGCCAAACCGTGACATAGGGTGGGAGCAAAGGGGCTGCTTCCTCAACGCCTTGTTCGCGATGTAACTCCCATACCTTACTTTCACCTCCGCTCCTCTTCGCCGCCCCCTCCTTCACTGCTCCCTAGCGTTTCGCACTGCTCCTTGACCCGGGCCGCGTTGCTCCCCTTTCCCCCTACGTCGGTCAAACCGGACTCCCTGCCTCACCCTGCTGCTCCTGCCACACGCGGTTCGGTAGTCCTTTCCTCTTCACCCTGCTGCTCGCTCCGGCCCTCCTCCTCCTGCTGCTGCTCTCCCCCCTAACGCAGCTCATTGCCAGCGACCTGGGTGACGTGGCGGCTGCCTTCGCGCAGCACCCCACCTCCAGCCTGGTGCTGGCGGGGCTGCTGGGGCTGCCGCTGGGGGTCAAGAGCTGGATGGACAGGTGGGGGGGCGAGGAGGGGAGGGAGGGAGGAAGAAGAGTGCCCAATGTGTTGTATGAGAGTGGTAAACCAGACGACAAAGCTCCTGGGGAGGAGCACGGGGGGGAAGGAGCAAGGCGAGGTGAATAGTAAGAAGCTAAGTACCGATAACTACCGGTAACGCACCGGCTCCACCATGGGTTGCAAGAGGGACTTGAGGGAGGGTGGCGAGAGGCCCGAAAGAGAAAGGGTGTTGGTAGGGGGGGAGTAAGGACGGGATGTCTCCTGTATGCCGTACAGGCTGCTGTGTTCTTCTGTCTTACACATATACCGTACGACATGCAGGTACGGCGGCTACAGCGGGGATCTCCGGCCCGCCCGAGTGAAGGAGATGTTGGGTCGGGAGGATGTGCTGCTGGTGGACGTGAGGAAGGAGGCGGAGCGGCAGGTGGGGGGGTGGGTTGGTGAGACGGGTGGGGGGTGAGAGGAGGGGCGCATGGGTCGGCAACCTCAGCATGGTTTGCTACTTGGCACCGCGGTGCTTACCATCAAGCAGTGTATAGCACACACATGAGGAAGCTAGGCGGTTCGCCACATCCGTGATGAAAGGATGGCGCCCAGTTGCCCGGAGCCTCCACTCCCGCGCCCTCCTCCCTCGGCTCTCCCTCGGCACACCCCACACCGCCCTCTTCCACCCTCTTCCTCCCCCATGGTGTGTCACGCAACCTCTCTTCCTTCCGCTCCGCCCTCCCCTTCCCCTTCCCTGTCCCCCACAGTCCGCGGGCGTGTTGGAGCTGCGTAAGGGCGCTCGCTACAAGGCCGTTGCGCTGCCCGCGGACGCAGTGGCCCTGTCAACCAAGTGGGACAAGGAGGTGCGGTTTGGGAGCAGGGAGCGGGGGAGCAGGAAGCGGGGAGCAGGGAGGTTGGGAGGAGCGGAGCGGGAGGTTGGGAGGTTCAGGAAGGAAAGGCCGCATCGTTACCGTTACGGACGAAACCGGAGGTCAGGGTCCTTTGCCTTCCTTGTTTCCCCACCCCACAGCCCCTTCAGGGTACGGCAACCTCCAAACAGTGTGTTTCCTCTCTCCCACCTCCCCACCTCCCCGCCTCCCCACCTCACCGCCTCCCGCACCTCCCCCCTCCCCCCCGCAGTCCAAGGCGGGCCAGCAGCTGCAGCTGGCTGTCACCTCGCTGCTCATCAGCCGCCTCACGCGCATCCGCACGCCCCTCACAAAGCTGGTCATCATGAACGACCAGGTGGCCAGGGGGGCAAATAGATGATAAGTGCAGCAAGGGGCAGGGTGGGTAGGGTGGCGGGTTAGGGCAGCGGGGGTCAAAGACCATACCGGACCATGGGAAACCGCCAGAGCATAACAATGGGGATAGGAAGTGGCAGGGTGCCACAAAGCAAGTGTTGGTCAGCGTTAGTGTTGGGCGGTGGGAGTCCAGTGGTTAGGTGGGTTAGGGTGGTGGGTAGCTGGGTTGGGTGTGGCTTACATGCCTGCGTGTGCTGTTTAACTGCACGGCCGGTCCCGTCACTGTTCCTTCACCGCTTACCGTCGCCGCCCCTCCCCCACACCGTCGTCTTGTTTGCTATTCTCATTCAACACATTGGGTATCCTTCTTTCCCCCACCACTCATTCCCTCCTCCCTTGCTGCCCTCCTCTCTCCAGGACGATGCGGCTGCCAGGGCCCTGGCGCGGGCAGTGCGGGCGGCGGGGGTGTCCCGTGTGTATGTGATGCAGGGGGGATTCCAGGTGAGGCGGGGGAAGAAAAATTATATAAGTGAAACAACGAATCCCAATCCCATATCCCGACTCATGCAGGCGGGGGGAGGGGGGGAGGGGGTGAGGTGGGGGGAGGGGGTGAGGTGGGGAGGAGGGTGGGGAAGAAGGGTGAGGAGGGTGCGGTTGACGGCACCCGCCGGTACGTGTTAAACCCATCTTTTCGCTGCCCCCCGCCCCTTGCCCCCCGACCCCAGGCCTGGTCCTCCGCGGGCCTCGGAGTGCTGCCGGACAAGACCGAGTACGACGCATCCGCATTTGCCGTACTGGCGGATGAGATAGCGGAGCTGGCGGGTAGGTGGCGGGGCCGGGGGGCCAGCAAGGGCGCGCATGGGGAGGCGGGCTTAGGGGTGCTGTACCGGTGCCCGTGAATGTACTGTACGGACACCCGCCTGTTCCTCACTTCTCCCCTTGCGGCGCCCTCCAGCTGTGGTCACGATCAGTGTCTTACCACGACTCAGCGGAACTGCACCCCTCCCCTGCTGCCCTGCTGCCCCTGCTGCCGTACCACCACCCACCTCCCGCCTCCCCCTCCCCCTCCCTCCTGCGCAGCCGCGGTGGGACCCAAGCTGCGCGAGCCCGCCTTCCTCGCGTCCGCCCTGGCAGCCACCTCGCTGGCGGCGGTGGCAGCAGCCAACTACCACACCACACTCAAGTAAGCCAGGGGAGGTGAAGGAGGGGAGATGAAAGAGCGGAGGTGGCAGTAGAGAGTGGGTGAAGCGGCAGCGGTTGTAGGCGGGTATTAGGCGGGTTCGCGTCTTGGTGCTTTCATTACTGCAGGCCTCTCCATACTCCATGAATCTGAACCGTTGTGGTGTCCTGGTTTGTCTGCCGTTTAGTGCTTCGCTCTTATCCCCTCCTTCTTATCCAGCCTACCTTCGCGCTCCTGCACACCGCAGGTATGTTGCGGTTTGGGGTATCTTCGCCACCCTCTACTGGCGGCTCAGTCGCTATGAGAGCCCACAGGTGGGTCAAAAGAAGGAAACTCGCGATTGTCAATAGAGAATTAGAGATGCTACTGACAAGTTAGTGAAGTTACAGAGGGCTATGTAGCGACCCACGTGCCAAGATATATGTGACGAAGCGACGGTAAATGCGCGGGGTGAGGGCTGATGGTGTCGGGGACGGGAAGGAGGCGTGGCCTTGAACTGTCTCCCCTTATTAACCCCTCTGCTCCCCCCTCTGCACCCCCCTCCGCCAGGCCCTGCTGGAAGAGGTCAAGGGCGGCTTCGCGGCCACCGCCGGTTCCCTCACCTCCGCCGCCGTCGCCGCCGCCACTAGCAACCCGCCGTCGCCGTCGGTGGCGCTGGCGGCTCCGGCACCCGTACCCGCTCCGGAGCCGGTGCGGGAAACCGTCGCGGCGGCGGCACCGCCGCCGCCACCGGCGCCGGCGGCTGCCGCCACCGTCGCGGCGCCAGAGGCCCCTGCCGTACAGGCGCCAGCGTCGTCGCCGGCGCCGCCGTCACACCCGACGGAGGCCTCCACCACGGTGCTGGCAGCGGCGCTGGCCGCCGCCGACGCGCTACCGCCGCCGCCGCCTGCCGTACTCCCTGACGCCGCCGCCATGAGTGACACCACCACGAGCGCGCCCGCCGCCGCCGCCGCTACGGCCGCTGCGATGACAGCGACGCCTGCCGCCGCTGGTGCTAACGCGGGCCCCGGTCCCGCAATCAAGAAGAACGGTAACGGCAACGGCTCCGCTAAGGCTGGCAACGGTAACGGTAACGGAAGCTTGAAGGCGGCGGTGACGGCGGTGGCGCCGGCTCCTGCGGTCGCTGGTGGCGAGACTGCCTCTCTGTCTGCCTCCACATCCTCCACGGACCAAGACAGTGCCTAGATGCCCTCCTTTAGCGCCGAGTAATATTGGAATGGAGCATGACGCATGAGGAAAGGGTTGCATTAGAGAGAAGAGTACGGAGAGCACAACCTATATGACGTGCGCGTTTTTGTTTGCGTATGGCGTTATGGTGATCAATGGCCGTACGGCAGATCCTGGTTGCTGCTGTACGGAAGCAGTACGGCGGAGTAGTACGACAGCGGTAATGATAAGGAGAAATGGCCATGAAAAGTTGTACGACAAAGGATGGTGAGGTTAAGTGGATGTACTGGATACCGGGACCAAAGCGCACTGGTACGGCATACACACACTTGCGAATGGCGGTTGGAAATGCCGCCGGTTGGATAACGGTAGTATTTAACCACTGTGACGGGTACGGCAGATCAGCAGCGTATTCCTGAATGCGGAGAGACGTTGCGGTACCCGGCGTTTGCGGCGGCTTGCTGCTGACTCTGGTGGTGTACACACCGATTAATGTGTGGTTATGTAGGTATTATGGAGATGGAGTGAGGCCGAGCCAAGTGGGAGTGGGGAGAGCTTCGCCTCCTACCCGTATGCCGCACAGGGTCGCCTCTTATCAAACGTAATGTTCCTTCGTACGCAATCATTGTGTACGATCCATAAAACCCCGGACCAAGATCGTGTACGAGCGTTCGGGGCCTCCTATCGTTATATTGGCGGAAAAGGCACACGTGCAGGGAAGGGGATAAGGATTAGGGGGAGAGGCGGAGGAGAAAAAGCTGAGAGGCGCCCAAGCCTCAGTTGCAGTGCCGGTGTAGATGAAGATGTTTGTGATGCCGGTGCTGGTGTTGGTGGCGATGAGGTGGCGCGACGGAAAGGATAATCGAACCGTGTCGTGCGCCGCGGTCTGTTGCTTTGCGAGGATGGTTTGGGTCCATTGGGTCAGGTCACGTCCGCTGACGGCCTGGATAAAGAGAGAAGAGTATAGGAAGCTAGGGGCAGTGCGTGACGAGGGAGAGGAAGTGCAGTTGGAAAAATGCCCGTACATCGCTAGGAGTACGGCAAACGGCTTGGCGCATGCATTCGGAGTTTGTGTTGAACGGAGAGGAGGCAGAGGCAGGGACATGTCTTGCATGCTCGTCAAGCACACGCGCACTCGCCTAGAGGGTAACCTTGTCGACATGTGCGGCAAGGCAGGCACCGTCTTTTACTTAGGGGTATAAGCGGATCACGTTTGAGGTTTGCGGTGACTGGGACTTCATCATACTCGTTTGCATGACCTGCGCCAAATGCGTTGTTGAGGACGTCGTGGATAGAGGACTTGAGTTGGCGGTACTACTGGTAGCATCGGTAGTAGCGCTGTGGGGCGGTTGCACTGCCGGTGGTCAAGAGGGTTGCTCGTGTAACTTCTATTAGTGGGTTCTTGCTTGCCCAAGCGACCAACGCGCAACAGAAAGTGCCCCGCAGACAGCTGCCAGCAAGGGCTGGAAGAGAAACCCAGTCCGCGTCACAGCGAACGCTGCGATGCCCGGTTGGCCGAGATCTCCTGCCACATGCCTTCCAGGTCTCATTAGACACCACCATGTATGGAACCGTCTAGAGGACCTCCTATCCTTAAAGGCTGGATAGGCAGGATAAATGCCACATGGAACACTAGGGCCAGGAGATATGCCTGGGAAGATGTCGGGAAACCGCACCAAGATGTTGCCGAGATGTCAGACTGTATTTAGGCGTTGCTACGTACGCGCAAACGCTCTGCAACCTCTGCTGCGGAGCAACACCCGCATCGCAAGATTCCTTCATATGTACAAGACGCAATGCAATGCACTGCGCCAGGGAACCATACAATACAACAATCCATACCCATACAAGTGGGTCTAAGTCCATGGCCCCTTCGCCCCGCCTCATGTGCTTCAAAGTTAAACAATACAAGTCCCTCATGTCCTCAACCCGAGCCGCGGCATGCCCAACACCTTGCTTCAAAGAAGCAAAGGTAATGCATTGCACCCAAGGCACCCTGCCTCCTGGTGCCGCACAGTGCGCAGTGTGTCGTGCTGTCGCTCGCTTCCCCCACCCCTACATATGCATGGGCACGCGCGGCATGGTACTTACCTCCCTTTCCCAACAAGCCCTTACTTGGCACCCCCCAAACTACCTGACGCACCCACCTCCTTGCACAAGCTTTGCCCTGACGTGCCTTCTGCCTGACACCCAATCAACAGCAAGGCAGGTCCTACCCAAGCGCCGTCTCGCACACGCCCCGTGCCATGTCCATCCTTCCCCTAGTTTAGTCACAGCCAGGTACCAGCCCAGCGAGGATGCAACTACGGCGCACAGCCCCCAGAGCGCGCCCTGCGCTGCCACCGCACAGGGCCCACGCTGGCTAGCTGCCCAGCTAAGCGAACAGCTGCACAGTGGCTGCTGCGACCAACTGTCCTTCCTACAGCTGGGTCCTGCCTGCGTGCATGGAGCCAACTGCAGGAGGCTGTCCTAGGAACCTGACTAGAACTCGTCGTCAAAGCCGCCGCCGCCAGCTGCTGCCGCGGCGCCGCTCTGCGGCCGTGACGCCGGGAAGCCCGCCGCCGCGCTGCCGTAGCTCTGCTGCCGCTGCACGTTGCCGTACGCTGGCGTTGGCTCGTCGTACGCCCCGTCGTCGTCACCGCCCACGACGGACACCCTGGGTTGGGGAAAGGCAGTTATGGACGGGGTACCGGCCAAAATGGGTTGGATGGTATTGGGGGCGAGCATGAGAGGGGTTATTTCTTTAGCCCGCTGCTGGTTGGCAACCTTTTGCCCGGCATGCCACGTTTTGACCACTCCGTCGTGCGTCGCACCATGTGGGCCGTTGGGATGCATGATTCTTATACGAGTTTCCTACGACGGGAGCTGCCGCAACATGCCGGATCCCACCTGTTGACCGTGGCGAACTCTCCATGCCCCTGCAGTATCATGAACTTCAGGTACTTCGCCCGGATGTTGACTTGGTGCACTTCCGTCTGCAACCGGTCACCTCGGTTGGCCAGCTCTGCGATGCGAAAGACATGGGTAAGTGTCTGCAGAGTGGCTTGCATGCATACCCTTGCATCCAGCCATCCGCTTACCGACTTCGAACACCTTTTCGAATTGGTCCGGCTTCTCTTGATCACACTTCTCTACTGCTAGTTTTCGTACTGCATAAGGAAACGCATTAGAAGGAGTCAGCGGCATGTGAATGGCGAGGAAGCACAACCGGCAAGAAACTTGCCGTTCAGGGATAGCGTCGTAATCTTGGATACTCGGATGCATGAATCAAGTTTAAGCACAAACTCCTGGGGAAACATTCCGGTAGTCACCCAGAACGTGTTGTCTTTCCCGTCAAGCATGTTCTCCGGAGGGAAGCGTTCGTCGCCACAAGACGCCATCACAATAAGTCCTCCATTCTCCTCTCTAGCGTAGTCTTTCATGTTTTGCAAGGTGACAAGTAATACGAGCGGTCTAAAGTTGGATGGAAGTGTCGCTCCTTAGACGGGCGACTATCACTTTTTGGACGACTAACTGATTAGATATCTTGCAGCAGGCATTTCAGATTTTGTTTATAAGAGCAGCGTCGCTGGCTATTGTTTCTTGGGTGTACGACAACGAAGCTGAACCGAACGCTCCTTCCATCGTTCGTTACGTTTCAACATATGCGGGCGGTTTATTGCTTCTGGCAAGATACAGACGAAAGCGACTTCAGGACACAGAATACCTGCGGTGACAGGGTATCCATGGACAATACACATCTGCGCCACACGGCACACAAAGACTATGGTAGATGTCCTCGCCCCAGCTGTCAGGTGAAGTGCCATAAAACACAGTGCCTACAAAGAGGAGATTAGTACGTCGTATGGAAGTGGCGTGCTGGCGTACGACGGCGGCTCTTAGGCAGGGGACCGCACGCCGAACTTCGCTCAGGAGGCTTCTCATGGATATGACAGTCTTGTGAGCATCCTAATATGAACATGCTAGCTGAATGTTCGCAAAGGGTGAGAGGAAGCTGTCAATGCCACTCCGCCACCGTGATGGGGCTTACCCGCACAAGCTGTGTAGTCACATATTCCGGTAAGGGAGTGGCAACGTTGTCATAGGAGCCATTAACCACTTTCGTTTACACCTCGGGCATCCAAGTTCATCTGCATCACGCAAGCATTCCAAATGACCGTCCGGCAGCAACCCACGTGCTGGTAAACCCTATCCTTACACCAGAGACACCCACATTCGCGCGCACATCCCCTCTGCAACCTCCCTTCCCCAAAATACCGCCACCGGCAGTATCAGCCCTGCAACGCTGCTGCTCTCTATGCTGCTGCTAATCCTCCTCTCCCGCCCACCACACCATCATCCCAGCATTAAGCTCCGTTTGCCTGCGCCGCGCGCTTAGCAGGCGTTGAGATCGCGGCAGAAGGGCCCGTTTGGCTTGCCGGTGAGGGTGTTCTGGCCGTCCTTGGGCACCCACTTGTCACCCACCACGGTGCCAGCGGGCTCCGCCGTGGCGCGGTGCTGAGAGCCGGGCTGCGGAGGGAGGAGGGAGAGGAGACGAGAGGGAGGAGGGGGATCAGGGGTGAGGGTTGCAGGAGGGAGGAGGCTTCCACACCAGCAAGTATAAGGAGCATTGCGAAGAATGAATGGCCCATTCGCGTTGGTGTGAGATTTGGGTATGCCTTGGAGCCCGGCCAAGCAAACCCAAATTGTCGCAGCCGGGCATGCACCCCGCAGGTCTTCCATGCTGTATCACCCCCGCTTCTGCAATCCACAGTGGGTCACGTCACCCCTGGCCGCTTTCCGTCCGCTGCTGCAATTAACCCTCTCACTCCCCAGCTCCCACTTCCTTGGACCCTTCCCCTTCCCAGCAGCTACCTTGGGCTTGCCGCCCTTCTTGAGGGTCTCCAGGATGCTGATCATGTCCGAGGGGGTCAGGTCCTCGTAGTAGATGTACGAGAAGCCCTCCACGCCCTGTGCGCGCAAAACGACACGGCAGTGACGACAGTGACGAGACGGCCGGCCAAAAAGGCAGAGCTTAATGTGACGGACATAAAGCAACAACATCCAGTAGCCAGTCCCCCTTGCAGGCACAACCTGCCCAGCCCTTCCCCGTCCTGCCCAATCAAAAAACCCAACCCAAGGCCTTCACCCAACACTTGGCCGCTGTCACGACCCACAACAAGCCCTCAAGCCCGTCGGGCCAGCCCCCGACCTGACCACCTTCAAACTCCCCATCGCTGCCCGCTTGCACTCCCCTTCCCAAAGTCCCGCTCCAACCTTGGTGTAATCCGCAATGGCCACCATGGGCGCGTTGACGCAGGCGCCCATGCACTCCATCTCGCCCAGCGTGAACATGCCGTCGGGCGTGGTCTGGCCTATGTGGACGCCCAGGTGCTTCGTCACCGCCTCCTCAATGCCCTGCGAGCCCTGCAGCCTGTGGGGGTTGGGGATGGCAGGGTGCGGAAGGAGGGCAGAGATGCAGGATTGGGAAGAAGGGGCCGCGCTCGGAGGCTAGGGAGGGGGGAGTAGGTGGGGGTGCTTACGCCGATTGCTGATGGGCGCCCGGCTTCGCTGCAATGGTGACGAGGAATTGCTGCGATCCTGGTGCCAAGCCAGCTCAACGTGTGTTTAGCACTATGAAGTTATGCGCAGTGTGGAAGCATCCTTTGTAATAACGCTATGTGTTTTCCACTCTTCCGGGGGCAACACTACGCGCTAGTACAACCCTACCCCGCCAGGGCGCAAGGACACCTCTAGCGCTGGCTGCTTGCACAGCCCACGATCCAACCCGTAGAGTCTCCTACAAATCATTACCTGCAGGGCGTGGTGCCGCAGATCATCACGTGGTACTTGCCCATCTTAGTGCGGTTGAACATGGTGTAGAAGGTCGCCACCTCGTAGACGCGGATTGGCTGCATGCCCAGCAGCTTCGCAACGCGGTTCATAGCTGCAAGGCTTAGCCATCCGCCGTTCTGCTGCTGAGCAATGTCCAGCACCGGAATGACGGCCGACGACTTGTAGTTAGGCGGGTACCGCGCAATAATATCGTTGACAACCTTGTAGTTGGCCTACAGAAATGGCAGGAATTACCAAGGTCAGCGGCTTTGCGCTCGCCTGATGGCCCCAGTAAAGCCAGAGCTTAGCCCTTGCCGAGTGGCAATCCCAGCAAGCTGCTCGCCTCTGTAAAGTCGAAGGTCATGCTGGCATTGTTCTCGGGAGTGTCTTTATGGATGTTGAAAATGTCGGTAGAGTTGGTCGCAAAGCTGCATCGCTGAAGGAGCGAGGCCAGCGGCTGCACTGCTTTCGTCGTCACGTTAGAAGACTGCTGTGATGCAGCAGCAGACACAACGCGCCCCGCAAGCACCAGGGCCCTAGACAACATTTTGGGAAGAGCACGAAAACGGACACCCGCGACAGCGGCTAGACCACTAAAGGTGCCGGACCTGCGCCGTGCTACTGTAATGCGGTGCAGGATACTCTGTTGCACCTGCTTTGCATGTATGCATGGCGAAGCATACGGCTTCTTCCGTACGGCCATTCCTGCTTACATATTGCTTCGAGCTTCTTTGCATGTTCGCATGCGCATATATCTTGAGTACAAGTAGTATTTTGCAGCGCAATGGCTCTAGTTGATAACCAAGTTGCATGCACCACACTGCTTTTGCGGTGGATACCACGCATTACTGCCATCCGAGGCCCCGCCAATAACCCTCCACCCTCGATGCCACGGCTGCCCCACACCATGTTCACGCCACCTATGTATGACACCTGCTGTAACTATGCCCAAGGTGTGCTATTGTACCCGTGGTCAGACTGCACGCTGCTGCCACAGCAGCACCCTTCCATAATCCTACGAAGTCCTAACGAGCCGCGGTACGCGTCAATTGCCAAGGTAACTGCGTCAAGCCGCGGTACACCACAGAATTCCCTAGACACGGCAAATCCCTGTGGCCACGGTATGCACAAGTCATGGCAAGGGAATCACTTCTTCCGGGGCTGTCCCAGCGGCTTCAAGTACTTTGCTGCCAGCTCCTCTTGCGTCTTCTTGCGATTCTCCAGGCAGCGCTGGTAGAGCTGGCACATGTACGCTTGCTGGCCCTCGGCGCTCACCTGGAGTGGAGCAGCAGGGCAGCGGGCGATAAAACAATGTAAGAAAGGGTATACCGGTACCTTTCCTTTGTGCCAGGCAAGTCAAGCAAGCTGCAAAGTAAGCGCGGACAAGGGAGCAAGTCAAAGTCCTGGACATCCACTCCTCTACGCCTGTAAACATTGCAGGTCCTCACACCGTTGCACGTCAGCAATACCAAGGCCCTCCCGCCCCTCCCAAGGGGCATCAGCGCGGGTTGGCGGCTCAGGTTCAGCGCCCTCCCTTCCGTCATGCACCCACCGTCTTCACCGGCGCCCAGTGCTCCTGTCCGTCCTCCCCAAACTTGAGCGTGACCAGCTGGATGCGGTCCGCGTCCTGCACGTTGCGGTCCTTGGGCTTGTACAGCCGCGCAATCATGGAGTCGTACTCGTCCTGCGTGTGTACGGCAATACGACAGTACGACCAGTGGTTAAACGAGACGCAAGGATGACAGGGCATGGTGACCAGGAGCGGGCAGCAACCCAACACGGCAACACGGTCCGCCCTCTCCGCCCCACCCGCCTCGAAAACACACTACCCGATACAAAGCACATCCCCGAGCACACAGGTGCAATACGCCAGACTCTCTCCATTCCACCACCCCCACCCTGCCTCCAACCTACCGCCGACAGCTTTTTGGAGTTGAAGACGGTCACAGCGCCCGGCACGAGGTCCTTCAGCGTGTTGCCCTCCTTGTCGCGGCTGTACTTGTCGATGTAGGCGTTGGTCATGCGCTCCAGCGCGTCACACAGCTCCTCGCCGCTGATGATCTTGCCCTGCGTCAGGAAGTGAGTTAGGAAGCAGGTTCGGAAATGGGTTAGCGAAGTGGGTTCGCAATGGGTTAAAAAAAGTGTCTTAGTAAATGGGTTAGGAAGCGAAGACACAGCGGAAGGGTTTGAGGGAACGGAGCCCCCCCACAGCGAGAGGGAGGGGATGTGCGACATCGGTTGAGCGGCAGCAGTTGAGCGGGCGGGATTTGGCTTTCTAACAGGCGTGCGCACATCCATCACGTGAACTGAGGCGCAAGCAAACCCTGTGTAGTGAAGCAGTAAATCGGCGGGCAGCCTTGGGCAGCAGCGGCGGATCTCACCGACTTGGGCAGGCGGTAGGTTCCCGTGAGCCACGGCCCCGTCTTGATCTTGGATGGCGAGGGCGGCTGCATGGCCATGTTGGCTAGCGACTCCACGGGCGCCTGCCGCTCCTGCTGCGTCACGCTGGCGGCGGAGCGCACACTGGCGTTGGAGGCGGAGGAGCGGCGCTTGCCGTCCGAGGGCTTGGTGGCCAGCTCGCCGGTGGTGCTGCCCTGGCGGGAGCGGATGACCTGAGGGCGGGTGGGGTTTGGGGTGCGGTGCACAGCCCGGGGTTGGCGAGAGGTTTAAGTATTCATGAGGGGGAAGGGAAGGGCTGGGTGTGAAGGGAAGGTTGCAGGGGAATGGCGTGGTATGGGTTTCGCGGTGGGAAGTACGTGGCGCAAGCCACGTAGCAAGTGTGCTTGGGTATCAAGCTCTACCTGCCCCAGCGGCAGTCGGTCCAATCCAAACCATGGAGCGCATTGCGTGGCCTGAACCCCACATCAATGCCACAACTGGCCGAGCACAATCACAAGGTCCTTGTTCCGCGTTAGCCCGCAGGCCCAGCCCTCAATCCAATCCGCTCCTCACCCCTCTGTTCCAGCTCTCCCACAAACCCCGTACCCGTTTGCACAAAGCCTTCTACCCTAGTACCCTCTCATCTCTCCGTACCTCGCGCGCCTGCTGCTGCGCCATCTCGTCCAACTCCGCATGCGCCTCAGGGCTTAGGGTGATGTCCGTGACCACGTCAGGGTGGTGGCTGGCCTCCGCCTCGCCCTCGCCCCCCGCACCAGCAGCAGCAGCGGCCTCCTCAGCGCCTCCCTCGCCCGCTTTGGGCGCGGCCTCAGCAGGCTCGTCTTCTGCGCCTGAAGCCGCGGACTCGTCGTCAGCGGCATCAGCAGCATCGGGTGCAGGAGCGGGAGCAGGCGGAGCAGCAGCGGCAGTCTCGTCACCGCTTGGCGCTGGCTGCTGGTCTTCGGCTGCATCAGGTGCCTTCTCGGGGGCGGGGGCGGGGGCGGGTGCAGGCTCACCCCCGTCAGCTGCGGCTTCTACCGCTGGCTCTGCAGGAGCAGGCTCGGGTGTCGCCTGAGGCTCGGCCTCAGCTGCTGGGGGAGCTGGTGCGGCTGGGGCCTCGGTTTCACCCTCAGGCGCGTCCGCGGCTGCGGCAGCGCTGGCATCAGCAGCAGCATCGTTACCATCTGTGGCAACCTCGGGCTTTGGTTCAGCTGCATCTCCAGCAGGAGCCCCAGCTGCGTCGTCACTTGCAACGACAGCATCGGCACTAGAAGCATCCGGTTGGACCTGCTCAGCAGCGTCAGCTGCTTCCCCAGAAGCCTACACGGAGATTGATATTATGTGCACAAAAGAATAGTCATCAACACGCTTTGGGCAATTTCGGGAACGTGAGATGGGTCTAGTACACAATTACTTCAAGCCTTTATTGCGCATGCGCTTACCGCAGATGGGAGCTCCTTCTCCGTATCTGACATCCTTCAGTGATCCGACCTTGAAAGATTGCAGGATTGCGAAGCGCGGTACCTTACGAGTGCAGCAAAGCCCCGTCAAACAAGGAATCTGTCGAGGTTTACTTTACACGTCACCAAGTTGATTTTAATGCCTTGAAGATTAACCATCTATGGAGCAATAGCGTGCTGAAGTGTATTACGTGCTACCTTCGAAGGGACGACCGTACAGCCTTCAGTTAACTGTACAGCTGCATCTCCCCAAAGCCGCAAAATACATTAAAGCTGTATACCCCCAAAACATATTTTTGTCTGACGGCATATCACATTCCCCGAATTCTTCCATGTATGTGAGACGGCTCAACTTCCACGGAAGCCATGCGCAACCAATATCCTGTGCGCGACGCAATGCTCGTGACAGGTCCCCAGGTCAGCCGACCCCGGGGACGAGGTACCTGTAAATCCGTGGGTACGGTTTACACTAAGCGGAAAAGGCTACCGTGGTTACAAAGGCAAACAACTCTACCGCTGCTTAGGATAAGGTGCATTATGGGCGCAGCGGCCGTGGGGGAAAGGTAGAGCAGGTGCGAGGGAGGGTGCGGTTGGTAGGGTGGCTGCTGCTAGGTTTGCGCTTGGGCGGCTAATTGCGGCTCGGCAGGTTTCGGCTGCCGCTGCCGCTGGACCCGCTGCTGGCCGCCAGCCGGTGGGAGCAAGCAATTCCATCTCCGAAGACTCGTTACGGATAATCGTCAGCCTGGGGTGAAGATGTGTCGTGCGGTTAAGTGGATGGGTACTGCTTCTCACCACAATACCTATATCCCACGCAGGCACTGTGTGTCCCTAACAATCATGTGAACGGCTTCTCCTAATGAAGTGAAACGCCTGTTGTACCCGATTTCCCTGATCCCTGCAGCATGCATGTGTTGGTGGAAAGAGACGCACAGGAACTTGGGTAGGTTTTTTTCCGGTAGGTGTGTTGTGCTTGCACGGGGTGTGTTGTGTTGTGTTTTGCACGGCACCGGATGGGTGCCATGTCAACGTGCCAGCGTCAGGACTTGCACTCATACTGGTAGTGAAGCCAGTGGCCCGCAAATTCATCCTCTCACCTCACGGTGCGAGCTGCTGCACACGGCTTCAGCATTCTTACAACGGTAGCCAGCGTGGAGTGGGGTAATCGCACCCGGAGTCTAGTCAAGGACACCGGAATCCTTCGGCTGAAGAGCAAGATTTGCTACAAGTTAGACCTCATCTGTACACTGTATGTACCAGACTCGAGCCTGGCGTTCCAGTCTGTGAGATACCGTACAGGTGATGGAGGCAGGAGCGGAGGTGCACTTTGTTTCTGAGTGCGCAGAGGTTTACTATTACGGTGACGTGCTGCTGACAGGAATTAAGGTAGCTGGGGCAATAGTCGCTGAGGCATTTGCCAGTGTTTTGGGGCTGTGGGTGTCGTGCAGCTGTTGCCTGCGGTTGTAGGGTCGTTGGCTGGCGGTGACACTTCCAGCTTCAGTCTGAGAGTCTGACGCTCGCCTGCTCTATATTGGTAATAACGAGCACATACCGTTGTGGACACCATCAGCTGCAGACCGACCCTAGGGTCTTTTTACCGCACTTATGTTACAGTTTCAGTCTGTACGCGCGTTCAGTGTGTCCGTACCAGCCAGGGGGGCCAAGGGCACTTATGTACATCCCCATGGAACGAAGTGAAGGGAGGGTGCAGTCGGCCACCTCTGCTTTCGGAAAACACCTGGCAACGTTCTTAAGGCATACAACTGAAAGGCTTGACATGCAAGACGTCAAAAGAAAAACCTGGCGTACTTCACCAAACCGCAAACAGACACAGTAAACATAATTCCTGTCATGCTTATTATGCAAACACCATAATCACGTGTTATGGCAACAGCTACTGCTTCTGCCTCACTCGTAACTCTTGACTTAGCAGTCAACATCTCATAATCCACATAACTACCATGCCGATGCGCCCCATGCATCAAGCACATGATCCCACAAGCCTACCATCAGGGCCCCGTATATTACAATCCCCTTATAAACATAAAGCTCAGTAACACTCAGCTCCGCAGTTACCCCGCTTGCTCACTCATGGCCTCATGCATCCCTTGCAGCGCATGTCAACATCATACATTCCCACCGCTAGAACCGCATACATCACACGGTCCCTGTCGCCCAGTTAGGCTCAACACAAGCTGCTCCAAGCCGGGCATAACCAGAGCACCTAGTTTCCTCCGCGCTCTCAGCATCGCAGCATGCAGCGCCGCCAAGAGCAACATCCACGCACAAGTATCGTACAGCCCCAACTTCCGCTTCCAGCCTTTCATCTCCTAACTCAGCCCCGTCGGAACGCAGCACTGCTTTCCGCCACCAGCGCCACCGCCCTGGCCTGAAGCGCCGCCGCCTGGTCCTGCACGTCATGCATGTACGACACACCCTCTCGTACTAACGGCTGTAGCGTGCCCTGCATGGTGGTTACCTGCGCCAGCACGGCAGGTTGCACGGCCGCCATCTGGGTCTGCACCGCTGAGACGTTACTAGCTACCAGTGTTGACAGCTGCGATTGTAGCGACTGGACCTGCGATCGTACGGCAGGCTGTACGGCAGCCATCTGGGTCTGCACCGTTGAGACGTTACCAGCCACCAACGTCGACAGCTGCGAGCGCAGCGACTGAACGTGCGATTGTACGGCAGGCTGTACGGCAGCTACCTGGGCTTGTACGGCCGACACATTGCCAGCCAGCGCTGAGAGCTGCAATTGCAGCTGCGATTGCACCTGCGTCCGAACCCTTGTTGTTTGCGTCATTGTGGAGTTCAGCACCGCACTAGCCCGGCTGCTGAGTGCGGATGCGTCCATGCCCCCGACACCGCTCGGCGCCAGTACCGCTGCAGCCACCACGCCAGCAGCGCAGGTCGCAACAAGGAACGCAACTGCAGCTGCTGCTCCGCCGCCGCTGCTGCTGCTGTTCGTGGTGCTGGGGCTGCTGCCGGCGGTGGTGATTGCGGCGGCATCCGAGGAAGAGTAAGCGTCCAGGGTAGCTGTGCTGGACATACCTGCCAGTGCGGCCGTGCTGAGGTATGGCATGGCGGTGACGGTTGCTGCTGGGGCGTCCGTTGCATGGGAGGTTGGAGCTGGCGTGGAGGTCTGCACGCGGAACAGCAGCACGAAAACGGCGAGAGGGTTACTCCTAGTGTGGAGTAGGCCCTCCATGTAAGCTGACATCAGTCATGCCCTGACCCAGATCACAACAACAGTGATGTTACAGAGTTGTATCCGACCCAAATCGCATCAACAACTGTACGGTATTTAGCGTCGTATTCGACCCAGATGGACAGATTCATTGCATGATCCGTTAAGCCCCTCAGCGACACCACACACCGGCATTGCCCCAGTTTGGCCACAGTTTTCGGCTGTGTCGCACCCTCCCCAGTTGTGTCGCACCTGCCCCACAGGCTGCTCCACCACGCCAGCCTCCTCCTCCGTCGCCAGGGCGGATGGCGATTGGGCCTCTGCGGTGGTGGCAAGGAACGTATGCGCAGCAGCGCGCCAACAAAGGAGGTAACTGTTGGCGCGCGAACAATAGTGCGGATAGGCAGCAGGAAGCCTGCAGCCGGTGCTTCAGTAACTACCGGCAGCAACGGCCGTAATGTTCATGTTTACAGCTTGTTTGCTTGCACAACATCGTACCCCTAACGTTTCCTTCTTCCTCAGCAGTGCAAGCGACTGTAATCGCAGCACTGGAGCACCTTAAATGCACAACGCACGCGAAACCATACCTGCCACTTGCACTACCTCCACGAACTGATGCTGCTCCATCTGCTGCTGCGCTGACGACGCGACTACTGCGGCAGACGCGGGTGTTGAAGCGGACGCCGGTGGCACTGCAGCGGCTGCGCTGTCCTGTTCAGCGGCCGGTGTGAACACGGGTGACATGGCGCCTGTGGAACCCCACGTGCAGCTCACGTCGAGGACGCCCGACTGGTCAGGGACGCAGAGGATGCGGTTGCCGCCGTCCTCCCATCGGATAATGGTGTTTGATTCCGCGTTGCAGACAACACACTGCAGCGGTGAAGGTACAAGCGGAAGGTCAGGTGCAAGAGCGCTGTGGGAGGAAAGCGTACTTGGCAAGGCTGCATGACATGCGTGACGCAGTAAAAGCGCACCGGAAATGCACAATTTATGGTGTCGCCTTTTTCGTTACCTTGAACTCGTAGCTCCCTGCGCCGATAGGCACCTCAGCAGTCCACACGTCTCCATCAGTCCATGTCAGCTGCAAGCCCTGGTCGGCTGACCATTCCCCTAGAAGAGGACTAGACCCAACAACCTGCTCGAGGTGGATAATATAGATGCACGGCCCTAACTTATTAGGAAGATCAACATGCAGGAAACGCTTTGCAGTGGAGGCGTTACCGGTAGTTGCGATAGAGGCTTACCCGAATGACTTCCCCATATTGTACGCGGTATGGCACCTTCATAACAACGACCGGTGAGTTCGCCGTAGCCACAACCTGCAACAAAGACGCCTTGAGCCGATCTGCAATGAATCGGCTTGACCCTGGATACACCTGGCTTACCTCGGTCTTGACTGCACAGCTGCACATAGGCTTTCGCGATGGGGCAATTGAACAGGTATTCAACCTGAAAGCGAGACCTCCTGCCGCAGCGAAAAGGAGAGCCCTACCTTCGTAAGAGCGCTGCTTGACAATACGCACCCAAAATAGTAACAAGGACTCGCCTTGACGGAATGGCACTGTGCAACCTTTCGTCGCGGCGCGAGGGCAGAATTTCTGCGCATCCACCCGGCCAGTCGTTGATACTCTCATTGTCGCCTAAGGGCACGATTCTGGAATTCGTGTCTAGTGCTTGTGCCTTTGTCCCAATAACGTATCGTTATTGGGGCAAAATAGTGCTCAAAGGTGTTGCTCAGATACTAGCTGTGCGCTAGGTTTTTGAGCCCTTTTACCGCTTATTAGCATTTATTCGTTTCCTCTACCCATTAACGCTGACCTTGCATAGCAGAAAGGCCATGGCCTTGTCAACCTGTGGTTCTGGAGCGTCAATTATTCGCTCTTCAGGAGCTTCGGTCCCCCTTGTAACTTTCGCATTCTTAGTAGCCCTAGAGGTAGTGCCAAAACAGTGACATAAAGCCTCCCTTTGGTTGGGTGAGATGTCGAAATCTACTAGGCATGGTGTAATAGTGTAGGCGTGAAAAGTGCAGCGTTAAGAAGAAAGGGATGGCTGCATGAAGGTGGTGGCAAATGGCTATTTACAGGGCATCGTAGGTAGAAGACTGTCATTCCAACATCATATGCGACGTTCCATTTCAACACGGCGAAGCAGGAGGTGCGATGAGAACAGAGCGCCATAAAGACTTATATCCATACCCGACTATCGCGTTAAAACAGGCGGCAAGTGTGTAAAAATGTGAACAGCCGTAGGGAGTGAGGTTAGACAGCGTTATCAAGCAAGCCATGGTGGCAACCGTTGGTACGCTCTATGTTCCTGCTGCTGCCCAGCCACTTCTGCTTGTTGCTTCTCACGCTTTTTGCTCAAAATTTTGCTTGTTTGCATGTGTTTCCATCCATACTTTCCTATCATAGCAAGGACTTTGCTCGCGACATCATGACCACGACGCCGTATGAAGGCATGGCTGAACAATTTCAATCCCATAACCACAGCTACGACAGCGTCTAACCGCTTCGCGTGCGTGCGGCGCGTCTCCGAGGGCGTAACTACCATGCGCCTTTCGCTTGCAAGTCGGACTGACGCACTCTTTCTGGCGTCGCTTTTTGACACAATCATTTTATATAATCTAGTATTTGATGGCTTCAGCTTGGGTGTACTCCTATCCGAAGCCCGAAACGGACGTCGTTCGCCGCGGGGCAGTGTGTTCCGGCGTAGCTCTTTTCAGACACTTAAAAAGCATGCGACACAGCAAATGCCTTTCCTGGTCTCGCCTTCTTTCATGCTACCCCGCCATACGGTTCTGGAGCCGAGAAAACGCGTTCGTACAGTAGCAATTTGCGGGCGTAACTTTAACGGCGTGCCTTCATAATCTGCAGATGCGGAATCTGCAGATTTCACATCATGTATAAAGCCTTGCTTCATTTGGGCTACACGTTACATGGCGTTACTGCGCAGTTGCTCAGTTCTGGTTTAGCAGCAAGCGCATTGACTGCTGATGTGTACATGTTCGAATGACGACGACACTCTTATTATATCCAGCTTGCAATAGGTGACGTGCGACCCCATAGTGCCGAGTCTGCATTGCCCATAAGCTGCAGCAACGACGCCGACGGCCATACCTGTAAATAACAGCCGCGAAGCAAGCATAAAGTTCAACTCTAACTAACAGTAGGAGAATGCCTGGACAGAAGGCTTTAGACGGTGTTTTACGCTTTTGCGCGCTGGCCTCGCCGTCGCTGGCACTTATTGTGTGCGTTATAGCCTCAACTCGTCTTACGGATGCTTCTCCAGCGCCTGCGGACAGCGTTAGCGATGAAGCAACTGTTACGGCCCCATTGGCTCGCCTGCGGGCTCAGAGTCCCCAGCAGCTGTTCCATGCGGAGGTGTGCTCCCAGACCGTCATTCAGCTATACCCTTTGTACGCTTCCGAGGCCTCATGGTAAGGTGGAGTAAGAATACCATTATCAACCTTACAGGGGCTGACCGGGAGAACTGTGCAAGATACAAAACCTGCTCGCACGATCAGGGATAAACGGCATTCTGTGGCGAGTGGACAAGGTTCTACCACCCCACCTAACATACTTACGTTGGCGCCGCCCCACACGTCTGCATAACGCGGCACATGCCACATCCAGCTCTTACACATTTCCCGTCCCGCGGTTGTTACTCACTGCAGGTTTTCATGCAACGTTACCCCATCGTCTCTAGCGATGGAAGCGGGACCAATCCAGGGCAGTGAAATCGTGTTTCATTTGACCTTCCTGTCGTACGACGGCCTGGATCGGTTTCGGAACAGCATGTCTCAGAGCCGTATCTGGGAGGGCCTGTTGGGTGCCATGGGGGTGGGCTGTGGCTCCCAAGCTGGCTACCAGGACTCGAGCGGCCTGGCAGACTTTAGTGTGTGCGGGGCTTCGGAGCAGGCGCCCGACTGCAGGTGAGAAAAAGGGTGAGGAGAACCACGGGTCCTATGGGGTCGAGTAGGGTCCGAGAAAGATGGGGACGAGGTCGGCCATGGCAGGGTGTGGATGGCGTACTCCGAGTGAGGAGGAGTGGGCAGGAGGCCTGTAGGAACATAGGGCAGGCCAAGTCGGAGAAGGGACGGCACCGTATAGCACTGCCATTGCTAGCCTTACGCTCTCTTTACTATTCTGCGTACTCGATGTGTGAGCCCTCCTCCCATCCTACCTCCCAAACCGCAGGGTGCTGCTTCCCTCCCTGCGCTGCTTCCCGCCACCCTCGCCCCCGCCCTCACCACCACCGCCGTCACCGCCGCCCAGCCCCAGTCCGCTGCCGCCGCCGCCGCCACCACCGCTGGAATGCACTGTGTCGATTGCCGTATTTAAGCCGGGCGCGCGGTTTAACTACGCCACATGCGACACACTGCTTGTGTACAACAGCCTTATGTTTACTGACGGTGAGTGCTGTTGTACTTGTTGTTGTACTTGCACAAACGAGGTCTTGAGCACACTCCCGTTGGCGAGTTATGGTGTTTCGGCATACGCGGGCGTCCTACGGATTATTGACTTGCTTTGAGGAAGGTTCACGCCCAAGATAACCTCACGCTGCGTCTCTCTGTCGCCCAGGGGTGAGAGTGCAGAATCCCTTCATGTGCTCGCTGAGCGGCAATCGGGACATTGTCAGCATACGTGGCGTCGTGGCGTCAATGCAGGATGCGGCAGCTTTCACAAGGAATGCACAAACGACAGGTAGGTTATCCTAAGGACGCGCACAATGTTCACAATCAGTGCAAACACGGTTCTACCGGTATGCTTGATACGGTACTGTCCCGGCCGTTTTCCCCCATTCCGTTTCCTGCCCACTACTTGCATGAAGTGTGTGATGCTGCCCTACGAATCCCATGGCAAATGCGGTGCCTTTCCAAACTATCCTGCCATTTCGTCCTTCCTCCGTGCCTCACCCCACACAGCCCTGGTGGAGAAGGTGGCCATGCAGTTTAACCTCTCTTGCACCGATTCTGTCACCTTCGACGCGAGCACATGCGGTGGCTCCCCTGCCTACCTCCTCTATACGGGCCAGGCGCTGCCCTCCAGCATCTGCTCCCGGCCGCCACCGCCGCCTAGCCCCATACCACCATCTCCTGAACCCTCGCCGCCGCCAACACCCTCGCCGCCGCCGCCGTCACCACCACCGGTGCCGCCGTCATTGCCGTTGCCGCCACCGCGCCTGCCATATCCTCCAAGAGGTCCCTATCCGCCGTATTCTCCATATTTCCCGGATCCACCCAGCCCGCCAAGTCCACCGGTGCCGCCGCCAGACATGCCGCCGCCGGACCAGCCGTCGCCGCCGCCGGACCAGCCGTCGCCACCGCCGGACCAGCCGCCACCGGACCAGCCGTCGCCGCCGCCGGACGTGCCGCCACCGGACCAGCCGTCGCCACCGCCAGACCATCCGCCGCCGGACCAGCCGTCGCCACCGCCAGACCATCCGCCGCCGGACCAGCCGTCGCCACCGCCGGACCATCCGCCACCGGACCAGCCGTCGCCGCCGCCGGACCATCCGCCACCGGACCAGCCATCGCCGCCGCCGAGCCAGCCGCCACCGGACCAGCCGTCGCCACCACCAGACATGCCGCCGCCGGACCAGCCATCGCCGCCGCCGAGCCAGCCGCCACCGGACCAGCCGTCGCCACCGCCAGACCATCCGCCACCGGACCAGCCGTCGCCGCCGCCGAGCCAGCCGCCACCGGACCAGCCGTCGCCACCACCAGACATGCCGCCGCCGGACCAGCCGCCGCCATCCCCGCCTTCACCGCCGCGCACCCCGCAGTACCCGCTGTATCCGCCGAGGCCGCCGAGGCCACCACGGACACCCCGGCCTCCTAGTCCGCCGCCGCCACCGCGAAGCAACAGGCGCCGTCTGTAGGACTTTGCTAGTGTCACATGTGAGGACCAGCAGCAAAGACAGCAGCAAGGGCGCTCCTTACCGATACAGCTATGCAGGGCAGAAGCATATAAAGCGATGGCACTCATTCGCTAAGCAGGATGGCGTAGGACGCCTGTACGTGGCCTGCCCTTGATTCAAGGCGCTCCGCGAGGACGCTGCTTGGAAGCAAGGAAACAGCCATAGTGATACCCCCCGGGCTTAAGGTGCTCTCTTTTTGCCTATTTGGGCAACAGGGGTCAAGCCGCAAAATAAAGACGTACGACTCCGTACTTTCGCAAGGTGTTCAGTTCATGAGGGTACCAAGCGGTCAAGCGATTCTTTCCGCCCGAGGATAAAGGCAACAATGTGACCTAGTACAATTAGGTCCTGGGGTGAAGGTACAATGTATGTTGTGAACAGCGTTCATCTGACATATTTGCTTCAGCGTTGTCTAGAAGCCTGTTGTTTGTCAGGAAGTGGCTGTCGTACGTTCACTTATGTGTTCGTTTGCTTGGTGTATGAAACCGTCAGCTTCACAGATCGTGGGGCGCGCCCCCTACCCCCCAATAAAAAGGCGAGGCCGGCGAGGCAGGGGCAGGGGGCGGCGGCGTATGGCGGACGGTTCGGCCGAAGGCATGCATGCGAAGGGCGGAGCAGTTTGGGCGCACAGGGAGAGAGGGGCAGGGCGTAAGTTATGGGGTTTTAACGTTTGGCGGGGTAAGGCGTGTATATGCGAAGGGGTTGATATGCTGTGGAGGGGGTATTATGATGCGAGGGGATCGAGGAGCAAACGCGCTTTGGTATGTACATTATGCCGCAGGATGATATGCCGCCAGTGCGCGGTAGGCACTTGCCATGAGCGATGTTCCAATTCAACGCGCGAAGCAGGAGGTGCGATGTAGAACGGAGCGCCATAAATACTTCATATAAATACCCGACTACCGCGGTAGGATCAGGCGGCAAGTGTTTAAAAACGTGAACAGCCGTAGGGAGTGAGGTTGGACAGCGTTATCAAGCAAGCCATGGTGGCAACCACTGGTACGCACGACGGAAGAAAGCAAGGTCGTAGCGCATGTTAATACGTCTGACGTGATGTACTGTTTAGCAAATCCAGGGTAAGGACAAGGCGGGGAGGGAGTCCCTGACGCCGCGACACCTATGCTTCCTGTTGCCCGTGCTGTGGTTGAGCAGCTTGAGGTCAAGTTGGGTGATGTGGGTCCTCGGGCTGCTTTGTGGTTGGTTTTGCCTCCCTCGGGCGTGCAGCAGTGTGTTTGGGATATTGTTGTTCTGGGTGCTTTGTCTGCTATGGAGGAGGGTCGGCGGTTTTTGCGTGCGAAGGCTCGCCATACAACATAGCTTTCACATGCTTACGCCGCTCTATGTTCCTGCTGCTGCCCAGACACTTCTGCTTGTTGCTTCTCACGCTGTTGCTCACGGCACACTCTTGCTTGCTTGCACTGACCACGACGCTATATGAAAGCATGGCTGAACACTTTCATTCGCACAACCACAGCTACCACAGCTTCTAACCGCTTCGCGTGCGTGCGGCGCGTCTCCGAGGGCGTAACTACCATGGCTTTCGCTTGCAAGTCGGATTGACGCTCTATCGCTCGCGTCGCTTTATTACACAAACACTATACATAATCTAGTAACTGGTGGCTTCAGTTTGGATGTATTCCTGTCCGAAGCCCGGCACGTACGTCGATGTGCCGTTCGCCGCGAAGCAGTGTGTTCCTCTTTTCATACACTGTATAAAGCTTGCGACACAGCAAATGACTTGCCTGGTTTCGCCTTCTTTCATGCTACCCCGCCGTACGGTTCTGGAGTTCGTACAGTAGCATTTTGCGGGCGTAACATTGACGGCGTGCCTTCACAATCTTCAGATTTCGCATAATGACTGGCCTAGCGAGTTGCGACATGCAGTTCGAGCGCTTTAACCGCAGTGGGAGTTGGAGGGGCTTGCACACGTGCTCATTTGCTCCGTTCTCCGGATCGACACGCAGACAGCGATACCGTGCGCATTTTACTAACATCAGCCGTATCAATGGTTTCTGCCAAGCGGCGCCAGCATCTTTAGCGCGACGACCGGTATGCCGGGCGACCAAGGCTCCATCCCTTGAAGAGGCTGGCTTGGACGTGAGTGATGTCGAGTACGCACTGCCGACAAATGGTGGAGACAACTTTGACTGGTTCAATGAATGGTACCCAGTCGCATTTACAAGGCAAGGTTGCAAATCAGGAGTTGGGATGGATGCCATTTTCCCCGTGTAGTATACGCCGCCTGCAACGATGCATCCTATAAATTACTCCGCAAAGTTAAGACCTTCCTCGCCCAGGGCTCTTTCTGTCTCTTCCCTTACGTTCCCGGCTGTCTCGGTCGGCCATGCCCCTGAAAAATGGCATCAGGCTACACGGCTAGGACTCTCCCTCTCCGGAGATCATTATCACACCACACTTTGGAATTTCTTTTTTCTCCGGAGATCATCCAACATCCAATATCCAAAATCGTTTGAAGAGAGTTAAACCAGTAACGCCTCCCTACTATTATTTCCCGCCATCCCCACTCCATTACAGTGACCTGGACAAGTCGCGCCCTCACCGCTTCGTGCTGCTGGACATCCCGCTGGTGCTGTGGTGGGAGGCGGGGGCGGGCGCGTGGCGGGTGCTTGAGGACGTGTGTCCGCACAGACTGGTACCTCTCAGGTGCGGCTGAGGTGGTTGAATAACTTGGAGGTAATGCCGGCAAGGGAGGAAAACGGTTACCTGACATTCTACCCCTCTGCTGCTTCCCTCCTGCCGCCTCCCTCATCCTACCGCCCCCGCAGCGAGGGCCGCATCACCCCGGCCGGCCAGCTGGAGTGCGGCTACCATGGCTGGGCCTTCAGCGGTCATGGGCGATGCGAGCGGGTGCCGCAGGTGGGCTGCCGCGGATGGCTGGCGATGGGGGCCGGGGCGCGGTGCGTGAAGCATGACCTGGCTTTGCCTGACTCGGCAGGTGCCTGGTGTTTGAGGAGCGCGGATGACGGGATGAATGGTAACGATCGGTAACACCGTGCATGACCCGTGGGTCGCTGAACCTGCCTGGATTGCATCTTTCGGTTTTCTGCATGTATGGAAAACACACTTAATTCCAACCACTCACACTAGTCCACCTATATTGCGGAACTCCCTTCCTCCTCCTGCCCATCCCTCACGCAGCAAGGCAGGTACGACACCCCCCGCGCCTGCGCCACCGCCTACCCCGCAGCGGAGCGTCAGGGGCTGCTGTTCGTACTGCCCAAGCCGCTTCCGCCGCCCCTGAGACTTGCCGCGTCAGCAGGAGGCAGCGGCGGCGCCCCCAATGCCGACCTAGCGGCCGCACTGGCGGAGGCGGCGGAGGCGGAGGCGCGCATTCCCCTGGTGACGGAACTGGAGGAGCCGGGAGGTGGAGGCTGGGTGGCGCAGGTACGGCAGCACGGGAGTATAGTGTACGGCAGTGTTAGAGTGATGTACGACAGTGTCAAGGTCATGCAAGCTTTCATTGCTTTGCCCTAACCTGTGATTTGTTGCATGCTTGCCCCGCCCTTCAGGACGTGTGGCGAGATCTGCCGTACGACTGGTCCACCCTGATGGAGAACGTGCTGGACTCCAGCCACGTGCCCTTCACGCACCATGCGTCCATGAGCAACCGCGACGTCATTGTGAGGAGGGAAAGCGGGAGAGGGGACCCGAGGGGGGTTTAGGAGGGAAGGGGAAGGAGAAGAAGAAAGCAGCATGTTGTGAACGATACCGTAGTGGGTTGGGAGGGAGGAGGGTTCTAATCTGCCTTTCCTTAGAAGGCGGAAAGAAGTGCAGGGAGTGGAGGGAGTGAAGGAGAGGGAAAGGATAACCGACCTACTAGGAGGGGGCTGGGATAGAGGGGCGGCGGCTGTGGCGTCTATGGTATTCCTACATGCCTCCCGACCTACGTGCCCCCTCTTCCCCATCCGCCCCCCTGCACGCAGGGCCCCTACGACCTCAAGCTCACCTCGCCCCTCACACAGCAGGGCTTCACCGGCATGTGGAAGACGGGTGAGTGATACGCTGATACCCGCATTCCCGCATTCCCCGCTGGAGCCACGCAGCGTGGCGTGGCGTGGCGGGCACACCTGTAACGTACATCAGCTAGCGGCAGCAGCATGTGCAGTTCTTCACCGCGTGTGTACGGTAGTTGTGGGTTGCCGTACCGTTTATGTTGTCGTACGGCCAGGGCTTCCACTTGCCCCTCGCTCGCTCTCTGCTCTCACTCCTGCCCGCCCTTGTTCCCCGACTCCCCGGCCTCCACACATCACATGACATGCATGCATGCGCGTAAGGACCCCGGGCGGGCAAGCTGGGCTCGCAGTCCACCCAGTTCGTAGCGCCGGGCTTCATGCGACACAGGCTGGATGGCGGTGCCTTTTCATCGCTGACGGTGGTGTATGCGGGTGGGTAGGAGGGATTAGTGACATGGCTGGGGGGTGGTACAGGATAGAGACACGTGGGCGGGTGGGTGAATGGGTGGGCCTGTGCATGGGAGGGTGGTGCGTGGGAGGGTGGGGGGTGCGAAGGATTACCGTATCAGTACCATGCGGGTGGGTGAGGGAGTGAGTGGGTGAGTGGGTGGGTGCTCCATGATTGCATGTTGCTTGCGGCGTTCGAGCTTCCCGGCCTTCCCACCTCACCTGGCCCTGTAATTACTGCGATACATGCCCTCTTCTTCGTGCCTCGAGCGAGCCCCTGCCCCTGCATCCCTCCCTCCCTCCCTCCCTCCCTGCCTCCCTCCCTGCAAACCATGATGACGCGTTATCACACGGTTAGTTAGCTGTTTCCTCTTTACCTCCCCGCCTCCCTCCATGCCTCCCTCCCCCATGTTCCCTCCCCCGCAGTGCCCATGCGCCCGGGCAAGTGCCGCCTGATCAACCGCAACATCATCCGCTTCAACACCAACCCGCTGCTGGGGGGGTTGTTCAGGTGATGGGGGCGGGCGGGCGGTGTAACGGGGGGTGTAGGGGTTGTGTGGGGTTGTCGCAATGGGACGGCAGGGACTTCCACCGCCCATCCGCTGCTGGCCGGGCTGTTCAGGTGGGGGGTGCTGTATGAAGGGGCCTAGGTCCCTTCCGGATACCGGTAGCAATGCTCTTGCCCTTACTCCAGCCCCGTCTCATGCTGTACAACTGCATGCCCTGCTGCTCCCTAATTCGGTACATCCCCGCCACTTGCCACCCAGTGCCGCCACCACCAGTCAACGCATGGTATACTGGTGTTAACCTCCTCTTCCGCCCTGCTGCCCACCAAAGGCTGCTCCCCCGCTGGGCCTCCCACCTGGGGGCCCATGTGCTGCTGGAGGATGACCAGCTGTTCCTGCACGTGGGGGAGCAGGAGCTGGCGAGGCGGCGGGCGGCGGGGCTGACGCATGCGCAGGTGGGGTGGGGTGGGGGCGGAAGGATTGTCACCACGTACGGCTACGGCTAGTGGTTTCAACATTAACCACCCCAACGCCTCTGGTATTAACGGCCGTGCGGCTAAAACACTGTATCGGACTCCGCGCATGACAGGTCTGCTACATGCCCTCACCCGCCGACACCTACGTCATCGCCTTCAACCGCTGGCTCCAGAATTTCGGCGGCGGCGGCCCTTTTGGCGGCGCCGACGCGGGCTTTGTAGAAGCCCTGGGCGCGCGGCTGAGTCGGCAGCAGCTGCTGGACCGTTACTCGCAACACACCGAGCAGTGCGCCTCGTGCCAACGGGGGTTGCGACTGGTGACGTCAGCACGTAGCGCGGCCACCGCCGTCACCGTCGCAGCGGCGCTGCTGGCGGTCTTCTGCGCCTCAGTGGGCGTGGCGGCGGTGGCGGCAGCAGCAGCGGCGGCTGCGCCGCATGCCAGCGGCGGCGGCTCCGCCGCCGCCGCCGCCGCTGCCGCGGCGGCAGCCGGAGGCGGCGGCTTCGCCGCCGCCTTCGGATCCGTACTCGTACACGTGGCGACGGCCTTGGCGGGGCCTTACGACCCGACGGGTGTCGTACAGCTGTTGCGGGCGGCAGCATGGGCGGCGGTGGCGGCGGCGGCGGCGCTGGCTGGATCAAGGTTGGATGAGCTGAGGCAGCGGTTCTATGAAGGGGTGTACCCGCCGCCGCGTAACCTCTCGTAGCGCTGGTCCGGCTGCATGCCCGTGCTGCATGTCTGGTGTCGGGAGGTAAAGTGATGTCCAATGCATGGCAGGTTGATAGCGCCGGTGTTGTGTGATGCAGCAGCAGGGGGAATATATACTGCTTTCATTGGAGTGGCTACTGTGTGACCCGCGGGTCAGCAATGCATGGAGAGTTGCACCCTTAAGCAATGTCCCGTTTTCCTCCCTAAGTGTGGGAGTTTTGGTTAACATGCGTGACATGGTTCGTGCACGTCTTCTAAAGGATTGTGTCTGAATGCATCACAATTAGTACAAACTATTTTCGGTGAGCTGTGGACTGAAGTGCAGTAAATGAGGAGGGGAAGCTCTTGTTAACAATGCAACAGGGGCTGCCGCATGCTGCTCCATGCGAGGAACTTGTGTGTTCTGCGTTGCTCCTGACATTCCTGAGACGCTGCCAAGCCGTAAAGAAAAGTGAGTGTCGAGATTGTTAGCGAGAGTGCGACAGTATGGAGTGGGGTCTTGGCATGGAACATACATCCGTTGTCCCGGAGAAGGGAACAAATGCCGTTGGTTGGGAACTTGGGATTCTGACCCCAGATACGATGGTGTCTATGCCAGCTGAGTGTCTGCTTAGGAATCAGCGTTTGAAGGCGATGTCGGCCCAGTGCTAGGCTTACAAAGCGCTCAAGCCGCGGCCAGCCGCGGTGCATTGCATGGAGTTCTCTACTCCGCTCCCGGGGAAGAAGCCGGTATTACATCACCCCAAGAACCCCACATGTCACGAGCACGAGCATTTCTCTCCGCCTCGGTCCTCCGTTTTTGTTTTACCCACATACGTTTAAACCATTACCGGTGCATTCGTTACATACCACCACATCATTATCACCACCATCATCATCAGCATCAGCATCAACAGCCTCACAGCAGCGACAGCGACTCGATGGCTTGCCGCTCCCGCTGCAGTCGCCGCTGCAGCTTGGGACCCTCCAGCAGCGCCTCAACCTGGGGGGCCCGGATGCGGGGGGAGGAAGGGAGGGGGAGGCAGGGGGGAGGTAAGGAATCCATCCTAGCAGACTGTAGACGAAGAGGAGAGTGAAGGAACGGAGCAGGCCCTCTGGGGTTAAAAGGACGGCGTCCTGCATGCTTACGTTCCTGCCTTGCTCTGCTGCCTTGCTGCGACACATGCACTAACACTCCCCACCCAATACCCCCTTTTCGTGCTCTCCTTCCCTTCTGGGTCGGCTGCCTAGGACTCTTATCCCTTCGGTGCCTACTTCACCCCTACTCAACCCAACGCCCAACCCCCCCTCCCACTTGTCGTGCCGTCTGCAGCACCGCCCCCACGATAATGAGCAGGCTGGTGCTGCCCAGGCTCGCCCCCAGCGCCCGTACACACGCGCCGTCGTACAGCTGTGCCGCCACCGCCAGCCCCCCCAGACATGCGCCTCCCAGCAGCTTGCACTGGCGCAGACGGGTGCGCAGGAAGCGCTCGGTGGGCTCGCCGGGAACCACACCCCGGAGGCCCACGTTCATCTGGGGTAAGGTAGGGAAAGAAGGAAGGGGATTAGTACCGTAGGGATACATACCAGCCCCCTTCCTCAAATAATCCAGCCAAGTGCGGAGTATGTATCCGTGTTACCCCCGCTCCCGCTCACCATTCCAAAGTACTCCGCCACCTCCTTGGGCTCCACGCCCCCAAGCGGCAGCAGCTCCAGCGCCGCCACCGTCACCCCGTACCCCGCCAGCCCCCACCAGCTGCCCGCCAGCGCCGCCGACAGCGCGGCAGCCGCCCCCGCGCCCCCGCCCGCCCACTCCACCAGACGCGGCAGGAAGCCGTAGTAGACTGCGCCGCCCAGCACGATGGACTGTGCGCGGGGGAGGGGGGGCGAGGGAGGAGCAAGGAGTGGAGGCGATCGGACGAACAAGAGGGAAGTGCAGCAAGTGGAGTCCCCATCCCATGTTCCGAGGGAAGGCGGGAGGGGGGAAGGAGGGAAGGGAGAGCATGCCTACGGAAGTGAGCACTCAGATGTAGAGCACGCAGGTGATCCAGGAGAGGGCATAACCAGGGAACCCCTTCTCCTCCTCCTGTGCCCTTCGCGCCCTCCCCCCCACCTTACCATCATGCCAGATGAGGACAGCTGCAGTGGGAAGTACTCCCCGCCGTGACTCCCCGCCGCCCCCGGTCCGGAACCACTGCCACTGCCGGCCCCCGAGCCATGCGATCCAGAAGAAGAGGCAGCAGCAGCAGCAGCAGCAGCTGGGCTGCCGCTCCCACCACCGCCTGCTGCTGCGGCGGCGGCTCCCCCACCTGCTCCAGCCCCTCCCCGCTGCCGCATGCGCTCGCTGCTCTTGCGCTGAGACAGCAGGCGAGCCTGTGCGATCAGGTCTTGCTGCGAGGAGGGGGAGGGAGGGGAGGGTGGGAGGGAGGTACCGTAAGGGGTGAGTACTAATGGGGGCTGCTCATCAGTCGAGAAATCCCCTCCCTCCCCCCATGCACCCCCTCACCACCCTCACCCCTGCTCTCCCTCCCACCCACCATGCCTCCCCCTCCTCCTCCGCCTCCATCCCCGTGCGGCGGCGGAGGCGCACTAGCCGCGTAGTGCACCAGCGGCAGCCGCAGCTCCGCGGCGGTGAGGGCGGTGCAGGCGGCCACAAGGCCCAGGTAGCCGCCCAGGACCTGAGGGAGGGGGGAAGCAGGAGGGAAGGAAGCAGGGAGAGGCCCATGGGTCGGCGGCCTGATCGGACAATAATGTCTGTTTGTAGGGCTGTACTGCCGTACGCTACTAGGCGTACGTGTCCACATCAGGGGTATCCGCAGTAGCCGTGTTACCCTGCATCCCACATAGCGTGTCGTATACGTATTAAGTATACGTGTTTCGCATGTTTTTGCTCTTGGAATGGTACCGCACGCTGTATCAAGGAGCTGGGTTATCATCTCTCGCGCGCGCGATCCTCCCTCCCTCCCTTCGCTCACCGCCAGCAGTGTCAGCGGTGAGAGCAGGCGGGCGGACAGCGCGGAGGCGACCGTATGGAGCGTGGAGGCGTAGTCTGGGTGGGTGGGTGGGTTGAGGACATGAGGAGGGGTGGGTTGGGGAGGGGTGGGAGGAGTCAGAGTACATACCGGTATCATGCAGCTCAAAAAACCTCAAACCTCTGTTACGCACCCGGCAAACCTGGCATGATGCTATATCAGGAATACCACACCCACCCATGCTATGTAACGAATACCACACACACACCCCCACCTGACATGATGTTGGCGCATATCACCAGCGACGAGCCGTTCCCCAGCCCCGCTGCGCTGATGGTGGCGGCGCACATCTGCGTCACCGCGCTGCCCGCCACCAGCGCCAGACCCGTCAGCGGCACGAAGGGGCCGCCGCCGCCGCACAGAGCGGCGGGGCGCAGCTGCAGCGCGCGCAGGAGGGCCTGAGGGGGAGGGGGGGAGGTGGCGGGGTTGGGTGGCGGGACGGGGGTTAAAAATTATATAAGAAATGCAAACAACTAAGTCCCAATCCCATATCCCGACTCATGCAGGACGGGGGTTGAGGGGTGGGATCTTCACCAGCAACAACGACAGGTCCACGAACCCCCCTTGCTCCCTCCCTTCCCTCCTGTTACCCTCCTGCCCTCTCCCTTCCTTCCTCCCTCATACATGCAGTTCTCCTCCCTCCCTTCCAACCCCTCCCTACCAGGTACACCGCGAATCCCAGCGCCATCCAGTTCATCGCCTCATTCAGCACCGCCTCGCCCGCCCGCCCCTCCCGCCGAGCCTCCCGTAGCCGCCCCAGCCACTCGCCCAGCCCCCCAAGCAGCCGCCCCCCGCCACCACCACCGGGGCCCAGCAGCTCCGCCGGCACCACCAGCAGCAGCGAGAGCGCCATGGAGGCGTTCACGAAGGGGGAGATGCCCAGGTCGTACAGCGAGGCGGGGATGTCGTACGTTTGGCCGTACAGCACCTTGATGAGGCGCTCGCCTGCATGCGCGGGGTGTGTAGGGAGGAGGGTATAGGGAAGCGGGGAGGGGGAGTTGGGTGAGTGAGGGAATGAGGGTGGTGAGCAGCGAGGCTCGCTGCCCCCCCACCGTCACCTCCTCCGGGGTCCACCTGCCCTCGTGGCTTCATGCTACCAGCAATCCTGCATGCTCCCAGCTCACCCCCCAACCGTCCTCCCAAGTCAAGTCCCTTGTAATGTCCACCCGCACTGAGGAGGGGCTGGGTCCCCCATCCCGGATGCCTCCCAGCCCGCACCTGCCGAGCTGGCCGCAGCCGCGCCCGCCCCCGCGGCCCCCAGGTCCACCCCCGGCAGCGGGATGAAGTGGCCCGCCCGAATGACCGCCAGCAGCCCCAGTGTGAGGGCGGCGCGGGAGAGCAGCTCGCGGTGGGAGGAGAGGGCGGAGAGCAGGCGGAGGAGCCAGCGGGGCAGGGGCAGGGAGGAGGGGAGGGAGGAGCTGGAGGGAGGAAGGAAGGGAGAGGAGGGGAGGGGAGGGGAGACGGCTGGGAGGAGGGATGGACGTGGTAGGGTAAGGGGTGTGGCTCAGCCACACCCACATCGCAATCCAGAAGTCACCAGATGGGCTTAGGGAATGCAAGCTGGGAGCTTGAATGGGGTTCAACATGCCGATGACTCACCCTAAACTAGCTGGGCAGCTTGCTCCTTGCAGCTCCTGAGGATCCATGCCGGATTGCTGCCATCCGCCGCCCGCAGCTGCGCCTCTTCTCCGAGCACATGGACTGCGCTGGCTCAGTAGGTGCTGTCTACTATGAAATTGACATAAAATATCACAAGATGCTTTCCTCAAGCGTCGGGTCGACGATGAACACAAAGTGCGTGCGCATGACCAAGACCGGTTACGTCCCAAGAATTGCGCGTTAACTTTTAAACAGTTAGCTGGTTTGCTAGTTAGTGAGGCGTGTTCAGGATAATAGCAAAGAGCCGACATCACATATGCGCGGACTTGCCGCAAACTGCAGCAAAGCCTGCCTAGATCAAGCTTGCGAGCAGTAACAAGCTTGCAACTGAAGGAAAGATGCACGTTACACTTACTTCATAGCTGCGCGAGGGCGCGAGGTTGCATTGGTGCCAGAGCTGTACGACAAACCGCGCAAACCGCTTGGCGTTTGCTGAACTACATTCGCATAGCCGACACAGCAAACGGCGAAGGTACAAAACGGTAGTTGCCTGAGTCGCCTGTCTGCACTGGTATTGACAGTTGCATACTTTCCTTATAGCGCAACACCTTCGCCTGGCTGCCAAGCGAACAGCACCCACAGCAAGCCTAAAACTTTATGCTTGTCAACTCTGCAGCTACTCAATTAACACACAACCGGAATCCGCAATCCAGGGCCTACCAGCGTCAGAAGGCACACCTTCATTCACCTGCTGCACCCCATTTACAGCCACCTTTTTCATCCTAATTATCCAGAACTCACGACGACGGCTACTCATCATCAATCCAAAGCAAGGCAGCGCGGCACATGGGCGCCGCTTTCAGCTCTCCGCGAGGAGCCATTCCAACCATGGCATCCTCACCCACACCACCTCCTCAATCCTCCTTCTCACCCCTAGCACGTGTCCCTCACGGAACCCTCAGCGCAGCTTACGCCGACCTTTGCGAAGGACCCTGGCCCGGCTCCGGCCAGCTTCCTGTCGTATACCATCCGTCGTACAACATCAGCTTCATGGGCTTTGAAAAGCTGCATCCCTTCGACTCGTGCAAGTTCGCCAAAGTGGTTTCGGAGCTTCGAAAGCGGGGGGTGCTGCGGGAGGGGCAGGTGAGCCGGGGGAAGGGTTACCAGCTGCTGAGAGGTGTGACCCAGATGGCACTCCTCCCTGAACACGTGCGCAATGCTCCCTTGCACATGAACCCACTCACGTGCAACACCTCTCGCTTTCCCCTTCTGCCCTCCTCCTCCTCTTCTCCCACCTCAACCATACCTTTTGGAAAGCCACATCTTTCGATGTGAAAGATCCTGCTAACACTACTACCCCGTGCCACCTCCATCTCATCCCCGCCCCCGCCCAGACCAGCACCCCCCGCGAGGCCGACCCCGGCACGGTGCTGTCCGACGTGCACACGGCCGACTACCTGCACCGCATACACCACGAGAACTTCACAGTCGTGCAGGTGGGGGCAGGGGGGGGGAAACATAAGGAAACTGAGGAGCTGTAGGTGGGGCTATAGGTGGGGGCGGGTGGAGGGCGGGGAGAAGGGAAGGGGAGAAGGAGGGGAGGCATCTACCACCACGACTACAAACACCCCCCGCCTTGCAACACACCATGCCATGTCCCGCTCCTCTGCCTCCCTCCCCGCTCCCCTCCCCCCCTCCCTCCCTCCCCCCCTCCCACCCGGGCCCCCAGGTGACGGAGCTGCCGGCGCTGTCCTTGCTGCCCAACGTGCTGCTGCAGAACAAGGTGGTGCAGCCCATGAGGTGGGGAGGGGGGGGTCCCATGGGTTGAGCTGAGGGGGATGATGGAAGGGTTTGGAGGGGACTCTGTCTCCGCATGCGCTGACGGCCGCCTTCCCCCCCAAACCCGCATTGCTCTCCTCCCTACTGAGCTCTTCAACTCCTCCTACCCTGCACTCCAGCCCCGCACGCCCTCCCCTCCCCCCTCGCCTCGCCTCCCCTCCCCTCCCCCTCAGGCTGCATGTGGGCGGCACCATGCTGGCTGCCGGCCTAGCCCTGGAGCGCGGCTGGGCCATCAACCTGGGTGGAGGCATGCACCACGCGGCGGCGGACCGGGGCATGGGCTGGTGCCCCTTCGACGACATCGCGCTGGCGGTGCGGCGGGTGCGGCGGGCGGTGGCGGCAGCGGCAGGGGAGCAGCAGGGGAGGGTGGTGGCTGATGGCGATGATGGAGCTTTTGCTAGTGCGGCTGGTGTTGCTAAAGTGCAGGCTGGGGCTGCGGAGGCTAGCACCGGCCGTGGTGGTAGTGGTTGTGGAGGGCAGGGCAGCAGTAGTGGCACCAGCGGCAGTGGGGTGCTGCGGGTGCTGCTGGTGGATCTGGATGCGCACCAGGGCAATGGGGTGGAGCGGGTGAGGAGGGGGAGGAGGAGGGGAGGGGGCGGGGTGGGTGAGGTGAAAGACCATACCAAAACGTGGGAAACCACATGTTGGGGTGCGGGGAGGGAAGGAGGGAAGCGGAGGACATGGGGGAGGGGCCTTGGGTTCTTGGGCCCTGGGAATAGGAGATAGAGACGCTGTTGCCTCATTGCTTTAACCGCCTGCATGCCTGCCACCCGACTCCAGTCATGCTTCGCAGCTATAACCCATCCCATCCCCGCCCCCCACCCCGCCCCCCCCCACCTTACTCCTCCCCTCTCCCCCCCCCAGGACAAGCTCTCCCTCCCCCTCCCCGACTTCCACATCCTGGACGCCTACAACGCGCTCATCTTCCCGCGCGACGAGACCGCCAAGGCCGCCATCGACATCCCGCTGGAGCTCAGTCCGGGCACAGGGGACGAGGAGTACCTGGGGCGGCTGCGGGAGGCGCTGGAGTCGGTGCTGGGGGCGGGTGAGGAGGGTGAGGAGGAGGGGGGTGAGGAGGAGGGGGGTGAGGAGGAGGAGGAGGAGGAGAGCGGTGGGGGTGTCGTACTGGCCATGAGGTCCATGACCACGGAACGCTTGGCTGGCATTGCAGAGGGAGAGGAGGGAGAGGAGGCAGAAGCCAACAAGCGGGCTACGGTTGGGGCTGGTGCTGCTGGTACTGCTGCCACCGCTGCAGGCGGGGTCGCGGCCAGAGGGGGTAGCAGCAGCAGCGGCGGCAGCGGCAGCAGCAGACTGAGGCACGTCTCCGGAACCACCACCAGCAGCAGCAGATTAGGAGGAGGAGGAGGCAGGCGGCGGGCACGAGGAGGCGTGCTGCCGGCGCCGCCGGACCTTGTAATCTACAACGCGGGTACGGACGTGCTTGCGGGTGACCCGCTGGGTCGGTTGGGGCTGAGCAGGCAGGGGGTGGTCGCGCGGGATGAGATGGTGTGGCGCTGGTGCCGCGACGTGGCGCGAGCCCCGGTGGTGATGCTGCTGAGTGGGGGCTACACGAAGGAGAGTGCGGGGGTGATTGCGGATTCGATTGAGAACCTGTTCCGGGTGTTTGGGCTTGCGGGGAATGAGAGTGGTGGGGGCGGGGACGGGGACGGGCACGGAGGTGGCAGTGGAGGAGTGGCTTTGAAGTCGGAGCTATGAGGCTGCTGCGGTGTGGTGGTGGTGGTGATGTGTATTGTGTACGTTACGCAAGGTGCGCAGCGTACGGCGAACGTTAAGTACAGGGGCAGCAAACAGAGGTTTCGGAGGCGCAGGGCAACATGGGTATGTGGGTGTAGCCCCTACATGTCCCATGTACCCGTTGTACCAGTATGGATGTTTGAATAACAGCCTGAGGGGGCTTTTCACGCTTCCTAGGGACGCGGAGTTGTGTTATGACTCGCAGTATTTGTTACTAATCTTGGATAACAGGAAGTGTGGAACCAAGCTTGTTGATGGATTGCACGGGGCGGTTATTCGGCTGCTGTACGTGTGCGTAGGTGTGGCTGCTGCATTTGGTTGCACTGCATGATGCTGCCAGGGAAACCCAGTTCCGGGGTTCCTGTCGGAGGGTGTCTGTGTAGGATGTACAGCAGCTCGGCAGGAAAGGAGCTGCCCCGCCCTGGGTCCACCTGCCCCTGTCACTGCTGCAGGGGCGAGGGTGTAGCTGCGCGTTGTAGCGTTTTACAACCGGTTTGGAGCATGGATGTGCAGAGGTGCGTGACTCTGGAGCAATTTTCATGCTATGGGAGCCGTGGTCACGAACAGGACCGGTCCCTCACCGAATGATGTCATGACACCCACGTTGATACACAGCAGTACCTGCCGTACTGCAGGCAGTTGCAGACTTTCCAAAGCCATGTTCGCTTCAAAAGCCTGAACCAAATAGTTATGCGGCCTGTTCACGTAATCGGTGCTTGACCTTACTTGTCCAGACTCAACCCTAGGGCCTTTGACCGACTTTCTTTTTAGTAAAAACCGATAGTCTGTACTTTTCATTTTTTTAACGGTGAACTGTGAAACTTATGGCTTCGATGCCTTCAGTGCCGCCTAGCGGACCCCCAGACGCGGTAGCCTCCTTCGACACAAATCTATATAGCTGCTGCTCGAATTGCTTTGTATGCTTACTAGGTAGCTGCCTACCCTGTGTGCTGTATGGCGACATCTACCATCGGTTACATGGCAGCAGCTTCATGTGGCAATGCTGCCTATCATGCTGGTGTGGCTGTATTGCGCGCTGCTGCTTTGCAGCTAACACGCGACGGAAACTGCGGTTAAAGTATGCGCTGAGGGAGGAGCCCTGCAGCGACTGTTGCGTCCACTTCTGGTAAGCCTTGCTTTGCCATCAAGGCGGTGGCGTGGATAGCGACTCATTCCCCGTCCGCGCCTGTCGCTACAGGTGCCACCAATGCGCGCTTTGCCAAGAAGCGCGAGAACTGCAGTACCGGTACCCCGCGGCGCCAGCAACTGCAGCCCCACCATTCACGCCGTATCCGCAACAGCCATTCCAGCACCAGCAGCACATGTAACGAGAGGGAGGCCTTCCTGGCCATACAGCTATTACAGACTAGGGGGCACTGCGCCAACCGATTAGGGTATTCCCATGTACATATAACGTAGCTATAGTACCGTGCCTGTGGCAAGGAGGGGCGCCCTTTCCCATCTCGGGTCGAGGCAAGCCCATCCTAGCCCCGCGGCGTAGTGTATGTCATGACGTCAGCCGGGACCCGGCTGTGCGCACATGTGAGCTCTGATCTGGGTCTTCCGATCAGCGCCGACCCTGCTGAGGGTTTCCTGGGGGCAATGACGGAGCCCCCGGAGATCTATTGCGGTACCTGGGCTGGCCCTCAAGGCTGGAGGCTGGAGGCCGGCCCAACCAAGCCAAGTGCGTGGAAACAGCTGTCTACTGAGCTCCTTGCTTTACAGGAATGGACCCATGTGATATGCCGCTTACATGCCTACTGTGACTTATGGCTGTGGGTTGAGCAAGAGCATGTTTGCGCCAGTTTGTGCCAGGCGTCTTGGCTCTGAAAGGGTGCTGATATCCGTACATAGTTTAGGGAGCCATGCAGGATACTGCAAGGGAAGGATATGTGGTGGGGATGATGGGGATTAACCTGCGGCCCTGTGTGGCCCATACACTTGCGTCGGGAACTTCCTTGTACATGAGATCATGACCGGTATATGTTTTGGATTGCTTTCGTTACTAGCTCGTATGGATTTAGTGCAGTAGCCATCTTTAGGTTCAATAAAAGGGGTCTGTGGTAGCTGCTGTGCGCTCGCCTCTCTGCCAATGGCGCTCTCTTTCTGGTCATTATTAAGCGCAGCAGCACAGCAATGTCGCTAGCACGCCTTGCGTGGCAATACTGTGAGTCATGACGAGGGGTGAAATAAGCATGTGGGTCGGGAGATGAGGGCGATGCTGTAGTGTCGGCTTGCGTTACACGCGTTGCCCTGGTGTGATATCTTGTCCAGTTATATACTTCGAGAACTAAAAAGTGTTGTAGCAAACATACACGCAAACGCAAACGATGTTCGTGGTGCGGCCGGTTCTCTGCGGGCGTTTCCGATGTACGGTATACGTACATTCGGAAACGTAGTTTGTAACGTTCCATCTACCCCTAAGCATCTTTAACCACAATGGATGCCAGATGAAGACCTGCACCACTTGCATGGGCACCGAAATCCCGCAAGGGGTCCTCCTTTGTTTTGCACTACTTCCCAACCTGCATGCCCATGCATTATGCCTAAATGAATGGAGCACAGATTGAAACACAAACGGTGTGCAGGTACGCTGCTGCTTGTGCACTCAAGTCAACGCACACACAACGTGCACTCATATGTAACTTCCGTACAAGTCACGCCTCAACTGCTGCTACTGCTCCTGCCTATTTGTAACAACGCCACAACACCCCGCTTAAGTAACCGCCCATCATCCAACTAGTTTACATTCACACGTACCCCTATCCCGTAACCTAACCCGCCGCAGTCCTCCCGCCCACCTGCTACCTTCTTTCCGCCCCTCAACCCCGCCACCCCCAACCATCCTTCCTTCACACCACCGCTGCAAGCATCACATCCGCCGCAATCACCCTGTCGCTAAAATGCCGCCGCATCGCCTCCAGCAGCCCACTCGCCGTGGCCTTATCCGTCAGCGGATCACACACCAGGTACACCTCCATGTCCCGATCCCGACTTGCCACCAACACCGCAGAGCTATCCGCAAACCACGCCAACTTGTTGGGCCTAGCCGCAGCAGCACCGCCTGCCGCCGCCGCCCCTCCCGGGGCCCCGCTGCCGCCGGCGGATGCGGAGGCAGCAGCAGCGGGCGAGTGCAGCAGGCTGTGGAGCTGTGCGTAGGAGGCTGCCAGGCGGGCGGCGCCGGCGGGGTCGCGGTGGCGGGGTGCGGGCGGGGAGAAGATGGCTTGTTGGGCGGCGTTGAAGCGCACCGCGTAGCTTAAGAGCGGGGTGTGACCGAACTTGCCGCCTGATGGGGGGAGGTGCGGAGGGTGCAAGGCTCGGGGTTGATGGTGCAGTGGCCAAATAGGACGGGGAAGATAGAGTGTATGGTGGGAGGCGTGCAGACGGCCAGCAATACACGCACCGACAGCGTCCCTCCCTGTCAGGTAAGGTGCATCCACCGTCCTCCCGCTAACCGAACGGCCCTCCAACCAGCTGTCGGCTATGCATCCCACCACCCAGGCGACCTACCCAGCGGTCGCGGCAGGTTCTCCACACTCAGCACATTCAGCTGCTCCTGCTGCTGGTGCGGCCGCTGCGAGTGGTGCAGCTGCTGCTGCTGAAGCCTCACCGCGCCGTCTCCAGCTGCTGCAGCACCCCCAGCAGCACCCGCAGCAGCAATCGCAGCTGCTGCAGCTGCTGCTGCGGTCCCCGGGTGTTGCGGGGGGCGCAGCGCCCGCAGTCGCGGCATGAGCCCCCGCGCAGTCGCCTGCTCCTCCAGCCACACGCGCGCCGCTGAGAGCTGGTGGAAGGACTCCGCACTGCCCGACAGCAGCACCAGGTACAGACCTGAGCGGGGGTAAGGGTAGTGGTAAACTAAGCCGCGGAAGCACTGACCCTGACCGTAGTTTGCCGGAGGATGAGATGGTGTAAGGAGAAAACAAAGTGAAGCACTGTGTTCTCATCCTGAGCCGAAGTGGGTGGTAAAGGTAAACGACAGGTTAGGAGTGACTTTGAACCAAGCTCGCTGGCTGCTAGCAGGGTAACAAGCACGGTGGGTTGGGTAGCCGGTAAGTGCTACATCCACCCACCAGACGAGGCGTCCAGGTAGTGGATGTAGGCGTGCAGGAAGGCGTCCGAGTTGAAGTGCGGGAGACACACCGGCGAGAAGGCCTCACCGTGACCATGCCTGCGACACGAGGGTGGGAGAGAGGAGCACCGACCCGTGAAAACATAGCGTCACCTACTGAGAGGTCGTAACACCAATACATGCGGTAGAGCACGGACTCCACGGTATATAATCCGCTCACTCCAGCCTTGGGTGGTCCAAGCGTGGTCCAAGGGACGAAGAGACACTGCCAATGCACTTGCGTTCCATAACACAACCACATTGCCGTGCGTTGCACAAGGACCCAACAGACAACACCCACACCCGCCCGCCCACCTGTAGGCGTTGTTGCACATGACAAAGTTGGCTAGCAGCAGCAGGTCATCCGGGTGCGGCTGCGGCTGCTGCCTGGCGCGGCACAAGGACACCAAGTGGGTGTCAGCCATCAGCAGGCCGTACACGGCTCCGGATTGCTGGTCAGGTGGGTGGTGGAAAGGAGAAGGGGAATAAGGAAAAGAGAATAACGGTAAGTCCAGGGAGAGGAGGAAGCCAACAGAGGATACCAAGTGGTTATATGAAGGTAACAGTGCAACACCAGGTCTTGCATTGCGTGACCGCCGATCCGCCCTCTGCAAGGGCAACCAAGGCCACAAAACAGGCGAAAAAACCGAAGCATGACAGGGCTGGGCAAGAACTCACCCGTACGGCATCGGAAAGCAGCTCCGAAACCACGATGCGGTCAGCGGCAGGCACCGGCAGCGGCTTGTACGCTCCCAGTAGGTAGGAGGCGTCGGCGGCCAGCAGCGTCACGAGGGAGCTCAGCACGCCGCCCACGCCGTCGAGTAAGGATCGCACGTCGTACGAGGGATTCCGCTGGATGATGCGCTCGATGCCTGAAGAAAGAAGTGGCGCACATGGGAAGGGGCAGTCCTCTTAAGCTACCGGTAAGCTGAGTAGCATGGTCTGAGAGGGTTGGAAAAAGCAAGCAAAGAAGCAGTGCCGGGCTTTGGACATGACCCCGCTGGCCATGTAAATGGGTTGCACGCCTCAGTAAGAGCTACTAACGTCCTAACTTTCCCGACCCACATCACTGCTGAGATCTTCCAAGGCAGCGGTGGAAGAGTTGCATTGTGTCCCACGGGTCGCTGCACTTACCACTTGTAACGATGAGCACCAGCTGCCCGTACAACAAGTCCAGCTGCTTCCGTAGCGCTGTAGCTGGCTCGCCAAGACTGGATGCCGCGACAAAATAGAGTGGCCCATGAAGCTTGAAGACAATGAGCGTGGAGCCCGAGCGTATGTGTTGTACGGCATCTCCTTGACTTTGTACGACAGAAACAAGCGCAGAGATGAGGGCCGTAAGGCCCACTAGAGACTTCTCGTCGCCGTTGTAGCTGTATATGGGTTTCCCGGCGGAGCTAAGGATGAAGAAATGTCTGGGGTATGTGTGCCATTGGGTGCCCTCATCGTCACAGGCAGAGGATGTGGAGGCGCTGGCGGTCGCTTCGGCGTCAGGCTCTCCCGCTCCTTCTTGGCTGGGTTGTTGGGCTGGTATCACGGCGTTGTCGGCTTCCGGTGGTGTTGCTGCTTGCTGGTTCGTCGTGCTAACGCTCTGCTGCCGACGTGACTGTTGCTGAAGCATTTGCGTCTGCAAGGTTAGGCTCGCCACCGCAGCCTCAATGGCTTCAACGCTTTCGCCGTCGGGCTGAGGGGCGGAAGGTGGAGTTGCTTTGAGTTCCATCAACGTTTCAACAGGGACCTCCAACCCAGATGTGGGCTCCGCTGTACTGGGCTCGTCTTCATCGTCCGAACGTCGCCCCGTGCTTGCAGCCCCGTCTTCCTCATCATCGTCATCGTAGGGCTGCGCTTGCTGCGCATCGTCGTCGACGGTAGGAGTCACCGCGACTGTGGTCGACAATGATCGGGTCGGCCCAGTGACGGATGCAGATCGCTCAACACACGCAGACTCCAGGACGGGCTCATCTAGGTCCATCGCAAAAGTAGCGCCAAAAGCAAGGCGTCAGTTGAGGGTCAGTTAAGAGCAGAGACTTGTACAAGTGCCTGACGGCAAGAAACCATTAGGTTTTTTCATATGATGTGCATGTGATCGGAGATAGTAAGAGGACCCTCCTCTTCCGGCGTTCCGGCCCTTGTCGTACAATGTACATGCGGCGATTTGAAGTCCTCAGCTGATCACATTTCACAGCTAGTCACATTCCTCTATTCTCAACGTTTGCGCGTTGCTACCTTACTTTCCAGCTTAGGGACAAGGGTATGGGTATCTGGCTCCGTGTTTAAAATGAGCGCTCCGCACTGGAGTGATATCAAGGAAGACCTGCTGTCGTCCTCCAAGCAACGTTTGTCTGGACTAGAGTCTTTAGAGGTATGCTACGCTGCTCCAAGCGTCTGTCCTGACAAACAAGTTGACTCCTGTCTGTTCGTCTCCACACTCAGACTTTGCTTAAGCAAACAAGCTTGGACAAGACGGAGCTTGGGGAGCTCCTAGATTTGTCTCCAAGCTTGCTGTCGGATTCAAGCTCAAAGGCAAGACAGCTGGACAAGCCATGTCAGATTGCGCCAGCTAGCTGCTAACTAATTTCCAATTTTGCCCACAGGTTGCGCAGCAAACGCTCGAGGCCCTGGGCCTCGTAATTCTACGTGCGGACACCTCCATTGTTCCTTACATCAACGGCCTTGTGCCCTGCGTGGTGCGTGATGATGACGGCTATGCTGACCAACTGCTGACTGCAACTGCGATGTTCTACAAGGGAATGCTTTAAGACTACCAGACCTGCTCTTTTCGGTTAGGCACCGCACCACGCCAGCCGTGTTTGGGAATTGCGTGGCATACACGCTCCCCACCCGAGCCAGGGTCTTGGTTAGACTGGGTGTTCCTTGCTAGTGAAGGGAGACTGCCTCACTCCTCTCCATTCGTACTTTGCAGGCTGAGCGCCTTGGTGACAGCCGGCAGCCGGTACGCACACAAGCGCTGCAGGTGCTGGTAGCCCTTTGCAAAGCACTTAAGCCCGAGCTTGTGCTTGACAAGTTCTCATCCCTTTGGCAACACAAGAACTGGAAGGTTAAGCAGGGGCTACTGGACGTCATCGCGGAGGTACGTGACCTGGCGTGCATGTCACTGCTTGCCAATTGCTCGTCCTGGGAAATGGCGTATGATGGGCCGCCTTCAATTCTGCTGTTGGTGGTCCGTCGCAGAGACCATTCGCAGCATACACACCACGATGCGTTCCTGACATCAACACTTGTTCCTGACTGGTTCAACTCATAGGTCGTCAGCACCGTCGGCGCCTCCTTTCTCGGCGGGCGCGACCAGAACAACGCTCTTCTGAAGCAGGTCGTGCGAATGCTGGAGGACCCTGACATGTAGGTTCTGAAGGCTCGGGCGCCCTGGGGACTGGTGTGGGTCATGACAACGTGCCACAGTCGATTCCGTCATGGGGTTTATCCTTTAGATGGGCGCTTCTTGAGTAACCTGGATATAGAGTCTCAGCTCCTGTTCACATATGGACTAGAAGATCTCTTTCCACAAGCGACGAGAAGGCTACGCGCTTATGCTAAACTACAAATGTGTTTTCGCCGTGCAGGGTCGTTCGCGAGGCGGCACAAGGATGCCTTAAGGAGATCTGCTGCCACGCTCCAGCCGCTGTCGCCAACACAATTCAGTCGTCCAACCTGCGGCCTGCAGTCCAGCGGGAGGCCCTTTCAAGGCTAGACCTCCAGACGGAGACGACAATGGCAGATGTGGCCGTCAAGCGCTCCAGTGGTGGCGTTTGCGCTGCCGACTCCAGCACAGACTACTCCGCACCGCTTGCTGCGAGCAGCGGCCGTGTCAGCAGCGGCGGCCTGGCCAGTTCATCTGCACCTGCCAGAGACACAGCAGCGCCCCGCCAAGTCGAGGCGCGTCGCCAAAGCGCTGCTAACGCCGGTCCTTCCCAGCCACCTGCGGCTCCACCCAAGCGCGGCGGCTTCAAGGATGGAGGCGGTGTCACTCTGGATGGAGATCTTCCGCCGGCAGCGCCTATTCCCATCACATCCGAGCGGGACCTGCGCGCTGAGCTGGAGGCCGCCACGGCGACCCTGGCGAAGGCGCCGGACACCGAGTGGCAGGACCGCATGGAGGCAATGCAGCGCGTGGAGGGCCTGGTGCTTGGCGGCGCCCTGGAGTACGAGTGCTTCTACGAGGCCATGAAGGGGCTGGCGCAGGTGCTCACCCAGCAGTTCAAGGAGCGTCGGTCTACGATTGCTCGGCAAGCCTGCCACCTGATTGGGGTCCTTGCGCGGGCGCTGGGGCCGCGCTTTGAGCCGCATGCGCTGACCCTGATGCCGACGCTGTTTGGCGTCCTGGTCATCACCGTCGCCGTCATGGCAGAATCTGCTGACATGGGCATGAAGGGCATCCTGCGGCACTGCCAGGCGCCACGCGTCCTGCAGGTCATCTCTGACGGCTTGTGCAAGGAGAAGAACCCGAAGACGCGGCAGTTCTGCGCAGGCTACCTCGTCCTGGTAAGTTCCCTAACTATGGAGGTGTTCTGTCTCGTTGAGTGCGTGGCATGGAGTACCTTGTTCCTTTGCAGGTTGCAATTACATCAACACCTTATCTCATAATTGACGTTACCTCCTATCCCTTGTAGATCCTGGAGGAGTGGGACGTGGGCGTGTGGGGCCGGAGCTTGGACCCGGTCGAGGTGGCTATCCGCGCCGGTGCCCAGGACTCCAACGCCGACACCCGCCAGTCAAGCCGCACCGCCATGGCGCTCTACAACAGCGCGCTGCCGGACCGCGCTCAGGCTTTCCTGAAGCGCCTGGACAGCGGGCTGCAGGACAAGCTGGCGTCAGGCCTTGGGGTTGCCAAACCAGGTTGGTAGAGCTTTGGTTCAGAACTTTGCAAATGGGGCGAGGCCATGTATTTCCCTGGATGCTGCGCTCCTCGGTTCCTAACCCATGCCTTGTCTGCTGCGCAGCCAAGCCGGCAGCAGGTGCTTCGCGGCAGTCCCTTAGCGCTGCCATTGCAGCCAACAAGCGCAGGGCGGCGGCAGCAGCGAACGCAGCTGGCGAGTCCGACATCCTAGTCGTGGCGTCAGGGCCGGTCAAGCGGGAGCCCGCGGCGGATTCGCAGCCAAACCCCGCAGCCGGGGCCGCTGCCGTTCCCCGCCCGCGGGGCCCCTCCCGCACCAGCAGTGCCGGAGAGCTACCGCCAGCCGAGGCGCAAGTGCGCCCAGCGGCTGCGCCTGCGCCACCTACCGCCAGCCGCCCCAGCCGGAAGTCCATTGCACTGCCGCCTGGTCGCATACCCGGGGGCTCGGCAGACCTGACGTCGCTTCTGGGCGAGAGCAGCGGCAGCGGTCTCCTCGGTAAGATATTGCGCGCTTTCAGATATCGACAAGCCATAATCCGGGTATTAATTCATCGATGGGGGGCACGGTATGTTGCGAGCGCTGAACACTTGATTGCATTAATGCTCTTGGCAGTTACGGCAGTGTGTGACAAGGTATGCCTTGTGCCTCTTGTGCTTTTCAGATCCGAGCACCCAGGCGCGTGTGGCGGCGCTGCGCAGCCGACGTGTTTCGGCGGTGCCGTTCGAGCCGGTTAAGGAGTCGGGAGCAGCGCGGATACCGCCCGCCTCCGTGCCTCCCACGGCACCCGCGATGCGCCTTTCATCGGATGGAACCGGCGCCTCCCGCGTACCATGCCCGCTGGGACCGGAGCAGCAGCCGAACCGCCTGCCGACTGCGCCAGGTCAGGAGCCCGAAGAGCAGCTAGACGGAGGGTACCACAGCTCATAGCACGCACGGGGTAGCATGGCTGTAGGATGAAGCAACGATGTTCGTGCGCGCGGGGTTAGCAGTAATGGGTGTTGACCTAAGAGGCGCTGCCCAAAAATGCATGTAGGTTGCATCCAGTGCAGGATCGTTCGTTTGTGCAGGAGCAGAACACGTTTAGTGTTTAATGTAGATTCGGTTATGGAACCGACCTGGGTTCCGATACGTGCATGTCAGGCGCATGAAGTTAGTATCGTCGTGGGCGAGTGAGGAAGACAGAAGAGCGAACGAACACGCAAACTGTTCACCGGGCTTTGACCCTGGTGTGTAATTTCCTCGCGCCATGTGCGCTTCTCCTTCCGAGCATGGCATTGCAATCACAACATGGTTCCAAGCGCTGCGATATAACGTTTCCATGCTGCTCCCTCCCATGCCGCAGCAGTACCAGCTGCCTCTGCGAGCGCGCGCTCAGTGGGAACGTGGCAAGCCGATAGGGACCGGAGCAGCGGCGCACCCGATGTAGGCGCGAACCCACCGGGCGCAAGCAGCGGGCATGTTCCTCTATCACGTGTCATTAGCGCAATCTATGGCGGTCCGCGCTCATGGAGTGACAAGGTGCGGCGCGATATCATGCGGAGAAGATCTATACCGCCAATGCTTTGGATTTGACCAACCTGGATAGCCACCATTAGGGTACCGTGTGAAAACAACCCATGTCCATTATGCTCACGTAGCTAACATAGCTCGCTGCTGCCAACCGTTACTGCTCTCCTGATCCAGGTTGAGGCCTTGTCAGCGCTAGCAGCCCACGTCCGCGCGAGCGTGCCGGGCGCCGGGGAGACATCCAGCACTATGGATGGTTCTTCTTGGCCGGGTCCCGTGCCGAGGGAGCTCACAGCCGAGCCGGAGAAGGTAGCCCAGTCACTGGAGCGCGTACGTGAGCGGCTGCTGGAGGCACTCGAGGATCCGCACCAGAAGGTGGGACCCTGCAGCCGTTTGCTGCTATACCCTTGACTCGGTTTGGCCGTTTTGTTTGTTGACTTGCTGGCTGGGGGCATGGGTGTGGCGTCTGCTTCCAATCCTTGAAGCGTGGACGGTTACCGTATATGCATTGTTATGGGGGTGCAGGTGCTGTCATCCGCTCTGTCGCTCTTTGCGGATGTGGTGCGGTACTATGGCCGTGTCATGGAGGCTCAGCTAGACCGGCTGCTTCCCGTCCTGCTGAACAAGGGCGCGGAGCAGAAGGAACAGTCCAAATCGCTTTGCGCGGAGGTGCTGGCCGGTGAGTGGGGTGCGGTGGGGCTGTAAGGCTCAAGCGCGTAGCAATGCGCCGCCACCGAGCAGGATTTCGTCAGCATGGCTAACCGGGACCCCTAGGAACTGCAGCAGCCTTGTCCGCTTGGCATGTCGTACCCGTCATGTTGGCAGCGGAGGCGTCGCTCTCACGCTCTGTCGCCTACCTGCCCTCGCAGAATGTGGCAAGGCGTATCGTCACGACCTCCTCATTCCGGCGCTCACCAAGTGCCTGGACGTTGTTAAGCCGCCGCGCGGCAAGCAGATGGCTCTGGAGTTCTTCCGAGCGCATCTGGACCAGTGGGGAGCCCTCAACGCCACGCAGCTCAAGTAGGCCGGGGTGCTGAGAAGCTTGATGACCGTGCCAACTGTCACCGCGCTACTAGCGTCGTTCGCTGCGCTGAACTGTTAGGCCTAGGGAAACAGCTCCAAGGACTATACTACAGTTGCGCTTTCCACTGCGTCTTGCTTTCAACACCCTAGCGCAACCCCTCAACATGCGGGTTGTTTCCTGTTCCGCTGACAGGCACTGGCTGGTTCGGCTGGCGCCGCTCCTAGACGACCGCGCACCTGAGCTCCGCAAGCGTGCCTCTGACGTCATGGACGCTCTCATGGCGGCGCCCTGGGCCCGTGAGCCCATCAACTACGTGGCCTACCAACACAACAACGCGGACGTGGTAAGATCGCCGGCCTGCCCTGCGCACATAGCTGTGTTGTGGCCTTGCGGGACCGTAATCGTGCGCCTGCCGCTGTTGGATCCTTCACTACACACAAAGTAGTGCTGCATGCAGCCAGTCTTCCCCGCTGTAGGCACAAGGCATCCTACCGCGCATTGCATGCATGGTGTATGCCAAGCTAACCTGCCCCGTCCTTACTCGCGCCGCACCAGGGACCACTTCGGCGCTACCTGAACGCACAGAGTTCACACGTGCCTGCTGCGGCTCCGAGCGGGATCGGCAGCGAACTTGGCGGCTTCGGCTCAGCGCAACCCCACTTGGCCGTTGCGGGTGCGCCGCCAGCGGCCACCAACGATTCGCGGCGGCAGCTACCCTCTGCAGCTCCCGCTGCGCCAGTGCAGATCCCCGCGCAGCCAGCTCCTCAGCCCTCATCTCGCTGGCCCGGTCAGGCGCCTGGCGGAATGGAGGATGCAAGGCAGGCGGCCGCAACGCCGCCAGCTGACGGCTACATGGTCCAGCCGGGCATCTCGATGCAAACGCAGCAGCCGGGTAAGGCTTTGGTTACGGTTGACGGAGGCCAAACGTCAGCAGGATTCAAGCCAGTAGCACGTGGACTTTGTTATTGCCCATGTCCATGTCCATGGCATGTGTGGCGTCTGTCGTGCTGCCCTCTTGCAGTCCCCTATCCAGATCTTGTGGGCTGTTCATGACATGCTTCGTATGCGTTCCGTTCCCCCTCCCCGCAGGCCGGACCTACGCTCCTGGCGCGCAGCCTTCTCAGACGCCGCCTGGCCAGGGCCCCGGTTCTGCTGCCGTGCGTCCCCCTTACGTTACACCTCCTGGCCCGAATCCAGCGGTGACGCCCCCAGTTGCTAGCTACACCAGCCAGGCCTACACCGGCCACCGACTGGGAGGGGCAGCAATTACACCTTCGCCGCTTCCCCGACGGCCGCTGCAGATCCCGCAAGATCCCAACTCGCAGCAGCTGCTCCTGACGCAGCTGCTGGACTCTGCCCGGGCGGCGGTTGGCGGCGACCCCGCCACCAACCCAGGGGCCAGCATGGACCAGCAGACGTCAGCGATGGAGCAGCTGGCTGATGCGGTGGAGGGCTGTGGCCGCGACGCCTGGGTCCGAATGTTCCCGCTGGTGAGGGCCTTTGGAAGTGCCACTTACGACAATTAACAGCCGCGGCCGATTAGGAGATAGCGCACGTGAAGTTGCTCGGTTTGCATGTGTACATGCCTTGCACAACATGTGCACTATCTACGGTGGCCTGCGCTGACGTCACGCCGTTGGCCCTGTCTTGTCCTGTCCTTGCGTAGCTCATGGTGGAGATCAGCGCTTGGGTGCAGCACCCCACCCGGCAAGTGCGCACCATGTCGTTCGGCCTTCTGAAGGAGCTGCTCGTACACCAGCCGCAACTCTTCACGGACAACAACCTTGAGAGCCAAGTCATGCTGCTGCTGCACGGCTCCGGGGATGCCGTCCGCGAGGTGAGCGTGTGAGCTCTGCGTGTTAGCGTAGCTGGAGGTTATATGCTGGAGGTTACATGGGGTTACCATTTCTGTGTTGGTGATGTTACACTAGCACTGCGGAGCCTTGCTTTTGCATACCGTTGAGCTGACCCGGGGTTATGTCTCTTTCGCACAGGTTTCCATGTATGCGGGCCAGGCGATGCGCGCGCTGCTGGCGCTCTGCAATGGACACCAGGCCATGCTGCTGCTTCAGCTGTTGCTGCCGCGTGAACGTGACGCCCACCGTCGCTCCAAGGACAAGGGCATGCGGCTGATTGCCGTACTAGACGGCATCCGGCAGCTGGCTGCCAGGTGCGCGGTTTGGTCAGAACCACGCAACGAAGCCCTCATTATTATGTTGTGTGGTATTCGCGCTACTGCTACCCGGGATCTGACTCTGCTCTGTCCTTTCTCGCCTGGGGTACTCTTCCGTCTTTCCCTGACAGGCTGGATCGGTCTGAGCTGCGCCAGCTGACGTTCAACCCTCACCCCGAGACGGGCACCACCCTGCTGGAGTCGCTGGTGCCGAACCTGGGCGACCCGGAGACGTCTGTGCGGCGGGGCGTGGTCGTCACGCTGGCAGACCTCTGGTTCCGCCTCGGCCACGGGTAAGGCCTGTTTTCCTGGCCTATGACTCTGCTCTGTGTAATCCAGACCATGTTTCCGCTTACTTCTTTGTCCTTTAGTTATCTGGTTGTGGAATCTGGAGCTGACGTGTCTTCGCGCCCTACTCGCCTTGCCTGCTGCAGGGTGCGGGACGTGCTGCAGGTGCTTGCTGGACAGTCGTTCAACCTTCTTTGCATCTACTATCTGAAGCTTCACAACGTCACCATCACCGCTGGAGAGCAGAACCCAACGGAGCACCCTCTGGTACTCGGCAGCGGCGCCTGACGGTCATGCCACCTAGAATGCGTGACTTAGTTTACGGCCGCTTAAGTGCCATTGACACTGCGGCGGACAGTTACTTGCGGTGATGCGCTTCCTGTGTGCTGGGTTGGATGTACTGGTATGCTTCGTCCCTTCTCTGCGCGCGATTAGGAACCACAATCCATGTACGGCAGCACGTCAGGATCACATGTCATACCGGCAGTAACGACTGGGGAGCAATACCCATTACTTACTCCTAGAATTTCGTCCTGAATTAAGTTCCGATGGTAGAGAGCTTTTCTAACCCGCATGATACGGTCGACTGCGACGCACGTACGACACTCCTTATGTAAGCTGTCTTGCGTTTGCAAACACAGCGTGCCACAGTGCATCCGCGTTTCTGTGCATCGTACTACTTGAATAAGCCAGCTCATCTGCATCCAGGTACGAGTAGTGTTACATTTGGTAGACGAGACAGGGAACGGAAACGTAAAGAGGACCATAAACACGCATGCATAGGCCCAAAACGAACGGGATACTGTCGAGATACGAGAAATCCTTCGAACGGGTTACTGTCTTAGTCATAGCATGTCAGGCCCACGATTTGCGCGGGAAGGAGGCAACCTATCAAGTCCAAACGCAAGCAACATGCATGCCACCGTCAAACGCTCCTTCTACGGCCGGGTGATGAGCGCGGTGCTGCTGCTGCTCGGAAACGCGTCCTTGAAATCGTTGTCAAAGTCAAGCTTGCCCGGTCCAAGCAGCCCACCGAGACCCCGGTTACTGTCGTTGGTGCGCAGCGTCTGGGGCTCAGTCACCAGCTTGGCTGCGGGCAGCAGGTTCAATAGCGGGGCCAACGGCGCGGCCTCCGTGCGAGGTGCCGCCTGCGGAGCAGCGTCGATGTGCGCAATCTTGGGAGGCGGCATCGCAGCCGACCGCTTGGCAGGTCGTTTGGCGGGACTGGTGATGGGGCCGGAAGACGGCAGGACAACGCCAGCGGCTGCGGTGTTCGGGCCGGCGGCAACAGGGGAGGACGCAGGGGGCACAGCAGGGGCGGTTGCGCGGTTGACGTTGGCAGCGCTGCTAAGGCCGAGGAGCCTGCTGGTGAGGTTCGGACGTGAGGTCGCAGCGCCGGTGCTGGCCATCGAGGGCGGCTCCAGGTTGCTTGAGAGGCCGGGGACGTAGTTGTCCGCCAGCCCGCCAGCCGTGGTGGTGGCAGTGGCGACGGCGTTGTGGCTGCCAGAGGTGAAGGACAGCATGTGGCCGCCAAACGGCGACTGCTGTGGTTGGGCGGAGCCCGTCTTGGCGCCCGTGGCAGCGGCGTGGCGCATGATGAGGCGCTGCGCAAAAGGTGCCCCGTGTTAGCGCTTGGTAGCCATATGCCGACATCCATCCTTGCACAGGCAAGGCATGCAATTACCATGCAGCTCTGCTCCCCTAAGAGCACACCCAATTTTACGCCAACCCTTACCTGAAGCTTCTCCGGCTGTGCCAGTACAAACTGGCTGAAGGCGTTGAACGAGGATGGTGCGGCGGCCGAGCTTGCTGCAGTGGTGCTTGCCGTGCTGCGGCCGCTTAGCGGCGCTGTCTCCATGGCTTGGGCCACCAGGGCCGCAAGGTCCAGAGGCCGGACGCCCGGAGGCATCAGCCGCTGCGGCGTGCCGGACTCCCGTGGGGTACCGATGTGGGAGAGCTCCTCGGGCGTCTCCGTAGCCACATCTGAGAAGTGTCGTGGCCGTGAGGTCTGCACGTCTGTGGCCGCATCCACCTTCTCCGCAGACCCGTCACCGGTTGTCGTGGTGGCGAGCTTGGGAACAGGGAATGGGCTGCAGCCACGTGACATGGCCGGCGGTGACTGCGGCTGAATCATCAGGTTCTGGGTCAGCGATGTGATCTGCTCCAGGGCCTGATCTTCCGAGATGGTATCGTCGTACAACCAGCCGATGACTTGGCGGACGCGCGTGTGCAGGTCAGTCTCGGCGTCGAGCTGCAACCAGTCAACAAGGTGAAGGCGGGAAATGTTCAGCAAACATGCAAGCTCCTCAGGCAATGCAGCGCTGCAAGAGCTCAAGCTACCTTTAGTCCGGTAATTAGTTGTCAGCGAAGTCCCAAGGGCACACGTCTAAGAGACTGGGTATATAACTGCATAGGACGGCGAGAGGCTGCCAGACTTAACTGGTGCAAGGGCTACTTACCATTGATGGCGGGTTGAGCGGAGTGTCCCATAGGTCAGCAAGCGCGTGCTCCGTAGTCGGAGACCCGGGGGCTGAGCGCGAGTAGGTTTTGTCGCATGGTGCTGGGGATAGCTGGCCTAACCCGGCCCTCGCTCCACGGCCGTTCCCGCCGGGCAACACGGCGTTCAGAAGGGCTTTTGTGCGGCGCTTCAGAGATGCCAGCTTGGTCCTGTGCTGCGCAGCCTGCTGCGCTAGCGCTATTTTGAGGTTGGTGACCTGCGGTACAGCAGTCGAAGGGGAAGCGCTCATGCTGTATCGGACCATCAACACCTATGTAAGCGTGCAAACTAGGTTCCGTGTCTTTGTAAATTCCCATCGTCGTAGCAGCGCAGCCTACCACACCTGCCATGCGTCTGTCTCGGCACCCTTGGCGGCCTGCTTCTCCGTCTCCAGACGGAGGTTAGCAAGTTGCAAATCCTGCATGAACGGATGGGGATCGGGCGGGGCTTACGGGCGCCGGACATGGGGTGTTCCACGCTATAGCGTGTGCGGACACACAGGAGAGGGATAGCAGCCGATCCGCTGTCTTACCTTGTTTTCGCGTTCGACGCGGACTTTGTCGTTCTCCAGCTCTACGCGTTGAAGGGCGAGGCGGTGCACCTGCACGCATTAAGGCTAAAGATAAAAAAACATCCAACGAACCAACCTTTCGGGGGTTTCCGAACCACGCAACCGTGCTTGGAAGACAGGAAAGCCAACCCTTACGGCAAACCAGCAAAGGCAACAGGAGCTGAACCGTCCGAACGAAATGCACCTTAGCAGCTAGCGCCCGGTTTTGCGACGCCAGCAAAGCAGCTTGGGACTCCGCATTCTCGGCTCTCTTATTTGCCTCCTGCAGGCTCAATTGTGCCTGTGCAGGCCAGACACCCAGTAGACCGTCAAGTGTTACTACTCGGCAGCATTCCGGGTTGCATGCTCTTAGTTACGACAGCGCTAGTTGCAGACTAGCAGGACAAGAAACGTGACCAGGTTTTAGGTGCTAGGCAACACATCATCGACAGCCCTGTTGAAAGAGGTAGGGCAAATGTACCTGCTCGACCTCAGCTTGAAGACGCCTGATTTCATTATCCTTTCGACGGCCCAGCCCAAACATGGCGTATGATGGTCGAGTCCCTTTGGTGTTCGGTCCGTCCCGGTCTACGCTAGGTCGTTGTTAGGTCATAAGGACTGCACGTGCTGCGGCAGGGCTTCCGCCTGGGTTATAGTAATGTCAAGTAAGTATGCTCCATGTTCTGTCCTCAGAGCTGTCAGTATTGGATCCGCCTGCTGTACGGCATGTCCGAACACATTGCAAAACGGATTACGCGGATGCTCGTTGCCTATATCCTCCTTGTAGCTGTGTGATTGATATGAAGGTGTATATATGGTTATACAAAATTAACTTAGATTGAAACTAAGCCTAGCTGGCACAGGAAAGGCCAATTGACATCGCAAGGATGCCTTTGGCCGACTTACTATCCCCTGACCTCATGCAGCAACTGCAACAGATAGCGGTGGATTTGCAACAGCATCTGCATCTCGCAGGAAGGCGCATAACTCCTCTCTGCGATGACGCCCGCGCTTGGCTTAATGCCCTAGCTGAGGGCATGGATGCCGCCACCATTATGATCTACACGTTTGCATTCTTCGTCTTGTGGTGGCTGTTTCTGTCGGCAGTAGGATGGTTGCTTCGGCCCCTTGTAGAGCGGGGTCCCAAGGTCATCTTCTTCGACGTCTTCCATTCCATCCCGCCTATAGCGGCGAGGATAAAGTCTGAGAAAGCCAAGCTTAGTAATCAAATTATCGCCAACCGTGCTGCACAAGGCACTGAGCGGCTGCTTTCCCTTCCACGGCGAGGTACGCCAGCTGTCGAGGTCTTGTCGGAGCTTCGCAAGCGTGCGGCTAGGGACGTGCAGGTATGTAAGCCGGAGGTATAGCATCTGGGTCATTCCAATGGGCAGGTACCCATCAGTTGGCGCGGAAAGCAGTTGGGTTAGGAAAAGCCAAGTAGTAACACTGGGTGACGCAAGGAGATATGAAGGGGTACGACAATATATTCAGGTGGTTTGCGAACTATGATAGGCATAACGGTGCACGTACGAACCACATGTGAGCGTTTGTCGCCAAGCCAAACCTACCTCGTCTTGCAACCTTCCCAACCAGTAGTAGTAGTCATTAGCTCATTACCCTCTAACCCTTTCCTCACCCCGCCAAGTCCACGTCAGTCCCGGCCCACGCAAGCAACCCCACGCGCACCCCAACCCCAACCGCCTCCCGCGACCCTGAAAATCCACCTTTAGCTTTGTCCTCAGTAATCTACCTCCCTCTCCACAACTTCACCTCTACTTTGATTTCCCTTCTCCTCCCCTGGTAGCTGCTGCGCGATGGCGAGTCCCCTCTGAGCGGTGCCGTCTACATGCCGGCTCGGGGCCTACACCGCGCGTTGTTGGACGACGTGCACCGCCTCTTCAGCCTCACCAACCCGCTTCACCCGGACGCCTTCCCCAGCGTGCGCCAGATGGAGGCGGAGGTGGTGGCGGTGACCGCGGGGCTGCTGGGAGGCGGGCTGGGAGGCGCCAACCCCAACGTAAGGGGGGATTAGATAAACTGAGCCGCGGAAACACTGACCCTGACCGTAGGTTACCGGAAATTGCTTGATGGTGTTCCGGACGCCGAAGTATAGTAACCAGCGTCGTAAGGGGGGCAGAGGAGAGAGGACACGGCTTGGAAGCCCCTGATGCTGTGGCAACTTTGCAGTTAACGCGCTTCTCCAGGATTGCCCCTGTACCCTAGTCCCGTGTGCTCAGGAAGCTGCCCGGTCACATCTGCCCTTTCCTCTGTTGCCCCTTTCTGGTGTCGCACAGGTGTGCGGCGCCATGACGTCTGGCGGCACGGAGAGCATCCTGTCTGCTGTGAAGGCCAGCCGGGACTACATGGCGCAGCGGAAGGGCATCCGCAAGCCCGAGATGATTATCGGCGTTTCCGCGCATGCAGCCTACTGGAAGGTGGGTATGGGGCAAGGGGAAGGGGAACAGTCAGGGGGCTGTGGGATGCAGCAGATGATGTGTGCTTTCAACGGTGTGTGCGGCTTAACGCAGCGACGAGGACCGTCGTTCCAACGGTTTGCCAGCCTGCCAGTATGAGCGGCTCAGCAGCTGATAGTCGGTGCCATATGCGCGTATGCGTCATTGAGTGACCCAAATCATGCTTTGTTGGGCATTATCCCACTGACCCAGATCATGTTTAGTTCGACGCTATCCGAGCGACCCAGATCACGTTTAGTTGGATCCTATCCAAGTGACCCAGATCGTGCTTTGTTGGGCTGCCTCTCGTACTCTCGTAGGCGGCAGAGTACTTCAAGATCAAGCTGCACGTGGTGCCGGTGGGCCGCGACTTCCGGCTCTCCGCTGCCGCCGTGCGCCGCCGCATGAACCGCAACACGGTGCTGGTGGTAGCCTCGGCGCCCGGCTTCCCGCATGGAGTGGTGGACGACGTGCAGGTGCGTTGAGAGTGTTGGAGGGGGCAGATCGAGAGTGGACGGTGGGGAAGCATGGGTGCACTTGAGGTTTGGTAGTTTGCGTTTGCATTTGCGTTCCAAAGTGCAGGAATCGCCGTCTCACGACCGCTTTTGCCGAAGCCACTGCCGTTGATACCGGTATACCACTACCACACCGCATCCTCCTCCCCTGCAGGGCATCGCGCGGCTGGCTGCCTCCTCTGGCGTGTGCTGCCATGTGGATGCATGCCTTGGCGGCTTCTGCCTGCCCTTTGTGCGGAAGCTGGGGCGCAGGGTGCCGCCCTTCGACTTCCGGGTCCGCGGCGTCACGTCCATGTCGGTGAGTCAAGACCAAAGAGGAAGAAACTGACGAGCTGTAGAAACCGACGGAGGCGGGCTGTATGTTGGTGGGTAGGGTGGCAGTGCGTTGGGCGGGTTTGCCAGGCGTGGCTGCCAAGCCATGCATCCGAGCCTGGAGCGGAGTGCCGTACGCAATTTCCTAACGCCCAGTCCATTCGCCACAACCCGCCCCACCCCACCTCACCACCCCACAACAGGTGGACACGCACAAGTTCGGCATGGCGCACAAGGGCACCAGCGTGGTCCTCTACAGCTGCCGCGAGCTGCGCACCCACCAGTACACCCGCGTCACGGACTGGTCGGGTGGCCTGTACATCTCGCCGGGCCTGGCGGGCAGCCGCCCCGGCGCACTCATCGCCTCCGCATGGGCCTCCCTGGTGCACCTGGGCGAGGAGGGGCTCATGGCCGCCACGTCCGCCATCCTGGCCGCACGAGACACGCTGGTTCAGGGCATCGCCAACCAGATCCCCGAGCTTGAGGTTCTGGGCGAGCCGGAGATGGGCGTGGTGGCATTCCGAAGCACCGTCCGGGAGGTTGACATCTTCGTGCTCAACGACTGGCTAACCGCCAACGGTGGCTGGCACCTGAACGCGCTGCAGGCGCCGCCCGCGCTGCACTTTTGCTTCACCGCGATGAACGCCGACATGGCGGGGCCGCTGGTGGGAGCGTTGAAGCGCGGCGTGGCGGAGCTCAAGGCGATGAAGCCGGCGGAGGCCAAGGCGGCGGCGACCCGTGGGTCAGCCCCGATTTACGGCCTGGCGAACACCACGGTTGACCGTGACCTGGTGGGGGAGTTTCTGGTGGCCTTCCAGGACGTGATGCTGATGCCGTGAGGGGTGGGGTGGTGGTGGGTGGGATACGGAGGGTTGGGTTACCGAGAGGCGAGGGAGAGGGACTGTACGGGGATAATCGGCCGGACTCTGGACGGCAGGAGAACTAAGTACCCGGAAGGGAATTTACGAATGGGGGGCAGTGGTGGAGGAAGATGAGGAAAGGGGGTAGTGCTGGGAGGGCGAGGTGGTTAAGTAGTGAGCGGGAGTGAAGAGCGGAGGAGGGAGGGTGGCTTGTCAGGGTTTAGGCATTGCTCTGACGTTAGCTGACTCTTCACATTGCAAATGGGGGGTTTCCGCTGCGACGCTGTTTCCTCCGGTGGTGGTGGCTGCTGGCTGATGCAAGCATGCAGATGGTGTAGGCACGACAGGTGTCAAGGTGCGACTGACATGTAGACCGGTGCAGTATGAGCAGAGAAGCTTATCAGGTGTACCCGCATGCAAGCAACCTGAGGGAGCTTGTTACGCATTACGTTTCATGCATGAGGATTTCAGATGTTACATTTGCAGGCTTAGTGGTGACGGTAGCGCGTAGTATGGGGTGTCATGACGGACAAGGGGAAGAAACAGTGTCAAGGCTAACAGCCGAGCATGTACCGTATTTAAGGGGTCCTGTACGCCAACCTCGTATTTTCTCTTTTCCTGGCATGCCCAGAGCCCACACCGTGCCGCATTACGCATGGTGCGCATCCTCCATGCAACAACGTCGCTCTCTTTCTTCCCGGACTCCTACTCCCGCTCCTCGTCTCATCCGCAGCTTGCAAGCCACTGCTACCAACGTCCCCTCCCACAGGGTGCAGCGATTGCTATGTTGCAGCCCGCGCCGCCACCGCCATGCAATTGCGAAACTGTCACATTGCCCTTTGGGCATACCAGGATGCTGCACCCATCGGCTGCGCTTGCATAGTTACTCGCGCCGAGTCGGCTTTGGCAAGTTATGAAATCTCTCTCTCGCTGCCACGCGTGCGTTCTGATGTCCCTGCCTGCTACTGCTGGTCTCGCAGGGGAGGTGGTCTGAGGACCTGCAAGAAGAGGAGGGCGAAGGGCGACCGCGGTCGGTGCACCCTTACCGCAGGAACACCTAGGCCCTCGGCCGCAAGACGCAAAATATCCAGGCCCAACCTTGCGCCCTCCGAAACCCTTGGCTCGCAGGCCCTAATGTCTTAGAACCCCAGTACGACGGCACCCAGCCCCACCCACCTGCGCTGCCTAGGTTGCCCCCCACATCAGGCCTCCCCTACGCCTCGTCCTAACTCGCGCACGCCTCGCTACCAGCCCCGCCCCCCTGCCTCAGTCCCCCTCCCCGACCCACCTGCGCTAGGTAGGGAGCCGCCGCCCCCAGCGCAAAGCCCAGGCAGTTGCCCACCAGCGGCAGCTTGTCGTCCGTACGGCTCAACACGGGGCCCAACCCGAAGTTCACGAACAGGCTGCCCCACACCGGCGAGAAGATGAGCAGCCACACCCAGCGCCGTTGAACAATGCCTGAGCGGAGGAGGAGAAGGAAGACGACCACGGAAGAGATGTTGCGTGATGCGAACGCGGATCGGCTGTTGCACAGCAAGCAACTAAACAAAGGGCTTGCACTCACGCCATGCATCAGCAGCATGGCCCCCCTCCCTCCTCCCTGTCCCTCAATGCCTCTGCTGTACCTGCCTCCTACAGCCTGCCTCCTACATCCTGCCCACCAGCAGCAGCCCCCCTGGCACCCCTTCCCCCCCCTACCCTGCGGCTCCAGCTTTGACACGAAGCCCGCCACCAGCCCCCCCGCGATGCTGGTGGCCAGAGTGAAGTAGTACTGCTCCTCGGGCAGTCCGGGCACCACCGCACAGCCCCCCGGGCGGCCCAGGCAGTCCATGAGCACCCCGGCGCTGGTGAGGAGCGCGGTGGCCTCACCCTGGGGGTGTTGCGGGTTAGGGAGGAAGGGGACAGGAGGGGGGGGAGGGGTTCGAAGCTGAGGGAGGGGGGGAAGAAGGGGAAGGGGAGGGGTTTGCGCCTGGTGCCGAGTAGCATGGCCACATGGGTACCGGTGAACGGTGATATAGGAGATGAGGGGCAGGGGGAAGTGGAGAGGGGAAGGTACGACGGAACCTTCTCCTCCCCGTACCGCACCCTCTCCACTCATTTGCATCCCCCGCACCTGCTCCCGCACCCTCCCCACCACTCCCCACTGCGCCCTTGGCTAATTCGGGCTGGGCGGGTCGGGCTGGCTCACATGTTGCAAACCATGATGATGCCTTATCACATGGTCAGTTAGTTGTTTCCTCTTTACCCCACCTGCTCCCGCACGTAGAACAGGTTGCCGAAGCGCCCCTTGAACTCGAACCACCAGGGCCGCCGCAGCAGCAGCACCGCCTCGTCCCCCAGGTACGGCAGGTTGATGAGGGAGGGGGCCGTGGCGTCGTACTCCACCACGACACTGGGGGGGGGGAGAAATTCCAATGTGTGGTGTGATAGTGGTAAACTAGCTGACAAGCCCTGATGGAAAAACAGTGAGTCGAGCCGAACTGATGACAGATGCGTTAAGAGCTAAAACTTACCGAACTTACCAATTACTGGGGGGGGGGGGGCAGACAACCACGATACCGGGGTCAGAGACAGGAACCAAACCGTTGACCAAGAAAGCCATACACACATACGGTTCACATGCGAACCTATCCCAACTGCTTGCTCTTGTTTCTACTCAACTACACACAAGTTAGGGCACACGACTAGGATAATGGAGCCCCGGTGGTGGCGGTGGTGGTGGTGGATTAGGGAGGGGTTTGCAGGGTCGCTTTTTACAGTTTCGTGAAGGGATTTAGGGTGGAGACAAAGTCGGCTAAATTGGTTAGAACCGTTAACATGGCTAGCAGGCGCCCACCTGCGTTTGTCCAGCGGGCCCCATGCCGCCCGGATGTCCGCGTCATCCGGCCGGGTGCCCGGGCCGTAGCTGGTCACCAGGCGCAGGTTCCAGCCCGTGCGTCTGTATGTGTGGGTGCGGGGGGAAGGGTGGGGAAGAGGGAGGGGGGAGAAGAATACCCAATGTGTTGAGGGGGGCTTGACGACGATTGGTGGGCGGTGGATAGAAATAGAGTAAAGAGAAGGCTAATCAGTGTTGACAAGGTTCACAGCATGTTGATACCGGTAGGAAAGGAACACGGATGGATGGGTGGCATTAAAAGGAGCCCATCTCCTGCATAGCGTTGTGCATTTGGTTTTCGTCTTTGGCCGCCGTCTTCCAGCACCCCAGCTCCGAAACCCAACCTGCCCAAACCCGGTTGTACCCAGTCTCTCACTTTGAAAACTCAGCCAACTGCGCATCCAGCCGGTCCCGCTTATCGGCGCTTAGGAGCCGCCCTGAATCGTACTACCGTATATGTCGTACAGTACGGTTATCATGTGGGTGGAGGGAGGTTGAAGGAGCAGGGGAAGGTTGGAGAAGGAGAAGGGTTGGTCAATGGATGGGCTCATTTGGATGGAGGCAACATGGCTAAGCGTCAACTCTGATGCATGCCGCACAAGAATTAGACGTCGTGCTTGTACCTGACGACACTCAGGAGGGATGTCAAGCAGCGCAGGTGAATGTGCAACGCGACGGCAAAATGGAACCAGTGTTCAACAACCAACCACCTCAGCGACAGCAAACAATAGGGAACAGCGCCGCAAATTGTGGGCACCACGACGCTGAACGCTTGATACGTTTTGATATGTTTGTGTAAAGCCTGCATTACAAGCGGTAAAACGTACCCAACGCGTAACCCACCAGTAATCGCTCACCAGATAGGTATCGCGCGTAAGATCGCCATTCGCCCACGCGCTAGCTGGGGCTAAAGCGGTTCCACTGAGAAGGCAAAGGCTGCTGAGCGCAGCGGCAGCGGTGCAGCGTAGCCCCTTCGCCATGTGGTCGCATGCTGACACACTTTCATTGCTGGGGCCCGCCCCTTGGCAGCGCACTTTAGCTAAAACGCGTGATACTGGCCGAAATGAGATAGAGCGACATGTAGATGACGCTAGACCGCCCGCGCGCTGGGGTTGACGGGTCCGTGCGTGCATGGGCGTGTATTGCGAGGTGGGTGTACACAGAGATAGGATTTGACTATTTCAGCAGCAGACGGTTGCAGTGCTGTTATAACAGCGGTATTAATTACTTGCATGGATTCGGGTGTTGGCCGCGATCTGCCCCAACCGTTTCCGTGCCAATGGGGTTTAACTAGATGGTTTTATGTATAAAAGCTCTCCCTAACAAACTGTGCAACACGTCGTGTGTGCTTGCCGTTGAACTGTAATGCACTGTTGACTTTCTTTACACGGTCACCTTCAGCCCACCGGGGCTGCACTCACACCTGCCACCTGTAGGGTCGCATGTTACAGATCTTCCGCGTTGTGGCAAGTGTAGGCAGCCACGGTTTCAGGCACAGCTCCTCGCCTTTTTTCTCGCTCAACAAGGCGGCGCGTCGAGGCTCTGCTGGAGTTTGCTGGCCCCCAGTTCCTCCTGTAAAGCTTACTGAGGAACAGTCAAAGAGCAGGCAGCACACTCCCAAGCTGATCATTATCCCAGCTGTTGGAGGTAGGTTGCATCTCCTCCATGCTGCTGCAGCCTATCGCCCCTATTCGCTTTCTCTGTAGCTTGGTTACTACGCTTCTTTGTTTGCACCAATAATATAAAACACCGGGCCTTTTGTACGCAGAAAGCCCAAGCACAATGGCGACGTCGGCAACATCCGTCCTTGACAAGCGCATTGGCTTCTTGGGCAGCGGCCAAATGGCTGAGGCGCTTGCTCGCGGCTTGATCAAGCGCGGCCTGATCACTGCGGATCAAATTGTTTGCAACGACCCGAACCCTGTCCGCAAGGAGCTCTTCAGGAGCTTCGGTGCTACGCCCTACGACTCCAATGCCGATGTGCGTGCCACTAAAGCTGCTTCTAAATCGCCGAGGGAGGGGAAGGTTTTTTGGCTGAGCTAAGACCCGTCCATCCAAGCGCATCGGTTGGCGTCCCGCGCGTTATGCTTTTTCCTCCCTGCCTCCCCCCGCACCCCTCCCCCCAGGTCGCCCGCCACTCGGACGTGTTGTTCGTGGCTGTGAAGCCGCAGCACGTGTCGCAGGTGCTGTCGGAGGTGCGGCCGGTGCTGGGAGAGGGACACACAGTGGTGTCCATTGCGGCGGGCATCACAGTGGAAAAGTGGGTGGGGGGGCGGGGTGGGGGTGAGAAGGGGGGCAGCGGGAGATGGAGGTGGGCTGGGGTGGGGGGGGAGGGGATAAAGAGGAAAGGACGTGTGATAGTGCGTCATCAGGTGGGCGATAGGGGGGTAGCAGAAGGTGGAGGTGGGGTGTGGGTGAGGTGGGTGAGGAGTGGCAGCAGCGGGTGGGGTGGGAGAGGGCGTCAAGGTACCGGTATCGAAGGGAAGTTACCAGCCCCTTCCCTCACATTTCTTTTTTTCCCTCACCCCACAGGCTAGTTGAGGCGGCGGGTCCGGATGCGCGTGTGGTCCGTGTGATGCCCAACACGCCCTGCCTGGTGGGGGAGACGGCGGCAGCCATGTGCCTGGGGGGCAAGGTAAGATGGAGCGGGCTGGCTGGCTGGCGTGCGGGCTGGGAACGGTTGCGTGGAGCGGTTGCGGGACACGGGAGAAAAGTAAATGGAAAGTGAAGCAACTGGAGTCCCAATCCCCGAGATCCCGACTCATGCAGTGTGCGCATACTGACACGGGTAGGTGGGAAGAAGAAGGAGAAGCTGCCGGTACCCACTCTTCCCTACCCTTACACGCTCCCCCTCTTCCCCCCGCTTCCCCCCTCTTCCCCTTCCCTCCCCTTCCGGCCCCCCCCCAGGCCACCTGCGAGGACGAGGTGCTGGTCCGCCGCATCTTCGAGGCGGTGGGCCGCATCTACACGGTGGATGAGAAGCTGCTGGCGGCGGTGACGGGGCTCAGCGGCAGCGGGCCCGCATACGTGTTCATGGCGATTGAGGCGCTGGCGGATGGGGGCGTGAGGGCGGGTGAGGGGGGAGGGCGTACCGTAACAGGGGTGCATGGTCCACATTAGGCTGGATAGTTGGGTTAGTGTAGGGTTGTAGTTGTTGGGTGAGCGGTGAGGGGTTGAAGGGGGGTGGTTGTTCCTCGACGGTTCAAATGAGAGAAGAGTCAGGAGGACCCATGGGTCGGTGTTGTACTGTGCTGGTCTGGTGCCGCATGTGCTCCTTGTCGTTGCGTTTACCCCACATTCCCTTCTTCCTTCCCAATTAACGTTTCCCCTTCTGCCCTTGCATCCCTTTCCTCTCTCCTCCGCCCCAACCTCCTCCCCTAGGTCTCCCCCGCGACATAGCCCAGGCTCTTGCCGCCCAAACCGTGCTGGGCAGTGCCAAGATGGTGTTGGAGACGGGCAGCCACCCGGGGGCGCTGAAGGACATGGTCACCTCGCCGGGGGGAACCACCATTGCGGGTGAGGGAGGGAGGGAGGGAGGGAGGGGAGAGCATGGGAAGAAAAGGCAGGGATGGGTGAGCGTTTGGAAAGGGGTGCGGTTAAATAGGGTTCAGATGTATGCGTACCCCTACAAGAGGTGTGCGCACCGTGTCTTCAACTTGCTGCTTTCGGCTCCTCTTTCCCCTCCCCCCAGGTGTTCACGAGTTGGAGAAGGCGGGCGTGCGCGCGGCCTTCATGAGCGCTGTGGTGGCGGCAACGGAGCGGGCCAACCAGCTGGCAAAGTCGTGAGGGGGGGTTGTGAAGTGACGGGGGAGAAGCGGGGTAAAGATGAAGAAATTGATGGGGGGAAGGCGGCGTAAAAGAGGAGAGCCTAACGAACTGTGTGGGGAGGTGGGAGGGCGCGGAGAAGTGGAGGGGTAAGGCTAACGCCATTAAAAAGGCAAAACATGTGGAGTGGGGCAGGTACTGCGGTGGGAGAGGAGCCCGTGTGAGCTCTTTCGGATGCGCATCTTGCCAACCAACTATGACAAATAAGTATGCCACAAGTGAGGGAGTGGAAGAGGCTTTGTGATTGTGGTCCTTGTGGACCACCGCTCGGACCCCACATGGTACGGCAGACGGATATTGCGACGTGCGTGCTTTGGTGTGGGTTTGACGGAGACTAGGATTGGAGGTTAGGCGGGATATGGGCGTTGGTGGGCTATTGTTGAGTTGGGTTTGAACCGGTAAGACAGGTACTTGCTAGAGAGCGTGGGTTCCCTCTTGCATTGCGTTGGGGCCAGGGCCAAACACAGCAAGCGGCTTTTAGCTGCTAATGCGTCATCTGGCTTTACCGGTAGTTACTCTTCGAACTTGCACTTTGTTCGCAAGCATGAGTGTCAAAGGCTGCTCATAGTGCATTTGTTTCGGGCAAGGTAACCCACGGGGCGTGCTTTTGGCTAGGCGCTCAATATTAACTGTATGAGCAGCGTTTACCGGGGGTGGTCGTTGAGCTAGTGAGTACCATAGATAAGGTTTAGGGTCGGGGGGTGGGGCGAAACCACCGCAACCGTTAACGAGACGTGCGTCCGAGGCGCTTTCTTATGACGTTGCCGGGGGTGTGCTATTGACAATTCTTGCTGAGCTTTGTTGCGTATGAACAGCTCGGGTTGGTTTACTCGGGGGCTTACTGCCGTTTGTTGGCAAGGTGTTGGTAGACTTGTGGTCTGCTGCTGCTGCTGCGCGGGGTGGAGAGGGTCTTATGTCCCCACTTATCACTTAGGCTTAATACCGTACTCTCGCAGGAAAGGGCGAGGGGGCGCCACACCTGTTGGCTTGCGTTGTAAGAGTCATGTTGGGGCTTTCTGCACTAGCAGTCAACCGGTGCCCCCAGCCCCTTCTGTTCTGCGTAAACATATCCAATGTTGGCAACAGTGTACGCATCCTCCTTACAACAGCACCACCGCCCACACCGCCATGCGTGTTGGCTACACAGCCCAAAGCCCGCTTTCCAACGCACGCGCGCACGCCCAACGCACGACCAGGACCACCCACCCCCCCCCGAGAGTACAACCGCAGCCTGCTGCAGAGCACATGTGGACTCCGCTAGGCAAGGCATGAGCTGCTGTTACGTCCTGCTGTTGCGTCGTAGTCTCTAAGCGCCCAACATGCGCTCGTTCTGCCATATATGGACAACTCCTTCTGCCCAACAACCTGACAACACATCTAACGCTCCTCATCTACCGTACAAGCCTGTGGCCACTGTTCTATCAATCGGGTGCTCCCACCGCTGACGCTTCGGAGAGCACTTCGCATCGCCTTGTAAACACCCCTAGCAGGCGAGGCCACCACCCAAGTAGATGCCCAGTGCCCCATACCAATCCTCCTCACCACCACGCCCCAACAACCATGCCATGCACCAACCGAATGCCCTCCCTCGCCAAGCACCTATTCTTTCACTACCCAGCACGCCTGTTGTGGCCAGCCCCCCCAGCGTTTCATCCCCTCCGGGGGAGGCATAGCGCCCAGCGCTTATACTTAGCCCCTGCAACCTCATCGCCTGAGCGGGGTACGCCGCATGGCGGGATCCCGCAGCACAATGCGTTGCCGGGCATCGTCCATGGAGGCTATCAGGAACTGCTGCCGTACACCCACGCGCCTGGTGGTGGCGGTGGCCGCCAAGGCTACCGGCAGGAATGCCACGAAGCCCGCCACACCAACAGCAAAGCCGCCCTGGCAGTCGTTCAGCACGCGGCCGCTTACTGGCTGCTTCTCGGTCATGAGCCGCCGGAGTTCGTTCCACACCAGCCGTCGCCGCAGATCAATGTCATCCCGAGGCGCGGACAGCTGCATGTCGCCGTAAGGTGTGTACAGCGCCTCCACGCGGACTTTTAGCAGGTCCCCAGGGCGAACGTCACTGGTGGAGAGGCGGTCTTCCGGGGCTGCGTCGTCCTCGGAGTAGATGTGCGCGATGGTGACATCATCACGCTGCAGCTCGCTGAGTCCATGCGAGCCCGTGTCCACCAGCACGCGCTTGGAGTCGACTGAAAGAACCTTCACAAGGATTGTTTGGCCCTTCAGGAGCGGCATACCGCCATTGTAGCGGCGTAGCAGCCGCAGCGCGTCCAGCTGCCCTGGCGTCAGCTGGCAGTTTGATTGGACCGTACCCCGGCAAAGCGCGTCGTCCAGCTCAGCGGCTGTTGCACGAGAAGCTGCAACATCAGCATCGCCTCGATGAAGCTGTGCATCCAGAGCGTTTACGGCAAAGCTCTGCGGTGCGCGCAGCGTAGTTTGCAGTTCATGCAAAGACGGCGGCAGCGTCGGGACTGAAGTGCTAGGGCCTAAGGATGGGTCGCTGGTTGTTGCTAGTGAGCGGCATGTCGATGCCGTGGCCGCAAGACGGGAAGCCTGGTTCTGGCATGGCAGAAAGCCTTGCAAGAGCCCCAACTTCCGGGCTAAATGACGCGTAGGCATGATGGTATAGTTGTCTAATACTAGTTACAGAAAATCCTTGCGTCTAGAAGTTAATCGACAAGAAGAAAGGTGTCGTGCCCCTCAGGGTACGCTTAACGCGTTGAGGTAAGGTCCCTTGTTATCCGATAAGTAGTTTTACCATCTATGAATACAGCCCAAGAATATTTGGAAACACCGCCTTTGATGACCTGCCATGATCGTGCATGCCTCACGACCGAAACCACGACATTTGACCTGTTTGCCGACAGACGGGTAGAAACACGCTTACATGTCATTAACGATGAAGATAAGATGCGTAGAGCACAGCTTTTAGGGTGTCGACCACATCAGAAGACATCAGCGCATAGCTAAGGCGCTGTCTGGGAAACTTTTTGTAGAGGGGCAAGCCGGACAATCGGATAAGTATGGCATACAGGGCAGCATGGATCTCGGAGCCAGATGACGGTGGGTGTTTAAGATGTCCCTCTCGCCATGCGCATGTCCTTGCCTGTGACTTGCTGCAGGCGGTGGTCACGCAATATCAAGCAAATACGAATGGTGTCATAGATGCTAAGCTCCGCTTGAAAGCCTGTTTGCGGGATTCCAGCCAGATACTGGTAGCTGAAGGGCTTGGAAGGAAACCCACGTGCGTGCCCTCATCTAATCCTCGACCCTACAGCACCTCAACCTTCCAACCCGTCCGCCCTACCCTCCCACTCAACCTCTCACAGCTGCAACCCACCAGTATATCTTCCCTCGCCCCCATACTACCCACACCCCAACCCAGTTCCCATCCCCTCCAAACCCTGCCCGCCACACCCTCCTTCATTCCCCACAGACATCGTCACCCCTCGGCGCAGCCCCACTCGCGCCTACACCCAACGCCGCACCCCCTCCTCCACAGCAACACCGCCGCCCGTAACCACATCCGCCTCCCGCGGCGCCCCTCCCTGGCGCCCGGCCTGCACACCGGGCAGTCAGCAGCCCTCCCGTCGCCAGCCCTCACCCTCACCCCAGCAAGCCCCCCACTCCCACTCTCGCTCCCAGCAGCCACTGCTGCGTCAAGCCACAGGGCCCTACTCCCAACCCCAACCCCAGTCCCAACCCCAGTCCCGCTATTCGTCGAGGAAGGCGACTCCTCGCACCCTTGGTGGTGGCAATGGTGGTGGTGGTGGTGGTAGTGGTAATATCAGCTACGGGGGCACCCCGCAGCAGCAGCAACCACAACAGCGGCGACCCCAGAACGATGCCTACCGTTATGAGGAAAGTGAAGACGAGGAGGAGGAGCAGCAGGAGCAGCAGAAGGGTGGTGACAGCAGCGAAGAACGGGAGCAAGAGGAGGAGGAGGCGATGACGGCGGTGCGGAGGGGGAGGAGGCGGCGGGAGGTGGCTCGGGTTATGGATTCGGCCACCTCCTCCCCTGCACAGCACAAGCTGCGCACGTTGCGGTCGCTGCAGGTGGGCCGTGCATGTGCCGTACATGCGAACACGCCACTCCTCTTTCAAGGGGGAAAGAGGGCTCCAGCGGGGGGGGTGCTGTGGCAGGGGGGTGTATACATCACTACATGCCCCCGGTGTGGTGCATGTGAGGGGGGGGAAGGGGAGTGCCGCTGTGCTGCTGCCCCCGCTGCCGGCTCCGCGGTCAGCTTAGCGGTTCCTCCAGTTCGTTTACCAACGACCCACATCAGGACTGCCTTCCTCTGACCCTGACTGCTTATGGGTTCGGTCCATGTAGGGGTTCGGTCCACGGACTTGCAAGTTCGCGTGCTCTCTACTCCTCATTCTCAAGAATCTCAACGCTCCCCCCTCCCTCGCCCCCTCTTCGCCAGTTGCCTCGTCAGTTTCCTTACCTTAATCCCCCTCCCCCCCTCCTCTCTCCCCTGCCTCCCCCCTCCCAGGAGTCCGTGGAGGCCTTCCTGCTCAGCCTTCCGCTGGGCTCCGACCCCGCCTCGGCGGAGGTGGAGGCGCGGGTGGCGGAGCGGCTGTACGAGGCGGAGGCGGGCAGGGCGGAGATGCGGGAGAAGCTGGCGATGTGGTGGGTGCTCGTGGTGTGTATGGGGGGGCCGGGGACGGACCCGTGGGTCGGTGCGTGGTCGGCAAAGCGCTTACGTCTAAGCGGGTGTCGCTCCGAGCGTGCTACGTGGTCCAGTCGAGTGCTCTTGCCTGATTGCTCGTTACGGTTACCGGTACGCCCGAATGATTTATTCATCACATCGTCACTCACTTCAAGGGCCCCCATGTGTATGTGTATGCACCCTGCTGACGTCAGGTCGGAGGTGGCGATGGAGCTGTACGGCATGGTTTCGGAGCGCCGTACCACGATGTCGCAAAGTGGAACGGCAGCGTCAGCAGCAGCGGGCAGCTCGGGCCAGGGGCCACACGCCACAGGTGCGGTGTTGGGCGTGGAGGTTGTGGATTGTTTGGGTGGCTTGCGGGGTTTGGGATTAGGTAACTGAGCAGCGTAGATACTGACGCTGACCGTGGGGTTTGGGAGGGGGATGTGGGTCACGAGACGGGGGAGAACGCGCTTCGTGGATTGCTGCAGAGGATGTGCTCGGTTCGTAATATGCGGGGTTGCTTAGTCGGTGTGAAGGTGTATGACCGTTAGTAAGCAGTAAACCCCCAACACCCTTGCTTATTCCCATCCTACCAGACACCGCCACTCTCTCTGCCATCAAGTCAGCCATCAGCCAGTTCGTTCGCCACCACCACCATGAACCACAACACAACCGACACGCGCAGCCACAGCACTATCAGCAGCACCTACAGCAGCAGTCTCCATCCAAGCAGCTCCGGTGGGACGCGAGTGACCTCGGCGACCCCCACGGACGGGCCATGGAGGGGGCCGGCGGCGGCCTCATCCTGACCCGACCCATCTCGGCGCCGCCGCCGCCACAGCAGCAGGCTGGGTACGGCAACGGTACGACAACGGCGGGATCCACACCCCGTGAAACCCCCACCGTGCACTACCAGCAGCAGCTCCACCAACGCACCGGGTTTCAGCAGCAGCTGCAGCAGCAGAGCCCTAGCATGGGAGGAGGTACGAGTGCAGCAGGAGCAGGAGGAGGAGAAAGAGGAGGTGCAGGTGGAGGTGGAGGTAAGGCGGAGCTACGGCTGCTGCAAGGGCTGCAGCAGCAGCAGCGGCCGGGCGTGGAGCAGCGGGATACGGTGGAGGTGCTGCAGCTGAGGCAGGAGGTGAGGCAGGAGGCGGCCTGGGGGGCGTGTGGTTTCGGGGTTCGGGAGGGAGGGGGAGGGGCATGTGTTTGTGTGTGGAGGGAAATGGGAGGAGGTGAGGGGCTTGCTGTCCATTGGTTGCTTCCCTTGTACCCTGGCCCACCTCATGACGCCTCTGTGTTGGGCCTGTGTTGCCTTCCACGCCCCGCCCTCAGGTGTCGTATCTTCGCTTGGAGCTGGCACGCATGAGGCACACCACTGCAGCAGATGCTGGCAAGCCCGCCGCCTTGATGGCAGGCCCCGCCGGGGGCATCAGCGGCGCTGGTGCTACTGGTGCTGGTGCTGGTGCTCCTTCTCTGGGCTTCATGCCATACAGCTCGCCTCCTCCACCACATCATCATCATCAGCAGCTCCTTCTTAGCACCCCGGCTGTAGCCTCCACCTCTGCAGGCGGTGCTGCGGGTGCGAGTGCTGTCGGCGGCAGCGAGCAGGAGCGCGCGCTGGCCGCGGCAGTACTCATGCAGGCAGCTCTGCTGCCCAAGGTACGGCAGGAGGGCTGAGGGGTCTTGAGGGGCCGCGAAGCAGACCGGGGAGGGGGGAGGCAGAGTCGCCGGCATGGATGGGAAGCGAGCCGCGGTCCTCCTGTGCATGGTGGGGGATTGCGTAGAGCGTAGAGCGGGGGTCATACACCACGAGGGGCCAAAGAACTCAGTTGATCCACTACGGCTTCAGTTATTACTCGTACCCGACAACTCCCCGCCTCCTGACACCGCTCTCAATCCTCAGCCCCAGCCCCAGCCCCCGCAACCCCCACCTGCTCCGCCCTCCTGGTTCCCACCTCACACCCTGCGTCTTTTCCTACGACACTATCCCCCTTCCTTCCCCACCCACCACCCCCCCTCCGCAGCCCCCGCAGCCGGGCGCTCCCCCCTCTGTCGACGCAGCCGCAGCTTCCCTGGCGGCGCTGCGGGCGGAGCTGGAGGTGGCGAGGGTGGCGGTGGCGGAGCGGGGAGCGCAGGTGGGCGGGTGGGTGGGGGGTCCCGGGGTGCTAATGCGGTAAGCTATTTGCAACTTGTCCTAGCGGAAGGAGTAACCGATGCATGCAGCCCCAGCGAGGGGGTGGATGCAGGGAGGTAGGGATGCAGGTAGGGGCGTTGCGCGTTGGGTGGGGGAAGCATCACCATGCCAGTAGGTGGGGTGGCATCGTGATATGAAGGGTCAGGCCATGCTTTCATGCTCCCTATCTTGATGCTTCCCGGCTGCCTCCTGCTGCTGCTGCTGCCTCTGCCTCCCCCGTACATCCCCACCCAGGCTGCCGCCGCCGCGGAGGAGTCTGCGCGGCTGCGACGGGCGCTGCTGGATGCGGAAATCGAGTTGCAGCAGGCGGCGGTGATGGGCGAGGCGGCGCGCAAGCAGCTGGCGCAGGTGCGTGGCTCCGGTGGGCTGTCGTACACGCACAAGACATGTGCCGTACTCGCACAAGACATGTGCCGTACTCGCACAAGACATGTGCCGTACTCGCACAAGACATGTGCCGTACTCGCACAAGACATGTGCCGTATTCGCACAAGACATGTGCCGTACTCGCACAAGACATGTGCCGTACACGCACGTCCTCTCCTGCCGTGTGTTAAGAAGACTGGCCGCGAGTCGGAACGTACTGTAATTGCCGTTTGTGTGCTTGTTTCAGGCTGAGGAGGAGGTTGCGGCGCTGCGGGCCAGCAGCGGGCGGCTGGCAGCGGAGTTGCAGGTGGAGCGGAGCAGGACGGCGGCGGCGGGGGCGGCGGCGGCGGCCAGCAGCAAGGCGGAGGAGGTGGGTGGGGAGCCGGGCTGGGCTGGGTTGCACTGGGCTGCTGGTGTTGTGGTAGGTGCTTGGATGGAGACGTACGGCATCGTAGCCCATACGCAGATACGGGTTCTCGGATGTGGGTTGGCTCCGACACTGTGTTTGCAGCGCGCTTGAACCATGTTCAAAGCCTTACATACCAGGTACCTGACACACACGCATCGTCGCCCAACCAGGCTGCATCTGTACGACAGCAGCTCGCCCAAGCGCTGGCGGATCTGCAGATCTGTCGTACAGATCTGGCCGCCAAGCAGGTGCAGGCTGCGGAGCTGGGCAGCCGGCTGGCGGCGCGTACGGCGGAGCTGACGGCGGCACAGCAGCACCTGGGGGAGCTGCGAACTGCTGCTGCGGAGGTAAGAGGATCCTAGATAACAGTATAAGATACGTAGATACCGGTATCAGAAGAGGCGGAGAGAGGGGGCGAAAGAAGAGGAAGCAGCGGCATGAGACGAGCGGCATATCACGATGATTACGGACACCTGTGCATGTGTTAAGAAAACTGGCCATGTGCATGTGCATGTGTATGTCTCGACCCTGCATGGTCACTCTACCCAGTTTGGAACACCGCACCGCACCCCTTCCTCCTTTCCTGCGTCCTCCGTCACCCCCCCCCGCAGGCCCAGGTGATTCCGCTGCTGCAGCAAGAGCGGGACGTCGCAGACCGCCGAGCCGAGCAGCTCCTTAACGACCTCACAACCGCCAAGGAAGAGATCGCCAAGCTTCAGGCTGCTGCTGCCGCCGCCGCTGCCTTCTCACCTGTGCCGGATGCCCTGTCGGATCTCCAACAGCGCTTCACAGCAGAGCAAGCCACCTCAGCATCGCTCCGAAACCGGGTTGAGGATCTGGTTTCGGAGCTGGAGGAGCTGCAGCGTGCGTTGGAGCAGGAGCGGCGGAGCCGGGCGGAGGAGGCTGCCGTACATCAAGCCCATGAGGCGGCGCAGCGGGCGCAGGCGGCAGAGCAGTTGGCGGGGGCGCGGCGGGAGGTGGAGGGTCTGCGGCAGCAGCTGGCGGCGGCGGTGGCGGCGGCGGCGGCGGAGCGGGAGGCGCAGGTGGGAGCGCATGTGGAGGCGCTTGAACGGCTGCGGAGCCGGGCGGAGCAAGCGGGGGCCGCCACGACGGCGGAGGCGGTGACGCTGCGGGCGCAGCTGGCGGAGGCGAGGAGGGTGGCGGAGGTGGCGGCGGGAGAGGGTGAGGAGCTGCGGCAACGGCTGACGGCGGCACAGGAGGTGGCGTTGGTGGCGGAGCGGGAGTCGAGTGGGTTGCGTCAGCAACTGGCGGCCGCGCAAGAAGCGGCGGCGGCGACGGGCCGGGAGGTGGGGGTCCTGCGGCAACGGCTGACGGTGGCGCAGGAGGCGGCGGCGGCGGCCATTCGTGAAGCAGAGGATGTACGGCAGCGATTAACGGCGGCTCAGGACGCGACGGCGGCGGCTAGACGCGACGCGGAGGAGCTCAGACGTCAGCTTGCGGCGCAGGCGGCGGTGGCGGCGGCCTCAACCTCAGAGTCGCAGCAACGCCTGGCGGAAGCCGCGCAGCAGCTAGCGGAGCAAGAAGCTGACGTACAAAGGACCCAACAAGCGCTTGAGACTCAGGCTGCGGAAAGTCGGGAGCAGCAGCAGCTACTGCGGGCCCGCGTGGTTGGGCTGCAACGGCAGTTGGAGGAGGCCCTTACAGCGCTGACGGCGCTTGCGGGCCGTACACAGGAGCTGGTTTCGGAGAATACTGAGTTGCGGGGGCAGCTGCAGCAGGCGAGGTCGCAGCTGCAGGAGGTTTCGGAGCGGCGGCAGGCCGACATTGCGGTGGCGGTTGAGGCGGAGAAGGCAGCAGCGGCGATGGAGGCAGCTGAGGCCATCGCAAGCGTTGAGAAGGTTGTAGCGGAGTACCAAGTGCGAGAGGTGCAGCTGGAGGGACTGGTTTCAGAGCTGCGGCAGCAGCTGGCGTCGGCGCAGGAGCAGCTTGCCAACATGAGCCGTGCAGCTGACGAGGCGGAGGCTCCTACGGGGCCGGCTACGGAAGTTACGGAGGGGGTTCAGGATCCGGCTTTGATGGGGACGGCGGCGGCCGTAATGAGGGCGGAGGAGGTGGAAGGGAGCGTGACGTCGGTACGGCAAATGGCATCATGCGTAGCTGGAAATGAGGCTGAGTTGGAGGCGGAATCGATAATGGGTGGCGATGGCGGTGCTGGTGAGGAGGGGTCCCGAGCCAGCAGCGGCGGCGGAGGCGGCAAGCCGGGCCTCTCCTGCTCGCCCGCTTCCTCGCAGCACCTCAGGGCGGCTCTGTCGGTGGCCAGGCAGCGGGTCAGTGCAGCGGAAGGTTCCGCTGTGGCAAAGGAGGAAGAGGTGCCGCACTGGAAGCCTTGATAGTATGGTTCTTGAAAACCTTGATCTTGCTAAACCCCGAAGCAGATAGGCCCCGCCTTCCTGAGTTGCCGGACTGCCCATCCTGCACGTCCATGCGGCTAGCGTTCTTGCCATGCCCTCCCTCCCATGCTCCCTCCCATGTGCTTGCCCCTACACGCCTCTGTCCTTACACCACGCCAAACCCGCCCCATGTGCCCCTCCGCATGCTCCAGATCCAAGCACTAGAGCAGCAGCTAGCGGCTCAAGCCACCGCTGCCGAGCAGGCCGCCGCAGCCCAAGCCGAGGAGCTGCAGCTCCTGCGGGCCCGGCTGACTGCAACCGAGGGGCACCTGTCTGGGGCAGGGGTGCCTCCCTCGGAGCCTGCCAGCCTGTTGCCTCTGCTGCTTGAGGAGGAGGATGTGGAGGCGGAGGCGGAGGAGGTGGTGGGGACGGCGGAGGAGGTGCAGGAAACGGATGTGGAGCGCAGGGAGGAGGAGCCGGTGGCTCCGGAGGCGGGAGTCTTCGAGGCCTTGGCGGTACAGAGGGCCAGCGCCCGTGCCGTCTCAGCGCCCTCCTGCATGCAACCCGGAGGACACCCCCAGCACTGCGACTCTCAACCCCGCTTGCCTCATGCAGACACGGCGGCCGGGCCCATCCGCCCGCACCACTCGGATGCAGGACATGCGGCCCACCCAGCTCCCCAGCGCTTTGCGGATCTGGAAGCACCCGCACCCGCCGTCGCGGCCGTACATCCCGCCCCCTTTCCCCTGGTGCCCCTCCCTGCTGCCGACGACGACAACAACAACAACCCCCACACGCTGCTCCACCCCCACATGCAGCAGGAGGACACCCCCCAGCCCTTCCGCAGCCGCACCCGCAGCGCCTCTGCTGGCAATTACTCCGCCGGCACGCATGCTACAACCACCACCACCGCACGAGACTTCACCTTCTCCTTCTCTGCAGGCGGTGCCGGCGCAGGCGCCGGAGCCGGCACAGGCACTGCCAGCGGCGCCCTCGCTGCTACCGGTATCGCAATGTTCGCTTCGTCGGGTGCAGCTGCGGGCAGCGGCTTTAGCCCGGTCGGTGGCAGTGCAGGCGGCAGTGAAGGTGGTGGTGGTGCAGGGGAGGGGTGCCTGGGGTCGGCTGCGGGGCTCAGCCTGAGTCAACGGCAGCAGCGGCTGCAGCAGCGGCTACAGGAGGAAGCTGAGGAGCTGGAGCTGCAAGCACAACAGCAGCAGCAGCAGCGGCGAGCACTGCAGTTGTGGGGTACGCTGGGGAGTTCCATGCAAGGGAAAGATCCGTACCAGCAGGGGCAGGTGGACGCACAGGAGCAGGTGGACGCGCAGGAGGCAGTGGTACGGCGGGAGCAGCATCTGCACGAGCGGGTTTCGGAGCCGGGTGGCGGCCCATGTAACCATGCAGCCATGGCCCCAGCAGCCAGCTCCAGCTCGGTCCCCTTGATGGCATCCAATCCAGCCCCGGTCTTGGTCCCTTCCTCAGCGTCCGCTCCCGCCCCAATCACAACCTCCGCCACGCCCTCAATCTCGGAGCCCCTCCCAGCCTCATCTTCATACCCTTCGGCCTCCTCTCCTCCAGCACCACACCAGCACCAGCCACCATCTCCCACCTCACCCGCACCCCTTAGGCAACCGGTTAGCGGCAGCGTCGCCCTAGCAACAGTGTACGACAGTGTTGCTATCGTATTGCCTGAGGACAGCGAGGCCGGTACGGAGGTGCGGATGAGGAGGTCCTTGGAAAAGCCATCCTTCCCCGGCAGGGAAGCGCAGCGCATGGCGGAGGTACCCGTAGTTACGTTGGAGGGCGATGGAGGGGCTGTGTCTGTAGCGGCAGCTGCGGCGGTGTTTTCCGCACGGCAGTCGCTAGCGGCAGCAGCGGAGGTACTTTCCGCGCTTCAGTGCTCTCTAGGGGGCGCACCAAGCGGGGCCGGAGGAGCCTTACCAGAGCGGTTGCAGGCAGGTATGGTTGCTGTAAACAGCAGCCACAGCGACAGCAGCAGTTGCGAGGGTGATCACGAGCGCGAGGCCACTCTCAGCGGCTCGGTGGGCCCCATGGACAGCGGCGCCCTGCTGCCCTCCAGCATGCCGCTGCCAGCTGCATCTCCGCTTCAGGAGCTAGCCCAACAGGAGCAGCAGCAGCAGCTGCTATCATCGCCGTCACAGCACTGGCAGGAGCAGGAGCAGCAGGAGCAGGAGGCAGCCGTTGCAAGGGCAGGTGCTGCGGAAGTGCAGCCCAGTGCGGAAGAGGCAGCGAAGAACGGCCTCCAAGGCTACAGTTACAGCACCCCGAGCTTGCCTCTGCTGGCGGCCGAAGCGGCGGTCAGCGGCGGTGGCGCCAGCGCTAGCGTAGACACCGCTCCCCACTCTACTTACAGTCCTCAGACCAGTCCCGGCAACAGCATCAGCTCCTCCTCAGCCCCTTCCAGCGCGCCAGGTAGCGGTGACGTCGGCGGCGGCGGCGGCAGCAGACGTCAAAGCAATCGCGGTAAGGACCGCAGCCGTGACAGGGAGCGCCGTGCCACCCGCCAGTCGCCCTTCTCGCCGCCACCGCTTCCGTTGCGCTTCTGGGATGGCGGTCGTGGCGGCCGCGGCATCCATGATGATCGGGACGACGATGTGTACGGCAGCGGCGGCGGCGGCGGCGCGGCGGCAGGTGGCGCGCTGGCGGACCATGCAGCGTTGCTGGCGGAGCTGGCGGCGGCGTTACGCGGCCGGAGTTACGGTGGCGTCACCGCCGCCGTGCCGGCGGCGGTGGAGACATTGGTAGAGGAGGCGGAGGCGGCAACGACGGCGATGGCGGCACCACCAGCGCCACCGCCGGTGGCTTTCATTGTCGGCGCCGGTGGCGGTGCCGATGTGGTCGAACAGGCGGAAGAGCCGGCAGCCGGTATGGGTGCTGTGCCACATTCGGACGATGTCGGCAGCAGCGTTAGCGGCATGGTGGTTGGGGCTGCGAGTGGTGCCGTACTGGCGGCCGAGGGCTGTCGTACGGCTGACGGAGGCGACTCGCTCGCCGCCGACCACCCGCCCAGTCAGGAGCCCTCCGCCGCCGGCAGCTGCGCCACCCCGGCACCCGCTGCACCCTCCCTGGGATCTGACCTGTGGGAGCAGTACCGAGCGGCTGCTGAGGCGGCTGTTACCGGCACTTCCGGCACCTCCGGCACAAGGCAGCAGCAACAGCAGCAGGAGCCTGCCGGTAGAGGAGATGATGGTTGTGGTGGTTGTGGTGGTAGTGATGGTGGTGATGGTGGTAGCGGGAATGTGCAGGATGGTAATCCGGGCCGGGGGGGCGGCGGCGGTGTCGTGGAGGGTGAGGCGGCGGCGGCGGCGGAGACGGCGCAGGCAAGCCACAAAGCACCCGCCTGAGCCGCACATAGTGTTGGTGATGATGATGGCGGTCGTACCGTGGTTGCCGTACTAGGGATTTTTTTTGGATGTTTAATCTTTATACGTACGACTGATGTATGACTGATGTCGGTGATGTTTGATGATGTGACTAAAGACATGCACACATGCTTGGTGATTGATTTGTATCTGTGTGACATTCACCGTGTTGTTGGTGACCTCCGCCTGCCACCCAAGAGTACCGTACCGTACCGGTAATCGGCGTTCCTTGACTCTGCAACATATCTACACAAGCAGCGGCACATGTACCTCGAGGTGTACGGGTATGACCCCACGCCACGCAGCTTGAGCCCCTGTACAACTGCACCGAACCGCACCCCAAATACACCGGTCCTTCACGCCATCCGTAGAGCCAGGGTTACCACCCGAGATTGGTGGGGGGTCCCAGGAAGAGTGTCAACCCCAACAGCTCCCATTAAGGGTTAATGCAGCACGAGCGACGAATGCAGCACGAGCGACGTCCTTGGGCAACATTGGTGCTAGCTTTTGCTGTAGGTTTGAAGGGTATTTGGGCAATGCCCGTCATGTAGCATCCCTGGTAGAGATCGCTCAAACGGTTGGGTTTCGGAGAAGTGGCAGCCAGCCAAGCGGAGAACCGCGTATCGAAATGCAGCAGCTCGAATGAAGCGAATTCCAACAACATATCACTCCTACGAGATACCATTGAGTCGCGCTAGAACCCATACAGCCTGTGCGTGTTTTGGATTGACTTAGCTGAAGCTGTCTGCGTACCTAACATTGTGTAATGAATTTAAAGCTAAGAAATTACCCATCACTTGCTCAGCATCCCTGCAGCGCTTCGAATGGCCTCAGCTTGCGTCGGTTGCGGCTCCATGCGCATGGATGTCACCCTCAAAACGTTTCACACAGGCAAAGCCGCTCTGTCATCACTACCGCTACAAAGGAGATATGGCTACAGACCAGTAGCAAGGTGCGGCTTGCCTTACATTGCCCAAGTCAATGACCCGCACGCCCGATGCTGCTCATCCACACTTGCACCAGCCTCCACTCTAACTCTCCCTCACCGCTTAATCACCCACGTCCAGGCGGCCTTTCGAGCGGCCTTGGACTCCGGCTGCGTCTCTTCCTTCGTCTTCGGGCCTGACCCAGCCCAGTTTGCCCTAGCAGCGGAGTGGCAGCGAGGTGGGGCGTCCTCGGCCTTCCGGACGCTGCTTCTGAGTGAGCGTGGGGAGCTGCGGGTGCTGCGGGAGGGAGCTGAGGGTGCGGGAGAGCAGGTGGGCAGGGCGATAGCAGGGATGAAGGGGGTGAGGGTGGGAGGGAGGAGAAGGGGAGCGCGGGAGGCGGCCGTGCGAGGGATGGGGTGATGGAGGTACCGGTAGTGTAAATGGAGGTGGGGTTGCCTGCGCAGGGTGAGTCAGGAGCATGCAAGGGGGGGATGGGGTCGCAGTAGCATGCGGCAGCACTAACGGGGGCCGGGAGTGTCCTAGCAGCCTCGGAGGAGTGGCGCGCAATGGGTCCGAGGGGGGGGGTAGCTGACACCGTACGGCGGCGCACGGGGTAGGAAGTGGTCTGGTTGGAGACCGAGCATCCAGGTCCATGGAGAAAAAACACAGGTCAAGTAAGCAACGCGCACCAATGCTGACGGCATCCCCCTCCCACCCCCCCACCTCGTAGCTCGTCAGTTGCATCGTCAGTGTCTCATTATGTTTTACCCCGCCTATGTTCGCCGCAGGCGGGGGCTGCAGAGGAGGAGGTGGTGGGTGAGGTGGTGCAGGTGGACGGTCCGCAGGCGGCGCGAGCGCTGGAGACCCGCTTGCAGCAGCTGCTGCTGGCGCGGGGGGGAGGAGGAGGGCAACAGGGGGGAGGAGGGCAGCGGCCCCTGCAGCCGCATCAGAAGGAGCAGCAGCAGCAGCAGCAGCAACAACAGCATCCGTCTCCCGGGCTGGCCCCATGTGGCCCACAGCACTGGTACCTTGTAATGGATGCCCGGGACTGGAAGGTAGGGCGGCGGGGGGGAGGGGGGTAAGGAAGGAGAGGAAGAGTGGAAGCGGATGGGGGACGGATGCGTCCATCAATGATTCCGGCCGTTGCGGTTTGTGCCGCAGGTCATTCCCGCAGAGAACCTTGTCGCCCTCACGTTGGAGTACCAACTGACACGTCAGCACCCGCGCCAACCACCACAACGGTCGCACCAACGGTCGCACCAACCGCCACCACCGCCACCGCCCCTCCGGCTGCTAGCTACGGCGGGCAATGCCGCGGAGGCGAGGCTGATGCTTGGGGCGCTGCAGGGGGGGACGGCGGGGGTGCTGCTGAGGAGCGAGGAGGCGGAGGAGGTGAGGCGGGGAGGGGGAGGAGGAATTAGAGGAAGAGGAGGAAGAGTAGGAAGATGAGGGGCTGTGGTGAAACGTTCGTGTGTGGGATTGTGTTTTGGAGGAGTGAAATGGAGTGGAGTGGAGTTTAGGAACGGGATGCGGGGGGGGGGGCAGGCCCCCTGCTGCCTCCTGTCGCCGTGTTGCCAGGTGTTGTTCCCCATGCCTCCCTCCTCGGGTCTTTCTGGCGCATGCCTCCTGCTCTCCCTGCCCCTGCCCCAGTAAGTGTCCGCCCCTCCCCCCCTCAGGTCCTGTCCCTTGCTAGCTACGTGCGCGAACGGGCGGCGCAGGAAGCAGCAGCAACCCCCCCACAGCCCCGTGCCCCGCCCTCTCCGCCCTCCTCCTCTTCCTCTACCTCTCCAACATCCTCAGCAGCCCCCCTAGCCATTCCAGCCGCAACCCAACCACAACCACCACCACCAGCACCACCACCAGCACCTGACGTACTACCGACTACCTCTGCCGTACCAAACACCGTGCCCGGTACTGCCCTACAACCACCCCCCTCCTCAAATTTATCATACACAACCCCAGCAGCCCCCGCCGCAGCAGCCCCCGTGTTGTTGCCGTACGAGGCGGCGGTGGTGACGCGGGTGGAGGCGCTGGGGATGGGGGAGCGTGTGTGTGTGGACCTGGCGGAAATGATGCAGGTGGGGGCAGGGGGGAGGGAGGGGGGGAGGGGCACACATACGGCACAGTGCTGGCACACCGCGCGTGTGTGTTAAGAAAACTGGCCGCGAGTAGGAACGTACTGGGATGTCGGAAGATGAAGTCCCCACAGAACCGCCGCGCGTGTGTGTGTGTGTGTGTGTTTTGTTGTGGTTGGCCAACTTGGTGATAATGTTTTCCCCTTCTTCTTCCTTCTTACCTCACCCCTCTTCTGCCTCTGGGCAAGCAATGGATGTCGGAATCCGGTGCCTCACTCCTACTCTTTTCCTTTCCATCCCCCCCTGAAGTCCGCGGCTCAGCTTGTCTAATCCCCCTCTGCCTCCTTTCCTCCCGCCCCCAGCCCGGCGAGGGGCTGCTGGTGGGTTCCTTCGCGCGCTGTCTTGCGCTGGTGCAGTGTGAGGCGGAGCAGAGCGCCTACATCGCCAGCAGGCCCTTCAGGGTCAACGCGGGGCCGGTAAGCGGAGGGGCGGGGCGAGGGGCGGGCGAGGTGCGCGGGGTGGGGGGGTAAAACATATAATGAGCCACTGACGAAGCAACGGGGGGGTGGGGTCTGTCAGGTAGAAGGAGGGGGGGGGAAGAGGAAACAACTGGGGGGGAGGTGAGGGTGGGACGATGCGCATGCGGCTGTAGGCATGTGGGCCTAGGGTGCGTGCGTGCGTCCATCTCCACTTCACCCTCCTGCACCCTCCTTCTCTGTCTCTCTCATCTCCTCCCCCCCCAGGTCCACTCCTACGTTGCGGTGGCCGCTGGTCGCACCCGCTACCTGGCTGAGCTGGCTAGCGGCTGCGAGGTACTGGTGGCGGGGGTGGGAGGAGGAGGAGGAGTGGCGGGAGGAGTGGTGCGCACGGCAATTGTGGGGCGGGCCAAGATTGAGCGGCGGCCGCTGGTAAGGACGCGGGGGGCCGGGGGTGGGGTTAGGGACTAACTGGGAGGCACGGGCGGGTTTGGACTTGTTTGGGTGGCCTTGAAAGAGCTCCTCCTGCCTCCTTCCGCCTTCCCCTTGCCCCACCCTTATTGGGTATTCTTCTTTTTTGTCCCCCCCCCCTTCCCCCCTTCCCCCCTGCCTCCCCCCAGGTGCTCGTGGAGCTTCAGACGCCCTCCGACGGGCAGCTGCACAGCCTGCTGCTGCAGCAGGCGGAAACCGTCAAGCTGCTGGGACCCAACGCGGAGGGGGCGGGAGGGCGGGGGACGGCGGAAGGGGCGGAGGGGGATGGGCAGCGGCAGCAGCAGCAACATGAGGCGGGGCCGCCGCCGCAGCAACAACCGCAGGATGAGGAGGCGGGGTCCAAGCAAGGCACGAGTTGCTGTAGCAGCAGCAGCAGTGTTGATAGCGCCACTATTAATAACTGCAATCATGATAACAACTTTAACGGTAGCAGCGGTACGGTGAGGGGTTGTTCCAGCAACAATAGCACTAGCTGCCGGAAGCCTAGCAGTGCTGTTTCGTCCTGGCGTGCGCTGAGTGTGACTTCCCTGCATCCTGGTGACCGGGTGTATGTGGTACGGCAGGCGGCTGCACGGCACACGGGGATAGCCATCGAGGAGTTTATTGTGGAGAAGTAGTGTGCGTGAGGGGGGTCAAAGAACATACCGAACCATAGGAAACCACAGGTTAGGGCAAGCAATGGGGATAATATGGGGGGGGTGTCGGAGGGAGTCGGAGGTGATGAGGGATACAAGGGGGCAGGGAAGGAGTGGGAGGGGAGTATGGAGAGAATGGGGATTTGGGTCAGAGGGATAAGGGAGGAGGAGGGATAGGAGGTAATTAAAAGTGAGAGCCGGAAGGGGACCGTTGTTGCGGGAAACGTGGTAGGCGTGCGCATGGTATCGCAGGTGGCTATTGTGTGCGGAATCACAACACTGTAATTGCTTGCAACAGCAGTGCCGTACTGCACTGCATGTCGTATACATCCATGTAGGCCTTGTGGGTCGGACGAAACCCATCTGGGTTGGACGAGCGAGGCCCATCTGGGTTCACTAGGGGCAGTCATTTCGTAACGACAAAGCCGCCCCTGGCATCTTCCATAAGCGTTCCGGCTGTTCCCTCATGTTCCGGTTGTGACGTGCCGGCTATCCTTCATCGCCGGTATGCCGTTGGATCTGCGTAACGTGCCCTTCTCGTCGCATGTTGGGCTTGGTTGGCATCGTATGTCCTGCGGGTTTATAGCTGAGGAGGAGTGAGGCGCCAAGGATGAACTGTTAAGCCAGCGTCAGCAGTTGGACTTGTGACCTTGTCGTAAATTCTGGCGTTGGGGTCGTACATGCTACCGTCGATGCCACTGGCTGGACCACTGGCGGCCTGCTGTAGTCTGTAGATCAATTACCTCCGACCAGCGGAGACCCTGTGCGCGTGCCCGGCTCCAGCTCCCCACTCCCTCCCCTGCAGCGCCCGTTCGGAGGAAAGCTGCTGTACATACACACAGCCAGCAGGCTACCGGTACCCCAGCCTTCATACACCCCCCGCATGCCCGCAATGCGCCGTCCCCACCGCCAGTCAGCTGCACTATGATGCATATATCTATTAATGATGCATTGATACACGGACTATCAACGAGTAGAGTGAAGGAACTGCCGTACAAGCGCGTGTAGACACTCCATCAGAACCGGAGGTTGTTTTGCTGTTGTTCGTTAAAGGGAATGCGGAGGCGCGCGCAGCACAAGCAGGGATCTTCGCGGTGACGAGAAGTTCGGAGCACCGTGTCTTTCTTACGCTGATTCGAATATGTCATAGTTTTCTTACATAAGTAGAGAACGTTGGCTTGCGTTTTGTTGGGAATCTGGGAACACATCTGCCACGATCGCGAGCCTACCTGTTGAGTCATGACCTGCCGTGCGGACGAGGCACCCGATGCATCCAGACTCGAGACGGACAGAATACTTGCTCCTACTTGTAAAACATCATACAAAACAGTATGCTATCCAAAGTGCAAAGCGTTTAGCGTCCAAGCAATCCCTTGGCTCCGCCGGTACCTCTTGAATGCCTTGAGGAATACTGGCGTTCTGACTAGTTCTTTCAGTTTGTCTCTTTGCATTCAGTTAGGATGGACCGTTCCCTATTAGGTGGACCTCTCAACTACAGCTAACTGAGCGGCGTAGCGGCACTCCTCCTGCGCCAGGAAAGCCTGGTTATCTCCAGCTTTCGTTATGAGCAAAAATTTTAGCACACGTTTAAACGTACGCTGCTGCCCGTCCTTCTCAAGGGGAGCTCGCAACTCGACCTCTTCCTCTTCTTAGCTTCTGCTGAATGGTAGAGCCGCATTTTTCGCTACCGGGAGAGGCGCTTTCCAACAGGATAGGCGGTAACACGAGCTCACTTCACAGCAGTACTGGGTTCGGTCGCGCTTTCTTACCAGACGCGCAGCACAGCACTCCTGTTCAGCTGGAACTGCAGCAGCGCGGAATTGCGACCCGTGGGTCGCGCGGCCGCCAAGCAGGCGTTCTCAGGCAGTCTGGCGAGGAAAGTCGGCATCTGGGATCTGAATCTGTGCTAGAAACTGAAGGCTGGCAGGATCTAGCGGAAGCGCTTGAATCAGCAGCTCCAAGCCGTCCAATGGCGTTCGTTGCCGGCGGGGGTTGCGGCGATTCTAGCGCTCTCGGTGGCGAAAGCGGCGGCACAGGCAGGCCGCTGAGTGTCCGACCCACATCGCCAGCCGCAAGGGTACCGGCCGCAGCGGTGTCAACGCACGCGGACGGGATCCCTGCTGCTGTTCCAGCATCTCTCCCGTACTCAATCGCGGCAACTCAGCCCCTCAGCAACGACGCCGGCTTGCCTCTTGCAGCTACGGGCATCGCAAACGGGCATACCACCCGCGCTGACGGAGGTGCTAACGGAAGGGGGCTGCCCCTCGGAGCTGCCTTTGGCTGGGAGCACACGGTAGGTCGGGATGGGTTGCGGCTCGCAGACGGGACCGTGTTAGAAGCAAAGCACTTGTACCGGTTTCTCCTTTTGGTGCACAAAAGCGCTTCCTACATACTTGCCGCTAACCACCTTACCCCTCCGTGCCGCTGCCGCGTCACGTCCCTCTGCAGGCCGCTGTAGGCAACGAAGGCGGTGGCGGCGGCACCGGGGCCGGGGCCGGCAGCGGCGCAGAGGGCGCCTTCGGTGCGGCTGCCAGTCCTCCAGCTGAGCAGCTCGGAGCTGCTCCCGGGGCGGTTCCCGGCTCCCTCCCGAACCAGCTGGTGCTGTCTTTGGGGGACGGCCTGGCTCCGCTACCGCCGCTACCGCCGCCGCAGCCACAACAGCCGCCCCAGCAGCAGCCGCCTCAGCAGCAGCAGCAGCAGCACATGCAACCGTCCCCGCCGCAGCCGCTGCGCACACAGCAGCGTCAAACCGACGTGCACCTCCTGCCGTCGCAACTGGCCCCGACGTCGCCGCTGCAGCTGCAGGTACAACAACTGGAGTCTGAACAGGTGCACCACACAGCAGCAGCAGGGCCGCAGCCGCTAACGCCTGCACCTCGGCTGTTGCCGCCGCCGGCGCCGCAGCCTCATTCCGTGACACGTCCGGGGTCTGGGGAAGCTACGCAAGGGCCCGGTGAAACCATCCGAGAACAAGCGCTGGGTACGGCGTATGACGGAAGCCCGGGTGGCACCGATAGAGCGACACCGGCGGCTGCGATAGCAGCAAGGCAGGAACAGCGCCGCAGCGAGGGCGAGGGCGACGGCGACGGCGACGGCGACGGCGGGACTTTCGGCTCACCAGGCGATGCGGCTGCCCCTCAGCAAGCCCTGGGTGGTAGGCTTTCGGTTGCGGCCCAGGACGTCCCAACTGACAACAACCACAACAACAACCCGCAGGCGGTTGGACTGGTTAGCTCGCCTGCTTCGCCTTTAGCGCAACAGCAGCAGCAGAAGCAGCAAGCCGGGTTTACGCAGTTGGGGCTTGGGATTGAGGGCAGCTGGGCTGCAGGGGCCGCTGAGGGAAACCAGGAGGCCACCGCCGCTGCAGGCGCTGGCTTCGACGGAACGCGTAACGTCGGCGGCGGTGCTGATGGAATTGAGAGCGCCCCCGGGGCCGCGGCAAACGGCGCTCCTGCGACTGTGACGGGTGACGCCGGCGCTACGTGTGCTGCTACGTTTGCTGCTGGCGGCGAACAAGAACGAGCTCAACCCCTTGCTGGCGGCGTCGGGGGCGCTGACGGGGCCGGCGGTGGCGAGGGGCAGCGTACGTCGCACCCGCCCGACGGCGGAGGTAGGGGTGCGGCGCCCGGTGCTGCCGGCGGCGGCGGCGGCGGCGGTGTTCACGACGTGAGAAGGGCGACGGTAACGCCGCCGCGACGCGTGTTAACAGTTCGTTGCGTGACAACGATCAGACTGGAGCCTAATGGGGACGCTGCCGGCGGCGGAGGCGGAGGCGGAGGCGGCGGAGGCGAAACAGGACCCATCACAACAGTCGCGACGGCGACCTTCCTGGAACCAGAGTACGACATCCTTGGGGCCACCGACGGCGCCATGGGTTCACCCGTGCCGAGGGGCGCTGGGTTGCGGTTCGCCGCCGCTGCCGCGCCGCTGCAGCTGCAGGTCGAAACGTCTGGCGGCAGCGGCGTACGGCGTGCTGGTGATTTGGTGGTTACCGCAACGGCAACGGCAACGGCGGAGGCTACCACCGAGCCTCCGCCAACGGCGGCGGCGGCGGCGCCCGTACTCCCGACGCCGCAGCAGATACCACGTCATTGGGTTGGAACGAGGAGGCGGCAGCCGGAGGAAAGACCTGCTACGGCGGGTGTTGTGATTCCGCGGGTCGAGGGTGACACGGTGTTGGTTGAGGAGAATGCCGGCGGTGGCGGTGCTGGCGGTGGCGGCGGTGGCGGCGTGGTAGGGCTGTCGTCACCAATCCTGATATCCACGCCGACGCTAGTGCCGCGGCGTTTGACAGCAACGGCCGCAGCGCCAAGAGCGGCGCGACAGGACCCATCCGCCGCATTGGCGGCGGGGCTCGACGCGGCTGGCGGCGACGCCAACGGCGGTGGCAGCGCGGCGGCGGAGGCGCCAGCTGATCCTGCCGCCGCCGTCCCTGCCGTGCCGCAACCACAGGCACAGCAAACCCAGCCAATGCCGCTGCTGCACCCCTTCTCACCGCCTTCGCCTTTCGGGCATCCAATGGAAGCCGCTCAGCAGGAGGCCGCTGTTGCCGAGGCGGCTGTGGAGGCGGCAGCGGAAGCCGAAGCAGCGACGCCACTACCAGTGCTTACGACGCAGGATGCCGAGACCATGCCGCCGCCGATGGCGGCGGCGGCGGCGGTAGCGCACGATGCTACGGCAGGGCCGTCGGCGGCAGAGCCGAGTGCAGCCGAATCAGAGGGCCGGACTCAGGCTCCCGAGCGCCTGCTGCGTCCTCTTCGACCGTTGCCGTTACGGTTCGCAGATATCGGTTCGACAGCGCCGGGCATCGGGCGTCTGGCACTCACTGACATCGCTGCGGGCGCGACTCTTGCAGAACGCGGCCCCTACCTCCGAACTCGCATGCTGGTCAACCCCTGGCTAGGCATGGACAAGCACCGGCTGGGGCGCGCTGCGGAGTCTCTTCGCGCCGGGTTTTGGAGCGGCGGCGAGGAGGAGGCCTCTGAGGAGGCGGCGGCGGCGGAGGAGGAGCAGCCGCAGCGGGGGTCAGGACTGCAATGTGAACGCGAGGCGGCGGCAGGAGCGGCGTCGGCGGAGGTGACGGAGCCCCTGACGGCGGCGGTGGAGGCGGCAGGAGAGTCATTGGGTTCCGGAGCTGCCTTGGCACACCGGGTGGAGACGGCTGAGGCGCCGCAGGCGTTCACGCAGACGCCGCCGTCAACACAGATGCTGGTTTCGAGGCAGGCGCAGGAAGAACCGGTGGTGGCGGTTGAAGAATGTGTAGTAGGTGGTGGCGGCAGCAGCGGCGGACTGGCCCTTTTGGAGCAGTGGCGGCGGCGGTGGCTGCCGGGCCGCGGGGCGGCGGCGGAGGAAGCTCGTGCGGCTGCACTGCCCGTACGGCAGCAGGCTGAGGCTGAGGAGGATGACATAGCCGTACATCGCGGTGTTCTGATCGGCGCACGGACAGCTGACATACCGGTAACCGCCGCCGCTGCTGCCGCTTTCTCAAGTAGCGTACCCGTACCGCCGAACAGCGGCGGCGTCAGCGACTTGACAGCGGCGGCGGCGGCGCAGGTGACGGCAGGGGCTGTGGGTGTGTCCGGAGGGGTCGCTAGGCAGCAGCTGAGGCAGCTACAGCCGCTGCCGCTGAAGTACCTGCTGCCCCGGTTGAGGCCGCTGCCGCTGCCGCCGGCGCCGGCGGCGGCGGCGGCGGTAGCACTGCCTTCAGTACGGCGGGTGAGGCCGGTGCTTGACAGACGGATGGGCGCCTGGGCTGAGCTGGGGGGCAGAGGAGTGGAGGCGGAGGAGGAGGTGGTGGTGGGGGTGGAGGGGCCTCCGACTCAGGGGCAGGTGGAGGAGGTCCCTGTTGAAACAGGACAATGGGGGCAGCAGCAGCCGCGGCAGCAGCAGCAGAAGGACATGTTGACGTCAACGGAAGGCGCAGCGGAGGAGGAGGAGGGTGCCGAGGAGGCCCGCGGTGTGCATGGGGCGGTTGGGGCGGTTGGAGGCGCAGGCGGCGGTGGGCTAGGTGGTTTCGGAGGTGGCGAGGCGGAGGGTCCGGGGACCGAGACCGCGACAGCGGAGGCAGAAGCGGAGCTAGGGGCGCGGGAAGGGGAGATACAGGCTGTTGGGGGCTCGGAGTGGGTGGTGACGGAAGGGACACAGGAACTGAGCCCTGCGGAAGCAGCAGCAGCAGCAGCAGCGGCGGCGGCGGCGGCGGCGGAAGAGGGACATGTTCGAGGAGAAGCAGCGCTCGAGGAGGAGTCTGGAGGCGCGGAAGGCGCCCACGCCGCCCAAGGGCATGATGCCGAGCGAGGAGAAGAGGCGGCGGAGGCGGTCGTTACCGGTATTGTGGAGGAGCCGCCGGAGGAGGAGCAGGAGGAGGCTGGCGGCGGCGCTGGCAGAGGTGACGGCGGCGGCGGCGGCGTCGATGCACGACGAGTACAAGCACGGGGGACGCCGACGTCAAGGCCGGGAGGAATTCATGGTTCTGAGATCGGAGCAGCAGTTCCTTTCGTTGAGGAGCCGTCCGCTTCTGCGACGGAGGCGGAGGCAGCGGAGGCGGAGGCGGCGCGAGGTGCAGCGGAGGAGCTGGGCTATCAGGAGTTGCAGCCAACTGACGGCGGCGAAGGCATTTGCGCCGCCGGCACTAGCAGCGGCGGTGACTTCATTGGCCATCGGGCAAGTGAAACCGGAGCCGCAGCGGCGGCCACGGCGGCGGCAACGGCAGCTGCGGCGGCGGCGCCGCGGCGAGCGGAGGTGGAAGGTGCACATGTCGTACACGGGCACGTTGTTGCGCTCGCCGCTGACGCTGACGCTGCGGCGCAGGACGCCGACATCCTGTTTGACCCAAACCAGGTACGCAGCGGTGCCCAGGACGCTGCCGGCATGTCGCTTTCGGCGCATGCGCACGCACCGCCGCCGCCGCCGACGCGGCGGCGACAACAGCGGCCGTACACTGACGGCAGCGGTGGCGGCGACGGCGGCGGCGAAGTCCAACCCGCCGCCGTCCGCGGAATGCGCTCTCCACGCGCCTCTCGAAGCGGTGCGGCTGAGGGACGCCTTGAAGCGGCCGCTGAGGGCATACCGGTACCAGTGACGTCGCCCCGTCGTCGCGCTCCCAGGCTGGGCCACATGTCTGCGGAGCCGTTGAGCCCGCGAAGGACTGCGGCGGCGGCGGCGGCGGCAGAAGCGCCGGCAGCGGCAGTGCCCGCAGCGCCGCACGAAGCCCTTGCACCTCTTGCAGCGGCCGTACAAGGCGCGGCAGCGCCGTTCCTGGAGCTGGCCCCGCCGCCAGCCGCCGCGGTGCCGGAGCAGGCGGCGGCGGCGCCGGCGGTGGCGAGATCACGACGGCTTGTACGGCAGGACGCCATCCGCCGCCGCGACGCTGCTGCAGCCGCCGCTGCCGAGGCGGCGGTAGCGGCAGCGGAGATGACAGCGCCGCCGCCGCCGCCGCCAACGCCGACGCCGTCGGAGCCGTTGTCACAGACCGGGCGAACCGGAGCGGCGACGAGCGGCGTTGCTGTTCAGCAGCAAGAAGCGGCAACGTGCGGCGGCGACGGCAGACGAGGCACGAAGCGTCTCCGTGAGCCGGCGGCGGCCGCTCATCCGTCATCGCCACCCAAGCGCGCCCGCCGCCTAGGCAACATGTGCGCCGTATCGTTGTCAGAGCAGCTGGCAGCTCGACAGGGGCTGCCGTCGCCTCAGGGCGCCGCTGCAGGTGTTAGGAGCTGCGCCGGTGGAGGTGGCGACGGCGGCGGCGGCGATTACATGGGTGCTGAACCGCACACCGGCTTGAAGACGCCGGCAGCGGCGGCGCCGGTGCGCGCTTGGTTTTCTCCATCGACGGCCGCTGTCGCACCTGCTGCGGCGGTGGCTGCCGGTGGTGGCGGCGGCGCCGGCGGCGGTTCCCTGTTCCTGAAGCTGAAAGAGCGCAGGCAGATGGAAGAGCTGCTGGGGAGGGAAGGCATGAGGCATGAAGGGGACACAGCACAGCCGTACGGACGTCTTCCGGCGGTGCAAGAGCCGCAGCCGGAACAGGAGGTCAGGACCCGCCGTCATGGTACGAAACGAACGCGTCAGGCGGCTGCTCGAGAGCAGGAGGAGGAGGCGGCGGAGCCGGCGCTAGGATTGCGACCGGGAGGAGGAGCTGCCGCCGCCGCCGTCACCGTCGATGTCGCTATGGCTCTACTACCCCACGTGACGCCGATGACGGCCAGGGCTGCAGCAGCTGCAACTCCGGCAGGCGCGCTCGCAGAGCCGGCGGGTCGTACAAATGCAGGAGCAGCGGCAGCACCGCCGCCGCCGCCGGCGCTGCCAGCTGCAGCGGTACACCCGCCAGCGGAGGCGGTCGCTTCTCTGCTACAATTGGAAGATATGGAGGATACGAGCGAGGATGATGGGGCTGGCGGCTATGATTCCCGAGCAATGGGAAGGTCGCCGTCACCTCCGTCGCCGCCGCCGTCGGGCGCGCTGCAGCCGCCGCCGCTGCCGCCGCCAGCAACAGCGGTACTGCCGGCGGCTGACGATGGAATGCAGGCCGCAGGTAGCGGCGGCGACGACGCGGAAGCAGCAGCAGCGCCGGCGGTGTCGGCGCAAGAACAGGAACACTCTGCTGAGCGGGAGACGGAGTCTGAGCGGGACACAGCGACGGAAGGAGAGGCCGCAGCAGCGGCCACGTGGCGACCCACGGGTCGCCGCGGGCCGCGCGGTGAGAGGATATCGCGGGTGGCTGCAAGCACGCGCGCCGGTCTGATCATGCCGGTTTCCAAGATTCGCAACGCGATGAGGACGGGGCCGTTGCGGGGGGCACGTATCAGCGCAGGTGGGTGGGCAAGGCCGGCGATGAACGTGTGAGTGTCCCGGAGGGTACAGGTCGTAATGTTTGTAACGTGAGCGTGAGGGAACATCGTGCGCCGCCGTAGGGATACCGTAGATAATCCTCGCTAAACCGTGTCATTCCCACCCCCCAATCCCACGCCATGATACGCGCCATGCCGTACGGCTTCCATACGGCTGTACGACAATTGTACGACAACTGCACGACGACTGCACGGCGCAGGCGCTCCCGTATACATGGCGGCCGTCCTCGAGTACCTCGTGGTGAGAGCCTGTTCCGTTCGCTTGGACACCTGCTTTGCTGGGGAAGATAGATTGGAGAAGGGGTCAAAGGCGTTGATGTCACTTTGACATCAGAGTAGAAACCATGTATCGGACCCTTGGCTACGGAGAGTAGGGCGTGGATTCAGAAGCGCTGAAATTCGGCCCCTGTCCAGCCCTTCCCTTGCTGCCTCCGGGTTGCCCCCTATGCCTTCCATGCCCCCCCGTGCCGCTTCCTCCAACCACAGGCGGAGGTGTTGGACCTATCCGGGGAGGCGGCGCGAGACCTGGGTCGCGTGCGCATCAGCCCTCGACACATCGCGCTTGCGGTGAGGGCGAGGGGAGGAAGGGGGAGGAGGGGAAGGAGGGGAAGGAGGAGGAGGAGGAGGGGAGGGAGAGGAAGGGGGAGGAGGAGGGGAAGGAGGGGGAGGAGGGGAAGGAGGGGAAGGAGGAGGGCTGCTCTGCTGCAGCGGTTGGCCTGCTGGGATGAGCCCAGAAAGAAGGATGCGAAGAGCGATGAAGGGAGGTTCATATCCAGGGAGAAAACAGAAAGGGATGGTCCGGGGTGGTGGAACAGCTAGGTCTACATGCCTACAAGGAGACACCAGCGCAGGCCGCCGCCTGCTCAGCATGCCAGCGGCATCCAAGCAACACGCCACCAGTTCATGACCGCACTCACCCATTACCGCCTCCCCCACATACCGGCACGGCACCCCCAGCAAGTACCGTACCTCCTCTCCTTCTCCGCCCTCTCCCCTCCTCGACCATAAGAGTAGCCACTCTCAGTCAACGCATAGGGTATTCTTCTTCTCCTTTTCCCCCTCCTTACTTGACCCTCCTTCCCGCCGCCCTGCAGGTGAAGAACGACCCCGCCATCAGCCTGCTGCTGGGCAACCAAGTGGTGATACCCGAGGGCGGGGTGCAACCGCACATCGAGGCCGCCCTGCTGCAGCCCCGCTCCTCACGCTCCCACTCCCGCACCCGCTCCCACCGCCCGCAACGCTCCCAGGGGCACTCCCAGCCGCGGTCCTACTCCCGCATGTTATCGACCGCGCGGGGCAACGCACAGCCGGAAGAGCAAGAGGCGCAAACCCGACACCCGGAGTAGGAGGGGAGGGGTAGGTGAGGAGAGAGGACGGGGGGGGGTTAGCGTGGGCAGCAGCAGCAGTGGTGGGGCCAAGCTGGGGGATGTGTGATACCGGTACGCGTTGTGAATACGGTAGCACGGGTGCAGACGCTCTGTGATGTTTGGGGTTTGGCGGTATACTGTGTTGCGGGCAGTTGGAAGGGCGAGTGCTTGCCGGCGGTTGTACAGCACACAACTGTTTTTGTTGGCGGTTGTACAACACAACTGGGAGTCGTGCATTCTGCACAGAGATGAGAAATTGAATGTCAGTCACATGCTAGACGCAGGTGCGGTGTGAGTGCTGTATGTCACGTCAGTAGGGTTCTAATGCAAAAAGGGTTAAGCAACTCTAGACCGCGGGTTACTCGGTTTATGGTTTTTGATTGTTCGTCCTCTTGCGCCTCCTCGTATCAGGGTTTTGTTTTGTTGAATCCTTGTTGCTATGCATGTTGCAAGTTGAAGGTCAGGCAGTGCGACGTCAGGAGTGCTAGGGCCTGGGTTGATTTCGTTGGGGCAAGTCATAGATGCCGGGCGACGGCCCCTTTGCACTACTTGTACTACCAGTAATGATTTGTCATGGCGGCCGAACGCTTAGAATGGCACCGGATGGCACTTCCGGTACTTGTTTTCATGGAAACGGTTGGGACTGTGAATGCAAACAATGACGCATGCATGAAGAGGAACGATGAGAGACCTTGTTTAGGTAACGTCCCATCGGGGGCCCCACTACATGTAAAAGAGACCAATAGGCTAAATTTACAAGGTGGCGGAGTTCAGGAGGAGGCGTGGAACACGGCGGAAAGGTCGCACCAGAATCCACTACTATCAACGAACAATCGCGAGCCGCTGCAATAGTACAATTAATGCAATACACAAAAATGCCTTGCCATGCTTACCACCCATTGGGTGGGGGGACGTATTACGGGCACATGAGACATATGCAAACCTGCAGCGGCAGAGGCACAACACACACATACACACCCGAAACCACACGCACCGACATCCTCCATGCACAACCCGTCACACACACGAGCACAAGAAACACACGTACCCACACAACCGCTGCAAGGAAGCGCCGGTTCGGACCACCAGGCATAAAAAGATGGAGTGAAAGAGTTCTCCAGACGGCTGCCGCTCAGTTATAGGCAAGCCTAGCCGTCAATGCATGGGAGCCATCATATAGCAGCATTCGTTACGACGAGACGCCCTTTCTCAGCATCGCAACTTAACAGAAAACGTCGTCATGGGAGTCAAAAACGCACGAGAGCCCACCTGCACCCCCAGCAGCGGCGTTGTTGGTTTTCGTTGTGCACGTTATCCAGCATCATTGACATTCTATGTGCGCCGTGCTCGCGTCCCAACCCAAAACACGCCAGGGAGCAGGTAGTTAGTTCGCCATCCCTCCCATCAAGCTCACGCTGCCACCAAACTCTGCTCTACCAACTCCGCAGGAAGCACAAAACTTGCGGAAAACGTACATGTCTTCATACTTTCACATGCCAACCGTACACCTTGCCTGAAACGTCAAGAAGTCTGCAGAACCCACCACACACTTAGATCCCGTCAATAACTGTACATGAGTTAACAAAGTCGTCAGCAGCTCTAAGGACGACGCTGTGAAGAGGGAAAGCGTCGAAGGTTTATAACCTGCCGATCGGATCTTAGTGGCGACCACGGCAACCCGCACCATGACGGCCAAAGGATGGATGCAACGTCTGCCGCAGAGCATGTGCGTTAATGTCCGAAGTCCGTCCCCCCGTTCCGAAACGCCGCTACTGTAGCTTTATCTGCGTTCAACCCTATCACGCCCCCACAGTCACACCGTCCTGGCAGCTCTAATGCAGCAGAGCAGTGCTGCTGCCCTAGCACCAACTGCCCAACCCAACACGAATGTCCCGCGTCCGCCTACGCCGCTGGCGGACGCAGAAGCGAGTCCTGCGTGCTGTCCGTCAGCTGCGGCGGCAGCCAGTACATGCCCGGATATATCCCTGGTCTAGAGTTCACCACTATGGGCTTACTGGGCCCGGCACCCGAGCCACCGCCCAGGAACGTCACGCCCGATGCAGCTGCGACCGAGTTCATCGGACCACCGCCCATCCCCACTCCCGCTGCTGCTGCCGAGCCGCCAGACATACCGGGCAGCTGGACCATCATGGGGCCTGACGCCTGCGCCAGCAAGCCCCCTGGCGCCTGCGACATCACCCCGCCTGAGCCCTGTGTCATCATGCCGCACTGCGACTGCGCTAACAAGCTCCCCGGCCCCTGCGCCATCATGCTGTTGCTCGCCTGCATCATCATCCCACCGCCCGCCTGCTGCGCTAAGAGCCCGCCTTGCGTTTGCGCCAGCATCGGTCCTGGCCCATGCGCCATCATGACTCCCCCTTGGTGCGCATGGACCATCAGGCCGCCTGGCCCGGACTGCTGCGCATGCGCATGCGGGAGCGAGTGCGGGTGTGGGTGCTGCTGCTGTTGCTGGCTAGACAACGAGGAAAGGGGCGGCGTGGATGTTGAGGGCATGCTACTGGAGGCCAAGAGCGCGCCGCTGGTCGATGCCATGTTGGCGGCGGGTAGCGGGTGACCCATGGGCGCTCCTGTTGGTCAGTTGGGAGCGGGGAGTGTACGGTAACGATGAGCAGTGGTGGTCCTTTGGGAGGGAGCTGGTGCAGTACAATACGGAAGGCAAATAGCCGTGCCAGGCAAATAGCCGTGCCAGACGATGCGTGGCGTTGTACGACACTGACCTTGCATGCCTGCGCTTGGGCCGGCCAACATGCCCGCGGCTCCGCCCACGAGCATTGGCTGCCCAGCCGCCATCATTGGCGCTGGCCCCATGGCGTTCATCATGAGGCTTTGCTGGTAAAGCTGCTGGCCCCGCTCGCGCTCAAGAGTGGAAACACGCTCCTGCAGAAGGGCAAATACACATCATGTCAATCATGATACGTGTAAGCATGAGTAAAGGACTCCAGAAAGGCCGGGAAACGCACTCACCTCCAGGAATTTGTTCAGCTGCCGAAGCTGGTGGTTCTCAACAGTAAGCTGCTGCACGTACTTAATTGCATCGGTAAGAATCGTGCTCTTGTCCGTTTTAGGCTCGCTGTTAGGGTCCACCAGCCGCGCCAGGTCGAGAAACCTGCACCACCCCAAAGATGCCGGTTAACGCAGAATTCACTTCAAGGCATTTAAACAAATCACATACCGTTCGTTTAGTTTTTCACGCCTAGCTTTCTCACGGCAGGCCTTCTTGGTTGCCGCAGCGCTCAATTCTCCCCCTCTCGACCGCTTGCCCGAAGACTTCTCGCCTTTGCTAGGCTCATCATCTTCATCAGAATCTGAGAGCCCTGCATCCTCCTGAGACCGTTTCGGTGCCTGCGTCGATGTCGGTTGCACTGACGGACCTGGCTGAGCGGCCGAAAGGGACGGCTTGATTGCGTCCCCACGACCACACGGTACCTGCCGCTGCCCATCCGCCACCTTGCAGACCGCTTCTAAAGTTGGAGCATCCAAGACCTCTGACCCGAAAACGAGCTCGTCGTTTAGGAACTCCAAGAAGCTCGAATTCAGCGTGACAGCATCTTCGGTTCCCCCGCTGCTAGCAAGTGCTTGCAGCTGTGCCTGCGGGCTATGTCCTGAAACGGCCTTCATCGGCTAAAGCACCTAGAGGTCGGCCTATTGCGCATAGCACCAGAGCAGTCCAGGCTTGCAAAGCAGTTCGTCAGGCTGGCAGAAGCATGTAAAGCAACCTGCCAAACGTGCTTTCAGGAACTGAAACGAGTACATGCACCTGGTTGATCTCCGATGTACGATATGTCCTGCGTCATGGATTTTCCGCGTCATGTGTAAGGTGACGGGTAGGTTGTGTATCCTTCCAACTCCCAAGGCCATAGCACTCTACGCTGTGGTATATATCATACAACAACAAAGTGGTACAAGCTTCCGTGGACTGCTTTCGGGAAAGTCGAGGGACGCAAGGGCTTACAATAGAAGAAAGCGGGACGTCTGCTTGCCACGCCGGCGAGCGAAGCCGTCGCACAATTCCAATTATGCTTAATATGTACATTATTTTCAGTTATAGGCGTCTAAGCGCGCCTTCAAGCCGTAGACGCAGGGGTGCTAATGGCAAAGCACCGAGAATTGAAGCTGCACAAACCCACCCAAACCGCACCCTGCAGACTCTGCGAAGGAAGCCCCGCGTTTGCCACGCACCTTGACCACGCATACGGCCAGCCTCCTCCACCACCGCACGGAATCCCTCCGCCAATCCAATCCATTCCTTCTTGCCTACGCGCCCACCTCACAGCCCCAGCACATCCGCAGTGCCCGTCCCCTCCCCGGCCGCCATGTTGTCCAGCTTGTTCTCCATCTCCATGTGCTGCCGGAAGATGGGGTTGTTCTTGAACTCCAGGTACAGCGTGAACAGCACGTGCAGCGACTCGATGGGATCGTCGTACACGGGAATGTCCAGCAGCGTGCACACCAGCTTGGCGTACGTCTTGATGTCCAGCTCCTGCGCACCAGGATGTGTTGCAACAGTTAGCTAGCTAGCAACAAAACACACACACGCCGTTAGCTAGGCTCCTGGGATAGCCGTTGACACCAGCATGCCCTACTATAACCCAATCGCTGCCATATAACCGGTACCCAATCGTTATTAAGCAGCCTTTAAACGGTATCCACTGTCACACTACCGGTCTGAAGCCCAGTGAACACCACCTCCCGCCACCCACCACATCGCCAGAGGGCATCTTCATGGCCTTGAGGAAGGTCTCCATCTCGGGCGGCCACTCCTGCATCAGCGCCTCGATCTCCGGCATGCGCTTTGTGTACGACACGCTGGCAGGCGGCTTGGCCTTGTGGATGTCCAGGATGGAGCCTGCGTGCGCAACACATTGGACATGGGCCGCAAACGTGATGCAGTGTGATACCGGTAACAACGGCAACGTGTTTTCCTGTGCAGGCTACAGTGTGGCTAATCACCTCCCTGACACATCCGGCCCCAAACAAACATCCCCGGGGTTCAAGGTACCGGTATCTCCCAGCTCCTCCTGGCTAGGAAGCCCCCTGGCCCGCAAAAGGCCCCTTAGCAACCCAGGACTCACTGATCCACTGCTGTATCTTCTTGGGCTTGTTCTCATCCACGTGCTCCAGCCGCCCTACCATGTCGGCCTTGGCCCCCGGTGCCTCCTTGGACAGCTGCCGCAGCTGCAGCGTGAGCACCGTGGGGTCGGACTGCTTGGCGGCCGGCTCGTCCAGCACCTGCAGGGCGGCCAGGGGGGGAGGAACATGGCTCTTGGTTGCGGCACGTCACGGTAGCTGGGCAAGGGAGTGCGGCCTTATAGAAGCGATGCAGCTGCATGTGACAGGGCCGCATGCAGGGTGTATGGGCTGGGAGCCCCCGTTGCAAGAGCTCCTGAAGAGTATTGTGTTCCGCTGTACCGGTACGTGGACGGACGCTGGAGGAGCCGACTGAGCACGGTGAGCTCGGCACCAGCAGAGGTAGTTGGGCATGCATGCATGGGGCTTCCCAGTGTACCGTAACCAGAGCGGGGTATTGCATTCGGCGAGCGCATGGGGCTGCTGTTCCCCTCCCTCACCCCGCAACCTATCCTCCTTAGGCCTGCACTCCCAACGGTCTCAAGTGGGGCTCCAAAGCCGGCCCTCGGCACCGATTCCTCTATAGCGCCGTTGACTCCTCTTGTGTTCAGAAAACCCTCAATGCAAGCATTTCATGCAACTTTGACCTGTCGACCCCCCGTTTCCCGTTCGTACCTTGAGGCCCAGGTAGTCTGGCTTGCCATCGGGCCGCGGCACCTTAATGAACTCATCAATGCCGCCCACAGCTGGAATGTAGTCCGGGATAAAGGGCTTCAGCTTAGTCTCCAGCTCTACAGTCTGCGGCTTATAACGCCCAATGTATTGAAACAGCTCGCGCACATCGTCAGGTACGTTAAGGTGTTTGTACTCCTGGGCGTTGTATGCGCCCGGCGGCGAGCTGTCGTCGCCAGCGCCTGGGGACGCCGCATGGCCTGCGGGGGAGGACAGCCGCAGGGGATGGGCTGCTGGTCGGCATGGTTGAAAGTGGGCAGTGGGGGGAAGTGAGAGGTTGTAATGGGAGGTGGGAGGAGGTGATAAGTGCGGGACAGCGTACATGGGTGGTTGGTAGGGTGGGCTCGGAGGCAGTCATGCGCGGCAGCAAGCGGGCTAACAGGGGCAGGCAGGAGGTGCCATGGAGACGCCCAGTTACGCGGCCCCAACGCGTTTCTGGTGGGCAGCAGGTCAATGGTGCCAAGACCCTGTACCCACCCCTTTACAGCTTAACCCAAATAACGTGCTCGAATAGCTGGGCATGACCCACACAGCAAGCACCCGCTACGCGTGTGGTCAGCGCCCACCCGACCACCGTGTTGCATGGGTCATTTATTGCGTGGGCCCCTCCCGGCCATGCATGGGTATTACCTCCATGTTTGCTAGGGTTGTCATACGCCTCCGGTGAAATGGTCCGCGCTGGTGCCGCAGGCCCCTCGTCCATGTCGTGAGACTCTATTAAAGAGGCATCTGCGGGTACGCGACCGTCACCCGTCAGCCGGACGCACAGAAGGTGCTGCATAACAGACCGCTACATACCTCGAGGCACAGCAGGCGGCTCATCTGCTCCGGCAAAGCTCTCTGACTCGCTTAAGTTTACCTCCTGCACGCATGTCAACCAACCGCCTCCTGCGACTTAGCACAACCCTAGGAAGCTTGTGGATGCACAAACATAGGCCTACCTCATCATGCGGCTGGTTTTGTACCACCGTTGATCGCGCTGTCCCTTGGAATTGCTCGCCCTCGCCAAGTTCACCGGAGAACTACAGCCCCGCCATAGGCAATCAGCTTTATAGGCTAGAAAAAGCTGTATTATAGCAGGTCGCATCTACCCACCCCGTCTTCCTCGCGGTAGAAAGAGTCGTCCATAGGAAGGTGGACAAAGGAACTGCGGACCGGACCCTCCCCGTCCCAACACCCCTGCTTGCAGCCCTAACAATGGAATAATGTTTATGTAATCCGTAAACGGTGAACTACATGACCTTGCTGCAAGCACGAGAAATGGTCCTTTGAGTACCCCCGGTTATGACAAGATAAACCAGTTAATCGTCAGTAGAGTCGTTGCAGTGCGTGCAAACAGCTGCGCTATGTGGATTGTTAGGCCGCGGGTTTCTGCAACGAAGGGGCTGGTCGTACACAATCAGCATGAATACCGGTGTCCATATGCAGAATGTTAATCTGTTCATCAATTCAACGCACTTTGATCAAGGAGTTTACATTCCAATACTACTTCATCAAGCGTGCTCTGCAAACAATAGTCACATCCCCTATGGCTTTCGCTTGCTTGCTGACCATACTGCTGTTATCTCAACATGCCTTTGTCCCCACACTCCCAGGCTAATCTGCGAAGCCTGAGAAGCTGCCTTCGTGCCGCTTTGTCTTCCGCATGATACATGTGCATGTGTACCCTCAAACGCTGCTCTGCAAGCTTGGCCATTGAGGCCCGCCTTGTACTGTTGGTCAGCGCCCCGTAGCCAATGATGCCTTTTCTTCCTTTTCGACTCGTGTCACACGCGCCATGCTTATAGGCAGACTTCCACCCTCCTGCCCACGACGGCCACTCATGACCGTCAGAAGTAAGGCAGCCCATAGGCCTGTCAAATATCCCCGCATGTGTGGGTAAGAATCTTGGGGGCCCGCGCATAGGGCACCAGCAACAAAAATATATACAAACTGAAGCACCGATACCGCGGTCATGAACCATGGGCCCGCACAACAGCTACCATAGCCTTTCAATTCGGTGCAAGCGCCGTCCACAACATGCACCGCAGGCACAGTTCGGTCACTAGCCAAGACAGGTGATGCCTGGGAATATACGTCTTGGCATAAGGGGCCCAACTCATCATGCTGAAAGGGGATCCCATCCAATGCTTGTAACGACACATCTTCACTCCGGGTTGCCCACCATCCGACACGAAGGAACGGGGGGCCACCACAAGCCGCTCGCTTCCCCAGCTGCTGCACAGGCAGCTCACGATTAGCTAACCAGGGGGCTATAACTTGCGGGGCACCAGCACCTGGCTGCCCTTCCCTCCAGTTGTACCCTAATTTCTCGCACACTTTAAGCACTTGCGCCACCCAGCACGAACCCATAAAGCCACCAGCCGCCGCTAGGGCAATATTATCCCGAAAAGCCGCATTATTTAGAGTACCTTCCGCCTTAACAAGCTTATTCCAGAAATTGAACACACACTTCGCCCCAAAGTATTGCATTGGCAGTTGCGAGTATTCCGCAAACAGGATTTGGTTGGCCGGTAACTTACTACAGGAGACGCGCCGTAAGAAGTCCCTCTGGAGCTCCACTGCAGGGTCACACAGTGCCCTTTCGAAGAGGGTGGCACGGCCTCTGCCTACGTCTCCACTCAGTGTTGCCAGCACTCTGTGCGCCTGCTCTAGGAACACCATCAAACATCTCAATGAGGGCACTGGGGCCCCATACCTCGACACCGTACGACAACTTGGAGCGCACTTGCACGTCAAAACTCCTGACCATTATATCAGGTGCAAAAAACCGCCCCGCACGCAGCTTGTCTAGTAACCCGAACATGCATTTCCGCCCACTGTCATACAACTCTCGCCTGCAGGAATCAAACGGGGTATCGGGACCATAGCTGATCCCAAGATACCTCGCCCTGCTCTTAACCGGGACCGGCTGCCCCCCCAACCGCAGGCTGATGCCTGCTAGGATGGTTTGGGCAACTCTAGTTGCTGAGTTCGGCGAAAAAATTAACAACTCCGACTTATCAGTATTCACACGCATACCAAAGGCACGACATACTTCCTCAAGCCTCGCAAGAAGGTACGTCATGCGTCGTACAGAGGTGGCTAACAGGGTCAGATCGTCAGCAAAAAGCAGGTTAGGCGAACGCTGGCCATTGAGCGTAGGGCATTCACCGACAAAGGCGAGGTGCGGTAAAAAGCGATCAACAGTGTCAATGTAGTCGGCAAGGACCTCAATGTAAAAGCCAAAGAGGTCAGTGCTCAGCGGGCAACCCTGCTTCACACCTTCACTAGCCTCGAACTTCTCTCCGCGCTGACCATTAAGCTTGACACGCAGGCTCACACGCTCGTATGCCCGCTTGAGCGCGGCGAGCATCTCCCCTCGTATACCCCTCTCCTCCAATCTATGCCACAGAAGCTCCCTCGGGACCCGATCAAACGCTTTCTCAAAATCAATCTGACAGACAAACAAGGGCGCGGTCTGCCCCGCACGCATATAGCTGTCAACAAAATGCCTAACTGAAAAGAGGTGATGAGTGATGCCGTAGCCTCGCCTCGAGCCTGCTTGGCTCGGGTGCCGTACAGGTCTGGGAAGCCGGGGTTCGACACCAAAACGGGCTAAGCGCCTATCAAGGATGGAAGCATAGCATTTCGCCAGGGCACCTCCAACGGCGATGCCACGATAATTGTCCTTGCTAGCCACATCACCTTTACGCTTATAAAGAGGGGTCAAATCAGAGATAGTGAACTGCTCTGGGTAATCACCGGTACGTCTAATGTGCTCAAGCAACTCACGCAGGATAGGCACAGTCACGTTAACCTCCTGTTGGCGGTCATCTTCACCAACACTCACACGTTTAGCATAGCGGTAGCACTCAGCTGGGGCCTTCTCGGGGCCCCTGGCTTTGTTGTTACCCATAGCCTTAACCGCAGCCAGCACCTCTTCAACGGTAAAGGGGACGTTCAAAATCTGATCAGCAATGGCCTTTGCGGCGTCAATGGCGGCTCGTAGCCGGCTCGTCCAGCACCTGCAGGGCGGCCAGGGGGAGGAACATGGCTCTTGGTTGCTGCATGTCACGGTAGCTGGACAAGAGAGTGTGGCCTTATAGAAGCGATGCAGCTGCTTGTGACAGGGCAACATGCAGGGTATATGGGTTGGGAGCTCCCGTTGCAAGAGCTCCTGAGGCGCGATGTATTCCGCTGTACCGGTATGTGGACGGACGGACGCTGGAGGAGCCGAAGGAGCACGGTGAGCTCGGCACCAGCAGAGGTAGTTGGGCATGCATGCATGGGGCTTCCCAGTGTACCGTAACCAGAGCGGGGTATTGCATTCGGCCAGCGCATGGGGCTGCTATTCCCCTCCCTCACCCCGCAACCTATCCTCCTTAGGCCTGCACTCCCAACGGTCTCAAGGCGGGTTCCAAGGCCCGCCCTCGGCACCATTACCGCTATATCGCCACTGGCTCCTCTTGTGTCCAGAAATTCCCCCCTAACAAGCATTTCATGCAACTTTGGCCTGTCGACCCCCCGTTTCCCGTTCGTACCTTGAGGCCCAGGAAGTCTGGCTTGCCATCGGGCCGCGGCACCTTAATGAACTCATCAACGCCGCCCTCAGCTGGAATGTAGTCCGGGATAAAGGGCTTCAGCTTAGTCTCCAGCTCTACAGTCTGCGGCTTATAACGCCCAATGTATTGAAACAGCTCGCGCACATCGTCAGGTACGTTAAGGTGTTTATACTCCTGAGCGTTGTATGCGCCTGGCGGCGAGCTGTCGTCGCCAGCGCCTGGGGACGCCGCATGGCCTGCGGGGGGGGACAGCCACAGGGGATGGGCTGCTGGTCGGCATGGTTGGGCAGCAGGTCAATGGTGCCAAGACCCTGTACCCACCCCTTTACAGCTTAACCCAACTAACGTGCTCGATTAGCTGGGTATGACCCACACAGCAAGCACCCGCTACGCGTGTGGTCAGCGCCCACCCGACCACCGTGTTGCATGGGTCATTTATTACGTGGGCCCCTCCCGGCCATGCATGGGTATTACCTCCATATTTGCTAGGGTTGTCATACGCCTCGTCCATGTCGTGAGACTCTATTAAAGAGGCATCTGCGGGTACGCGACCGTCACCCGTCAGCCGGACGCACAGAAGGTGCTGATTAACAGACCGCTACATACCTCGAGGCACAGCAGGCGGCTCATCTGCTCCGGCAAAGCTCTCTGACTCGCTTAAGTTTACCTCCTGCACGCATGTCAACCAACCGCCTCCTGCGACTTAGCACAACCCTAGGAAGCTTGTGGATGCACAAACATAGGCCTACCTCATCATGCGGCTGGTTTTGTACCACCGTTGATCGCGCTGTCCCTTGGAATTGCTCGCCCTCGCCAAGTTCACCGGAGAACTACAGCCCCGCCATAGGCAATCAGCTTTACAGGCTAGAAAAAGCTGTATTATAGCAGGTCGCATCTACCCACCCCGTCTTCCTCGCGGCAGAAAGAGTCGTCTATAGGAAGGTGGACAAAGGAACTGCGGACCGGACCCTCCCCGTCCCAACACCCCTGCTTGCAGCCCTAACAATGGAATAATGTTTATGTAATCCGTAAACGGTGAACTACATGACCTTGCTGCAAGCACGAGAAATGGTCCTTTGAGTACCCCCGGTTATGACAAGATAAACCAGTTAATCGTCAGTAGAGTCGTTGCAGTGCGTGCAAACAGCTGCGCTATGTGGATTGTTAGGCCGTTGGTTTCTGCAACGAAGGGGCTGGTCGTACACAATCAGCATGAATACCGGTGTCCATATGCAGAATGTTAATCTGTTCATCAATTCAACGCACTTTGATCAAGGAGTTTACATTCCAATACTACTTCATCAAGCGTGCTCTGCAAACAATAGTCACATCCCCTATGGCTTTCGCTTGCTTGCTGACCATACTGCTGTTATGTCAACATGCCTTTGTCCCCACACTCCCAGGCTAATCTGCGAAGCCTGAGAAGCTGCCTTCGTGCCGCTTTGTCTTCCGCATGATACATGTGCATGTGTACCCTCAAACGCTGCTCAGCAAGCTTGGCCATTGAGGCCCGCCTTGTACTGTTGGTCAGCGCCCCGTAGCCAATGATGCTGTTCTTCCTTTTCGACTCGTTCACACGCGCCATGCTTATAGGCAGACTTCCACCCTCCTGCCCACGACGGCCACTCACGACCGTCAGAAGTAAGGCAGCCTATAAGCCTGTCAAATATCCCCGCATGTGTGGGTAAGAATCTTGGGGGCCCCGCGCCTAGGGCACCAGCAACATAAATAAATACAAACTGAAGCACCGATACCGCGGTCATGAACCATGGGCCCGCACAACAGCTACCATAGCCTTTCAAATCGGTGCAAGCGCCGTCCACAACATGCACCGCAGGCACAGTTCGGTCACTAGCCAAGCAAACGCTCAGCATGCGTGAAGCAGCAACTCTTGGCACCGAGATACTCGGACAAGCGAACAAGCCTTAGTTCAGCCCTGATTTCCCCCTTCCGTCATGCGCTGCAATACCTAGCGCTTTTCGGCCCACTCCTTCCTATAACCGGTGGTGTAAAGCCCGGCCTTGCCGCCAGGCTCAACTGAGACGACAAATCCCTCCATGCATGCATGTGCACCCTCACGCGGGTGTTTCAAGCTACGTGACAGCAGCAACTTGGTACACTCCAAAAACAAGTACCCAACTACTACGTCAAGCCCTACAACGGCACCTTAAGACGCCACGGCGTCCAAACCTATCGCCAGGGCCCTGGTTGGCTCCTCAATCCGAATCCTCCAAGTCGTCTTCAAAGCACAGGCGAGGCGACCTCGGTTTTGGCGGTACCTCCATCGTCGGCTGAGCGGGCGCCGTGCCAGCACGCGCCTCGCACACGAAGGCAAAGCTCACGTCGTGACCCTCGTGAGGCTGCTGCTGCGCTTGTGCTAGCGACGTGGGCGGTGTAGCCGCGGGCAGCGGTGGCGGCCCGCCAGGCGAGTCCGGTGAAACGGGTGGCGGCCCCGGGGGAAGGGGCGGTGGCGGCGATGCTTCCCCCGCGCCTGCCCCATCCCAACCGAGAACTGAGGCCCCCAGCGGTTGCATGCTTGCCGCTTGCGGCAGCGGAGTGGCTGCATAGCTGGGATCAGCGCCTTGCGGAGCTACGAAAACAGCGTTGGGGATCGGTACAGCAGCAGCGGCAGGTGCTGTGGTGGCTACTCGCGGGTAGCCAAGCGGAACGGCGTGCGTCATGGCGAAGGCCGAGGGCCCTGCGGCACTCGGATAGCCCCCAACAAGCAGCAGCGGCGGCGGCGGCGGCGGCGGCCCGCCCCCAGCTACCGGTACTCCCTGCCAGTGCATCTGGTCTGGCACCTGACCATGTGGGTAGACGGCCTGCTGCTGGTGCTGGTGCGGCGGCAGATACCCCTGTTGCATCGGGTAGGAGTGGTAGGCGACATGCATGTACTGTTGCCATGTCCCATCCACGTACTGCCACGTCCCCTGCTGTGGATGCGGCTGGGGCTGCGGCGCCAGCGGCTGAAGAAAGCCCTGAGGAGGATGCGGGGGCGCTTCAGGTGGCTGGTGCGGCTGCCACTGCTGCGGCTGCTGCAGGGGCGCCGCAAACCCCGGCAGCTGCCCCTGCAAAACCGGTACCGTAGCTGCAGCCGGGTAGCCCTGCGCCTGCGACTGCACCTGGACCACCGGGTAAGACGTGCTGCCCATGGCATCCTGCCCAGGAGGAACCCATACTCGCGGCGCTGACGTTGCCTCCGCCTCCCCTCCGCACAGCGCCTGCGCTAGAACTTGCTGTCCGAGAGGTGCCTGGAGGCTTCTCGCGGGGTTCAATCTGGATACCGGGGACGGCGGCGGTTCCGGCACTGCACCAGCCGGCGCTGTGCACGCCGCCGCTTGCGGCCCCGTGAGCGTCGCGGGGGGTACACTGCCAGAGCGCAACGTCCCAGAGGGCCCCGCGGTTGCATGCGCGGGTGGCCATGCAGAGTCGGTAGCTGAGTAGGCCGTGTGTAGAGGAGAGGCCGTGGCTGGGCCTGCAGCGGCGGTGGCGCCGGCATGCGGCCTTGGCGCGCCACTTGCATGCTTGGACGGAGGCCTCCCGACGGCGGCAGCAGCAGCAGCGCTGGAGGCGTCGACCTGCGGCATGTGCGCAGCAGCCGGCACAACAGCAGCAGCCGGGGCCCCGACTGGTGGCGCGCCCCCAGCGGAAGCCTGGCCAGACAGCTGGGAGCTGGAAGGCGCCGGAGCCGCCGCCGCCGCCGCCGTGGCGCCGGAGAAGCTTCGGTCTGACTCGGCGGGAGCTGCATGCGTGTGCTTGTTCGTGGGGCGCGTCACGTCTGGGGGCTCGGCTTGAAGCAACACGATGAAGGCCTTGTTCTGCAGAAACAGCTGGCGCTGCTCCTTAGGAAAGTCGGCCGCCAGTTTCTGGCAGAGCCGCAGATTGGGGCCAGCCGCAGGAAGGGAGGTCGGGGTGGAGCGTGGGTGAGGTTCGAGGAGGGCAAGGATAAGGCAGGATGACAGACGGGATGAAACGGGTCTATAAGCGGACTCGCAGGGTGCGCATGACAGGCTGCAAGACAGCTACCACCATACTTGGGCGACCTAGCACGTTATGTAACTGGGACCCATGCCCTGCCCATACGCCATACCCCTACGTGCGCATGGCACACGCCCCCATACACGTCACCGCACCCTCACCTCGCAGGCCCAGCGGCATGCGTGCGTGAAGACCCACACAAACACCTTCCAGCCGGTTGCAGTGCCACTCGTGGGTCGGAAGCCGTACTTGCTGCACCGTACCAGGTCCCCGCCCCTGGCATACCAGCCCCACCGGCGTCCAAACTCCACCACACTGTTGCATTCAGGGCGGAGGGGCAGGGCGGAGTAAAGGTATACACTTGAAGGCACTTGGTGTTGGGGCCGGTGAAGCCCGTTAAGGTAACTGGGGCAAAGCAACGTGGAAACACACTTGCCAAAGGGAATGGTATGAACATATGATGCAGTCAGACACTGTTAAGCAGGGCACGCGCACCCTTAAGGAACGGCAATGTTGCGGGTGGGGCATGGGTGAGGTAAAGCACTTTGGGTTGGTGTTCCTGCCTTTCCATGTCTTCCGCTTTGTCCACCGTGAGCAAGCCGACCTCCGGGACGATGTAGGGGCAGGTGCTGATAAGCCGCTCCACGGATTCGGCTGAAGCGGCTTCCTGGTAGGGGGGTAAGCGGATAACTTCAGGGCGATGACAGCGAGGGAGCCGTCTGGGCAATGGCAGAGAGGTTGGGAGATCCGTTTATACGTACGGTATCCACACAAGATGTTGCTCAGGTTGGGATCGTTCCCATGCACACACCCCTTCAGCAACCCCCCACATCCACCGCATGGGCTGCTAGTACCGGTAGTCTGGTGGCTAGCTGTCAGCCATGGCGGCCCTAACATCCCCCTTGTGTGCGGCCCCGGCGCGCCACCGCTGGCACCGGTTCAGAACCATCAAAAGGCGTGCCGGCCCCGGAGACCCGGAGAGCACTTCCGTCCTGCTGACCCAGATCGCAGGAAGTTAACGAGACGCGGACCACGCGTCCGTGCACACATGCGGCCATTTTTTCTTATACACACATATGGGGAACGCACCCCAGCACACATAAGCGGCCGCCTCCAACCCGTTACGTCAACACACCAGCAAGGAAAACGTCACACGTACCTGAGCCTCTTTGCGCCCATGGAACAGCAAAGCGGTCTTTATTAGAGCGGAGAAGGATGTCAAGGGAGGCTGCAGGGCGCTCCCGTCGGCGGCCCTGGGGAGCTCGATCTGCGCTGCTCGCCCGGTCATAGGGACCGTGTGGATGGTGGCCTGCCGCTGGTGCCGGGTGGTACAGGTATTCTCCGAAAGTTCCAGAGCGCAATGCCACTGCAAGAGAAAGACACGGACACAACGGCCAGTTATTTTAACACAACGGCCAGTGTTCTTAACGTAACGAAACAATCACAGCATGTTCCGATTCGTGGCCAGACTTGTTAGCGCACAGGGATGTACGTATGGAGACGCAATGGATGGCTTCAGCGGTTGCCGTACCTTTCCTTGATGCTGCACAGATGGGCCGTTGGCACCCAGCGGACGCCGCGAGGACTTCGGCGAGCTCTGCATCTGCGTTTGCTGCTGCTGCTGCTGCTTTACGCGGCCGTGCCGCCCATGCGGTAATGGGGGTGGGTCGTTGCAGCCGTGTTGCCGGCTTTCCGACGGTGGAGAGGGGTCAGCGGCCAGCACCTCCGGTGCGCTTTGCTGGCTTGGAGGAGTGGGCGCGGGCGCAGGCGCGGGCGCCGCCACAGGACCCACGGGATGCATGGATGGGGCCGGCGATGCGGTGTCGGCACCGGGTTGATGCTGCTGCTGCTGCATGCGCTGCTCAGCAAGCAAGGTAACTACCTCAAACTGCGAGGGAACGGGCTGCCCCTCCTTCTCCAGCTGCCCTCGGAGCGCCTGAGGTGTTGTTGTACGACAAGGTACGACAAGGTAAGAGGAAAGGGGAGCATGTGAGCGAGGAAGGAAGCGCAGACTGGCCAGGCAAGCACTGCCCCGGTGCAGCTTTTGACGCCACTGCCACATTCGCACGACATGCCGTACAACATGCCGTACCTCTGCTCGTTCATCTAGTTTGATCGCGTTATCCAGCGCCTCCTCCGGTAGCATCCGCAAGTCGACCTCACTGCCATCTTCATTGGTCGCGCCGTTTTCCAGCAGCAGCAGCAGCCAATCCGCCTTAACCTCCATATACTCTCGCTGCGCATGGGAACCAGGCAACGAGTCAAATCGGATGTCAGGCAGTGTGTCTTGTTCAGGCCGCCTCTCGGCCGCTGTCTCCCTAACCAGCATGGGTACTATGGGTTGTGTTTAGGGAAAATGCATAAACGATTTGCCAGGTGTGGCAACCCAATGCAGAAGTAAGCATGGTAATAGCTCAGGGGCGCTGAGTGCAGGGTAGGGAGCGTAGCACCCGGAACATGCCAGCCGCAAACCCATGAAGATTCACCCACCCGCAAGTCTCGTTTTTGCGGCTGTATTGGCGCTTGCGGGGCCTTTGGAGGCTTCTGTTTCGGCTGCTGCTGCTGCTTGTGAAGTGGCTGCTGCCGCGTCTCATGCCTGTGCTGCTGCGTCGCCGCCTCCTCGGCAGCCGCGTCCATGCGGGACCGCTTTGCGCGATGCGCCCCCTCCATGCTTCCATTCACGGCAGTTGCCGCCGGCTGCTCCCCAGGCCGCCTCGCTGCCTTCCTCGCAGCCCCAGTCGTACCCGCGGTTCCCTCCAGCCGGGGCGCCTGTTGCGGCAGCCCGGCCGAAGCCTCCTCCTGCGGCTGCGGTGACGGCGTGAACACGCCACCGACTGAGGGCGGCGAAGGTTCGCCCAAGCAGCCAGCCGGCGCCATGGCAGCCTTTGCGGCGTCAATGGCGGCTCTTAGCTTCAAAGCGCTGGCGTCCATGGTACGGCGAGCCTCCGCCGCCGCATCCCTCAGATCCGACACCAGGTTCTGCGTCTTGCGCAGCTCCTCCTCGCGCTTGTCCTCGATGCCTACCATGCTGCGGGCAAGCTCGTTGATTTGCTCCTCGATGCCGTCGACCTCGTCGGCTATGGAATCCAGCTCCGCGGCTGTGGCTGGGCGGTAACGTCCGGTGCGCTTGTCCGCAACGATGCGAGTGCTTAGCTCGGTCCGTTTTGATCGGTGCTGCGATTCGAGCTCCTCCCGTCGTTTCTGCAGCCGGTCGCGTGAGGCCCCTTGGATGCGAGCCCTAAGCAGCGCGGAGAGCTGCTGCAGCAGCTTGCGCTTGACCAGGGTGACCCGTGGGTCTTCCGGGAAGAAGAAGTCCGGGTCGCGGATCTCCATGACGCAGACCATGTACATCAGGTCACTGCAGGCAGCACAGGAGGAGGACATGAAAGGTGAAACAGACAAGGGGGAAGGGAACGACGCCGTGAGATTCGGATAAGCGAGAGAAACGCAATCCAAGCTCCTGCATCTAGCCTCCGAACGCGCGAAAGCACATCAAGAGCTGTGTTGTGCGCATGCCAGCCGGCCGCTGTGCAGCGCAACAATGGAGGCCAAGGCCTGCCAAGGCAATGGAAATTGCGCGTTGGCACCCAACTCGCGCAGGACGCAACCTTACTCGTCCGTCAGCGTGCGCCTGGGCTCCCTCTTGGCCCGCTCCTGATGCTCACGCGTAACCGGCCAGATGTGCTCCAAGCGCACGAGCGCTTGCTGGTAGTGCTCGTCCTCCTGGAGCATAAGCAGCTGAGCCTGGGGGCACGGGGTACGTAGAGTGGCAGAGGGGACAGAGGGCAAGGGCCAACCTAAGGTTTCCGGTATGCCGTTGCTGCCGAGGTACCGTATCCGCCGGGGCAGGTACATACAGCTCGCATGCGGGCCAGCAAAGCGGCTGTGAAGGCAGAGGGGCGGTGTGGGTGTATGGATGAATGGGTGCATAACGCCCGATGCCGGCTAAAGCAGTACGACAGCAGCCATGACCAGTACGACAGCGTGCAGCAGCGCCGAGACGGACTCTGTTGGCATTGGCTTTTTCTGGCTTTAGAACTTACGTGCTTGTTTCCATTGTTATGGGTGACGACGGTGCAGATGGGAAACATCACGAAGGCCCTCAAGACGTCATTGAAGGCCTTGACCAGGAAGCCTCGGAGCAGGAGGCCCGGATCCTGCGGTGGAGATATGGAGTTTGTTGGCAACATGGCCAGGAAGGGCCACGAGGCGTCTGGGTAGAAGGAGGCATAGTGGCCTGACAGGGTGGCAACGCTGAGAGCAGGAGTGGACGGCGCACTCCCTGCAAGTTCGCCCGGGCTTCGGCCGGATAACCAAACTTGGGTGAGCATCTTTCAACGCAACTCCACCTGTCTGCCAGCAACGTAGGAGACATGCTCACCGTCTCGTGTTCACCATACAGCACAGCCAACGCGCTTTCAACCTCTTCCCGAATGGACTCATTGGAGATGACGTCGTGAAAATCCTGCAGTTCCTGCTGGGTGAGGAAGTGGTTTGACAGCTGTCCCAGCTGACGCGAGTAGACGTTGGAACCCATGTCTTGCTCCCTGGTATGCAGGATGTGGGGACAGCATGCCATGGGATGGATGTTCAAGTTTAGCGGCTGGCATAATGACTCTAGCTCAAAACAAAAAGATTGCAATGCGTCGTGCCATAATGTTTATATCGTTGGGGTGTGCCGGGGAGGGGTTTCGCAAGGGCTGGGTGTAGTTAGTTCTGCGCACCTTTACATCGCCAGCACCGACCAATGCCGAAACCGGATTGGACAATAAGAGGACCACTACAAGTCTACAACAGTATAAGGCGCCTCTTCAGGAGAGGTTTGGACCTCGGCTGTCCCAGCCCGAGTCACAAAAATTCCTTCTATACATCCTTCTGCAAAGAATGGACATTATTTAGCCACTGTATCTGCGGTGTAGTAACTTCTGTGAGTTAAACTGGGCCAATCAAGCCTATCCAAAATATCGACTTCTGCTGCAAGCTTTCGTGTCAGGGATACCTGAGGCCAAACACGTTGTGATACACGTCGAAAGCATGGGGCTGATGCGTTGAAGCAAGGTCGTGTTTCAGGGCCAGATTGGGCGCAAACGGTTAGCTCCGAGGCTCCGAGACCCACTTCCCAGGTAAGGTGCATTTTGCGAGCTGGACTGCAGTTACAGACACGCGATGTGTCCCTTTTGAGCGTCTTGGAACCACAATTCTTCAGGGAGAGCGGAGCGCCTTCCGTGTATGACCGAATGTGCCTTGGGGCAGACCATGCCTACCGTCATTTAATAAGATTCAACCTTGTAATCTGCCCAGGGTTTGCCCCATACAGAGTTAAAGACCCACCTGTCATGGTTGTGCTTAGTATGGCTAAAGACAACGACATCCTCTCCCGCCGAGTTGCGTCGACCAGTGTGCACAGTCAGTAAGGCAGGACAGCCGTCTTGCTGGCAACGATATGTCTGTATGTAGTTCCCGCGAACCTCAGGCAACCTCGAGAACGGCCATGCTTCGCATATCTTGACAATTGTCGTTTGCCGCGCAGATGCGGGGCACTCTACTTCGTAAGTTTCATTCGCTGTGGGATCCTTTACACACATCTTTGGAAGTTGCTTGTCCATTTTCCTGTGGGCTGTTGCATAGTAATATCGCGACCATGCGTATTCAACTTCGTCCTCGGAAGCCGTACCCTTAGCATGCATGCCATGTCCAGACCAGAAAGAGGGAACTAGATCACGAACGCGTTCTTGACGGAGGCGTGCCCACAAGGTCCTGCTTCTATGCTTTTTAGTTCAGATAGTGCCTAGTTGGCTACTTTATGTGAGCATGCGTACGACCCCTTCCGGACCCAACCCTCCCGTGTTGCGCGTGTTAGTTTGATATGTAGTTGTAGCGACGTATGCGCGAGGGCTGTGTTACATGCGAATTCCTTGGCTATCTTATGTGACGCATCAGAGCCAAGGCCTAGTTGTCGTTGTTGTCAGCTTTTTTATAAAATCCATCTGGGCGAACTCAAGAATGCAAGGAAACTACAACTCTTAGGCTCTTAGGGTCTGGCAAAAGCACGACAAGTACGACAGGGACCAACACAACCTTCGCAAAAAGGCACCAACGCATCTCCTGAAAACCCACAACAACAAAGGGCCATCAACACAACCACCTTCGCCAATGCGGACGGCCTCTCAAGTTCATGGGCATCATCACTTGTGACGCTCGTCCCACAGAAATGCGACTTGGCTTTGTTACAGAAAACAATACTCGTACATCAACATTCCGAGGTTACACTGCCTGTGACAAGCAGCCGCGCACAATTACGCAATGTACTACTACAGAATTGCCCCAATTTGTGTGAGATACCGAATACTATGGGTGCCCGTACTCGGGCACGCCAACCCATATTTCTGCTGATCGGTGGACGAAGGCGCACGCACTGCAACTGCCGATCTTCAACGTTTTATATGTATGTGCGAATGTGCCCAACACTCTTCATCGGCAGCAACACCACAGACAAATGGTTCTCTCGGCCTCCTTATACCCCAACCTGCCCAAACATACAATTACACATTGGCCCCAACACTTCCTTTGTATATGCCTGGCGGTAATGACGGAGAGATACAGCATACTGTAGGGCTAGAAGCCTAGGCGACATACCCTGCCGGTACCAGGTGGCCGTTATGCTAGGCGTGAACGTTAAGCCGGTGCTATATCCCTCCTCAGGAGATCTCCATGTGACAGGTAAAAGCTCTTACTTGGGCTTTTGGATCTGACGTACAGATGCATCATAGCACGTCGCGCTCCACACATCGCACACAGAGCTAAACACAGCTAAACCATATACTATAAATAGAGCCTTTAACTATGTTGTCGAACCTGGTGACAAAGGCAAACCCGGGGGTGCGGCCGTTGGCTGTGCGCAGCGGTGCATCAATGCGGCTTTGCGCCATCGTCGCCAGGCACCCCCTATTCCAGCAAAAGGGACGATCGTTGGTTGCCTTCTGCACTGCGCATGGTAGGTTGAGCTCGGAGGGGCAAAATTGCGACTACCGGTTCGGCATGGGGCAGCCTAAGGAGTACAGGGGAATGCACAACCATCTAAAATGTTCCGGTAACACTTGGTTTGAAATTCGCTCACGATTGGGCGGAGCTCGCCTTACCTGGGTGGTGGTTAGGCACGACATCGAGCTTAGGCATTTTGCAATGATATACGCTCAGTATTCTTTTCAGCGAAGGCAAAACATTGATGGGATTAGGGTAGTCTGACACGGGTCCCGCTTTCTGGGGCGCACGGACGTGCACGGACGTAACCGTATCTGGGTCGCCAAGCACGAGAAGGATGAGAGCCCTGACAAATGACGACTGCCACTCCTTACCATACACTTGCCGTAAACTGCTTACCCCGACCTGCCAGGTAGCAATGCCGAGGTTAAGATTGCGATTGCGGGCATGATGTGTGGCGGCTGTAGCTCGCGCATTGAGACAGTGCTCAAGGTACGTCCTGGCGCAACGTGTGACATGCGTGCACACCTATAGCATGCTTGCATACACGAAGCCCACATGTCCCCTCACCCAAACCCACGCCATGCACTACCCGCCGCACGCCCTGCCGGCCTGTCCTACCTCTGTACTCACCCGCCCTGCCCCGGCCTGACTGTAGGGCATGGAGGCCGTCAAGGACGTGAGCGTGTCCCTGGAGGGCAAGGTCAGTACTTAGCAGGATCCTGTTAATCCTGATACGTGCTGATAGTGTTGCTGCTAGTACACGACTGGGGCCACCGGAGACTTGCGTACTGGCCGTCCTGACCCTACTGAGGCATGCAGGCATGCATGCGCCTTTACACGGCCTGCCTGCCTGCCTGATCTGGGGCTTGGCTCGGGGGATATGGACTACCCAGATGTGCGCATTACAGCATGTGGGTTACCTGCTTATCCCTTCCCACCCGTCCATCGCCTCGCCTAGCATACTTTACTGCACTGCCACCCACTCGGCTACCCTTCATTCTTGGATCAGCTTGTTAGTTACATCATGACAGGGTACTAAGAACTTACAAGTTCCAACACACTTGGCACTCCACTGATGCCCAGGTGGCCACCGTGCACCTAGCCCAGGCGGCAGCGGGCTCAAAGGACGCCGTGGCGGCGGCGACGGCCCTGGTGGACGCGATCAATGGAATGGGCTTCGAGGCTAAGCTCAGCCAGTAAGACCCAGTTGCGGATGCCGGCTAGTGAAACTACTCCGCCAGCCTGCGCCAGCACTCTTTTGTTGGGGGGGGGGATAAACGGTCTGTGGTCGCAGCGCCAGCCGAATAGGCGTGCGGCAGCCCTTGCTGTGCGGGTGGTTGACGGTGGTGTGGAAGTGATGTGGGTTGGGCAGGGCGGGGCCAACCGGATGGAGCTCGCGTGGCCCTTGTGCGACGGGTTCCTACGGTGAGCGATAGTATGGTGAGCGGGTCCAGTACGCCGGACTGCTGTGTGGATCGGTGGACATGGGACATGGTGACGGCTCGGCGGTACCGTTCGTATATTGGAACCCTAGCTGCGCCAAGCTGTCAAAAGGCTATCTAAAGATCCTCTTTTGTCCTGTGCATTACGCTGAACAAACTATGGGACAGGAGCTTTGGACGGAAATGAGAATAGGATGCGCACGTTGGTACCATGATCGGTCTTTTTTTACATATTGTATCACCGGAAAATTGGTATAAATCCATGCTCTGGATGCGTTAGGTTTGGTGGTCGCCTAAGGTGTGCAGAGGGGATGGTTACTTACGATTATGACACTGCACGCTTGCCAAGGATGTGAAAAGGCCTTGATTACTATCGTGCAAATGTCTTTGCGTATTGGTGCTGCATGGTGGGAAGGAGCGCAATAAGGCCATGGATGCCTAAGATGATGAACGAGCAGTTGGGCATAATTCTGCTATAATGTTGGTACGTGCACGTCTTAAACAATCTGCATTACCACAACAAGCAAGCTAAACAATACATTGACCTAAAGTTATACGGCCTCAGTATGCTCGCGTCGCGCTGACAATCGACACACACAGTTGGTGGTCATGTGGGCAGTTACCGCGCACGCCTGACCAGCTGCTACTATCACTAGCATGGCTGGTGCAGCAGCTCAGCTGCTGCCGCTGTCAGCCCTTGCGGCTTCGCCGCCTCAGGCCACCGAGCAGGACAGCTTTCCTCCCATCAACTTCATTTATGGGCACTTCCACGACTCCATCAGAGCAGAGCTGGACTTGTTGGCGGATACGGTTCGGTCCTTGGAGGTGCCAGGCGAAGGCGTTGAATCCATGCTCAGCGACCTGCGCACGCGGTACAGGTTCCTTGAGCAACTTTACAAGTACCACAGCGCTTTAGAGGATGAGGTATGACAGGACTGCGATGGCCGAGTAGGCCTCAGGGTACATACCTAAGCAAATGGGCGCGCGCACGCAGGTGTTGTACCCTGCGCTGGACTTAAAGGTTCGCAATGTGACAAAGGCATACAGCATAGAGCACCAAGACGAGGTAAGATCTTGTCACCCATATGACTACACCCGGCTCCTCTCATTGACGGAGGTTTGCGTAGGAGATTTTGTTCGAGCAGCTCAGCCAACTGCTTACCGCGGCGCTGGAGGAGCCCGAAAGCAAGCGCAAGAGCACCATCAGGTAGGAGCCGCAAGCGATGCCCCGAACACATCGGTAGGAGCAGCAACGTGCTAACCGCTGCAACCACCACCGCTGCCACCACTGTAGGGCTTTGATCTGCAAGGTTGAGGAAATCCACACCACTCTTCGGAAGCACTTGGCGAAGGAGGAGGAGCAGCTGCTTCCTCTGTTGCTCCAGAACTTCACGTTTGCAGAGCAAGCAGAGCTGGTTGCCCAGTTCCTGTACAGCATCCCACTCGAAACCATGGAGCGTGTCCTGTCCCAGCTCAAGCCGGGCATTCCCCGGGTACGTCCCGTAAGAGCGCCACACACGCCCATTACCCGCTCTTACCACCACAATGCCGCTTTGACGCTGCCGCCTACACAACCCCTGGCATCTGGGTCGTGCCACGCTCCTGCAACCAAGGCCATCCTAAGCGGCAGCGAGTGCTTACTGTCCAAACGGCATCCCTTCAAGACATCACCCGCATGCCCGTCCCCTAGCTGAACAATCTTGCATGCTCCCGTACGACAGGACGAGCAGGAGCAGCTGCTGGTGGAGATCCGCAACGTCATTCCCGACAACCTGCTCTCGCAGCTGCTCACCACCTGGCTGCAACCCGCAGCGGACGCGCCAGCTACCGCAGCAGCGGCGGCGTCCCCAGCGGCGTTCCCCACCCACTGCGACCGGCCCCTCAGCTTTGCATGCTGCGGCAACCCGGCAGCCTGCCTGTACGGCCCGCGGCCCGTGGCAGCCGCTGCAGCCGCGAGGCATGCGGCAGGGCAGCAGCCCGCAGGCGGAGGAGTCCCATGCGGCGCCCGGGGCTCCCCTCCGGACAGTCCCTTCACCACCGCTACTAACACCGGCCTCACGATTAGCAGCATCAGCCTCCAGCCTCACAACGACCCTGCAGCTGCCACAGCGGGAGCGACCGCTCTCCCTGGCGGCAGCTCTGCCGCCGGCGCACATGCCACGGCTGCTGGCGCCGACGACGGTGCAACCGCAGCAGCAGCACCACCGCCCGCAGCCCCCAGCAGCCGTGCGCCGCTGCAGGACATCATCCACTTCCACCGCAGCATCTGCTCCTCGCTCGCCGACTTTGCTCGCGAGGCGCGCGCGCTGCAGATGGGCCGCGACATCACGGTGCAGCACCTCTCCTCCCTGCTGGAGCGCCACCGCTTCCTGCGATCGGTGTACGTGTTCCACTCGATCAGCGAGGAGGAGGTGCTGCTGCCGGAGGTGCAGCGATTGGCGGCGGCAGGGCGCGGAGGGCAAGGTGGTGGTGGGAGTGGGAGTGGTGCGGCGCAGCAGTGTGAGCGCGACCATGCAGCGGAGCTGTCGGGCATGGAGGACCTGGGGCGGCTGCTGGCGGATGTGCGGGCGTTTGCACGGCGCGGGCGGAAGGTGGGTGGGGTCAAAAAAGGACCAAAAGCCGTAGGTGGGTGGGGTGTGAGGAGGCCGGGAGGTGTGCTGGTGCCGCCGCTGTGCTGGTTCGGCTGCATGTCCACATACACATCTTGTTTCCGCTCATTGCATTACTCGCATTACTGCAGCTGCTGGTACTGGTGCTGACTACGGCGCTTTTGCTCGCAGGTACGCAATGCGCGTTTGCACGCACGCATGCACAGCATTGTGGTGTCTCGTCTGCGTGACCAGAGCGGGGGCTCCCGGCGTCGAGTTGGTCAGCGGGCTAGGTACTCAGCAGTAATTAGTTTTTCCCGACACCATCAGCATCACCGACATGCGTCGTCAACCCGCCACTCTTCTTACATCCAGCACCCGCGTTTTAAGCAGTTATTGAGTTACGTTTCAGGTTTGTTAATCTCTGCTTTGCCTCTGTTTTGACTATACTCGCGGTTCACATGCGAACCTATCCCAACTGCTTGCTCTTGTTTCTACTCAACTACACACATTGCGTGGTCTACTTCCACGCGCAGGGGGCCTGTTTGAGCCGCGCTCGCTCTCCCCACTGCCATTTTGCTTTTGCTCCCTTCGCCTGTATCTCGCATTTCGGGTTGCTGAGCCTGCCTGGCCTCGCAGGACCGCACTGTGCCTCTACCGGGTGGACGGTAATCGCTGCCACCGCTCCTCTGGTCCCCTCTGCCGCCGCTGTTCCTATGTTTCCGCATCAGCAGCAGCCACTGCAACCACAGCAGCAGCCGTCGCTCCCTCTGTTGTCTCTTTTGGTTGCTCCGTGGCAGCACGAGCGGCACCGACGACAGAAACAGCAACAGCTCTGGGCCTCCGGACGCTTTGGGCTTTCGGACCTGCGCCGTCGCTTTCGTGGGCCGTGGCGTCTGTTTCAGCGGCGGCAGGGTTTGCGGACCTTAGGCTCGCGGGTTGGCTGGTGGTTATGCGGTTCACTGACGGTGGGTCGTGCCGTGGCAGTCTTAGGTTGCCCTTGTCGCGGTACGGCCCGGGGCACGGTGTGGTTGCGTGGTCGCGTGTTTTTGGGTTTTAGGTTGTCTCTTCTGCAGCCGGGCAGGCTGAGCAGGGTCGGGACTATATAGGCCGTCTCGTTTCGGTGGCGTACGGGCGTGGGGGATGGGCGGGTTTTGTTTGTGCTTTTTTCGTCTCCCCTGTTTTTGTGGTCGTTGTGGTCGTTGGTTTTTGTCGTGGCGCTCGGTTGTTTCTTTTGGGGTTGTTGTGGCCCTGCCGCCTTGCCTTGCCCTGTTGCATGTCAGCATCTGGGGCGCTCTCCTTCGAGCCCGGTCACTCACCACTGCACTGCACCACATCACACACGGCCGTGCCCCTCTGCTGGCCTTTGCCTGTTCGTTGCACGCATCCCATTGCACCGTCGTCTTGCTCTTAGACAACGCTACAGTCGTCTTGCTCTTAGACAACGCTACTTCTCAGTGCGGTTCAGCTGACCGCTGCAGCCACAGCTCAGTGCCTGCTCGACCACTCGCGCCGGTTGTGTTGTCTTTGTTTTCTGCATTTGCATTCATGTTGTGTTGTGCTTGCGTTCGTCCTGTCTCACATGCCATCCTGCTTTGCCGTACATTTCGCACTTCGATCTAGGTCCATTTTGTCTCTAACTCTGTCCCCCTTTTCCTCGCTCTGGTTCATGTTCCTGCGCATTGCATTACTCGCATTACTGCAGCTGCTGGTACTGGTGCTGACTACGGCGCTTTTGCTCGCAGGTACGCAATGCGCGTTTGCACGCACGCATGCACAGCATTGTGGTGTCTCGTCTGCGTGACCAGAGCGGGGGCTCCCGGCGTCGAGTTGGTCAGCGGGCTAGGTACTCAGCAGTAATTAGTTTTTCCCGACACCATCAGCATCACCGACATGCGTCGTCAACCCGCCACTCTTCTTACATCCAGCACCCGCGTTTTAAGCAGTTATTGAGTTACGTTTCAGGTTTGTTAATCTCTGCTTTGCCTCTGTTTTGACTATACTCGCGGTTCACATGCGAACCTATCCCAACTGCTTGCTCTTGTTTCTACTCAACTACACATCTTGTTTCCGCTCAACTATACACATGAGGACATGACGGCATTACCCCCCCGTGACGGCATGCGCCGCAGGGCTCTACCTACCCACAACATCACCAAATTATTATTCATCTGCTAAACCAACCACAACCACAATCCCGCAACACCAAACCCGCCCCGCACCGCAAACCCGGCAGGAGGTGTCCGCCATGCTGGAGAAGCTGTGCTGCAGCGCGGAGGCGGTTCACGCCACCATCGAGCACCACATGCAGCGCGAGGAGGCCAGCGTGTTCCCGCTGCTGCAGGCGCACCTGTGCCAGGCGCAGCAGCGGGCGCTGGTGTACCGCACGCTGCGAGCCATGCCGCTGAGGCTGCTGGAGCGGGTCATGCCCTGGGTCGTGAGTGAGTATAGCGAGGGAGGGGGGAGGGGCGGGTCATGCCCTGGGTCGTGAGTAGCGGTAGTGGGGAGGGGGGTGGGGCGTGGGGCGGGTGAGGAGGGACGTGGCGAAGGGCCGCGGGGATACCGCAGTGGGCGTGAGTGTGAGCACTGAGCAGTCAGCAGACGGCATGCTAGGCCTCGTGGTATGCGGTGCGAAGGCCGCTTGTACGGTAGTCAAAGCCAACCCCAACCGCCCCATGCACACCCCATGCATACAGGTCGTCTGGACAACGCAGCTGCCGCGGCGCTGCTGACCAACATCCGGCTGGGTGCTCCCGCCAGCGACCAGGCGCTGGTGGAGCTGCTGTCGAGGTGGGCGCGGCGGGGGCGGAGGGGCATCTCGCCGGCACGGGGGCTGCAGGAGCCCGGCAGCGGCGGGGCGGCAGCAGCGGCAGCAGCAGCAGGTGGCGAGGGAGCGGAGGCAACGGGATGCGGAGGGGGGTGCAGCGGTGTCGGACTAGAGCGGCAAGGTGGGTCGGGGCTGATGCAGGGTTGGGAGGATTGGAAGAAAGGCGGTTAGGTTATGGTATAGCTGACGGCGCTTGAGCTTGCACGAGGGTGGGTGGTGATGCTGCCGGTACCGGATACCGGGTGAAGCTGCTAGGAGGCTCCATGCTTGCCTCCTCCCTAACTCTCCCTCCCTCCTCTCCTCCTCACCAGCAGGCAGCGAACACCACCTCCACCTCCACCACCAGCAGCACTCACACCCGCACCACCACCAGCTCCATTGCACCCACACCTGCCACGGTGCCAACCCCGGCGGCGAGCAACCGCCCCTGCACGCAACCACAACCGCAGCCGCAACCGCCCCACACGGCCACTACGTCGCCAGCGCAGTTGCTGAAGACGGCGCCGACAGCAAGCGCCGCCGCCTCTCGGAGCCGCAGCTCCTCGCAGCCTCCACGCACCTGCTGCCCCCGCATCCTCACCCCGCGGTTCCGCATGGCGGCTGCTGCTTCCTCAGCGGCAGCGGCGGCAGCGAACGTGACGAGGGTGCGGCGGCTGCTGCCGCGGCCGCAGCAGCAGCAGGGGCAGCAGCTGTTGAGGATTTCCACATGGGCGACGGCGCGGAGCAGGAGCTCAGTACGGCCCCGCGGGCGTTGCTGCGGAGCCAGGCCAGCGGGGGATCTTCGGATGAGCGGGGGCTGCACGTCTCCTCGGCAGGTGGGTGGGTTTCGGAGTCTCGGAGGGTGTGGCAGGCTGCGCGGGGGCCAAAACCCTTAGGCACGGGGCCGACGGGTCCGTGCATCGCGCCGTCGCATGGTGTTGACGCATGCCATGCGCCTCGTTCACCGGTGCCTAGGGTTGTTTTCAGCACCCACCGCATCTCATCTGGCCCCCCCCTCTTGTTCCCGCAGGGTACGGTTACGGCTATGGTCGTCTGGTGGGACACGACCGGCTGGGCCCGCGTGACGGCGTCAGTGACAGCGGCAGCGCGGACGGCGCGGGCGATGGCTGCTGCGGGGGCGGCGGCGGCTACACCCCCATTGACCACATCTTCCAATTCCATAAGGCCCTGCGTCAGGAGCTCAAACAGATGGAGGCGGATGCATTGGTCATGGAGCAGGCGGTGCTGGCCCGGGCGCGACAGCTGCAGAGCACCAACAACAACTCACAGAGCTGCTGTCATGGCAGCAACAATAACAACAACAGCATGAGCAGCGCAGGCACGCACTCACCCCAGCCCGCGTCGTTCCTTTTGCATCCGCAGCCGCGGCTGGTAGAGCCTGCAGGTGAAGGAGGCGCGGAGTCGTTAGCGGGGGCCGCAGCGCTGCAGCAGCCGCAGCGCACGCCAACACCAGGCCTCCAGCAGCAACCCCAGCAGCAGCAACCCCCGGTGGCGGGGGTGGTGGCGGCAGCAGCTGAGTCCTGCGGCACTCCCGCCGCCTCGGCCGTGTCCGACATGTGCGGCGGCGGGCCTCCCTCCAGCAGTCGAGTGAGCCACCTGCCCATCGTGCAGCACCTGCATGGGCGCTTCCAGTTCATGCGGGTAGGTGGGGAGGAGTGGGGTAAGGAAGAAGAAGCTAGCTGCATAAATGCATGCATGCATGGACGGGGCCCGGTCAACCCTCGCACAACCCCCGCCTCCTGCCATGCAAGCCTACACCTCACCTATCATGCGCGTTCTGCAACCCTCTCTCCCCTCTCCCTCCACCGCCTGCCCCTCCTCCCTCCCCTCACCCCAGGGCATCTACCGCGCGCACAGCAAGTCGGAGGACGAAATCGTGTTCCCCGCGCTGGAGGCCAAGCAGGCGCTGCGCAACGTGAGCCACGCTTACACGCTGGACCACCGTCAGGAGGAGCAGCTGTTCGAGGACCTGGAGAAGGTAGAGAGGGAGGGGGCGGGGGCAGGTGGACCGATAGTAAAGCTGGCTGTTGCACACGGGGTTTCCAACCGCCATGCTTACCTTTTCCACAACAACCCCTCGCCCAACACCAACAACCCCATCCCCACCCCCCTCTCTCTCTATGCATGGCATTCCCCCTGGCACCAATCAGCCACCCTCTGGCACCAACCCCTCTCTCTCCTCCCTCCCTCCCCTCCTCCCTCCCTCCTAGGCCCTGGACCGGCTGCGCTCCATCGATCTCGCCTCCATCGGCAGCGAAGCCGAGCTGTCCCGCCAGGTCATGGGTGTACGGCGGGTGTGTGCTGCCGTACGCGCCTCCCTGGAGACCCACATCCGCAGCGAGGAGGCGGAGCTGTGGCCGCTGTTCAACGAGCACTTCAGTCGGGAGGAGCAGCGCTACCTGGTTGGGGTCATCATCGGGCGCACGGGCGCGCAGGTGCTGCAGGCGCTGCTGCCCTGGGTGTCGGGTGAGGGGGCGGGGCGGGGGGCGGGGAGTGAGGAAGGCACGCAGGGTGCTGGTGCGTGAGTATCCTAGCCGCGAAGGGTGCATGCGAGGGGCACGTGGGCTGGAAACGATGGCAACGCTGGGGGCCATTCCGCTCCCCACTCCTCACTTTCCTTCTCCTCCTTTCCGCCCCGCCCCGCAGAGACGTTCAGCGAGGAGGAGAAGAACGCCATGATGGACTCGCTGCGTGAGGCCACCCGCAACACCATGTTCGACCAGTGGCTGGAGGCGGTGCAGGCGGGGGGCGGCGCGGCGGGGGAGCCGGCAGCAGCAGCAGCGGGAGCAGGGGGAGCAGCAGGGGCGGGAGGGGCGGTGGAGCATGGAGGGGAGCCGCTGCTGCAGTCGGGGGCTGCGGAAGGTGGTGTGGCGGCTGATGGGAGCAGCGCTGCTGGAGGAGGGATGAGGGCTCCCGCAGCAGCAGCAGGAGGCCCGGCAGCAGCAGCTTCGGCAGCAGCAGCAGCAGGGGCAGTTGCGGGCGGTGTGACGGGCGGAGCGAGGGCTGTTAGAGGGAGTGCGGGTGCGGGTGGCGGTGCGGCTTGTGTTGCGGATGTGAGCCAGCCGTTGCAACAAGTGGTGGAGTACTTGGCAGGTAGGGGAAGAGGAAAGTTTGCCATCCGTGCATGCTCCGCACGTTCCTTGCATCCGCCCAGCAAAGCACTGCTGCACGCAGGAGGGCCGTCAGGTCATGTCCCCATGTCACGTCTCATGTGTATTTATACTCGCTGCCCTGCCCTGCCGTGGTTACACACTGCACACAGGTGGGAGCAGCGGGGCAGGTGCTGCCGCTGCCGGTGGAGGAGGTGGAGGAGGAGGTGGAGGTGCACCCAGCAGCCCTTTTGCTGCTGCGGGGGCGCAGAACACACCCTTCGCACCCGCACCTGCAGCCGGCGGGGGTAATGGTGGTGTTGGTGGAGGAGGGGCAGCAGTGGCGGACAGCACCTCCTTCCGCCCCGGCTGGGAGGACATCTTCCGCATGAACCAGCAGCAGCTGGAGGCGGCCATTCGCAGGTGGGTGTGCCGTATTCCCTTGATTTGCAAGACTTACAAGACCAAGAGCTGTCGTGCCCCTCCCTGTCCATCCCTGCTCACTCCATCCGCCTCCTCCTCCCTCCTCCCTCCTCCTCCCTCCTCCTCCCTCCTGCCCCCTCCTGCCCCCTGCCCCCTGACCCCTGACCCCAGGGTGTCCAACGACCCCTCCCTGGAGCCCGAGCGCAAGGCCTACCTGATGCAGAACATCATGGTGTCCAAGTACATCGTAGCGCAGCAGCGGCGCATGGGGCAGGCGGAGGCGGAGCGGGAACAGCAGCAGCAGCAACCACAGCAGTCTCAGCAGCAGCAACCACAGCAGTCTCAGCAGCAGCAACAACATCAGCATCATGGGGTGGTGGTGGCGGCGCCGGCAGCGACTGTGGCGCCCCCGCCCGCCGCCGGCCCCGTCCACCAGACCTTCCACGACTCCGCTGCTGGCGTGTTGGGCTGCAAGCACTACCAGCGCAAGTGCCAGCTGGTGGCGGCGTGCTGCGGGGAGATCCACACGTGCCGGTGGGAAAGGGTGGGGGTGGGGGAAACACTCCGGAACATAACGGCAAGCGAAATTAACGCCCGTATCTATGGACAGTCATAAAGGTGGTTAAGAACTTAAGATAGGCACAACGGGTTGCTTGCCCTCTTACCTAACGGGGACACCAGGGACACTGCGCCATCCTGTTGCATGCGCCCCATCATCGCCCCCTTGACCGCCGCCCACCTGCCGCCCCCCTCCCAGGCTGTGTCACGACGAGGCGTGCGACCACCGCATGGACCGCTACGCCGTCAGCGAGATGCGCTGCATGCTGTGCGGCACCCGGCAGCCGGTGGGGCCCAGCTGCCGGGGCTGCGGGGCGGGCATGGCGCGCTACGTGTGCAACATCTGCCACCTGTTCGACGACCAGCCGGGCAAGGACATCTACCACTGCCCCTTCTGCAATGTGTGCAGGTGGGCGAGTGAAGGCGGGGGCGGGTGGGGTAATGTGGAAACAACTAACTAACTGTGTGTGGGGGGAGGGGTGGCGTGGGGTTGCTGCTTGGGTGTTGCTTGCTGCGTTGTAGTGGTAGAGTGATGGTAAAGAGGGGAAGGAAGGTCGTTATGGGTTGTTTGGTAGCTGTGATTGGATAAGGTTACGATTTGAGTGATTTGAGTTCTCCCCTCCTCCTCCTCCTCCTCCTCCGTATCCCCTCTCAGGCGCGGTCGCGGGCTGGGCGTCGACTTCTTCCACTGCATGAACTGCAACGCCTGCATGAGCCTCACCCTCTTCAGCAGCCACAAGTGCCGCGAGAAGTGCATCGAAGGCAACTGCCCCGTCTGCCACGAGGCGCTCTTTGACAGCAGCCAACCCATCAAGGAGCTCCCCTGCGGGCACTTCCTGCACAGCTCCTGCTTCCTGACCTACACCCGATACAACTACACCTGCCCGCTGTGCTGCAAGTCCGTGGGCGACATGTCGGTTTACTTCCAGATGCTTGATTCGCTGCTGGCATCGGAGCGGCTGCCGCCCGAGTATGCGGGGCGCATGCAGCAGGTGCTGTGCAATGATTGCGGCAAGATGGGCTTCGCGCCCTTCCATTTCGTGTACCATTCCTGCCCGCATTGTCGTTCGTACAACACGCGGGTGATGTGAGGGCGGAGTGTGGGTGGGGGGGAGGCTTTGGGAACAGAGGAGAGGGTGGGGACTCTGGAGAAGCAGGAGGAGGCTTTGGGGTTGCGGATTGAGGGTTTGGGAAGGAGTTGGTTGGTGGTTTTTCCAACGTAATGAATATCGGTAGGGACAAAGGCGATGGGGGGCAATGACAATGGAAGAGGAGGAAGTGCGGAGGAGGGAGTGCGGAGAGCCGAGTGTGATTGAACGCGAGGTGTGTGAGAGGGATTGTGTCTGCATAGTGTTCAGGCGTCGTTGCCGTTTGCGTTCGACGAAAGACGTACGTGTCCTTGACGAATAATGCATGGGGGTAAAAGGAACGATCGAGGGTGCATGGGGGGACATAGGAATGAAGACCAGCTAGTACACTCTGCCAAGGAGGGTAGTCCGGACTGCGGAAAGTACGAACATTACCGGTACGAACGTTGGGAGCTTTTCGCTTACAACAACCACCAAACGAGAAACCGGCACACTATGTCACGACCCCTGATGAGCTCATGACACTGCCAATGATGAGATGGGGTTTCTCCTAGGATGCCTATGTGCTTGTGTGTGTAGAGAGCAGAGAGAGAGGGAGTTCGTCGTCTGGTTATGAGCGGTGTGAGGAATGTAGCGGTGGTGGATGGAGGAGGAAGGAGCGGCGGTTGCCTGTGAAGGGAAATGTTGCCGCACAAAACACAACGTCGCAGTTTGCTGCATGAGCGGTGAGTGAGTGCTGACATCCTGAGCTGCAGCGTCTGGTTTGTCCTGCGTTTGTGTGGCGCATTGTGTGCTGCATTGAGTCAAGTTACGGGTAATAGGTTTAACCTGGCCGCAGGAGTGAGTCGTCGTGGCGTCATACGAGGGGGAGAGAGAGAGGCGCTGCTTGCTACCGTCTTCTTTTTTCAGAGTTGCAATGGGTCAGCGGGGCGGAGGGGTCCCTACCAGGCTCTACCGTAGGACTGAATGTTGTGTGGTATCCAATGGGTGTACCGTATTCCGGCTGTGCTGCCGCTGCTGCTGCTGCTGCTGCTCCGGTGCATGTGCTGTTGGCTACACTAGTAGGGCCCGACGGAGGCCCTCAGATCCGCAAGCTGGATACTTGCGGTGTCCATGCACCCCATGAACAATCCCGCTGGCTTACCGCTAAACTTCCCTGCCTCGTGTGTGCACAAAGGCGCGGCCACAGAGTGCACTGATGGGCGGTGCATGGGGTTGTTGCTTCTTTGGATGGCTTCAATCTGTGTAGGCCTTTCAGGGGTCGGTTTGGTTCGGAGAGCGTTGAAGGAACGAGGTGGGGTCGCTGGGGTGTCCACAGCCCCCCTCAGCAGGCATAAAGCATGGGTTGCAAGAGGTTCCTGGCTTCGGCAGGGAGGTGGCGTCGCGCTGCAGTGCAGTGTTTCTTCTGGTTGGGGGAATTCGTTTCGCTCATGGCAGTGTGTTGGTAGTGGGATATGGCTGGGCCATGGCTGTTGCTGCGGTGCCGAAAGGAGCATGTTGCTGGGAGCTGGCGAACACACATACGGCTGTTGTCTGTTTTTTTAGGAAGAACAAGGTTTTATCAGGTTTGTTTTGCTAGTCCTGTGGTAGCTCGATGCGCGTTGGGTTGGGTTGGGGGGGGGTTAGCCGGGTTACCCCATGGCATTCGCAGCCTGTATTTCCGGCGGCATATGAGCATTATCGGTAGCTTCGCAAGGGATGGAATGTTTTCTGATTCATTGGGGGTTGGCTCGATAGGTAATGCATTATTCTATGGTTTGGAGATGTTTAAACGACCGAGGGCGGTACGGCCTGCCTTTGTACAGCTGATGGGGGTTTTTGAGAGATTGGGGCTGTGTTGGAAACAGTCTTCTTGATACGGTAAGGCTGTTGCGGGGCACATTAAGGAACCGAACAAAAGGAATACGGTATCGTACACATGCGGAGTCACACGGCTGCCGTTTTTACATTTATGACGTACCAGTGCGATGTTATGGCATGCTGAGGTTTGAGCAGTTGGGCGCAGCTGTCCGTTCCAAGCGCACTTGGACACGCGTATTTCCTGCTGGTGTCGCCAATACCGGTACCATGTGACACGCACGCAATACGCGTAGGTTGTACTGGGGCCTCTTTCTTAACTTTGCGTGAGCCCTCACGTCCACCACCATCAGTTCGCGGTGAGATGAGGCGCCCCAAGGAATTGCTTGCGGTGAATACCATTGCTTCAGCCTCGCCGTCCCAACCGGTGGGATGGTATCGTACTGAAGCAGCAGCAGCAGCACCGTCCGCTGCCTCCTTGCACCTCTTTCAGTTGCCGCGACTCAGGGGTTGGTCGCACGTTCGCATGCTTGCGCACCGCACGCGGGGAAATTAGATGTCTGACAGAAGCCACTGTGGCCGTTCGCACTGGCTTCCGCTTTATGCTACGGATTCTGCATGCACCCGCTCGTGTTGACAGCAGCAGCCCGTTACAATCCTGTTGCCTCAGCTGTACATCCTGCGCATGTATCCTTATGGATGCAATGCAACGGATGTGTGTCATCGAAACGTCTTGACCCCAATGAACGCATGGTATGCATCTTGGCGACCCATGGGTCATAGCGCTTTGAGCCTAACGCAGGATGCATGCTTTGTGTGGACCTGTATTGCGTGATGAACCCTTTTGCTTCTGCTTGCAAGCATGATGCCGCTCCAACCTGCCCCTGCCACTTCGCCTTGCATTGTGCTTTCTCCATACTTCATGCTCCCATTTATGACCTACATCATGGGTGTGCATATGAACGCACTATCCCTCCACGCACCTTGCCTCGTTGCCTGGACTTCCTCAACCTCGCACAGCACAAGCGCGCTGCCCGCTGGGCCCCTTCAACTCATCCCCCAACGTCCTCCAACACCGCCATATACTCCCAGCCCCTGCTTCTCTCCCAAGCGGCCGGCCACTGCCTCCCTCGCTATATAGCCCCTGCTGACCCGGCCCAGCGCCCGCCGCCCCGCACAAGGTTAGTTCATGCACCCGAGGCGCCCCTGCTGCCACCATGCTGCGCTGCGTGCTGTGCCTGCTGCGCTGCGAGCTCTGCTCTGCTCTACGGCCGCAGCCCGCTACTTGGTGTGCTTCTTGATCAGCTCCTCCAGCAGGTCGGGCCGGGCGCCGCTGAAGCTCTCAATGCGCCGGTCTCCCTTGTAGAAAACGAAAGTGGGCTGCGGGGGAGGGAAAGTACCGGTATGCAATAGGAGGGAGGGAGGGTGAGGGTTAGGACTCGAGAGGGGGCAGGGAGGCAGACAGGTAGGGAAGAGGGAAGAGGAGATTTATTGAAGAATAGGGTGAAGATGCACGGGGTCAGCCTGACCTACCACGCCTGTGATGCTGTGGTCGTTGACGGTTGCGGCAAGGTCGTTGTTGTCGATGTCAATCTTGACGAAGGACACCTGTGTAAATACGGAAGAAGGGAAAAGAACTGGTCATTGGTCGGTCGCATGGACTCTGAGGACGGCGGAGAGTGTGGAGGGTGTGGGAGCCACAGACAGATGTGTGGGGGGGATGTGACTAAACTGATACAGGTGGCAAAGGTGGGTCCGCATGGGGCTGCCCAGCACTTGAAGACAACCCTCTTGGGCGGGCCTTGCTAAGCAGCCTTTGACCAGAGAGCGCAAACTAACATCCGTACCCATCCTTCAGTCATACATGGAGGACTTCAGGTTTACGCCTATCGTCCACGCACACAGGAAACTCCCTCTCTCCTGTCGGTGTAAAGGATATCCCCGTGGGGACCTACGTCGGGATACTTGTTTGACAGCTTGCTGAACACTGGCGCAATCATGCGGCATGGCCCGCACCACTTGGCCGTGAAGTCGCAAATCATTAATGACCGGGATCCTGTGGATATGTTTGAGGGGTGTAAATGAGGCTTGAAAGCAACACGGCTAACGGCCCTGGATAAGTAGCGAAAGGCAAAATGTACCTGCGGCCTCGCTAAGCTTCGACGCGAAATCCTTGTCGCTCTGAACTTCAACAACCTTGTCAGCCGCGCCTGTCGTAGGCGCATTCCATTCCGTCAACAAGCCCGGCAGAAGTAAGCTGCCGGCTCGCCCATCCTACCCTATCCTCTACCTGTCGCGTAGCTTGCGCGTTGGCCTAGAGTTGTCAGTCCATATGCATTGCGCAATAGCGCATGGCCGCTCTTGGCAGGGCGAACAAGTTGGCTCAGCATTGTTGCAGTTAAATGCAATATATCGCCAGCGAACTAGGCCCACAGCAAGGGTTGCAAGTAAGTAGCAGTGATGGCTATCCACAATAATGAATGGTAACCGTGCTTTCCTGCCTTGCATCAACTCTGTCCGGCATGTTCATCGGCACACTTAGCTCGCCCCTTTTGCTGAGCTGTACGCCACGTGCATTTGACCATGAAAATGAGACACCTATGATCGTATTGCAAGCAACAGTTAGCAGATTAGAACTACCAGGACCCACGGGACCGAACGTAGCTGAAGTCCTTAGGGCTTTCACACGTCAAAGACCAATGCCCGGCCACCGCCGGGCTCACAGCGCATTATGTCTGCTGCGCATCCTATGTTGCATCCACGTTGCAACAGCTCAACGCCCTAATCCCGCAAACCCTGGTTTCAGCAGCGCGAATGCCATTAGCAGCGGCAATGCCGCCGATGGCTCGTCCGTCGGGGAACCCAGTAGCAATATTCCCATCGGCCAGCTTGTAAGTCCGCGCCACTATGTTTAGGTTTACCCTGTTAAACTTATGCAGGATAACATGGCACGCGGATTGTGAGCGGTATTGCCTGTATTAGCCAAGCGCGCATGTCTGTCACGATGCAATCCTACGTGCAAGCGCTTACCTCAAACAAATCAACACTTACCTTGCAGGTAAGAGTAACGGCCCAACCGCCGCCCTACCCGGTCAACCTCGTGGGTCAGCTGCGTAACGGTTGTACGGCATTCCTGGCGGGGCCGTGTCACGTGGTAACTGTGGCGCACTGTGTGTACGACCCTGTACGGGACATCTGGTGGCCCGGGCTGGAGTTCAGTGCAGGTAGGTTTGGGTTGTCGTACACGAACCGCAGTTCTACAGTTGTGTATGTACGACACAAAACCCATAGACATGCACCCACTGCCGTACCATTCAAACATCGTACAGGACGCAACGGTGCTTCCTCTTGGGCACCGTACGGCTCCGTCACATGGCGTGCCACGGAGGTTCCGGAGCGGTGGCGCCGCAGCGGCGGTGCGGGGAACGCAGCGGCGACTCCGTTTGACTTTGCGGTTGTGGTGCTTGCGGCTCCGTTGGGGCGGCAGCTGGGCTGGATGCGTGCGGGAGGCTGCGGCAGTGGTGGTGCTGGGAGTGCGAAAGGCGGCGGGCAGGGTGCTGTGAAGGCGACTTGGGTGCAGGTGGGATTGCATGCAGGGTTACTGGGTTCTGTTTTTCATGACATGTTACATGGTCGGGATCCTATCAGGGCTGTCGCAGACTTGTCAGTAGTCAGAGGATGGTTATCCTGCTGATGCTGCTGTTGACGTAAACGTATCGACGTGTCGTATCGAGGATAGGTTCGGACTCTTGGTTGTTGACAAGGCACGTTGCTTTGCTGCTCTGCCACTCCTTCACCCCTTGGGTCCCGCCCCCTTGTAACGCAGGTCGCGGGTTACCCAGACAACAAGGAAAACGGAACGTTGTGGATGGAACGTTGCGCGCTGTACGGCACGACAGGCAACAAGAACGGCAACAGCGGTGGCAAGGGAGATGGCGGTTTGTCGTACCACAACTGCCACACTCGAGGGGGCAACTCGGGCTCACCGCTTTGGGTCATGCAGCAGCAGCGACAGGAGGTAACCCAGTGGCGTGTGAGAGCAGCATGTACGGCATGTACTGTTAGGCATGCGTATACTCATGTACATACATGAACGTAAGTGCCGCGTACGTTTCCTCTAATCAGCGGGGACATGGTTACTGTGATATCACTCTGGAGAGAAACACCTGCAACGAAGAAAGTAGGTACATTTAGGAACCCACCGTGTGTGGACTGCAGTGGAGCGTCATTCCCTCCCGCCTGCGCAAGGGTTAGGCTCGCTGTTGTTCTTATCAATTGCAGGGTCACCGTAAGAACGGTGCCAGCAGCACCCAGCTGCAGGCGTGTGCTGTGGGCATGCATGTGGCTGGGGAGGTGCTGCGGCGGTGGGATGAGGGCGGGCGGATGTACGACAAGAGGGACCGAGGAGCCGCCGTGAGCTTCGATGAGGGCGAGGGCGGCGCAGGCGAGTGGATACGGCAGGCCATCGAGCGACACAGCGATTGCTAGGGATAGATAAATGGCCCATGGGTCAGTGATTGCCAAGGATATGATGGAAAAAAACTCCATATTGTTATGACAAGACACTTTCCTCATGGCTTGTAGATTGTAGATACATGCATGCCTGGTAAACCCTACCATGTGGCCCATAAATATGTATGGCATTGCACTGTTGAACACACTTGTTGTTGGCACCAACGGTGTATGTTAGGGCTGTTCACATGCCTTGTTAAGCACCGGTACATGGCTCAGCAGCACTTCCTGCCGGGCGCGGGAAACCCTTGTCCGCAAGTGCGAGCGAGGGTTGGAGGAGGAGGTAAACGGCAGCTAAAGGCTGTCAGCGTTGATTTCCCAGCGGCTACCTTTTTACGTTGCCTGGATTTGGTACATGGCGCGTAAAAGCGGCCTTGAGTGCACAAGCTTATGATGATGATGATGATGATGAAGTAATGTGCCACATAAGAGACAGCCATGCATCTAGGTACTTTACAGACATCCAGCACACACAGCACCCACGATATACCCGACCAAAAACGGGGACCCGACAAATGCGGGGCATTCCTGTAGGGCCGCAACCCCCCTAACAGCTCTGATGGGAGTACCAGATAATTACCCACCAGTTGCTAAACCAGTTGCAAGTGTCACACCGCCGCTGGCCCCCCCCCCGTGCATGAATACGCACGTGAGAAGCAACAGCAACAACAGCTTGAGTCTACCGGTAATTCGGGTCGGGTCTCCCACAGCTAAAGACAAACCCAAAAAGGCAAACCCCCAAAAGCAAACAATGCGTTCGGGTTAGTTATACCAAGTGCCAATTGTATCTAATCTGCCTATTATAACAGTATGTCAGCTGGGAGGCAGCGGGAAAAGCTTTATTAACGAATCGCACACGCATGTGGTCTTAACCTCCCCCCCTTGTAGTACACACGGCCGGTCGGTGGGCTCCAGGCAGCATTCCTCGCCACCACACACGGCCGCAACAATTGAGTGATGTGTGTCATCATTTTGGGTCATCATTATCGTATTGGCAAGGTAATTTGCACCGCCACCCACTCGCCACATGAGCCACGCATGCACCACGCATGCACAACAACAACGACATTCAAGCACACCAGGATTCGCGTCTGCAACACTCGCACAATCAAGAGACGGATGCATCCCTCCGGGGTGCTGCCAATCGCAATCCTAAACACCCTGTGATGTACGGCGGATGTAAGAATGATGCCCTTTGATGATGCCTTTCTCTCTCCAGGTAACAAAAGCCGCCACGGTAACACACCTACAACACAGCAGAGTACAATTTCCCTGCAGTCTTCAAACCATTCCGAGGCTTATTACACAAACCACACAAACCACCATTTCCGGGTGCTGCCTTCCCTCCTGAGACCCTTCGCCCTCCCAGACTGACACACCGCAACCTATCCTAGCATTACAGCATTACGCGCACACAGCAGTAGCAACAACAACAATAACGCACATGTCAAGTGTGACACATGTAGTACAGCTCTAGCTGATGCCGGCCAAACCGTGCTGACCCGTGCGCATGTGCAGCAACCCAAACCCACACCACACACGCGTTCTCAAGTGCCCCGTACGTTGTTCTCCCAACCTTCCCGTCCTCGCATTCCTTCGTCCTCTCCCTCCTCCCCTCCCCTCCTTCCACGTCCTCAGAACCCGCCTCTTGCGCCCACTCTCTAGCTGTCTTACGCATCTCACAATCCAAGTTATCCAACCGTCGACCCCGCAGAGGGCCACCGAGCAGCCATGTACCCGCCTCCTTCCCTTCCCTGGCCACCGCCACCCGCTGCCCCCTACCTCCGCCCCTCACCCCCACTTCCCTCCTCTTCCTCCTCCTCGCCCTCCTCCTCCTCAGCTGCAAGCAACGGCTGCTGCAGCTCACTGCCCCCCGCGCCTCGTAGCTGCTCCTGCTGCCGCCGACGCCGCCGCTGCTGTCCCTGCTCCTGCTTGTCGCCTTTACTGACCCCAGCAGCCGCACCAGCCACCCCTACTACCGTTGCCGGGTGGCTACCCCCATTCGCCACGACCACCCTACTCACCCCGCTACCCTCCTCCTCCTCCTCCTCCTCCTTGCACCTGCACCCGCCGCGTTCCGCAGCGGCATCCGTCTTCAACGCTGCTGCAGCCGCCACCTTCACCTCAGCCGCTCCCCCCCGACACCTGCAACCCGAGCAGCAGGCACACACCTGCGCCACCTCCCCACCCTTTCCGCCAACCGCCACCCCTCCCTTGCCACTCTCCCCTCCCGCCTCACCCGCCTCCGCCCGCTCCCCATCCTCCCCATCCTCCGCCTGACCCCGCCCCATCCGCTCCACCCGCATGCGCACACAGCCCTCCCGAAACACACCTCCCCCACCCCCCACCACCTGCCGCTCCCCCTGCCGTCCTGCAACACACCCCCTGCAGCACCGCACCCACTGCCCCAGCTGCGACTGCGGCCCAAACACCAGGTAGCCCACCAGCGCCAAGTAGAGCACCACCAGCACCGCCAGCACCAGCCCACTGACCCACGGGTCGGCCACTACCGCCTCGTACGCCACCTCGTACACGGCGAGCATGTTGATCATCACCACCACGCCGGCAATGGCCCAGCAGAGGAGGGTGAGGGGCAGGGAGTTGGCGAACTCGCCCATGATGGCTCGGGAGGAGGTGAAGGTGAGGACCTGGGGGAGGAGGGTGGGAGAGGAGGCGGGAGGGGAGGTGGGGCCGTGTGAGGGCTGAGCATAGTCGGGTACGTAACTTGATCCGTTTTGATCGGACTTGCTGGTGATCAGCAATCCAACATGGCACTCAACATGTGAGTGCCTTGTTTGCGAAGCCTCCGTGAAGCAAAGCCCACATGCCGGGATTGCCACCACTCAACCCGCCTCCCTCCTCAGCCCCTCTTCCCTTCCCCTCCCCCTGCCCTTCCCTGCCCTCCCGCCCTCCTCACCGGCACCAGCGCAAAGGGCAGCTGGATGCTCTGCAGCAGGTTGAGCGCCTGGTTCAGCTGGTCGAGCTTGTTGCTGCCGCCACCGCCCGCCCCGGTGCCGCACAGCAGCGCCACCACCAGCGTGGGCGCGATGGCCACTGCGCGGGTGAGCGCCACTCGGGCCCAGGGGGACACCTTGAGGTCCTGTTTGGTGGGGGGTGGGGGTGACGGAAGGGGGGAGAGAGGTGTAAGGTAAGAGGTGAGAAGGGACATGAGTTGCTAATAGAATGCATGCATGGCTCTGCCTCCCATCTCTCATCCCGCCCCCACAACCACCCTACCCACCCACCCCCAGCCCTCGCACCCCCAGCCCTCACAGCCCCCCCCCACCCCCCCACCCACCAGGTATCCCCCCATGACGAACTGCCCCGTGTAGGTGCCCGTCATGGTGGACGATTGACCCGCGGCCAGCAGCCCCAGAGCCCAGATGTACACCACCTGGGGGGGAGGCAGGGAGGGCGTGGTTGGCAAGCAAGAGGGATCAAGACAGAAGGGAGGCGCCGACGGCACAGGCGGCAGGTAGCAGACTAGCGACGGTTCGTTTTTCCTTCATGAACCATGATGGCGCCTTATCATATGGTCAATTTGTTATTTCTTCCCTCCCCTTCGCCTCCCCCTCACCGGCTGTCCGTACGTGTCACCCAGGTACCGCCCCGCGTTCTGCAGCCCGATCTCCGGCAACCCCGCGCCGTAGAACCCCGCCGCGAACACGGCCGTGATGAACAGGTTGATCACCACCGCCACCTACGGAGGAGAGGGAGGGGGAGGGGGAGGGGGAAGGGGTTCGCAAAGGCGAGGAGTACAGTCATCGCCACTGGCACCCCACCCTTCCATGCATGTCGCACGGGGCTAACACCTTCATGTTCAACGCCACACCAGTGCGCGCGTCCGTCACATGTCCTTCCCCCCCATGCACGTCCCTATCCCCATGCATGTCCCTCCCTCTCCATACACACCCCCAGTATCCCCCCTACCCACCACCAGCGACAGCGCGCTCTCGATCCCAAAGTACGTCAGCGCCTCCCGCTTGGCGGCCGGCCGGTCGCTGCCCAGCTGCCGCGTCTGCACCAGCGCCGAGTGCAGGTAGATGTTGTGCGGCATGATGAGCGATCCCATCAGCGCGACAGCCTGCGGGAGGGGGGGGGGAGGGGTGTGAAGAGGGGGTGAGGCGGGGAGGTGATAGGGGCAGGGTGTATCGCTATCCATTGGGAGCTCCATGCACGAGTAGGTTCACACATGTACGGCAACCCACATGACACGGCTACCCTCCTCCCACCTCCCTCGCCTCCCTCGTCTCCCACTTCCCTCGTCTCCCTCCTCCCTCCCCCAACCGCAACCCCCCCAACCCACCACCGGCACATCCTTCCGCGGCAGTCGCGGCACTGTGAAGCCCCGCACCACCTCCCCCAGCGGCACATCCGCCCGGCCGTACATGACGCCGAATGCAACCACCATCAGCCCCACCATGCCGCCGAAGAAACCCTGCTCGCCGTGCACATTAAAGCGGGGGGTGGGGTTGGGAAGTGGGTGAGGTTGGTGGGGATGAGGAGGTAGGAGGACAGCGTTGGAGAGCGGATGGGGCGTTCGTTCCGTGAGTACAGTGCGCCCTTTCCCACCCACCCCCATCTTCCCTCCGCCCATCTTCCCAACTTCCCGCCCATCTTCCCCCTTCCATGCTCATCTTCTCCTTCCCCTCCTCCACCCGCCCTAACCTGTGGTTTCCTATGGTTTGGTATGGTCTTTGACCCCCTCCCTCCGCCTCACCTCCAGCACCCGTATCCCCAGCTTCTCAATGAACAACAGCGCGAACGAGTCCGCCGCCGTGAGCAGCACCCCCGCCCACAGCGGCAGCCGCCCGCCGCTGAGCAGCGCCAGTGCGATGGCGCTGCCGATCACCTCTTGCACGTCGCTGCCGATGATGGCCACCTCCGCCATCAGCCACAGCGCGATGCGGGGGACGGGCGGGTACTGCTGCCTGGGGGGGAGGAGGGAGGAGGCGAGGGAGGGAGGGTGGAGAGGAAGGAGGCGAGGGAGGGAGGGTGGAGAGGAAGGAGGGAAGGTGGTGGAAAGCCAAAGTGAGCACTGCTGCCCCTCGTTCCTCCACACACACACCCTCCCGCCTTATCCCTCAGTCAGTTAGTTGTTTCCTCTTTACTCCCACCTGCAGTGCTGCGCCAGGTGCTGTCCGGTGACCACCCCCAGCTTGGCGGCCTGCATCTGAACCACCAGGCCCTGTGGGGGGGAGGAAGGGGGTTGGGGGGGGAGAGGAGGTGGGAGGGTGGGGTGATGGAGTGGTGCAGCGGGAGGGGAGGGGGCCCGAGGAAGGGGCGGAGGAGAAGGGAGAAGGGAGACGAGGGCAGTCAGGAAGCGGCAGCTAGGGGACCATGAGAGCCCCTGGCAGCTGCTAACCTCTGGGCCAACACCTTATTGCTAGTCCCATCCACTGCCGCACCCGCCCGTAACATGATAAACATAACATAGAGACCCTGGCAACGAAGCAAGACGGTTGGAGACGGCCAAGCACGACAGCGTCGAGAACTGTCTATTCGCTCACCATGAATGTACTGAATAGCAGCAGCCATAGCAGCACGTATCCCGCTTGGGCCCCGGCTTGTAGGTCGCTTTCGAGGTTGCCTGGGTCCTGGGAGTTGCAGATGGATGGGCACAGGACGGGCAAGAGTTGTTATTTAATTTGACGAGACCGGGGTGACAAGTAACCAGTGATGAGCGGAGAGGATGCCTGAGGGAAAATGCCACGCACCACGTGGCTCGTCGCCTCATGGAAGTGGACGAGACAAAACTAACAGCGACTGTCGAGCTGATGTTACTGATTTCCAGCAGATAGAAATTACAATGCATATCAAAGGCCTATCAGAGAAAGATGCTTCGGCTAAGAATCGGTAAAACGAAACCCGTAACGTAAACTTACCACATAGGCTATGGACATGAGGATTCCCGGCCCCATAAATTTCAATAGACGCTTAAAGGAAAAATTGTATTGGCGACCATCGTCGACTTCCTCTATGCAGATGACTGCTTGCTCCGCGGAAGCGTGTCCAACATTTACAGGTGCCATCGCTAAAGGATGCTTACAATAATCTGAAGAAAGGCTGGTATCTACTAGCACATCTCGACGGTGGTTGCAAGAGGCTTGTTCTTGACACGCGCCGGCGTGTGCCCCGAGACAAAGTCGCTCCAAAGTACAGTTCTATTCCAAAGTCGGCAAAAGATTATCCGAACTGAATACGTCACAAGAGATCGTGGCAGAATACGAAGCTGTGAGGTCAAGCATACACATGGAAACTCTCTTGACAGCTATGTTGGATTGTTTAATACCTACAAGTGTGTACCGGATTTAGCTAGTGTTGGCTATGTCTCGACAAAGCATCGGCATGCTTTACGTGGAAGGAGTCTACTTACGGCAAAGGGCGGTTGGTAATACGTATCCCAGTTGCGATGCACATTATTTCGGCTAGCACCTTTTACTGATGCTCATCTACACTTTATGTCTTTGCCAGTATGGGTATTACATCGTGTTGATCTAGATGCATGCAGCTGCCGCATGCTAACCAAGTGTCAATCGCGAGACGTGCCGTCCCCTTTTGGTCTTCCACAGTTCCTAATATCCCATATTGTACTTTACACGTCTATACCCTGTTAGCTCAGCAAAATGGGCCCCCAATTTCCAAAAGTCGCAATCGTCCCCACTGACAACACTCGTAGGGGCTATCCGAATAGCCCGAGAAGCTGTTCGCGCATATCACTCCTCATACATCGCTCTAGCCGCGGTCATTTGGGTCGGCACGGCAAAGTGGCATAGGCTTCTTGTCGTACGAAAAGAAGGAAACGCGAGCCTTACTAGGCGGGCAAGCAACATGCAGGCCAATCCGCCTCCCATGCGAAGCCCTTGTCAACACCATACCGCGCCACTAAGAGACGCTGTGAGCCTGCTGGGTGCTGATGCCAGCCAACTGACCCATGGGACATATCCTTCAGCTTCAGCGTTCAGCCCAGGCTCAAGGTGTGCGGCATCTTCCCGTGACGGCAACCGGCGCGTGCTGGTAAACGTCAAGGGCATTACGTACACCAAACTACCTAGGCCCGCAGACAACTTTACTTGTAAGCCAATAAATTCGTTCCATATGTTGGTTTCTGGCTGCCAGATCCGAGTCATCAATGCCTGGTTCCGGAGGAGGCTTGTAACCGCGTGGAAAGGCGATCTGTAAAAAGCATACGTTAAGACGATCTTTAGAGAGCATAAGTTGATTAACTGCCGCCATCAATCTTTTGTAATAATTAAGCGGAGTCACGGGTTCCGGTTGCAAATGGCGGCGCAACCTACATCGACGTCGACATTCCTAACAGCCGCTGCTCGCTGGCTGTTTCTCCCCATCTGGTTTGCAGCCGACCTTGCTTTCATCACGTTTACACCCATCTTCACCACGTTTGCAGCCATCTGGTTTGCAGCCGTCTGGCTTGCTTTCTTCACGTGTGTAGCTGCCGCCTTGGCGCTCATCCTGCTGGCTGGGCTGGCTCTCGGCTGGCTGTCGCTTCTGAAGTGGACAGCTGCTTTCGCGGGCTTCCCAGCGTTCATTCCCAGCGCAAAGCGGCGCACGTCAGCAGCAACCAGCAGCCGCCTTTTGCAACTTCCGGAAGAATTACGGGCAATAATTGTGGCGCGCACGGGCGGCCTGGGCGGAATTTGCTTTGCTTGTAAGGCTCTTCACGCAACAACGCTCAGCCTGCAGCAGCAACCAAAGCATCTGGCCCTGCTGTGTCTTTCCCGCTGGGGCCCGGAGGAGGCGGCGGAGAGGGCGGCAGAAGCTTTCGTGCAAGGCGACATCGCCAGCAGCAACGCCCTTCTCGCACTACTGCGGGAGCTAGGTGACCTGCCCGACCTGGGGGCGCAGCAGGAGCTCGTGGCTTCGAGGGTACTGGGAGTGGCAGCAGTCAGCAACCAGCCGGCTCTGGTGGACGTGGCTGTCAGTCTGGGTGCCGACCTGAAAGACGGATTCACCTGGGCCATGTACGGCGCCATCGAGTATAACTCCCTGGATACGGCGAGGCGGTTGCTGCAGCTTGGATACGCACCTCCTGAGGAGGCTGACGTGCAACACCGCATGCTGTCATGTGCTGCCGAAAAGGTAGCAGATGGCAGCTGCCCCCAGGCCATTAGCTTCGTAGTCCGCGAGGCGGGGTTCGACGCCAGGATGTACGGCTGTACAGTGCTTTGTGATTTGCTCCGGCGGCAGTCCCAGTCGGCGGTTTCGGAGCTCCTGGCAGTGGGGGCCGCGCACTGCGGTGGAGACGAGGCTCACCGCACGGGGTGCCTGGTGCATGCATGCAGGTACGGCAGCTTGGCTGCCTGCCAAGCGCTGCAGGCGGAGGGGCTGGGGGAGGTGGCGCAGGCTGTGAGGCGGAGGTGCTATGGTGCAGCCATGCGGGGTGGTCACACGGCAGTGGCGCAGTGGATGCAGCAGTTGTGGGGGTTTGGGGATGAGGTGACAGCGGTAATGGTGGAGTTGATGGAGTTCATGGACTCAATTGGGATGTAGGGTGGGATGTAGGGCAGTGGAGGAGGAACGGGAGGAGGAAAGAGGACGGGAAGGCTGAGAGTGTATAAGGGCGGCGAAAGGGAAGAGGACTGAAAGGGTAAGGATGGTGACCGTAACAGTGGAGAGAGGCGGGCAGCGTGTGGGGGACTGGGGTAAAGAGGAAGGAACTAAATAACCGTATGATAAGGAGCAACCAAGGGTGACTGGGATCAGGGTGAATAGGGGATGATGGGTGGGGTGTATGGAGCATGGATGGGCAGTTTGCTGCAGCATGGCGACATCCAGGGGACCCACATGCATCATCAGCGGTCGCTGTTCGGTGTGGCTTCCAAGGCAAGCATGAGCAAGGGAAGCGAAGCACGGGTCTGCCTTGGCAAGGGTGGGTGCAGCTCACCAGCCAACCAACCCACCCACCTGTGTAAAGAGGTCTCACTTGAGGTGCTGAAGAACTTGGTGTGCCGGCTTATGCCATGGTGGGACGGAGGGGACCCCAGCAGCGGAAGGACTGCAAAGGAGCGAGGGCTAGGGTAGGGAGGAGGATGAAGAGGCAGCCATTGGCGATGGCGGTTGTTAGTTAGCATGCGTGTCGTGTGTGCGTGCGTCCGATCATGCATCCAGTGGAAAGCTAATTCGCCTCCCATGCGAAACTCTTATCAACAGTAAGAGGGCCAACACCAGACCACGCCACTATGAGGCGCTGTGGACACGCTGGGTGCTAATGCCAGCCAACTGACCCATGGGACGTATCCGTCCCACAACTTCAGCACACGATGAGTCGTCCTGCATCTTTCCATGGCGTCAACCGGCGCGTGCAGGTAAACGTCAAGGCCGCTACGCACACCCAACTACCTAGGCCCCCAGGTAATAACTTTGGCTGGAAGCCACTAATTTCGTTCCATATGTTAGTTTCTGGCTGCCAGATCCGAGTCATCATTGCCTGGTTCCGAAGGAGGCTCGCGAACGGAACCGATTGGAAAGACGATATTTGAACAGCATAAGTTGATTAACTGCCGCCATCAATCTTTTGTATTAATTAAGCGGAGTCACGGGTTCCGGTTGCAAATGGCGTCGCAACCTACACCGACATCAACGTCAGCAGCAACCAGCAGCCGCCTTTTGCAACTTCCTGAAGAATTATGGGCAATAATTGTGGCGCGCACGGGCGGCCTGGGCGGAATTCGTCTCGCTTGTAGGGCTCTTCACGCAACAACGCTCAGCCTGCAGCAGCAGCCCAAGCATCTGGCCCTGCTGTATCTTTCCCGCTGGGGCGCCGAGGAGGCTGCGGAGATGGCAGCAGAAGCTTTCGTGCGAGGCCACATCGCCAGCAGCGACGCCCTTCTAATGCTGCTGCGAGAGTTGGGGGACTTGGGGGTGCAGCAGGTGCTCCTGCGCGCGGAGGTACTGGGAGTGGCAGTAAGCAGCAACCAGCCGGTCCTGGTGGACGTGGCTGTCAGCCTGGGTGCCGACCTGAAAGACGGATTCACCTGGGCCATGGACGGCGCCATCAGGCATAACTCCCTGGATATGGCGAGGCGGTTGCTGCAGCTTGGATACACACCTCCTGAGGAGGCTCGCGTGCAGAAAAGCATGCTGGTATCTGCTGCCGAAAAGGTAGCAGATGGCAGCTGCCCCCAGGCCATTAGCTTCATAGTTCGCGAGGCGGGGTTCGACGCCAGGATGTACGGCTTTCTAGCGCTTTTAGATTCGATTCAGCGGGAGTTCCAGTCGGCGGTTTCGGAGCTGCTGGCAGTGGGGGCCGCGCACTGCGGTGGAGACGAGGCCAAGCGTACGGTTTGCCTGGTGTATGCATGCAAGCACGGCAGCTTGGCCGCCTGCCAGGCGCTGCACGCGGAGGGGCTAGGGGAGGTGGCGCAGTTTGTGAGGCTGTGGTGCTGTGGTGCAGCCATGCGGGGTGGTCACACGGCAGTGGCGCAGTGGCTGCAGCAGTTGTGGGGGTTTGAGGATGAGATGATGGCGATGACGGCAACCATGGACTTTTCTGAGGTGGTGGAGGAGGAGGAAGGATAGGAGGAGGAAAGGGGAGGGTGCTAGGAGGAATGGTGAGGGCAGAGAAAGGGGACGACAGTTTACTAATGCATGGCGATGGAAGGGAGACCCACACCACTAACAGTTGCGGTTGATGTAGTCACGGGACGGTGGCATGCGCAGTACGGCACAGCACAGTACCGGTACGAAGACAACAGAAGGCTGGTTGTTTCGCAGTTGCGAACCCTTCACGTACCGTTCTTGTTGAATGCCCTTGCCGCTGGGGAGCACAGCGCCTGGGCCGCCAAGGGCAATGGGCGCTGTTCGGCGTGTTGGCACATTGTCTCGACGAGAGTGAGTGTAGCTCACCAAAACCAACCAACCCACCGAGCTGTATAAAGAGGTCCCACCCGAGGTGCTTAACAACCTGGCGTGCCAGACGACCAGGTACCCGCTTCCATTTTGCATGGGGGCAAACGTAGGGCCCAAACGACCTTCACGCCTCCAGCAGCGCGCAGGCGCATATCCGCACGTCTTACACGTTGACATGCCCCTGTTTGCTCAGTGCTCACAGTACCCGGGGCAAAAGCACGAACGCCAACGCACCAGTCCAGCAAACTACAACTCCAAAACGTCCATGCAAGTCACGGACGCCTTACCCAAATACCACCCCAACACAGCCCCTTCACGTCTCAAGTCACGCCATGCGTCACGTCACAGCTCTCCGGTCCCCTCGAGAGCTTGCTTGCTAGGCTAGAGCAAGCAGCCTAGCCTAGCAGCTAGCAGCCGTGTAAGCAGCTGGCAGCTGGCAGCAGCACCGCTACGTGCAGTACTGCCTCCTCCATTACCACCGCTGTACGTAAAACACTGACAACAACTCCAGAGCCCCAACCCAGTACCAAGAAGAGACCAAGCAGGCACGCATGCATGCGTCGCCACGGCACCTAGCAAACACAACCTATAAAAAAAACACCCGCGCAAACAGCGGCTTTCCTCTCTCCCCCCCATCTCTTCTCTTCCCCTGGCACACCATGGCTGAGACACCATGCCAACCCCTCCACCCCACACATGTGGCTACGGCCATGACCCCCCACACCCCTACCGCCCGCTCCTCCGTCGGGTGTCTCCAGCACCGTTAGGACGCTGCGAGGGCGGCGGCAAACCCGCACCGCCTCCACCACCACCACCACTGCCACCTCCACCACCCCGAGAAGCGGTAGCGGAGCCACCACCACCACCACCGCCTCCACGGTTGCTGGGTGCTGGCGGCAGCGCGAAGCCGCCCCGCTCGTCGTACTCCATGTCCGTATCGCCAGCAGCCCTGTTGGCACATTGGGGGCACGTGCGGGATGGGGCGCATGCGCACAGGGCGGATGCGCTGTTTACTTGTGTGATCGTGTGTAATCGATACGGTAGGCGCATGTGCAGTGAGAAGGTGACACAGCAGGAGTGGGGCGTCCATCATGACAGCGGCTGACGGTCCCGAGAGCCATGATCGCAGCATGGTACCTCACCACAACTGGTCCCCATGGCATGACACAGCCCCACATGCAACAAACACGAGTAGGGGCTGCGGCTGAGAGGATCTTCTAGCTCCTAGCTGCACAAAACAACCCCCAGCGCCCACCCCCCCCACCCCCCCCCCACCCCCACCCCACCCCACCCACCTGCGCACGTCCGGTGTGCTGCCGCCAACACCCCGGATGCTGCCCCCCGCGGTGCCTTGACCCGGACTGGCGCCGCCCTCCGACTTGCCGCCCTCCACCCGTCGCCGCTTGCTGCCCCCGTCAGCAGCACCCGCACCCGCAGCAGCAGCAGCTGCGGCATCACGGTCCGGACCCTCCTCCGCGGCAGCACTGCGGCGGCTGCTGTGGCGGTCCTGCAGGGGCGGGGGACGGACATGGTGTGGGGTTGGGGAGAGGAATGAGTGCAGAGAGCCGTCAGGACAACGGGAAGGGATGGGCGCGGAGAGCCGTCAGGACAACGGGAAGGGATGGGCGCGGAGAGCCGTCAGGAACCGTGGCCAGGTGTGAGGTGCCATGAGCACCTTCCTTCCTCTTTCCCTGCCTCTCCCTGCCCCCTCCCTCCTCTTACCCGGCTCTGCCGATCCCGACCAGCACTGCGGTCCCGCGCCGCATCTCCTCCTCCTCCTCCTCCAACTGCTGCTGCCGCCTCGCCGCCCCCCGAACCACCACCACCACCTCCGCCTCCCCCACGACGCGCCTCTCCTCCTCCTCCTCCTCCACCCGCGTCACCCCCCGTCCGGGGGCGTTCTGCCGAGGAGGCTCGCTGCTCCCTCTCCCGCTCCCGCTCCTTGCTGCCCTCAGTCGCCGCCGCTGCTGTAGAGCTGACACCCCGGTCCAATCGGTCTCGCACCGAACCCGAGCCGCCTCCACCGCCACCGCCTTCCTTGCCGCCCTCCACACCTCCGCTTCCCGAAGCAGCAGCACCAGCAGCAGCAGCGGAGTTCGCGCCCCGGCCTGCGTCCTTGTCCTTGTCCGCGCCGCCGCCTCCGCCTCCTCCGCGGGAGGTCTTGGCGCCTTCGTCGGCCTTCTCCGCTCGCTCGCGCTCCTTCTCCTCTCGGCGGCGCTCCTTGTCCTTCTCCTTGTCCTTGCCGCTTCGGTCCCTTGGGGGTGGTCCAAATGGGGCGGGCAGCAGTGCATCTTTACATGTGAAAAGTAGGGCGAAGTACGGTATATGAGGTTATAAAGGCACCAAGCAGGCACACAGGAGCGCCATGGCAGCACAACCGACAACCAGGGGCGCCATGCAAAGCCATGCAAAGCACCCATCCCTCAACCCGTCCCTCACCTGTCCTTGTCCTTCGACCGCTTGTGCTCCCGGTGCTCCTTCTCCGACTTGCCCTCCTTGCCCTCCTTGCCACCACCGCCCTCCGCCATCTTGTCCCCCCACCGCCCGCTCGTCTCAGACCCCGCCCGGCCACCCGCGTCCGAATAGGTATCCGGATCCCGATCCCGATCACCACCGCCACCGCCGCCGCCGCCTCGGCCCTTGCCGGCATCCTTATCAGCACCGCCGCCGCCCTCGACCCGCTGCTTCTTTCCGCCTCCATCCCCACCGCCACCGCCACCCGCGGCCGCGGCTGTTGCCTTGTCACCACCCGCCGCTGCTTTGTCTCCATCGGCTGCCGTCTTATCGCCGTCACCACGACCGTCCGTGCGAGGACGCTTCCGCGCCGCCGCCGCCGCTGCTGCTGCGCCGCCGCCGCCACGTGAGTCCGTCACCACATCACCGTTGCCGTCGTTGGGTGCTGCTGACCCTGCCACGGCGCCAGAGCCCTCCGCAGTCGCCTTGGGCACAAAGGGCTTTGCAGAGGCGTTCAGCTGCTTGTGTTGGCCTCCCTCGCCTGCTGCTGCTGCTGACCCAGCCTGTGAGCCGCCTGCCGCCTGCTGCTGCTGCTGCGGGCGCGGGGCGGGCTTGGAGGCCGGGTTGGCGGGGGAGGAGCTGCCGGCGCCGCCTGCAGCGGTAAGACACCACCACCACAAGCATGTTGATGACCGGTATTGACGTCCTTCAGCCAAGCCAAGCTTCATCCTACTTGACCGCCTACCACTGTTACCACCGCACGCACTCATTCCTATGTAGATGTGTGTGCATGACCAGTTCCCATAATCACTCTCCGCCCCCTCACCCAAACCCCCAGCCCCCCCACTCACCCCGTGCTCCCGCGCCTCCCGCCGCCGCCGCCGCCGCCCGCTGCCTCTCCACCATGCCCGGCCCGCCGTACTCCAGCTGCGACAGCATGCGGCCCGGCTTCTCCGCCTCCCGGTTGAGTGCGATGAGGTAGGAGCGGGCCATGGTCTTGATGTCCTCGCGCGGGTCCTCCTTCTGAAGCTTCTCGACCCAGCCGCGGAACGAGTTGGCGGCGGGGATGGTGCCGGGCCAAACCTGGGGGGCGGGGGGGAGGGGGGAATAAGTGAAAAGTGAAGCAACGGATTCCCAATCCCAAATCCCGACTCAACCCGATTCAAAGGGGGGGAGGAAGGGAGGCAGGGAGATGCGTGTACCACTGTGCAAAGTGATCAACCATCCGCTTTCTTGTTCCTCCTAGGCGATTTCTTCCCTCCCAGCCCTCCGCCCCCCCCAGCCCCCCTACCGTGACCAGTCTCCCCATGACGGACAGCGCGTTGGCTATTTGCGTGTAGTCTCCGCTCTCCAGGGAGGCGCGGAAGGTGGAGCTGATCACGCCGTGCCACACAATCATCTTGGACTTGAAGTTCTGTGTGGGGGGGGGGCCAGGCAGGGCAGGTGGGCAGGCGGGCAGGCAGGCAGGGCAGGTGGGCAGGCATCCACGCCAGTCAAGGGCGCAGTGGCAGGCAGTCAGCACGAGAAGCCATCCGTTTCAAGGCACATGCACGGTGCGGGGGGTGGTGGTTGCATGCGTGTGTGGCTGCTACGGCTGAGCTGCGGTGTGCTGTCTACTGGGTCTCTTACGTTGTGGGGGCTCTTGGCGGTGGCGGGAGTGGGCGCCTTGCGGAAACACTCCTCGATGAACAGCTGTTGGGAGCGGGGGAGGGAGACGGGGGGCGGGAAGGAGGCGGGATGGGGGCGGGAGGAGGCAGCGAGGAGGAGAAAAGGTGTTGGAAGACAACGGGGCATGGATCGCACGCAGGCACGTAAGGTAGCGGGGCTTCGAGCCGAGCAGCGCCGAGCTGCTCACTATAGGCCCAGCAGCCGGTCCCACCCACGAGGTAAACCCAAACCAGCCCTACCCCACCCATTCTCATTCAACACCTTTTGAGTCTCCTTCTGTTCTCACCCCGCTCCCCCCCCACCCACCCACCTTTTCATCCCTGTGCCACGCCACCAGCTGTTTGAGCAGCTGGAACCAGAACACGCCCAGGTTGTTGGCCTCCACCTCCGTCAGCGAGCGCAGCACGGGGATGGTGGCGCGCACAGCCTGGGGGGAGGGGAGGGCAGGCGAGAGGCAGGGAGAGGCAGGGGGTGGCGGGTGTGAAGCGAGGTGGCAGGATGTACGCGGGGGTGTGTGTGCACGTGAAGGACAGGGCTGCTGCTGCTTCACATGCCGCAGCCCTTAACATGGCAAGAGACCGTGCGGGGCGCGCAAGGGACACACACACACACGACACATGTGGTCCTATCCCAACTGCTTGCTCTTGTTTCCGCTCAATTAAACACGACACCCTATGAACTCCGTCGTCCCCCCCATGCCCCTCCCTTCCTTCCCTCCCGGTCCATGCGCCCCCCCTTCCCCCCTCCCCTCACCGTGTCCACGAACATGACCAGCGAGAAGTGCTTGGTCTCCAGGTGGTGCAGCGCGAGCACCAGGCGGGCGCAGTAGAGCGCGTCGGAGGCGCTGAACAGCAGACGAGGAAGGAACATTTCCTGGGGGGTGAGGGGGAGGGGGGAGGGAGGAGGGTAAAGAGGAAACAACTAACTGACCGTGTGATATAAGGCATCATCATGGTTTGCAACATGTGAGCCAGCCCGACCAGAGGGGGGGAGGGAGGGCGTGTGTGTTTGGAGGTAGGCAGGGGCAGGCATACGCCGGGTACACATGGATGCTAGTAGGCCTTGTGGTGCAAGCTGCCGTTCCAAGGCAATAACAACAGCGTTAACAACAACAACAACAATAACGACAACAGCAGCAGTAGTTACAGGAACACCACCACACGCTCACGCTCACCTGTACTACCGGGTTGTAGGTGGGGGCAGCACGAACCGGCGGCCTAGTCCCCCCAGCTGCTGCTGCTGCTGCACCACTCGCCCCCGCCTTCTGTCCGTTTGCAGCCGCAGCAGCCCCCGCCTCGTCCTGCTGCTGCTGGCTTGCACTGCCAGTGGTGGCAGCAGCACCAGTAGCAGGCTGCTGTTGTTGGGGTGGCGGCGGCATGCGCGGCAGGAAGAACGCGCCCCGCTGCAGCTGCAGCCGCTGCCGTACCTCCTCCACGTGGCGCCGCCGCTGCTCCAACTCGCCACTCAGTCGGGACTGCTTCTCCTGCGGGCAGGGGGGGGGGTGGAGATTGGGGGGGTGGTTAATAGGGATATACATATTCCGCATTTGGCTGGATTATGGGTAAACTGGTGAGGGTGAGGGGTAAACCGGTACGACGAGAGTGTTTGCGGGAAATGAGGGCACAGGGTTCGGGGTAAAAAAGGAGAAGCCTAGCCTGCCTCTCAACCCTTCCCCCTACAACACCTATTTTCTTCGCCAGTATGAACATCATCCTCACTTTCTCCACCCATACCCCGCCCCTCTTCCCCCCCCCCGCTCCCGGGACTCGGTATCGGTAGGGCATACTAACCAACACTTTGACTTGTGGCACCCTGCCGCCTATTACCCCGGTGGTCTTCTATGGTTTGGTATGGCCTAGTTTGACCCCCCTCCCGCTCCCCCACCTGCAGCGCCGCCTTCTCCGCCTTGTACGTCTCGTACTGCTGCTGCAGGTTGTTGCTCAAGTAGCCGCTGTTGCTCTGCAGACCCGGGCGGATGTAGTTCAGGTAGTTGTTCTCAAGCAGCTGGGGGGGGGGGAGAGGAGGAGGGGAGGGGAGGGAGGAGGGGATGTGAGATAAGAGGGAGAGGTGGTGAGGAGGGACATAAGAGGGAAGGGGAGGCGCGCGGGCGGTAAGGTAAGGCATGCACTCCTCGGGGGCAGCACACTTGGTCCCCCATCGGTGTTCCAACATGCACGTCTACCGATACCCTACCCCGGCCCCATCGAACTCAACATCATTCCCTCTCTCCCTCCTGCCCCGTCAGCCCCGCCCCGCCCTCCCACCTGCAGCTGGTCCTTGACGTTCTGGAGCTCCTTCTCGTACCTAGGGGAGGCGGGGAGGAGGGGGTAGAAGTAAGGGAGAAGTAAGGGGGTGGAGAGGTGGAATGCGAGGTGGAAAAGATGAAGAAGTACCATGCGTGGGGGTAATGGGGACTGGAGGGCGACATGGGTTGGATACCCATGTGGTGCCACACGCACGTGACACGGTACGAACCCCCAAGAGAGCGACACACCAGCTTGTGACTGGGCACCAGGGGAAAACCCGGACCATAACCCGAACCACCACCCAACCTTGCCACCTCCAAACCTTTGCCGCCTCCCCCCCTTCCCTCCCCTCTTCCCTTCCCCCCTTCTCCTTCCCATCACCCACCTCTTAACCGGCACGTAAATGTCCTGCAGCTGCAGAGACCAGAACGTGGCGTACAGCTCCGGACTCACCACCCCCCACAGCGCAGGGCTGCCCGAGCAGGCAGGCAGCCCCGACAGCACCCCCGCCCACGTCTTGTCGCCCACTCGCGGCTCCTCCACACCACCACCGCCACCGCTGAGGCCGCCATTGCCGCCATTTCCACCGCGGAGGAGGAGGGAGGAGGAGGAGGTACCGGGGGCAGCAGCAGCAGCGGAGGAGGACGGGGCTAGGGCGCCGGAGGAGGAGGCGGTGCCGGCGGCGGCGCCACCGGCTGAGGTGGTGGGGTCGGCGCCGGTGGAGACTGTGAGCGAGGGAGCGGGGAAGGAGGAGGGAAGAGGGGTCAGAGACCATTACAAAGGGGGGAGGTATGTTGTTGGGTGGCGTGAATCCAAAAATGGCTCCAAAAAGGGGCAGTAGTGGGTGAGAGCAATGGGCTGGATGACCTCCTCCGCCCTGCTACACGCACGCACGCCATGCCTGGGCGCATCCTACTTACCGCCCATGCAAGGGTAGCTGCATCTGCATGTATGAGGCCCCCCCTGTATCGGCTCTCTAATGCACGCATGCATGCACAACAAACCACCGCGCATGCACCCCCGCACGCCCCTACCGCCCCCCCACTCGCAGCCAGGTTTCTCGACACCTCACCCGCCGGCCCGCCGTCCTCCCCCTCCTCCAGCTCCCCCTCCTCCGCCGGCTGCGGTGCCGCCGCGTCCAGCAGGCGGCTCATGACGGGCCGGTAGATGTGCCACACCGCCTCCACATCAATACCGTACTCGCGTCTGAGGCGGGGCGGGTGGGGTGGGGTGGGGGGGGAGGTGAAGATGGAAGGGGGGGAAAGATAAGGAAACTGACGAGGCAACTGTGCGATAAGCTGTGTGATAAAGGCTTCACCATGCAGGCGTCTCTCCATTACCCACCATCCATTACCCACCCCCCAGCCCCCAGTCCCCACCTCAGCACATCCGGCATGGGCAGCATGTCCGCATACGCCTCCACCGGCAGTGCCAGTCGCAGGAACTCGGTCAGGTGCAGCAGTGTGTCCTGGGGTGGGGGGGGAGGAGGATAAGGGGGAGGGGGAAAAAGAAATTCCAAAGTGTGGTGTGAGAATGATACAAGTTGCTGACAATCCCTGGTGTAATCAACCGTGAGGACAGAATAGTCATGGATATACTAAAACCACAGGTTAGGGCAAAGCTACGGGGATAGAGGGAAGCCGTTGGGGGGGGGAAGGGAGAATCTGTGATGGGGAGATGATGAGGAAAGCACAACAATGTGCAACATGTGGGGTGGAGATGTGCAAAAGCCCCGCACCCCAGCGCAACCGACCACTGAATTCTACTACGCAACCACAGCCTGTGCGCATGCATGCCGTACCTGGCATCTGTCGTACATTGTCGCGATGAACTTGATGAGCTTGGAGTCGGTGTGGTTGATGATAATGGATCGCTGCTGCGCCACCAGCACCAGCAGCGGCAGGGTGAGGGAGGCGGAGGAGCCGCCGGGGGGGCTGGTGCTGCTGCTGCCGCCCGCGCGACGACCGTCCGGCTGCATGGGAGGGAAAGGAATTGCCTCAGGTTGGATGGGGAGCAGGTTTACTGGGTGGGCTGTAAAGCGGAGGCATCGTTCGCGGTGTTTGCAGCAGCATCGCCTCCTTAGAATGGCATGTCCCCCCTCTGACCTCACCCCTCCTCCGTCCTACCCCCTGCAGCCCCACCCATGTCGCGTACCCACATGGGTGGGGCTCCGTGGGTACCCTCGGGGCGTTGATTGGCCCAGTCACCTACTTCCCCCCCTCCCCCTCACTAACCCCTGCCCTCCCCCGCTAACCCCTCCTCCCCCACTGCCCCCTCACCTCCTCCAGCGCCCTCAGCAGCCGCTGCCGCCCCTTGGCCAGGTCCTTGCTGGTGGCCGTGCGCCCCATGCCCAGTGCCGCATCCGCCTCCCCCGCGTCCAGCACCACCGCCTCAGCAACCAGCTCCGGACCACCCGACAGCGCGTCCAGCTGCTCGTCGGACAGCACCGCCTCCAGACGGACACCCTGTGTGTTTGGGGGGGGGCGGGGGATAAAAGTAGGATTTTCAAAGTGTTGAATGGGTATGCAAACCAGACAACAAGCTCCGGGGGAGACGGGAGGGGGTAGGAGGGGGGAAGTCAGGGAGAAGCCAACGCGTAGGGGTGTGTTAGCTTTTCCACCGGGTCCCTCTTGCTTGCTTTATCTGTGCTATGCCTCGTAATGCCGTTTGTTGCCCCTTCCCTGCCCTCCTCTTCCTCCCAACCTCCTCTTCCCCCCTCTCCCCCTCCACCGTCACCCTCCCCCCTCCCCCCCCCGGCCTACCGTCATGGCCCCGATGATGTGTTGCAGCACCAGCAGGTCGAACGCGTCCCCCGCCCGCAGCGTGTTGGCCAGGAACTGCAACACCGCACCCACATCCAGGTCGGAGAAGCGCCTGGGAGGGGGAGGGGCAGGGGAGGGAGGGGGGAGGGGAGGGAGGGAGGGGGGAGGGAGATAAGGAAACTGACGACGCAACTAAGCTGGAGGGGAGAGGGGTAAAGAAGACAGGAAGAACCGTTAGTGCGTGTGGTCTGCCACCCCAACCACCCTTCCTGCCTCTGCAGCTCCTTCCTCCTCTCCCCCCCACCTGCATGCCGCCCCGGTGAAGCGAGCCAGCGCCTGCAGCCAGCCGGAGATGTTGACCCCGTCCTCCTTCACTTTGTCACGGTCCATGGCGAGCCTGGGGGGTTGGAGGGGGGTTGGAGGGGAGCGTTTGGGGGTCAAAGACCATACCGAACCATAGGAAACCACAGGTTAGGAAACTGGCGAGGCAACCTCACACCTCCTTCTTCCCCCCTCCCCGCTCCCTACCTGGATAGAATGACAAAGGTGAGCACATCGTAGCTGAAGGGCGACAGGTACTTGAGCGCCTCCAGGGACACCTCGATCTGGTTGTCGTACACCTCGATCTGGGGGGGTTAGGGGGGGGCGGGTGAGTTGTTAGGATGGGTGGGAGGGTGGGGGGAGAAGAAGGAAGCAAAACACACAGCAAGTTAGGTTGGGTCCTCTTTCACGCACCCCCTCCTGGGTCCTGGCCTCCCCCCCCCACCTGCGTCACAATGGCCTCCATGACGGGCAGCGGGTTGGCGTGAGCCACCTTGGCCACCATGCGGGCGTGGGGCCTGGGGGGGAAGGGGGGGAAGAGGGTGAGGGACAGGGAGAGGGGCAGGGGGATACATGAACGAAACACAGAGTTGAGGAGGAGGTGCAAGAAACATGCTGCTGACACGCGAGGAAGGGGAGCCCAACCCCGGGAGCGCGCCCCAACTCCCACCCTCAACCCCACCCTTCCGGCTCCAGCCGTTTCCTCCTCAAAACCCTCCCATGCACCCCCTCCTTCTCCCCACCTGCACGCCTCCTTCTTCTTCTGCGGGTCCGTGGGCAGCACCAGTCGCTTGAGCACCTTCTTGGTCTCCACGGTGGCCAGGCGCCAGGCGGCCTGCAGCAGCGGCTGGGACTGGGACAGATCCTGGGGGGGAGGGAGGGAAGGAGGGGGAGGGAGGGAGGGGGAGGCAACGGTAAGATAGCGGGGAGGTAATGGAGGGAGTGAGGAAGGTTAGGTACCAACGTGCAGAGACATGCGGGACTCCTCCATGGCTACCCACCCCCCTATCCCGCACACCACGCCACCTCCTTTCCCTTCCCCCCTCCTCCCTGCCTCCTTCCTCTGCCTCTCCCAGCCGCTCTCCTAACCCATCACTGAGCATGTGAACACCCACCCTGTACTCCGCGTAGATGCGGAACCGCGCCTGCACCGGCAGCAGCTTCGCGCACTCCCACACGTCCGCAGCCAGCGGCAGGTGCACCGGACAGCAGGCGGCGCCGGGCAGCAGCACGCCGGACAGCAGCTCCTCCAGGGAGGGCAGCGGAGGGGAGGAGGAGGGGGGAGGCTGGGGGGAGGGCTGGGAGGAGGAGGGTGCTGCTTCCGATGACCCCGCCAGGGCCGGGGTGGGTTGCGCTGCTGGGGCTGCTGTCTGGGGGTAGGCGAGCTGGAAGCGCACCAGCCGCACAACCTGTTAAGAAGGGGAGGCGAGGGGGGGCAGGGGGGGCCGGGTAAGGGGGAGAAGGGAGAGGGCAGCGGTGTGTGAAGTCGGGGTGCACAGCTACCTTTACTGCCTCTCGCGCATGCAAGCAAGCAAGCACGCACGCATGGCTGAGCCCCATGCACGCATGAAACACACACACGTCCTCCTCCTGGTGCTCTGGGATGGTCTCTGATCCCTCCCTCCCCCCCTCCCTCACCCACCTTGGTGAACAGCCTGACATCCCGGTGGATGTACGGCCCCAGCATGCTCAGCAGCCGCAGCGCAGTGGGGCTCAGCTGCGGGGCTGCACCTCCTGCACCTCCCGCACCTCCTGCACCTCCTCCTCCTCCCCCCACCACCGCTGCGGGCGGCACATCGCCCCACAGCGCGTTGCGTCCCAGCACCCCCTGCGGGAAGAGCGCCTGGTAGGCGGGCGCCACCTGCTGGGCCAGCAGCCGACACAGCGCGGCGCAGATGGGCGGGTGGGCGGCGGGCACCACCCCCTGACCCACCAGCCGCTCGTACAGCTCTAGGGCGACATCCCAGGCGCCAACCTGGGGGGGGGAGGGGGAGGGGTTCAAGAGGATATGGGCTCGCATGATGAGGGGTACAGGCACAGTGCACCCAGTACCCCTCTCGCTTGGCTCGCCCCTTGCCTCTTGTGTTTCTTCAGCCGCGACCCCTTTCCCGTAGGTTCCCTTCCCCCCAAACCCGGCAACCGCGTTTGCACCCCATGGTGAAGCCTACATGTCATACAGCTCGCCAGTCAGCTTGCCTCGTCAGTTTCCTTATTGTTACCCCCGCTTCCAACCCTCCCTTCCTCTCCCCCTCCCTTTTCATTGGTTATTCTTCTTCTTCTCCCCACCTGCAGCAGCGCATCCAGCAGCGCCAGCGGCTGGTTGTGCCCCGGCTCCGGACCCAGCGCCAGCGGCCCCACCGCACCCGCCGGGTCCAACTCAAACGAAGCAGCTGACAACCCAGTCGCTCTGCTACCCCCTGCTCCCCCTGCTCCTTCTCCTGTAGTCGTAGCAGCAGTGATAGCAGCAAGCCCAGCACCGGCACCTGCTCCTCCACCTCCGCCACCCCCACCCAGGTTGATCTGCCCGATCTCCCCCACCCGCCGCATGAGCGCCTCCCGCGCACCCCGCTGCGCCGCCGCCTGCTGCTCGTCCGAGGGCGCCAGGTGGGCCAGCAGCTCGGGCAGGGAGGTGCGGCCGGCGGCCAGCAGGTGCGCGGCCACCAGGAAGAGGCTGCGGGGGGCGGGGGGGCGGGAGGGGTCCTGTGCGGGGGGGGGGGGAGGGAGGAGATGGACGTGTGAGATGGTGGGGTTAAGGGAATCAGGTTTGGAGCCTTCAGTTATACCGTATGCCCAAACGTGTCTTCCTCAGCCTAGCAGCAGCCAAGGGTGAAGTGGCCCACGGCGGCCGCCATGCAGCAGCAGCAGCGACCTCCTTGCACCCCCCCACCAGCCTAACCCATGCCCCTGCCTCCCTCCTCCTCCTCCTCCTCCTCCACCTCGACCACCATCTTCCTTAGCCTCTACAAACCCACCCACCCACCCACCTCGAACACCCCCCTTCCCACCACCCCCCTCCCCCACCTGGTACTGCTGCAGCTTGAAGCCCAGCAGCTGTCCCACCGCCTCCGCCTTCAGCAGCGGCACCGCGGCAAGCAACCCAACACCACCACCACCACCACCACCACCCTGCTGGGGACCCTGCCCCGCCTGCTGCCCCTGCTGCTGTCCCTGCTCGTTCTGCGCCTGCTGCTGCGCCGCCGCCGCGTCTAGCAGCAGGTCCAGGCAGCGGTTGGGGTCCAGGTCGAAGGAGCCGATCAGCGAGTGCAGCTCACGAGCCAGGGAGGGCAGGTCCTGGGGGGCGGGTGAGGGTGTGGGGTGAGGTGGAGGGTGAGGTGGAGGGAGGTTACGGAAATGTCCCCAACAGCAGCCACATTGCCCTCCCTACCGCCCCGCCACTAACGTAGCCCAAACACCGCTAAATCCGCTACAGCCCGCCGCCCCGCCCCCACCTGCTGCTGCACCGCCCCCGCCCCGAAGTGGTTGTACAGGGTGACCAGCTTGGCGTAGCCCTCGCTGTCCTCACGCAGCAGGTTGTACTTGAGGATGGTGTAGTTGAGCTTGGTGTTGTAGCGCACCGCCTTCTTGTCCCACGCGCCCTTGTCGCGCACCAGACCCACCGTGTGCAGGCACTCGGGCTCCAGCACCTGCAGCAGCTGGCGCTCGGAAACCTGGGGGGCGGGTGGGCAGGGGCGCGGGGGCAGGCGGGCAGGGGTGGGCGGGCAGGCGAGCAGGGGGGCAGGGGCGGGCGGGAAGGGCAGGGGCGGGTGGCGGGTCAGAGGTTACTAGTATACACAAGCATGGAACGACGTTTACGACATAGCCCCGCCCGCCCGCCTAGGTGAGCGGCACCGCCTCCTCGCCTTCCATAAGAGCATGCGGCATGCCTTCGCCACCCGCCATCATCAGCCCCACCATGCTCCCACCACCACCTATTCCGTGTCCCCCCCCAACACACCGTGCTCGGTCCAACAAGCCGGCTTACCCGCTTGTCCTGCCAGCACGCCTTAATCGCCGCTACCAGGTTCATGCTCTCCGGCCCACGCCCAACCTCGAAGCGCACCCACAGCAGCCTGCATGGCGCCCGGGAGAGCTGTTACCACTGAGCTAGCCAACGTCAGGACACACGAGGACACACATAATCGGCATGGCTGCTAACGACCGGCCGCCAGCAGCGCACGCACCAGAACACATCCACCAGCACCTCCGCATAGGTTGACGGCTGTCCCAGGGGCTCCAAGTCCTTATAAAAGGCATCTGCCTCGAAGACCCGGCCCTGCGCGGAGTGCGTGGCTGAGCTTTTAGCGGCTTGTAATATGCTGGTATGAATTTTGTCCCCCGACCACGACCAAGGCGTGATCATAATATCACTTCCAGGTGTCCAATACACGACGAGGCTGTTTGGATGTTCGCCGGGGCTGCCGTGCGCAAGACCAACCTGGATGTGCTTTAAGGTAATGGCCAGCAGCTGTTGTTTCACATCTGTCGCCATTTTCGTCGCCTGAGGAGATCCTATAGTCCGTAATTGTATTCAAAACATTTGCGACGAAGCTAGGCCCAGTCTTGTGCGTTAAGCTAAGCCGCGATCAATGCGGCACTCCTTCAGAGACGAGAAACAAAGGCAATCATACGTCAAAGGTAATTCATACTTAGAAGTCCTCTTACAAATTGCTGGATAACGTGTCCATGCGCCGTCTGACCAAATCATGCCGTACATACCACAGCACCCGAGACCGGAGACCATACCATGCGCCCATCCACTTTTACAGCACAGTATTACTCCCTTAACCCTCTCAAGAACATCTGTCCGGCTTACCATTATGAAACCAAAAGGCCACCCATACCAACACAGGTGACCCTTTGCCACCCAAGTTGGATGCACAGGCAGGCCGCTGGGGCTGGTAACACACTGTGCGTCTCACGTTTCTGCCAAACAGAGCTCCTGCATTCTGCATTAGGTGCTGGGAGAAAGGGCTCCGTTGTCCAGGTTTATGTCAGAGGACGATGCCTCTGGGTTGTCCCTAGCCCCGGCCCTTCCACTTAGACCACCACTGCTACGATACCGCAGCTAGGCTCCAGCCGTGCCCCCGGGGGGTGGTCCTAAACACACCCTGCTGCCCCTACACGCGCCACACACGCGTTACAAGTCCTGCTGCTGAGCCCCCCCAGCGCCCAGGACAGTGTGCCCCTGGTGTGCAGGTACCCGCACCGGGCACAACATGGAGGAACTACTTGCACCACCCACCACTAGCCGCCCGCCCCCAGTCCTCAGGAGCGCGTGCTAGGGTGCAGCGCCTTGCCTGGGCTTGTAACAGCTCGCCTCGGGAGGCTGGCTCGCCCCTCTCTTCTGTTCCTTCCGCTCCTCCGTCTCATCCTTTGTTCTTCGTTCTTCTTCTCCTCCTCCTTGTTCTTTCCCTTTTGTTTCCTTATCTTCTTACCCTGCCCTTGAGACAGGGGCATCCAATCACAGGAGGCTGCTTGGGCCGCTCGCTCTAGGCTGGTCCCTTAACGACCCCTTGTCCACATAACATGATAGCAACTACCGGTAACCCTCCTTCCCTCCCTCCTTCCTTCCTTCTAGCCGCGACCTTTACCACATCGGCACACCCACCACCCGTCATCCGCACGCCCAGGCACCCCGCCAGGTCTCCAGCTTGGATTCAACTTCTTTCACCGTTCCCGTACTACATATACGGCGTGCACCCGTCGTAAAAAAACCCATTAAGCCAAGTTTGCGCCGTTTGGAAAGCCGGTAGAGGCACAGCTCCATCCATGCCGCATGCACCAACAGGAGCAGGAGCCCCTTCTCAATTCCTTTACTCCACGCGATAGGAACGATTGCGCCCCCACGCTGCAGCGGTCCCAAGTCCCAACAACCACAACGGCCTGCGCTGCAGCACACCAATCTCCCCTACAGCCTACATGCCTAGATGCGTCACATGCTGTCCACCACGTCGACGGTGCCAGCAGCCAGTGTGGTTCTAAGGGGCCCTCAACGCGCCACAACCCCGCCAGCCACTGCCCCCACGTGTTTAGCAGGTCACAGCCACCAGCACCTACTCACCGCACGCCACCCTGAGACCACATCCCTCCCGAACTCCTTGTCCACCTCATAATCAGCCGAGGTGCCCAAGCCCCAAGGGACTAGACATGTCCCCACCACGCATGGTATACTCTTCTCGCTAGCCATCAAACCCTTCAGTCGCGCATTTACAGGAGCTTACTATAACCAAGCCACATGAAAACCCTTGAACGCAGTCTTGCCACCACAGTATCGAGTTGTTGTGCACTTAGCGGTCGTCACCCCAGTCGCTTATACCCGGCTGCTGCCGACGCTGTGCACAGCTGCTGCCGTTGCTGCGGCCCCTCACTTGCTGTCCTTGTCCGCGCCCCCCTTGCCCTTCTCCCCATCCTGCTGCTGCATCTGCTGCTTCTGCTGCTGCCGGGCTGCAGCTGCAGCTGCGAACTCGTGGATGCGGCCGCAGGAGGAGCAGGTGCCGTACCTGCACAGCAGGGGGAGCGGGCAGAAAGGGAGATGAGGGAGGTAAGGAAAGGAAATTGAGGGACAACATCGGCTGCATCTTGAGCTCCTCACCACATCAAGAGGGACACGACGGACCCGTGGGTCGCTGCTCCCTCACCCCCACCCCCTCTTCCCTCACTCCCCCCAAACCCCCTACCTGGGTGGGTGTCCTCTCGACGTGCAGTGGTTGATGTACCGCATCAGGTCCGTCGCGGGTCGGGCGTTGCATGAGGGCTCTCCGCAGTGCAGCGGCCCCAGCTGCAGCAGCTCGCCGATGGGGTTGCGGCAGGCGGCGCAGGGGCTGGGCGAGGAGTGCCACAGCCGCAGCGCGCGGAAGAGCTGCCCCGCGGTGAACACATCGCTGATGGCGGGGCGGGGCGGGCAGGGGAGGGGAGGGGAGGCAGGCGGGTAAAAGTGAGGCGAGGTAAGGCAAGGCAAGGAATGGAAGAAGCACGAGGTGGGCTCTGGGTTTCAGAGAGGATGGGCACAAAGCAGGAACGAAGCACACACGGGATTTGAACCACCACACACAATTCTAGCAGGGGCAAGGTTGCGGTGTAAGCGTATAACTCGGAGGTCGCGCTTTCGGAGTAGACTCACAGGCTGGCGTATTTGAGCTGGTGGTTGTTGAGGCTGGGTGCCGCCCAGTTGGAGCGAGACACGGACTTGGCCTTGTTCATGGGGAGGCCCAGCACCTGGGGGGTCAAGGACCATACCGAACCATGGGGAGGGTGATGGTGGGGGCGTGTTGGAAGGGGCCAGCGAGGTGGTTGTCTGCAGGCGGGGGTACCGCGGCTGGACATGACCTCCTGCAGATGTGCCCCTCGCCCTCGCCAAAACATCACCCGCCGGCTAGTTTCCTTCAAACCTCCGCACCCCACACACCCCAGGATCCTCCGACAGTCACAGTGCCCCCCTCCTCCGCCCCCCCCACCTGCTCCGCCAGCCGTGCCAGTCCGTAGCTGTGGTACCCCAGGTCTGCCGCCACCTGCTGCAGGTCCAGGAAGGAGTGGAAGCGCGCCCGACCCATGCCAAAGGTGCCGGCCATCTTGGCCTCATCCGCGGTGTCCCAGCCGAAGCCCAGGATGACGAGCGAGGGGTCGGCCAGGAACTCGGCGACGGGGGTGGGCAGGCTGAAGCTGTGGGGATTAAATATGAAGATTCCGCATTGTAAGATGCGCGATGGGTATGTCCGTAAGGAATTGGCAGCGCGCCAGAACGTGACGGGGATGATAATGGTTCAACCAAGAAAAGCACGGACGTGTCCCTCTGTCTCCCTCCTCCCTCCCTAACCCTCCCCTCCCGCCTCCCTCCCCCTCCTCCTCACCCCATGCAGCTGACCCTCAGCAGCAGGCAGGTGGAGGCGGTGGCCAGCTGCAGCAGCGCCACCGGGGAGGTGCGACCCGCCACCACCTCGGGCTTCCACTCCAGGTCGATGGCGATAACACGGTCCTGAGGGGAGTGGTGGGTGGGTGGGTCGGTGGGGAGTTGGTGGGTGTGGGGTGGTGGGGTGACGGGCGGTGAGGGAGGGGTTGCGCATGAGCACATGATGCGAAGACGAAGAGGGTGGTGGTGGTGGTGTTTCTTTGTCCACTTTACGTCCACAACACATGGGACCCTACAGCGAGCCTTCCCTCCCCACCCCACCTCACCCACCTCACCCCTCACCCGTTAGGTCTCGTCCTAACGCCTTTGTTCGTACCTCTTGCTCGTCCTGCCTTTGTGCGCAACACTTGTCCCAGCCTTGTTTACCCTCCAGTCGTATGCGGAACCCCCTAACTTCCACCTACCCGTGCTGGTCATCCCGGTGAAGCTGGCGTCGATCGGGCGGGCGGCCGCCCAGGCCCCCAGGAAGCCCTCCCGGGCGGCATACCTCAGGGAGTATCGGCGACGGCGAGGAATTTCTCCCGCGTTGTTTCAATTATGGGGATTGGGCTCCCTGTTTACCAAGGGACAACCCCCGGGGGTTTTCGCCAGTGTTCTAGGGGCTCCCCATGACCCTCACTCGCCCCTTTTCCCATTGCTTTGCCTGTACTCACTGCACCCTGGGCGGTCCCCGTCACTGCTGGCTCCCCCAGGCTTAGCAGTGACGTGGGGATCCGGGACCGGACCGCTCGCTGTTGCCATCACTGCCTTTCCTGCCACACCCCCCGGGTTGCTATCCGACATGTTCACGTCATTGTCGCCCCCGTTGTCCTGCCGTACTCCCAACCTTCCCTTCCATGTTAATGACCATCCCACCACCACTCCTTCCTTTCCAATGCCGCGCCGCCGTGTCTATAGGATGCCCTAGCCATACTGACCTGTCTTGTTTCCAATGTCGTCGCGCATCTCCTACTTAACATTTCGTTAACGCGCCCTGCTCTCTTTTCCCTCTCTTCTTGCATATTGACAACATCTTCTCCTGTTCTCGCTCGGCGATGGACCATGCCCTGCTGTGGCATTGCTGGCCTGCGTCTACACTCCTTGTACTCGTGGCCATGTTCCTTCGGGTCCTCTCTCCAGGTAAGTTTCCCGTAACGCGTCTCGCTGACTTATCTGCTTGTATGCCCAATAGCCTTGTTGCCTTAGAATTAGTGGCCGGCGGCGCGGCACATGCCTTACTAGTGTTCATATGCAAGGCGGCTTCTTCCCCAAGTCATCTCGGTTTCTGGTAAGCAATTGGTAAGTCTCTGAGATGCGTGTTTCTAGATTAGTGTCTCCGAATGCGCTCACTGCATGAGTCGGGATTCGGGATTGGGATTGCGTTGTTGCATTTATTTATAATTTTCACCCCTCCCCCCCTTACCTGCATGCTGGCCCGCAGCCGCTGCAGCGCATCCTCCACACGACGGGGGTTCTCCACCACGTACGACACCAGGCCCTGAAGCGGGGGGCAGCGGGGGCAGCGGCAATGAGGGCAGGGGGGCAGCAGCGTTAGTAGCACTTCTGTGGGACAGTGCAACAGCCTCCGCAGCAGCAGCAGCAGCAACATCAACAGCAACGTCAGCAGCAGCATCAACGTCAGCTACAGGCGTGTGTTGTTGTGGGCCCTTGACACACGCTTGCCAATCCTCACAGCCGCAGATCCGCACGTCAGTCTGCGTCAAGCACTGTCCTGTCCTCTCCTCCTTTCCTTCCTTCCCGCGCCCCTCAAAAGGCCATTTTACCCTCTCCCACCACCACCCCTCTCACCTCGGGCAGGATCAGCTTCTCGTACCCCCTTGCCATGCTGAACCGCTGTAGTGCCGAGGGCGGCTCCCCAAACACCGCCTGCCAGCGGATACCTGAGGGCACCTTCACGTCAAAACTGCACCACACGGGGCCTGTGGCTGCTGTGGCTGTTGCTGCAGTAGCAGCACTTGCAGCAGCTGCTGCTGCTACTGTTGCCCCCCCTTGTCCACTACTCGCAACACCCACTACCGCCGTAGCTGCACCAGCAGCAGTAGCGGTGACAGCAGCAGCAGTAGTAGCTCCATTGGTCTTGGGGGCAGCAGCGGCCCTAGCCGCCGCCTTTGCAGCTGCCTCCGCACCCGTCAGCGCCGCTGCGTGCTCCTGCCCCTGCAACAACCGCTCCTTGCAGCCGCGTGCGGGATCGCATGCTGGGACGGTGATGGGCGGAGGGCGGGGAGGAGGCTGCTTAGGCCCCGCTGCAGCAGCAGCAGCAGTGCCGCCTACTGCTGCTGTGGTGGTGGTACCTGTGCCGCCTATAGCGGCCGCTGCTGCTGCAGCTGCGGCCGCTGCGGGTGGTTTGCCGAGGCTGGTGGCAGCTGCCAAGGCAAGACGGGCGCGCTTGGCCGGCGGAGGCTCATGTGGGGAGTGGTGGTGGGAGTTGTGGAATTGACGTGGTGAGGAGTGTTTTGGTTGTTGTTGTTGTTGTTTCTGTTGGTTGGGATTTGGAGTGGCCGAGTTGGTTGTGGCAGTTGTGGTGGTGGTAGACATGCCCTTGGCTAGGGTTGCTAATGTCGGGCTGGAGGAGGACGGCGGCTGCGGACGGCTTGTGGGCAGCCCAAGTGCGTGGGATGAGCTGGCGCCGCTGTCTCCCACTCCTTTCCCTCCCTTTCCTCCTCCTCCGCTGATGCCGCTGCCAGCAGCTCTGCTAGGTCCTAGGCTACCCTCCTCCGGGCTGCTAGAGCGGCGGCAGCAGCCGGGAAGGCGGGCCGAGGAGTCGTCCGAAGCGCAGGAGGCGCCGCCGCAAACGCCACGGACCTGGCCGCTGCTGCTGCGGGGGCCGCAGCATCCGCAGGCGGCAGGGGCTGCGGTGGCGGCCGAGGCTTTGCACGTTCCGCTGGACAGGGATTGTTGGGAAGGCACGTGCGGCAAGTAGGGTGCGGACGGGCCGCCAAAGCGCACTGCCAGCAAAGCCTCTGCGGCTCGCCGCTTGGCGCTTTTCGCTTGGTCCTGATGCTCATGGGGCCGCCGTTGGAATGAGGTGGTGGTTTCAAGGTCCGAGTGCTGCCTGCAAGATGGAAGCTGCGAATCTCCGGCGATGTCCTGGATGTCGCTCGCGCCAGAGCTAGGGCTGGACGGCGTCGCCTGACGCTTACGCCCCGAGGGCAATGCCGATGGGCGAAGCGTCGTCATGACGTTTGTCAAGGAAGTAAACTGGTCCAAACCCAAGCTGGAAGACGACGAACGGCGAACAACGGACGCCGTTAAAGGATTAAGACCACAAGTGTCCAACGCAGGCTCCTTGCCGGATTGTAGTAAGCTCAGGCTGGACCAGTACGCTGGAAGCGAGCAAGCACCACGATAAGTAGTTTGCTTTACGCCGCGACTTGCTAGTAACAAAATCAAGGCCATGAACGACCACAGCGCCTTGTTTACAGTACGCAGGCGGCGGCCCCACGTTATGCCAACGGCGGCGCTAATAGATGGTAAACAGCGGGTTTGAAGAAAAGGTTCAAACACTAGATGGTGAAGCAGAGGTCGTCACGCAGCGTGATCGTGGAAAGACGTTTGAGGGACCAACCATCCTAACGTCCTTTCAAGTCCACCACGCTTGCCAGTGCAGCAAGTGGAAATGCAATGAAGAGTGTTAGCTAGCGCCTTGTGATAATGTACTGCGTTTGCAATCGCGCCACAGCCTGCCGTAGCCTAGCACGTTGGCTGGCCCCTAAGCCCTAACGGCAGCTGTTCGCAAATCCTTAACAATATCGAACGCCTTTATATGCTTTTGGTGTCATGAGTACTGTGGTAACTGAAACCCTCGGCCTCGTGCCGTACCTTTTAGCAGTCTCTGCCCATGTGCCGAACGCGGCACCGAAAGCGGCAATGGACATTGCATTCGGACCCAAGCAGCAAGCATGTAAGCCTCAACATGGATACGACGCTTAGAGCCGGGAATGTCGTCCTGCAAGGGAGCACTTGCAGCACAGCACACATGTCTGGGGCACACTTGTCGGGGTTGCCGTGCGCGGGAGCACGTTCAACGCGCCAACATTTGCAACGAGCTACGCCGTGCTTTCACCCACCTCCTCCGAGCACATACCTCCCACCGGCAGACAAGGTGAAGAAGTCAATCGACGTGCGGCATGCATACTCATGGCCATGTCTGGTCTGCTGGGCTTGTACACCTATTCGTCTCTCCTAGTCAAACGGAAAGCTACAATCAATTGATTGCCTTGGGCAAGGCAAGAGAATGACTGCTTCATAGTAATCACAGGAACATGGAACGCTTCCACTTGCCGATGTTGCTTTGCCTCACTGTTGACGCTTACGTACGGCTAACATCCTCAGCATTAAGTTGGAGAATGTTATGCACCGGTAGCTTCTGCTTGTATGCAGCAAAAGGCCGAAACGCCGCATATGAATGCGACCACCGCTGCTGCACCGCTGGAGGGTATCCTGTGCTGGCACTAAGGCTATGTTAGTCTCGTACATACGTGGCGAGGTGTGTCTAACGTACAACAGACTCCGCAAACATTTCCACAAGCTGACGGACATTGCAAGCAGTGGCGGTTATTTCAAGCACGTCAACGTAATCAGCGTCATCAAAGCGGGGTCGGCCTAATGACCACAAGTAAGTGTCTTGCCCTTCGCCTCTACAGCAAACACTTAATAAGACATCACTGTCACCACTCGCTCCATTGCTATCATTTCTCGTTCAAACCCAAACCCAATGTATTGGTGCTCAAGTATTCCCTTTATTCGTCCTCACACAGTACCGGTATTGGCCACTATTCCGGCAGGCCTTCATCACCAGCCGCGGCAGTATCAGGTAACAACCACCTCCGTCAAGAGCCGCGGCAACATGCGACACGGCGGAGGCCCGACCCATGGGTCATCAGCGGACAAGGAGGAGGCCGGCTTGCACCCAGGCGACCGAGTGGCCTGGAACTGGGGTGCATCACACATTGAGGGCAAGTCCCGGTGTCAGCAGTTGGCGAGATCGGCGGCGTCCGCTGCAAACGCAAACCAGTAGGGGCGCATGCATACGCGATTGCAGCACATGCCTTTCATGCATTTCGATACCCCATACCGTCATACGATCTATCTGCAAACTGCAATGCCAGACCGCTGGCATGCGACTACCATGCCGACACAGTTCTATACAGCCAACCATGATGCTCGCCGGCTGGTGACATGCTGTCTTGACTGCCAGCACACATCAACAGTCGCGGCCAGCATTCTTACCACATACCGCGCAACGCAGTACCGGTACCGGTACAGCATAACGTAACGCAGCGGCCCGGGTAACCGCGCAGGTGTGGTGAGCGAGGTTGTCCCTGAGCACCTCACCAAGCACATCGCCGGCAAGGACATCAGCCGCAACGGCACCCCGGACAACCCCGCTGTGTTTGTGGAGCGGCAGCAGCCCGGCAAGAACCCTGTGCTGAAGAAGGTGAGTGGGCCCCACGTGTGCGACCCCACGAGAACCCGTTGAGATTGAGGCGCTCCTGCCTTTCCTGAAAGCGCCGAGGATGGAGGGTGCTTTGGCAGGCGACGCGTGCGTTGTTTGGCGAGGAGACAAAGCAGGGTTCGTGTCATGCATGCCCTGCTGCTCCGTTGTTCCCAACTGCTGGTGTTTTGGCCGCATAGCGTGATGCGCTGCTGTTTCCTTTCTACCGGCAGCTGGTTGTCAAACCCAGGCAGTGCTTTGCTGTATCTCGCACCGCGCTATCCCTACTACCCACGACCAGTACCGTACCCTCCCCCTGATGCCTCCCCCTGATTCGATGAACATCAGGCCAGCGAGCTGCATGTGCTGGCTCCCGAGGAGCAGGAGCAGCTGCCCCCCCACCAGCACGTACCCACCGCCCGACAGGAGCGCATTGCACGGCAGCAGCAGCAGGAGGAGGAGTAGCAGGCTAGCAGGACCTGGTGTCAGGACGAGGATGAGGCGGAGGAGTCCTCCTTGGTTTGTGTTTTGAAACCATGTAAGCTTAGTTTATGCATTGCTGCCGTGAAGTGCGTAGTGCTGTAATCCTCTAATGCGACCCACGGGTCATTAGGGCGTGGGAATAGTTGAGAGACAGTGTTCCCCGTAGCCCCTTCGGTGGCATGCTGGCAACGTGCCGTGCTCCAGCCTGAATATCTCTGGATGTTGCAGCGCTACAGAGTACCGGGTTGGATGAATGAACGTTACAACTGGATACAGTTATTACTGTTTATTGTTGAAGCGGAAGACAGGGAAAGCAACGACATCCTTGTCACGTTGTCAGAGTGTAAACGTTCCTCCGGATGTTATAAGTCTTTGTATACCGACGATCACAAGGCGTCAAGCATCGTACATAATCCTTGCAAATGCAAAAGCATACAAGCACCTGCGCCACCTGCCGTATTAAACCTGCCGTATTCATTTCACGAACAGGGCGAAATCCCAATTAGGCACTACCAACACCGCTCAACTGCAGTAAGAAACTTTCTTATTCATTGCCGCTGCTGTGCTTCGCCTCACATACAACCCACATTGCCGTTGGGCGTCACTTAGCGTACTTTGCAGCAATCGGAACAACCCAAATGACGAAAGGCATGTCGTACAATCTGCTATGCTAAAAAGATAGCAGAATCCAAATAAACTACATACCCTGTGATGCCGGAAAAGGTAGGGCGACATGACCTCAGGTTTGATGAATCAGCATCTTGCAAACCCATTATTATACGACACCTCATGACACCAACCCGCCAGTACACGGAAAGCGTACGACATTCATTGAGCTGCCATGGAGAGGATAATGAATAGCAATAGGCAATGCTTTCAATTGAGAACTACACCCGCTTTGAGTACACCAGATTAGGTTCGATGAATACCCTATTGAATGACCCCGGCCCTAACAAGCCTGCCTAAACCAGAACCCAATCCATACAAGCGTACATTAGCAACCCCGTGAAGAGGCGCCCATGTCGCCCATACAAGCACGAAGAACGAGGGAACCAACCACCAAGTTTGCAAAAGAGCACTCATGGGTCGCATCCGCTACACCCTTCCATTCTCTCCGCATTATTCCCTCATCCGACCCTTAGGCAGCCCCAAAGCTTGCCAGAACCCCTCCAAAACCGCACATGGGCGATATGGGAACAGGGGAACAGCTGCTGATGCGTGGATTAATCACAGCTCTAAAGACCATAATACAAAGAAAACACTAATCCAAACCCGCCTTGAATTTTACGATACGGCACGCGGGCTGTAGTCTTGAAGGCGAGTAGCGGTGCCTTCACAATTCCGCAGATGCGCAGCCTTCCATGGAAGGCCAAGTAACACGAACATGTAATAAACATGTGGCAAAAACGATGTACGATGGCGACCCATGGGACCACGATGGCGCCCCACGGATTGCTGCCTCAGTCGGTTGCTGCCGCAGAAGCCAACTCAGTCGCGCTTCTTATGCGAGGAGGCAGGGCCCTTGGCTAACCGAGGGTAGGCCTTGGCTTGGGGCTGGGGGCAGCTGCTCGGCCTCCGCTGGGTGAAGCTGTTGAGTCTGGGCGTGACGGCCAGGCTGCCGCTGGCAAAGTCCGCACCGACATTTTCCCTGCGCAGCAAGCAAGCAGAGGAGGGATTGCTTGGTTACCAAAAGGCGCGTAATACCATGCTAAAGGTTAAACGTGCAGGGATGTGCAGCAGCACCAATAAATGGGAAAGACGTGGGAGCGGGAAAGACAGGATATGGGAGTCCTGGTTACATGCATGCCGCCTATGTCCGATAGCAATCATGGCCCCTGCCATGGCTTACCAGGAACTGTCATTGTCATCGTCGTTCTCGTCCTCCGTGAGGCCCTCGGATGGGGAGGTGGACGCCCAGGCGCTAGCCAGGTCGGCAATGTAAGAGCTCATGCCAGCAGTGAAGCTTCCCGCCATGCGGAAAACACTTTCGCTGAAGCTCTGGGTTGACTCCGCATACGAGGCTACAGAAGAGGAGCGGTTGTGGCGTGCGACAGGAACATCCGTTTCCTGCATGCCAGCACAGCAGGAAGAGCGGCATATGTCAAGAGGGCCGCGCTATGGGTGGCTCCTTAGGGATTAGAAGGAAACTGTGGGCTCACCAGGACGAGACCATCGCCCATGGCCCAAGCTCCAGGCAGCATAATTACGCCGGGGGAGTGCTCTTGGAAATCTTCCCAGATGCTATGACCTGTTATCGTTTAGCAGTTGGTGGAAAACCAAAAGCCACGAGCGCGCGCGACAATTAAATTCAAAAGCTTACCTTTTTCATCGTCATCATTCGCATCGTTATGTTTAGACAGAGCGGCGTCCTGAAAATGCAGCGGAAACAGACGTTTTAGCCAAAGGAGCATTTCCATGTCCACATACTAGTCAGTAGTCACAGACAGACAGCACTCACCAATAACGCCCGTGATAACGATCGCCTGCAGCTTGGTTTTGTAAAAGCCTGTCCGCTGATGGTCGGTACTTCTCCATTGCCCAGCTGAAAGCTAGACGAGTTAGTCGCTTCTACGCCAGAAATCGAAGCTCCCTCGCAGCTTAAGCTACCAAATGCCATGGTTTGACTTCACTGGGAAGCTGGCTACACAGAAAGCCTGATACTGCTCTCTTTTCAGCGCGCAGAATTCGTAGGAAAACCAAAGACCGATTGCAGAAGCCTTTAAAGCTGCAACGTGTGCTATATTTTCTACAGAAGCCTGTCAAGCCGTTGGAACCGCAGGATATCCTTGCGCGATTTTGCACAAATCTCTAGCGGCTGGCTAGGCGGCCTGAGGGCAACTGTTGCAAATTGTAGTTGGAGGTGTTTATTACGGTGACAATATAGTAGACCATTCCGCAGCCCCATCGGCATCCGTACCGTGTGTCTGTACGGCACGCGGGAATCCCTTTTAAAATCCCTGGTAAGCTCGTATTGTATTGCATGGTATGCTTATGGTGCCAATTACTGAAAACACTGTCATGTTACCTTATGGGTCCAACGCGGCACGGCTGCGTAGGCCTAAACCAGCAATGCCTTAATCGTATGGCACGGCCGTTCAGACCAGCTCACAGCCTAGGTATTCTCAAAATGATGAGCGCTTTGGCTATACATTTTGGGTGCCTGTATTTAGGCTCCAAGAACGCTCCGAAGCAAGGATGGCTGGCGATGGCTCCCCGTGCTTTGGTGTATACAGACATTACAGAGGACAACTTCATCAAAATGTTGTATAACCGCCATGGCACTGTGAGTTTGCCAACATGCACTTACTTCGAAACTTTAGGCAGCTATTTATGACGTATTAGGCTCTGGCAAGGCAAACGTGGCAAATACGCTCAATAGCCCAGAGCGCAGCACGTGGTGACGGTATTTCTGAACAAGCCAGGAAACCGTAGCGACCGCACGAAATTAGGGTTGACGCACAAAGGCAAGCATAATTGCAGTGCCTATGTCGTTTAGCGCTATGCCTGGGTGGCATCGTGCAAAGTGTTGACACCTGTAAGTACATATATTGACATGAAGTAAACCAACGAAAACTGTTCGACGTACCCGTCATGCTACCATGATCCGCTAATCAGTCACTAACGGCCTCGAGTACAGGCAGCTGGTAGCGTGCTTCTTAGCCAGCTGCCCGGTTTGCCGCTGCACGATGGAAAGCGGCATACATGTTTCCCCTCTCGAGGGAGCTTTCGAGTTGAAACTCCTTACAATTTAGGTTTGTCCTTTACCGCAATCCTTTGCATTCCGTAATCGGTACATCGTATTCATTCGCATTACTCTCAATTGCTAAGGTGCAATAGCTAACGCAGCCTCTGCTGCATAGTTGGCACTTGTGGCTGTCACTAATCGTCTGCCGATCTACACCTTATGAGTCCCAGCACGAATTTGTTCCCGTGCGCCATAGCTTATTCCCATATTGATAACGCTGCGATAACGAGTACCCTTCCATTGAGAAGGCTTACCAGGCGCAGCTCAGATGCATATACTTGTATGAGTTCGGGCGACTATTGACGCTTGGAGGCGTTCCCTGCTGGCGTTTCTTGGGTCGAAGGTAGCAAGCTTTAAAAAACTGTAGTGGAAAATCGTGGCTGCTCACACTTAGCTAGTTATGGCGCAACATCAGGAGGCACGAAGCTATCAGGAAAGCCAGGCGCGCATTTGGCAGCACCTGCAGCCAGAGCTTTCCGAGCACATCATCAGCTTCCTGTCGCCCAACGAGATCGCCTGCACCGTACGGCTGATCAACAAGGCCGCAGCCGCACAGTTCGGCGGCGCTCACCTTGCTACTGTACACCTTTCGTCACCTGTGCCCACACATGCCTTCAAGCAGCACTGGTGCCGCCCCGGAGCGATGCGGGTTCTTACGCTCAAGCAACGGCAGCAGCTGCTGTGTCTGACGGCACGCAGTGGCAGCATCCCCAACCTTGAGCTGGTAGTAGCCGCCACTGGGCTCTTCCCGGTCGGCTCTTGGACGAAGGAGCCTGGTCCGGTGGCCCTGGCAGCTGCCGCTGAGCAGCTGGATGCATATCAGTGGCTTCTGCAGCGGGGCTACACCGCCGATGGTGCCCTGGTAGCCGCCGCTGCAGCAGGGAAACAAGTCGTGTGCGAGGAGCTGCTGGCCAAGGGCTGCTGCTGGGACTTCAGTGCTGTGTACGCGGCTGCTCGAGGGGGCCACGTGGGGCTGATGGAATGGCTGCTGCACCAGCGGCCTGAGCAGGAGCTGTGGCTGCAGGGGTATGTGGATAGCCCTGTTGTAGAGTTAATGGGGGCTGCCATTCTGGGCTGCAACCTGGAAGCTGTGCACAACCTGGTAGACCTGCTCCACAGGCGCTCACATTGCCCAGTGGGCTTCATGGCGGAACTCGACCAGTTACATCAACATATGATTACTCGGGCTGCCACACGCAGCCTCACACCTGACTGGCAGGCCAAGGTGATGTGGCTGGAGACGCTGGGCTTCCCAAAATTTCGTCATTGCCTTGAGGGTGCTGCTGGGTGCCCGGATGCACTGGAGCGGCTGAGGTGGCTGCATGGCAGGGGCTACCCATTCTCATCCTCGGTGGTCCAGACAGCGGTTGACCATGGGAACTTGGAGGCGCTGGAGTACCTGCTGGGGGAGGCAATTGAGGATCTGACATTTGGATGTGAAAGTGCTTGTGAACGTGGCTTCCTGGCGGCTCTGACTTTCCTTCACGCACGCGGGTATGTCTTCGATCCGGAACATGTGGTGCATGCAGCAGCAGGTGGGCAGCTGGCAGTGGTGGCCTGGCTGGTGGATGAGCTGGGAGAGGAGCTTGCAGCTGCTGATCCAAGAGGGCCGCTGTTGAATGCCAGGGTCTTCACGGCAGCAGCCTGTTCAGGCAACATGGAGTTGCTGCGGTGGCTGAGGGAGCGGGGCTGCCCCTGGAATGAAAAGACGTCCACGCAGGCGGCGGCTGCGGGTTGCGAGGAGGCGCTGGAGTGGCTGGTGGAGCAGGGCTGCCCCTGGCCGGTGAGTGACACTCTGTGGGTGCAAGGGCGCATGCAAACGTTCCCTGTGCACAAGGTCAGGGTGGCGGTAATCATGACAATTTAGGTTGGTTCAATGCATGACAGCAGGCATGGGCTCTGCTTAGTGACTGTCACACCTCAGGTGATATCACTCTGAGGCTTGCAGTGGCAGTCACTTCACAGGGCGCCCCTGCTCCACTTGCATCACCTCGCTTAACTAACCTACTCAATTTGTTTCATTCTACTCACTGCTTCATTCCATGTGACGTCCCCTGCCTCCAGGAGCATGGTCAGCCCTACTTTGAGGCTGCCCACAATGGCGACCTGGCGACACTGCGCTGCCTGCGGCGGCTGGGCTGCCCCTGGGGCCTGCTGCCCGAACGTATCTTTTCAGGGTTCTTCCTGAACGGCTTCCACCCTCCAATGCTGGAGTGGCTGCTGGAGGAGGGCTATCCTATGAATTGGGGCGAGGCAGTGAGGGGTGTAGCAAGAACGGTCGCTGCTTCCTCATCACGTACGTCTCAGAAGGCGTGGGAGTGGCTGCGAGTTAATAGCGACAGGGATGTTGAGTGGTGGCAGGATGAGGGGTATGTGTCTGTGGATGCAGCCATGGAGGCTGCACTGGCGAAGTTCCGGGCTAGGATAGGGCGCAGGTGAATAAGATGAGGAGGAAGAGTATGACAAGGAGGGGGAGGAAGAGGAGCACAAACATAAAAGAGGTTGAAGGTTTGCATGTGAGCATGGTAGTACTTTTACGAGCAAGGGAAGGTCTGTGAGCGAAGGGAGGGATGCATGATGTGGTGAATAAAGTAGGTAAACGAATATAGTAGGTGCAGCTGGGTGCAGGGTAATGTGGTGGATGCATGAGGGGAGGAAGATGGTCATTCAGGAGAAGATTACTTGCATACAGAAGGCATGTAGCTTGAGAAACCTGGTGATGCGGACGCAAGGGCTGCCACACGTTGCCCAAAGGGAGGCTGCAGGCCAGGGGCGGGCCAGCAGGGAGTACGAGTACTTGCCAGAGAGTAGCCACACCCCACATTCAAACACCTCATGACATGGGCTCCCCTTAGCTAGTGTGCATCTTAAACCATGTGAGGCATTCCTTCCTAATGCTTGGAAAGAGGGGGTGAAATGAGCACGACAGGCAACTAGGCAGAGCGTGGATGCACCCTGGTGAGGACAGACCAGCTGATGACAATTGTTCTCCCTGGACAAGGTATTCTCACAGAATACCTTCCAACAACCTGCCCGTGTTGTGCTGCAATGGTGCACGTGTTCTACATAGGATTAACTCTGTAAATTCCACGCTTGGGTTCAGGTAGGGACGCCTTATCTTATCTGGCCCTTTACTTAGGATAATGTACGAACGAGGAGCCCATGCAACTTCTAGGATTTCCTCATTGAATGTCCCGCTTACGATGATTTGCGAGAAAAGATATGGGAAAGTTGTGTCTCACGAGATGCTGATATGATGTCTATCATGGGCATGGAGGATCAGGCATTGCTTCCTAGCGTGATCACTAGCATGAGAAGTCGTAGGATTGCGCAGACAGGGTACATCATCTGAGCTGCGTACTACGTTTTTCGTGTCATAAGTTTACTTTTCTTCTTTTGTTTGTTAACGTGTTTTGTGCTCGCGATCCATGAGCCTTCTGGCTCGGACGGATCTTACGAGCTCGGTACGAAGCTTGTAACATACATACATACATACTAGGATTTATGTTGCTTTATCCACACCGGTATACCTTGCAACTTCCGCTTGCTGTATACCTCTATGACGCGTTTTGAATAATGTATTACGGCGGCAATGTATTTCTTGCAGCCGTGACCTGCCGTGACAATCTAGCTCTACTGTACTCATGGTAAGCATGGTATAATTTCTTGCGCGTTCTCTGACATCTGGCTGTCGCGACTCATCGGCCTAACTGACCAGCTATTTAAACAAGGGGGTTCAACTTCCTCAAAGCTGGAAAAGGGCGGAGCCCCTCCTCTTCAGTACAGGAACGTATTATTACCACTGGAATGAATGCGATTAGGGGAGTGGAACGACTCAAGCGTGACGCACAACCCTATGGGCCTTATGACCTGGAATGCCGAATGCGCTCCTGTGACTCCACGGCACCAGTTGGCCTAACACACCTTGTTATACGGACGCTGAACCCCCTTGTTTACTGTAGTTTTAGTGCTCGTTGCATGGCTAGACGAGCTCAGAGCCCCTTGTCCAGCCGAGGCCGGCCGCCTTGTTCACCCATGGCGTACGTAGTGTCCTCATTCATTGCACACATTGTTAGGTTACTGTTCAATCGAGTACTTAGTAACGTCTTGTCATGCTTGATAACACCCACGCATTAGGCTACAGAACCCAAATCAACGGCGTAACGGCCACATGGGAGTGCTTTTCAGGGTCCCGCAGGTCGTTAGGGTTTCACCTACATTACTAACATGATGAGGAGGTCAGGCTCGGCAATCTCGGCATCGTGCTCAGAAGGACTTCAGCCATTGCGCCCATGTTAGCTTATAGGCGAGGTACCCCGTACCCGTTTGCGTTACAGTTCATAGGCATTATGGCGCACAAATCAATAGCAAAGGCGGGCAACATCGTCACAAAGGATTGTGTGGGCTCTGAGTAGCACAGTACATGCAAGCATGCTCCCGCCGACTTTCACAGGTTGCCCTTTTCCGGCACGCCGCTGTTACCAATTCACTAAATATAGTTTACGGTACCAGGACAAACCACAGAGGGGCGCTAATCGGTGTTGCCGAGGTGGTCCTTTTCAATGGTTGGTCAATAATATGTTTATTGCGAAATCAAGCTTGTTTGACTTGCTGTTATTTTTACTGAATACAGATAACAAATATCTATTAGGTGCAATTAATAGTTTTGTCTAGTTTGTATGTTTTGACGTTACGGATACACGGACGGACACACGGACAGGGGCAATCTGCTGGGCGATGAAGAGTGTCCGTGTGGCCGTGTGCGGTTGGGGCCGGTTGGGGGCGGTTGTACTTGGTGGTTGGTGGGGTGTGTCCGTGTGTCCGTCTGTCCGCCTGTTTTCGGAGCCGGGTCGGGGGTTCGTAAGGTGCCATGGAGCAGCGTTGTTGCATGTGTTACTGTTGTTTTGGGCTGCTGAATCTTAATACAACTGAAGCGTACGTTTTCGGAGGTCCTGTTAGGGCGCCATGGCTGCTTCCAGTAGCGGTGGAAGGCGCAAAGCAACGGTCCGGTACTATGATGATTACCCGGGAGGTAAGGTGTTGGTTACGTGGACTGGCTTCGCGGCGGGGGCTCCGCCCAAAAAGAAATGAGTGCTGGTTATCTGTTTTTATGAATGCTGGTGGATACCGGTATACAGTACGCTTGGTTTGTAGTTTCCCATTGGCAGGTTGGTCGTGGCACTAAGGGGTGCAGAGTTGTTGTGCTATGTTGTTATAGTTTGAAGGTAGTGAAGGCAAAACTGGTACAGAAAGGAGTGAAAACTAAAAGGACGACAAAAGAATGAAGCAACATGTCTGTAGCGCAAATATATGCGCAATTGCACCAGCAGCGCAGCTGGCGCCAACGCGCTGCGATTCAGCAGAAGTGGAGAACCGTATTGTGCCCAGACGTCTAGATGCGCGCGGGAAGTACCTTGTAGAACTAGATGGAACGGCCCTGATGCAGTCAACATCATATTGGTTATTGTGTTCTACCGGTAACATTGGTCGGGGAGATATGCCTGCTTAGAGATATTGAATGAGCTGATTGCCTATGCTTTTCAAATACCGGTACAGGTGAAGTTATGTACGGAGCGAGCCACGCAAGCAATCCCCTATCACGGGTCGCCAGGACAGGCCATCACGGGCGGGAAAGGGGCGATTATAAATGAAATGTTATGACACGCACATATTCATCCATGCTACGAGCTAACGGAAGCGGTAAACGCAAGATTTATTATTGCCTTATAAGGACATCAGCGGGCTCTCGCACGACCTGATTCCGTTTGGCAGACTGCGACTTCATATCCTCACATCAGAATGATTATTGGAGCCTTAGTTGCTGGGGTCTGCTGGAGCATCGGCGCCGTTGTGCTTTCATGCATAGCCAAGGCTATTGGATTCTCAGCAATTGGACCAGTTGCTGGCTCCTTGGCAGCAAAATGGATGTCTGGAATTGCCATTGCAAAGGGGGGAGGAGTCGCAGCTGGCAGCATCTACGCATTGCTGCAAAGCTTTGCAATGGGCGGTGGGCGGCGCTGCGGCGCTGTTACAGCTTGCACAGGTGCTGTAGGAACTTTGTTTGTATTTAAGGCCGTCTGGAGCTTGATTCGCGCTCTGCTCCAGTGGGACTAAAATGCATGAGCTCGTGTTTACATGTATGTCTTCAGCTGCCGTGCAAAGGAGGGAGGAGTCGCAGCTGGCGGCCTTGCAAAGCTTTGTAATAGGGCGGTGCTGCGGCGAGAGCTGACGTTACTGGGAGTCTGGGACCATTAACACTGTTGCTACCTACCGGTACCGTTATTGTGGAGCCGCACCAGGAGCTTCCCGTACATATCCGCGGACATTGATGACCACCCTGTGTTTTTTGCGACTGTGTGGTATACTCCTGTGCTAATTTGTGCAGTGGGTCAGGGTTCGTCAAAAGTCTGTGAGGCAGGTGGACCAAAACAGGGCCGGGGCTTGGGCGGGACGCGGCAGGCGCGTGATTTGCTGCACGGCTCTGCACAGCGTTTTCGGTTTCCTCCCCTACTGTGGAAGGTGTTTAGTATCATGCATTTCGGCCGTTTGCGCCCTTCGGTTAGTGGTATCATGGCTGGCTATGATAGTACAGGACGTGCATCAATGGACGGCGCATTGGCCCTGTGTTACGTGCCTCACCTGCAGCTGCCCCGGTTGCATGCCCCTGTGGCGCCCATCGGCCTGATAGGCTTATCTAGGTAAGACAATGAACATGTTGAACTTATAGACAAGTATGGTTAGGATGTTTCCTGCGGTTCTGCAGCGCAGGATAAGGCTTTAGCCAGTGCAGCATAGGTTTGCTAGCCAGTAACTGGTTTTGGATCCAGTATAACATGCACTATTGAGTAGGCTTAGTCAGTAGTCAGTGCGTGCAGTGTGGAGAAGATGACGTATCGCCGTACACCCTGGTGTCGTACACTCCAGGGAACTTCTCCCAAAACTCCAGGAAGGTGTTGTCGTACGCTCCAGGGAGCCGTACTTCCCTAGAGTATATAAACCTAGTTTTCTCCCTATTGTAACAGTCTATGACGATCAAAAGTCAAGGCTCCTCTTCCCAAAGGGCAAAAGCTCACACCGGAAGCAGCTAGCAAGTCTCTGGCAACAGCCACAGCAAAAAATAGCAAGTCCCTGGCCTAGCCACGGCACCCACCTCCCAAAGGGCAGCAGCTCACACCGAAGCCGCTTCGCGGCGGGGGCTCCGCCAAAAAACGTAATAAAAATGCTTCCTATAAAACCAAGCCGACTCCGCGCAATTTGGCTAGTCATGGCGCAACACCATCAGCAGGCAGAAAGTCAGGCACGTATTTGGCCGCAGCTGCTACCAGAGATTGCGGAACACATCATCAGTTTCCTGCCGCCCAACGAGGTCGCCTGCACCGTGCGACTAATCAACAAGGCCGCGGCCGCACAGTTCCATGGTCGCTTCACTACCGTGCGGCTGTCTTCAGCCGTGCCGCAGCATGCTTTTAAGCAGCGCTGGGGCCACCCTGGCGCAATGCGAGGATTGACGCTCGAGCAACGGCGACGACTGCTGTGTCTGACGGCTCGAAGTGGCAGCATCCCCAACCTTGAGCTGGCAGTACTACACACAGGCTTCTTGCCACATACCTCCATGTTAGGACTCAATGCAGTGGCCGTGGCCGCTGCCGCTGAGCAGCTGGATGCATGTCAGTGGCTTGTGCAGCGGGGCTACACCACTGAAGGTGCCCTTGCAGCCGCTGCTGCAGCAGGGAAACAAGTCGTGTGCGAGGAGCTGCTGGCCAAGGGCTGCTGCTGGGACTTCAGTGCTGTGTACGCGGCTGCTCGGGGGGCCACGTGGGGCTGATGGAATGGCTGCTGCACCAGCGGCCTGCGCAGGAGCACCCACCTCACCCCATGATCCTGCTGCGCGATGTGCTGCAGGGATGCCAGCTGGCAGTCCTGGTGGGGTTGTGGGACCAGCACTTGCCTGCTGGGCAGCAGGCTGTGCAGCTGGTGGAGGCATGTGGATGGGACTTTCTGGAAACTGCCGCCGGCAGCCCTGGACCAGACTGGCAGGCCAAGATAGAGTGGCTGGAAGCAAAGGGCTTCCGCAAGTCACTGCGTGCCTGTGAGGGTGTGGCCAGGCGCCCCGATGCACTGGAGCGGCTGAGGTGGCTGCGTGGCAGGGACTACCCGCTCTCACACACGGTGGTAGCGGCTGCTGCTGAGGCCGGAAACATAGAGGTGATGCAGTACGTGCTTGGGGAGGAGGGGGTTGGAATGGGCGGGTCCTGCGACTACCGGTAACTGGCAGCTTGCGAAGCTGGCCAGCTGGCTGCCCTGAAGCTGCTGCATGCGCGGGGCTACACTTTGAGTAGCGATCACGTGGTGTTCGCAGCCCGGGGCGGCCACCTGCATGTGGTGACCTGGCTGGTGGAGGAGCTGGGGATTGGAGCTGGTTGGGTGTGGCGCTTTGTGGACGTGTTTGGTGAATCAGCTGAGTCCGGCAACGTGGCGCTCATGCATGGCTTGGTTGCGTGCGTATGGGTGCTATTGGGATGAGGGCGCATACGAGAGGGCAGCCAAGGCAGGCTGTGAGGAGGCGCTGGAGTGGCTGGTGGAGCAGGGCTGCCCCATGGGGGTGAGTGAGCGGGTTGTATGCGTGTCCTATGTGTGCAGCTAGTCCTGAAGTGGGACAAGTGGGACAGGCACAGTAGTAGTACTGCCCCCATCTCATTGGCAGGCCTATCCTGGACTGCACGCTTGCATTAGGTGCAATCTGCTGCTGCCGGCCTTGATGGCCTTGATGGCCGCCCCACTCCTCGTTCCTGTCTTACCACTTGATCCTACTATTGACTCACCTCAGAGTCATCCTATCTACGGCGGTCATCACCACCCAAACCCAAGTGTTCCTCCGTTCCCTTCCTTGATGTCTCAATGCGTTCCCAGCAATCCTGCCCTTGCACCGCACCCTGTCAAAACCCCACTCTGTCACAACCTCTTGCTATGCATATGCAGGATAACGGTTGGCCCTGCGAAGTAGCTGCCCAGAACGGCGACCTGGCCACCCTGCGCTGCCTGCGGCGGCTGGGCTACCCCTGGTGTGCACCAGGGGGTGAGCCTTGGGAACTCCTCACCACTTGTATCGACTGTGGCTTTCCCCCCTCCGATCTGAGCTGGCTGCTGGAGGAGGGCTGCCCGGTGAACTGGAGGGCCGCGATGTTCGCAGTATCTAGGACCTACAGCAGTGGGAAACCGGGGGCCGATGAGATGTGGGAGTGGCTGCGGCTCAATTGTGACCAGGAATGGTTGCAGGCGGAGGGGTATGAGTCAGTGGAGGCGGCCATGCAGGGCATGCAGAAGGAAGAGGAGGAGGAGGAAGAGGAGGAGGAGGAGGAAGAGGAGGAAGAGGAGGAGGAGGAGGAGGAGGAAGGTGATGACTAAGGGGAGGGTAAGCATGTCCTTTGCTTGTCTACCTTTTACAAGCAGCCGTAGACCGGCATTAAATGGATTTCCTTTGGCATGCTTTACATCATATCTTGGCATGCAAATGGCAGTATCTGGGCTTGTGGGCTACCTCTGCGCTGCCTGGGTTTCACCCTAGGCACCTCCATGGGGTGTGTAGGCAGCTGCTGCTACCCTGTACGGCGGTTGTCTGTCAGCCGTACGTTTTGTACACTGCTGGCTGCTGGAGGAGGGCTGCCCGAATGAGCTGCTGGGAACCGGCGGTGAGGAGGGCACCTGTACACCCAAATACAAGTGTACAGGTATTTGGGTGTACAACTGACTTTCCTGCTGGGGCGCAGGAGGTCTCCTCTTGGCTGCTCGGCTGCATCCTGCTCTTCAACTTGGGCGAGACCTGCATAGTGTGTGATTAGCAAAAGCGAAGTGGGTTGAGGATATGTGCGTGGAAAGGTGGATGCATGTCGTGTTGCGCGGCGCTCGTATTGCTGCGTGCCTAATAAACGTGCAGGGGCTACGCTAGCTTTGCTGATAAGCGCAGAAGAGTTTGTAAGGGCCAATGAGTGGCGTAAACTGTCATGAACCGCGGGCCGGCGTACGGCTTTTCCACGAAGGGTCAAAGGGTGTGCCAACTGGGCGGATTGACTCATGTAAGGTTAACTTATTTGGACCTGCAAGAACGGAACCAGTAGTAGCAAACGCGCTTAAACGCGCACATTCATACATCGCGAACAAACTCTGTTGCCGGGAAATCACAACTCCGCGCTATTGCCGGGAAATCACAACTCCGCGCTAGGAAATATAATTATATATTCATAGCACCAACACTTCCTTTGTTTGCGCTATACAACTCATGTTGAGGCCAACGTTCGTCCACAGACCGTTTGCTAGCAATGCCACGGCTGCCCGACGCAGCGCCGGCAGAGCCCTGGCGTTAATACCGCTGGCCGCAAAAGGAGGAAAGACGACCACAGCGGGAAAGGGCTTCGGTGCACCCAAGCAAGCAAAAGGCATTGCAGCCGAGGCGCCTTGTCCTTGCGGCAGCGGTGGGCTTTACGAGGTGCGCTGTGAGACTGCTGCATAGCCCACGCTGCTCATGCACATCAAATCTGATGCTGTAAGCTTTGCACGCTGAGGAAGGATTGGGCTGTAGCCAGCGAGCGACCCCGCGGTGACGGTATGGTGTTCCCGCTTGGAGCCTCTGGCAGTAACGAACAGCAAGCTTATCCCCCAGCAACCCCTTAGCCCCAACTTGCCATCAACTCAGCACCCTCTTCCCAGCCAACCGCACATCGACCCATCACCCATCACCCACCTCTCAACCCCCCTCCCTCCTTGGAATTCCTTTATCCCTCCTCTTCCCCGCCCCCCCCCCCCCCAGTCCTGCTGCGCCCCCGCCCACCAAGGCACCCGCCCGCCCGCCTCCCCCGAGGCGCTGCTACGGGCCCGCTACTCCGCCTACGTGGCCAAGGACCCCACCTTCATTGCGGACACCACACACCCGGACAGGTGGGGGCACCGGGCAGGTGGGGACATCGGAAATGGACCACACTCATCCTTTCCCTCCCTTTCCCTTCCCCACTCCTCCACCTTCCCCACTCCCCCGGACTGTTCTTTACTTCTCACACCCCCCCGCCTCCCTCCCGCCTGGGAAGTGGGACTCCAGTTGCTGCACTTCTCACGCCTCGTTTATCCTTCCCGCCCCCCTCCCTTCTGCAGCTCCGAGTACACCGGCTCCCGAGCCTCCTACATCAACACCGTCAAGCAAACCATGCGGCGACTGGAGCCGCGCGGTCTCACCATTGTGGAGGTGGGGGGGCAGCCGCAGCAGCCGGCAGCGGGAGGGGCAGCAGGAGCAGCAGCAGGGGGGCAGCAGCAAGAGGAGCAGCAGCAACAGGCAGCAGGGACCGCAGGGACCTCAGCAGCAGCAGGAGCAGCCAGGGCGAAGACGGGTCCGGTGGGTGAGGAGGAGGCGTTCATAACCTTCCGCTTGAAGCGCCATGTCCGCGACGCCGACCCGGAGGTAAGGTGGGGGAGGGAGGCAAAAGAAGTGGATACCCAGCGTGTTGCGGAGGGGGGGACCACAGGTGACGCACACCCTACAGCACGGTAGTCGGGTGGGGGCGGGTGGCTGGCCTTCTCTGTACCCCGCCCCCTTACACCCACCCTCGTCCTCCACGCCTGCACCCGTCCTCACCACGCAGCCCGTTCCCTCCTCCCCTTCCCTTTGTGATGACAACTTGTCACACGGTTCGTTAGTCGTTTCCTCTTTGCCTCCTCTCCCCCAACCCGGCAACCGCGTTTGCACCCCATGGTGAAGCCTACATGTCATACAGCTCGTTAGTTGCATCATCAGCGTCTCTTTATTTTTCCCCCTCCGCCCCTCTCCACCCCCCTTCCCTCCCCCCCCGGCCAGGATGACGAGGTGACGGAGCGCAGTCGCTTCGTGCGGTGCGGCGGGCGGTGGTACTTCGCCGACAGTACCTTCCTGGGGGAGGAGGGAGAGAAGGGAAAGGAGGCGGAGAAGAAGGAGGAGCCAGCTAAGAAGAAGGGGCTGCTGTCTTTCTTTTAAAGGGAGAGAAGGGGTTGAGAGATTGAGGATGTCGCATCGGACCTCCGTTTTTGACGTCCGTTACCTTGATGTACAGTTTTGGAGAGGAGGTTTACCTGCATGTCAGGTTTGATACGGTGAACGTGCACGTCTGGTTAACATATATAGTTACGTGATAGCTCTCTCCTTTCGCTTTCGGAAGTAATGACTTAAGTCGTCATGCCGTCAGCTCGGAGGGGTTGGAATTTGTAAAGGCTCCGATCTCTGGATCCGTACGGCAGGCTAGGAGCCGTACACTGGGGTCGTCGCGACCTCCTGGCCAGCTCGTTTCGGATGTCGGTTTGCCGGACTGCTGTGCTTAGTACCTAAGACCTCGGGTCGCACCGAGTTAGCTGTTTGGCGGGGCCTGGCTGGTGGTTGATGACGGCTACATGGGGACGCGCCAGAGTATCCGGGGTCATGCCTTAACGGGGCCGCTTCAACACTGCTTTGGATGACTATATTGAGCAAGGGAGGATGCTAGGTTAACGGGAATGCTTTGTCTGCAGCTCTTGTGTGGCTGGGAAACAGACATCCGAAACCCCTGGAAGACGTGTCTCCAGTTACCGACGAGCCTACTCGACAGACTATATATTGAAACTGTATTACTGTCCTAAGTCTTTCGGACACATCTTATGCATTGGAATTTCTCTGAAACTCTAGGGTTTCGGTTAGTGCGTCCTGAAGCAAAGAAAGCTAATTTTTACTGCTTTCGTTCTGCTAGTTTGTCGGTATCTTCACAACGTACAATAAAGCATAAATTGGAAAGGCTGAGCAGGGTGTTTATAAAGCTGTTTTGCAGTTAAGACCACAGGATAGGCCAGCAGAGCAAGCGTGCGTGCACCCAGGCAACTGCTCTCATAGCAGAAAATGAGGCGCATTATGTTTAGGAGGCCGCCGGTCAGGAGCAGCGAGGACAATGCAGACCCAGGCGACGACCCAGCAGGACAGCAGCCGGGCGCAGGAGAGCGGCAAAATGTAGAGCCTGGTGTGCATGACGCGACTGAAGCTATACTGGTTGAGGCAGGAGTTCGCGAGACTGAAAGCGACGACGATGATGACGATGACTATAACGATGAGGGCGCTGAGGAGGACGATGACGGCGACGATGACATCAATGACGATGATGATGGTTTGGATGGTGAAGACGAGGTTATCGGCGTGGAGCAGGGTGACTTCGACGACGGGATGGAGGAGGAGGATGTCGGGGAAATTGAGAGCTTTAATGAGGACCAGGAGGAGGAGGACGACGAGGATGAGCCGCATTTGCGGCGCCCGCTGTCCATTCAGGAATTCCTGGCGTGGCGTCTGCTGGGTCGACTGCCTGAGAGCTCACGGACCCTCCGGCACGGGCGCGACATGTGAGGAAACATGGACATTGACGGAAGCCCGGAAGAGCCGCATCTGCTGAGAGCGGGATAGGACGGGATGCTTTGCACTAAATAACCAGCTTAAGAGTATGTGCGAGTAGCTAGAATCCGGACAGCGTGCCTGGGCATGCCGGCAAACCCCCTTTCCCTCCCCCTCCGGGGCGCCCCTCCCTCCCCGCTTTCTGCCAAGCTTCCTCTAATGCTGCCGCTCTTAACCGGGAACTTATCGTATCTTTTATTTCCACCCCCACACCCCCACACCCCCACCCCCCACCCCCTCAACGGCAACATCGGTACACCGGCCCCAGGTACGCCAGCTACGAGGAGGCGGTGCCGCAGTCGCTGACCCGTGGGTCACTCTGGCAGCAGACCATGCTGGCCACCTCGGCAACCCTGCCGGCGGCTCGCAACGCCGCCGCACACTTTGATGTGAGTAACCGAGTTAACCGAATTAAACCACTGAACCACATTTCCAGTGTAATATCTTTCGGCAGCTCTGGCCTTTAATGTAGCACTAGTCCACACTATAAAGATACCGTAATGTTGATGATTACCCGTTTATTACCGGTGTACCGGTATCCCATGAATCACGTCCTGCCCCCTAGACAAGTCTGGACGTGTCGGCGGACTGCGCCCTACTCGCCTCACGTACGGCACCGTACGGCCGAGAAGTACGACAGGTGAGCCGTTGCATCGTTGCAGGAGTCGTGTTGTCGTGTAGCGCACGTCGTACACTCCGCATATGTGCCCTCTCATGTGGTGGTGCCGCTGCTGCTGCGGTTGTGTCGCTCACACCTGCAGTCACAAGGCAGCTGCATGCGCCTTTCACTGCAGCTGCAGTTAGCCGCTGCAGCTGCAGCTGCCGTCGCCGCTACGCACATCTCTCATGGCATGATGCCCCACTCGATCTCCCTCCCGTCCCCTCCCCGCTCACCTGGATTTACCGGTGCATCCCCCACCTTCCCTCTTCCCACCCTGCCCTCCTCCTCAGCGCCTGCTGCAAGCGGTCCACTTGAACCCGCTCCTCGCCGCACCCGCCGCCTGCAGCCTGCTGGGGCCCCGACAACAGCAACAACAGCAACAGCAGCAACAGCAGCAGCAGCAGCAGCAGCAGCAGCAGCAGCAGCAACAACAACCCGAGCAGCAACCCCAGCAGCAGCCACCCCACCCCTCCACCGCACCCTCAGGGAACCCCAGCAAACCCTCCACCTCACCCTCCTCCCTAACAAACGCCGCCACCCTCCTTAACGCAACCCACCCCGACCCCCGCCCCTCCACCTCCTTCTTCGGCCGCATGCGCCGCCGCCCCCGAGAGAGTGACGGGGACGGGGACGGGGACGGCGGAGGTGGCGGAGGAGATGATGGCGCGTGGGGAGCAGCACTGGAGCCCGCTGCACCCACAGCACCCGCAGCAGCAGCAGCAGCAGGAGTAGGAGTAGGAATGGGAGGAGCAGGAGGGCCGAGCGCTAGCGCTGCCCCCACCGCCACTGCTGCCCATCCCTTCCCCTACCCCTACCCCTCCTGCTTTCCCTCCTGCTTCCCCCCCATCGCCGTCCCCCCGGGTTACCTAAGCGGGTGTGCAGCGGTGTCCGGGCCCCGGCTGCTGCTGCGTCGGGAGCTGGGGGAGGGCGGGGCGGGGCTGGGGGGCGGCATGGCGGGAGGGGGAGGCGGGGGCGGGGGGTGGAGCGGCGCGCAGATGCGGCACATGGCGTGCCACCGGGGCCTGCCGCGGTGAGGCCGGGAGGGGGGAGGGGGAGGGAGGGGGAGGGTTAGGGAGGGAGATGCAGGGCAACAAACAGACCAGCTGGCTAGGAGCGGCTGTTCACTTGCCTTGCTGGCACCCTGCCCAGCACCGCCTTCCCCCCGCACCCCCACCGCAACCGTTGGCCCCACCACCTATCGCATCCCTATCGCTTGTGAGGCTGCCCACCCCCATTCCTATCCCATGCACACCCCCATGCACCCCCCCATGCAACCCCACCATGCACCCCCCCATGCAACCTCACCATGCACCCCCCCCCCCATGCAACCCCCGCCCCCCCCCTCCCCCCCCCATCCAGCTACCCGCGTGCCGTGGTGGACTGCCTGCCCAGCCGCGCCTACATCGGGCAGTTCTCGGAGGACGGGAACTTCTTCGTGGCAGCGTTCCAGGTGGGGTCGCGGGAGGGGGGGAGGAGGGCGGGGGGAGGCGGGAGAGGAGGGGAGAGAGGGTAGTAGAGGGGGAGAGGGGAGAGGTGGGCGCGGCCCCTTTGTCCTCCAACCCTCCTCTCTTCCTCTTACCGTACCTCACACAGTAATATTCCCTCCCCTTCTCTACCCCTCCTTCCCCCCCTCCCCTCCTCTCTCCTGCCAGGACCGGCGGGTGCGGCTGTACGATGTGGAGCGGGGCTGGCGGCTGCGCAAGGACATCACCACTCGCATGTGCAGGTGGGGGGGGGGGAAATTATATAAGAAATGCAAACAACTAAAGTCCCAATCCCATATCCCGACAGGTGGGGGGGGTGTCAGGGAAAAGAAATTCCAATGTGTGTGTGGGGGGGGGAGGGGGGGAATGGGGAGGGTGAGGGTGAGGGGCCCCGAGAGGGGGTTATGCTTACGGGGTTAGTTCACAGGAGGGGTGGGAGGACAGGGTTGCAGGGGGAGCAGGTCACCCAGCGGGTGCGTGTGAAGCGGCTCGGCGGATGGCGTCAGCAGGTGGGGGTGTATGTGGGGGCTGTATGACGGGTGGGCGTGGAGCGCATTACAGGGGAGGGAATCAAGCGAACCATCCTGCCACCTCCAACCTCCACCTGCCCTTCCCTTCCCTCCCAGTGTTTCCGCTATGTGTGGCTAAGTTTACTTACCTTCTTCCCCCCCTCCCCCTCCCTAGGTGGACCATCACCGACACCTCCATCTCGCCCGACCAGCGCTTCGTCATCTACTCCTCCATTGTGCCTGTCGTACACCTGGTGGAGGTAGGCCGTACGACATGGGGGGGGATAGAGGGGGGGAGAAGACCCAATCTGTTGGATGATAGTGGCATACTGGATCGTGCATCAGCGCGATGGAGGTGTGTGGGTTACGCACTGGTAGGAGCTGGGTCGTGGAGGCAGTAGGTTGTGCTGCCGTACGGCGTTTCCATGCAACCTCCTCCTCCTTGGCTTTAGGGCCGCGCCGTGCTGTCGTACATGCCGTACTTATAACCCGCACCCTTCCCCCCCGCTTCCCCCCCCTCAACCCCAGGTGGGCAGTGTGTACGACAGCGTTTCCTCCATCGCCAACATTACCCAGGTGGGGTAGCGGGGTGGCGGGGGTGGGGTTAGCGGGGTGGTGGGGGTGGGGATGGGGGTGGGGTGATGGGAGTGGGGGGGGAGGGACCGTTTATGAGGAAGGGCGGCCCGTGTGACGTACTTGGGTTTGGGATGGATTTGGGCTCTGCTGCTGGCTAATAATGGTGTAGTGTGGTGGTAAGCGGCATGACGCTGCTTCCCTTCCCTTCCCAGCTGCCGAAGGCAGTACTCCTTCGTCACCAGCTCACGCTCCCTCCCAACCCGACCCGTTTCCTCCCTCCCTCCCCCCCTGCCTTCAGATCCACGAGCCACTTAACTTCGATGACACCGTCAGCCCGCGTGGGGGGGACTTCAGGCTGGGGCGCAGCTTCGGGATATGGTGAGGGGGGGGGAGGAGTATGGGGCAGAAGGAGGAAGTTCCAATGGGGTGAACGATATGGCAACTGCCAGTAGATGACGGGGGCCGGGAGGGGGGAGAGGGGGAAGGGCTGGGAGGCGTGGGCAGTGCCGGTGGGTGGTGGAGGGGGGGCAGGGCATGTCACCGTCTTGAGTTACAACCGCCCCCTAACCCATTCCCACCCCATCCCTCTGCACCCCTACGCAGGTCTGTTCAGTGGTCAGGCGACGGGCGGGAGATTGTGGCGGGGACCAACGACCAGGTGACATGATGTGACATGATGTGACGCGTGCTGACCTCCCCCACCACCAGCTTCCCTCCCTCCCCTGCACGCGTGCGCATGTCTCCGCACCTACCTCCGTTAATATCCGTCATTCGGCGCCTTTCTCCTCCTCCTACCCGCCCTCCTTACTTCTGCTTCCGCTTCCGCTTCCGCCTCCCCCCCTTCCTCCGTCTCCCCCCTGCAGTCGGTGGTGGTGTTGGATGTGGAGACCAAGAGGGTAGTGGCGCGGGCGGAGGGACATGCGGTGAGTGGGTGGGGTGACTGGGTGCCGGCGTGCTGCACCAGGAGAGCGTGAGATCCCCAGGATGTGCTAAGGGGCATGTGGGGGCGGAGTGGTTGCAGTGGTTTGCCTACCTCTTGGGGGCCGCTTCCTGTCGGCCTCTCATTGCCCTTCCCCCCTGTCGCTACTACATGTTTCCCCCCCAACGCCCCCCTACTCCCCCCCCCCTCAACCCCCCCCCCCGACCCCCCGCTGCAGGACGATGTGAATGCGGTCACCTACGCGGACTGCTGCTCACCCAACATCATCGTAAGCGGCAGTGACGACACGAGGATCAAGGTGGGGGCTTGGGAGGGGGGGCAGAGGGGCTTATGGGGGAAGAGGGGCTGGGTGTGGGGGCTTGGAGGGGGAGGAGGAGGACCCATGCGTGTGTTGGAGGGGGCTAGGGAGGGGGAGGGATGGAAGGGCTGGAGAAGCAAATGGTAGCTGCAGTTAAGGCACGAGAGGCATGGAGCTTTGACTTAACGTCAAAGAGGTTAAAAAGGGGCTACAGAAGCCACCATCCGGTCTGCTGCAGGCGTCACTCGCCTCCTCCTCTGTCTTCATACCTCTTGCCGTACTTCTCCCTTTCCTTGTTTCCCTTCCTCGCCACCCCCCACCACCACCACCGCTCCCGCCACACCGCCACCTCCTCCCCCCCAGGTGTGGGACCGACGCACCATGCCCGCACCGCCCCCTCCCCCCTCGGACGGAGGCACCTCCTCGCCGCCACAGCTGCCCGTCTCGCGACCCGCGGGTAAGCCAACCAGCAGTCCGTCACGTCACCGCCCGTGTGCGCATCGTGTTTGACCTCCCTCACCCACTTCTCCCACCCAACCCCAAGACACACCAACCCCCCCTCCCCTTCCCCGCCTGTTTGTCCGTCTTCTTTTCACCCTTTCCCCCCTTCCCCCCCGTCCCCCCCGTCCCGCAGGTGTGCTGGTGGGCCACACGGAGGGGGTCACGCACCTTCACTCCCGGGGTGATGGCCGCTTCGTGCTGTCCAACGCCAAGGACCAGACAGCCAAGATCTGGGACCTCAGAAGCATGCAGGTACGTAGGGAAACGAAACGAGAGGGGGGAGGGGGCTGGGGAATCTGAAGGGGAAAGGGGGTGCTTGTTGCTTCGGTGGGACCTGCGATGCATGCAGGTGGGGTGTTGGCGAGGACAAACGAGGTGGGAGAGGGGCGCCCCTGACTACCTCACCACGACCTACAAGCCTCCCCTTCAACATACCGGTACCTGCCAACTGCCTTGCGTGCTGGCCCCTTCACTGCAACCCCTCGCCGCCTCCCTTCTCTCTCCGCCTGCCCCCCTCCCTCACCCACCCCCCTCTCTTCCCCCCACCCGCCCCCACTCCCCCCTTGCAGTCCGGTGGCTCCCTGCGCGACCCCGCCCTCGCCTCCCGCCTCTCCTCCCGACATGTGCCGCAATTCAACTGGGACTATAGGTGCGGGAAGGCTCCACCAGATGAGCCCCACCCATGTGCTAAGAACACTGGCCGCGAGTGTGCGTGTTTATTGGAGGAGGTTGGGCGGTAGACGTGTACCGTACCAGATTGTACGGCAGAATTGTACGGCCGCCTAACACTACCTCCCTGCCACTCCCTCCTGCATGCGTCGGGCCACGTGGGATCGGGGTTCCAGTGCTTCACTGCTTTCCCCCTTCCTCGCCCCCTTCCCCTTCCCCCTTCCCCCTCATCCCCCCCCAGGTGGCAGGCCTACCCGGCTTCCGGCCGAGTTGTACGGCACCCCCACGACTCCTCCCTCCTCACCCTGCGCGGCCACACCGTGCAACACACCCTCATCCGCGCCTACTTCAGCCCTGCGCATACCACCGGGCAGCGCTACGTGTACACGGGCAGTGTGGAGGGGGGCGTGCATGTGTATGACACGCTGACGGGGCAGCAAGTGGAGGGCAGTCCGTTCGGCGGGCTACACAGCCGACTGGTGCGGGACGTGAGCTGGCACCCCTTCCTGCCGGAGATGGCAACCGTGAGCTGGGTGAGTGGGGCTGAGGTGGGGGGGCTGACCCTCATCCACCCTACTTATTACTTTTTTTACCCTCCTTTGTTTGTTGCCCCAGACCGCTTGTACCGGTTGTACTCCCCTCCCTCGCGTTGCTTACCGGTATGCGCTCCCTCCCGTGTTGTACCTCTCCGCTCCTTCGCAACTCCTTGACACTCACCTCTTCCCGCCCTAACCCGCTGCCAGACCCCTCTGTCTGCCCCTCCACCGACACCTCCCTTCTGTAACCCCGCACCTCCCTCTCTTCCCTCCATCCCCCACAATTGTCCAGCCTAATGCGGATTCTGTTTCCAAATTACCCCCACACACACACACAGGATGGCACGGTGGCGCGCTGGGACGCCGCGCCCCCGCCCCCCGGCTCCCGGGCCCCCGTGGCACCACCCCTGGATGCATATCAGGAGGACCTCTTCTGAGGGGGACCGCCTTTTGAGGGGGAGGGGGGAGCAGGAGGGGCAGGAGGGGGGAGCAGGAGGGTTCCGGAGGTCCTGGGCGGGCAGGGTGAGGGGCGCAGGATGGAGGAGGGGTGTGACTATCTAAGAGCTTGCAGGATGTTTGGAACGAGTCCAAAAAGACAAACGCACTGTAGGTCTGTAGCAGTGGCAGTAGAGCAGTAGTAGCAGGTTGGTGGCGGCTGGTGATGTAAGTGGTGGGAGGTTAACGCAGTTCACCGTCGCGATGGTGGTGTTGTGGGTGCTGTGACGGGGTAGTGGCCCCGAACAGCGGAGTGTTTGCTGCTTGCCGGAGGATTAGCGCTAGATGCTGATAGGCGCTGCAAGTGTACCGTATGGTGGAAATTCGTCTGTACATGCGTACCGGTATGTGTGTGTATACCTGACATGCGCTCCATGGGTTGTTGTACACTGTTGTACTTTATAAGCTGTCTGTAGTACATGCCGTACGCGGACCTGTAACCCGCTAAAGTCATGCGCATTTGCATGTTTGGGGGGCGTTGTGCTGATGGAGAAAATGGATACTGCAATCTGCTGCAATGAGGATATTATTGCCGCCCGGAATTGTAACGGCACTTGGTCATTTCCATGCCCTCCGTTGTGACCCGTGGGTCAGCTGTACGCAAAGACGATCAATGTAAACAGTCGCTTCGAATCCGTTAAGGAGAAACATATGTCCGTATCTAATATCGAGTGATGTACGTTCGAGTGAGGAATGCGTGCACGCACGTGCTGGCGACCCCAACCAAACCAAACCCTTTCATGTGCAAAGCGTTCCTGAACTTGACAGGCATTGGAACGCACGCTGTGAGCGTAATGTGCTGTATATGCCGACACGGTGATGGAAATTGCAAAATCGACAGAAATACCACGAGCGGTACACGAGCGCTTTACACAAGGCACTACCCAGGCGGGAGTGCTTCGCCAGCATCCATCCAGAAGGCCCGATGTTGCCGCGGGGGGGTCAAAATGCAACATGAGGGCAAAAAGGAATCCCGGCGCTTATGCTTGAATTGCTGTGCTGTGATGGAATAGGTTCTTCTTCTCATGAGACATCTTATCCATGCCGCCGCAAAGCACCAAGGATAGCTGCGCTGCAACTGTGCCAAGAAGCCAACCTCCGTACCCTCATTTTCCGAAGTCAAACAAGGCACCCACACACAACACATAACACATGCAAACCAAGAAAGCGCATTTACCAAACAATCTTGTGTTCTTCTGCTTTATATCCTACATCTTCGTTGATCTTATACACATCTTCAAGCCAAGCCGCATGGGGTTTCAACAGCAAGACGCGAAGAACGGAGCCGGTCAAACATGCCAAGCAACATGCAGACCCGGCTAAGAACTCAATCCCCGCAAGGCACAACAGCAATAGTAGCTGCTATCAGCCCCGCTAAAGATCAAATCCCGCCTGCGCCCCTCCCGCTTCCAAGACTGTACTCACAACACGACAAAAGGCAACCTCCAGTACCTAGTACCTAGTACACGACTGCACCGCTGGCGAGTAGCAACACCCAATGGAAGGCGCCACTGCTCCCAGCAATCACATCCACCAGAACACACAACCGCCCTTCCATGCGCGCCACTCCGGCCACAGCTAAAAGCCCCAGCCGAAAGCCGCATCCCGGCGGTACCCAAACCTCCAGCAACCGCGTCTACTAACGAGCAGCAACAGCAGCAACCGTAGCAGCAGCAACCGCAGCCGGCCGCTTAGTAGACGTAGCCCTTCTCGTACATGCCCTGGGCGGCCTCCTTGCCCTCGCTGGCGGGGTCGTACTTGCCCAGCTGAGCATCGGAGTTGGCCTTGGCGCGCTTGAGCAGCGCCTTCTGGGCGGCCTGCACGTTCTCCTCCTTGCCCTGCCACGTCTTGAGCACGGTGTTCTGCAGCGCGCGCGCGTAGGAGAACGACACGTGCCAGGGGTTGGGCGACTGGTTCATGGCGTTCAGGTTGAGCGTGGACTCCAGCTCGGACTGGCCGCCCGACAGGAACATGATGCCGGGCACGGCGGGGGGCACGCGGCGACGCAGCATGCGCAGGGTGTACTCGGCGACCTTGGCGGGGCCGGCGCGGTTGGGGCAGTCGGCGCCGGGGGTGACCATGGCGGGCTTCAGCAGGATGCCCTCGAACATGACCTTGTTGTCGGCCATGTACTTGAAGGTCTCGGCCCAGATGGCCTCCTGGACCTCCAGGCAGCGGTCGATGTCGTGCTCGCCTGGAGGAGGAAGGAGGAGGAGGACGGGGATGGGCGAAGGGGAAGGGAGAAGGAGGTTTGGAATTTGGTCAGTTAACTGCAGTTTAGGTGTATTGATATGTAAGCTGTTGTTACAGGGGCTGCTACGAATACAAAGCCTATGGAGCGCGTGGTAGATGTAACGGCGATGCGGGTCGAGACGCAACAAGCTAAGCGCTTCCGATATGGGTCGAAGGGAATGGTTAAGGATAACATATTGGAAAGCTTATTCGGGCAAACTAAACGTTGCTAGCGCGACCTATGGAAGCTCGCGGAACAGCGCAAGACGTCAGCCCTCGAGGTAAAGCAAAGGCGACATCCTAGCATGAATTGCAAGCGTATTTCTGGCCATTATTAAGGCATTTGTGTAGGTCTAAGGCTATAACGAAGAGCACAACTTGCAACCAGATCACGATCAGATTCCCAACCCGCTCTCACCGTCCAGCAGCACCTCAGGCTCGACAATGGGCACCAGACCAGCGTTCTGGGCGATGGCAGCGTAGCGAGCCAGGCCGTAGGCGCAGTCGCGCAGAGCAATCAGCGAGGGGCCGTGGGGGATCGAGACCACCGAGCGCCACTTAGCGAAGCGGGCGCCAGCCTTGTAGTACTCGGAGCAGCGCTTGTCCAGGCCGTCCAGACCCTGGCACCAGGACTCGCCGTTGGTGTTGGACAGAGGAACCAGGCCCTTGTCGACCTTGATGCCGGGGACGATGTTCTCCGCCTTCATGCAGTCGACGAACTTCCGGCCGTCCTTGGTGGACTGGTACAGGGTCTCCTCGAACAGGATAGCACCGGAGATGTACTGGCCCAGGCCGGGCGTGGTGCACAGCAGCTCACGGTAGGCGCGGCGGTTGTCCTCGTTGTTCTCAACGCCGATGGAGTCCAGACGCTTGCCGCAGGTGGCGTTCGACTCGTCCATAGCCAGGATACCACGGCCCTTCGAGGCAACGGTGTTGGCGGTCTTGATGAGCTCCTCATCGTACTTGCCGGCGCGGACGACGACGCTCCTGCGCGAGCGGCTGGCGGACACGGCCTTCAGGCCGGCCGACTGCTTCATCATCAGAGCCATTGTGAGCAAGTAGAGTGTCGGAGGGACAAGATGGAGTACAAGTGCAGTATGCACTAGTTATGTACCAAAATGTGCCACCTTACGATAAAAAGGTCACCCTTAAGTCGATGAATGGCACCCGTCCGTACCAGGGTAGGGTTTCGGAGAGCCCAAATCCCTACTCCAGCGTTTAGAAATGCAGAAAACGTTTACACGAATGACATGGTATGTAACAGGGATGGTTTCAGCTGATGAAATTAAGCTGTTCATATTCTCGGTGACCGATCATGGTGACGCGTCAGCTTTAGACCGCAATTAGAACTGCTTCGAGGCATCATAATGCTAAAGTCAGGTAGTCGACTCATGTAGGAACCATCATATGACTGTACAGTTGTTTCGCTGACTGCGAGTCTCAGATCCGCAATGAAATCTTACAGCTCTATACGTTTGGCGTTCTAATTTCGGGAACACAAGGGAAACTTGTTAACCTGCATTGGATTAGTCACTTTCAATGCTAAGGGGGCAGTTATGTGATGCTGACAGTTGCGCAAAGATGTGCATGCCGAAGCCCTTTCTGTCTTGACAGAAGCCCAGCGTCGTTCGACACCAACTAACACCCCTGGGATAGGTTTTGGCAAAAAGAGAGACACGTTATGTTTTTCGCTGGTGCCAACCGCCTGGATACTTGCTGAATATCCTAAGCTGTACTGTATGGCAGCCACAGTTACAAAAGATACTTGCGTCATTGCATGCTTGATGGGCCGTTCTTGTCGACCCAACCCTTCTGCACACCCTTGTTACAGTAATGGTAGACTATGTGCGATGTTCCAGGCAACTTCAAAGCGCATGCACGTTCCACGTGACATGCCGCAGGCTGGGACCTAGACCGTGTTTCACCGAATCGCTGTTTCCTTATTCCTCAGGGCCTGATAAATTATGAACGGTTGGTTATGGAATTCCGCCTGTGCCCAATTGCCGTTCTAGGGGCCCAGGAGCTTGGGGCCGTACGACGCGAGAAAGGGCGCTCATGATAGGCCGCTTGCCGCTCCGTAAGCAGTCCTTCCCCAAACATTGTCCCATTCTTGTTCCAAAGCATAAGTCAGCATGAGTGCGGTACTGGTCGTGCCTTGCATGTGGCACCTCCATTGCCATTGTGCGTACCGGTTGTTGATGGGACCGCCGCAAATAACGAGGCACGGGCAGCATCACGTCTCTCTAAAACCTGAAGCTGTTAAGGCACCGGTAACTGCTGCTGTTGGTGGACCGGCTGGCGTAATGACGCCGAAACCCCCAAACGCACTACTTGCTTTCTGGGTTACCCGCAACCGAGTTACACACAGCGGGCCCTGTGAACTCCTTCATAAAGGTCACCCAGTCGGGATGTCACCCACTCACCCTCCCAACCATGCACCGCCCTCTTACGCACAACGTCGGTGCCACGTTACCTCCCCTCCCTGCGCCCTCGCCATCCAGTTCGTCAGTTTTCCTGTATTTTACCCCCCTGTGCCCCTGCTTGACGTACCCGCCGGTTAGTGCCCGGTTAGTTGATCTCTTCCTCTGCCACCACATTGGCCCACCCCAGCAATCCTGGCACCCCCTGGCCCCCCTTGGCACCCCCTGGCAGTCTGCGAGACTGCCAACTGCTCCAACCGCCTGCTGGATTTGGAACCGGCGGTGATGCATGCCGGTGTGACAAGGAGGGGTAAAAGAGGGCGTGGATACGGTAGCCCGCGCGTACGGATGCGGAATGAACGCGGAGGGGTAAGGCAGAGCGGGAGGAAGGAGTACTGCTTCCAAAGCTTGATGGCGGGATGTATGGCAGCACTGCGCTGTGGTAGCTGTGGTTTCGGAGGTGCAGGGTGCAGGTGGTAACAGTAGCACCCTCAGCACGACAGCAGCAGAGTTGGCAGGTTGTACCGCAGTCTGAAGAATAACAGTTAGGCTAACCTGGGCTAACAAGTAATAATTAGCGAAGGAACGAATGACAGACTTTCCACAAGCAGCCAACACCTGCTGCTGCCGGCAGACGGAGGTCCCTGTACTATGCCTCGATTGAGGATAGTTTAGATGGCTATCTTTACACCTTATGACACGGCAGGAAGCATGGGCTAAAAGGTTCTGCTGATGGCTGCATGGGAGTCGTACACGGACCATGCGCAGTGTACTATTGAACGTGTCATGTTCAGGTAATGCGCTGTTGCTGGTACGGGCCAAAGCCCTCTTGGCAAATGACTGGGAACTACAGCCAAGACAAGCAATGCAAGCGAGCTACCGGTATGCCGCTGTCCGGCTACAAACCCCATTCCGGAACAGTATAACTAGGTACGGATCAAATACTCGTTACAACTAGGTACTAGGACAAAGACCTCAAGGGCGCCGGATTCGTACCGGGTAATAGCAACCACACACTCTCACTGCCAACGGCCGATCAAGGACAAGACCGGTAAGGTAGGTCTGCGGACACAACTCAAGGTTGGTTCAATCATCACCAGCAGCAGCAGGGCGCGAAGGGACAGGCATGGGCGATGTTCTTGAGCGTATCATTAGGCAAACGCCTGCCAACTCACAATCTGTTACGCTCCTCAAAGGCCACAACGGAGCCCCTGCAGAACCGCAACCGCTGCACGGCAGAACCAAGATAGAGGTGTACTCACGCCACACCTCGCTCCCAGCCCGTACTGAGCAACCGGCTGACTCGGCGACATGAGCGCAGGATTTCAATGGCCGTAATGGCCTTAGGCAAATTTTAAGTTACGCACTTAGGATCCTCCCCTCTCCAAGCCAACATAAATCGACATTTCCCAGTATATGACAGGGATATCAAGTTCAGGTAATAACGGAACAGGCTGTATTGCAAGCCAAACGTAGCAAGGCACGTCCCAATACTTGACAGCATCAAACCTGTGAAGCGTCCGTCCGTCTAGCCACAAGTAAGCCGAGAGGCCCTCTCTTAGTTTTACTATAACCGCCTAAACAAGCCCACCCAGGTCAGCTAGCCTTGGCAACTAATTATTTAGTAGTATTAATACGCGATACCGGCAATAAGCAATGGAACCGGATACGAACCTCACCACCAACGACCCAACGGTAGTTCCAAGCTCAAGGACCCAGTTCAGCCAGGTGAGCGATGTGGACGCTGTTCCTGGAGAAGGCGTCTCACGTGCTCCAACAAAGGGCTAGAAAGATACTCGCCATAAAAGCAACGTATCTCAAGTGCTTTCTATTTAACGTTGCCAATAGTAATACCAAAACCACATAATTGAACAAAATTCGCAAGGCCTTCGTCCGCTGACTTCGAGCCACTATCGTTTCGAAACGTCAGTCAACTTACCCGCCCTACTTGGCCGCAGGGACCCATGGGTCGGCAAAGCCGAACATTACTGGTGCATGAAAGGCGCCACATAACCCCGCCGTACAGAAGCCCCGGCCTCCCAAAGGAGCATCTACTAATGGTAATCCTTTTTTCACGCCGCAAGGCCCGCGGCAATCCATGGTTGGAAATAATAACGTAATCAGCCACCCAAAGCCCAATCGTCCATCCAAAGGAGGATCTGTGTCCAAGACAGCGTCACGCAGCAACAGCAGGTCGAGCGATATACAGGGTTGAAACATGGATTTTAACCGTAATCAAAGTTCCAAATACGGTACATGTACCGGTAACCATTGCAAAAGTGAAACGGCAGCAGGCAACTGTCACACGAAGTCCCACATACCATAAAACCTAACAATGATTTTGGAATTCCGTACCACTACAAACTGCTTGCGACATCCTAACCAAAATGACTTCGAACCAAGGGAGCAAGGTACACACCATCACTGCCATCCATTGAATCAATCAAAATCGTGTGTACCCTGAAGCAATCCTAGGCTCAAGAGAAAAATAAATTCCATTGCAGTCCAACAAACCAGGCAGCATACCTTCGTGATCTTTGTAAATTGAACGCCGTCCCAACTTGCACACATTTAGCTACCGCGGCGGAACAAAATCTTTCTATTCTTCCAGTTAACAATCTCGAGCCGGAACGTCAAGCCAGTCCATAGCTGCTAGCCATCATACGCCACTACAGCACTGCGAATAAATATCAATGGCGTGTAACAAGTTAACAGTAAAGCCACTGAGCACCAAGTTAACAACAACTATTTTTTCTTTTTTTCTAAACTTTTTTTAATTTGTTTTTTAACCAATTCAAATATTAACAGCACGCAATCGAGTAATGCCACCTGCCGCCGGGCCTAGCCGGCGTGTATTATTGCTGGCTACGGCTTTTTCCATATTAACGTCGCACACTAATTGCGCTACAGGCGCTACATGCCCAAAGCTCAACAGTGATGGCAACTAACAGAACATACACGTTCTTCCTCACCTATTCCCCTAGCAGCTGGGGCTCCAAGCAAGTCGTACGGTCCTAGGTGTAAACCGGTGCAATTAATCAGTTCACAGTAATACTAGTAGGGGTGCAAGCACATTCAGAGCACCCCATCTTGTACTGGCTTCCAGCCAACGAACATCATCTTTAAGCTTCCATAACGGGGAAACCCATTGGAGCAACCAGTCCTACCAGATATGTAATAACGCAAATCCATCAACTAAGCAACAGTCGTCTCGAGCATTTTGAAATTCTACCAATCGTCTAGGTAACTGCAACGGTACAAGTCGTATAGCCTCGCACTAAACAGTATACGGGCTCGTTTGGCCTTAATAACACAGGAAACAGTTCAAAACGGTACTACTAGTAGTCCTTGCCGGGTATTGGATTTGGATTAAACCCACCCTCGTCCGCAATGCTGAATCAGGTCCCAACTGACATAACTGACGCAAACAACTAATAAGCCCGGGCTAAACCCTGGCACACTGTAACAGTAAGATTAAAATTGAAATAGCAATGTAACCAGCTGTCGGGTCCGGGTCCATCATGCACAAGACAACTTGCCCAACCAAGGAATCTGACAGCTCTGATAAGATGAAGGAGCAAGGTCCCGCTCCATACAGCTGTTCACTTCATGCGTAGTGAAGAGTTTCGAGTGCGGCTACAAGTGTGCGGCAGTGTGGAGAGATGATGCTGCGTTGGTGCCGATGCTGCCTCCCCTGAAGTGGGAGGCGGGTTGGCTGTTCTGACGTCATCATGCTGCATTGAGATAGCGACCGACGAGGTTCTGTCGGTGGACGCTGCGCTACTGCTGGATGCTGTGTTGGTACCCGCCAGTGCCTCATTTTTAAGATCAGCTGCAGGTGCTGCGGGATTATGGTGTTTGCCGTCGTTAGCAGGATTAGGGTGTTTGCCGTCGCTTGCAGGATAAGGGTGTTTGCCGTCGTTTGCGGGATCCATGATTGCGAATTCGTGGGCAACCATAATACCAAAAGCGATAGCCAAGCATGTCAAAGCGGCGACCACCGTTGCCACGGATATCGATATCGGGTCTGAGAGCCCAATGCACATCAGGATGTGCGTGATGACCGACGCAGCGAATGCAACGGTGCCCAGCAGCGTGAGCGCGATGGCCGAAACTATCGCCCAATACATGGAGTCGACAACTTCGTTCACGCATGCCTTGCAGTACGTTGGCATTGATACGAAGAAGCCGAAAAAGATGATAGAGAAGGCCAAGGCGATGCAGTTCAGGGCCACAGTGATAGCCCACATGGCCATGAGAACCTTGTCGCTGACGGTCGTAACCGACAAGCTTGTCATTGGTTGGACAGATGACGACACTAGCAGTGCGTTCTGCAGGCATGGGACACAAAAAAACCGTGTGTTGAGCAACGGTGACCTTTAACATCATGAAAGCCGGATTTACATATAGAACGGTGCGATACGGTGCAGTGCCGATAAGGATTAGCCTTTAGCATGCTAGAGGTCACCGCGCGCCCGTGACCACGTGAACCCATGAACTTGTGCCGGTGATTATAACCGGTAACAAGCAGCAGCAGCCTACCACTAAGCTCGCCAAGCTCCATGACTTGGACAGCCATTTATAAACTCCGTTAGCGCCGTCTTGTCCATGTTGCAAGTGCGCCGAAATTAGTCTTGAGAGGTACCCTCGTAGACCGCTTTTAGGAGAATCGCTATTGACTTCACCCATGTTATCTCGGTAATTTCCAAAACAAATTTCCGGTGAACACTGTAACTACATGCATTTCCTTGTTGCAGGTTTAGGATGTACTATACAGGAGGGCCTTACATGTACAACTGTAGCTCGTACTGCCTTCCGTATCGCGTTGAAGAAAAGGTGGGCCTTCTGGCTCGGACGGATCTTACGAGCTTGGTACGAAGCTTGTTTCGCCTCGCGGCCAGTTATTTTAACACAACAAGAAAGTCTTCATTTTAGGGCTCGATTACAGTTTCAAATATAATGATCGGTTATGATTGTCATTCATAACACGTTCATGCGAAACAACCTCCACCGCCTCACACTCCCTACACCTTTGCCTCAGGTCACACCTGTCACACATGTGCACAGGCAGTACAGCACGCGCCCTCCATGCCCCATACGGCACGTATATGTATGTCCTCTATGTCGTACCCATGTCATCTCAACAGAGCAGGGCGTACGGCAGCCACCTTTGCCCGTGATCCATGCGCCTACTGGCTCATCTGGGGCCTTACGAGCCTAAAAAAGCAGCGGAGTGTACGGCAGCCTCCTGACCGCCGCCGCCAGCCCCCGCCGTACCTCCTCCCACCCACCATCATCCCCCTGCCTCCCCTCCCCTCCCGGCCCCACCCCCGCCCCCACCCGCAGCCCCCCTAGCTGCAGCGCCCTCAGTCTCGTCAGACCACCCAACACTCCTGCCACCGCCTCCGCCACCACCGCTGCATCCACGCTACCCCCTCCAGCACCCCTCTCCTCCCTTCTCCCCCCCTGCATCCCCCGTGCCCCCCGTCCGCAACCCTGCTGCCACATGTACGGCAGCCTCCCCCCCGGCGCCTCCAACATGAGGCACCGCAGCCCGCTCAGGGCGCCTAGAGGCGCCAGCAGCTCTGAAATCACCGGTTGTGAGAAACAAGAGCAGGAGCAGGAGGAGGAGGGGTGCGGAAGGTACGCAAGAGCCGGTGCGTTGGTAAGGTCCTCAGAAGAAACCAGTGTGGATGATGAAACGTAGGGCGGCAAGGGGTCCGCAGGCGGCACTACAGCTCCTGCCGCAACCTCCTCCACCTCCTCCTCCTCACAAGCTGTGTATTTTAACCCTTTCGACGGTGGAGGCAGCGGCAACAGAGGCAGCGGAGACAGAGGCGGTGGGAAGTCGGCCGGCAGGCTGAGCAGCAGGTATTGCAGGCGCGGAAGTGACCCAAGGGTCGCTAAGCCACGGCGAATGACCTGCTGACGCCAGCAACCACCGGCGCAACCACCGCTGCAGCTGCCACCACCGCCGCCACTGCCGCGGCAACAGCAGTTAGTGCCGGCTCGCTGCTGTTCTTGCTGCCGCCCCTGATGTGGTTGTCGTGGGTGCGGTACCGGTGACACCTCCCGCAGGCACGGTCGGGGAACCCACACGCCTGGGCTGCAGCAGCAGTAGCGGCGGGGCCGGTGGAGGGCGACGGAGGAGTTGCTGCTGCTGCTGCTGCTACTGCTGCTGCTGCTGCTGCATGGGGGAGCGGTAGTAGCAGTCGAAGCAGGGGCAGAAGGTGCGCTGGCGGCAGGGGGAGTAGTTGGGGTGGTAGCAGGAGGGTGGTGGGCAGTGGCGGCAGCAGCAAAAGCCGCAGCAGTACAATGAGGGCCGTAGCGTTGAGCCGGGCAGCGGCGGCCCCTCCCGTGCCCCCCCAGCTGCCGCTGCCGCTGCCGCCTCCTGCTCCTCCGCCCGCATGCGCTCCAGGGGCTGCTGTCCTGCATCACCAACACCTGGGTGGGGGGAAGCAGGGGAGGGAGGGAGGGGTGGGGCCGGGGGGGTTTAGGGTTCATGGGTTAGGCAGCAGCAGAGGAGCAGCAGGGAGGAGGGCGACCGCGAACTACTCCATAAGCTAACGAAAGCTTCCTACCGGTGTAATACGCCGCACTGCACGTCGGCTGCCGTGACTGATGTACCGACCCCTCACATGCATCCCCCACCCCCCACCCGCCAACTCCCCAATGCCCCCCCCCCCACCCCCCCCCCCACCCGCACCCCCCCCCCCACCTGCAGCCCCCTGCCTCCCATGTCCGCCACCAGGAAGTGCTCCGACGTGAGACCGCAGTCCAACAACTGCAGGGGGGGGCAGGGACAGGGAGGGGAGATGAGGGCCAGGGAGGGGATGAAGGACAGGGAGGGGAGATGAGGGGCGGGAGGGAGTGTAGGACAGGGAGGGGAGATGAGGGGCGGCAGGACGTCCACGGGGTGACTCACAGCAGCAGCGGGCGGGCTGTTGCCGAGGGCGAGCTGCATCACCCAACTCCACCACCCGGACTCACCCCCAACAACACCCCTCCCCACTCACCTCACCCCACTGAGCAAGCCCTGACCCTCCTGCCTCACCTCCCAGCAAGCGCCCCCACAACTCCCTCCCCCGTTGTTGCATTTATTTATAATTTTCCCCCCACCCCACCACGGCTTGCACCACCGGGTTGCCCCCCTTCCTCCTTCACTACCATACCAAGCCGCTTATTTCTTCTTGTTTCCCATCCCCTCTTCACCCCTCGTTACCCCCCTCCCCTCCAGCCCCCCTCACCTGCAGGCTGGTCAGCTCCCCCAGCCGCCCCAGCGCCGCCCCCAACGCCCCCGCCCGCACCCGCACCCCCTGCAGTGACAGGCAGGTGAGACCCGGAGGCAGCCCGCAGCTGAGCAGCCGATCACCCAGATCCACCGGAGGTGGTGGAGGAGGAGGAAGAGAAGGAGGAGGAAGAGGAAGAGGAGGTGGAGGACGGCGTGGTGGGGTTGGTTGGGAGGATGGTGCAGCAGCAGGTGTCGCATGCGGATACAGATCCCGAAGGATGTCATCTTCATCTTCATCTTCGACATCCTCGTGTTTGATTCCTTCATCGTCCTCGTCCGCATCCTCATCATGGTAATCCTCGTTAACGTCATCATCGTCCTCCCCATCCATGTAAACCAGATGGTGGTCAAAACCCAGGTAATGATCCATGCTATTTGGATCCAACGTATTTCCCTCTTCCTCTTCTTCACCCTCATCCTCTTCATCCCGTACGGCGGCCAGGCTGAGGTCGCGGAGGGAGGTCCAGGCGGCTAGGCTGCCGTGAAGGGTGGCGGGCGAGGAGGAGGAGGAGGAGGACGTGGACGAGAAGGAGGCGGAGGAGGAGGAGGAGGAGCAGGATGGAGAGGAGGACAGGCCGCTGGGCAAGTCGGGATCGATCCGACCTGCGTGCCGTGTAACAGGGCGGTCCGGGGGGGAAGAGGGAGCGGGTTGGCGTGCTGCGTATTCTTCCCCTGCTGAGGAAGGAGGGGGGCCAGGAGGCCCGCCAAACAACCTATAGGGATTAAAACCCCTCTCCAAACAACCCCACCTCCGCAGCCCATTTCCTCCCGTCATACGAGTCGGGCCATTACCCATGAGGTTGGTACTACAGTGCTCCATTCCCTATATCTTCACCCCCTTCCCCACTCCCCCCACCCGTGAAGTGCAGCTGTGTTAGGGCGGTCCAGTGGCTCCCCAGGTGTCCCAGCACGGGGCCGCTGAGGGCCAGCAGCTGGCAGCGCTCCGAGGGGCAACTGTGCAGCGCGAAACTGGAGGTGGGAGGCGGGGGCGGGGGGGTGTCAGAGACATACCAGAACCACAGGTTAGGGCAAAGCAATGGCGAGGGGGAGTGGTCGCGGATGGGATAATTCGTGCATCACCCTAGTCGGCACCCTCCTCCCACCCCACCTCCTGAGCTGCCCCAGCGGTGCCAGCAGGCTGATGTCCCCCGCCGCCAGCCCCAGCGGCCAGGTGGTGAAGGTGAGGTGCAGCGAGGTGAGGCGGGTGAGGGCCGCCAGCAGCTGAAGCGAGTAGTCACTGTCGAGCACCTTGGGGGGGAGGTGGTGGGGGAGGGGGAAGAGGAGGGTGCGAGAGGGCCGGGGTGCGGCAGGGCTCATCAAACGTCACTCGCAGCCCAGCCCCTCCCACTTCTTCACCACACCCTCCCCCACCTCCCAAACCCCACCTCCCAACCCTCATACCCTCGCTACCCGAACGCTCCCCCGACCCGCCCCGCCCCGCCCCCACCATCTCTCCCAGCCTAAGATCCCGCAGCCCCTCCAGCGGGCTGTCGTACAGAGGCAGCAGATGCGCGCTGTGCAGTCCGCCGCTGGAGCCGGAGTCCAGCTCGAACCTGCAGTTCAATGATGCGTAAGAGTTGGAAAGGGGCAAGGAAAGGCGTCAATACGTGAGCGCGCATGCCCCACCCACACCATATCCGATACTATCGGTACCAACATCCGTACATGACTACACCCAGCCGTACAAACACCACGTTGCCGTACCTGAGCGTTTCAAAGTACGACAGGCCCCTGAGTGCGCCGTACAGCTCCTCCATCAGCGCCGCGGGGCAGTCCTCGGGGTCGTGCGGGCGGAACAGCAGCTGCACGCGGGACAGATGCAGGTCCTGCTTGGGAGGGGGGGGGCGGGGGGTAAAGAAGAATACCCAATGTGCTGATGAGAGAGGGGGGGAAGGTCTATAGAAGAAGGCGAATCATGCGGGGGAGGGGGGCGGCGCTGAGCAGAGGGGGCAGAGCACGCAGCGGTGGGCGTCAGGAGCAGCACCAGCAAGAGCAGCTCTGACGTGTGAAAGCCTGCCTCACCCTACCCTACCTTCCACAACCCTCACCCCGCTGCACCCCTCCCCAGGCCCCACCCCGCACCCCCACCCCCACGCACCCTCAGCCCCCTCAGCCGCCCCAATGCAGCCAGATCCGCATGAGCCGCCCCCAGCCGCCCCTGCAGCCGCAGACTGGTCAGTCCGGGCAACGCTTCCACCAACGCTGCTAGGGCTCCTCCTCCTGCTGCTCCCGCTCCTCCTGCCGTTCTTCCGCCGCCTCTTCCCGCTCCTGCTCCGCCTGCCTCCGCTGCTACAGGAACCCCCAGACAGCAGCCGGACAGGTGTAGCGAGCGCAGGCGGGGGCCTAGGGGCGCCAGCAGGGCAGGGTGGGGGATCCATTGCAGCTGGTGCTGCTGCTGGTGCTGGTGGTGGCGGTGGCGCCGCCAGCGACCCATGGGCCACCCCGGGACCGCAGCGGCGGCGGCGGTGTCACCATTACCGTCACCGTCGCTGTCACCGTCAGTGCTGCTGCTGCTGCTGACATCGGTGCCGCTGATGGAAGGGGTCGGGCCATCGAGGGAAGTCGAACCGTCGTCGCTGCCGACATACTCTTCATACCGGTAACCAGCTGCAACGTTGTCGTCTGAGGCCGCACTACTGCTGCCGCCGTAAGCACCGCTTTTGAGCCGCCGAGGTACGACACTGGTGCTTCCGCCGCAGCCATGAGATTGCCGTACTACTACTCGGTCAAATGGCGGGTTCGTACGACCCATCGTTTGAATGCCGCAGCTGTCAACAAACCCGCCAACACTGCAATTGTGCTCCTGATCGCCTTCGTACTGACTATTGTTCCCCTCGCCACCCAAATCAAGATCCACATCCGTACCGCCACCACATGATGCCGTACGTTTCTTGTCGTACTGTGCAACATCTAGATCCAAATCCGCTCCGTAATCTAGTTCCAAATCCTCCGCGTCCAACAACCCACCCGCCTCCCTCTCTCCTTCCTCCTCCGCTGCCGCCTCCATCGTGCCCAAGTCCGAAGTAACCGCATGCCGTTTTCCTTCCCTATAGTACGCCCCCTTTTCCACTGTTGGGAGCAGAAGAGCATCCGTCCGGAAAAGGCTGCAGGCGAAGATAGGGGCGGAGGCTGCGGTTGCGGCAGCAATGGCAGGAGAGGAGGAGGCTGCTGCTGCTGCGCTGGTTGTTGTTGTTGTTGTTATAGCGGTAACGGCTGCAGCAGCGCCAGTGGAGGCGGCGGCATCACGCGCCTCAGTCATCGCTGCCCCCGCCGGCCGGGACTGAACCTGCCGCTGCTGTTGTCGCTGCTGACGTTGCTGCTCACGTTGCTGCTGTCCCTGCTGCTGTTGTTGTCGCTGCTGTTCCTGTGCCTGCTGCTCACGTCCCTGCTGTTGCTGACATGCGAATGGTTGACGCTGCTGCTGCCCCTGCTGCTGTGGCGGAGGTGGCTGCTGCTGCTGCGGCGGCGGCGGAGGCATCATCATCGTGATTGGGATGTACGGCAGCGGTGTGGGCAGATCCAGCAACCGCACCGTCAGGTGGCTGAGCCCTGTCAAGCCCGACAGCTCCGACAGCAGATGTGCTTGGCCGGCTGCTAGCTGGTGAGGGTGGGGTAGCGGTCGGGAGTGGGAGTGGGCGCGGGCCCTGGTGCTCCCTGGTCCCCCAAAAGCAGCACCATCAGGAGCAGCAGGAGGAGCAGGAGCAGCAGCAGCAGCCACGAGGTTCATCTCCAGTCGTGTCAACTCCCGGCAGCAGGCGAGACTGCCCAAACTCCAGCCATCCGAGGGTGAGGACGATGACGAGGAGGGATGGGTAGAGGAGGAGGAGGAGGAGCAGGCGGGCTGATGAGAGGCGGTACGGCATGCGGCTGCGTGAGTACGGCTTTGCTGCTGGGGCGGTGCAAGACTGGTAAGAAGTGCAGCAGCAGCCGTCCTAGCAGTGGCAGCAGCGGCAGTAGCATCCGCCCTGCTATCAGCAGGAGCAGCAGGCGGGTAGGCAGCAGCGGGCCTCACGGGCATGTCCATGAGGGTTATCTCGGAGAGGTGGCGCCAGCGGCTCAGATGGCTGGAGAGCAGCTGGGAGGAGGGGAGGGGAGGAGGAGCAGCATGAGAAGCAGGAGGCGGAGGAGGAGGAAGGGAGAAGGAGGGCAGCGGAGGGTGTTAACGAAAGGAGCTGGAAGAAGGTGGCGATGTAGGGAAACGGCAGGAGTGTGCTGAGGCATGATGGGTCGCCAACTTGCCATGCCAGCCGACGACTGCATGCACACTCCTCTTGTTGTATCCCTTATGATGCCCGACCCCTGGGTCACCCCCTCAAAGCCCCTGCGCCCCTTCCCTTTCCCGTACCCTCAACGTGACCTCCTCCTCCCCGCCCAGCACTCGGGCCGCCGCCAGCCCCGACAACGTCACCGCCTCCACCCCGGGGAACACCCGAGGCAGCTGCGACAGCAAAACAGCGGGATCCTGGTGCTCATGCGACGTTTGCTGCTGCTGCTGTTGTTGTTGATGGTGGCCACTAAGCCGCTTATGTTGCTGCGGGGTGCTCATGGCGCTGCTCCTGCTTGCATCAGCGGTGGTACCAGCTGCTGCACAAGTGCTGCTGGTGACAGCAGCATGGAACGCAGTTCGGTCGGCTGCGGCTGCCGCCGCCGCCGCCCCCTCCACAGCAGCAAGGGCCAGGGCCTTACACGGCACATCAATGTGTCGTACAGTCGCCGCCGCTGCCGTACTCCATGCCTTGCACACCAGGCGGCATGAGAGCAGGTCCAGGGGGTGTAGACTCTGGAAGATGGCCTGCGTGTGTGGGTGGGAAAAAAAGAGAACTGCGTCTATGGGGTGGGGATGCTGGTTAGGGTTAACCACATGAAAATGTCGTCATGATGGCGGAATCTCTAGCACCAAGTCCTTTTCTGGTTTCATTTGCAGTTTGTAACAGATTGTCCTGCTGGCAGTCACAAGCATGGCAACGGTTTCCACAGCGCTAGCGCTAGACGAGGGCCCCTTCAAGCTGGCTGAACTGCCCAAACCCAGGAGATGTCGCATTCCATGAAAAACTGTGTATCCTGTGCCAAAGGAGTATGCCGTGTATTGGAGCGCCAGATCCTAGATACCAGCCTAACGGCTACGCAATGCGTCCGTCGACATGCCAGCGACTGACGACCCTTGAGCATTTTTAGCTTTTTAGACATTTTCAAAATCTTTGCGTAGATCTTTTAGAGGTACAGCGACTTACTGCAAGTGCTCCCTCAGGAAGAGAAGGAACTGCAACCGGCTTAAGCAACCATGTGAAGTCCTCTGGCGGGGCTTGGAGCAGCAACGGCAGACCAGTACGCGACATTTCATAAATCGTTCTCTAGCGCGATTGTTCTATCAGAAACAGACAGGCGACATCAACCGTCCTTTCGTCATGCTCTGGACCATGCTTGCCTGGACCAGGCAGATGACTCCTAGCGTATGGGAAACATTTATGCAACCATTCGGTACACATTGTTAAACGTAAGAACGTATGCGCATGTTTGCTTGGTACGTACGGGCGTGGCCTTGGGACTAAGTACGGCAACTTGGTTCGTAACCCACAGTGTGTTCCTTAAGCGTTCCTAGGTATCAGTTTGAGGAGCCCGTTCTGTATCCGGTTGGTGCTTTGGAACTACCGCTAAATACATGGCGACAACGCCCGTGCAGTTGTACTACACTGAGAAGCTGGCTTCAGCAGGGACGCAAGCATGCTGGTTCAGCTGTAGGCACTAAAAGGTAAACTAGGACAGCAGCGGTGAAAGGTGGAACAAACCTCATGGAACAAACCCCGTATCTCATGCTACAAAGCTGTTGCCGCCTGGATGCTGGGCTAATCAGGCTAATTATGCACGCCGGATCTATTAAAAGGAGGCTGCTGCAATCGACACCTAACCAGATCCAGTTCAGGCATCCCCATAATCCCTGTATACCGTACGGCAGTATGTTAGCTACAGAGTACGACAAAATCCCAAGTCCTGACGCCCAATGCTGTTGTTTCCCAGCGCTAAGCACCTACTGCGGCTGCCACCCCTGAAATGCTGCTGCGTCAGCGCTCACAGGAGACTCCCAGCGTACCCAGCTGCACGAACTCAAAAAGCTGCACAAGCTGACAGTGTAACCCCGCTGGACTGCTGCCAAGCTGTCATGTGCAAATTCGTGCGTACGGCAACGACAGCCCCGGGGGTTCACAGGCCCTGGTGGCCACGGCGACCAGCTCGGGAGCTCTAGGTAGAGGACGCGACAGGCGGCAGCGACAGACAGGCAAGGACCGGACATAGCCCGAACTACCGAGTCAAGGCCAGCAGCCGCTGCTGCTGCGGGTGCTGTCAAGCTGCCGGCCTCAACTCAGCGTCCTATCGCTTGACCTGCTCTGCGCGTGCCTCTACCGTACTAGCTCCCGAGGCTGGCTGCCCCCATAACCCCCGAGGCGTCTGCCAGGGCCCCGAATCCTTGCCATGTGGGAATGTGGAGAGAAGTAGAGCACAAATACCAGTCGTTACAGCCCGCTGCCCGGGGGGCGCAGGGGAAAGGCTCCAGGCCGCTTAGGACGCTCCCAATCCACCGCCGCTCCTGTGTATTGCCGCCGCAAAAGCGGCCATGCCGAAACCAGCATTGCCGCCAGGGCCGCTGCTGCTGCTGCTCTGCGCGCCAACATGTGACTGCCGCACGTGCTAGCATGCTCCTCCCGCCTGGCTGACATCCCCGACCTGTGGGTGATGGGACCAGGGGAAAGGGGTAAACTCAGGAAAAGCAAAGGACTTGACCCAAATGGGTGGGACGCCAGCAGGAGGTGGTATTCTGGTATTGGATGGGAGGATACACCTGTACCCAACTTGGTAACCAACACGGCACATGCAAAGTCCGAGCTGGCTATTAGCGCAGGGACATGCTCTTGCACCCACTTTGCTCCCCGCATCAAGGAGACGGCGTGCGGGATTGCGTTGGATGCTTGGCTGGGGGTTGCGGTTGCAATGGGTAGTCACCTATTTCAGCCACAACGGAAACTTGCAAACCCCTAATTTGTATGGCGTACCAACATTAACTCTTATAACGAATGGTGGTATTTATGCTGGTTTGCTATGCATAGCCGTGAGCTTGGAACGCGATGCCCCCCGCTCTACACCCACGACAAACTTCCGTAGGCTAAAAGGCTTCCTTCTAGTGTTATTTTTTTCATGCCATGCCCGAAGCCCAGTCCCCAAGAGGAATAGAAAGCCGCCGTAAAGGAGCCGCCCCGACCATAGCGCACCTGCGTGCTGCTCAGACGCGCCAGAGCAAGTGCTGTTTAGTAGAAGAAGCCCAGCACCTTGCCACCGACCCTCTTCCGACGCGCCTCCTCGTGGTCCATGATGCCGGCCGAGGTGGTCATGACAATAACGCCGAACTGACGAGAGGGCAGCAGGCGGGCGACCCAAGCCTCAATCTCGTTGTGGCCGATGTCGTAGCGGGGCGAGATAACACCGCACTTGTTGAGCCGGCCGTTCAGCTCAACCACAATCTTGCCAGAGCGGTGGTCGTCGACGTACTCAAACTCGCCAATGTAGCCGTGCTTCATCATCAGCGACAGGAACTTAATGACCACCTTAGAGGCGGGCCGGATAAGCACCTGGCGCTTGCCGCGCTTCTCGGCATTGTACATGGTCTTCAGCGCGTCCCCCAGGACGCTGATGCGCACCATTTTTGCTAATCTGGCAGCAGCAACAGCAGCAAGCCTAGGTAGAAAGAGGGCTTTCCTGTGCGCTCAGGTCGCGCCATATTGCCGCCGCCTCCGTACTTGGGGGGCCCAATGCCATCGAGCATTTTGGGAAGGTATGGCCACTTTTAACTTCTATAACCAATAGCCTAAATGTGTAAGATACCATATAGACTTGCTCTAGGAGGCTTGACGCTCTTGTCGCGAACTTGCATCGACCTATCCTTTTTCTGGCGTCATTCTGCTATCGCCCATTTGCGCATGTTTATAACAGTTAATCGGAGAATTTTTCATTCCTAGCGAAGGCTTAAAGCTGGTGCCTTAACTTGGTCACCCTTAGCTTAGCCCTATGTTCGGACGCGATTAAAGGCTACAAAGGCACAAGTGTATGCATCTTCGGGATGCTCTTCATAATGAACCGAATTAATTGTATGGTAGCGGTACCTGCATGTTGCGTCCCTTGGGTCATGATTCGACATGCGTACCGGTATCCTGCAGCCTCAGCATGGACGAACTAGGCAACTGCTGTATCACAAGATGGACACACGATATTGAACGTGTTGCATAGGAAAGCTAGTACCCATCGTGTACATGATCTCCCTTTCTACGGCACGCAGCTGTATACAAGAAGGTGACACCATCAGCCAGCGTGCAACAGGATGGGTTTTTACCACAGGGACCTGACGGGCCAAAGACTCAGGCTCCAGCTTAGACCCCCTCAATGCACCCTTGTTTACGCGGACATCCATTTACCGGTACTACTTTGACGGCGCGTTATACATGTGCTACGCAACGGTCACTGAAGCCCAACGCCACAGAGAAGACAGACATAAGCCATGTTGCCACGAATGATGCGGGGGCACGGATGGGGGCGTAGCGCTGCTCTCAAGTGCGGAAGTGCACCGCACCAGCATCCTATCGCAGCCCTCTCGCGCCATGCCCTTCACGCAAGGGACAGCACCGCTGCGGCAGCCAGCCATACACCTCCAGCTGAGCCCCTGAGGCTGCGGCCTCCAGGACCTCCCATGGGAGCTGACAGCCCGTGCTCACTGCTGCCAGCTCAAGGTTGGGGATGCCGCCGCTGCGGGCCGTCAGACACAACAGCTGCTGCCGCTGCTGCTTCAGGAATTGTTAACACGTCTTACTCACGTTAAAAACAACGACCGCAGTACGACAGCGTCGCGCGTTTAACCGCCTTCATTCGTTGGGAAAGACCCAACTTGACGAGCGCCCCTTCCTGGTACGGCAGCAGCATGCGAAGAGAAGGGAACGCCTTCACTGCTGCACTGATTGCATCGTCGTAACTCACGACAAAATAACCGAACAACCTAACCCACACTCGTCCTGTGGATCTGTCAGTGCAAGACCGTCAAAAAGGAAACACCTGAAAGTCATGTCACGTCCAGTCTCAATGCATGGCTCCCCCAGCAAGCTATGTCCGTCTGCTATGTATGCTGTCTCTGCTAAAGTCGTCGCCACCCGGCTTGAGTACCTACCCTCGGCAGGCTTCTGGAGACACATGATCTCAACTATGACACCTACGGCACCTCAGCACCCCTAAAGGAGGAACCAAAGTCAACACACCACGGCCGTTTGCCGTCTGTCAGTGCCGCCACACATGCCCAGCAAATACCCCCGGGTGCATCACCCTTTCCTTCCCCAGCCCGAGGGAATGCCAAACCCTCCTCGAACCCCACCTTCCCCCCTAGGATCACAAAACAGCACCAAGCGCTATTGAATCGGCTAACGGCTTGCTAACCAGGTTACATGGTTGACATATTTCGGAGTATTCCGACTAAACCGACAATACAAGACTGGCCTCACCACACTCAACATGAATCAAGATCTCTCTCAAAACACACAGCACCACACACAGTTTTCTTGACACACACCGCACCGAACGCGCAATCAGCCTGTAGCTGCATGCGCCCTCTCTTGCCTCGTCACTCTCATGCGTTCCTTGCCACGGACTTGCACGCTCTGTCGCTCCTTCCTCACCCCTGCTCCTGCTCCTGCACGCTCTGATCATGCACCCATCCCTTTAGTTCCCCCACCCACAAGCTCACTCGTCACCTCTTTCCCCAGCTCACAACCTTCCTCCTCTCCCCCACTAACGCCCCACATTCTTTCCCCCTCTTCTCCGTACCTTCAGCAAAGGGCCTTCACTGCTCTCCTTGCATCCCAATTTCCCACTCCCACCCAACACCCCAACTGCAAGCCCCCTCGTCAGCCCCTAACCACACCATTCACCTGGCTGCTGCTCGCATGCAGGCATGCTCCAAAGTCGCACCCCGACCCCTTCTCGCATGCGCCCCCCGACCTCCCTTCTTCTGCTTCTCCCCAACCTCATCTCTTACGCCGTAGCCACCATGCTGCGGTCCCCAACCAGCGACACCATTTGCGTCGCCCGGCGGTTGGCCCCACGACCCGACATCTCCAGCTTGTGGAGGTACGCCTCGTCGATGTCGCCCGTCACGTACCTGTTGCAGGCAGGCAGGCAAGTAGGCAGGCAGGCCGGTGGAGCAGTGTACGGCAGTCAAAAGGTAGGCAAGTAGGCAGACAAGCAGGTAGGGAGGTAGCTGCCGGCAGGGCAGCCAGCCCCAAACCCGGCCCCTTCCCGAAAACACGCCTGACACACACGCGCTAGACAAACATCGTCCCCACCACACCATGCCTTGACAGCCACCCACCCACCAACCCTCCTCTCCCCCAAACGCATGGCACCCACCAAGTCCATCACTACACACGTGCCAAGCCCCATGTGCCTCTACTCGCAGCTAGTCTTCCTCCACCCAGCCAGCCACCCACCTGCCGTTGAAGCAGGAGGCATCAAAGTCCTTGATGTCCGGGTTGAGCTCCTTGCCGCTGGCAATCAGGTCCTCCACCTCCTGGTAGATCAGACCGTCGGCTCGCAGCACCTCGCACACCTGGGGGGGGAGGGCGGCAGGAGAGGAGGTGGGGTGGGAGGAGAGGAGGTGGGAAGTGGGCGGCAGGAAAGGAGGTGGAAGGCGAGGTGGGCGGAAGGTGGGCAGCGGAGAAGAAGCGATGCACCAACCAGTCCTATCCCCCCTGCTTGTGCACCCGTACCTGTGGTTTGGTATGCACCTATGACCCCCTCCCCCACATACCTCGTCATCCCAGGTCGTCAGTTTCCTCCTTTTATCCCACCCACTTATTTTAACACACACACACACGCACCTATCCCAACTGCTTGCTCTTGTTCTACTCAACTACACACACACACGCACCTGGTCAATGGTGAGCCCGTTGGCCACGAACTCCTTGCGTGTGGGCATGTCCACTCCGTACACGTTGGGGAACACCACGGGCGGGGAGGCGGAGGCGAGGTACACCTTGCGGGCTCCCGCGCGGCGGACCATGTCCACAATCTGGATGAGGAGAGGGTGGGAGGGCAGGTTTAGGTGGGCGTTGGAGTGGCGATTGGAGTGGCTGGGAGTAGAGGTTGACGGATTGCGGGGCGAGGCGGCGAAACACTGATGCGGAGAAAGGCACATGCGAGGACCGGGACCGCAGCGAGACGATGGGGAAAGGTAAGACACCTCCACACCACCATGGCACCAAACCCGGTAGCATCATGGCCCCAACCCAACCACCCCCCGTCCCCCCCACCTGCGTTTTCCTCAATTTTTACCCACCTGCGTCATGGTTGTCCCCCGCACGATGGAGTCGTCGATCAGCAGCACGCTCTTGCCCTCGAACACCGCCGGCATGGCGTTCAGCTTGCGCCGCACCGACATCTCGCGCATGCGCTGGTCGGGCATGATGAAGGTGCGACCCACGTACCTGGGGGCCGGGGGAAGGGGGAATATAGATAAATGAATCGAGGGAGTCCCAATCCCATATCCCGACTCATGCAGTGAGCGCATGAGGGGCCGGGGGGGTGGGCAGTGCGATGCGGAGGGGGTGCGAATGGGACGACTTTGCATTTGGGTTACTCGCAGGGTCCGCCTTGCTAATTGTTGCAGGGGCAACACACTGCGAACCGCCCGGCACACGCCCGTGCCTTTCCTCCAAAGGCTATCGTGCTGTCCCTCTGCTGTGGAGCGCCTTGTCGCATGGTTGACTTCCCCTCCTCTCCGTGTCCCGCCCCCCACCCCCACCCCCACACACCTGTTCTTCACCAGGCCCTCCCGGTACGGCAGCCCCAGCTCCGAGGCGATCTGGATGGCGGCGGGGCGGCTGCCGTCCGGCACCGGGCACACGATGTCCAGGTCCCAGTTGCGCTCCCTGGTGGGGGGGTGAGGAGGAGGAGGAGTGACAAGGAAGGGGATGCAATGTGTTGGATGATGACAATGGCAAAGGAGAGGCGGCGCAAAGCGGTAAGGTTCACCAGAACCCCGGCCTCAGCCTCCTCATAACAGCCCTCCACCCCTCACGCCCCCCCTCACGGCCCCCTGAAGCCCCTTCCTCTCCCCCTCCCTCACTTGATCCTCTTGGCCAGCGCGGTTCCCAGTTTGAGTTGGAAGTTGTAGACGGGGATGCCGTTGAGCACCGAGTCGGGGCGCGCCAGGTAGATGTACTCGAAGATGCAGGGAGTGGCGGAGCCCTGGGGGAGAGGGGAGAGAGGGAAAGAAGGAGGCCCAGCGTCGATCGAACCACCCTCGTTTCTCCTTCTATCACCCGCCCCCACTGTCACCTCCACGCCCGTTCAACGCATGGTTCTCCTCCCTCCTCCCTCACCTGGTTCTTCTTCTTCCCTCCTCCCTCTCCCCCCCACCTGCGCGCACTGCCTGCTCATGAGCTTGCCCTCCTCCGTGATCACAACCATCTCGCCCGGCTGCACATCGCGCACGCGCTCAAAGCCGATGGGCCCGAACGCGCAGTCCTCGCTGGCAATGCACCACTCGTCGCCCTGAGGGCTGGGGCGCTTGCCCAGAACCAGCGGGCTGAGGAGAAGGGAGGGAGGGCGATAGGGAGGGGAGGGAAAGGACGGAGAAGTTGAGAAAGGCATGTGGGTCTAGGCGGGGTGAGGGCTTCACGGCTGGGCTGGTGCAAGCGCTGAGGATAGCGGGGTGGTGTTGATGCAAACGCGCATGTGTTGCTGTGTCCATCCCTTCCATGCAACAAGCCAGTAACCACCCGCCCGCCCGGCCCCCCCCTCTGGTCCGCTCACCGGATGCCCCAGGGGTCCCTGAACGCCACCAGTCCCACCCCCTTGACCAGCGAGATGCAGCTGTAGGCGCCCTTGCACAGCCGCATGGTCATCTCGCCCGCCTCGAACAGGAAGTTCACCTTGTTCTTGTTGGGGTCGCAACCCGTGGTCTGAGAGGGGGGGGGGTTAAAGTAGGGGTGGGGGAAGAGGGTGGGTAAGATCCCCATCCCATCCACCTCAATCAACCCTCCTGCTCTCCTCCCGCTCCCCCTACACACACCCCGCGTCCCCGTCCCACTACATGTTGATCCTGGCACTCTGGCAGGCTGGCAATTCGCATGTGGATAGCAGCCCATGTGGATAGCAGCCTACTATGACACCGGGCGGTGATTTGTATGTAAATCACAGCCTACTTGTATGAGATGGATTGCAGCCTATGCGGATAGCTGCCTGCTCCTACGAGCTTATGACGGTCACTACAAGGGCTGCTGCCCCACCTGCAGGCAGCGCTGGTGCGCCCGGTGCACCTCATCCGCCAGGATGTTGAGCAGCACCTCGCTGTCGCTGTCCGTTCGCAGGTGGCGGTTGAAGAAGGAGCGCGAGGAGTTGAGCAGCCCGCGCAGCTCCTCCGTGTTGGTCAGGTTGCCGTTGTGGATGAGGTAGATGCCCAGCGGCGAGTTGACGAAGAAGGGCTGCGCCTCCTGCGCGGAGGAGGAGCCGGCGGTGGGGTAGCGCACGTGCGCGATACCGCAGTGGCCTGTGGAGAGGGATGGGGTGGGAGGGGGATGGGGAAGAGGAAACAGCTAATGATCCTTGTGAGAAGGCGGCATCACGGGTGGGAGGCGAAGGGTGGGGGAGGTGGTGGGGGATGAGGAGTTTGGGGTTAGGGTGCGTGGCGGGGAGGAGCGTCGGGGGTGTTGCCAGGCCTGCACTCGTCCAGCCATGCGTCATGAGGAGTGGTTGTTCGCGGGTGGGGCGGCTGTGATGTGGGTCGGGCTGCAATGGCACATACCCGCCCCAAAACTTGGTAGCATGGATGTAATTGACTGACCGCACTGATTCCCAGGCAAGTGTTGGGATAACCGGGGCAGCGGTGTGGAGCGTTAGTTGGTTTGCGGCAGCAGAGTTGCTGCGACCTGCACTGGCTTCCCGACAATGTTCCGATCTACTTCTGCTGATCCTCTGGGGGGATTTATCCTTTTAAGCGAGCTGCGGAAAAGCAGCTGCTCCTGACACCACTCTTTACCAGTATGCCGTACCCTGCTCCATGTTTACATGCTTACCCTTCATAGAGTCCATGAGCTCCTGCTTCCCGAACACGTCCTTCACCAGACCGTTCTCCTTGTGCTCCTTGAAGCGTGACCAGTCGGTGGTTACCATACCCGCGGAATCCTGGCCGCGATGTTGCAGCATGAGCAAGCCCTCATACAGCTCGACGTTGGCGTTGCCCTCGTATTTAAAAATGCCGATAATTCCGCACATACGAGGCGCACTCCTGAGGATCACGGTGGTGTGGCGAAGGTCGTCGCCCGGCCCACATGTAAAAGCCACCCCTTGGCGGCGTTGCAATCGCACCTCTTGTAGGCCTTCGCGCCACCGCCAACAATTCGCGACATCCGAGCGTTGCCTAAGGCGACCTTGCCCTTCAAAGCAGCCGCGTTGGAGAACGTGCTGACCAGGTGGCTGGGTAGGGCGGGCATCGCGGCGCGCATGGTGCGCACCGCCGTGCCAACGCGAGCCGACACTTTGACTGCTCGCCGCTGAGCACAAGCCCTAACAACGTTCTTTTGCGATAGCATCATGATTGTTATATTTGCGATATGGTAGATATTGAAAATTCAAGTCTACAGAAGAACCTTGTGGGGCAAAGTCACCTAAGTCAACAGCAGAAGCCCCTAGACGTAATAGCGGTTGGGATTGGAGCAACCCGGCAACAGCAATACTTGGGATCGGCTTGTGCATAGGGCACACACCCGAGCTCAACGCCGTCGTACTGTGGCATGCACCGTACAATGCTGCAATCATGTTGTCCAACCGCTGTAGCCGAAGCTTGGTGTAGGTTGCAACGATTAGATTCGCAACTAAAAAGGCTACCCTCTTACTATATCACTTTGGCTGGTTTCGGCACTGCAGGGTGGGCGGCCAAGCTGTAATTTTTTGCTAAGGCCAGTGCGTAATATAAGCTCTTAACAACTAGCTATAATAGCTTACAAACTAACGCAATGCTGAGAGCTGGTTGCGCAAGCCAAATCGCTGTTCGCGCTTGGGCAAGCGCAGCATGTTCTGCCCAAGGTGCGTAATATGTTAGCGAGTAGATTTATGTCCCTCTGTTAGTGAACGCCTATGACTTTTGCCCATCTCTACAGGCCCGAATGGAGCAGCAGCTGCATGCTCTAGCGAGGCGTCCCCTGTCCAATGGGCTTGCCGCTGGTTTACGCACGATTCTGCGACGAACCAGGCGTCCTTCTCAGCCGATAGCAGCCCCAGCAGCAGCGCTCGCGTCAGCCTCCAACCAGCAGGTCCATCGCATGCCGCACACTTCTCCACTGCTTCTGCGGCTTTAGCGACAGCTGGCGCCACGGCCGCATCCGCAGGCCGGCAGCGACTGGAAGTGGTGACCGACATCCCGGTTAAGGCGCGCGCCAAGCTTGCAGACGAGTTGAACCAAGGTCCCTCAGCCCGTGGGCGACGTGAACGGCGGCCGCAGGCTGCAGCAAGCGCCGACGGAGACGCCGCCGCCGCACTGGCTGCAGAGTCGGGGAAGGCCGGGGCCACGGTTTCGGAGCTGGACGAGGAGGAGGTCCGGATCGTATTCGACAAGCTTGTGGGCGGCCTGACAAAGTCAGGACGCAAGGGCACCGCACGACGGATTGTGTTGGATGCCATGCGGATTATGCGACAGCAGCTGCGGAAGGGTAGCCTTGAGGAGGTCAAGTAACGGCATGTGTAATCGTACACGGCGAATTTTGCATGACGTCTTGGCTTAGGTCTACAGTGAGAGGCTACGCGCTGCATGCGGTAATTGGCATGGGACGCCGCGTGCTGTGCTCGGGCCTCTTTCCTGTTGAATCCAATGGCTTATGTTTATGGCATGGCCTATGTGGCCCTTAGGGTTGTGCGTCGCGCTTGAGTCGTTCTGACTGCCCTGTGATGATGGCCGTCTTAAGCATGGCAGGGGCAGCGAGAATGCTGGTGCCGTAAGGTTAGTAAGGGCTTCCGGTGCCGCACACCCTCTCATGCTTTGGGTGTGAAAGCCATGGCGCTAGGGTCGGAAGCTTTCATTGATTTGCATGGGTTGCCAAACCTCCTTCCTGGTAGCGGTGGCTGGGAGACGTCGGGAAGTGTCTCTTGGGCGTTATGACGGTTACCGAGCATGCAAACACCAGATTCGGATGCTTTTGCGGATGTGTCACGTACTGTAGTGGCTAGGTTGGCGGGCGTTTGGGGCCGGCAGCTCGCTTGGGTAGAATCAGGCTGGTCCGTAAGCCATCAGGGCTGTGGTGTTCTAGAGCTTTGCGTCGATTACGGTGGTAAAGGAGTCCATTGGTGGTGGTGTTGGGGACAGTGAATGGAGGAGTTGCAGCACAAGGATAGAAACCGATTACGACCAACCAACCAACTGCAACGGGGCTACAGAGCTTCTCCAGCTTAAGGCTGGGATCTGTGCAACCCTCGCTGTTGTAGACCAGAGCACAAAGTAGCGTCATACTAACTTGGCTTTCCACACGGTTTGTGGGCATGTAACGAGTTAACGATCCCACAGACAGGTAGGTTGCCGGAAGACCTGCTTTGAAGTCGCCCTCGCTGCCACACACCGTGTACCGGTATGCTGTACGGTGATACGGGTTTCGGTCTGGTGTGTGATGATAGCCAAGGGTGTTGGTGCAAAATAAAGATAGGGTGTTGGGGCGGGGTAGGGTAACAACGAGGCGAAGCACAGAGTATTCATGACGGACTTGCAATTTGCTGTGCAGCTGGATGGCTATTAGGACGGCTTCACGTACTACAGGAGCCGCCGACTAACGTGTACAGCAAGGATGACCACTTCACGCAGGGTTGCAAGCAAGCAAGGGCTGTTTCACCGTAAAACTGGTACAACATACCCGCTATGCCGAAAGCTTGCTGATGCCGCTTTCTTGAAATTAATGACAGGCAAACTTCAGCGTTCAGCCCGACGATAGGATACGAGCATACGACACTTCCCGGATCTATCTCGGATTCGAGCACGACCTTGGGGATACTCGCTTCCAAACTAGCTATTATCCTATTATAACATACTGTGTGTACCTTGCTGCTCTGTCTGCCTTCGGGCGCTTCGCTTGTTGCAAGCATCGTCTCGCTCTCAGAATTGCAATTTGGTTCGGCCGCAGCCACATCACCCAGGGCGAGTAGAAATGTCGTGTCATTCCTCCTGGCCCCTGTTACAGCTGCCTCCGGACTTAGTTAGTCGCATTACCCACATGCTGCCAGCCAATGAAATCCCGTGTGCGCTGCGATTCGTCAACAAAGACGCTGCCGGATACTTCAGTAGTCAAGATAACACCACTGTACATCTGTCAACGCTTTCCCCTTGCGATGAATTCGCAAGGCGGTGGGGCAGCCCCGATGCCACCCGGAACCGCACCGCCCGGCAGCGTCACCAGCTTGTTTGCCTGACGGCTGGCACTGGTAACCTCGAGAATCTCAAGACGGCCGTTTCTTGCACCGGATTGCTGCCGTCGGCAGGGCCGATTTCGAGCGCAGCTGCAGCAGGCCATATGGAGGTGTGTCGTTGGCTTATTGAGAACGGCTACCCCTTTCACGATGCTCTCGGCGCAGCAGCAAAAGCTGGGCGACGTGACGCATGCGAGTGGCTTCTCGCCCATGGATGCCCCTGGGGTCACACTTCTGTCTGGGATGCGCTATGCCACGGGCATGTCGACCTCGCAGAATGGCTGGTTAGCCAGATTCCGGAGGTGGCGCGCCATGTGTATGTATCCCAATGGTTGCTAGCGGCGACAACGGGTTGCGATCTTGCAACACTGCAGCGGCTGCACCATATGTGGGTAGGCGGCCGGGCGTTGGACCAGCTGGGTCCTTTCACTTTGAGCTCAATAATGGGCTGCGCTGCCGGCAGCCCCACACGTGACTGGCAGGACAAGGTGGAGTGGCTGGAAGCACGTGGCTCGCTACAGCCGGGGCTCGTCCACCTGCTGCGGCGCCACTGACCAGCCGGATGCACTGAACCGTCTGATGTGGCTGACTGGAAGGGGCTACGAGCTGAGTTCATACGTTGGCACAGCTGCTGTTCGAAATGGTCGTGCTGACGTGGTGCGCTACTTGCTGCTGGAGGGCTTTAGGGAGCCCACGGATTTCGGCTTGCCCTGGGTTGAGCTTGCAGCGCAAGAAGGACGCCTGGAGACCCTGAAGGTGTTACACGAGTGGGGCTTCCCTTTAAGCGACCAGGTGCTGCACTATGCAGAATCGAGCCAGCACTGGGCGGTGGTGGGTTGGTTCCTCAAGTTGGTTCAGGAGGGGGAAGAGGTGGAGGTGGACGTCCCGGGTGTCTTCCAAGGTGCCGCCTCTTCAGGGCACCTGGGGCTTATGACCTCGTTCCTGGACGCCTGTCGCCGTGACAGCGTCAGTGCTGGGACTGCGGAACAGGCATGGCCGTACGACACGTTCAGTGAGCCTCTGGCCTGCATTGCGTTTACGTGTGCCGCTGAAGGGGGCTGCCTGGAGGCGCTGGAGTGGCTAACTGAACAGGGCTGCCCCATGCCGGTGAGTCACTGAACTGGGGATTCCTTCTTTCCTTCCTTGCTGGTCAAAACCACATTTGCGGATTTCGGGCCTGCCTCTGAGCAGTGAGGACCCCCGCCTTTGCATGTTGTTGCTTGGTAGACGTGCTCGCCGTTTCTATTCCTTCAATGGATAAAGAGCCCTTTTTGGCTTCACCCTGTCTTCAACCTACCTTGGGTCCACCATTTTGCTGCCATTTGTCCCATGCCACAGGAGGACGGCAAGCCGTACTGGTTGGCTGCCCAGAACGGCGACATGGCCACACTGCGCTGCCTGCGGCGGCTGGGCTGCCCCTGGGGCCCGCCCGGGTGGCTCGTCAGCGAATGCGTCAAGTATGTTTCTTGTTGCCGGCTACCAGTGCTGCAGTGGATGCTTGCGGAGGGGTGCCCAGCGGACCTGGGACAGGCGCTGGAGGCAGTGCGAGTGCGGATTGCGTACGATGGGGGGACGGAGGAGATGCTGCGGGTGCAAGAGTGGCTGGGAGAGCAGCTGTTGCGGCAGCTGTGGCACCGGCTGTGGCTAGAGTAGGCGTAGTGCGGGGTAGCATGGCGGCGTGGAGGCAGGGAACGAAAGCGCAGTGTTCCCCTCAGCGTGGATCCTGGCTTCACGCATGCATGGAATGCATATGGACGGGTGAGGACAGATTGTATGTCCACCTTGCAGCTGCAATAGAGGTTCGAGTAGTGCGACATGATATGGCAAATTTCAAAGGGGACAGCAGGGCAGGCAGTGGTCGCCTTGTCCCTGGGGAAACAGATGGTGTTGTGATCATGGGTAATTTGGTATACTGCAGGGCCAAAGAGGGGAAAGAGTCGGTGTCCGTATACGGTAAAAAGCATTTAGGGTTTTTGGTTCCTATCCTGCTGTGCACAGGGACAGGGGCCTGCACCCGTAAATAAATGCCGATAAAGTATAAGTGGCTTGAAGGTATTGGCATCTCCGACTGCATGCGTGCTGTCTTGGAAGGAGTCGCATGACGGGCATTGTCGTGTCCTAACCATGCGTTACCGGTAGCGAAATCATGGGTCCGTGGTTGTTTTATAGCATGTCGGTTCGTTGCTTGAGCCTCTCAAGCATTCCAACTATACGATTACAGCGGCTGGGTTGCCGTATTCGCATATCCATCCGTTCATCGTTCCCTGGGGCTAACTGATTGTGTGCCGCAGTCTTTAGCCTTTGAATTGCGCCTGGTCGGCGCTGTACATGGCCTCCATGATGCTTTACCACATGTCGGAATTTCAACCATGTAATTGCCATCGGGTTTCAGAAAGCCTGGTAGGCATGTGCTGAGCACTGAACATTGTTACGGTACGCATTTTTAGCGCTGACGCCACTGCGTGGGCCTAGCCGGCCTCTAGCCAGCCCTATTGCGTAGCACCTAGTTGTCAGTCCCGGCAATTGAAAAAGCATGGCCGAAGCCGCCTGCCTAGCCGGCGCGTCGTACCGCTTATGGTATTGCCAGCGTTCATAGGGGTGCCCGCCTTCACGTTCCGCATTAGCATTCCTCACTTCCAGACAGCTGACTAATCCCTGGTGCTCGTGCCAGCACCGCCCATTCAGTCCTAGCATCGGATTGATGGGTGGTAAGCGCCTGTCTTGCCACGAAAAGCCCATGTCGTACCCCATGTCATTATTTTGTATGTTTCAGTCCTGGGGCTTGACAGCATTACTGCTGTAAGGTTCACATGACACCGCATATGCAACTAATGGCTCGGCAAGTGGTCAATTCAGATGCTCAATTCCTTGCCTGCTAGGCCTTACTTACGGAGGCAGGATGTGAAATGGTTGCAATGGCGAATAAGAAGGGCTTGCCGAGTACCGGTAGTGAATTCTGGGGCTTCCTTTTATTTAGCGCAACTGGTGGCAGCTGCCGCCTTGCACGCGCCGCTTTCGGGTGTAGAGTTGCAGCTTTGAAGCTTAAATTCCGCTGCAAAGGCACTTGTTGTTCAAGAGCGCTTGGCAACGGCACCAAGGGGAAACCGATCAGTCGAAGCTTGGGTTAAAATGCATATCTACGTAGCTGTAGGGTACGGACTAATGCATTGGAACCTGGGATGACTGCCATGACTGCCATGCATAGTGCAACGCAGCGGCGAGCTGACGAGTGGGAAGGAAGAGGCTCAAAATGGTTGCAGAAGCGCTTCAACTAAAGGACATGACGCAACATGTATCGTAAATAGATACTAGACTTCCATCGCCAACGGATTGCCCAAGGACGAGCCATTGAGCGGCTCGCGATCATTATTACCGGTATAATAATAATCTATCACATTTATGGTACGGTGTAGGGCTCTCCCGCACTGCCGCACAATCTCACGAACCGTTATGTTCAAGAGTTGGAGCAACAATTGTTAGGATAAGGATACATAACCGTTCTTGGACACTTGATTGCCTAGCTAGTGAGCACGACCGGCTGCGGACCTAGCCTATATAGGGCCTATACGCACAAAATAGGATGCAAAAGACTCTAACTTGGCAACATCAAAGCTCTACACAATCTTAGCCATAGCTGCATCAGTGGGGTTCGGCATCTTAAGGAGCCCGACGGCTGCCCTCGAAATTGCGTAACAGGCACACTCAATCTGGACATGAAATTCATTCGCAACAGCTCGCAACCCACAGAAACGGCACAAACGCTGATCTCTAGCCAGTCGCCGCGCCCCGGTACCAAGGCAATTCACCGCAATGGCGGCTTGCGTTCTGATTCTTCGTACGAAACGGGCCCGTAGGTACTTGAAGTCGTTTATACAGTGGAGCTAAATATACTTTAAAGTATGCCTTGTACGTGGGTTTACGTGGCTGTTGTATAAATTTATCTTAGTAACTCGTGCCGGTATACACGAATGGCAATCACAATGTTCTCACTTCAAGCTTCGTTCACGCTTAATAAACCTCTTCCAGCCTTTTGTATTTAGCTAAGCCTGCACTGCATAATAAGCACAATGTTTAGTTGCTTCAGTTGTGACTCCCAGGGTACTGCCCCTGCTAAGCGAAGCTTTATTGCGCCCGGAGGGCCCAAGACCCATGGCAGTACAGCTGGCGTTTTGTCGTCGTCAACTTCAGTCGGCGGCGGACTTCAGCATCCCGCGGCGGTGGCGTTCCGGTCGGGGAAGTGAGTCGAGAGGCCTCATGCATGCATCTTTCGTCAGCTTGATAGCAGCTGCTTCTTAGCCCCCCTGGCCGAGGGAAATGGCCTTTAATTTGAAGCTCTTGCACGCGCACATAATGTTGTGTCCTGCTTCCGGCAAGCTGCTGGCCTTCCCTGATGGCTATCGCACCTGCTGCTTAATGAAGGCAGGAATCACTCCAGCATCCTAGCCCTAAACTGTCCAAGCAATTCATTACTCCTCACTGCACAAGCTCGCAGCTACCCTCATACAACCTATTACCGCTCCATCCCAACAGCATCGGCATCACCTTTAGCGGGGCCGGCTTCCTGCTCCCGTACTTCATCGGTGTCACCGAAGTCCTGCAGCACCTCCGCGTCCTCCGCCCTGGCCGCTCCACCCCCGTCGCCGGCTCCTCCGCCGGCAGCCTCGTCGCAGTCAGCATCGCCTGCGGCCTCTCTATGACCCAAATGTACGACAGCTTCCTGGATACCGTACGAGACTGTCGTACAAACGGCTCTTACCGCCGCTTGGATGTCGTACTCAGACGCTGGCTGGATTCCACTTTGCCGCCCGACGCCGCGGAGCGTTGCAGCGGCGTTGCTACAGTAGCCATCACACGCCTGTTCCCACGGCCGCGTGCCGAGACGATTAGCACCTTCACTTCACGAGAGGACCTCATAGCTGCGCTAATGACTTCTTGTCACATCCCGGCTTACTTTAACGGCGAGCTAACCGCCAACTTCCGCGGCAAAACGGCGATCGATGGCGGCGTGACATCGCTGATGCCGCGACCCACTGCGCCACATGACTTCCTGCTCAAGGTAGGTGGCGGTGGCTCAAGAAGCAACTAATCGTATGAGAACTTGGTAAGGCTTCATCATGGTTCGCAACATGGGGATCAATCGGGTATGCAACATGGGGGGAGGAAAGGAGGGTTAGAGGGTGCGGAAGGCAAGTACGAACATAAAACACTCCACTTACTGCGGGGAGAGTGTGGAGAGGAAGAACGGGGGGGAGGAGGAGTACAGCGTGGGGGATCCAACACAGCTCATGTGCACCTATCTGTGCCCTGTCCTGTCGCCCACCCCCCTCTTGCGTCAGGTGTGCTGCCTCCCTCGCGCCCAAGTGGCCCGCCTGCCCATCTTCAACCGGCGGCGGATGCTGGAGGACCTGCACCTGGGTATCACACCGGACGCGTTCGGAGCCTGGCCCTACGGGTGGGTTTGCGGAAAGGGGAGAATAAAAAATAATAAGACACTGACGATGCAATTGACGAGCTGGGGAAAGGGGGGAGGGAGGAAGCGCGGGAGGACATGCAAGAGAGGGTGGGGGTCCGGGTGACGGTCCACCTCACGCATTAAGCTTAATGGTTAGTGGCAATCCTCTCAATCGTCTGCCCCATTCATGCTCCTCCTTTACCCTCGCCCTACCCTCCCTTACCCACCCCCATGGCCCGCAGCCTGAAGGACATGTTGACTGCAGCCCTGCACCCCCACTCCGACGACTTCATCCAAACCCTGCTGGAGGCCGGCCGCCACGACGCAACCCACTGGGCCCACGCAACCGGACTCGCACCCCCCGGCCTGCCGCTGCCACCCCGACCGCCCATGCCGCCGCTCGTGCTGGGAGCACGAGCAGGCCCCGCGACGGCGAAGCCGTCGCCGACGGCTGCGGCGCCTGGAGGCGTCGTCGCCGCTGTTTCGGACGCGGAGGCGACGTCGGAGATTGCGGCGGAGGCCGCAGCGGCGGCGTCACTGGCGGCGCCATTGGGTCATGCCGCCGCCGCTTCCGGCGGCGTCGGCGGCCTTGTCGTCGGCGTCGGCGGTCCTGATCTGAGTGCGGTGTTGGCGACGGCTCTGTCTCACAGCCCCTCGACTGCTGCGGAGGCTGAGGCGGCGGCGGCGGTGGCGGCGGGCACAGAGGCGGCGCAGGAGCTGCTGCAGCAGCTGCAGCTGCAGGTGCACCCGCAGCCGGAGCCGCGGGAGGAGCCTGTGACACCGCAGCTGCGAGACCACCAGCAGCAGCAGCCTGCTATCCACCACCCCAGCCTGCCACCAACGTCCTCACCCCCTACCTGCTCCATTTGTTCATTAATATATATGACAGCGCGTTCCCTGCTGGCTTCACGGCAAGTACGCTCACTCCCTTGTTCAAGGAGCAGGGTAATGCCTGCATTCGTGGTAACGACAGGGTAATAGCCGTTGGCGGGGCCCTGTCCACGTGTCATGCTACGGTGCTTGCCAGACGCATTAATACATGCACTGAGCGGTATGGCGTGTGGCCAGTTGCGCAGGCTGGGTTTAGGAATAAACAGGGGACCACTTTTTTATCCTGCGGCATTTGATTAGTGAACATACTAGGGCTGACCCTGGCCCCCTTATCGCCATGCAAGTAGACATTGCTAAAGCTTTCGGTTACGTTGATTATTGTACGATCTGGGCCTTACTTGAATCCCTCGGCATCCATGAGCGGATGAGACACTCAAGTCCAGATATGCAGACGCCGAGATGCGTGTCAAGGTTGACGGCCAGCTGGGACCTACCTTCTCCGTTGGCCGGGAGGTCAAACAGGGGAGCCCTTGAATGTCACGCTGTTTGGGCTATTCATTGAGACGCTCGCACGCTACATTTATGCCCATGATAGAGATCTCCGTGATGGGGGTGGAGGCGAGCGAGATATGATGAAGCTTAGAAGCCCCACCCTTGGCGGTGGAGGCCTTATTAGGATATGTTTCGTTGGTGGAGCATCCCTACTGGCCACTGGCCACAAGAGGGCTCAGGTGATACCAGTAGTTTTAAGATATTTTTTCGGGCTTGGGGAATGGCCGTCAATGGGCCGAAGTGTGAGGTCCTCGTGTTTGGGGAAACCGCGGACGCGCGGAGGATATCAGCAGGAGCCGCAGGTTCATGATGGCTAGCGCACACCTTGATGTGCTTCCAGAGCAAGATACCATAGTCTACCTTGGAGTGCGAAACCGCACTGAACGACATCTCTCTGCTTGCACCTGCGAGCGCCTTGTGGCCGATCGCAAGGTCACTTATCCGCTTAAAGCTGTGTTTGGGTTTAAGGGTATTCACGCCTCTAAGACATGCGTGGAGCTCGCTGACTCGTTGGTTCTCTATACGTTCGAGTCAGCCATGGGTGACCCCATGGTGCAGGAGCAACGGGCTCTCTTGAGGGAGATTGTTGTGGTGAGAACCCCAGCACCATAGTCTCCATGTACAGGAAGTCGTCTCAGCTCCCCCTGCAGTACCATTGGGCCAAGGTTACCTTGCACAACCTTGTCCGGACGAGAGGAAACCGAGGGAAAGGTGGCCGGCAAGCAGGGACAGAAGAAGCCAAGGCGAGCGTGAAAGGCAGGGGCTAGGGGGCGGGCGGACGGCAGCGGTTTCGGCACTCGCCTTAATGTTTGGGAGACAGCTCTGTAGCGTGTTGCTTTCCTAGTTTTATGCATGTGAGGCATGAAAGGTGGCGTGTGTGCGCGAACTTGGTGTGTTAATTGGGGTAATACATGTTCACTACTTAGAGGACGGATCCTGAGGCATGCTCCGTGTGCAAGTCTTCGGTGGCATGTCTGGATGAGTAGGGGCTGGATTAGGACCCACTGAACGGAAAAACCATCGCAATACAGACGTTCATTTAGGCCACAGTGCCTGCCTAATAACCATTGTAAGGTCTGGCCCATTACTGGCCTGTTAACTGTCCTGGTAACTGTCCATCATTACTGGCCCAGTTACTGGCCCTAGTACGATTACTAGGTTATTGGCTGGTAACCATAGTGAGGCAGTAACTTAACTACCCCGGTAAACTTTACTAGGGGGTTACGGGGGTGGTGTATGCCATAGGGTAGCAGCTTGGTAGATTAGCAACTGGTTCCACATTTTCATCAAGCCTCCCTTCGGTCGGGTGAGAAGGCAAAAACTGCTGGGCACGCTTCGCATAGCCTAGAGTTGTTGGTGAATCAGGGCAGGAAGGCACCATGGTGCTAAGCCCGTCTCTGTGCATGTAAGAGAGATACGCATACGCCTATGCTTCCAACCGCGGGCCGGGCCAGTGTGGTGCAGCGGGCCGGCCACACATGCGTACTTGGCTGCCTGCGCGCATGGGTGCTGCATGGACGGGGACGCTGGGTGCAAGTGTGCACTTTTTGAGACATGTCCTATACACAAGCAGGTATTTGGTGACCCCATCTCGGATGTGTTCCTGCCCGAAGCCCGGCACGGACGTCCATGGGCCGTTCGATACGAAGAGTTGCGTTCCGGCGTAGCTTCTTTCATACACTTATAAAGCATGTGCCACAGCAAATGCCTTGCATGGTTTCGCTTTATTTCATGCTACCCGGCAAGACGGGTTCTGGAGCGACAAAACGCGTTCGTACAGTAGCATTTTGCGGGCGTAACATTAATGGCGTGCCTTCGAAATTTGCAGATTTCTCATTCCACATGTTGGTATTTTAGTGTCTAGAGCAGCATGTAGGCTTCCACGTTTCAACATGCACCTTGTTGTCCTCCAACATGGGGTTTGGGGGGACCCGTCAAACACTCGCTATCTTGCTACATTGCTCTCTAACTACTTTGACCAAAGCGCGCATGTGCTGAACTTTGCTGGTAATTCAGGGGTAAGCACTACCGTTGCAGTCGTGATGAAGGGCCAGCCATCATTTTGCAATCCTGACCTTCGCTCATTCACAGCTTGCAACATATGATGGGATCGACGTTTGTGGAGAGCGCCTCTTGCAAGGAGTTAAGAGTCAGCATGAGGAACTTGCACGTCAGGGCAAGACCCCAACGCACATTAGCTTTATCGGCTACAGCATGGGTGGTCTTATTGCTCGTTATGCGGTGGGCAGGTAAACTATTTTGGCAAACGCAATGAGTCGTCTATGTGCGCAGTAGGAAGTTGACAAGGCACAGACGCAAGCTTCTGTTGCACCGCTCGCAGGCTATTATCCGACGGGTACTTCCAGCATGTGGTGCCGCTGAACTTCATTACTGTAGCTACGCCTCATTTGGGCGCCTGGCGCATACCCACTGATGCCTACGTTCGTTTCCTCAACACGGCATCCCCGATTGCACTGTCTCGATGCGGAAACCAGCTGTACCTCAAGGATGTTACTTCCTGGGGCGCACCTTTGCTTTGCGTTCTTACACATCCTGATTTACAATGGATGGCCGCCCTTCGTGGCTTCAAGAACTTGGTTGTAATGGCCAACGTACGACATGACTGGTGCGTTGGTTGCGCCATCTTTCTAAAGAGTGCTAATTGCGTCGCCGTCGCCTCTACTCGCTGCTCGGTTATCGGCTTGCTGGCACTTGTCGCTGCTGATGCCGCCCTTTATTTGCATACCGCTGCAGGATGGTGCCCTTCTGCTCCGCGACCATGCAGCTGCACAACCCTTACTCGAAAGGGCCCAGCAGCGGGGCCAGCGCTGCCACCAAGGCAGTTGCGTTGCCCGTGGACTTGGCCTACACATCCATCGTGCGGCTGGTCAAACCCGGAGAAACCCCACCACATCCCCCAGTTCCCCCGCGGCCCCGGCGTGGCTGGTTCCTGTTGGCGCTCTTTGTCATTGTGGTGATCGCCCTCTTTCCGCTGGCGTTGCTGCTGGTGCTGCTCCTTGTGCTAATCGGCTGGGCCCACAGCTTGCGAGCAATGCCAATGGCAACGGCTGGCCGAGTGCGGCAGGCATGCAACGTCTCCATGAACGTCAGCGATGGAACCCTGCCGGGTGGTGGCGACATTGAAATGGGCGTGGTACGGGTTCAGCAGCCCCCGGGCTTTGGCGAGGTGCCGAACCAGCCGCTCCCGCCCACAGACCAGCAGCAGCAACAGGGAAAGGAAGGACACGTGCAGCAAGTGTGCCAGCTCGGGCGGTGCGAGGGGGAATCTACAGCGGCGAGCATGACCGACGGCGGGTTGGGGGTTGTGCTTAGGTTCAGCGAAGGCAGGGGTGGGCCCAAGGGTTCGGATGAAAGAGTTCTCCTGCATGCTGACGGCGGCACGCGGCAACACAGCCACCACCAGCAGTGCTTGTTTGCGGGGCTTCCTCTACAGGACAAGCGCGCGTTGCAGGTGCGGGGGATGGCTTGGTGGCCGTGCATTAGGTGTCTTGCAGCCGGTAAAGCTACAGGGATGTGTTGTTGGCGGGGCAGCGTCATGTGGCGGGAACGCATCCCTTCCCGAGGCCGGTATCTGGGATACAAAGCAATGCTAGCACGTTGTCTGGAGCGTGTGAGGTGGCGTCAGGGCCCTCACGTCCTGCCTGTCTGTCTGCCTGCCGGGGCCCGCGTGCCAGGTTGTAGTGATGATGGCTGGCTGCAAGTCATGGCATCCAAGCGCAATGTTATCCGCATCCCTTAATCCCGCAGTCCTTCACCGAACCTCACGACCTAACTAAACATACTCATTTTACCCACGTAACCCACCGCTCCACTCCGCTACCCACTGCTCTGCACCCACGCCTCAGGAGTGGCTCGCGGCCCAGCTGGCGGGCCTGCCGGTGCGGGTGGTGCACGTAGACACCCGCGACGTCTTCCACGCGCACGCCGCCATCATTGTGTGGAATCGCGTGTTCCACCACTGCCGGGACGGCATGGCTTACCTCGTAGAGCGCTGCATGGTTGTGCCATGAGCGCTGCGAGGCGGTGATCTTCTGGGACCGTGAACAGCACGTTGGAGTGGCTGCACAGCGCCATATAACTTAGATGGTCCTGAGATACTAAGGCAGTCATCATAGGTAGACTTCTATCACCGGGAGTGCACTACTTTGACGCTTTGATACCTTGAAGCTTATCGCCAATCGCTCGTGGGCGTGTTGGTTGGGGGCAGGGTGTGCGAAATGTTCGGTGGCGCCTGTATGGACTGACGTTGTTGGCGGATATTGGTGGACCCCGCGGTGAACCATGGGTCATGTCCCGGTATTATATGCTACATTACATTATATGCTACATTATGCACAGCGACCCCCAAACTCTGTAGTAGATATGTACCATCTTGTGCAGCATGATTGTTCGCGTTTGTGTGTGTTGTTGCTGCTAAGCTTGTCGCCTTATTAATGCGCCCTCTGCTATCCAGGTGGCTACTGTGAAGTCTTTATCGGCAATGATTGCAGGGCTAGCCGGTCTCGCCATTCCAGGGCAGCCCAAGGAAGCCAGTTGCGAAACGTTGGCTTGTCAACTGTACAGTGCTCGGGGCACTTAGCTTTATTAGCAGCAATAAGTACGGTTCAAATGTAAACGCTTACATGGTGTTCCGTTCTCCTCCTGCTGTCAAGGATGGAGCAGCAGCACCGCACCCCAACGGGGCGCGCCTCTCAGCCGAGGCAGAGCCGCAATAAACTCAGGCCATGTCGGCACATCTCGGGTACAGAGATCACGCAGGCCTTACCAAGTTATCACGTAGCCACAGATAGCAAATGCGATACGGGTGAAACGGCACTAGCAACCATACACAAGGCGGCGGGCCCATGGCCGCGTGACCTGCTACTCTGTCCCTCTTGTAAGCTGTAACGTCCCCTCGCCGGGCATATCTGTGGCAGAGTTGCCACTGTGTGTCCCTCGGGTTGGCGCCAGCCAGGCTATGAGCCGCGAAGCTTTCTACGGTGCCTATCTGCGAGTTCGGGTTGTCTCGGCTAAAGCTCGCGAGCGCCTCCTTCAGTAATCGGCGGCTCCAGTGCTGGTTTATGCTCCAGGCGGGCGCCACTGGCTCCCTGCCGCTGATCCCAATGACCGGCGCCTGGTCAAATAATTCGAAGCCACCACTTAGGTGTCCTCGCCCGTAGCCCCACACCAGTGGTTGGCTCCTCACTATCTGCCTCAGGAGGCCAGACGCACCCCAGAGCGCATACCCATCACCGTGTGAAGGGTTTGCGCTGGATCCGACTCCTCCAACGCTTCAGCCGAAGGTCCAACGTCTGCGACCGGTGCGGACACCAACGCTGGCGCACGTGCTACTGTTGGTTTTGCTATCAAGCCAGGCCCCTCAGCAGCGTTGACCGCCGGCGCTTCTGTCAAGGGCTGCCACGGCTGCGAACCTTGTTGTTGTCGATCTCCTTGTTGCTGCCGTTCCCCGCCCTCCATTGCGCCTGGTGTGGAAGTTAGTCTACACAGCAGCACATGAGACAGGTTATGAGAACAGTTAGCTCTGGAACGCGATACGGTGTTCTTTGACCCTATGTGCCTCTCATACAAACGGCTTGGAGAAGAGCGGACTCCTGGCGGAGTAAAGCCCTTCCCAACACTAGCTACTGCAGGTTGGCTGTACGGTAACGGCTACCGGCCGGCCTTGGATGCGGTGGCGGCTGGTGGCCTGATTAGACACCCTTGCCTGCTCACCCACCCACCCATGCACTCGCCTATAGTTTACGATGATCGTTGCGTTATAGCTGTGGACGGAGATGAAAGCGATTCCCAGGAAACCCAGGAGGAATCCTAAGTACCACACCATGGCGATGAAGGTGGTCTGACAAGTGGAGGGGAAGGGTTGGTGCACGCGCTGGATGAGTTTGGGACGTGGGTTGGAGTTGAAATCAGTGGCCCCTCCTGCACTGGGTGATCTGAACGGGTGCGAGCCAGCTACCGGTACCTTGCATTCTTATGCATCAATAATGTCGCGCATGCTCAAAACTGGTCTTCGGAGCTGAGCGGTTAGAGAAATGTTCCTACCCCTGGCCGAACTGCGGTATGCCGCTACTACAAATGGCGGTTGTAGAGCCAACGCAAGCAAATACCAACATTACCGGTAGTGACGGTTGCTGGGCGAACTCTGGCATGCACGTACCCGTCCGTAATTGCTGTAGATGGACGCCATGCAGCCGCCCACCATGGTGCCGATGGAGCAAACGAACATGAACACCCCCAGGTCGCTCAGGCGCTGGAACCTGGGTGGTAAAGAGGGAGGGATTAGACAAACTGACCCGCGGAAACACTGACCCTGAGGGAGGAAGTGAGGGAGGTGACGAAACACCATGCACGTACATTGATGTGCAACACTCGAGAATAATGCGAGCCCTAGTGTGGGGCAGCGCATATTTGCCAATTATGTCAGCATTGGCACAGCCAGGGGACAGAACTGCAAACGTGTGTGGTTGCCAGGTGTGGTGGAAGTGGGGACATCACTGAAGCATGCCAGATGGCACCCTGTTGGCGACATTGCATCACCGCGCCTAACAGGATATTCATAATGTTGGCTCCACCCCAACCGCCTTCACCCCTCAGGTGCACCTTTGAACGAAGGACCGGATGTTTTCATCCGTAGGCATCATGTCGATGCTGAAGATCAGCAGTGTGCATATCATCTGCAGTTGCAGTGGGGCAGGTACAGCAGGTACGACAGCATAAGGTTGACAAGTACGACAACAGGAGCAGCAGCAGCGGCAAGGGGCGTACTCCAATCTGCGGAACACAACAGTGCACACGATTACCTTGACAACCGGGAATTAACAATACCACAACTCACCACAACTGTGAACGATAGTCCAAAAGAGATTACAATACAGTACACAAAAGCCTTCGCCACCGGTGTAGCCTCTTCGTCCGATTTCCACTGCTGGTCTGGGCTGATGACTGTGGGCAGTACGACACCTGGGGCCGCGCAGTCGAAAGGGGGTTTGCAGCAGCGCTCAGCAGGTAGACGATTGCGGGTACATGCTGGTTTACAGTTAGGTAGGTAAGAATGGTAGCTACAGATTGTGCCAGCTGTGCTGCTAATGGGCCAGGCGCAGCAGTACCGGGGATTAATGAGGGCTAGTTAGTGAGGGTCTCCAAACCTGCAGACCATACACATTGGGTCCCACCTGACAGGAGAGCTGATACGACGCCTAGTGTTGTCCACATACTGCAGGCGCCAACGAGGTGTAATTTGGATGCCAGCCAAAACTGCTGGTCGACGATGTATGGCATGCGAACGGTCACAAGACACGCTAGCAAGGGACGCAACGTACGCTTTCAGTCTCTCTCGGAGCTCTTGTGGTTTGCCTCTGATGGCCAGAGTTCCAAGAAAGCCTTCCTCTCGCAAAGCGAGGTACTGGGCACGGAAAAAGCCAACATTCGGCAAGGGTCCTTGAGCTGATCTCCACTCAGACGCCGCACCGGATGGATGAACCTTAGCACGCATCTGTCATATGTATAACTGCTGCTGGAAGCGTTGAATGATGTCTGACTTTGCGGTTGTTTGTGATGTCTAAAGAGCTAGTTCGTGGACATTATCTTCGAAACATATGAAAATAGCACGAGTATAGTAGCAGTGATATCGATAGGCACTTATGAACGCCCAGTATGCTTTCGTGTTCTTGTAACCGTCGACAAGGTCATCGAAGGCCGTCAGAAGCCGCTGAGTGGGACCAGCGCTATAGCCTAAGGGGCCATTCACATTGAGGCTGAATTAGGTTAGGCTGTAACCGAAAGTGAATACAATATTCAATTCCGCCTCATTCACATTGAGGCCAATATGCTGGCGGCAATTTAGTATTCGCCTCACGTTCTCTACTTTCAGAAGTAGAGAATCGAAGCTGAAACCGAAATACTTGCAATAGAGTAAAATATTCACCCCGACGGCTCGCAAAGTAGTTCACAGACCCAAACCAATTCGCAACGCTATAGATCCCCGATAAATACACGACCAAATGCACCTATTTACTTGATAATCCGGCAAGCTTTTCGCGGTTCGCGGCGCTCTTATGAGTGGCCTTTCTGATGTGGCGATGACCTAAACTAAGGCGACCTGAGCCCCAGCTTAGGTATGCGGTTAACATTAATGAAAGCTACCAGCCTAGCGAAGATGGGGACCATGACAGTGAGGAGCTAGGCACTTTGCCCTTGGTGGCGGACCCTGCTGAGCTAAGTGGTGTTGCTTCAGCGGCTGCTCAAACAACACCACTTACAATTCTACTATCTCAAACTTAGGCTCGTGCTCGCAACCCGTCAACTTTCTGGCAAGTCGGTAAAAGCCTCACTTTCTTTGCAAAGTTCCCAATGTGAACGAAATCTGAGGCCGAAACGGGTTTGCGCCTCATGCGGCTTCACTGAATATAACACTCAAAATCCTAATGTGAATAGCCCCTGAAGTGTATCAAACAGTTCAACATGCATCTTTCGCATTTTACGGGGCACTGAAACTAATCGGTTGCTGCAGAGTGCAGACCCCAAGACATATTCCTGCGCCCGCTACGCGTCATGTCAGGTCCCTCTGTTTTATTGACATATGGCTGATATTCACCGCCATTGACGGGGCGTTGTTGGGTGCTAGGCAGCAGCGGGGTACGGAACACCATGTCATGGAGAGATTTTTATGAGCTCTTCGGAGCGTGTAGAACATGCTTTTGATTCCAGGTGATCCGTGAGGCACCGCGCCGTGGAAATAAAAGAACGGCCTCAGGGACACCCCCTACAAATTAACTCTAACTTTCGGCCTATTTAGGCATGGTAGCCTTGAACAAATTGCCTTCGACATGTACATCTCTTATTCTATTTCGAAAAAGCAGCGTACTTTTAAACGGAAATGCGCTCAAGAAGGTCAAGATGCTGAAATACTGCCCTGCTGTCAAGATGCTGAAGTACTGCCCTGTGACGTATTGCGCACCTATACGTTTCACGAACTTTGTCGAAAACGTACCGCCATATCTGCTGAAAGTTACAGCGGCGAGAAGGAAGCGTCTGTAAGTATGTGCTCGTAGCTTGTCGTAGATTGGCTACTACCGGTATTCCCCCCCGAGGTGTTATCAGGAATTGGAATCCAGTATTCGGCTGCTAAACGCGCGCCAGTGAGGGAAAGAAAACCACCCTTTGCCTACGTGGTGTATCCGGAATTCGCTGGTGCGGTGTAGTAGCTATCCCACGCCCCAGCGGCTACAAACGCAATTGCTGCTCTTTGGACGGTTCGCCTCGGTTGCAAAAATGGACACTGCCCGCCCCCCCCGCCCTTACACTGGACATAAGCATATTGAGCAGCGCCGGCTGTGCGACGTCTGCTTGCACTTTGGCAAATGGGTCCCGACCATGGTCGCCAACACTGCACCCCCCAAGCCAACAGTTTCTTCAAGAGAGTATGTCTAAAGACAAGGATATGAGAGCTGCTGTACTGCAGGTGATTCTGTGACCCATGATGTCGTCACGAGTTTCAGTGCATAGTAAACTCCACTTGTACGCTGCAATGCGTCTATCTCACAACATATTCAACACATGTTTACCAGTCGTCATACGTGTCCAACGTGTGGGCAAGGAAATCATGCACAGTTACAAAACGAAGCAAGTGGGTTGTTCGTTAGTGTCTGGGAAATGCATAGCGGACGCACGCGGCCGTGAAGGCACTTTTATGAAAGGCTCCTACATACAGAACCGTGCGCAGTATACAATGACCTTCAAAGCAAAGCTTCCTGGTGCATGCCAATCGCCTCTGGCATAGATGTTGCTGACTCGCAATGGAGAAAAGAGCAGCAACAGCTGCACATGTGCCATGCGCAATTGTTACACATACACATGGGCCGGAAAGCGGTAATTGCAACGTGCTCTACCGTGGGAGACCCCGCCATGTGTAGGTGTGCACGGTTGACGGATGGGCGTCCGTTGCTGCTGCCTATCGAAAAGCGAACAGCGTTGATTGCACAGGCACAATGCATGTGGCTATTCTTGACGCACATGGGCCGGAAGCGGTAATTGCAACGTGCTCTACCGTGGGAGACCCCGCCATGTGTAGGTGTGCACGGTTGATGAATGGGCGTCCGTTGCTGCTGCCTATCGAAAAGCGAACAGCTAGCGTTGATTGCACAGGCACAATGCATGTGGCTATTCTTGACGCACATGGGCCGGAAAGCGGTAATTGCAAAGTGCTCTACCGTGGGAGACCCCGCCATGTGTAGGTGTGCACGGTTGATGAATGGGCGTCCGTTGCTGCTGCCTATCGAAAAGCCAACAGCTAGCGTTGATTGCACAGGCACAATGCATGTGGCTATTCTTGACGCACATGGGCCGGAAAGCGGTAATTGCAAAGTGCTCTACCTACCGTGGGAGACTTCGCTATGTGTTCCTAGGGCTTTTGCAAAGGGTTTACGAACCTGTTTAACACCTAAGCTTCCACATACCGCGCAACCCCCACTTGTAACGTTGTGCGCATTGTCCAAAGGGGCACACACACACGTTAATGACAATGCGACGATGATGAGAGAAGCCGACCAAGGAACGACGTCAGAACTTGGTGGCTAGAAGTACCCAGCATAGGTTTGCAGGCTCCGTAATGACAAAACTTTGCAGGTTACGGCTGTGTGCTGCTTGTGCGCCAGCCGAAAGAACAACAACATGCAGGCCACATCACACGACAACCAGCACCCAGACTCATCTTCAACTAACGTGCGGGTAACCACCCCTACGTCTGGGGGGAAGAAGGAAAGACCCCCCGTATACACCCAGGATTAGTCGAGGGGGGGGGGGTTCGTAATAAGTCCCACGTCATTTCGGCTCCGTGGTTGGCTCGCCCCGATTAGGGGCGTAGTCTTAGCGTTCACGAACCAGACCGAAGCGATCTCATGGCCTGCCCATGTGTTGTGTATAGTTGTGTATAGTAGTGTGTGTGGTCGGACTGCAGCGGTTCGGTCATGCTGTTAGGTACAGTTACAGATAGGGCTGCGTTGCATGTGTAATGACGGCGCGCTGAACAGCGGCAGTCGTTTCTCGCTTGTTACCATGACCAATACTGCGGTTGCCCAGCGACACGTTACCAGGTACCACTTGCAAGTCCACCCAGCTGTACCCCAATATTTCTTTCGCCAACGGCGTGTGATCCACCCTCCCAGTACAGGTACAGGTTCGGGCCCTTCCCCCCTTTGTCCTAGCTGTCAGTTGCCCGGTACCCGCAGCACCACCCCCGCCTAGTTGCATGTGCCCAACACCCATTCCATCAGCCGCTCAGGCGGGCCCTAGGATGTTGTGTGCATGCATTTAGGTGCTGTCATCGTCAGTGTCCTCCTCGCCGCCCTCCGAGGCAGAGCCACTTCCATCTGCATCCCCAACAACGGAACAACACCCAAATCAGGCGTTTCTTCAATGTTGTGCTTAGCGACTGTCAATTTCCGAAGACGGTAACGAAGTTGGTCGTATGAAGCTGCACTGCCTTTCAGCTCCTTTGCAATATTGCTAGCAGTCAGTTTATTGCTGGTCGACTGGATGGTAACAACCGCTTCCTGAAAGGCCGCCTCGTCAACAGCAGTCCATCTTAATCGCTTCTTTGGTGGAAGACTATTGTCGTTGGGAGAAGGGCGCATATACTGCTGCCCAACTTTGTTGCTATGTAGAAAGTTATTGGCAGATCTATAAGTCAAGTCAGTGCAATGTGGGTTACCACGAACTTCGTTCAACAAGACCTTAGCACTGAGTTTACTGCCGCGCGCAAGTATGGCCTCTGCGGCTGTACACAACGACTCTATTTGTTGTGCACTTCTACTCAATCGTCCCATTGTTTGGTATGCTTAAAGCCATAAGTGTCGGCGCAAACAAGTACTTGAAAGGTAAAGGTGCTATGATTACCGGTAAACACCAAGGGAAGGCTAGAAGGCTTTCAAGTTGTTAAGGCACGAAGGTCTTGAACTAATCAAAGCATACACGGCTTCTAGTGCGCTGGTGGCAAGGTACGACATTAGTCTCATTAACTCAATGCTTCTTGCTCTGTGCAAATGCCATATTGACATGTCCATAGTCAGCACTACAAGTATGCGTAAACGTTTGCTTCTGGGCAGGTTACCAAAGTACAGGAGACTTGTTTTGTATTCCATTAGCCTATCCATTTCTCTGTTAGTTTCATAACTTTATGTTCTTGAATAGTTTGAAAAGGCACACCTTGAAAGCAACGGATTAGACTTTCGGTGGTTTCGGAGAAAAAATTTCTGAAATCGGCCGGGTTCTTCACTAAGGCTGTTACCTTGCTTCCAAGCCGCGGCCTAGCGGAGCGCCTGGAATCAAGGGCAGGCCAAAAATAGTCCGGGCCGAGGCGTTATGTCCTTTTTGTACCGTGTCCATGTCCTATGTTTTGTCCTTACTTGTACATTCTACATGTACCTGCACCGAGGTCGCAGATTCGGTCAGACAAGGTGGCGTTGAATTTGTTCTTGTGAGTTTAGTTTGCTGTCATGTCGAAAACAGAGAGAGGCGTACAGGTCAGAAGACGACGCAAATGTCGTACATATCGGCGGAAACAAAAAGCTGTTGGAAAACGACCACATACGGTTAAGGTGGTGTTCCGCCGTTTGTAAGATACGACTGTGTAAGGAGCATGAAAGCCAGGAGCATGACGTTTAGGCAAATCTAGGCCGCACCACGCAACATGTGCGCTCGTAGCTTGCCCCGAAAACCGTCTTCCGCAGCTGCCACAGGGCCTGCTCGAAACCCATTAAGCGAGGACCTTTGGCAGGCCCTTTGGCGAGACCCTTTGGCGAGACCCTTTGGCAGGAAGCTCAGGGAATCGTTCCACCAGAAGCCGGTTGCCTAGAAGAGCATGTTGGCCTGGTTTCAGGGTTGCAGACATACTAGACCAAATGGCGGCAGAGCTCCAGAATCCAAGAGCCAAGTTTAACACATCTATACTGTCCATCACTAGAAGTTTCATTGGCCTGCGCAAGGCCGATCAGGAAATTAAAACAAGGCGGTTGTCCTTGGTTGCGACCAGGCGGGCGGGAAGGGGAAGGTAGTTTAGTAGTGCGTTAGTAGTAGTTTAGTGCGTAAGAATAACTGACCGGGTGACATCAGGACAAACCCACCCCACCACCCACTCCCAACCGCATGATAGGACTAAATGGCAACTGGGTCTCAAATTTCCTTCAAGAGATCGAGCAGATATGTAGGGTAGAACCTCCCTTATGCTTAACGGCCCGCAGCGGCAGCGTTCCAAACCTTTAGCTGGCAGCTCCGCACGTTCTCACCGGTGAAACGTCCGAGGCAGCACGGCTGCCCATTTGGGTCCGCCCTACGGGCAGCAGCTAAGGCAGGACGGCAGGATGCTTGCGAGTGGCTACTAGCAAACGGTTGCCCTTGGGACCGTGAAGCCGTTTATGCTGCTGCCGGTGAAGGCAACATTGGCCTGATGGAATGGCTGCTGACGCAGCGCCCAGAGGACGCGGAGCCGGCTCGCCCTGATATAATCCTGCAAGCAGCTGCAAAGGCCTGTGATATGCCCACCTTAATGCAGCTGTCACGGAAATGGGCCGGCAAGCAGTGCCTGCGGCGCCAAAGCGAGAAGGACAAGTTAGCAACTCTCGGGGCTGCTGCTGGCTGCCCTACGGCCGACTGGCGGGCTAAAATGGAATGGCTGGAGGAGCTGGGCTTCCCGCAGGGCCTTACGGCTGCCGTGCAAGCCGCCTGTTGCTCGGATGCACCGGACCGCCTGAAGTGGCTGCGAGAGCGGGGCTATCCATTGGACTTTACCGTGGTTTGCTCCGCAGCTTCCCAAGGTCAACTGCATGCGCTTGAGTACCTGCTGGCTGAGGGCTTCCCGCCCGACAACTTTACAGCGTTGCTAGCCGCCACGGGTGGCCACCTGGGCGCCTTAGTGCTGTTGCACGCTCGGGGCTTCCCCATTGATGTTGCGGAGATCGCAGCATTTTATGGACACCTGCATGTGGTGGTCTGGCTGGTGGAGACGCTGGGGTAGAATAAACCAAACCACAAAGTTAGGGCAAAAGCAATGGGTATTGTTGGCAGGGAGCCACAAAACATGGGAGGGTTAGCAGTCCTTACCGATACCGATGCTCCAGAGGAAGCGATTTTGCTGCATCCGGTGTGCTGTAAAGAGCCAACTATGGAGTAGTCTACTCGTCGCTGAGTGTTGAGCGTCGTCACCAAGGCCCCATGGGATGTCGCTCGGACATGGCAAAACAAGTAGGGTGAAACGTGTGTGACGTGGACGCTGGGGGAGGAGGCGTTGGTACCCAAAGTTTTTATTAATGCTGCCCAGGAGCTGCTGAGGTGGCTGAGGCAGCGGGGCTGCCGCTGGAATGGGGAGACCTAAGCCAAGGCTGCCACAGCGGGCTGTGAGGAGGCGCTGGAGTGGCTGGTGGAGCAGGGCTGCCCCTTGCCGGTGAGTTGGGTGCGATAGGAAATCAGCGGCCTCAGCTTGGCCACAGGGCACGGACATTCTGGACATCGCAGCATCCTTTACTCCGTATTGCAGGTCGTGCTACTTAAGAGCTAGGGGCTAGGAACTTCTTGCTTCGTAGGGCTAACAGGAACTGCGCCGTATATACTTGCGGCTCCCTGTCCACATCCCCAATCCACATCTCTATTTCTTCCCCAGGCGGACGGTGCTCCCTACGCGGCTGTCGGCAACGGCGACCTGGCCACCCTGCGCTGCCTGCGGCGGCTGGGCTGCCCCTGGGACCCCTCCGGTTCGACCCTCACCAAGTGCGTTGGCAACCCGGGGGCACAGAGCCGTGACACCCGCCTGCCCATGCTGAGCTGGCTGCTGGAGGAGGGCTGCCCGGTGGACTGGGGCGCTGCACTGCGTCAGGCTGAGTACGTGAGGTATCGGGACCCGGCGGATGTGTGCGGGTGGCTGGGGGAGCGGAGCATGCAGGGGCAGGGGCATGCGGCGACCGTCGGGCACCGTCCTTGGTGGTGCAGGGCTGGGGGGCGCAGTGGTGGGCGCTAGGTTTTGGGTGCCTGAGTGGCGTCTAGAGTGTTCGGCGTCGAGGTCTTGGGTGCTGCAGGGGTGCCTAAGGGGATCGGTGAAGGCAGATGTTGGATGGGTGCGCGGGTGTGATGTACAGCTGGATGCTGGATCCGGGTCGGTGGTTGGTGGTGCGCTGATTAAGCATGGTGGGAAAGGAAGCGACTTGTGGGGCTTCTGGAGGACCCTGGATTATTGCTCGGTTATGTTGGAGAGCTTGGGTATCGAGGGAATGGGTTATCGTTGTTGGCGCTAAGGGTTTGCGTGGGTTGCAGGGTGAGGCAGAGCACAGCGCTGTAAAGTTTCCTATGTGACAGCGAGGTGACAGCGATGGCCAGAATCGAGCGCAATACATTCATGCGACTCTTCAACACCGATGTCTGTCTTTGTCTGTCCGTTTAATATACAGTACGGCAGATACGATGTCGTGATACAATGTAATGCCTTCGTGGTTGGCCTTCTGCTAAGACGAAGACCAGTGTTTCGTTGTGCATCTGACAACATCCAGCTTACTATTCCTCTAAAGCGGCGTCGCTGAAAGAAACTTAAAGCCGCAACACGCCTGTTGCTTACCTGTGAACGACGAGCGATCCCGACGAATGGAGTGGACGACTATAGAGTCTGATCCAGGTAGATCGCGGAAGGAATGTACACTTTTTAGTACCGTGTATCTCAAGACGGTCGACTGCCAATTTCGGTTTGCGGACGATGTCACGTTGCCGCTAAAGATGTCAAACCATTAGCTAGGGAGGCAATTTTACACAAGATGTTAGATAGCTTTGCAACGCCACTTCTCGCCGTCCGTCCCCTTATCTGCTCCCAAGCAGCAGTATTGTCCATCTCCCTTCCATGTTTGCGCCCCGTCTTACAGGCGTATTCACCGAGCTGATACAGAAGATGGGGGTCAAAGGGGTTCAAGTTGAGGAGCTTTGGTCCTTAGACCAGCTCAAGGAGCTCAGGTACACGGGTTTCACGCACCGCTGACGAGCTTTGACCGCAGACTCAGGTCAAGGCAACACCATGGAGCATGTAGGCGCATCCAGATGCGTATTGGGTTCCGGCGCACTTTGCAACAACCCTTAGCAGGCTCCAACTTTGTGACTTCCTCCTCATGCCAGCCGCCTCCCTCCTGCCTGACATCCGCCCTTCCCCTCCGCAGCCCTGTGTACGGGTTGGTGTTCCTGTTCAAATGGAAGAAGGAAACGGAGCGGCGGCAAGCGGCGCCAGACGCCGGCCACGTGTTCTTCGCCAAGCAGGTCATCACCAACGCCTGCGCCACTCAGGTGTGTGTGCAAAGCCCCATGGATGGATTATAGCCTGATGGAGGTCCCTGACGGTGGGGGGGGGGGGGTTGGATGTGTTTTTTGCTTATTTGGCCGGTATCCAGCTGCGTACATGGCTAGTACGCTGGGCTCCTTCCGCCCCCTTACCTGAAGGATGAATGACCGTTACAACGGTTCCCTCCCCTGTTACCTCCCCCCGCCTGCGCAGGCCATCCTCTCCATCCTTCTCAACTGCCCTGAGCTAGACCTAGGCTCCGAGCTCTCCAACTTTCGGGAGTTCGTGGCGGACTTTGACCCCACGATGAAGGGTGAGGGGAGGGAGTTGAGGTGTGGGGTTTGGGGCTGGAGTAGTGTGCGTGTTGTGGGGGATGGGGCGGAGGTTCGAGCCGCGGGTTGATGATTCGAGGGATGTGTGCAGCGGGGGGCCATGAACGCATGGCTGGACCCGATGTGGGTCAGCAGGGTTAGGGTTCAGGCGATGAAAATACCAAGGCAGGGGGTGCGGGTGCCTCATGCGCACGAGTGCGGCGCAGACTGCCCTTACACTGATGACTTGTTGTCTCCACACGCGACCTTGAACGCTACGTAACCCAACCGTCCGAGCCACCTGCGGTTTGCCACTGCCGTGCGCTGCCTGTTATCGGTACCGGTGTCTTCCCTCCAGCTGCACCCACTTCCCTGCATGGCGGTTGGTTGGAAGAACCCACGACTCTCCGCTTCCGCTGCCCCCCAACCTCACTCCTGAACTCGCCCCAGGCCTCGCCATCAGCAACAGTGACGTCATTCGCTCGGTGCACAACAGCTTCGCGCCTGCACACTCGTTGCTGCCGGACGATGACAAGGACGATGAACGCGGCGGGGACGCCTACCACTTCATCAGCTACGGTGGGTCATTGGGTTTCCGCCAAGGGGTGTTGGGAGCACCGAAGCCCTCATCACCAAGAGGTGTCCCTTACCGTTCGCTTCCCGTTTCGCCGTAAGCCGCTGGACGTACCTGCTACGGTACTCTTGCCCTCCACATCCTTTACATGCTATCCCAACACCGCATGAAGACCTGATACCCCTCTTCCCCTCCTGCACGGCCGGTGGTGTCCCCTGCCCCCTCCCCCGCAGTGCCGGTGGCGGGGCAGTTGTTCGAGCTGGATGGGCTGCAGGAGGGGCCCATAGCGCTGTGCGAGTGCAGCAGCGTGAGTGGGGGTCAAAGACCATACCAAACCATAGGAGACCACAGGTTAGGGCAAAGCAATGGGGGTAGGAGGCGGCAGGGTGCCACAAGTCAAAGTGTTGGTTGGCGTGAGTGGGGGGGAGGGACTGGAAGGGGGGTGTAAGGGTTGGTTGGCGTTAGTGCGCGGACTGCGTTCGTGAATTGGGAGAAGGAGTCCTGGAGGGCGGGGCTGACCGGTGGGCGGCGGCTGGCAGGGCGGACAAGGAGAGCTAGGGGCGGTTTCGAAGGGCCCGGCATGATAGGGGCTGCAAATGCCTTGGTGGCTTGGTCCTCGCCCTTCCTGCTTCTATGAACACCTTGCTCTACTAGGGTGTGCCCTCCTTCTCACTTCCCACCACTCTCATCCGTCCCACACACCCCTCTCCCCCCCTCCCTCTCATTTAACACATTGGGTATCCTTCTTTTCCCTCCCCCCTCTCCCCCACCCTCCCTCCCCCAGTCCGACTGGTTGGACCGAGTGGGTCCGCACATCTCGGCGCGCATCGAGCGTTACGCCGCCTCCGAGATCCGCTTCAACTTGATGGCACTGGTGGGGAACCGGGTGGAGCTGTACGGCAGCCGGCTGGCGGAGGCGGAGGAGCGGCGACAGGCGCTGCTGGCGGTGGCGGCGGAGGCGCAGCAGGTGGGGGGGCTTTGGTGATGGGATTGATGAGGCTGGTCCGGGTTAGTGGGTGTGGTTTGGGTTGTGAGGAGACGGGAGGAGGGAAGGATGTGCTCGGGGGGGGTTGGAGGTGTGTGCGGCGGGTGCACGGGTTTTATTTGTCTTGGTGTGCTTGGTGCGGCCGTTCGGTTTGTTGTGCATCAGTTGTTCAACAGCGTGTTGTTGCAGGTAGCGTGTTGTTGCCAAGTGTCTCCCCTGTTGCCCCCGCTTGTGGTTTCGCAGGGGCAAGACAGCGACGCTGCGGCTGCGGCACAGGTGCGGCCACGCTTGCGGGCAATGTCCTTGGCTTTTCGTACCCATATGTGCTTTGGGTAGCGTGTTACGGCAACAGTGAACGCATGCTCCGCTTCCAAAGGGAATGCAAAAGGAAGGTTCCGTCCTAATTGTCATCTATGCGTGGGACACACAAGGTCAATTGTGATTGGTTGTGTGGCAGCCTGAACATGTATAATTCAGACCTGCATGCCGAAAGATCTAGAGTCGTGACCCATGGGTCGCTGCAGCCCGTTTCCAACCACTCCTTCTCAACCCCTCGCAGGCCCAGCTACTGGATGTGGAGGCGGAGATCTCCAGGTGGGTGTACTTCTCTTCCGGGCGAGTGGGCGTGACAGCACACGATACCATCTAGCGCCTTGCATTCCTTCGGATGTGCTGAGTGCCCTGGAGGCATGTCCATTTCCTCATTCCCCAACCCGCCTCCCCCACTAACTAAACTCGGTACCATCCACAAGAAGCTCGTCGGCTTGTTTGCCAGCCTCATTCAACGCATTTAGGGTATTCTTCTTTTCCCCCCTCGCTCCCCCGCAGCCTGCATGAAGCGCTCGCCGCAGAGCAGACCAAGCACCGCTCCTGGCACGAGGAGAACGTCCGGCGCAAGCATAACTACGTGCCCTTCATCTTCAACCTGCTGAAGCTCATGGCGCAACGAGGAGAGCTGGGACCGCTCATCGAGCGCGCACGGAAACCTTCAACGACGACCGGCAACAACGCCATGAGTACATGAGAGCTATATGGGTTGGGGAGAGTAAATACGAGCCGGGGTGCGGGGGTCTTAGGTTAAAGTGCTTGTGGTTATAGTGGTATTGCCTGCGTAAATAGGCGTTTGGGGGGCAGGCGCCGGCTGCATGTAAGGTACATGGTGAGGAAGGACCGCATGCATGCAATTGCCCGACTGCGCTGTGGCTCGTGGGAGTTATTGCTGGGTAGGTCTCACTAAGTGAGTTATTGCTGGGTAGGTCTCATTAAGTCGCTAAATCGCTGTATGATGTAGCGTGCTGACTCTTCGGGAGACCCACATAGGGCCATAAGCGGTGTGCGAGCGGGTACTTGCACGGCCTTTGCGTAGCAAGGGGTAGCAAGGGTGTAGCATAGCAAGGGTCATATCCCCCGCCGAAAACAGGCTGCTGAGTTCAGGCCATGCCGACGGCCCTAACCACAAGCCAGGTCATTAACAACCTTGTTCCCAAGCAACAGAGGCAGCTCCATCCATGCTCTCCTCCTCGAGCCATACCTGCCAACATCCCGATGCGCAATCATCTACCGGACCCGGCAGCATCCAATTCTTTATGTCATTCCGAAACCGCAGTTCCACCATTACAATGCAGTTGGTCCAGGAGTCCCCACCTACCCCTCTTCTTCCCAGCTTAGGCTGCGTCATCCTGCTGCTTCCGCTGCGGCATCCAGTGCCCCTCATGACCTTCCCCCCAAGCATCTAATCCGCGTACTGATCTATGCGCTGCGCCAGGCACCGTGCCGCGTGCTTACTGTAACGCCTCACCTGCCTCTCGATAACAACGCCGCGCGCCCAACACACACATGTACCAACAGCCCACAGCCAACACGCTCATGTCAGCCGCCTGGCCTCCACATCCTTCATCGAACACCTCCGATATGTCCGATTGGGGCCCTTAATCCTCCCCTGCCTTGCTCCCTGCTTCCTCCCTATCCTATCCTTGGCTCGCCTCCCCACCACCTTCTCCCCCCTCTCCAGCCTCCTCCTCTCCCCTCCTCCTAACCACGTCACGTCACCACACCCCCCAGCCCGTTACCTAGTGGGCACGATGTCGTCAATCTTGAGGATCATGCGCACGCACTCGGTGGCCAGCGTGAGCGCGCTGCTGGTCACCAGCAGCGGCTGCACCACATTGCCCTCCAGCATGTTGGTGATGTTGCCCTGGGGGGGGGGGGAGAGCGGGAGGGGAGAAGGGGAAGGGGGTTTCTGTAGATTTAGAAAGACAGGGTTTAGAAGGCCGGAGCGGACCAGGAGCGCGACAGGCTGCGTGTGCTTGTGGGACCAGATCAGACTAGGACCCCTCATCCAGCCCCCACCCTCCTCCCCCCTTCCTACCTTCTTCACGTTGATGCCCGCGTACTTCTCCCCCGCCGCATGCAGCCGCCGCAGCTCCGTCACGATGTTGATGGGGTTGAGCCCCGCGTTCTCGCTCAGCGTGTACGGCACCACCTCCAGCGCCTCGGCGAAGGCACGCACGCAGAAGGACTCCATGCCCTGGGGTAGGGAGGGAGGCAGGGCGGGAGGGGGGAAAGGAGGGGGTGCGCTGCGGTGTTAGGAAGACGTAGTTTAATATTCTTGATAACCGCGAGGGCGGTTGGTGTTGTGGGCTGTACGGCACTGTGTCCCTTCGTGCGTTGCGCGTTGTGTCATCCCACAACTCTCAAGTACACAGCCGTCCCCGCGCCTTCTACCCTTCCTCCCTTCTCTTCAAGCCCCGCCCCCTTCCCCTGCCTCCCAACCACCCCCCCACCTGCAGCGTCTTGCTCCACTGCGCCAGCTGCATGGACACCTCCACCTCGGGACTGGAGCCGCCCGCCAGCAGGAAGCGCTTGCTCACCAAGCAGCGGATCACACACAGCGCGTCGTGGAGCGAGCGGTCGGCCTCCTGTGAGCCAGGGGGGGAGGGAGGGAAGGGTGAAGGGGGGGTGAGGGGCTTCGGAGGGAAGTGTGCGGCGCGGCAGGAGAAAGGGCGTGTTGGATCCGTATCCCAACACACATTCATGCCCGTGACAGACTCAGCCCTTCACCCTACCAAGAGGCTATTACCCTCCCCCCCTCCCCAACTTATCCCCTCCTCCCCGCCGCACCTCCAGCACCATCTTGTTACTCCCCCGCAGCAGCACAGTGGCCGTGCGCCCCTTGTTGGCGATACCCGTGATCTTCACCACACGGCCCTTGCCAACCTGGGGGGGGAGGGGACCGAACGCCGTGCGAGGGAACCGGGTTGGGGACCCCAACACACCTTGTTGTGGTGGCAATCGGGTTTGCAACGCGTTGCAGGACATGCTGCACATGTACAGAGCTCTCCTCCCACTCTCCACCCCCCTCAAATCTTCCACCCCTATCCTCACTATCCTATCGTAACTTTCCAAGCCCCAAGCCTCAAACCCCCCCTCACCTCCACCTCCTCCACCAGCGCCGCCGCGCCCAGCTTCTCCGGCTTCATATGGTCCACATGTGCGATGGGCAGGCAACCCAGCGTCTTGGAGATGAGCTCGATCTCGTCGCGCTCAATGTCGCGAACAACCATGATCTTGGCCTTGGCCTGGAAAAGGGGGAGTGGGGTTAAGAGGAGAATATCCGATGTGTTGGTAAACTAGGTGACTGGGGGTGGGCCGTACGGAAGAATCAAGTTGCGGACGAGACGGGCGTACGAATGGGGTGAGGAGCATGGGTGTGCATGGGTGGTTGGGGACCCTGTACCATCCTTGCTCTCTAACCGCTCCCCTCCCTTCGTCCAGGCACCACCCTCCCCCTCCCACTCTCCTTCTGTGGCGCGTTCCTTCCCTCCCCCTCCCCTTGTCCCCTATCTTACCTATCCTGTCCGTCTCTCTCCAACAACCCCCCTCCCCCCCCTCACCAGGTAGTGCAGCGCCAGGTCCGTCACCGCGTCCCGCAGGATGCTCTTCTGGATGAGCAGCACGTTGCAGCCGCTGGCCTTCACCTTCTTCACCACCGACAGGATGTAGTTGCGCTCCTCCTTGTACACGCGGTCCATCTGGGTTTGGGGGAGGTCGGGTATTAGGGTAGGAGGTGGGTGGGGGGAAACATGAATGAAGAGTGAAGCAACTGGAGTTCCACCCCCGTATCCCGACTCAAGCAAGGAGGTAAAGAAGGCACGCAACATACCGGGAAGCCTTTGACTACAGCTGCCACTGCAAAGCTGTGGGTTAAGGAAACTGGCCGCGAGTTTCGGCTGCATGCCACAGGCTTACATGCGAAACCCAAACCCAAACCCACCACCCCACCTTCCCACTACCTTACCACCCCACCCCACCCTCCCTCCCTCCTCCTCCCGCACCTGGTTGTAGTCCGACACGATGACGTTGTTTTCGATGTCGGTCTTGGGCGGTGAGATCTGGAACTGGATCAGCCCGATCTTGGCGTCCTCCATGCGGGTGGGGCCGCCAGCGGACTTGGCGGCCTGGGGGGGGGGATAGGGGAGAGAAAGGGGAGAAAGGGGAATTTAGGCGATATGAGTTTTGAGGGAAGGATGGGAACCGTCAAACATGGGGCCGTCCGTGCACGCAGGTCACCTCGGTAACGCCCCCATTCTTTGCCTCTTGTTTTCCCCTCCACCTCCCCTCCCACATAATCCCACATAATGCAGCTCGTTAGTTTCTTGTATACCCCCCCCCCCAACGCACCTTTTGGTCGAACACCATGCCGTCCACCATCTCCGAGTCATCGATGGTGCCGCCCACCTTGGCCACGATCTGAAGGGGGGGGGGCGGGGGGTGACGTCGGTGGGGGTGAGCGTTAGGAAAGGTAGGTGAAGGGAGGGGGGTTGGGCCTGCTTGGCCAAGTCCGGTGAATTAGGGGGGCCCGCAGCCCTCTATACCGGTAATCCACACTCAAGCGTCAACCCCGTCCCACTTCCCTGTACATTCACATCACGCAGGTCGCCCTGCCCCCCTTACTTCTAGCTTTCCCCCTCCCCCCTGCCCCGCTAGTTAGTTGTCTCCCCCTTCCCCCTCTCCCCCCCCCCCCACCTTGATGTCCCGCAGGTCCAGCATGTTGGGTCGCGCGGGGTCCATCACCCGCAGCACCGCATCCACCGCCATGGGCGACAGCAGCGAGGAGTACTGCGACACCACCTTGGAGGACAGAGAGCTGGGGGGGGGGGGCGGGGGGAGAGGGGGAAACGATGAACGGGAAGTGCAGCAACTGGAGAGGAGGGAACTAGGTAAACTGAGCCGCAAGGAAAGACTGACCGTGACCAAAGCAGGGGAGGGAGAAGGGATTAAAAAGGTTCGAGGTCTAGACTGGAATTGGAAAAGCTGAGAGAGCGGGGGGGGGGGGTGAACACGCAAGACCAGGAGTGTGGGCACCGTCCTAAGCCCCCGTGCTGTTTGTGATTTCAACCCTCCCCCCTCAACCGCTCGCTCCACCACCCTCACCGCCGCCCTCCCTTCCCCCTGCCCCGGTCCTGACCCTGCCGTGTCCCCCACCCCATTGGGACGCCGGGACAACTAGCAACTCATGGTGAAGCCTCGTCGTACAGTTCGTCAGTTTCCTTCTATTTACCCCGCTGGCGCGCCGGGCCAGCCCGCCCAGTGAGCACATGCGACATAAGTCAGCAGGTTCAGCAGGTTCAGGACCGCTGGGGGAAGGCGGGCAGGACGGCGAGGAGAGGAGGAGGAGGAGGGGAGGGAGAGGCTGCCGAGTGCCTCTCCTCCAAACTCCTCAGCCAAGACCGCTTTCGCTGTTGACAAACACGCAAGGACTTGTACGGCATCCCCAACAGGAGACACCTACCCGCCATAGCTGCTACGCGACGCGACGCCCATGGCTGCGGATTCCAACGCAAGTCCACAACGCTGCTGCTCCGTCGCCTTGCGCTTCCGTGGCCATGTGCCTCTTTATGGAAGGGGCAGCTCCCAACGCTCTTCACATGCAGCCTCTACCTCGTTTATACGTGTTGGCCGATCGGCCTTCTCCCCTTCCCCTTCCCTCTCCCGCCCCCTCCCTCTGGTTCCTTTTACTCCCCCCCTCCCAAGGTTCTCACGTGTTTGCGGCCCGGATGAGCGCCTCGCGGTCATCCATGTCCACCGGGATTGCTATGGACTCCAGGATCTGAGGGGTGGGGGATGGGGAGAGTGTTGAGGGGGTTGAGGGAGCGTACGGCAACGATGGGAGAGCTGGGGGTGCGGCAGGAATGAGGAACCTGTTGAGGTGTAGATGCAGACAAGCGAGAGAGGCGGACAGCAGCAGAGGAAAAAGGCGAGGGCGAAGGCGAGGGCGGGAAAGAGACGTAGCCAAGACGTAGCTGGGATTAAGGATAAACTGAGACACGGGAGACATCTGCCCCAGCAGCCGGCGCACCTCGCAGGCCTTTGCTGCGGCCTTGCTGAAGGAGTCGGAGATGATGGTGGGGTGCACGCCCTTCTCCAACAGCTCCTGGCACTTTTTAAGCAGCGCACCGCAGATGACCACCACAGATGTCGTGCCATCTCCAGCTACCACGTCCTGTGAGACCGGTTACAAACGGCGACGACCGGGGGTTTGCACGGCGAGGGCAATACAGAGAGGATGAAGACTGCGGGGTTCAGGCCGCACCTGCGACTTTGATAGCTCCACCAGCATCTTGGCAGCTGGTTGCGTCACGGTCATCTTTTGCAGGATAGTGGCGCCGTCGTTAGTGATGATCACCTCCCCGTTTGGCGCAGCCACCTATATAAGTGATCGGAGATACTTCGTCGTATGGAACCTGGACTGCTGCGCATGCCGGTTCCAGCACATGGCCATTTGCTTACCATCTTGTCCATACCACGCGGCCCCAAGCTAGTTCGAACTGCATCTGCAACAGCTTTAGCTGCCTCTATGTTGGTCGTGCGAACATCCTTCTTCCGCGCACTCTCCCTGCGTCACGCGGGGGCGCGCCAACTGTGAGCACCAAAGCGACATCATATACCAGACATCTAAAAACAACGTATCGTACTTGTAAAGTTCATTCTTCTGCTTCGGTGGCATGGTGCCGGGCTAACGAAGAAGGGTGAGTGAGATCGGCGGCAAAAGCTCTCGAACTTGTTCGTGTAACCTAAAAGGAGGCGGCGACTATACCGTGTATGTATATTGTTAACTAAACTCGCGCTGGTATTCGCTATTTCCAGCGGAAGGGGCGCCGATCAATTGCCGTGCTGCGCTGCCCGCCAAACCCAATTGGCCAAAATTCACGGATGTCGAACGATAATTACATTACAGTAGTTCGCGTACATAAATATATGGTTATCATTTGCATATTTAACCGCGATCAGAAGTATCCTCTTGGCAAGATTGGTCGGGTATCTAGAAGTTTGGTAAGACGCTTCTGTTCTCTTAGGACTAGGACAAAGACGAGTCATCTACTTCATGTTTTTCGTTTCAGGTGCTGGTGTCAAGGTCGGCAACCCGGCTCCTACCTAATCCTACCCCTTAACCACGTCTGGACCGGCACCACGCTGACAGCATGCTTTCCTATATTGTGCTTAGTTGTAACGGGCACAATAAATTAGTCAAGGATGAAGGATGAGGAACCCAAATCAACAGCTGGTGGCTTGCTCAGCGAAGCATTAGGTATATCACGCTGTGGCAATGGCACCCAAATTCCCAAATGTCCTTTCCAGATGCTCCTTTTACTGCCATTTCCGGACTTTGTACAACACTGAACGCCTCGTGCTGCTGCGTGCCCGTGTGTGGAGGCAGTGCGTCCACGTCTGCGGTGTAAACGCCTGCAGATAGTGCGTGGGGTCTTTACCAGGTCATGTGGCCGGCACGGGGAACCGACCGGTGCACGTGAGCCATGTGATCAACACGGGAGGGGGGTCAAAGACCAGACAGGGGGGTTATATGGTGAGTTGGTATCATTCCCCTGAGGCAAGTGACAAGATAAGAGCCCAGAGAAATTTATATCTTAATGCATGACCAGAACGAGTCCCAGAGGCTTCCGGGGGCTGGCCTGTCCGTCATGGTTGGCCGTACGGCGGGGCTAGCCGTACAGTCGTACATTCACCATACCAGTAGCCGTACAGAAAACCGGATGATAATGGAAACGCTGTCCCAAGTGCCATGGGACGCATCCTAGTGAGGACGTACTACATGACCCATGGGTCGCCATTGCATAACCCATAACTCGCAGATGTGCATGGTTGTTGTCGTAACCTAGCTGCTGATCAAGACATCATAGTGCCTAAAACGATAACGGCTCTTCACACTCCCAAGCAGTGTTCGTGTCTACCTGTGTACCATTACTAACTAGCGCCTATATTGCTTCTACACGACACACATCAACAGGATTGCTTGGCGTGTCGTCTTCCTTGATGCAGCCATAATGCCGTGTCCTATGTACAAGCCGATTCTCGCCACCACACCCATGAACCCAGCCACCCATCAGCACCGCCTCCCCGTAACCCGCCCCCTTCCATCCACGCTTAAGTCGCATGGTCCCGAAACACACACACAGTTTTCGACAATCACAGTACGTTTCGCCTCGCGGCCAGTTATTTTAACACACAGTTTTCTCAACACACATTCCCTGCGCACGTACCCCGACAAGTACCCCCATCCAGTCGTCCCCCCAACAAGTCACTACCCTCCCAGCCGCTTCACTCGGTACGCCCCCGCCCCCGGCCCCACTGCTGTCCCCGGCCCGCCCCTGCCCAGTCCCCCCGCGCCCCCTCCCCCTCCTCGCCCCTGCTTGAGTGCTGTGAGCAGGTGGTCGGGTGAGGGGCAGCAGAAGTGCGACATCAGGTTGCGGAGCGCCACATCCAGTAGCTGAAGGAATGGGGGAGGGGGAGAGAGGAGGAGGGAAAGGAGGGAAGCCAGAGGGGGGAGGGGAAGGGAGAGGAAGGGGGAAAGAATGAGGAAGACTAAGACGATGGAAGGGAGAGAGGAGTGAAGAGTGAGGAGAACGAGGCATTGTCAAAGGAGGGCGGTAGGATTGACGTTGGTTCTCTCGCTATGTGGTACGGTGTTCAGGTGTACCTTAATAGTGTACTCTCAGCACCAGCCAAGGACTCTCTATCCTAAATGGCCGTGGCGTTCTCTGCGGGTGACTTTCACCTTCCCCGACAGATAAGTTGCATTCCTACTCGCGGCTGGTCGATGTACCACACACAAAAACACACACCCTCCACCCCTGTGGTTTCCTATGGTTTGGTACGGTCTTTGACCCCCTACCTGCCCCAGCTTCTCCGCCAGTGGTCGCGTCTTGGGTGCCGCCGCCTCCGCCGAGGGGCGGGGCGGCAGTGTGAGCCCCGGGTCCACACGCACCGCCTCCCAGTAGGCCCAGGGGGCGGAGGGACCCCAGAAACCCAGCTGGGGGGGAAGGGCGGGGGGCGGGGGCGAAGAAGTGGGTTACAAGGCGGGGCACAGGTGGTAGGAAGGGAGGACGCAAGGCGGTAGAATGGAGGAATGGTGCGGGGGGTTCGGAAGGTCGTGTCGTCAGGGGTTTGATGCTGCTGGGATTGAAAGAACCCCTCCCTTCTTCCTATCCTCTCCTTTCCCACCTACACCCAACGGAAAAACACACACGCCCCGCCCCCCTCAGCCCTCTCCCCCCCCCAGTCTGCAGCTCCGCACCCTTGTCAGGTCCTCCGGCGGCGGCATGCACGCCAGCTCCGCCGCCCGCCCCAGCGCCTCCAGGAACTCAATGTACGACAGCGAGCGGGAGCGGGACTGCTTGGAGCCGCGACCGCCCTGCTCGTCGAAACACCTGCGGGGGGGGGGGAGAAGAAGAAGAACCACGCGTTGAATGGTAGCGCACGACATGTAAGATAGAGGAGGAGTCGAGAAGGATGGGGGTATGATGGGATAACAAGGAGGCTGACGTGAAGGAAGGGGCCGAGGGTTATTGAAGAGCGTGTGCTATTAACAGATGAACAGACGGACTAAGTCAGTTAGCCGCCAGTGGGAAAATTATATAAGAAATGCAAACAACTAAGTCCCAGTGGGAGGGGATGCTAGCTACCCCTCACCCAACCACCTACCACATTCCCGCCCAGCCATGCCCCTCCCTGCGCTTTCCCACGCCCCAGCTCTGCCATGCCACGCCCTTCCCTGCATGGCCCCCAAGCCCTCGCCCTCCTCACCTCAATCGCGACCACACAAACGCCAGCCTCGCCTCTCGCGCAGTAAAACCCCACCCCTGCGCCGCACCCGCCGCACCCGCTGATCCCGCCGGGGCTCTCCCTCCCTGCTGAGGCTGTCCCTGCTGCTGGTTGGATGGCAGCAACCCGTTAGTGTACTGCCGCTGTTGTGGCGGCTGTAGCAGTTTGGCATCCGCTAGCAGCTGCAACCACTCGGTGGGGTGGAGGCCTTTGCGGTCGCTGCTACTGCTGCCGCCACCGCTGCTGTTAGCGTTGTTACCGCCCCCGCCTGCGTGGTTGCCGGTGTTGCCGGATGTGGTGTTGTCCCGAGCAATGTCCTTGTAGTAGGTGTACAGGGCCTGAGGGGGGGGGGCAGGGGGATGAGGATTGGAGGAGACGTGGCATGGACCGCGAGGGGAGGCAGGAGAGCTGGCGAATGGGTAACGGAGCAGGGAAGTTAATAGAGCACCAAAAGTGGGCATGTTGCGTGAAAACACGACAGGAAATAACACGTACTGCTTAGACCCTGCACGGATACACCCATTTGAAGCGGGTAAAAGTGCTTCTTGCATGTGGCTACTGGCTGTTTGACTCCTGCGCCACCCCCAAACCCCTTCCTTTCACTTCGATAGTTCCTTCCTCCTTACGGCCGTCCTTACCCCCACACCCACACCCAAAGGTGGGGTCGATGCTTCCGCGGCTCAGTTCACCGAATCCCCACATACCCCACCCCCCCACCTTGGTCAGCGGCGCGTACCGCTCCAGCAGTTCATCCACCTCCGCCGCATAGAGCCGCCGCTCGCGGAACACGTTGGGGTCAACCTGGGGCGGGTTGTGGAAAGCGTGTTAAGAAAACTGGCTGTGAGAGTTGTGTTTGGGGGGTGTGGGACGGGGTGAAGAGGAAACAACAAACTGACCGTGTGATAAGGCGTCACCATGGTTTGCAAATGTGAGCCGGCCCGAAATAGCCAAGCCCGAGTTAATTTAGCAAGCCAAGTAGGTTGTGTGGGATGGGGTGGTGGTGACGATGAGACGGGGTGTGTGTACAGTATGGGGATTGTGATGGCGGGGTAGGGCGCGTTTGGAGAGGTGGGATGGGACAAGGTTAATGCACACGCGTGGCATCCACCGGGTTGTTGGCACCTCACAACCTGGCTTCCTTCTTTTGCACACGCCCTCCACTCCTCCTACAACCCTCCGCTCACCAGTGCAGCGGGCGGCACAGCCGGCAGGATGCACTCGTCCAGCAGCCGGCGCAGCGCCTCCAACAGCGCACCGGCAACACCCTCGCCCTTCAAACCACCACCACTGCTGCCGCTGCCGGGAGTAGCACCCCCTGCTGCTGCTGCCCCTGTTGCGCCCCCAGCTTTGCCACGTGAACCCGAACCCGCCACAGCCTTGGATAGACTGCCGCCAGCACCCCCGCCCCCTCCGCCTGCTGGCCCCCCGGAAGCAGCGACACCGGCGGCAGCAGCGGTTGCTATTGCCTCCACACCAAGAGGAGCCGGCGAGTCGCCGTTGGTTACGGTGGTTGCGACAGTGGTGGTTGAAACGCTAGTTGCGGCATCATCATCCGCCCTAGGGGTACGGGTGCCGGTGCTTCCTGCGCCGCTTCGAGCACTCACAGCACCCCCCTCCTCCTCTTCCTCGCCGCCAGTTGCTCCCGTAGCCACACTGCCTGCGGCTGTCCCCGCCTGGCTCTCCACATCACCCTCACCCTCCATTGCGTTCTTGCCTTGCTGCTGGTGCTGCTGCTGCTGCTGTGAGGGGGCCACCCAGGGACGCAACCCAGCCGCCACTGCAGCTGTCCGGATCAGCGCCTCCAGCCACTGGGACCGAGATAAGGCCCCGGCGGGCGGCTCTCGAGGGTTGGTACCGCTGCTGTTACCGCTGTTGCCGCCTCCTGCTCCTCCTGCTCCTGCTCCTCCTGCTCCTCCTGCTGGACCGCTTCGGCTGCCGTGCAGCAGCAGCATGCCCGGCCCCCGAGCAGCATCCTCACCTCCCCCTGGAGCTCCGCCAACCACCTCCTCATCCACACTGCCCCCTGCGCCGCCGCCTCCAGCGCCCTCCTCCACTGCAGCCACCGCCGCTGCAAACACCCGCTCCATATCCACTGCTCGCAACCTCAGCACGACAGCATGGGTCTCGGGACCGGAAGCATCGCTGCCGCCGCCAGCGTTGCTGCTGCCGCTCGCTGCGGCATTACCATTAGCGGTACTGACAGCACCGGGGCTGGACCGCTTATTGGCGTCTTGTACAGTGGTGCTGGTGCTGGTGCTATTGTTGGCTTGCCCGCCCTTCCCCGCTGCTGCCTGTTCCTCTGCCAGCAGCCCAGCCTGGGTTAGGAGCTCCGCCCATGCGGCCCAGGGCAGGGTGCAGGGGTGGTGCGGGTGGTGTATCAGGTGGTACAGGGAGGGAGAGGAGGAGGAGGAAGAGGTGGCTACTGCGTTGGACGAAGAGGTGGAGGCGGAGGTGGAGGAGGAGGCGGGTGGAGGGGCGGTAGCGGTGTAGAAGTCAAAGACGCGGAGCAGCTGCGGGTAGCGGGGGCGGAGCAGGGAGCGCAGAGCATCCACCTGGGGTTGGCCGCCTGCAGGCAAGAGGGGGACAGCCTTAAAGATAAGTGAAGCAAAGGGGGGGAGGAGAATAATGGCAAGGGGGGAAGGGGGAAAAGGAATACGACCAAGGGAGGGGGTGGTGGTATTGGGAAGAGGGAGGTAGCTAGGAGGGAGGAGGTGAGGAGCCTTACTGTGCCAAGGGTAAAGGATTACACCCCGAGTGCTGCGAGGAAGTAAGGACAGTTGTGCACATAAGAACAGGACCAAGACCAAGCTCCCGGGCATTCCCTTGAGGCTCCTCCCTACCATGTAATATCCCATTCGTACCCCAATTCCCCCAGTTCCTCCCCCTTCCCGCAGCCCCACCCGGGCAATAGGCCGCTAGCAGTCGCCGGAAGCGAGCTCGGGTGCTTGCTCGCGTCCAGTCACGATCAAAGATGTCCAGCTCGATACCTGCAGGGCGCACCCGGCGGGGTCACATTCAGTTCCAGGCACGTGTCTTACTTAACCGTAATCAACGCTGTCCAGTCGAAGAGGTTGCAGGACATGATACACACCCAAGCGGCATACCCCACCTCTTCCATGCACCAAGTTACAAATCCCCCTTTTTATATACCACATGTTATATACCACATGTTGCAGCCAGCACCCCCGGGTGGCAGCACATCTACACAAGCGGACGCCCCAGACCCAGCCGCCCGCACCATCACCACCACTCACCTGGCCGGTCCACGAATCCCCGCGAGTCGTTCTCCGAGCGCCTCGCACCAAACACGCTCTTGGGCAGTCCCCGCCACTGCCCCCCCGGCCCCGCGCGTCCCTTCTGCAGCTGCCCCCCGGGGGCCCCCAGCTGCTGCTGCCCTAGCGGCAGCGACAGAGACAACTGCGGCTGTTGGGTTTCGAAGCCGTTCCCGTACACAGCGGTTGGGGAGGAGCGGCCGAGCAGGCTGAGCGGCGGCAGAGGTGGCAGCGGGAGCTTGAAGCCGGAGGGTGTGGTGGCGTCGAAGCAGGGGCCGGTACGCTGCAGGGCGAGGGGGGGCCGTGCGGGTGGGGTCCTTGTTAATTGCGTATATGGGGGAGCGCAGGGGTCAGGGGGCACTGTAGAAAGTTGCCTCCTTATTCTCTCTCCTCCTCCTGTCAACCCCTCTTCCCTCTTCCCGTTCCTCCTCCCTCTCCCTCCTCCTCCAGGTCCCCCCCCCACGTTTCCTTTACTTCTCCTTCCTCCCCAACCACCTTCCTTCGTCCCTGTCTTGGTCCCTCTCCCTCCTCCACCACGCCCCCTCCTCCCTCGTCCCTCCTCCCCCCTGGCCCCTCGTCCCTCTGCTGCTCCCCCGACTCACCAGTCTGGGCCGCAGCGCCGCCTGCACCACCAGGTACTCCCGAGCCGCCCGCACACCCCCCAGGAAGCCAACCAGCGAGAAACACGTAGCAGCAGCAGCACCACCACCGCGGCCAGCCGCCCCGCTTGCCGCTCCTGCTCCTGAAGCTGGCCCCGCACTGCTGCCGCCAGTAGCCGCCGCCGCTCCTGATGAAGCAGCAGCAGCAGCCCCCGCGGCTGCTGATCCCCCTGAGCCAGGCGTCAGTGTCGAAGTGCCGGCGCGTGTCGGGGGCGGCGGTACTGGTAGCGACAGCGCTGGCGACGGTGGCGGCGGCGGCGGGTCGGGTCGCGGCGGCGCGGGCGGCTCCGAGGGGTCGGGGTGGTCGGGCTCCAGAGGCAGCTCGGCGGCGCGTTGTAGCAGGTCGCGAGCGGCGGTCTCCTCGCGATGGTAGCTGCCAGCGCTGGCGTCGGGGGCCTGAGGGGAGCGGGTGGGGAGCGGGTGGGTGGGGAGGGCGTGTAGGAAGTGGAAAGGGTAAGGAGGAGGGGGGATCAAAATAGATCAAAACCATAGGAAACCAGGTGAGGGGTGACGAGAAGCTGGGAGGAGTGGGAAAAAGAAAGAACCCGGCATACTGTTCCCAGCTCACAGCCCGGCTTACCGAGGTTTGCGGCAGACCCGCGGGTCGGACCTCATCCACCCGGTCCTTCCTGCGCCGGTAGAGGTGCACGGCCTCGCCGCTCTCCAGCCGGTAACTGCGGCGACGGCAAATGGGAGGGGAAGCGACCCGCGGGTCAGTTAGGCTGGATGGCAGGATGGGGGTGTGTGGCGGACAGCAGGAAGGTGGTTCACGGGACGACAAGGCGTGGCTTACATGAAGGTGTAAGGGTGCGACCAGACACGGCAATCCTAGACAAGGCAATCCCAGATACGGCATATACACTTCAGGGCTTACATGGGGAAGAGCCCATCCGAGATCTTGGATCCAGGTACGGCAGCCCAAATGGTGACGCGGGGAGCCTCGAAATCCCGCAGCTGCTGCTCCCCACCCGAATGAGACCAGCTGAACCCACCACCCTTGCTGCTACTGCTGATGCTCTTAGCGCCGCCGGCATTGGCCTTGCTGCCATCACCACCGCTAGCATCCTTGATGCTACTTGCATGGCGGATGCTGTTGCCCCCCTGCCTGTTGTTGCTGGTGCCCCCGGCGTTCATCGTGCTTGCGGCCAGATAGTCCCCGTGAGACGCGTTGGCATGCAACGAGGTGTGTGCAGACACAGCAGACATGAATGATACAGCCGAGGGGGCGGCGGTGGGGACTGCAGACCGGCTGCCTCCCCTCTCCCCGGGTGCAGGAGTGGGTGCGGTGGTGGCGGTGGCGGAGGGCGGCGCGGCCAGGGCACTGAGCTCTCGTTGCAGGCGCTCGGACTGCAGAGGTGGAGAGGGGATGAGGGGATGAGGGGAAGAGGCAAAGTGAGGTAGGAAGGCGACAAAAGAGGAATAGGCGGATAAGTACCATGACAACATGGCACGGGCACCCATCGGCGCTCATATCCTCCAGTGCCCGTCATGTACGTACTACCACAGTATCCCACCAAACACCCCAGGACCTATTCCACCACTTCTACCATTTCCACCCCAGCTCCTGACCCCACACGTGTCCTACCTTGGCAGAGTCGATCGCCCCCATCAGCTGAGCCACCTGCAGCAACATGGCAGGTGCGGGGGAGGGGCCGGAGGAGGAGGAGGGGACGGCAGTAGCTGCTGCAGCAGCAGCGGCAGCAGTAGCAGCTGTGAAAGGAGAACCAGCCGTATTGGCGGCGGTTGCAGCAGTAGCAGCCTTGCCCCGCTGCTTTTGCTGTAGGGATGGGCGCAGTTGGTTGTTGCCACTGCTTCGAATGCTACCCGCTCGAGAACCAGCCGGGACGGTGAGGGAGGTGGTGACGGAGGCGACGGCGGAGGTGACGGAGGCATGACGGCTCGGCGGCGCCGTACCGGGCCGTGAGTTGGCGGCGGAGGGCCGTAGCGACATCGAACCGCCACCTCCCTGCGACAAAACGCCGCTGCCCGCGCTGCTGGCGGCGAGGGTACCATTGGGCAGACCGCCGACGCCGCCGGCGACGGCTCGCGTCGCATTGGCGACGCCGTAGCCGAACGGCGTTACGCCGGCGACAGCGGAAGCCAGTGGCAGCCGCGGCCCGCCACCGCCGCCTCCGCCGACGGCGGCGGGTGCCGTTACTGGCCGGAAGTTATGTACGACAGCTGCGGCGGGGTGCGGACTGTGCGTCTCAAACACCACTTGGACGTCCACTCCCGCGCCGCTGGTAGACGACGAGCCGCCGTCGCGACCGGCAGCCGTACGGCCCATGCCATAATTGTTACGATTGTACGACTGCTGTTGTTGCTGCTGTTGCTGCTCTCCCACGGGTCGCAGCCGCCGAACTGCGGGAGACCATCGCGTGACAACTGTGGGTCGCTGCACGGAAGTGAGCGAGGAAGAGGCCGCGGAAGACGATACGACACTGCTGGCGCCGCCTCCGTTGCCGCCGGCGACGTAGCTGCTGCTGCGGCCGCGGCTACTGCTCCGGCCACGATCCGATCGCTCGTCACCCGAGCCGCGGTCCGACCTCCTGCCCCTGCTGTTGGCCTCCGCGGTTATTCCGGAGCTGTTAATGTTGATGTTATTGTTGCTGTTGTTGCCGCCATCCTGCACGCCAAACATGGGTGCTGCCGCCCCATCGTGTCGGTCCACATGCAGGGGCGCCCACAGCGTGGTGAGGGGCTGACTCAGGTGGTGCTGTGGGGAGCCGGCGGGTGGGGGAGGGCGAAAGAGAGCATGAGGAAATGGCAGGGCAGGAGTTTAGTTGTGTATGGGTATGTCTGTTGGTTTGGTTTGTAGAGGTTACAGAAACCCTATGCCCCTATCCCACCCAGCCTGTACCTAGCCTATACCAGCCTATACTACGTCCAGCAGAATGCAAAATTTACAGGGAGTCAGAAGCCCGTGCCGTCCCGGCAATCCTCGCCACCGGTGTACAATCCCTTAGGTCCACCCTTTGGTCCACCAATACCTCCTAGCTTCCCCTTCTCACCGTCAGAGTAGTTAGCCGCGGGAAGGCATTCTGGAAGGCCTCCTCCTCCTCATCCCGTGCAGGAGCGCCCGCATCGCTGCCCTCTCGAAAACACTCCGGGTCCTCATCTCCCCCTCCACCACCACCACTACCGCCTCCGCCTCCTGCGCCTCCGCCTCCGCCTCCGCCGCCCCCTCTCGAAGTGGCGGGGCCCTTGGAGAAGGTAACGCTGGGGGTGCCTGAGGAGAAGGCGGAGGAGCCGCCGCCGGTGCGGGCGCTGGCCTACCGGGTACGGTATGCGAAGGGAGCGTTAGTACCCCCGAGGCTACCAAAGCTTAAATAGGAATACCCGGCGTGCAGAAGGAATACGGCACCGGTACAGTGAAAGCATGATGGGTGGATGGAAGATGAAAGGACGTGAAAGAGGAACATGGTAGGGCAGATGGAGAGATACAGGAGGCAAGGAAGTCGATAGCCGTAAGTGGACCACACGAGGGACTAAAACCTAGAAGGGAAAAGCAGGCGCGCCACGTACCATGCTGCGACTATCATCCACGCCGCCGCCGCCACCTCCGCCGCCTCCTCCCCATCCACCTCCTCCGCCACCTCCACCCCCACCACCTCCAACTCCGCCTCCGGCATCCAACGCAGGCGCGTGCAACGGTCGCGACAGCAGCTCTTGAAGGTAGGTGCTGTACGACACGTAACGCTTTACCTCATGGCGCATGTAGTACGGAACTGAAGCGCTGACGGCGCTGCCGCTGGCGGAACCTCCACCACCGTTCTCGTCGTCCTCATCTTCGTCCTCAGCGCCGTCGCCAGGGCTGCGGCGGCCGCTGCTGCCGCCGCCGCCGCTGGCTCCGGCGCAACGGCTGCTGCCGGACATGGAGGCGGAGGCGAGGTGTGAGCCCTCTATCCGTACATTCCCGCCTGACAGCAGTACGACAGCGGCCTCGTGGGTGGAGAGGCCCGGGATCTTGGGAGGGCTGCGGGCAGGGGAGGGAAAGGTGGGCGGGAAACGGAAAAGGTTGTGAGCACTAGTCGTGATGCCCTGTCAAGGTCAAGCATTTTCTAGTGGCCTCTGACCTCACCACTTCCTGCCTCACTGACTCCCCAACTTGGCTTGCCAATGGCCCTAACATCAACATATAAGGACACTCTACACCCTCTACCCGACTCAGGTTGGGCTAGAAGGGTCGGCAACCATGATGCAACAAATGATGAAGCCCACACATCACACGTTTATTTTTCCCCTTCCCCACACCCTCCTCTCCCCTCTCCCATGCCTCCCCTTTCCCCCGGCCCCCCAAAAGACACACATCCTCACTTCTCCGCCGCCTCCGCTGCCAGGTCCGCCACCGCCCCCCTGGTGGCTCCCTCCAGGTGCAGCCGGTACAGCGTGTCGCGGTTGCCCGGGTGGCGGGAGAGGTTGTACAGGCAGCCGCTGGTGGCGTACAGCACCTCCTCGACAACACCCAGGGACTCCAGCTGGGAGGGAGGCGTTGGGGGGGGGGGGAGAGAGCGGGAGGAGATGGAAGTGAGGAGGAAAATGAGCAAAGACAATAGAGCTTTGCTTAGCAGCATGCATGCGGCATCAGGGTCAGTTGCACGCTTGCATCCCTCACCGAACTCCTGCTTCTTACCTCTTCCTTTTGCTCACACACACATCCCCCCGCATGCCCCTGCACCCCCCTACCTTTATAGATGACGGCAGGTTGGCTTTCTCCACCCCGCCAGCAGCCTCCGCACGCCCTCTCCCTCCTCCTGCTCCTCCCCCTCCTTTCCCACCCCCTCCCGCCCCTCCTCCCACTCCTCTTCCCCGCATCATCTCCGGACTCGGACTCCTGCTCTTACTCCTACTCCTACTGCTCCTTGTTCCCCCCTCACTTCCCCTCCCCCTCCGCCTCCCCCTGCTGCGACTCCTACTCCGACTCCGACTCCGGCTCTGGCTGCGGCTGCGCTGTCTGCGCGCCATCGCGCCGTCCGCCGCCCCCGCCCGCTGCTCCGCCATGTGCCGCGCCTCCCCCGCCGCCAGCAGCCCCCGCTGAGCGATGAGGTAGCCGTGATAGCCGGTGAAACGGGAGTTGATGTGGAGAAGCAGGCGGGCGCAGCGCTGACAGAGATCAACCTGAGGAGGGAGATAAAGGGAGAGTGAGGGGTTAGAACTTGGGGTGGACGAGGTGTAGTAGGTAAAGGGCGGAACGCAACAATACAAACGACCGCCATTACCGTCTACCCCACGGCAACGCCCCTGTTGCCGTACTGCTGTGAAACCGTACTGCCGTAACACTGTCGTACCTGCGCGGGTACGTAGCTGGAGAGGTTGAGCAGTGCCGTACAAACGGCCGCCAGCACCCCCGGCTGCACCAGCGGCCTAGCCGCAACCGCCAGCAGCGCCGCTAGCCCCCCGGCGGCCAGGAAGATGGACTTGGCCTCGTCTCCCTCACATAGCAGGGCTGCGGGGGTGGGGGTGGGGAGAAGGGGCGAGGAGGGGGCACAGCAACGGGAGGAAAGGTGGGTTGGGAGGCAGGCCAAAGTAACAGTATCCCTTTCCAGCGCAGCGTCGCGAGAGGGGCACCAGCTAAGACCCCAGCACCCCCCATCCCACCTGCTGCCGCCCTGGCCCCCATGAGCAGCTGCTCTACCTCACTGCTGCCCAGCATGGACCCGACTCATACCCAATACACACACGTTTCCCCCTCTCTTTCCCTCTCTCCCCCCTTCCCACCTGCTGCCGCCCTGGCCCCCACTAGCAGTTGCTCTGCCTCACTGCTGCCCAGCATGGCCCCGATCATGCGACTCAGTGCACGCAGGCGTGCTGGCTCCCCGCCACAGCTATCCGAGGCCAGGCCCAGACTGAGGGCGCGGGCGGCGGCCGCGGCAGAGGAAGAGAGGCGGCCTTTGGAGGAGGACTGTGTGGGGTGGATGGGAGGAGCGGGGACGGAGGGGCGCGGGTGAAGATGGAGGGGCACGAGCGGTGGGGGGGCACGAGTGAAGGCGGAGGGGCACAAGTGGAGACGTAGGGGCCCGAGTAAAGGTGGAGGGGCACGAGTGGAGACGAGGGGACACGAGTGGAGACGGAGGGGCACGACGGAGTACACATGCATGCAGGTTACGTCAGCTCCATGCAATGAACTTGCGTGCCTGTCACGCAAAGCCCCACACTCAGCCCATCATGGCGTCCATGACGCCAACCGAATCCCACTAAACTCCTGCCCTCGGTCAGTTAGTTGTTTCCTCGTTACCCACCTGCCCCATCGCGCCCTCCCCCTCCGCCATGGCACTCCACCAGCGCGGGTCGCGACCCTCAGGGGTCTGGCTGACCTGCAGGGGAGGAGGGAGCGGAGAAGGGAAGAGGGGAAGAGCGGGGGGTTGTTTGGGCCAGCAGGGGAAGGAGCTAAGGGGCCGCCAATAAGGGGCCGCCTATAAGGTGCCGCCGATAAGGGGCTTCCAATCTTTATACACTCCACACAGCCGCCCCCACCCACCCACCTCCATCCACAGAGCCGCTGCCGCCGCTCGGGTCATGCCGTCGTAGATGGGGTTGCTGGCCACCGCTGCCAGGGCCGTGCCCGCACCCTCCGTCACCAGCCGGACCTGACGACAGGGGCGGGAGTGGGTTTAAGGTTAAGGGGGCCAGGCGGGATAACGTTCGGGGTGGAGGGCGATGTAGCATATGAGCTGCTTGTCAGGGAGAATAAAACGGATGGTGTAGGATGACAAAGTGGCGTAGCATTTGCGACGATTGACTCCTGCGCACTCCACACGAACCCCGGAACCTCAATCCCAGACACTCCACCCCGCCTAGCCCTCCACAACCCTTCACGCCCCTTTCCATCCACCTACCCTAAACACCCTCTCCCCCGCGAATCTCCTCAGCAGCAGCAGCGCCGGCATCTTGACGTGCACGTACGAGGAGCGGCTCTTGCTCCGCAGTGAGGTCAGCTGAACCAAGAGGCCGATGGGGTCGGCGGCGCTGCGGGGGCCGCTGACGGAGGCGGCCAGCTCCCGGGCTAGCTCGTCATCGTCGTCTTCGTCAGCTGGAGGGGGAAGAAGGGGGAAGGGGAGAGGGAGGGAGGGAAGGGAGGAAAAAGGTGGAAATAAGCGGTGATGAGGGCCGAAAGGAACAGGGACATAACGAAACAGTGGGACTTACAAAAGCAAGTGGCAGTAGAGAGCATGCATATGGTCGTGCCCCTTCTCCTCTTGTATCCTCCTCCATGCGCACCATCCCTTCCCCACTCTCCCACTCCCCCCAACCCCTCCTCCTCCCCTCCCCCCCCTCACATGCGCTCCTGGCCGCCGCCCGGGCTGCCTCCGCTCCGCTGCCCGCTGCCGCCGTACCGCCCCCTCCACCTCCCGCCCCTTCCCCCGCGCCGCCTCCCCCCGCCCCCCGCGCCCCCCAGCCCCAGCCCCCCCGCCATTGCATGTCAGCCAGCAGCTCCTCTCCAGTGCGACCCGTGCGCTGCGGAGGGGTGGAGGGAGTGGAGAAAACGTACAAACATACCAGAGTGAGGGAGGTAAAGAGGTTCGGGGAGGAACAGAATTATGAAGTGAATGGAAAGGATGGACGGTTGCAAACGACGGCTGCCCTACTATGCCGGTGCCCGTCTTGAATTTGAACCGGCCCCTTGGGGCGTGTTTCATGGCATAACTTGACTGCCGTACCTTTTGCGGTGTGCTGCCGGGGACCTGCGTCATGGCGTACCTGCGGGCCGGAGAGAGGGCCGGAAAGAGGGAAACAAAACGTTCGACAACGGTAGGAAGCACAGAACCAAGGGCACATGCGGACGGATAGGACATAACTCCTCCACCCCTATCCGTCCTCATGTCCATCCTCCTCCTCGCTTTACTCCCCATCCTCATACTCCACTACCCTCTAGCCTCTACCCAATCGGCTTCAACGGTTTACTCTTTACTCCTCACCCAAACCCATTGAAGATGCTCCGTATGGCGCTGCCGGTACCCCCCGCCGCAGCCGCCGCAGCTGCCGAGTCATCCCGGTAGGCGGCCGCCAGTCGGTAGCGGTTGCGCTCTCCGCCTGGCTCAGCCGTCAGCCGCACCAGCGCCGCCATGGCCCACTCGCCGGTGGCGCGGAAGGCCCTCTGCTCGCTGGGGGGCAGGTCGTACCTGGGCGTATGGGTTGGGTTCGGTAGGGGTGAGCGGTTGGGCGCTGTGCTGAATACCTCTGCGTTCTCCGACTACAGTATTCCAGCAACGACTCCAGCCTGTTTTGCGGTTAACCCCATACCGGTAAAGCGGTAATCAATAACCCATTGCTAGCCCACCTCGTTTTTCATCTTTTCTTGTCGTCCCCGCCCCGCCCCGCCCCGCCCCAACTCACCACCTCCGCATGACCCCCACCAGGCTCGCCACCACCCCCGCCGTCCCCAGCGGGTTGCGCAGCAGTGGCAGTCCCGCCAGGTGGTAGGCGGCCAGGCAGCCGAACTGCAGTGTGCGCTGGTCGGCGCGGCCCAGCAGCTGAGTCAGGGGCTGGGGAGGTAGGGGGGAGGGACAGGTAAGGAAGAAGGAGGGCTAAAATAGACCAAACCGTAAGGAAGGAGGAAGGAAGGTGGGGAAAGAGGGGGAAGGAGGAAGGATGGAGGAGAGGCGGCGGATTACGCAAGGTGGGACATGGTGGTTAGGTCCACGTGTAGCCATGTGAGGAGACCAGTGGGCGAGGGTTGCGGGAAACGGAAAGCATACCAGCCCTGCTTGCGTTGGCCATGCATGCCATGCACCCTGCCCCTCCAACCCCCACCCTCGACATAAACACCGGTAAACTACGGTCAGGGTCAGTGTTTCCGCGGCTCTGCTTATCTAATACCCCACCCTGCCCTCCCACCCTCCAACCTGCCCCCTCCAACCCTCCAAACCCCACCTGCAGGCACATGGTGAGGGTCTTAAAGTCCTCCCCCATCATAACCCGCAGCAGCTGTACCAGCTCATGCGGACACGGCAGATCTGGATCCAAACCCAGCGCATCCGAATCGTCATCATCGTCGTACATCCCCCCTCCTCCACCGCCGCCGCTGCGTGCCGTTGAGCCGCCTGACGTCATGCCGCCGTCGGCGCCGACGCTGCCTGAACCCCCCAGGTTCATGCTGTAGCTAGGGTTTAGGGAGCGGGAGGGATCTGAGGAGGCACCAGAATCCCCAGCACCCCCAGCGGCGGAGGTCGCGTTAAAGGAGGGCTTCTTCATACGGACCCGGGTGCTGCGGCGGAGGGAGGGAGAGAGGACGGTGGAGTGTACTGCAGCTGCCGCGGCGGCGGCGGCAGCAGCGGCGCGTTTGGCGCGGGCGGCGGCTTGGATGGTGAGGATTTCCGACCAGAGGTGTAACTGCGGGTGTGGGGGAAAAGGGGGAAGTCGGGGTAGATGAAATCGGCTTGGTTGCGGCATATCATGACGGCACATGTATGTCTTCTAGTCCCCCCTGCATTCCCTCCCCTTACCTCCTTTGCCAGCAGCATCATGGTGGAAGCTGCCATACCCGGTACCGCCTGGGTATTGGACAGGTGGGGACGGATAAGGGCGGGTTGAATTGTGTGCATTCGCAGGCGTCAGTAGGACAGGGTTATAGGAGAGAGCCACCGCCCATGAGCCATGGCCCTTTCTCCCGAGAACCGGAATTCATTGCAACCAAGGGAATGTAGCCCTACCTGGTCTACCTATCCTACGATATTCGTGTTGGCCTAAGTCATGCATGTGTCTCCCAGGACCTGCCCACCCACCCCCTCTACCTCCACACCCCTAACCTCCCTGCTCGCCCCCCCACCTGGCAAATGTTCCCCGCTGCGCCCAGGCAGCTGCACGCAGCCCCCCACCCGCCAGCCATCAGCAGCCGCCGAGCCGGGATAGCCCCGTGCTGCAGGTCAGGAACACCCGCAGCAGCAGCCGCTGCAGCTGCTGCTGCAGCCGCAGGCCCAGGAGGGCTACCGCCACCTCCACCACCAGCAGAGGCGAGGGCACCCTCAGGCGAATGGGATCCCTCGGGGACACCTCCCGTGGCAGCAGCCGCAGCAGGAAAGGTAGCACCGGCCTTGGCTGCGGCGCCGCCACCGCTGCTACTGCCGCCAGCAGCAGCAGCAGCGGCAGCGGCGGCTGTAGCATTGTCGTACAGCGGGGTTCCATGCGCCGCTAGCAGCCCCATGACCGCTAGCGCTACCTCCATGAAACCCGGGATGTCCGACTCGAGCATCAGGCCCACCAAGCCGCGGGGATGGGGGGTGACACCTGTGTATGGCGCACGAGTGTACGGCAGATCCGCACACACATGCATGTACGCATACACATCCGGGGTGTCACACGTACAATCCATGCTGGTGTCATTGGCTTATTTCCCACGCTGGATGCCATAATGCTTATTGCGCAAGTATACTTGGCAAGCGTTGACAGCCGGGCAGAAAACAGCGGGTATCGAGACCTTCAGGCGAACGGCCATCAACCCTTACCCTCATAAGCTCGCATCTTGTCCCTCGCCGGCGCCGCCGCCCCTGCCGCTGCCCCCCGAGCACTGCCCGCCCCCTCCTCTCCTCCTCCCCCTGTCCCCGTCCCTGTCCCCGTGCCCGCTGCCGCCTCTCGCTCGCCCTCATCCCCCTCCCGGCTGCGACTCCTAGGAGAGCGCATGGCTCCTGGCTGGAGGGGGGCGGTGGGGCGCCGGGAGGGGGCAGCAGAGCGGAGCGCTCCGGACGAGGACTGCAAGGGGTCGACGGGGATGGTGGGGTTAGGAAAGCCTCCACAAACGTGGGGTAGAGAGAAGAGTCCGAGCCTATTGAGTGGGAAGCGCAGAGACGGCAAGGACTTGACACTTCATACCTCACCCCAACTTACCAGGGGTCCACACAAACCCAAATTTAATGACTCAAACCCGCTCTCCGCACTGCTCCTCACAAATGCAAACACACGCACGCACCGCCCCAGCCCGTAAACATGAATACAACCTTCCTCATCCCGCAAACCTTCGCACCATGTTAGTCCGCGCCCCCGCGGCTGCGTCCCCAGCTCCTGACCCTGATCCCGATCGGAAGCTGTTACCCTCCGTTTGCTGCCGCGGGGAGCCGGGTGCCCCCTGCTGCTGCTGCTGCTGCTGCTGCTGCTGCTGCTGCTGCTGCTGCTGCTGCTGCTGCTGCTGCTGCTGGGAAGGCGGTGGCTGAGGCGGCATCTGCAGCCGAGCACCTACATCGATCAGGCCGGAGCGCAGCAGGAAGGGTACGGCAGCGGGCTCCGAAACCAGTTGTACGACACCGCACAGCAGGATGTGTGTTGCGGGCCCTATGCGGCCGGAGCTCAGGCCTGATAAGAGAGGGGGAAAGTTGGGTAAGGGGTTGGATGAATAGGTAGGTCGGAGAGTAGGATATTTGATTAACATTTAGGGAGTGAACTCTGTGCCATCCCCCGCCCAGGCGCCCCTCCAACTCCCAACCCCCCTGCCCCCACCTGTGGCGCACATGGAGAGGTAGCGGTAGGTGGCCTCCTCCAGGGGTCCCCGGGGACCCGGAGGAGCGGCCTGGGACTGCTGCTGCTGCTGGGAGGAGGGCTGCCAGGACTGATGTTGCTGGGAGCCGGATGGGCGCGACTTTCTCATTTCCTGGTGAGTTGTTAGGAGAAGCGGCAAACAGAGCAGGGAGAAGGAATGGTTGGTGTGTTGGCTCACCAATGGGTTGGGAAGAGTACACACGACAAACGGAGACGGCAATGTGGTTGGGGCGTTGGCTCCCATTCCTAATGAAACACGTCCTCGAACGCAACCCATGCAACGGACATCGTCTTCCGCCTGCACTGGAACCCGTACCCGTACCCGAACATGCACCCATGCAGCCCCAAGCCCTACCCAACCCATTTCCTACCACTTTTTCCTCCCCTCCCCTCCCCTCCCCTCCTCCCACCCCACCCCTCCTCCCTCACCCCCTCCGCCGCCCACATGCGTGCCAGCTGCGCCGCCGCGCCCCAGCCCGCCGCCGCCGCGTGCACCGCCAGCTCCGCCCCCGCACCCGACCAGCGCCAGTCCACCAGAGAAGGCGGGGCGTAGGGGCGCGAGGAGGAGTAGCGAAGTGCGGGGTAGGGTCGCCGCTCGGAGGGACCGTACCTGCAAGGAGGCATGGAGGAGAAGGAGGGAGGGATGGAGGAGGAGGGAGGGATGGAGGAGGAGGGAGGGATGGAGGAGAGGATCACTAGGCATTAATGCATTCCTCTGCACACACTGTTACAAGCCGCTCAGGTTTTAGGGTTTTGGTTTCGCCAGCCAGTACTCTCCCCCCCTCCCCTTCACCCCCCCACCTGAGCAGCCTCTCATGCGCTTCCAGGGCCGTCAACGGTTCCAAACGCCTCAGCAACTCCAGCACCAAACCCACACCGCCAGAGTTAGCAGTCCGCAAACCTCCGCCACCACCTCCGCCACCACCTCCACCTCCTCCTCCACCCATACCGCCGCCACCACCACCAGCAGCGCTCATTCCGGCGCCTGTACGGAAAAACGCATCCGCTCCGGGGCCTGGTCGTACGGCATGTGATAGCATTATAAGGCCCAAGTGAACAACCCTGGCGGGAACGGCAGAGCAGTCGATGAGGCGGAGGAGCTGAGCGGGCGCGGCGACGGAGGCGAAATGCTCGCGAATAAGGGCGGCGGCGGCAGCGGAGGAGAGGTTGCTGCCTCCAACGGCGCCGCCGACGCCGGCTGATGCTCCGCCAGCGCCGCCGAGGCTGTTAAGGCCGCCGCCGCCGCCCTCGCCGCCGCCTGGCTCGCCGCCGCCAGCACCTGCATGCACCAGCAGCCCTACCAGCAGCTCCGCCGCTGCCACCCCGGCATGCGTCTGGGGGGAGGTATCGAAGTAGTGCTGCGGGTGGGAGGGTGGGAGGCAAGTTGCAGGTTGCAGGATTGGAGGGTAGAGTCAAGGAGGGTATGTGGCAGGGCATGGAGGGCAAGGAGGAAGCGGGTGTTGGTGTTACGTCAAGGGTTGGACGGAGGAGGGTGTTTAGGACACGGGAGGTCGGGTAAGCTGTAAACCGCTGAGAGTTGGCCCCTCCAATACCGTACCTTCACGATATCATCGCGCAAAAATAAATAATTATTTCGGAAAATGCGCAGTTTCGCGCAAAATTAAATAATTGCCGAGGGGGGTGCGCGAAACTGGGGAAACCCCTCGGGACCCTTCCCCGCACCCCCAACATGCCCCAGCACCCCGTCAGCTCCGCTGCCCATCCCGGGGCTGCATGCTAGTATGCCCCGTGGAACACATAGCGGTATTTGTAAAGCTGTCTTGGCGATCTGGGCTTACATGGATGGGTTCTTACAGTCAAAATGCAGTGGTGGACATGAGCTGCGCGAAGCTGAAAAATAATTCCTGACACCCCTGCGCGAGCTTGAAAAATAATTCCATCTAATGGGGCTGCGCGATGATCACCCGAAGGTACGGTACCTGAATGGCAGACAAAATGCAACAACAATGGAACGCAGCAACGGCAAAACGCAGCAGCCTACGCGCAACACCCGCAATTCCTGGACATCCCCGGCGACTCCGCCCCACCACCCACCTCCACCGCCTCCATTGCCTCCGCCGTCTTAGCCCGCACCGCCGCCGCTTCCGCCTCCCTCCTCGCCAGGAAGGCAGTCACAGCTGCCCTGGCAGCAGCCGCTGCGGCTGCTGCTGCCATGCTACTTCCTCCACCTCCTCCTCCTGCTCCTCCTCCTGCTGCCCCCGCCCCTGTTTCCCCACCGCCTGCTGCGCCTGCGGCTGCTGCTGTGGTGTTAGCGGCGGCGGATCCCTGCGCCGAGCCTCGCACAGTGGGACTTGTGGAGCGGCCGGAAGGTGCAGCGCCGCCGGCAGCAGTAGCAGCGGCTGATGCTGCTGCATTGGCTGTACCTATTGTAGCGGCTGGCGGCAGCATGGGAAGCGGCTGCTGTTGGTGCTGCCCGGGTAAGGGCGCTGTTGATGCAGGTGCGGACCTGACGTGGAGGGAGAAAGCGTTTGAAGCGGAGGGAGGGAAAAGGTTGAAGGTATGAAGGGGAGTCAGGAAGGGCGGTCCACTTTGCAAGCATGTGTGTGCCGGCATCTAGGGTACCGTAGGGTATCCTAGGCAAGTTCTGTTCACAACAATGCGCGGCCAGTTTTTATACCACACTCCTTAACACAGCTACAGCAATCTACTCACCGGGCTGCGAGGGCACGGGTGCTCAGCGCCAACGCAACTTGCTTGCGAAGGGCCTAGGAGATGCCAGGATGGGAGGGGTGCAGCGGGTGGGTGGGTTGGGACTGAGTAAGCGAGCGGGCGTCCAGGCAAAACGTCTTTCGTGCCTTCTCAAGCCTCAAAGCACACACAGCGCCCCAGTACAGAACCGGACAGTGAAGCCGCTCAATTAATTTTGTCAACACACGTACCGATGTCTTGCGCCGCACGCTGTGCGCTCGGAAGAAGGACTGGATGCGAACAGCCGCCTGCTCCCGACCCATGGGTCGCAGGTCCCAGGGCGAACTAGAACGCGCAGCAAACCAGCCGGGCAGTGCCGCTATACCCAGCAGCACCGAGTAGATCTGCGCAGGTTGAAGCATGGATGGCAATGGGATGCCGCGCTACGAAACCAGCAGCAGGCTTCCGAAATCAGGTCCCCCAAAGCAACGACTTACCTCCTCCAGCTCCAGTCCCAGGGAGCCCACCGTAGCCGTTGCCCCTCCTCCTCCTGCTGCTCCACCCCCCGCCGCCCCAGCCACCCCGCTGCTACTGCCGCCGCCGCCCCTCCGCGACTCCGCGACTTCTCCCACCGCCGCCACCATCGCCACTCGCCTCCGTACAAGCGGGCTGGACCCCACCGACGTCGGCCCCCCTGTCTGACTGCCTCCGGGCCCCGAAAAGCCACCGTTGGAGGAAGCCCTGTGCCCGCCAGGGAACGCCCCTCCGCTGCTACCGCCGGCGCCGGCAGCTGCAGCAGCGGCGACAGCTGCAGCAGCCGCAGCAGCTGCATGTGCCAGGCTGGTTCCCACCTGCGCGGCAACTAGGACCTCCGCGCGAATGGCAGGCACCCGAAGCAGCATTTCACCCAAGCTGCTGATACCCCACACCGCAGCCAAGGCGATTTGGTGGGCCTTATGCTCCTGCAGATGCTGACTTTGGTATTGATGGCGGCTTATGACGCTTAGGCTACTGCCGGCGGCAAATGCGCCGCCGCCGCCGGTTCCCGCTGAGGACGAGACCTTGAGCTGCACGTCTCGAAGCATGGTGAGCAGTGCTCGACCGAAGCCCCCGGCCGTGGAGGGCGATAGCAGGGTGCTGAGGACGGTGGGGACGTAGGCGGCGGCCGCCCCGGCGGAGGAGCTGTTGTTGTTGTGGGTGTTAGCGGCGCTGTTGGTGTTGGGCGGGGTGGGTGCGGAGGAGGAGGGAGTCATGGCGGCTGCGGCGGCCTTGGCTGCGGTGGGGCGGGAGGAGGGGGCGAGCGATGTGAAAGGAGGCGCAACAGAAGCGATAGCCGATGCAACACAAACCAACAACTTGCACACTGCCCAGCTCAGCCAAACCCAACTCACGTCCTCGCTCCTTGCGTCTCAGCTGCAGCCGAAACGCCGCTGCCGGCTGGTTGCTGGCCCGAGGTGAGGCCACACTCACACTGCCCACCCCGCCCAACAAGCCCCCTCCTCCCCGCTGCTGCTGCTGCTGCTGTTGAGGTGTCTGCGGTGTTGGGGGCGGCAGCATGTCTAGCAGCCCTCCTCCGCCAGCTGCCCCATCCCCGTCTACCGCAGCAGCGCCTACTTCCCCGCCTGCTCCGCCGTCTGTCTCGCCCTCTGACCCCTGCGCTGCCGCTCGGGCGGGTGCGGGCGGCAGGCGGATGCGGGCAGTGGGCTGCCGCAGCAGCCACCACAGGGCGGCGAGGGAACAGCAGCCTGGGGGGGGGGAGGGGTAGACAGGGGAAAACATGGGAGAACAGGGGAGAAGGCACGGTGACAGGACGGGACAAGAGTTTTCGTTCTAGGTATAAAGCCATGCCATGCGACTGACTTGGGTGCGGGAAAAGGACTCTCGCGCTCTTCCACGCCAAGTTATGCCCCCAGCGCCCCTTGTGCTTCTCCCATGCCTTCCAGGAGACTCTCCAACAGCCATCATGGCCCGCCCTACCCTCCCACAATCCCTCCCCGCCTGTCCCATTCCAACCCACCCACCACCACCACCACCACCCATCATCCTCACACCCACCTGCCGCCGCCGCGCCCACTTTCTCCGCCGACCCCCTCCTCAGGAATCCCCCAAGGCAGCGAACCAGCTGCGCCACCTCTTCCTCCGACCACACCCCCTCAAGCGCCGAGGAACCGCCGCCCTCAGCCTCCGCAAAAGCAGCCGCAGCAGCAGCCATCGCTGCAGCAGGGGCGAAGAAGGCCCCGGGGTCATCGCCCGAGCCAGCGGCAGCACCGCCGCCGCCGATTCCCCCGGCCGTCCTGCCACCCCGGTAGAACCTGCCACCGCCGCCTGCGCCTGCGGCGCCGCTGGAGGCGATTGCTAGCTCCCAAAGGCCATGGTAGCCTGCATGGCCGTGATGAGGGGAGACGGGGTGATAGTGAGAGGAAGGCTTTGTAGAGGGAATGGATTCAGGTGCTGGAACACCGTGGAAGGCACCACCTTGGGAGGATGGAGGACAACGAATGCACGTCCGCACTACCCTCCTCGTGTCTCCGCGGTCTCTCTTCGCCGCCATCCCAATGCTATTCTTGCACCCACCATTGCCCATGTATACACCATCCTGCACCCACCATTGTTTGCCACCACATACACCGCCGACCTCGCATCCCCCGCCGTGTCCTTAAGCTGTCTTGACATGAGCTCCGCCGGCGAGGCGGGCAGCAGCCGCTGCAGCCGCTGCCAGTCCGCCTCGCCGCACACCCTCAGCATCCAGGCCCCCGAGGGCAGCTGCTGCAGCTGCGGGGCCTGCTGCTGGGGTTGCGGGGGTTGCTGCTGTTGCTGCGGAGTGGTGGGTGTGAGGGAGGGCTGCGGCTGGAGTGAGAGCTGCAGCTGGGATTGTGAGATTTGTGAGCTGGAATACCGGCCTGTTGTTGCCGCTCCTGCTGCGGATGCGGTAGCGGCTTCCGAAGCCATGGAAGCAGCAGCGTTAGGCAAAGCGGTGGAGGAAATGGAGGTGGTGGTGGTGCTGCTGCTGCCACCGCTACGGGCAGCCTGCTGCTGGGAGTCGGATTTCTCATCGAAGGAGGTGCTGTGTTGGAGGAGCTTGGGGAAGAGGAGGAGGAGCTGCTGCTGCGGGTTTTGCTGCAGGACAGGCGGCAGTACGACATCCAAGTCGTACTCGTACGACTCCGGGGGCTGCGGCCGGGCCGCTGGCAGGCCTGTGTGTGTTGGTTATTGGTGGGGTGGGGTGGTGCGTGTGATGGGTGCGATGTGGTGGAAGGTGTGCGGATACGGCGGGGTGATGGGAGGTGCTGTGCAAAGGATAAGGGTTGGCCGGCGGGGCTTCCCTAGGGATCGGGCTGTGTGAGTGTATGGGTGTGAGGCATGGGCGTTATGGGGATAAAGCGGCATGCATGTTGTTATTAATCCCCCATAACGGTGCCAGTCGCTATAGAGCAGTCAATTTCTTATGTAAGAGCGTGAGGGGTTGTGGCATGGGCTTGTGAAACGCTGCTCTGCAGGGAAAGAGCCCAGACAAAGGGGGCTATGAGTGCCCCAAGCTAGGGTCCAATGGGCCTCCCCAGGGGAGGAAAGGGCTTCCGAAGGGAGTCGTCCCTTCCCTTATTACAGTTACAGTCTGTACGTATGTACAATGTGTCGGTACGAGCCAGGGGGGCTAAGGACATGATAGTCGTAGAGCACCCGTACCCATCCGTTGCCAAGAATGCTGCCCCACAAACCCACCTGGAGTATTTGCCAGCCGATCCTGTATGTCCTGCCATCCCTCCTGAGGGTAAAACTTGATAAGGACGCTGCCTGACCCGTCGTCTGCAATAGGAACGCCAGTTAAGGTACATGCTCACAACAATAGTTATAGTGGGTGCAGTTGTCTTCTCGTCTACAGTACCTTCTAAGTCCTTCCGAACGACAAGCTCGCGTTCAACGCTGAAAGCTGACATGATTGCCCAGAAGGACGCGGTTGGCTCCCGTAGCTACATATTGCAATAAAATGTACACGTATATTCAACAGAGCCAATGTAAAACTGCAGACACGTTGAAACCGCTATGCTTAAGGCCTTCTATGTACGGCGAAAGTTAATACACTTACCTGCACTAACCGAGACCCGCGCGGCGATAACGATTTTATTGAAGTATTCTATTAATCGTGTGCGAATCAGTCCCTAGGTTTATAAACCAGTTTCATATGTGCAACTGGTGCCGGATTTGCGTACAGGGTAGGTAGTGCACCGGTCCGCGCCACTACTCTTCGCCACCAGAGGGCAACAAAAGACCGCTTGGCCCATAGCATCAGACGAAATGTTATTGTAGCTTAGGTCTCAACCATTAATGGTACGCGTCTGTGAACATGGCCATGGCGCGCGTGCTTACTACAATGGTACCGAAGGATCCGTCACCACAGCGCGCAAAGCATTATTAAACGCTGAGCCGAAGCGGCGGTATAATGACACCTTAATGGCCCGTCCTCATTTCAGGATACCGTAGCCATTGCACGACTTGCAAATGCCAATCATTGCGCTCCGGTCGCGCCTCTAGGACGGCACGGGGACTGCTGAGAGAAGCATCGAAAACCGGAGTTTTTTCAGGTAGCGAATAGGGTATGCCCATTGTAGATACACTAAGTTCGTTCAAGAAATGCGATGGAAATGTGCGGCTGGTTGTCACGAAGGCTGGGATGCGAGATACTCCGCTGCAGCGTTGCCTCCCTGGCTTGCCCCATGCCACATCATGCCATGCCCCAGCAACCCGTTGATAGAGACCGTAACAGGAATGCGCACCATCATGCAAGACGAGTAGCGCTGTTTCCTCCTTGACGTGTGGTTACCAGTGCGTTTGCAGGGAACCCTGGGTCCAACAGATCATGATGCACACACGACTGAAGGGCTGTTACCCTGCAGTTGGGAAGTGGTTCAGAAGGGTTCTGCATCCTACTTTACAGCTAGCCTTACGTACAACCGCCTAAATCAACCAACCCAACCCAACCACAAAAATTATTGCAAGATGGGAGGGTGATCAGAGCAAATCGCCTCCACGACGCCTGCTGTCGACACATTTCAAGCAAACACAAGCTACAGAGCGAATAATCATCGGCAGAAAAGAATAGACGGCAAGGCAGTCTCTAACTTTGCAATTGGGAGTGTCGAAACACCAGGACACATAGGGCAGCAGAGCCTCCCAACGACTATGCTCGGTACATATCATACATGCATGCATACCACACCACACACCAAAACACACCTCCAGCAACCGCAACCAACCATACCAAAGGAACAAACCCGCCACAAGGAGACATCAATACACAAGCGTAAACGGGTCATCCTTAATCCGCCTTCATATTCAGCATATCCTCTACAAAACAAGTCCACCCAGGACCGCTATCAACACCTGCTACCGCTGCTAGACCCACCACCCTCCAAAGGTCCTCCGCCGTATTGCTCCTCCAAGCCAGTCCCCTGCCTAACGGCAAAGCCTGCGGTCGAAAGGGTTTTTCGGTGTCTTCAAGCCGCCAACGGCGAGAAAACCCGAAGAAAGCGACAACGGCACACCGGCACCCCTCTATGGCTTAGTATAATGCATGCGGTGAGCCATGTAAAAGAGCTTCCGCCCAAGCCCCTGCACATTCCCAACTCCACTTTGCCATCTGTAACACTGCCCACCCAGACCTCAAACAACTCCTCCATGCACGGGCCCTAGCCCGTACAAGGTAAAATCAACAAGTGCAATCACGTTTGGGACTTATTAGTGTTGGTCAACAAAGCCTTGGGCAGGGCGGGGCGGTTCCCCCTATCAGCTGGGGGCCGACCGACCCGTGTCACCCGCGGTTTGATGACGCAACGGCTATACACACGTTAGCGCAGCGATAGCCGACTCAACACACGACTCGCCGTGTCATGTTCCGTTTGGCATACTTCGTTTGGTTGTCAACAGGCTTGTTCCTGTTTCTGGTTCCCATGTCAACGGTCCGTACTGCGTCAACACCCGTCATCGCATGCAAAGGAGTTCTCTTTATAGCAAGGGCGAGGCAAGGGCACAGCATGCACTAGCACTTCACGCTCAGCCCATGCGTGCGGCCGCAAACACACAGAAACACTTCTAGAGCTACTTGGACAAACAACACACACACCTATGCGAGTCAAGCTACAGAGTTGGCAACTCCGCATACCATGACACAAAACATAAAAGTGTAACAGCACTGTAAGCGCGCACACTCTCGTCTGCGTTACACAAAGAGTGTCAGCTACAGGTGAAAAGGCCGCCTCCGCCATAAATGCTGCGATCGCCCCCAAAATGAAGCAAAATAGCGACATACCCTGCTGCTACTGCTGCTGCTCTCCTAGAGTAGAGCTAGCCAACGCCAAAAGCTCAACCACTAAATGCCTGCGAAAGCTGCGATCTACATCAATAACTAAGCAAAAATCACCAGCAATAAGTCATCTTCGTTCTTCCTAACGTGCACTTAGCGTGATGAAGGGCCGAAAACACAAAGCGCATGACCCGGCCCACCCAAGCCCGCATACCGTACTTGAGAGACGCACGCGAGAAGCACCATTCCTGAATCACCAGGACACAAAAAGCTCAAGCATCATCAAGCAATGCAGCTGCTCATAACGGTAACGGTAACCAACAACACAATGTGTCAACCCGCAGATACAAAGGTAATATCAACATCACCATTCAGACAAGCAGACTCTTTGCGTGGTGAGGTCACGAAACCGAAAGCAGCCGCCCAATCGTCCGCCGCACCAAATCCCGCCACTTCTGCATCAGCGCTGTGCCTTGCATGCTCTTTGCACATCACAGCAAAAACATGGCATGCGCATCGCCCCCCACTTCACTCTCGCCCCCGTCGCCCATCTCACCTGCGCGCCCCAGCCTTCAAACCCGCACCTTCACTCCACCCGCACTCGCTCATCCTCGCCCCAGACACCCCCGCTCCACCACTCTCTTGGATCCACATCGCTACATGCCGTATTCCCCAGCCCGCGGCCCCCCCTGCATGCCTTGCCTCATGCAAAGCCCTGCGCGCCTCTCCGCGGGCAAAGGCAGCTACCAGTCATCTAGCAGAGGGCAGAGTAGCAGCCGCAACGCAGAGGATTCTACTGGAAGCATCACCCCTCTGCCTCCTCAGATTCGACTGGCATCCTTCCCTTCACATACTCCGTGACCTTGGTGGCTATAGCGCCATTCGCCAACTTCCTAGCAAACGCAGAGTTCGCAGTGGTGAACGAGCGCTGCGTCGCCACGGCAGAAGGCGGCGCTGCTGGCATCATCACAGCCGGAATCGCGCCGCCTGCGCTGCCGCCACCGCCGCCATTCGACCCGTTCGCAGCAGCGGCAGCAGCTGCTGCAGCAGCTGCAGCTGCCCTGGCCATTCCCGGATCCGGCGTCACCAAACGACCCATAGGTCCAGCCTCGTCTCCAGCCGCACAAGTAAAGTTGTTGCGGTTGACAACCATGCTCTTGGTCTTAGCCAGCGCGGCTCCGCTGTTGTCTCTGCCCACATCCGCCGCCTCCGCCTCCCGCGCTGCAAGTGCTGCTCGGCCTACTCCCGGTACCTTTCCTGGTCGGTGGTATACCGTCATGGACTGCTGCCCCAGCTCGTCACGCAGGGAGGCCACGCCGCCGCCGTTTCGGAGGTGAGTCGACGACAGCGAACTCTCACGCATGAGCGGCCGTACATCGTCCTGTGGCGTCAGCATGCGCACACGCGGCACCACCGCTGCCGCTGCCGCCAAGCCGCCTCCGCAGCTGACCGTGCCGCCGCCCATGCTGCGTACCATTGGAGAGGAGGGGCCGGCACCCCGGGCGGAGCATGGGGCCGCTCCGCTGCTGCTGACCTCACTGCGACCGCCCTCGCTTTGGGGATCCAAACCGTTGCCGCTGCCATTGGCCATGCCGCTTCCCCAGAGCTTGCCAAAACTCTTCGCGCCGCCGCCGCCGCCAGCTCCGCTGGGGCTGAGGTACTTGAAGCTGGTGGCGGGGCGCTCGTCGGGCGACATCTCGCCATAGTCTGCGCTGAGGAGCTGGGGTAGGGGTGTGGAGGTGTTTTGCTGCAGCAGCAGCCCCTGCATGATTTGCTGCTGCTGCTGCTGCAGCTGGGCCGCGGCAGCGCCCGCCTGGCTGATGCTGTTGCGGCGGCTGTGGCTTGGGCTGTTGAGACGGCTGCTGGGCCGAGGGGCAAGCCAGGTGGCCTGGGAGGGGGGGTTGGGGGATAAGGACTGTCGTGTTATAAAGAGCCGTTGGGTAGAGCGTCGGGGGGGGGGGGTGAAGTTGCGACTTGAATGGAATACAGGGACTGAAGTTAGGTTAGGAGTGCCCAACTTGCATGAGCAATTTTCCCCTTCCTAGTCTCCCTCCCACCTGCAGCGGGATCAGGTGATTTCCGCCCACCGACAGTGACGTTGATCGTGCCGGCGGCAGGATCGTGTCATCCGACAGCACCCCGCTAGCCGGCCGGGTGAACCCGGGCGCCAGGTCCCCGAGGTGCGGCTTGGGGCTGAGCGGCGGCGCGGGCATGCGCGCCGTGCTCTGCCCGCCCGGCCCCGACCCGACAAAGTTCACATTCACGGGGGGGATACAGCTGGCCATGCGCAACCGCGGCGGCTGCAGCTGCCCCGAGCCCTGCGGGCCGCGGTCTGACAGCAGCCCCGCAGTGGGCACAGGCGGCTGTGGCAACGGCTGGTTCAGGGATCGCGCAGAGAGCGCGGAGGAGCCCCGCTGGAGGGCTCCTGAGGGCGACATGGAGATGGGCTCGCTGCAGAGCGGGCCGGCCCCCCCGCCAAGCGAGTGCGAGGCGGAGTCGGCCCCACCGCCGGCCCCGCCTCCAGAGGTAGCGGGTGTTGCGTCTGTAGCGGGTGTCGAGTCAAGGGGTAAGGGAAGTGGCAAAGGGAGAGGTGGTGGCGTGGGGCGGGTTGAGGGGTGGCCGGAGGCGAAGGTGTGGCCGTGGTGCAACCGAGGGTTCATGTTACCCGAGGAGGGGCCGGCCTAGGGGGGAAAGAGGGGTAGGGGCGGAGGGCAGGGAGAGGAGCGGAGGAGAGGGAGCGGGGCAGAGGGAGGGAGAGGGATCCAGGTAAGCGATATAGGCGTTGGATTAAGAGAGGAGGCTTGAAGCGGCAGAGCTTGAGCAGTCCAGTTAGCTTGCATTGCATACTCGCAGCAACAAAACGTCCCCGAGGCGGATCTGCCGGCCAGTCTTCACCCCACAATACGTCCCGCTTCTCCTTCCCCCTTCTCTCTTCCCCCCTTCTCTCTTCCCCACGCCCCCAGGTGCCCCCGTCCCAACGCACCGGCATCTGCGGCGCCGTCCGTGGCACCCCTCCGCCAGCGCTCACATTCGGGCTGCTGCTTGCCGTGCGCTCCAACTCCCCTCCCCCTACACTCGTGCCACCACCCCCTCCAACGCTGCGACTGGCCTGCACCAGCGACGCAGCCGATACCGCCCCTGGCGGGTGCGGGCTGTACGCTGCTGCCGCCTCAAACGAGCGGATGGGGGGTTCTGATATGAAGTCATACAACCTGCCGCCCTCGTTGCCCGTGATCAACGTGTCCGGCGGAGCTGCAGGCTGCAGGCTGATGCTGGTCTTGAGCGTGGGCCCATGCCCACCGCCCCCAACCCCCAACAGCTGTTGTTGCTGTTGCTGCAGCTGCGAACGGTGCGGCGTAGCGGAGGTGGCGGCGGGGTGCGGGTGCCGGGTGGCTGCTGTTTCCAACGGGTGGTGGTGCGGCAAGCCTCCCCCCGTCGCAACCGCGGCTGTTGCCCCTCCGCCTCCTCCTGCCCCAAGACCACTCGCGGCTGGGGGAGCGGGATGCTGGCTCGGTGTGGCGGTTCGACTGGGGGGCGGAGTGGCGTTCAGCCCCTGCCCGTTTGGGGAAATCCCTGTTGAGGATGTGGAGGGCTGCTGTTGCGGTTGCTGTGCGTGGGGTGGCGGCTGGGGAGGCGGCTGGGGCACGTGTTGCTGCTGCCCCTGCGAGGAGTGTTGTTGATGGTGCTGCTGCTGCTGCTGCTGCTGTCCATGCTGCTGTGGATGGTGCGGCTGCTGTTGGTGATGGTGGTGTAGCGGCGGCATGGGTAGCAAGCCCGTTATGGACGAGGTAACCCCGGTGGCTGGTGTCGCCGGAGGCGTCGCCGTCACCGGCAGCGGCAGCGGCGGCTGCGGCGAGGGCGCCACCGCCGCCGCCGAGCCGACATTGGTGAGGCCGCGCACCGCCGGCTGCTGCTGTTGCTGCTGCTGTGGCGGCGGCGGCTGCGGCGAAGGCGCCCGCGGGTCCCGGTGGTGGTGATGTGGGTCGTCACTCGCGTGGGTGACGCTGTTGCGCAACCGCGAGGGCCCCGGGCTGCCAGCGGCGGCCGCGCTGCCGCCCCCTGCGTGTCGTACCATGTACGGCTGCACCCAGGCGTGCTGCATGAGGTCTAGCACCGTGGGGCGCTGGGAGGCGTTCTGTAAAGAGGGTAAGGATGCAAAAGGAGGTTTGTGTGAATAAAAGCCCAGGACGAGGGAGGCGAAAGGGTATGCTTATGTGTGGATGCAGCGAGAAGTCCAGGGGCCTCATACATCCCACCCACTGCCCTTCGCAACCCCGCCCTCCCTCCCCACGTCCTCCCAACCTTGCATAGCGCCAGCGCAATGAACTTCTTGGCGTCCTCCGACATCCAGTTGGGGAACTTCGGCTCCTTGTACATGATGTGTTCGTACGTGGCGGCGCGGCTCTCCTGCTCAAAGGGCGGGTAGCCCACCAGCAGCTCGTATGCCAGGATGCCCACCGCCCAGGAGTCGACCTGCGCGTGTGTTCGTAGGTGCGTGTTTAACTGGATGTGAGGAAGACACACGGAATACGTATACACCAAAAGCAGTGCCAAGCAGTTCGCATAGGTGCACATACCAGTCATCGAGTCAACTGGTCAGCCCCAACACCCTAAGCCCTCTCAAACAGAGGGCTGAATCATCCATCTGGGTCATCCCTCTCCGAGATCTTTTCCTCTCCCCAATCCAGCTCACCTGCGCGGTGTAGCCGAGCAGCACCTTGTCCTTGTTCTCCTCGGGTCGCCGCTTGTCGGGGCACACCAGCACCTCGGGCGCCATGTAGTCCAGCGCTGGGAGGAGGGGGGGAGGAAGAGGAGAGGGGATATGGCAGACAGATGGGGGTTGGTGGAAGTCTGTCGAAAGGCAAGGAAGGTAACGTTCTCGCGAGGATGCAAGGAACTAAGCTTCCCTTCCTCCTTCCCGGAAGGGTCATCAAGAAGGTGACTTGTGTGCCTGCTGCCGCACGGGCAACACGGGTACTCACTTCCTGCGCGTGTGACCGGGCGTTCGTGGTTGATGTTGATGGACAGGCCAAAATCCGCCACCTTGACCACCTTGTTGGCGCCCAGCAGGATGTTCTCCGGCTTGATGTCGCGGTGGATGATGCCCTGGGGGGAGGGGGGGAAGGGATGCCCAGTGTGTTGAATGAGCTTGGCAAACAAGATGACGCGGGGGGGGGGAGGGTGGAAGGGGAAGGAAGGACAAGGAAATGTCAACAAGGGACGACAAGCTCATGGTGAGTAGTACCGGTATGGGAGAGGAAGGGATGTATGACAGGGGTGGGTAGAGGGGAGGAAGGGGACGGGAGGGGGAGGGGCATGAGTCTACATGGTCTGACAAAGGGGGTCCGTGCGGCTATATACTGCTTAGAAGGGCTGTGGTGCTTGCGGAGGTGTATGTGGCATACCTGGCTGTGGAGGTAGGCGAGCGCTGAAAGGAAGGGTACGATGACGTCGCGTACGGCGTACTTCTCCTTTAGCTGCCCGCCCCCCTTCTTCAGGTCCTCGAAAAGATCCCCGCACACGGCAAACTCCTGCACCATGTATACATGCTTATCATCCTCGAAGGCTGCGAAGAGGTGAATGATGTTCTCGTGGTGCAGGTTTATGTGCAAGCGGACCTCCCGTTCCACTTGGTACCTGCGGAAACCAAGGGCTAAGGGTTAGCTATCCAACCGCTAGAGCTAGACACCGCTCCGAGCTGCATGCCTGCATACGTACTTGTTGAGCACGCTCAGCTTGCGCTTCCGGTAGAGTTTTAGCGCAACCTGAAGTCCACTGATTCGGTCCGTCGCCATGTACAGAAGGGACGTCTTTCCCCGGTACAGTTCCTTATGCAGTTCGAACTGGTCGACATTCCTGTAGAAGGATGCCAAGAGTAAGCCAACGCTCCGAGTAAGCAGAGCACCACAACATGGGCTTGCTTACCAATCCCCAGTGCGGACCATAGCTGGCGGTAGATGTGGTGAGACACATATCGTCCTAGACTCAGAACCTTCCGATACATATATTCCGTCGTTTGGTCGGAAGACTGCAAGCAGTACCAAAATATGTTAAGCTCGCAACCGCAGGTGTCGACCGTCGCGATGCCGCACAGCAGCCATGCTTACAGTGCATATTGGCTGAGTTCCCCGTTGACGAGGACTCGCCGCCATCCTCGGGGCCAGAAGCCTCCTGGGTTGCCATGAATCCGCCGCTGCTCGCCCCGGTCACTTCTTGGAAAGGCAAGATACCTACCTCGCACGCGTTGGTGCGAGGCAAGCTCTATGGACGTCTCCAAACGGACATCCTATCCCTCCTACACGTATGAACAGTGCACGGGGCAATCCAGCTCATAATGCCACCAGAATTGTGAGGCGCGACACATAGCTATGAGTACAAACTGTGATAACCTAAATCCACTTCATATATTTTCCGCTTATAACTTTTCAGGAGCCCGTTGAAGGAGCGTAATACGCGGAGCGGTGAGGGATAGGTCTATGCTCTCTAGCGGTGCATGCAAGGCGCATGCCAGCGACCCATCTACTTACATAAGGCATGAAGACAGGCGCGTCCCAGCCTAAAAGCAGATAGTGGAGCTTGTAGGTGAAGGTGAACTTCTTTGGAACCAAGTACGCTAAAAGGCTGCAGACTACGGTATTCTAGGCACTAAACTACACTCCAGATACGTCCATGGGGACGTCGACACAAAGAAGTTTCAGTAAACCTGCTAGGCGGCTCGTTAGCTAAGGATAGCCCCTATTAATGAAAGGATGACACGGATATGAACGCTAGATGCACTGGTTACCCAGTCGCATCCTCAGATCAAGGGCGACCCAAGTTGCCTCAAGCAGAGATAAAAGCCGTACTTCTGTACGGGGTTTATATGGAAACTTGCTGCCTTTGTTGCCTAAGCCACTGCAATGTAGGCTTCTTGTACGCTTTTGTTCCCTCTATCTTAAAACGCTTTTGCCAAGGTCATAACCAGGACAGTGCGCTTGATAGACACTATGCTCAAGTTTAAGGGTTGCCAGCACTTTCGACAACGACTAGTATGCTCAACATTATCTGGTCGCCCAATTCGAATTGATGACATACGCGCCGCCGACCCGGAGAGCCCAGGGCTGCGCGACTTTGAGGCGTCGTTCCTGCGTCTGCTGGAGAAGCTCACAAACGGCTGCGTGGTCGAAATTAACGAGACGGGTGCGTTCCCATCGAGCCTGAGTGCCGCACTCCTGCTTAGGCGCCGTTCATCGTAATGAAGACGTTCTAGCCGTAATGAAGGCACGGGTCTGCACTGACCCGGCGGGTTACTATGCTGCCACGCCGCTGGATAGCACATTCCAGGCTTCTTGCATGTTTCTCGTACGCGATTTCCTCTCCCCTTGCTCGTCACATGCTCGTCCAGGCATCCCGCCCTTGCCCTCTCCGCTTCCTTTCCCCTCATGGTATGCCCCGCTCCCGTTGCCGCCCTTCCCCCTACCCTCTTCAACCCCTAGGCACATCCTTGCGCTACCGCCCAGGCGTAGTTGTGTGCGGGTCGGGGCTGAGCCACGACTGCGGGAGCTCCCGCAGCATAGGGTATTTTCTGGAGCCGCTGCTGATACTAGGATTGTACGGCAAGAAGGTAAGCCGTACGGAAGCGCAAGAGGAAGCCATGGGAGAAAGCGAGAAACGAAGGGTCTGGTTGCTCACCGGTTGTACGGATGGGGTCATTGTTAAGAGGATGCGACCCTGGGGGCTGCATGGCAGCTAGCGAAAGAGGAAGGGAAGGCACGGGGGCTGCATCAGGGGGCTCCTCACAATGTTCGGTTACATGAGCCATGCACCCATGGCTTAGGCGCCTGGAGGACAAAAACAGCAAAGTGGGGTGCCCATGGGGGGCCTCTTGGCCTGACCCTCGCCCCTTGCATGCCCCTACTCCCTTCCCTCGCCCCTACCCTCCCACCACTCTCATCACCCCCATCACCACCCCCACCATCCCTGCCGCCCCCCCCCCCGCAGCCGCTCTCCATCACGCTACGCGGCATCACCAACGACGGCACCGACCCAGGGGTCGATACCTTCCGCACGGTGACGCTGCCGCTGCTGCGCAAGGCGCTGGGGCTGGAGGATGGGCTGGAGCTGCGGGTGGTGTCGCGGGGGGCGGCGCCGGGGGGCGGTGGCGAGGTGGTGCTGCGAGTGCCCATGGTGAAGCAGCTGGGGCCGGTCAAGATGGAGGACGAGGGTGAGGAGGGCGGGCGGGGGGAGGGTGAAGAAAGGGGTATGGAAAGAAGGGGGCCGATTAAGTGGAGTGTGAAGCAACTGCAGTCCTAAATCCAAAGGAGGGAAGGGATGGTGAGATGGAGGAGGAAGGGGTTGCGTTTGGTGAGCGTGGTTGCGGTGCGGATGGGGAGAGGGTTAGGGTGGGTGGGTCATCCCCCTCAGCTTGTGACCCTGACCAATCACCGAAACCCTGCTTCCGGCTCAGTTAGTTGTGTTGCCCCCGCTTTTTCTGCAGGCATGGTCAAGCGGATACGTGGTGTGGCCTACAGCATGAAGGTCTCGCCGCAGGTACGTGGGGTGTCACACACACGCTTTCGCCCCTCCCTCTGCATGTCTCACGGCTGTTCTACGGGGCCTTTCAGCAACCAACAACACTGTACGGTCCCCAACAATGCCCTAACCTGGGGTTTCCTGCGGTTTGGTATGGTCTTCGATCCCTCTTCCCCCCTTTTGACCCCTCACCCCCCCAGGTGACTAACCGCATGGTAGATGGCGCCCGCGGAGTGCTCAACGCGCTGCTGGCGGACGTGTACGTGTTCACGGACGCAACCAGCGGACTCAGCAGGTGCGGGCGGGGGGGAGGTTACCGATAGTAGGGATCGGGAGAATTCCGCAGGTGGAGGGGATGAGGAATCTGAAGAGCTGTATGATGCGGCTTCACTAGGGGTGGGGGGGAGGAGGGGGCTACAGAGAATGAAGGGAAGGAGAGAAGCCACGGGTGGCTTTGCAACCCTATATCCCTTACCCCGCACCTCACTTCCCCAACTACCCACCCACTCCTTTCCATCGACCTACTATTCTCCCCCCTCCCCCCTGCAGCGGCAAGAGTCCGGGTTACGGTATCACGCTGGTCGCTGAGACCACCTCGGGCTGCCTGGTCAGCGCGGAGGCCTGCTGTGCGGCCAGGAGGAGGGAGGTGAGGGGGCAGGGATGGGGAGGGAGGGAGGAGTAGAGGGAAAAAGAAATTCCAAAGTGTGTTGTGATGATGAGGGAGGAGACAGGCAGGGCGTGCAGGGGTAGGAGGGTATGGGGGGCCTGCCTAGCCGCACGTTTCCCAGGTGTGGGATAAGGCGTGGACAGGTGGGCGAATGGCAGCTGGGGCGGCTGGCATACCCACGTGGCACCTGCTGGGGTTGCTCCTCACGGGGCACAACCCCCTGCCCGCCTGACACCGCCCACCACCCTGCCTCCTGGGCTTGACTGGGGCATGGGGAGCAATCTCTCCTCAGCACACATACACCACCTACTGCTGCCAAACTCTCCTCCTCTACGTTGCTCACCACTGCCCACCACCGCAGGGAGATGCCGAGGGTGCTGCTGCTGGGGGGGCTCTAGACGACTCGGAGCAGCAGGGCGGGCGGCAGCAGGTGCCGGAGGACGTGGGGGTGACGGCGGCACACATGCTGCTGGAGGAGGTGGGCGGGTGGCGGTGCGAGAAGCGGGGGAGGCAGGGGAAGCTGGAAGCGGGGATCTTTGGTGGAGGTTATCAGGGGTGGGATTGGGGTGCGAGAGGTTCCAGCCCCTTGCTTTGCAACCCTGCAACCCTGGACGTCGTGTCTACCTTGTCGGCTCCTGGTTCCGTCGGTGACACCCCTCTCGCCTCCTGCGGGCCTCTCTCCACTCCCCACTCCTCACGGCTGCAGTAGTTTCCTCGTTCGTGTCCTCATTCCTGTCCTCCTCTCACTCCTGCTCCCGCTCCTGTCCTGCCCTGTCAGATCCGGCGAGGCGGTGTGGTGGACGGCTCGCACCAGGGGCTCATGCTGCTGCTGTGTGCACTGGGGCCAGAGGTGGGGGGGGGCTGGGAGGTGGGAGGTGGGGGCTGGGAGAGAACAACTGGACAGGATCACGAGCAGGGATGGCGCCCGTGGGGGACATGATGGAGTATGGAATGCGACTTACGTGAAGGGGCTATCCACATCGTACCTTGTCTCCCCTTGCTCACCCCCCTCTGCTCCCCCCACCCGGACTTGCACCACCCGCACCCCAGGAGGCCAATTCGTTGCGTCTGGGTCCCCTCACCCCCCACGCCGTACGCACGCTACGACACATTCGCGACTTTTTCGGTGTCACCTTCAGCCTGCGGCCCGAGCGCTCCTCCAGCACCCTGTTTGCCACGTGTGTGGGTGCGAACGTGCGCAACGTGAGCAGGAGGGTGACGTAAGAGGGGGGTGGCGGGTAAGGGGGAAACTGAGGAGGGCGGGGAGAAGGTGTGTGTTGTTTATGCGGAACACTGACACGGACTGGCTGTGCGTTGCGCGTGACATTGTGACATTGACCTTGCGTGTGAAAGGAGGGGAGCGTGGGGACAGCATGGGAAGAGGCTGGGACACATAACACATGCGATGCGCGGAACTGTTAATCTTTCGCTGCTTTAAGTGCTTCGTTGACGAGGTTTGTAGTCGGTGCTACTGACAGGCCTAGAAAGCAGGGTAGGGAGGATTGCGTCGAGTCATGGGGCGAGCGGCGTTTTATTGCGGGTGGTAAAGAGGAAAGGACCAGCTAGCCGTATCGAGAGGGGGTGTGTGTGATGGGGCATGCCACTCATTTGGTTCGTTTGTGGTGCGACCAGGTGTATGGGTGGTAGAGTCCCTTTCTCCCCCGTTTATAAGATCATAACTCCTTCCAGATGGCGGCCAGGAGGTTGGACAGGTGTCGACAGGTGTTGTTGTCACCGGACAAGAAAAGTGGAAAGAGGGTGGCTTAATCTGGCTGGTAGCAGCGGCAGCTGCCGTTCCCTCGCTTATCTGTGCAAGGAGTCCGATTCCTTGCAGCAAAAGACTGCATTGCGTTGGCTGTGCGCTACTTTCTTATGAAACGAACGAATGCTGTACCCGTAGTGGGCGGGTCGAGGAGTGAGGGACGACTGTACGGAAACTGTACGGATGTCCCTTAGCTTTGGGAGGACTTGTTGGCGGGTGTGCTGGGGCAAGCATCTGCTGCCAGGCGTAGCTACATCTCCTGCCTAGATCTTGGTGATAAGGATCTCGGATTCCGAATGCTGTACATGTTATTAGCAAGCGGTTGTAAGAAACAAGGTTGTTGTGTCGCTTCGGGGCGACATACAGTTATCACTGTTGGAGCTAAGATCGAAGGCAGCACGATTGAGGTTGCCTGACTTGGCATCACCACCGCAGCTAAAAGCGACAAGTGTGCTATAGAAGTGCCTTAAGGTTCAGCACATCCCCGAAAGGATTGGGGTACTGGATAGCCGGCAAGCACACCTGACTGTGAGTCACGACCCTGGGCTTGTTCTAGCAAAGTGAGGACGCATACCAAACGAAGCCTATATATTTGCGCTATACTGCTACATGGCTATTGCTACATGAAGGCCCCTAGGCGAGTTGGTTGGCTATCCGCCGTACGGTCGTTTGCCATCTGCGCGGGCTATCTTGTTTGCGATGCTATATAACCTGAGAGCTCCTCACTTTGAGCTCTTTTTGTTGCTTTCCGAGCCACAGCACTTGTTCGCAGAGTGCTAGCTGAAAGCGTGCTCGCCCATTTGCTTGCCGCCCAGTCGCGCGCCCAGTTCGTGGCAGCCCGCGCGACTTTTATTGGATACTGTCATAATATATAATATAAATATTTTGGCTTCAAAACTTCCTCCGACAGCCTCCTTACGACTTTCAGGGGATTTTCCCGCGACCATTGTTAGAGATCACAACATGTCGCGGAATCAGCCCTCCGGCCTACAGCGCATTTGGCCACGGCTGATGCCGGAGCTTTCAGAGCACATCATTAGCTTCCTGCCGCCCAACGAGGTAGCATGCACCGTGCGGCTGATCAACAAGGCAGCAGCCGCGCAGTTCAGCGGCCCTCGCTTCAGTTGCGTAAGGCTGTCTTCGCCCGTGCCGCTACACGCCTTCAAGCAATGGTGCTGCCCCGGAGCCATGCGAGGGATGCCACGCGAGCAGCGGCAGCAGCTGTTGTGCCTGACAGCCCGCAGCGGCAGCATCCCCAACCTTGAGCTGGCATTCCAGGTTGCGGGATGCGGCCAACTGCTTACCATACTCGACGCATCTGCTGCTGCAGGACAGCTTGAGGCATGCAAATGGCTTGTACAGCAGCAGGGCTATCCCTTGAAGCCCGCCGTTGAAGCTGCAGCCGCGGCAGGGCAGTGGGCCATCTGCGAGTGGGGCCTGGCTGCCGGCTGCCCCTGGAGCCGAAGCTTCGTCCACGCTGCTGCCCGCGGGGGCCACGTGGGCCTCATGGAGTGGCTGCTGCAGAGGCGACCAGTCGGTGGTCCCCACTTTGCAGCGGGTAGCTTGCTGGAAGCAGCAGTGCATGGTTGCCCCCTGGCATGTGTGCTGCGGCTGTACCGTGACTGCCTGGGAGGGCAGCAGCGGCGGCTTGCTCAACTGGGGCCGGACGTCAAGGGCTGCATCATGGCAGCCGCTGCTGGTAGCCGCACACCCGACTGGCAGGCCAAGGTGGAGTGGCTGGAGGCACGGGGCTTCCCCAAGCCAGTGGATGCCTGCATCGGTGCAGCTAAGCAGCCAGATGCGCTAGACCGTTTGACTTGGCTGCGAAGGAGGGGCTATCCACTGTGCAGGGACGTGGTGCTGCAAGCCGCAGAACGGGGCAACTGTGATGTGCTTTCCAATCTGATGGCACTGTGTCAGATGACGAGAGGGGAGCCTGCAGCCAAAGCCGCTGCAGGTGGCCAGCTGGCTGCCCTACAGCTGCTGCATGACCACGGCCGCCCCATGGACGTTGAGACGGTGAAGGCCGCAGCCTCGGCTGGACACCTGCATGTGGTGGTCTGGCTGGTGGAGACGCTGGGGGAAGCGTTACAACTGAATCCAGTTGTGTTCAACGCAGCAGCCTGTTCAGGCAACCTTGCCTTGCTGAGGTGGCTGCACGAGCACGGCTGTCCCTGGGGCCCTGGGGCGATCTGTGCAGCTGTGAGCAGTGGCTGTGAGGAGCTTTTGGAGTGGCTGCTGAAGCTGGGGCAGCAGGAGGGGGTTCCCTTCCCTTTGCCGGTGAGTGTCGCTGACTAGGCGGTGTGTGGTAGGGAAGGACTGGGTTCCTGGTTTAGTCTTTGTGCTATATAATGCTTGGTAATTTCGTCATTTTTTCTTCATGTTGTGGCCATGAGTGGCTTGGCATGCTCGTCTCCGTACACGCTGTGTAAGTGTATAAAGGTTAAGTCCATCGCATTGATACCTGCTATGCACTCGTCTCCCATACACAACCCACAGCTGTAACTGCACAGCCTGATTGCACTGTCCAATGAAAGCTCCTTTATTTTTACTACCGGTAAACTTCCTCCACACCTTCTCTTGCTTGCCTGTTTGCTACGCCCCCAGCATCTTGGCAGACTCTACATGGCCCCCGCTCTGAGCCACGACTTGGCCACTCTGCGCTGGCTGCAGCAGGCGGGCTGTGGCTGGGACTCGGCGAGATACACCTTCACGGACTATTTGGACTGGTGCCTTGAGGTCCCCACTGCTAGCGCTGTTCCGGTGCTGAGCTGGCTGCTGGAGGCGGGCTGTCCGGTGGACTGGAGGGAAGCAAAGGCGAAAGCGGCGCAAATGGAGAAGGCGGCGCAGCAGTGCACCAGGGGTGCGGCTGGCATGGGAGGCCGCAAGGTGCGGAAGTGGCTGAACGAGAGAGCAGCAGCAGCAGCGGTGGCGGCAGCTGTGACGGCAGCAGCAGGGGAGGGGGCTGGCTTGTGAGGGCCGAAAGCCAGACAGCTCACCAAGTTACCATGGGTGAAGGAATTGGGGAGACGTGTGGATAAGGCACGGGGTTGCGAGTGTGTGAGGTACATTTGAAGGCAGTGGGGTGGTCACCGTAGGATAAGTGAATGCAGCCATGAATGCACGGAGGAGTGGGAGGCGAATGGTTAATCGTCATTGGTGCTCACTGGGTACTGCGGGTGGTTAGTTGGTGCTAACCTCGGGCTGCATGTGTCACGAGATAGGACGACGTCGCTGCTCCCGCTGCACATTTCCTGAAGGATTGGGGATACCGGGAATATAGGGGAGGTAGACGACGATGAGGGAGAGAATGTTCGTATTTTGTTGTTGAGCTGATTCTGTGTGTTTCTGGTTCGGACACGGGTCCAATCACCGCTTGTTGGGCATCATTTTCTGTTGGTATGGAAAATTCAGGGGGCAAGGAGACAGTCAGGATTCAGATGGCTAGCTGATGGCGGATGTTGCGGGCTCTATGCATGGGCATACGGCCTCTCTTCAGCATTGGTGGCTTACATGTGGTGGGTTGTTATGGAACAGTCCTCATGGAGAAGCTGTACGTATTAGATTGAGTGTGTGTGCCGTAGTGTGGATCTGTACACCTATCCAACATGTTGGCATATATTGCGCATGGGTGATTAAAGCAAAAGGGTAAGGCAGGATCATGGAGCATGCCTGCATGTGGGTTGGCCAAGGAACTGTGAAGCTGCTGGGTGATATGGATGGCGCCGCAAACGTGCACTGCTTTAGCTGTGACGCTGCTGCGCTCCTAGGTGCTGCGGTAGGTAGCAGCCTGGGCAAAGCTTTGTTATCTGTAACCAGCTGTAACGTTCACGGGACCCTTTCTTTATGAGGGATGCTGAAGAGTCGCAAGCGCGTTGCAAGGGCCATTATCTTCTGACATAGGAGAAGACGTAGCATTCAGGTGTAGGAGGGTTGTCAACATCATGCGTCAGATGTGGTCTGCTGAGGAGGGACGTACGATGAGGACATGCATGGTGTCGTCAGTCGTCGCTTTCTTCTGTAAACCCTTTAAACAAGAGGTCGTATGGGTTAAACTCGGAAGAATGAAGGGGTGGCAGCGTTATAGCCACACCGACACCGCTGCCATGTTGATATGTTGACATGGGGTTTTACCCCTACAGCGGAATGGTGCACTAAATATAAACTCCACGTGGATCTTGCAGACGTGGAATACACACATATAAGACACACAGAACCCGAGCGCTGTTCGGCATTAACATTGCGAATTTGGCGCGATGGCTGTCATCATCCTCCGTACCGGTATATGAATGAAGGAAAGGTTATAAGGTGTATAGGACCTGGTAGGACACATATGGGTTACATTTGTGGTGCTGGAAATTTACATTGCCTGTAGGCCCAGCTAAGGCTGTCCTGGGTAAAGTGCTTCGTGCTAGCTACACCGCTTTCGTCGTCATCCGTTTCTGCAAACAAACCATAGCTTAGTGATCCCTCTTGAGACTCAAGGTCTATTCTTTTACAGAGGAGAAACCACGCATACAAACAGCATCGCAACGAATGTCGGGTCAGCCATGTCCATTATGCATTTGGCCGCAGCTGCCACCAGAGCTTGAGGAGCGCATAGTCAATTTCCTGCCGCTTAACGAGGTCGCCTGCACCGTGCGACTACTCAACAAGGCCGCGGCCGCACGATTCCGCAACCAACACTACACCACAGTGCGATTGTCATCACCGGTGCCCCTGCATGCCTTTAAGCGGCAATGGGGCCACCCTGGCGCCATGCGTGGGCTAACGCTCAAGCAACGGGAGCAGCTGCTGTGTCTTACAGCCCGCAGCGGCAGCATTCTTAACTTGGAGGAAGCCGTGGCCTACACGGGAACCATCATAGGGCAAGGATGCTCCTTCGGATCTAGCCTTGTGAAGGAGGCTTCTGCTGCAGGACAACTTGAGGCATGCAAATGGCTTGTGCAGCAGCATGGTTATCCCTTAAAGCCCGCCATTGAAGCTGCAGCTGCTGCAGGGCAGCGGGACATCTGGCTGCCGGCTGCCCCTGGAGCCGAAACCTGGTATACGCTGCTGCCCGCGGGGGCCACGTGGGCCTCATGGAGTGGCTGCTGCAGCTGGGCCCCGAGGACGCGCTGGAGGGGCACCTGCTTCTCCCCGCACTGCAATCCGCAGCAGAGGGCTGCGACCTGGTGACCCTGCAGCGACTCGCCGGGCGCCAGCAGGACACATGGCAGCTGGATAGTTGGCACAACACCTTTGTCCTGGCCGCGGCCGCCGGCAGCCCAACACCTGATTGGCAGGCCAAGGTGGAGTGGTTGGAGGCGCAGGGTGTCCCTCGCGCGGCCCCTGCCTACCACCGTGCAGTTGCCTGCCCGGACGCCCTGGACCGCATGCGGTGGCTGCGGGACAGGGGCTACCCGCTGCACAAGAAAGTGGTCCTGTGGGCTGCGCGGGCTGGTAGTCGTGACGCACTTGCATTCCTGCTGTCAGAGGGTATGGCACCGGAGGAGTACTCCATTCGTGGAGTCGCGGGGGGAGGCCATCTGGCCGCCCTACAGCTGCTGCGCGACCACGGCTGCCCCATGGATGAGGCCACTGTTGCATCAGCAGCCCGGGCTGGACACCTGCATGTGGTGGTCTGGCTGGTGGAGGCGCTGGGGGATGAGCTGCTGCAGGAGAAAAGCGTGTGTACAGCTGCTATGGAGTCGGGCAACCTGGAGCTGCTGCGGTGGCTGCGGGAGCGGGGCTGGCCCTGGGGTACGGATGCGTTCACCCAGGCGGCGGCTGCGGGCTGTGAGGAGGTGTTGGAGTGGCTGGTTGAGCAGGGCTGCCCCATGGAGGTAGGCATCATGAAGAACTTTCGTGAGGGCAGCTGCCTTAGCTGCCAGTACTGCCTTTGTTGGTGGTCTTGTAGCTGCAGAGCAGGGGCGGGAGTAAAGAGGAAGAAACGAATTACTACCTACCGCATGCCAAGGCTTCATCACGGGGGCAGGGGGAGCGGTTCCTCCCAGGCATTGTATGTAGCAGCTGGTAGCTGGAATAATGCATATGGTTCCAGGGTTAGGGCACGCTTTGTGGGGGCTAGATAATCTGCATGGCTTTATGGTTTGCTGTAAGGATAGTCAAATAACATGGGCAGGAAAAGCAATGCATGCAAGGCATGAACATTGCATCTCCAAAAGCCCACACACACCTCCTTTTCTGCCTTAGCCCTGGAAGAATGCCAACCGTTTTTACAACGCCAAACCCTCCCCTCAGGAGAACGGTTGGCCCTACGAAGTAGCTGCCAGCAACGGCGACATGGCCACCCTGCGCTGCCTGCGGCGGCTGGGCTGCCCCTGGGGCCCGCACGGGTGGCTCTTTGCGAAGTGTGTTGCTCGGTGCTGCCGTCTTCCGGTGCTGAGCTGGCTGCTGGAGGAGGGCTGTCCGGTGGACTGGAAGGCGGCAGAGGAGAAGGTGCAGGTGGCAAAGGAATTGGCTGTTCCAACCAATGAGCAGGCATTGAATGAGATGTGGGATTGGCTGGTACAGAAGAGCGGCGGGCAAGTGTGTGCACCCAGAGACTGAGAGCGCGGTTTCACTGGGGGTCAAAGACCATACCGAACCATAGGAAACCACAGGTTAGGGCAAAGCAGTGGGGATAGGAGGCGGCAGGGTGCCACTGGGGGGGTGTTGCCTGCTACTGGGTTCGGGTTGCTGACGTTGGTTTGCGTTGGATAGCTTGGCGTGATCAGCACGCTTGCAAACAATGCTTAGGTACCGGTAGTCTGGTTTATTGGGACAGGGTGAGAGATGGCTGTAGAAGCAGGGTTAAGTCTAGCTGCTGCAGTTGATAGCTGAGTCTTTGTTGTGCCCTTTAGTACATGTATTGCCGTTGAGGATGATCTGCATATTTGCATTTCATCATGGAAGGCCCGTGCTACGACGAGCTACGACCTCCTGATTACGAGGGTTCTCTCAACATTAGCAGTAGGTCCATGAGGGATGAAGATCATGACCTCTGCCCCTCCCGAGGCCCTGGCTAGCAACCTGAGCCGCGTATGGGAGACCCGCATGTCTGTCAGGATGGAACCAGCTGTTTTTCCACCACCTACGCAGAGCCCTCAAGTTGTGGATCCCGTAGGTGATCCGGACATGGACCAACTCCATTCCTTATAGCGTCCTTGGCCCTGCCTCCTGGCTTGTACGAACACTACGTACGTGTGTACAGACTGTAACATTACAGGCCGATCGAGCCTGGAATGTCGTACTCCTAACGGGCACGGACATGCCCACAGGACTGTGCTGTGCACGACAGCAGCCAGGTACAACTTTGCAAACAAACGCTATTGGCCTATTGCACGAACCCCTGTCACGCCACACATCCTCACAGCCAATACGGTAGTAACTGAAAGCGCGCCTAGGTTCATTTTGGACTCTGACAGTCAAAAGAACCAACTGAAAGCATTACGAGCACAGCGCTGAACGCTTAGGAACGTTTAGGAAAACACAGAAACACGTTTACGTACTGGGGTGACCTTATACATGCAACCTTCCACTTATTAACAGGAATGCAGTGCAAGGCTCCCAGCAAAACCAAGATGCTGTCATAGCGACATACTTTAGCGGCCCACCCTGCAGCCGGGATGACGACATCAATCACAGTTTGCTGCGCATATGATGTATGTAGATAGGACTTGCGTCAGGCGCACAATCAACACATAAACCTAATTACCAAAATTACCTAACCACATTACAAAACATTTACCTTTTACGATGACCAGGCCGACACACTTCGTTATCCACAGCTGCCACACTCCAGCTATGAGCCATTCTGTGCTACAAAACCGCCAGGCACTCACAGGGCACAGGTACTGACCCATGGGTCTGCCTGGAGACCCGTTACCAGAAGTGCAACAATATTGCCACAGCAATCCGCCCTGGGCACCTCCCTTTGACATCCAACTCCTTTGCTTGCTTAATTTCAATATTCGTAACCCTCCTCAGCTCTCCACCCTGCACCGATACCCTTTTCCAACATTGTGCACATGTCATGGGCCAAGATCAGTCTTTTTATTAAGGGGCGCTATACGCCGAGTCTGTGCCATCCTCAAAGCTCATACTCGCCCAGATTAGCATGTCCTAATTGGACATGAAACGTGAAAACTGTCGAACGCCTCAATTGCCAACGTGTCTCAATAGTGCCATATAAAGTCCCGAGCTCCCAACAGATATCACCCAAACAAGGTTACGAAGGCTTGACTGGCAAAAGTGCATCGTTCGTCACATAAAAACACGCGGCAGACACTGCTGCAGTTGCTTGTTAACAGCCCGCCGGGACACCAACAGAAGCTGTGCCTGCACCCCATGCAACCGTACATGCAGCAGGTCATCACACGCACGATTGCCACACGGCCCACCCGGTCAGGTAGTGTTCCTAGTTCCATGGTCAGTAATGTCAGTGCTACGGCGGCCAGATGAACAGATTAGCACACATTAACACACCCTCGAGCGCCAAAAGGTGGGGCACCAGGATTACGACCAAGCAACAGCAGGGTATGTACGGTAGTCACTAGCCTTTTATCAGTCTGTAATATTACCCAGCGCAGTTATCACTTCAGCGCACTGCACGCACGTTGAAGGTACCGATAATTCAGGCAGACCCAAGAATACTCCACTTCAGTGCCGGCGGGAGATTTGTCAAAGATATAATAATCAGCAAAATCCCGATAAAGACTCTTCACATTCCGGTCACTATCTATGAAAGGGGATCTGCCCAAAGCTAACCCCATCAAATCCGGATTTCAGAGAGTAGCAAAGCCGCTAGAGCTGGGCTGCTCCGAAGCTGCAGCACCGGCACCAGCAGCGATGTACGGCTGTTCTTCAACCGTGATGGCAATCACAGCCCCAGAGCCCGCAACGGTGGGGGTAGGGCCGGTGGTGGTGGAGGCGCGCAGATGGTGGTTGTCGGTTGCTGTTGTGGCTGTTGTTTCCCCCTCGGTGCCAGCTAGGGGGCTGTCAGGCGGGGTTCGGAGCGTATTGTGAACGTCGCTGGAGAGCGCCTGAAGCGCCTTTAGGATGGCATCAAAGGTAGGTCTGCAAGCAGGCAGGCAGGCAGGCAGCAAAAGAGGCGAAACTTAAATTAATTAAAAAAGTGAGCAAGCAGCAAAGGGGAGGCATGTGCATGCCACGGTCGAATGTGTGGAATAAGTTATGTAAGACAAGGCCACTGTACGTCAAGAATGCAAGAGAGGAGGGAAGGGAGCGACAGAGTTATCGTACCCCTCATAACCTACTCTACCCCATCCACAAGCCACGCACCTTGCCGCCACCTCCGAGGCCCAGCACGCCTTCGCCAGCCCCCGGTATGCGGGCGGGCAGAGGTGCGGCAGCAGGGGCCGCCCGCCCGCGGAGGCCACATGGTAGGCCAGCATGGGTTGCGGCACGTCCCAGTAGGCCTGCTGTCCCGTGTAGAGCTCGTAGACTGAGGGTTGGGAATTTGGATGGAGCATGGAAGGTACACACAGGATGCGTCGATACCCACAAGAGGGGTATGAAGTTGGTGCGAAGTTCACATAGGACATCTTGGGACAAAAGTCCTATCAAAGGAACGCAAAGGGTACGAAACGGAGGTAGGTGGCAGCATGTCCTAACTACGGGTTCAGAAGAAGGCTCCGCGCTCGCTTGAGCGTAAACCGCACTCACGGAAGATGCCAAAGCTGTACACGTCGCTGGACTTGGACACTCGGCCATGCAGCAGCACCTCTGCATGCATGCAGGAGGAGGGGTGCAGCAGGCGGGGCGTGGTGGGTAGGGATGTGATGACCTGATAACCTGACCTCATGGTTTAGTAGGTGAATCTATATGCGTCGGCCGTCACAGCAGGTGCTTTCCATCCTCCCAAAAGGTCATCGGATTGCATGCATGGTCCAAGATTACTCAGGGTTAGAAAGTAGGCAATTCGTGCCAATGCCCTTTCGCTTGGAGGCCTGGCCCCAGCGCCGGGCCTGTTCCCCAAACCTGGCAGCGCCCCCCCCCTCCCTACCTGGCGCCATGTGAGTTATGGAGCCCTGCGAGGAGAGCAGCGGGGGCGCGAAAGAAGTAGGAATACAGGGGGGAGCACAAAACGTAAATCGCCGGTGTGTGCACTTGAATGCTCATTGCTGCATAACGCTTACAGCCGCCGCAAGAGCACACCCGCTTCCTCGTCCTGAATGGGATTCCTAAAGCATCAACACTGGACGCGTAGGCTCCAGGTGCTGCTGCCCCAGCCAGCCAGCAGCAGCTGCAGTATCAGTACTGTTCCCTTGTCAGTTGCAGCAACACATACTCCCTGTCCCTAATCCCTTCTGGATCCCTGCCCGCCTACCAGCTGTCCCTTGGTTGCATGTGTGGCCTCCGGATCCTCCAGTCGGAAGGACAGTCCAAAGTCCGCCACCTTGGCCTGCAGGCGGCCGCTGCCGGGCTGCCGCTTCAGCAGCACGTTGGCTGCCTTGAGGTCTGAGGTGTGCGAGGGCGGCAGGCGGTGGAGGTGGGTTGAGGCGGGGGTTGAGGCGGAGGCAGGGAGAGTAAGGGGAGGTGCGGGAGGGGAAGGAGTGGCGAAAAGTTGGAAAGATAGAAGGGACTGCGCGGGGTTCAGCAGCCAAGCAGCCAAGCACATACGTAACCTCCGGATTGCCCCTTCCCTCCGCCTGCACGCCCGCCCGCTTCCCCTCCTGTTCGTGTCCCTAACCACCCAGCCCACCTGCATGTATGATGTTTGCGGAGTGCAGGTAGGCCATCCCGGAGGCGACCTGGGAGGCGATGTCCAGCACCGCCTGCAGCCGCACCACACCGTTGCCTGAGTGGGAAGCGGGAGAGCGAGGGGGGTCAAAGACCATACCAAACTACCGGTATAGGAGACCACATATAAGGGCAGGGCAAGGCAATGGGGATAGGCGGCGGCAGAGCGAGGGGGGGAGGAAATATAAGAGAAGTGCAGCGACTGGAGTGCCAAAGGACGGGAAGGGGTGGGGGGCGGGAGTGGCGGGAGGAGGAGGAGGAGCATGGGGCATGGGGGGTTTGAGCGACGCGTGGGAGGAGCTCCCGTGCTGTAGTTGCTGCAGCCCGCCAGCAATTGACGGTGTAAATATTGCGAGAGGAGTTAACTAGTCGAATTCCCTCCAGGCGTTTGCTTGCGTCCTGAGGCACCCTTACTTGCCTCCCCAAGTGCCCATCCTCCCACAGGATCACCACGAGCACCATCACCCCCACCACCCACCCACTGCTTCGTAGAACCGCATGCCCCTCAGCGCATTCACCACCGAGCCTCCCTCACAGAACCTGTGTGGGGCAGCAGCAGCAGCGCAAGGAGAAGGGGTGAAAATTAAATGAAAAGTAAAGCAAGGAGGAGACGGGTTAGTGCAGAAATGGATACCCCCAGGATGCAAGCAACCCCGACACCATCATGCATGCATGATGGTGCGCATGCGCATCACACGAGCACACCGAAACAGCAGCGAAACATCCTTCACATGGCTCATCTCCTCATGGTAAGTCCAGCCCGTGTTCGTCAGCCAGCCCATGAGCCGGTCTGAGGCGCCTCCATCCCTCCCTGCATGCGTCATATGCATGGCTCTTAACCTCTGCTTGTGACCTTACATGAGCCTGACCCTGGCCACATACATGAGCTGGGTTTCCAGGCTAACCGTCACCCGCACCGCCCCCCCTCCACCCCAACACCAAACACACGACTGGTGACTCACTCCGACACCATCTTAAGCTGGTAGAAGGGGGACATATCCCCGGGCGCCTGACCGGCTCCTCCTCCTCCTCCAACCCCAGCCCCAGCTCCAAGCCCACCATCCGCAAAATTCCCGAGCCCAGGACCACCACCTGCTTCTGCGGGCGCCACATGTTCATTCGCAGATGCATTGTTCCTGCGGGCGGCAGGGGTGAGGCACGCAGCACACATCAGGGCGGAACAGTAACGCACACACGCAGCCGGGCACACACGTCGCAAACAGGGCGCAGTAGTACAGGGCGCAGTAATACAGTTTCAAGATTGCACTACCCAAGGTGCAAACACGAACGCGGCGGTGACTCCAAGCGAAAACGGGCTCCTACCGGGGGGCAACCGCAAACCACACGTCTGGGAACGATAAACACACAACCCCCTAAAATAAAAATTTTCGCTACTGAGGGAGGGATTAGTGTTATCGGTTTACCGTAGTGTGTGCCCAGGATTCGCAAGAGTCTAGCGCCTCACAGAATCGTATGAAATGGGCACACACTACGGTAAACCGATAACACTAATCCCTCCCTCAGTAGCGAAAATTTTTATTTTAGGGGGTTGTGTGTTTATCGTTCCCAGACGTGTGGTTTGCGGTTGCCCCCCGTGTTTGTGTGTTTCCACCCTTCCCTGTGCTCCACCCCACCACCCACCCCTCCGAGTGCGAGCCGGTGCTGGGGGGTTTCTGAGCGGGCGAGTACTCCAGCAGGGCCACAGAGTAGGTCTGCGGGGAGGAGGGGGGTAAAGGGGGTAAAGAGGAAACAACTAACTGACCGTGCGGGGGTTCAAGGGAATACCCAAACCATGCAAGTGAGAGGGAGAAAGGTCTGGGAGGCAGGGAGAGAGAGAGGGAAGGATGCACGTACTGGGGTTGGTTTATATCTAACTGACAACAAACCGTAACATACAACTAGCCACCCACGCGAGCCCCAGCACCCAAAGGCCGCAGGCATTCCGACACCCGCCCCCGCTCCTACAATCCCACCATTCAGTCACACCACCCAGTCACCCAGTAGTAACGCCTTATCACACGGTTCGTTAGTCGTTTCCTCGTTACCAAGGCACATCCCCACCACCTGCCTGCAGCACGCATGGGTGGTTGAGCAGTGTGGAGATGGCCGCCTCCCCCAGCACGTGCTGCCACTGCGCCTGGCCGTACTGGCTGACGGGGACTGAGATGACCTTGAGCGCCACCGTCACACCCTTCCACTCGCCTGGGCGCGGGGGCATGGAGGGGGCAGCGGAGTGGGGGTGATGGTGGGTGTGGGATGGTGGGTGGGGTAAGGGACGGGGCGCATGGAGGGGTAAAGAAGAGGGAGGAGAAGAAGTGCGGCACGGTCATTCCTAGGCCTTGGAAGGTATTGGGGGGCGGGTGAAGGAGCGGGATGGCATGGGGGAATAAAACTCAAAGAGACACTGACTAAAGGGGTATGGGATAGGGGGTGACAATACACTCCATCTTCCCTACGCAACGAACCAACCCTACGCAACACAGCCCAACCCACCAAACCAACCCACCCAAAACCCCACCCAGTCTCTCCCAACCAACCGCACGCACCACCCACCCTTGTACACCCGGCCAAAGGTTCCCTTGCCCACGAGCTGCAAGTTGACCACATCGGAGAGGTCCTCAGCCGAGGAGGCAACCACCATCTTGCTGCTCAGCTCCGCCCGAACCTGGCGGGCAGGGAGATTAGGGGAAAAGGTGAATATTCCGCAGGTAGGGGAAAGGGGGAGCAGAGGGAGCGGACCAACCGCGCGCCAATCCCGCACTGCACCAAGAATGTAATTCCTTACATGTGTTTCCAGGTGTATGCTTACATCCACCTGTGGTTCGGTATTCCTTCAAGCCCCTCACCGCTCCCTCCCGCTCTCCGCCCCCATGTATCCCTATTACCCTCCCCCCCACCCTACCCTGGCGATGCGATCCAGTGCCTCCTTGCTCACTACCGGCACATAGCCCTGCAGGACGGGTGGGTGGGAGGGGTGGCGTTGAGGGGAGAAAAAGAAGAATACACAATGAGGGGTGCGGGGTGGTCGAGGGGTGGGGTGTAGTGATGAGGTAAGGGGCGAGGGCCTGCCGCGACAAGGGCCTGCAGGGCGGGCAGACAATGTCCGCCTGCACGACACAACACGATAAGAGCAAGGCAAACAACAACAACACCTTAAAACATGCGCTCAAAGACGCTCCACCACAAGAGCAGGACCCGCATGCTGCCACATCCACAGCCGTGCACATAGCACACGCCCTAATTCGCCCCAGCCATCATCCCCCCTCGTCGCCACAAGCTAGTTCACCCGCATCACCGCTCTCACCGGAACGCTCGGTTTGCCCTTCTGCGCCTCCCACCGCGCACTCCGGGGCAGCAACCGCGACAGCGCTCGTCCCACCCGACCTCCCACACGCTCGCCCCGCCCGCCCCCGCCCGCTGCCACCCCTCCTCCACCCGCTGCTCCTCCTGCGGCTGCTACATGTCCCTCCACGTCCGCACCAACGCCCCCTCCCATGGCTGCCAGGGAGCTGCCCCGGCGGATGCGACCCCGCCGGTGGATACACCACACGGTGGCTGCCAGGAAGCACAGGGTCATGACACCTGCAGGCAGAGAAAGAGAAGGGCATGCGCCAGGGTGGTGATGGTGCATGGTGCATGGTGCATGGTTAGGATAGCCGAGGGGCTGCACCAGATACCGGTGCGCAGCTCAGCACACACAAAGCGGCATGCAATGCGCTGGAGGCCAACACACCACACCCATTAAAGCATGATCCATGAGAAGAGCGGCACGCCTCCGTTTTTCGTTGCCAACTCAAGCAATGTGCCAGTGCGCCACAGTGCGTGGCATACAATAACAGCCCTCAACCAGCCCTCACCGGTAAGCACCGCCGGCAGCAGGATGTTGGTGTAGCGGTTTCCTCCGTCTCCTGTGCCGCTAGTACTACTACTTCCGCTCGTGGATGGCGACGGGCTAGTATTACTGCTGCTGCTGCTGTTTGTGCTGTTGTTCATGGTTGCAAGGAGGTCCTTGACGCATTGCTCCGGGCCGCTCGCGCTGAGGCATGACATGCTTACGTACGCCCGGCACCAGTACGTGCTGTTCTGCTCGTACAGATTGTACGACAAGCTGTTGGATCGCGTGATGGTGGTAGCCAGGTCATCGATTGCCTACATGGACATGCAAGGGAGATGCACCCCCCCATACGGGTGGGCAGCATGGGATGTCGGATGGGGTGCTGCTGTACGACAAAGGCCAGGCCACTCCGAATACCGAAAACAGTACAGCGGGATGCGCCCAACGACTGAGGTCCAAGTACGTGCATTGCTCTCTTCCATCGGCATCAGCATCAGCCCCTAGCCCTTTTTAGAGTGGAAGAAGAAAGCAAGCAAGTCCCAGGCCCAGGCATGCAGCCACGCACCAGCACTTCCGGGAAGCAAGTGACGTTATCGGAGGTCGTGGTCACGTTTGCCAGGGTTGGCGGCAAGGCCGAGCCGGACGGCAGCTTGTAGCAGAAGGGCTGTACGGAAGCCGCCTGCTGACCGGGACTGTCCGGCAGCCGAGTGTACGACATCACGTGCTGTACGAAGATTTGCAAGGGAAGGCAAGCGTCCCGTACTTTGATCGTACGGGTGAATTGCAAGGTTGCCCTGTGGTGCGTTGTAGGTGCGGTAGCAGGACAGAAAGGCGGGATGTTAGGGTTTAGGGGGTACGCACGGTAGTTGTAGGTGTGACAATGACAGCAGGGTGCCATGCGGCCGCATTAATGGTGGGGCAGGATTTTGGACGGTATGCTGTACACACTACGATTGGTGTCAGGTGCGTGCTGAGTTTCTGGTGGCTTATCACCGACAGGCAGCAGGTATGCCTTACCTGGCGTGTTTAAACGCTGTGAACACCGTACACACGCCCTCTTTTGTCGCTTAGCTCCAGCCCGGGATACGGGATCCCAGTCTTGCGATCCTAGTCTCACCTTGCACTAGGTTGCTGCAGGGTGATGACCTGAGTGTCGTAGCCCAGTTGTGAAAGACTGTGCCACAAGACAAGGTCGCGGAACTCGAGGGTGGTGTTGTCAGCAAGCCGAAACAATCCTGAAGCTGTTCCAAAGTCGATGCCACTTGCGTATGCAAGGACTGATCTGGAGCTGCTGCCGTTTGTTGCTTGGGCTGGCCTGACATTCCCTACAAGCTCCACATGGCGGTTCGGCCCTATGACAATGCCATTGCTAGCAGACAAAGATGAGTCGAAGTAGACGATACCTCCGCCTATGGCAATTTGTGTAATTAAGGGATCCCGCAGCGCTGCAAGGAGCTCGCCAGCTGAGTACACAACTGTTGAATTAGCTCCGTAACACGAGACAAAGTGGAGCAATATCCAAATTGCTAGAATGCCGATGTAACAGAAATACCTAGAAAGCTTATCTGGTAATGGCCGAACACGCCTGCGGCCAATATGCGGCATGACCCCAATATTTTCTAAGTGCCTAGTAGGCATGAATAGAGCTTTCCAAAGCACGACTACACAGAAATTGCCAAGGTTACTCAAAGATATGCCCAGGTTGGAAACTTGCTGCTGTTACCAGTTGCACCCCATATGAGTCACGTGACAGCGCACGTGGGACCCTGTCGTACTTTAGTAAACGACCTGCTTTCCTAATTCAATTTGAGAGGTAGCGTTAATGGCTTACATGCAAATATTAGCACCTTCCTATTTTCTAATTAAAGCGCGCGAAGCTGCATTTTTCGTCCTGCCCGGCGGACCAAGAGCTGATGTCGGTTATCGAGCAGCAAGAACGGTCGCAAGCTTGGCCGCAGCTGCTACCAGAGCTTGCGGAACACATAACCAGTTTCCTGCCGCCCAACGAGGTCGCCTGCACCGTGCGACTCGTTAACAAGGCCGCAGCCGTGCAGTTCCGCGCCTATACTATCGTGCGACTGTCTTCACCCGTGCCCGAGCATGCCTTCAAGCAACAGTGGTGCCGCCCTGGCGCTACGCGAGGACTGACGCTTAATCAACGGCAGAAGCTGCTGTGTCTGACAGCCCGCAGCGGCTGCATCCCCAACCTTGAAGTGATCATTGCAAACGTGGGGATTCTCCTTCTCACGGTAGAGGTGATGAGGGCTGCCGCCTCTGCTGGTCAGCTAAAGGTGTGTCAGTTGCTTTGGCAGCACGGATGCCCCTTTGAGGGTGCTCTAAGGGCTGCAGCAGGAGCAGGCCACCAGGACATCTGCGAGTGGCTACTGGACAACGGCGGCCTTGATGACACTCATGCTGTGTACACTGCTGCTCGTGGGGGCCATGTGGGGCTGTTGAAGTGGCTGCTGCAGCAATTTAGAGAGCCAGAGGAGGTGAGGAGGTGGGTTGATGCTGTGGAGCTGTGCTCAGCTGTTGCTACAGGTTGTGGACTGCCGGAGCTCCAGTGGCTGATGGGGAAGTGGCAAGAGCGGCTGCGGCTGCATGAGTTGCAAGAGCGATACAAGTCTGATATCGTTGGAGGCGCTGCCAGAAGCTCTACTCCCGACTGGAGGGAAAAAGTGGAGTGGCTGGAGGAACAAGGCTTCCACACAACAACGGGTGTCTCCTACTGTGCTGCTGCATGCACAGATGCACTGGACCGTCTGAGGTGGCTCCACAGCAAGGGCTACAAACTGGAAGCGGAAGCGGCTCTGTACCTTGCCAGGAATGGCAATGTGCAGGCACTTGAGTATCTGCTATCAGAAGAAGTGAGGCCGGAGGACTGGTGCTCCCGTATGGCCTTTGCATGCGGCCTTCAGGCGGCTGCAGGAGGCCACCTGGCCGCCCTGCAGCTGCTGCATACCCACGGCTGTCCCATGAATGAATACATATTAGAACGTGCAGCCCAGGGCGAGCAGCTCCATGTGTTGGTCTGGCTGGTGGAGGAGCTGGGAGAAGCGGTACAGCTGAGTGCTAAAACCTTTTCTGCAGCTGCAAAGTCGTGCAACGTGGCACTGCTGTCCTGGCTGCGTGAGCGGGGCTGCCCCTGGGATGGAGAGGCCTTTGTTAAGGCTGCAAGGGCAGGTGGTGAGGAGGCGCTGGAGTGGTTGGTGGAGCAGGGCTGCCCCATGCCGGTGAGTGGCAACGGATGCCCCTCTGGGGGTGCAGATACCGGTAGAATGAGGTGGTCAGAGCAGAGAGGCAACCCAGCCGCGAGAATCTGTCCTGCTTAACCAATGCATGCACGCTAGCCAAGCGGGACTACAGTGACCAGGTCCAAACAGTGTGACGTAGGGGTGGGAGTATTATGCTGCCATGTTGGATACATGTATGCGCTTCTAGCGTGCACAGCTCTCACATACTTTAAGCATAACACTTTGATGATGATGTTGCATGGCCATGGATGCAAGCTATACAAACAACGCACATGTGTGCCACCTGAAAACATGCCTCCTGAAAATCATGCCTCTGTCCAATCCCAGGATGATGGCAACTGCTACGTCTCCGTGGCTGTGAACGGCGACCTGGCCACCCTGCGCTGCCTGCGGCGGCTGGGCTGCCCCTGGGGCCCGCCCGGCCACGTCTACTCTGGCTGTGTTGACCGGGGCTGCCATGCCTCCGTGCTGGAGTGGCTGCGACAGGAAGGCTGCCCGGTTGAGGTGTAGGGGGCATTTGTGAGGACATGGACATGCAGGAGGACATGGATGACGGGTGTGAGGAGGAGGCATACCTCTGGTGGATGGATGGATGGATGAGATGATGATGTTGGGTGGCAGGAAAGAGGGAAATAGGGACGAGAGGTTTCTAGGTTGGAGTGAAGAGTGACGTACAAGGCGAGGACTCCTGTCTGCACTAGCACTGGTAACTCCTGTAACCATTGTTGGGGCAAGGGGGTCATCGTCACCGTCGTCCTCACTTGCCACTAACTAGCACTAGGTCAAAGACTCCATGGGTCGTATCCACTGTTTAGCAAACAACCATTGCGCCTGCGGCTGAAAGGCACGCCGGTTCAGCAGCACCAGTCCTGAAGATACCCACCAACCAGGGACTGTATGTAACCTAATCGCGTTAGACAGTAACAATAATGCCTAACGGCCTGGACAATACGGAGGCCGACTGCCTTTCACACCCAACTTATGCAGCACCCTAGTATGGAACAAGCCTCCGAAATTCCTTTCCTCCTGTATTCCTACTCCCGCTGCCACACAACCAATACCTTTTGGATGGCATCCCACCCAGCCACCAGGACTGTGCTTAGGCATGAATGATGTTCAGACAGAGGGATGTTAAACCCCGTATAGGGCAGCTGGCACACAAAAGCAGCCCCTTGAGACAGTTTTATACCAAAGCCGAATGCCAAACCTGTCGTAAGCTGTCAGTGCCATTTTCCAGGCATTCTGGATGTTGTGAAGGACAGGACAATGGCCGAACGACCCCTAAGCAAACCCATAACACCCACAGCCCTAGCTGCAGAGAGCAGGAGCAGGAACGTCCCTAGCTGTGCTCTGCAAGCAGCAGTCAATCAGTCAGCCAACGTGATTATTATCCTTGGCACAAAAACAACAAAGGCGGTGCCAGCAAGCCGTCCATGCTTTCCCTTTTGCTTGTAAGGGGCGTCTTGGGTCATTAAAAAATGAAATGGAGCTCCCAGGGGCCCAAGACGCCACCCAGAACCTCTTACTAACACTACTTCACCAGTCAGACCAATCCCCTCCTCCCATGTTTGCCCCCTTTCCCTCCTCAGGCGTGCTCGCAACAAGACAACTGTGGCAATCTTCACCAACAATCCAGGGGCCTCTAGGAGTCCAGGAGTCAACTCGCATGCAATTCCATCTGCACCGCCATTCCCAAAACGGTAATAAACTCCCAACACGGGCATGCCTGCAACACAGCCTTCACGCCAACCCCCAATGCCAGCACCCTCATGCGCCTCCGTACAGCCAAAACACCAGCTATCACCACCATCGTCACCATCAACGTAACCGCTGCATTTCGCCATCCATGCTAGCTGAGAGATCGCAAGCCCAGACACCGCTATGTAGCCACGGCTGCTACCGATACTGCCGCCACTGCTGCTGCCATGCGCCGCCAGCATAGCCGCCTGACCGCCTCATCAGTGATACGGTACATAAGGAAAAGCACAGCGCAGCGCCCAGAGCCCGGTAGGCGCTATGATACCAAGTTTAGGAGTTGGGTTTATGCGCTGAGGGGACGTTGAGCGAGGGCCGAGGGATGAGTCCAGCGAGGAAGGCCCCTTTCCTTAAAGGAGGCTTACAGGAAGACCAAGGAAGCGCAGCCCCGTGCAGTGGCGGGTACAGTGCTGCAGTCCCATGGGTCGCTCCTCCCCTCATCACTACAAGAAGTTGGCGTCCAGCTGCTTGAGCTTGGGCAGCATGTTGAGCAGCTTGCGCTTGTACTGCGGATCCTGGGCCTGCAGGGGGGGGGAGGGGGCAGGTTTGAGGTGGGTCATGAGGGGTCCAAGAGAATAAAACCCGTTCTTATGGAACCACAAGTGCGGGCAGGGCAAGGGTTGCGCGGTGTGAGGAAGGCATGGCGGGAAGTGCAAGGAGTCAGGGTTGGAGTGCATGTCTCCCCCTCCCTTCCCCCTCCCCTTCCAACCCATGTACGACCCACCGCCGGGTTCCCCTCAAGGTAGATGCACGTCAGGGTTTGTCGTACTGGACCCAATGCCTTGTCCAGCGCCGCATCAATCGCCTTGATCCGGTTGTCGTTGAGCCAGAGGTCCTCCAGCTGAGTCAGCGTGGCCAGGTCGTTGGGATCCAGACCGTTGAGTCGGTTGGACGAGACATCCAGGATTTTGAGTCGTGTCAGCGGTGCAAGGCCCTCGAGAAGGGAGATGCCGTTGTGGCTCAGGTAGAGCTCCTCCAGGGCGGTGCAGGCTTCTAGGCCTGACATGGAGGTGAGGCTGCATGGGAAGGGGGGTGGTGGGGGGTAGAATAAACCAAACCACAAAGTTAGGGCAAAACAATGGGTATTGTTGGCAGGGAGCCACAAAACATGGGAGGGTTAGCAGTCATGGGGGGGGTGGTGGGAAGGGGTGGAGAAAGAGGAGGTGGGGTTGGGAAGGCGGGAGAAAGGGAAGTGGAGGGGTCAAGAAGGAGGCTTGCCGCCCCCCTGCTGCCTGTGTCACCCAGATCCCAGCATGCAGCAGCTGCGCCAGTCGTTGCGCTTTCACCCTGTCGTCCAGCCCTCTCCCTTTTGGCCCTCCTCTCCCTGCCTGCCTTCCGCACCACCCTTCCCGCCACAGCCCCCACCCGCCCCCCACCGGTTGCTCTGCAGCGATATCCTGCGCAGGTTGGTCAGTGTGGCCAGGCCGCCGATCTGGGTGATGCGGTTGCGACCCAACCACAACTCCCGCAGACCTGGGGGACACGGGAGTAGTGGTGGAGGCGATGAGGCGGTAAATGAGATACTTGTAACATTCTAAGGTATGGCCTTTTTCGTCCCTCCCCTTTCCACACACCTGTCAGCTGCTCCAGCCCCTCCACGGTGCGGATGCGGTTGGAGCCCAGCTCCAGCAGCGTGAGGGCGGTGAGGTGCGACAGCGCGGCGATGGCGGTTACCTTGTTGGAGGCGACGTAGAGCTCCTCCAGGGAGGCGGCGGGCAGGGAGGCCAGCGGCAGCAGGTTGCGGATCTGGGAGGGGGGAGGGAGACGGGGAGAGGGGGCGGGGAGGGAAGCAAAGGGGACGTAAGGGAGGCTGAGGCACGTGTTGCCTGCAAGCCGGGCGGGTAGCGGGGCCCCAGCTCGTCCAACCCCCGTCCAGGGGGGTCCCTTTGCCGTACTTTCCCTCCCACCTGGTTGTACGAGCAGTCCAGTCGCCGCAGCACCGTGAAGCCCTCAAGGTTGGGGATCTGGGGGGTGGGAAGGGAAGGGGGGGGGAAGTGGCAAGGGGAAGGGTGTGTATGTGTGTGTATGTGCAGGGGCGCTTCCGAGCGGTGCGGCAGGAGGGACGCAGGAGGGGGCTGGAGTGGGGCAGGATGGGCGTGAGGTGGGGCAGTTGGGTACGGAGAGTGACAAGGGGGCCACTTTCAGTGCTGCAGGCCCGCTAGTACGCACGTGCCCAAAGACACGTGGAATGCGGGGATCGACCACCGCACTAGATGTGTGTGGCTGTGTAAACCCTCGCGCGCCCTGCACCCTCCCCCGCCCCTCCATCCCCAGTGATGCTTCCATGGCCTCCACAAGGCTCCGTCTGCAACAGGCTCACCGTCGACAGGTGGTTATCCCGGAACTCCAAGTCCTCCAGAGCTCCTTTGCACTTGCATGTGCTCCATGCTGAGACGTTTGCTAGGAGGTTTTGACGGAAGTTGATCGTGCGCAGCCCTGTGAGGTAGGTGATGTATTCTAAGTACCGCGTGCATCGACGAGTTGTTGGCTTGCGTGTGGGTTTGCAAATGGTGTATACCTTGAAGCTCAAGGATGCGCGGGTCAAGGGTCTGGAGGCGATTCGCTGTTAGGTCAATTGCCTGTTGGATTAACGCTTGTTTTAATTGAAGTGACCCGGCTGAACTCGCTAGTAGTCGACACAGTTACCGTCAATGTCGGCTCGATTTCCACCGACGTCAAGTCCGGCAAGTGTGCGTTAGTTAGATCTAGCTCTGTAAGCGATTTGCTCATCTTGTATAATTTCCAAGGATGATGAGAACTAATTGGCGAACGTCACCGCGACGGATTGGACTGTGCAAGCGAAGGCAAGATAAACAGCAGAAGTGAGAACTAATGAGCATAAACGTTCAAGTACGTGTATCAGTTTGGTTGTGCGTGGGCATCACAGCGGTTGCAATGGTACTACCATTCGGGAAGCTGTCGTCCTGTCAACGACAAGTCCAATGGCGCGAGGACGACAAAGGCGCATACATACCACGATCTATGACTGTCAAGCTGGTTTCTGTTTCACAAGTCGAAGACTACTTTGAAAGCCAATTTCCTAGTCATTGTGAGGACCTCCTCTTTCTGCCTACACTCAAAACACTACACCCTGTGACATGTAACACTCGCTTGTCGAGATGGGAAACTACATATCTACAGCTGGGGCCTCGTTCACTCCATCCGATGCCTTCTTTCTGACCGAAGCGACCCGGACAGGGTCGCTGGAAGTGGTGCGGTTGTTCCTCAAGAAGAACCCGGCGCTTGTATATGCAACGTCTGCTACGGATAGCAGCACGCCGTGGCACGTCGCAACAGCAGCAGGTCACGATGTCGTCCTACGTGTGCTCATTGACACGGCCCGGGCTGGGGCATTGTCCAACAACTTCGATCCACTTTCAAAGGTTATTAACAAGCAGGTATGTGTTATGGCTAACAGCAGCGCGGGTGACTTGCACGTGTACGAAACGCCTCCCATCCGGTAGCTAAGTGGCACTTGCCGCTGTAAACCAACAGTTTCACTGCCCACATGCGCACACCTTGCTCATATCCCTTCACTGCAGCCTTTTGACCCCTCTTTTGACCCCTACTCCTTCTCCCTCCGCTGGAACCCATGCCATGTCATGGCACTTCCACAGAATGCCAAGGGGCAGACCCCGCTCATGCTGGCCTGCGGCGGCGGCCACAGCGTTTGCGTGCGGCTGCTTCTGGAGAGCGGAGCGCAGCTACTGGTGGCGGACGACATGGGACGATCAGCACTGCACTATGGTAGGGAATCCATCCTTCCGATCGGCGATCCCTCCTTCCGCTTCTGCCCGCTTCGCACCTTCATGTCACCAATGATAGCAGCGTACCGCTTGGATATTGGGACGCCTTACGACCCTGTTGTATGACAAACCATCCACCCACCCCCTGTTTCTCACCATGTTTCTCGCCTTTCCTGCCTCCCCTCCTCTCCCACTCCCCCGCACCCTCCGTCGCCCCTCCCAGCTGCCCTCCACAACGGCCCTGAGGGCCAGGGCAACGACTGCGCCGAGCTGCTCCTGGCGCACATGCAGCAGCAGCTGCTGGCGCGGGGGCCCGCGGCGGCGCCGCCGGCGGTGCATGCCAACGTCATTCGCAAGTAAGTAACGATGCACCTCCTCTCAACTGCTCATTCATCGCCCCAGCCTGACGCTCCCAACGCGCCCATCCTTTCGCACCTCGACAACGCACCTTATTACCAACCCACGGTTCCTCTCCCTTACACCCTGCCCCTCTCCCTTACACCCTGCCCCTCTCCCTTACACCCGGAACCCCCCGTAACCGCATGCAATGTCCACACCCGGCCCCTCTTCCACTGCTTCCACAGGTTCGCCGACTCGGTCGACATGTACGGCCGCACGCCGCTGCATTGCGCCGCTTGGTCCGGAAACACCCGTGCCGTACATGCGTTATGGGCGGTGGGCGCCGACATTTGTGCTCGTACGGACGTGGACTGCTACGATGCTGAGTTGCCATGCAACACCGGTACGACACCGCTTCACTTTGCGGCCATGCGGGGCCACCAGCCTGTCGTGGTGCTGCTGCTGGCTGCTTGGCATCGCATGGTGACACGGCCGGGAGCGCCGTTGCCGAGACCGGCGTTTGTTGTACGGGAGGTTGAGGGTGGAAGGACGGGTGCGGGAGCGGGGGAGGATGGGGCGGAGGAGCGGAAGGAGAAGGAGTTGGAGGGAGAGGGAAGGAGTGGGAGGAGTAGTGGAACGGGTGGGGCCGGGAGTGAACCGGCTGGGGTTGAAGAGGCGGGGAAGAAGCTGGGAGAGGGAGAGCGAAGTGCGAATGCGGAGGCGAGTGGGAGCGGCAGCGAGGGCGAGAAGGAGGCGGCGAAGGAGGGAGGAGAAGGTACGGGGTTGAAGGCGGAGAGCAGCTCAAGTGGTAGCAGCAGCGGGAGTAGCAGCAGCACTGGTGGCAGCACTAGCAACAGCACCAGCAGCGGTAGCAGAAGCGAACGAAGCAGCGGCGGGGGGGATTGCCGGTCTGAGGCATGGGCGAAGCCGGTCGTACCTTCCGGCGACCCGCGACTCATGGTAAGGTAGCGGGCAGGGTCGTCGCTTAGGAGCATGTGCCTGAAAACGCGTGGGGCCATGGAAGGATGCTTCTTGGGAGCTGCTCGAAGTCTGCAATCGGCACACAGCTACTGCTGGTGCTTGTCTTAGTCATCACTGTTTCTAGACCCTTCATGTTGTTTTCTTCCACACGCCTTTAGATGGACCCCATCGAAGTTTCTGACCCCATCTTCTCTTCGTTCCACCTACCCGACTCAGGTCGACGCGTACGGCATGACTCCGTACTCCATTGCATGCAAGCGCAAGGACCGCCGCCGCATGCTGGTTGAGCTGTTAGACCCCGCAACCGATTTTTGCGCAAACGAGGGCGAGGAACAGGCAGACGGGCAGGCGGCGGCAGGTGCAGGTAGCGATAGCGCCGGTGGTGCTGGCGCCAGCTTGCTAGGGTCGCGGAGCTTTGGCCGCCGTCGCGGCCTGGGCGGCGGTCGCGGCGATGAGGACGATGATGAGGATTCGGATTCAGAGGGCGGCGTGGCAGGGCCGTTGCTGCTGTGGGAGGGAGTGGAGTTGGTGCAGGGGATTGCCGCGGACCCAGCCTCGTTCTTTGCGTTGCAGCAGACGGCGCCATTGCTGCAGCCACTACAGCCGGAAGAGCCTGCAGCTACTGCGGCGGCTGCGGCGGCTGCTGTCGCTAACAGCGGAGGCGTGGGTGCAAACGGCGGCGCCGGGCGTCGGCGTTCCTCGGCGATTTCAGCGGTGGGGCTGCTGCGTCGGGGCAGCGGAGGTAGTGAGGACACCGGCGGTGCGGATGGAGGGCGGATCAGCAGCGGCCGGGCTGGGAGTAGGGCCGTCCTGACGGAGGAAGCTGTTCCGGACTGCTTCCTGTGTCCGCTGACGTGTGAGGTGGGTGTGCTGCGGAGGTGTGCTTCAGCAGTGCTTAGTACGAACGGACCGGAGGTAGAGGCACAGCATGCAACAGCACCCGCATGCTCTCTTCCCCTCGCTCTCCCACAGCATGGCACATTTTTCCTTCCTTTCCCCCTCCTTTCTCATTACCGGTACCATACCGTACGTGCCGTACTTCGGCAGGTGTTTCGGGACCCTGTGGTGGCGGCGGACGGCGTCACCTACGAGCGCGAGGCCATTGAGCGGCACCTGCGTCACGTGGCCACCTCGCCTCTCACCAAGCAGCGCCTGGCAAGCAAGGTGGTCTACCCAAACAGCGCGCTCAAGCGGGCTATCGAGCACTGGGAACTTCTGAGGGCGGGTGGTGGTGGTGGTGCGGCAGCGGGTGGTTCGGGTTCTGAAAGCACGGGGCTGCTTGGAAGGCGGTGAGGAGGGGGATGAGGGAGAACGGAGGCTGCTTGGGTGTAAGCTCGTGGGTGCGAGGAAGCGGATTGGATTAGGTCATGAGTGGAAGGCAGGATGCGCATGGGTTAAGAAGCATCATGGTAGGGGTATGCTGCATTGAAGGACGTTGAGAGGTGAAGTTGACCGCAAGTTGAGGAGCGTTGGATGTGTTTAGGTAGGAAGTAGAAAGGTAGAAACACGTAGGTGGGGAATGATGCTGCATGGGGGCTTTGGAGCTACACGCTGGCTGTGGGGCATGATTTTGGTTCCGCCTCGTTCGCACACATCATCATCTTCTTGCAGCGTAAAGGGGAACCGGCTGTCCCCTACATTTAAGAGTTTCTTTTACCTTTCAAGGAGCGGCGGATGATTGGGAATCAAGTCTAAACCGTGTAAGTTTGAAGTTCTTAAGAACATAGGCAACAGCAGCTAAGAGAGTGGCGTTGAGCTCAGCTACATGCGAGAAGCAGTAATCCAGCTTGTCGTTTGGATGATGTTACATCCTCAACGCAGAGGAGGCCATCCCGTCCAGGCGGAAGAAGCCAACCATGCCAACCAATCAAACATACCATCCCATCCGCCCGCTCGTGTCTTCCCTTCGTAAATTAGCTTGCTAGGCCCCGAGCGGGCTGATGACACCCTCACACGTTCACCCCATACGGGCGCTCTTAGCTGGTCAGGCATGTCCCATGTCGCGATGTGGGCGCCTCCCTTGGAACCTTCCGCACTACCATTGCTGCCCTTCCGCACCACCTCCACGGCACTTCGACTGCGCCTCCCTTTTGACCTCAGCCGCTTCCGCAGCGGGGTTTCCACCGACGTACGGGCAACCGCCTTGCCGGTTAACAACAACAACAACGTATGGCACCACTTCACTTCTCGCTTCTCTTGCCCTAACCACACCCATCAGGCGGCAACGCAAGCACTCGAACAAAGCGCTTTAACCTCTTAACCCAGAAACCCCCAAGCCACGGCTCTAGCGCGTTCTACTGGAAGGGGAATGGCATGGGCATGCCTGTGGGCATCCCTCCCGTGCCCTGCATCCCCATGGGCCCCTGCATCCCCATCTGGCCTTGCAGCCCTCCCATACCCTGCATTCCTTGCATGCCCTGCATCCCCAACATGCCCTGCATCTGCTGCATCCCCAGTGCCGCTGCCGCCCCAGGCATCATGTGCTGTCCGCCCGTCAGCGCGTTGAGCATGGCCGCAGCCGCTGCGGCCTGTTGGGGGGCCATTCCCGCAGCAATGCCCTGCATCTGCAGGGCTAGCTGCTGTTGCTGCTGCTGTTGTTGTTGTTGTTGTTGCTGCTGCTGGGAGTTTGACTGCGGAGATGCAATTTGCATGGGTGGCGGATGCGGCGGCGGCTGGGGTGGCGGCACACGTGGCGGTGGAGGGAACTGCTGCTGCGGCTGCTGTTGCTGTCGTTGCTGCGGTTGCTGCTGCTGGTGGTGGTGCTGGGCCCCATGCTCCATCCGCTGTTGCTGCTGCTGCGCCTGCTGTTGCTGCTGCATCTGCTGTTGTTGTTGTTGCTGCTGCTGCTGCTGGGATGGCAGCTGTTGCTGGTGAGCTGCCGCAGCGGCGGCGTCCTGCTGCTGCTGCTGTTGCTGCTGCGGCTGTTTGGGGCGGCCCGAATTGCGGATGGCTTCGGAGCTGAGCAGCTGATGGTGGGCGCGTCGGGTGTGCGTGGCCAGGTCCTCCTCACCTGGGGGACGAGGAGGTGGTGGTTCCGGGACGATAAAGGGTTGGGTTTGAATGGGATGGGTGCTGGCGGGAGCCTGTCATGCCTTGCAAGCGATGGCGCATGGGATTGGGGACTGGGCTGCTTTGTACATGTGCACGCAGTCTTGCTCGTGCTGCTGAACCCCATGACAATCCGGGGTGCTTACTTTTAAAGCTCTGCAACGTCAGGGGTGAGATGAACATCTTGTGCTCTCTCGACTTGGGTATCCGTTCCAAACGCGCAATGTTGGCATGGCATCTGCGCAGCAAGGGGCAGGACGAGGGCATGGCTCAGGTGGGGCCTGCGATTGGCATCTGATAAAAGCCAGGTGGGATCCTAACACTCATTCGTAGGCTAAGAGTATACGTAAGCGGGAGGGGGGTCGCAAAAAGGAGGAGCTGTATGGCAAGGTTTCACCAGACGGGTTACAGCAGGTATGGCATGTTACGCTAAAGGCCTTGCTGCTGACCAACCCTTCTATCCAAATCTCCAAACCCCCGACACATTACTGCGGTATAAGGCAAACCCTGCTTACATGAAACACGTTGCCATGTCCGTCGCGCATCCCAGGCAGTACGTATGAAGGCAAGGGTAGAGTCTTGCGTACACTGCTATTGGGAACTGGCATGAGATGCAGAAGTGTGTTTTGTGTCCTGAAGGGGGGTCGTGGCTGTAGCCAAGAGGAGTCTGTGGGGGCGCTGTCATGGCACTAGAACCTTGCGGGCGCTGATCTCAGGGGGATTTTATTACCAATTACTTTGCCTCGCGTGAGTGTTGATGTATATTTCTATGTTTTCGCGACAGATCGGTATCGAGGACTGACAAAGGTAACAAAGTATGCAAGATACGAGCAGCACAGGTAAGTGGTCGGGCGGTAGACGGTCCAGACACAAAAACAATCAACCAGATATTGCTGCAAGTTATTAGCAGCTTCTTGCTTGACTTTGCTGCCTTCAAGGTCTTAAGTGCCGTACTACGTTCTTACTTGCTCTAGCCTCGCTCCCTTGCTGCGCTCAGTACCAAGGCTCTTTACGACTTTACTGGTTATTACATTGGCCATCTAAGCAGCTGATATTACATCCTTCCTGCTTGTCCAATCGGGTCTCGACAGACGGCGCCCTTCTTATAGTAGTATCTAGCCATGTCCGAAGGTGCAACACAGGTAGTCAGGTCCTTGTTCGTTACTCTTCGACGAGGCTACGCTGGAACGCCTTGGTTCCATCGCCGCATCCTTGAGGCGCTGGGCTTGAAGCACCGTCATCAATGCATAGAAAAGCCAAACAACTCTTCTATTAGGGGAATGCTAGCAAAGGTAGATAGGTAACGGCATCTCGCCTTGGGCTGGTTGGGTACCTGTTGACGCGATGTTCGATTAGCAACATTCCGGAGCGCCCCTAGCGAGCGACGTGACGCATTGCCTTGTAAGGATGGTGTGGAGGGTAGCACTATAAAGTTGGGATGGAGCGCTGCGCGGTAGCTCTCGACAGGGTAACGGGTGCCGGGGGTCGTTGATACCTCCTCACCCTCCCCTTCAACCCTTCCCTCTCCCTCCCTCACCCTCTCCCCCTGCCTTCTCCCCCCCCCAGGTACCCCACCTCATCATCGTGGAAACCGACCGCATGCGCTACCTGCGCGCCCTCAAGGAGTACCACGAACAGGCCCCCCGGGAGCCCTGGATCCTCACCCACAGCCTCCCACAACAACAATCACAACCATCCTCCCAGCAGCAGCTGCCTGCCGGCTCCGCAGCCCTGCCGCTGCCGCCCCCGCCGGCGCCCCGGCTGACGCCGTTTGCCGCGCAGCAGCTGCAGGAGCACGTGCATGCTACGGGGCTGGAGGGCTACGAGGCGTCGGCGCAGCCGCAGCAGGCCCCGCGCAAGTACTTCCTGGAGCGGGCGAAGCGGTGGCGTGTCAAGGTGCTCACGGAGCGGGGGCTGTTCGGGGCGGATGCGTGCAAGGAGCATGCGGAGGCGATCCGGCCCAAGGCCTACCGCCGGCGGATCGGGATACGGGATTGAGGAGGGGAGGGAGTGGGGGTAGGGACTGAGGAGGTGGAGGTGGGGGTAGTTGAGGCGCGAGGTGGTGGTGGTGAAGGAGGAGTTGTGAAGGATGGAATGAGGAGGAATGGTGGGGTGTCGGGTGGGAGGGGAGGAGGAAGCAGGTGGGAGGGGCTAGGGCTGTGGGTTTGGGGCAGGTTGGGGTGGGGCTAGCTGCTTGGGAAGCGGGAAGCGTGCGACATTTCACAACAGCAGCAATCCAAGTCATGTGCATACGCATGTGCCGGGCAAGACAGATGGTCGTGACGGTGGGGACGGGCTTCGTCCCAGGCCGACGGCACGTATGCTGCCGGCGCTTTTACTGATCGGCGCGTGCTACATGTAGCTACCGTACACCGGGCTCCGGTATGCGTGCATTACCTGAGCAGAGCGATAGACACTGTAAAGAAATTATGTTTGTTTGCTCCAACACGCCCTGCTCGAGTTACCAATAACGCAGGACCACAGGGGTGCCACAGGACTCCAGCGGCAGCAATGCAGCATACGCTTGGAGGGATGGGATGGGATTGCTTGCGTGTGATGCAAACCTCCAACAAAACAGCGCGGCCTCTTAACTACCTAGAGCAGGTTCTTCTTGGAGAAGATGGCGTGGTTAACAGGAGCAGGGACAATGGAAGCAGATTAGGAGGGGCATTTAAGGGATGCCGGTAAGACAGGCACTATAGGCGCGGTTGAAAGGCGGCATGATGGGCGCGCGATGGGCATGGTAAAGAGTTCGAGTATCTAAACACGAGTTGGATGTTACATACAAGCACTGCTTCAGCAATGTGGTTGAGTAGAATGGAGTCGTCGTTCAATCAAATCTTCTTTATGACTACGACGAGGCGAGGCCAAGTACTGGATATACGAAGGACCCATGGGTCATTGAAAGCCCTGTACGAAGGGAGAGATCAGCCATTCCCATTCCAGCAGACAAGAACCCGCGAAGAAGCCAATCCGAACGGCAATGCCACACGAGAACGAGAACGGAAGCGCACGAGCGCTTTCCATGTTGAAAGGGATCTACGCACAAATGACAGCCCCTTTCAAGAATCTCTAGCAAAAGAGCGCGGTACTCGTTACTTTTAGGCAAACGAGGAGAGGCTGTCCTCACCTGAATGTAGCTCAATTTAAGACCTAATGCTACATCTTCGGCATCAGACAGCAGCGGCGGAGCCCGCAGGTCCTCCATGTGACGGCGGCGACAGCGGACCAGCTGGGGTCGAGATGAATCCCCCAAGCTCCCACCGAGAAAGGATTCCGCAGGTATTGATTGGGCGTTTAGCAGCGCCCAGAGAACAGCGAACGATGTTGTCCTGGTCACCAACTTCTAGCTCGCGCGCTCGCGCTTCACGTGCTTCCTTCACATGCTCGCCGCCTTCCTTGCAGCCGACCCTCGCCGGGTCGCTTTGCATAGCACCACAGCTATGGACATGTTTCATCGTTCGCTGTGCTTTCTCGGAGCCAGCCAGACCGCGGGACCAATATCCAAAGACCAAAACTTTCGCATTGTGCTTCGGAAAACAACGCGTGCAGGATATTACGCTTGCCGCATTTAACGCCGCCCCGCTTCTGCTCCTGCTTGCATCGCAGGCTGTTGCTGGCTCGGGCATCCCAGTCAAGGGCAGCGATCGATTCCCCGCAAGCGGCCCTGCAGACGACCCTCCCGACTATCACCACCCCCACTCGCAACCGCTCAGCTGGGGTGCCTTTCTGGTGCTGTCGTGGACCAGCATCGGCATCATCTTCGGTGACATTGCCACCTCGCCGCTCTACGTCTTCGTAAACATATTCCAGGAGCTTGGCGGCCCACCTCACAAGGTAGGAATCCTAGGGAAGGTGCAGCAGCAGCGACAACAAGGACCTCTTCCAACGCCTCCATCCAAGCTGCGTGACGCCTGCTTCGCTTTTCCCTTTACGCTACCTTTCCCGTCCATGCCCCTCCATGCCCCTCCATGCCTGTCCTCCGCCTGCCCCTGCATGCCCCTCCATGCTGGCAACGTGCTCCCTCTCTGCCCCTCTCTGCCCCTCCCTGCCCTCCATTCCCCTCCCTGCTCCCTCCCCCCCAAGTCTGATGTGTTGGGCGCCACCAGCCTCATCTTCTGGACGCTCACGCTGGAGGTGCTGGTCAAGTACATCGGAGTGGTGCTGCGGGCAGACGACCAAGGGCAGGGTAGGGGGGTGGGGGCAGGGGTCGGGGGGGTGGGGGCAGGGTGGGGCAGGGCAGGGCGGAGCGGGGTGCACAGGAGGAAGCTGTGGGTTGTGTGTGTGTTGGAAAACCTGGCCGCAAGTCGTGCGCCATGTGGTGCAATGTAGCGTGAGCAAAGGCACACAAGCCACTCGTTCGGCGGGTGCGACGGCGGTTGCTTCCGGCGCAGCTGGGTTGAAGGAGCGCAGGGTGCGGTTTGCATGGGGTCCGCTCTAGGCCCTGGCTAGCTCAGGTCTACTCGGCAACCCTATGGTGCTCCTACAACCCCTCACTCTCCACCTAACGCTACCCGCTCTACCTCCCTCGTCCTCCTCTTCCCCCAGGCGGGACTTTTGCGCTCTACTCGCTGCTGTGTCGCCACATGCGCATCAAGCCGCATGGCGCACGAGGCCCCGCCGTGACTCGGGTTCCCTCCAAGTCCAGTCTTTCCGCGCCCACTGTCGCAACCCAGTCCCCGGTCCCGACAGTAGCAGCCAGCCCTGGGTCGGACACGGCAGCGACCCATGGGTCAGTGGACGACGCAAACAGCAGCACTGAGGGCGAGGCCGAGGGCGAGGGGGAGAGAAGGCGGCGCAGGAAGGGGTTCGGTAGTGGCGGCAAGGTGCTGCCCTGGTGGCAGAGGGGTGCGGCGGATGGGGAGGCGATTCGCGCCTTCTTTCGACGTAGCAGGCGGGCACAGGTGCGCATCTGTGCAGAAGACAAGGCCATGCATGCGTCTTGCGTGTTTGCCGTAGGCGGTGTTTTGTCTTAAGCGCCAATGAATGCAACATGACGCATGAGACACAGCGTTTGCGGCCATCCGCATCGCACTAGGGGCCCTGTTGGTATGCTCGACATGCCCCCGTGCCCCAACGTGCACCATCCGTCCCAACTGCACGCCCCCTCTTGCTCAGATCTTCCTGTGGGGAGTGTCGGTGGTGGCGACGGCGATGCTCATCGGTGATGGTGTCCTCACGCCCGCCATATCAGGTGGGGGGCAGGTTACCTGCTGCTGCCGCCGCCGCCGGACCGTGCCTCTTCTGTTCCTTCCCTCGCCCCTTCCTAACCCCCTTCTCCTTCCCGCTTCCGGCCTGTTGTAACACCTGCCGTCCCCACCTGCCTCCCCCACCTGCCGCCGCAGTTCTATCCGCCGTGTCGGGACTGCGCGTGGCGGTTCCCTCGCTGAGTCAGGGTGTGATTGTGGCGGTGACGCTGGTGGTGCTGCTGCTGGTGTTCACGCTGCAGCAGCTGGGGACCGGGCAGGTGGGGGGGAGGGGGGCGGCCGGAAGGGGGGGCAAAGACCATACCATACCATACCATGGAAAGCCAGTCACAGGTTAGGGCAAGCAAAGGGGATAGGAGACGGCAGGGGTGTCACAATACAGAGTGTTGGGGGTTTGGTGGGGAGGATGGGGATGAAGGGCCGCGGGTGGAAGGCAGGGAGACGGAGGGGATGCATGGGAGCCGGGGCAGAACGTGGTACAGGTGGACGTGGGGCCGCAGGTGATGGGGCTTCAAGTGGCGAGAAGCTGAACGCAGAGGGCTCTTTGTCGAGATGTGCCCCCACTATACGCTGCCTCCCTGCTCCCCCCTGCTCCCCCCAGGTGGGTCGCTATTTCGCGCCCATCATCGCGCTGTGGCTGCTAGCAAACGCGGGGATCAACACCTACAACCTCGTACGGCACGGAGGGGCGGTGTTTGAGGGTGAGGAGGGTGGGGCCTGTGTGTATGTGCGTGTGTGTGTGGGAGGGTGCCTACCGGCGGCTGTGCGTGTGTGTGTGGGAGGGTGCCTACCGGCGGCTGTGCGTGTGTGTGTGGGAGGGTGCCTACCGGCGGCTGTGCGTGTGTGTGTGGGAGGGTGCCTACCGGCGGCTGTGCGTGTGAACTGGCTGGGTATTGGTTCTTAGAGGGCGGGGCGGGGCGGGGCGGGGACACAGCAGCGCTATGGCTCTGATGTCGGTAGCGCACACCGTTGAGATGCGGACTCCATCCGGAGTCAGTCGCAGTCCAATCCACTCGAAGGTTCTTCGACGGCATGCAGCCGGCCCAACCTCCTCCTCACCGCGGCCCCCCTCCACCTTCCTTCCCGCGCAGCCCTCAACCCCGCCCACATCGCCACCCTGTTCGCCCGCCACGGCGCCACCGCCTGGCGCACGCTGGGCGCGGTGATGCTGTGTGTTACGGGAGCCGAGGCGCTGTTCGCAGACCTGGGGCACTTCTCGCGGGGCAGCATTTCGGTGAGGGGTGGGGTGATTGGGTGTCATGGGGTGTCATGTATGGGGAAGAGAGTTGAGTGCTTTGTGCTCTTGGCAGCAGTAGCCCCTGCCGCCCTGCCTGCGGCATGGTGACATACACTGCGGCTTTCTCCGACCTCTTGAGCCTGTCTGAGCTCGCGGCTCCGCCGTCTCCGCCGTCTCCCCCTCCTCCGGCGCCTCCTCCTCCTCCTCCTACCCGTCAGGTTGCCTTCGGCGCGCTGGCCTACCCCTGCCTGGTGATCACCTACCTGGGCCAGGCGGCGCACGTGATCGCACAGCCGCAGGACACGGACGCCTTCTGGCGGTCCCTGCCCCAGGGGGTAGGTGGGGGGGCGGGGGCGGGGGACAGCGAGGGGAGGGCAGACCTCGTGCTTTAGCCCTCTTTGTGAACCCTGCGCAACCCCCTTCTTCAGCCATCCTTATGTACTCGCGCATCTCCGCCCTTCCCTCCTCCCCTTCGTCCTCCGCCCTTCTCTCCTCCCCTTCGTCCTCCCAGAGTCCATTGCGGCCAACTCTCAACCCCTTTCCCCTCCCT